TAAATCGCGGAGCGTTTTCCGTAGTACTAGAAGCTTTTCCCGAGATATCTTATATAGGAAATCCTAAGGTAATAGTTTCTCTCTTTCGTTTAGTCTTTTTTCTATATTAATCTTATAATTAACGCCCGGGCGATATAAAGCGAGACGGTCGGCTTCTTCCTTTTTTTATAGCGGAAATAGGTCGTAAAACTTCCGTAGGATTATCTCTCGTAACTCCGCCTCCGTTTTTACGGGCTTCGGTTTTAAGGCTTTCTTTATATCTACTAGAGAGGCGGCGAATATCGACATATCCTCCGTATTTATTCCTTTTCTTTTACGGCGGCGTATCCTTTTAACTAAGCCTACGAACGTATTAATTAATACGTACTAAGCCTTTTTTAACTCCCTTATAAGCGGGGTCGTACGTTCCTTTTCCTTATATTATACGCTTATTCGTACTTTTCCGTACTATAATCGGTTTTCGTATAAGTACGAGATTACCTCGTTATATATTTACTACGGTTTTTCTAAAATTATTAGGAATTCTAATAACGGAATAACGTATACGTATATTAATTACGTATACCCGTTAATCTCTAGGGCTATATAGGTAATACCTTAAATTACCGCTTCTTTTATAGCGCTTAAAGCGCCTTTAATACTACGGGAAAGGATGGAAATAAAAGGTAGGTTAAGAAATTTAAATAAGTCCTTATTAATAGCTATAAAACATAAGTAACCTTCGTTTATAAGGACTTCCGATAGCGACGTTTTATTAACTATAATTAATAATAACGAAGGGCTACTTTTTATTCTATCCTTATAGGTTTCTTATTTATTTATTACCTTTTAGTTAGGCTCCGTCGCCCGACTTTATAACGAAGCTATTCTTTTCCCGCCGTTATATTAATTAATATATCCTTTAGTTCTTTTAGTAATAGTTCGATAACTTACGTTATCCGTACCGGTACGGGTGGGAACCGCCTTTAGCTACCCGGGCGAGTAACCGGTAGGTAGGAGTAATCCTTAACCTAATATTAGCTAGCGCCGTAGCGAAAGTAGTTACCCTGGACCTTTCTTTTTTCGTATTCTTCCTAGGGTACCTACCTTACCCGTCGGGTATTATTATTAGATCCGTTACTAGACCTGCCGTAGGCTTAACGGGGCCTTCCTTACGATTTAATAAAGCCCGTTATAATCGTATCGCTTTAAGTATTTATCCGGGCGGAGTCCGAACGCTAGGTAACGGATATTAATTCGTAACTCGGGGTCGCCGAATAACGCTTATTCTCGCCTAACTCCTTCGCGAGCCGTTTAAATTCGGTTATTTATTCGTAACGTTACGCGATTAAATAAATTTAAGCGATAAAGGTATCGTAATCTTAAGATATTTAGATCGGAATTAATATATTTTAAAGGTAGTTAAATAGTATTACTTTTAGTTACGTTAGCTTATTATCGTTATCCTAGCTAAAGCCTTTAGCGTTCGTTAAAACCTCTTCGAAGTCGGGTAGGAAGTTCCCGAAGGTCTTTCCTTCTTTCTACCGTAGTTTCCGTAGTTTTTACTACGCGTCCTTTTTAACCTAAATATTACCGAACGTTTCTTTTATATACCTTAGTAGGTCCTTAGGTTAGAACCCGCTCCTTAGACCGCCGGATCTCTAGAAGTATTTTATTTTCCGCTACCGATTCTCGGGTATCGTACCGAAAATAAAGTACCATATCGTATTATTATTACCGAATAAATCGTCCGGGGCGTCGATTAAGATTTTTACTTATAGCTTTTCTAAGTAAAAGTAAAACGATATAGCTTTTCCGTTTTATTCGTATTACTTAAGAGGTTTTCGTCGAGTTCCGTTTACGTCCGTAGGTAGGGTAGCTATAACCTTAGGTACGGGTACGGGTACCGGTAGTACGGGTATTAAGGAATTATTTCGTAGGAAATCGATTATATATTCTCTTATGGAATTTAAGAAGTAAAGGTCTTATAATAATACGTAATAAACTAGCGTCGCTTCTTAAGCGCTCGACTACGCCTAGGCCTTAGACTTATCTTCCGTTATTTAGGAGTCGGATATCGGATATCTAGGTATTAACCTTACGGAGAAAATAGTATAGCTTTTTATTACGGTTTTAAGAATTATTCGCTAGGTAAAAGGATATAAATTAAAGAAATAAAGCTATACGAGGAGGAAAAGGAAGAAAGGTACGCTTTACTAAAGCCGCGCCTTTAGAAGCTAGCTATATACGGGAGGAGCGGTTACGTACCCTGGTGCTATACCAACCAGGGTTCTATAACTAGGCGTAGCCCATTATACTATTAGTTATCTTAATCGTTCGCTAATTTCTCGTAAAGGAATTAGAAGCGCTTATTTAGGTTAGGAATAGCCTTCCTTTTCGGCTAGCTTTTTAGCTTTAATTAAGCCATTAACGAGGAAATCTAGTAATCTCTAAAAGCTAGCTTCGTATAAAGGTCGTAATAATCGTTAGTAACGTTCCTAAGCGTTACGCGAATATATAAAGATCGATTAACGGCGAATTTCCTAGCCTTATTAATCGCGTTTAACGTCGAGACCTAAACCTTTAAGCTTTCCTTTTTAAGGTTCTTTCGTTAGTTCGTTTTAGCTATATCTTTCTCCTATTAAAGCTTAAGGTATACTAATGCCTTATTACGGCTTATTAGCTAGTTCTTAGTTACCTTAAAGCCGGTATAGACGTTTTTCTCGGTAAAGGCGTCGATTTTCGCCGCGTATAAGTAACGTAAGAAGTTTAGTTTATTAATCGGCGCGGTATTCGTTAAGGAGTATAACTAGCTTAAGTACTTCCTATAAGCTATTTTAAGAGCGTTAAATAAGCTATTATCGAATAATTATAAGCCGTAAGAGGTATACGCTAATAGGAAATATAAGTAAATATTATACCGAAAATAAGTAGCTATAAACTTATCCTAAGATCGTAATACGTTAGTAATACTCGCTTATAAAAATTTAGAAAAAAATCGTAAAAATACGAAATTAACGTTAGTTAATTAAGAAATAAATAAACTAATAATTATATAGCTTTTATAGCCGTCTATGATTAATAAGCGGGCGTTAGACTCGTAGGAAAGGAGGCTATCCGTTTCCTTAATAAATATTTCCTTTAATTACTCTAGCGCGATATAGCTATCCGATTAACCGTTATCTAAGGTAATAAAGTACTAATCGGCGATCTCCTTGAATTAATTTATAAACTAAGTCGTTTAGAGTTCCTTTCCTTTAAAGATAATACCCGGTTAAAGAGTATGGCCCGTAGCGTTAATATACTTAATAAACGAGGTCTAAGTCCTAAGCTAAGAGCTCTTAACGATCGCTTTTCTAGTATTTAAGCTCCCGAAAACTAGGCTATCGAGCTTTAGTGCCTTAATTAGTATGGAAACGAAAGGATAAGGCTAGATAAAGCTCCTTACCCTAGCTAAGTATAATATCCCCTTTATCGACGTTAAAGGTAAAATAAGGCTTTATCTAGCCGTATTTAGCCTCCCGGATATCGAAATACTAGTTCATAACCTTTTAATTAAAGCAATTAAAACGCGAAGCTTTAGTTTTACGCCCGGATTTTAACGTAATTAAAGGGTTACGCTTTAAGAAGTTATAAAGCTAGTTCTTACTAAAAGGCCGTAAATCGCCGCTCGCGTTTAAAATATCCTAAGTAATTCCGCGAATAGTACGGTAATTAGGAGCTAGCCCTAGCGTTTCCTAACGTAAAACCTACGAAGCGAGCTATTCCTCCTACTTATTCGTTAAGCGCTATAAAAATTAAAGCTCTAATAATGCTAGCCTACCCTAAAGCTAAGCCGCTAGCGTAATTTGCGAAACGCCGTACATAATAACTAAACGGCGTATCGAAACGCCTTCCTAAGTAATAGATCGGATAATAAACGCCATAAGATCCTCGTTAACGAATTTCATAGTAAAAAAAGCTTATTTAATCGAAATTTAATTAATATTTACTCGTGTTAATTAAGTAGTAGTTTATAGCTATATAATTCCATTTACCGCCGTTTTTAGCTAATAATAACCCCGGTAATACGTATCCGATTTAATCCGAAAAAACGCCAGATTAATAGTAAAGCTTTATACGAACTATATTTATAGTATTTCCTAAATAGCTTTAAAACTAATGGAAAGCGGTATAATCTAAAATGGCCTGTTTTAGCTTTTTTTAGTATGTTAAGGGGTAGCCCGCGGGGGGGTGGCCCGTGGTCATGTGATAGATGGTATGTGTACCTTTTTGGTTTTTGTTGGGCATCCCATACGCCCACCTGCTGGCCCAGGTAGGTAGAGAGCTATCCCGCCCGTGACCTCTGGCGGACGCGTGAGTCTGGATCGACGGCCATGCAGGTCGAAAGATGTCGCCGTTATTGCAGACGCGGATACGAATGCAACGATAGGCGAACGTAAATGCAGGTCATAGTGGGCATGATGCCGCGGCTAGCTGCATGGTGCCATGTACCTAGGTAGGAGGGAGGCCTGTCCCCCTGAACCGTCGCCGTGTGGGGGGCAGCGCGTCGAAGCTATCCTCCTCGTACGGACACAACACCTACCACACCATACGCAGGGCTGATTACAGGTAGGTACATGTATGCCATACCTTGGGCATTATGCGTGCTATACCTACTTACCATAAACGTACAGGTTATACCTAGATTCAATATTACCTCCGACTTGTATAGAGAGAGAGCGAGAGTGAGCGAAAGGGTGCGAGAGAAGGAAGTGTGCAAAGGGGCAAAGAAGCAAGACAACGAGTCTTGTGACATGTCCGTATATCGCGGTAAGGTGGCGAGTAGTAGAGTAAAATAATACCTAGGTAATACTTAGGTGACGCACTTTATCTACCTACCTACGCTCTGCATGTGGGGAGGCCAATTTCTTACGTGACAGCAACGCGTCTGTCTGGCCTGGCCGTCTCACCCCTGAGATATCTTACCACTTACTACGAACACCTCGCCTCCTGGGTTTCATTCCCGTTCACTGCCAACATGTGACAGGACAACGCTGGATGAACCCCCCCCCCCTTCGCTGCCAACATTCTCGCCTTCAGCCCGTTTGTATCTGTCCAAGCGCAATTTCCAAATAGCAACTGTCGCGTCTCGGAACGGCCCGAGGGCTGACGGATATTGCGGTCGCTCTCGTCACCTGCCTCCCCCACCCCACACACGCCTCCTAGGCGCGTAGGTCCGGTACCGGTCAAGTGGTGGCTGTCTCAACTCTTTGCTTTCCCCTTTCCCTTCTTTCGTCGTCTGCTCTCCTCCGGCACAGCAACGCTTCCCTCCTGGATTTCGCTCTCCTCTACCGTCCCCGAAGCCTCCAGTTCCTTGAGCTTCTCCTGGCCCGAGATGAACATGCTCAGGTCGTGATTCTGGTCCTTGAGGTCCGCGTTCTCCGCCTCCAGCGCCCGGACCTGCCCACCGAGACTCTCGAGCTCTTTGTTCACATGCTCGATCCGCTCCATCAACCCTTCCGACACTTTCTTCTCCTCCTGGAGGCTTTTTCCTAGGCCCCTCGCAAGCTCCGTAGATTTAGCCGCGCGGTTACGTTCCCGTTCCAGGTCTCGCTCGAGTGAGGGGACAGTATGCGTGCGCAGCTGACGGTGCTCCTCTCGGAGAGCCCTGAGTTCCTCGAGCGCCTGTGACGCTTGGGCTGCGGCGGTCTCGGCAGCAGCCGACGCCTTCGCTGCCTTGTCGGCGGCCTTCGACAGCATCTCTTCAAAGTAGACACGTTGGCTCTCCAGCTGGCTGCTGAGAAGGTGAGTGTACTCCATGCCGATGCTCTCGAGCTTGGCCCGAGGTACGACGTCCTGGTCCTCGTGGTCGCCGGGCCCCGCTTGACGACCAGGCAACTCAACCACCTTCCCGTCGCCCTTGTCTCTAATCAGGCGGTGCACCCACATATCCCCGGCGTAATCCCAGACATGTTGCGTCTCGAGTTCGAGAGAGAAAGTATGGGCTGTCTCCTTCCAATGTTCTTTCGCGTGGCCCCCCTTGTATCTCCCGCAGCCCACATTGCCGCAGATAAGACATATCCATAGATCATCCGTAGAGTCGCAGACCGAGCACAGGTTGGAGACCCGCGAGCCGAAAGGTTGCGCAAATGGATTGTTAGGGTCGTAAGGAGCTGCGAGTGCGGGGCTTGACGACGATGAATATTGGCTATTGCTACTACCCGACAACGTCGGATTCGTGTGCCGGCAAACTGGGCAGCCAGAGCCCTTCCACTTCTGCAGGCAGGAGCAGTGAAAAACGTGCTGGCAAGGAATGGTTAATAGGCCCGTAGTGTCGTCCATACGCTCTAGGCACACCGGACAGGTAGGTAGTTCGATCAGGTTGGGCGTCGGGGGTGGGAACGGCTTGAGCGAGTTGGAAGTAGCTGAAGGGGACGGCGTGAACGGGTCTTGGCTGAGGTCCGGAAAGCTTCCGCTCGTGCTCGTCGGACTCTCGAAGGTGACAGACCTGATAAAGGCAACAGTGCAAGTCTCTGGCTGTTGTTGCCGCGTTAGTCTTCCGTGCGGATGAAGAAAAGAAAAGCCGGGGAGGGGGAGAGTCGATGCTCGTACCTCGATATCATTGAATACCTTGCCATCAAACTCGCGCCCGAAAAACCGCGCCTGCTTGCTATCACGAAATTTCATAAGTACGAGGTATCTACTCATGCGACCCGTCATGATCATGCGGTAGTGGCTGACTTGATCCCTCCACCTGTCCCCCACAAATCCCAGGAAATCGCTCGGAGACAGGTAGCTGGGGACGGCGGGGATGCAGATAGTGGTGCAGTCAACATGCGTGCCATCCTGCACCTCATCGGCATCGGGCATATGATCCAGAGGGGTCGTAAGTCCGGGGCTTTCCGTCTCTTCTCGGTACAGATGAACGATGCCCCAACCTAACTCGGTGGTCTTGGACGCATTTAGCGGGACATATTTGGCCTTCGTGGCCTTACCAGCGCCTCCCATAGACGGGCCGACGGCGGCCGCGGCCGCAGTGGTCGCTCTCTGCATGTTATCGTGGCTGTGGTAGCTATCTGCGTCGATGCTCTCGATCCTAAGCTGCCCGAACCGCCAGTCCTTGGTCGCGACGTGCGGGTTTATGGCAGCATGCGACCGCGGAGGCGGGATGCTATGCGTTCGTTGTCGGCGTCGGACCTCGCTGAGCCGCACGATATTCCGGCCGTCGCGGGATTCGGGCGGCCGAGGTGCACCACAGTCGATCACGCCGGAACCAACTTTGAACCGGCTAGTCGGTAGTCTGTCCTGCTGCCAATTGCGGGGGGCCCTGTTGCCGTGAGGCGGGACGGCCTCCCGGGTTCGAGGGTGCGTCGGAAGGTTGTCGAAGATATCCGCAGCTTTCCCAGGCAACCAGATCGGTCCCTGGTCGGGCTTAGGTAGCTTCGCTGCGTCGCCGGGTGTCGGGGTCGGCGTGGGATAGAGCTCAAACTTGAGGTGGTAGAAGTACGAAGGCATAGCCTGATTCTGCGAGGACGTGCGTCATGCAACGAGTTGCTGCCAACAGGCCAAAGCATCCGGGCGCGTATCGTGGAGGGCAGACTGACGGAGGTGGGAAGGCGAAGTGGCGAACCACCGACACAGTATTATGGCCTGGACTTATCGTGCAAGGCCGACAGATACTTCCATTGCTTACGAACCGAAAGGCTCTCTCCCGAAAAAACATGTCTTGGTTGCCGTTTTCACAGATAACTCCGAGCTGGTTACGTTTACAAGTTAGAACCGTCCGGGAGTCCTGTCGAAGTTACGACGGCGCCTGTCTGGCTTACGTAGCTCAGCAACACGGGTTGGGATCTACCGCGCAGGCAGATTGGTACGATCTACGAAAGAATAAAAAAAAAACCGAGGCGGGGAGCGCACAGCCCCGACGCCTCGCCACGCCTAGCTGTCCTTACATATTACTAATCGTCTCTAGTTACTATTGTCAGATGCTGGTAGCATGTCACTGGGAACTCAAAGTCACTGGCGTGCAAATCTAAAACAGAACTCGGTCCGTCGGCTAGAGAGTATATTCGTGGTAGGCGTCAAATAGACATGCCAAATTGCTAGACCATTATGGGGTGTCTGTAAAAGTCGACGGTCTTAAAATCCCCATGTGGGATCCATCCATCAACACCGATCCGTGGAAAAAGTTCGTTCATCTTCGTACACCTGCCATCACCGGGAAATTACTGGCCACCACCACGAAGGCGGAGCACCAGGTGCAGCGTAGACTCCTTCTGGATGTTGTAGTCACTCAAAGTACGGCCATCCTCCAGCTGCTTGCCCGCAAAGATAAGACGTTGCTGGTCCGGGGGGATGCCCTCTTTATCCTGAATCTTGGACTTGACGTTGTCAATAGTGTCTGACGATTCCACTTCCAGCGTGATCGTCTTACCCGTCAGGGTCTTGACGAAAATTTGCATGCCGCCGCGGAGTCTGAGAACCAGGTGTAGAGTGGACTCCTTCTGGATGTTATAGTCGCTCAGGGTACGGCCATCCTCCAGCTGCTTACCAGCGAAAATCAATCGCTGTTGGTCTGGGGGGATGCCTTCCTTATCCTGGATCTTGGATTTTACGTTGTCTATCGTATCCGACGATTCGACCTCGAGGGTGATGGTCTTGCCCGTCAGAGTCTTAACGAAGATCTGCATACCTCCACGGAGGCGAAGGACGAGATGCAGTGTGGATTCCTTCTGGATGTTGTAGTCGGATAGCGTCCGGCCGTCCTCGAGCTGCTTACCAGCGAAGATCAATCGCTGCTGATCAGGAGGGATGCCTTCCTTATCCTGGATCTTGCTCTTCACGTTATCGATCGTATCCGACGACTCGACCTCGAGGGTGATGGTCTTGCCAGTGAGGGTTTTGACGACTATTCCAGGGGTCAGTACAGTGCCAGAGATAAGCGTATCCGCGATCGGCTGAACTTACAAATCTGCATGCCACCACGCAGACGAAGGACGAGGTGCAGGGTGCTCTCCTTCTGGATGTTATAGTCGGAGAGAGTACGACCGTCCTCAAGCTGCTTGCCGGCGAAGATCAATCGCTGCTGGTCGGGAGGGATACCCTCCTTGTCCTGGATCTTGGATTTAACATTGTCGATGGTGTCGGAAGACTCCACCTCGAGGGTGATGGTCTTTCCGGTGAGGGTCTTAACGAAAATCTGCATCTTGCCGCTGTTGTGCAGGTGGTAGAACGGTAGATTTGCAACTGGGGAGACGATGGATCAGGATAGGGCGGGCAGAGTTGACTATTGTGTTGACGTTGCTGAGATGGGTGGTCGGGAGGGAGATGTGAAAAAGAGGAGAAGAAGAAGAGGGAGAGGAGACGAGCGAAGATACGTCGCCAGGTCTAGGTAGAAATACTCGCTGAGAACGGGGCTGGACGGCCGAAGGCGCAGCCACTCGAAAGGCCAAGAAAGGGAAGGTGGCGGGGTGGACCGCACACGGCCAATTGAATGGCCGAGCCTGCCTCAGTACGTATCAATCAACGGAGGAGGGGCCAACCAAGTCACCAGCCAGATGACAGAGGCAGAAGGCTCCAGAACTGGCTAGGTCCCTCCTCCCCATGCTTAGCTTACTAGCCTGATCGGTGAATTATACGTAGGTACCTACCTCCCTCTCCGTATCAGGCATGTACCTATGTGCTCACACGCAGCATACCTCTCATAGAGGCCTATCTACTTACAGATGCAATGTACGGGTAGTAGCCGTCTAACCCGAAAATGCTTCCCTCTCACCGCAGAATAAACGGCCGGCGCGCACCAGATAACCCTCCATGAATTCTTCAGCGATGCCCTTATTCCTTACTCGCACGAGGTCGTAGTCAAGGGCAGGAACCGGAGACATACCTATTAGACACCTAGAGGTAGGTACCTCCTAACCTACCTTAGGTACCTAGGTATCTCTTAGTGAGGCACCTGTTACAGGTTTCCTAACCTGTAGGTACATCCTAATCGGTCTACTCGCAATCGATGGAGGCATTTCGGTCATGCCAGCATGCGCTAGAATCGCACGCGAGCCCACAACCAGTGCGCAGGAAAACCACTCCAAGTTGAGGGACGCATATGTACAATTGACGGCGCATCGTATGAACACTTGTCCCGGGTGGTAAGGGTCCTCTTGTTGTTGGGATGAGACATCTCCCGGAGCAGGCCGAGCCGCATACACGGCGATATACCATATGAGTAGACGTAGGCAGAGAGAGCCCCACGAGCTTCAACCCGGTCGCTAAGCAAATCAGGATATCGTGCCACCGCAATCGCCCGTCCCCGCCCGTCAACCGGCCAATAAACACCTACGTAGCGTAAATACCTAGGTGGTTAGAAGATAGGCCGCGGCAATGCCAGGGTACCAACTCCGACCGGACCCGTCTCACCGACTTTCCAAAGGAGAAGCCCGGGGCTAATGTCACTTCGAGACGCGATAGCGGGATGGAAATGAGAGGCTGGGATATTGCATCCCGGACTATTGGGGACTGCAGCAGAAGCGATACCCGAAGGACGCCGACGCTAAAAACACGACTCGCTTGCTGGATCGCCTCTATACGCAGAGCAGGCCTCGGCGCTGCTCAAGGCTGCGGGACGAAACGCATCGAAATCACCACTCATTCGCGCCGGCGGGAGGGCACGCTGGCCGGCCCGTCCCCGAGAGCAAGGGGATCCTCCGTATGTCCATTCATCTAGTCAGAGTAGTTCGTCAAGGCCGTCTGGACCGGCTGCGGTCGGATCGACGCCTGAAACAGCGCATCTAATCTATGCTCTTGTACGTAACCGCATATGTGCGTGAAATCCATAGCTTCTTCCCACGTCATAAAAACATGATCCGTTAAACCGCTTTTTTGGCGCTCGCGCGTGATACTAACGATCAACATAATCCCAAGTCATACAGTCGTTGAATCTGCCGTAAGAAAGGTCGTAATTTCGGAACAACATGGCGTAAAACATCGCATGCGTCGAGGGGCGGTGACCAACCGGGAAACGAAGGGAAGAAATTTTGTTGGTCGACATGTGGGAGTAGTGGTAAATCATGATGATGACAACATCATATCCTCGGATAACGCCATCGCTAAATGTTTCCAGCAATCTGAACAAAGGAAATTCCCAAGGAGAAAACCAAAAGTAGAAACAAGAAAAAACCTCGAAGGCACGTCTGTTTTTCTCCTCTAAAAAGGCGTACATCGCGATATGGAACGAGGGCCGGGAGGTATCCTAGTTAGACTTGATGACCAGTTTCGACAAGAACTTGTTCGATAACGAATCAAAGTCATATCTATCAAACTTCGACGTATTCCGTGTCCTCAGGTACGATTCTATTTCAGGATTAGCCGAGGTGCGCGGGATCAAGGCGCGGTTAGGTTTGCTTGCTTACCATGCTTGAGGACGTGCTGCCGAACTTCTGTCATGGCTTCGCAGACAGCGACATTATTGTTGAGGAGATGGCCGTGCCTTTCGCTATCCCAATCAATCAAGGCAGGGAGTTTCTGCGAGATGGCGTGGAAGAGACCGGTAATGACGCCGACAGGGGTGCTCTCCATATCGGAGCAGAACTTCTCCACAGCAATCGGATCGGGGACGCGGTAGTGGCAATCGAATTGCATCTCCTCCCAGACGGCCAGCAGAATAGAAGCCAGCATGAAGATGGTCGGCCAGTTCTTCAGGCGATCACCGCTGTACACGCTCGAGTACAGCGCCGAAAGCTCCTCCAGGATGTCCTTCTGCAGTTCACGCCACATGTCTGCCATAGCGCACTTGATCTGGAAGTTGATCATCACAGGAGCAACGTATTTTCCATAGTACTTCGAGTCCTCGTCGTCGATCTGGCCCTCCATAGTTTGTTCTGAGCCCTGCTGCTCGACAAGCGTGATATGCATCGTCAAGTTGTAAGCTAACACGAGCTTCAGCGCCTTTCGAAGCACCGGTAGCTTCTCCTTGGTGTAGAAGCGATAAGCTGTCTTGAGAATCTCGGTGATGAAGGGAGTACCCTCGAAGTGATCGTCGATAAAATTCTCAAACCCATTCTCAATATGCTTGTCCAAGTATTCGGCGAGCGCGTCGTGGTTGATGCCGTTTTCGCCGACGTCGAGCTTCTCAGTCTTGAGCTCGAACTCGATCGGCTCCTGGTCGATTTGATACGACTCGACCCAGTCCACCTGAAAACAGCTGTCATCCGCGACGTAGACCTCGCGAACCATGACGGGGAGACAGAAGCCGTACCCGTGGGTGATCCACATCAAGCTTTCCTTCTGGGCAAATCCCTTGACGTTGAAGACGGAGACGCCGCGGCTGAGGTGTCGCTCGTAATCGGCCTTCCAATCCTTCATGAAGTAGCCAATGTCCTTGATATCGATGCGAGTGCAGGGGACCTGCCAAAGCCTAGCGTGCGAAGGCTGGCAACCACCACACGGCTCGCCCTTGTCGCATGTCTTCTTGAGGAACTTGCACCGAAGGCAAGCTCGCAATTTGCGAATCTCACTAGCCTGCTTCCGCTGTTCGGGTAGGAGCGGACCCTTTCGTCGGCCCACCTTCTTTTCGGCACCACCGTCCTTCTTTGCATTAGATGTCTTCCTGATGACCGATTTGGTGTTCTTCGCGATTGGGTTCTTCTTCGGGGCCGGATTCCTGCGGGAATTGTTGGGCGGGGAGGCCACGCCAGATCCGCTCGCCGGGCTGGGGCGACTTGATGTCGTGGACTTGATGGGAACAGGCTCGACAGCAGCGGCAGGGCTGATTATCTCATGCGAATGATGCGTTTCGCCGTGGAAGCAGTTCCGGTGGCTGGCGGGGTCCGAGTAAGTGTCAGACTCCGGCGAGAAGGGCGAGTAATGGAAAGAGGAGATATCCTCGAAGCTGCCGCTGCTGAAATCGGCGTTTTGGCCACTCCCGTCGGAGTGGGACGAGTCGGAATTTGTCCTCAGGTGCAATGTCTGGCCGGGGTTAAAGATGGCAGTGTTCTGAGCCTGAGCCTGGGCCTGGGCTTGCTGGTAAGTGTCGTAGTTCTGGTACATGTCGACTTGAGTCCAACCGTTATCGCTGGAGCCTGGCAAGGACAACACCTCGAGATACGTTCCCGTCGGGGACTGGCTACCCAAGCTTCCGAAACGCGGGAGCCCGTCGGCCGGGAATTGCAACGAGGCGCCGAAATCCTGCCAATTTCCCATTCCCATGCCGTCCCATTGCTGCATGGCCCGAGTATCCTCGATGGGCGAAACGTCACCAAAGCCTTGCTCCATCTGCAGACCGGATTCGAGTGCGGTATGCGTAGCGGACTGCAGATACGCGAGGTGGTTCGCCTGGAAACCTGTTGTAAAGGCGTTGAAGGGTATCAGGGAATGGTTCTCTGGAATCAACTGGGCGAGATCCTGGATGGGAGGATGCTGCTGCTGGTGCTGAAGCAGCGTCCAGTCAGTCAGAAGCGGCGGAGAATGGGCCTGCGGAGGTCCCTGGAAGGGCGAGTGTTGTAAGGGGCTCGCGCTCTGTTGCGAAGGCGACTGCGACTGCGCTTGAGACTCGACGGGCGACGCTACGTTGCTCGAGTTCGCATTCTGGGGACCGGCCATATCAAGGGAAACCGGCCAGCCACCCGAGGGGCGAGTAGGAGCCATTGCGGTGGCCGAGAGAGCGGGATTGGTGCTCGGTGCTGTGGTGGTGTACGGGTAACGCTCCCGCTGATCGAATGTGGTCAAGTCCAACAAGGCATCCCCCCCGGCGGCATTGAATTCGAGGGTCATTGTCGTCGGAAGTCAGGAAAAGGGAGGAAGATTCAACTGGAGGATTCGTGACGAGTTCCGCTAGTATTATTGACGAGCAGAAACGACACCGCTCTTTCGTGGAATTCCCTCGTGGCGCTGATGGACAGCTTCTGGGGGACCGAAGGGGGGGAGGACGGGAAGGGTGGATGTGGAGGAGGTGAGATTCTGCGGCGGATGGTCGAGTGAGATCGAGGATGTCGACGGAAGACGCCCTTGAGAGGCAATGAGGAGGAGACATGAGATTGTGCGAGGACACACGGGAAACTGGCGGTGTAGAGGAAAACGCTGGCGTCCCAGCTCCACCTGCAACATGCAGCCCAGGACCAATCATGGAGCGCCAGTGCTGCAAGAATCATGGGACGACGACACCAGATTGGACATGGGGGATGACCACGAGGCCAATAGCCAGCCGTCCATGAAGCACACTAAGTGGCTGACGAGAGGATTGACACTGTAGAGGGTACCTACAGGCAACACGCCCGGGAGACGACTGGGGCAGCCCACCGACGTACACCAGTCGCGGTGTATGCTGCCGGCGGCCAACCGTAGCGGGACGGGAGGCAGGGAGGCCATGGACATGGACATGGATGTGTATGTGTATGTGTATGTGTGGTGTAGTTGCATGTTGTATGGAGGAGAAGACGTGGTGACGGTGCTGGACATCGACAGGATAGGTGTGTAGACGCGAGAGGATAGCGGGTAGGCAGGCTGCCCACCTTTAGCTCTCCTTCAATTTTCGACGGACATGAACAGCAGGACATCGCCACCAGCAGGGGAGCCCACAGGTTTGGTGCGATAAGGTCAGTAGGCACCCAGAGAGGCACCTGAGGCATCGACAATGTAACAACGCACACAGGTGGTAGCTAGGCGGACGACACCCATAACCAAGCCACTACAGGCTCGAACACCTCCACAAATGCCCTAGAGATTTAGGGCATCTAGGTACCCAACCCAAGCGACGGCCACGAGGAGAAGCGTGCCAATCCGGGAGAGGCTTGCGTAACGTATGAGTACATTCCTCCTGGCAGCCTGCGCATGTCGACCTGCAAGGCAGGTACGCCCACCTCGGCATTGTACATCCTAAGTACCCGAAGCAGAAGTTACCTGTATATGGGGTGTAGGCATGTACGTACCAGGTCCTACGAATAGGTTGTCCTAGGTACTTCGGTTTAGTGCCTGCCTACCTTCCGAGGTACCTATATAGCCTGCCTTAGGTACTTCATTCGGTACCTATCAGAGGATGCATGCCATACACGGCTCTCTCCTATAGTGGTAGGTACTTACCGAGGTACCTAAGGCAAGGTGTGCTAAGCACCTGCCTAGTTCACCCAACTTCCCCGCCATCCTCCACGCAGCAACCGTGCCCATCAATCAATCCCATACCTGCGTGCGCTTCCTTCCGTGCGCTTCCTTCCGTACGTATGTACACGTCACATACGGGGGCAAAGTACTCGACCTGATAAACAAATATCCATACTACCTAAGTACATCTAGGTATGTACGTACTCATGGTAGCAGGTCGTGCATCCCATACGGCAGCACCCGCAGTTCGGCGAATGATACAACCTGACTAAGTATGTAAGTACCCAGGAGGTGCCTACCTGTCCAGGTAGGTAGGTACGCATAAGTGCCTCGTCGTGGGTGTCTAACCGAGGTATTCATATGTATGACTTAGTGTCTGCCTTGGCATGTGTATACTTACGTTGGACGTAAGGCACACTCTATTAGAGATACCTTCAATGTACCTACCCACCTACGCACCTCCTTCAGATGGCAGAAAGAGGCTAAGGAGAGGCAAGTGGTGTACCGTGCAATCCGCACCGTGCGGGTCGGCTCACCTACCAAACCCTAACCTGGAACCCGCCTACGGATGGCGGGGTTATCTCCCTTATCTGTCTTAGCCTGCCTCGTACGTGTACACTTGTTTCTGAGGTGCTCAGCCGATAGATACATATGCACTTACCTCATAGAAGAGGCATATACCTTGAGAGGTAGGTAGATCAGATACCTAAGTGAAGTCCACGCCCCCATCCGCCCGGCCGCAAGGCCCTCCTAACCACCTAACGTACGTGTAGCTAGGTACCGACCGAGCTAAACTCACTACCTGACTGTACCTAACATAGCCACCAACCGGTACCACCGTGGGAACTGCTAGTTGCTGTACCGTAACCCCCCCTAAAAGGTACCTAAGGTGGGTAGTAGAGGCTGGCACAGCGTCTATCCCCTACCGAGACTAGCCTCTCCAGCTTTGTGGGTTGGTCCCCTAAATTGAAGTCGGATCCATCTGGAACAACCCCACCTCGTTCATCATCCATCAATCACCCATCAATCTCATGTTGAGGCAACGATAATTGATGACATGGCTAGCTCCTCCAACGGCTCGCTGCAGATGTGTAGGACCGCACCACCCTACCTAAGTCAGTTAACGCCTGCTGCGGTGCTTGCAGGCTCGACATGCATTCATACAAGACTCCTAATGCAACGCTGTATGTCGCAAACACACGGAGCAGGGCTCGGGTTTTCAGGCCCGTCCTCGGAAGCCCGAGAAGAGAGAAGGGTAAGCGAGCGAGAGCAACAAGCCGACGAGGAGCGACAGGGAGGCCAAGGAAGAGCAAGAGAGAGAGAGAGAGAGAGGCGCAGAGAGAGACTGCTGAGGCTGGGTACATATTACCTACATACTTACACGTCAAGGTTGAGGAGCCGAGACTTGCAGGCGCATACACACTTACCCAGGTCAGACAACACCGGCTTTGGTATTCCTTCAATAGCGCCTCGTTGTGGGGAGCACGAAGGGCCCGCAAGAGAGGGTCCGTAGAGGGCCCCATCGTTCGGGTTCTTCTCCCACCTAGCCTAACATTAGAAGCTTGTGTGGGGAGAGGAAGAAGGAGGAAGGATGATCTGGAACGAGTCTGGCGTCTCGCAGGCAACTCGCAATCCGAGAGGGTCGAAGAGAGAAAGAGAGCGCGCGCGCAAGCTCGACATAGCAAACCCCGTCCCCTCGCCGGGATATTCGCACCAAGTTCCGCGCCAGTGCCCACCCCAGCTCCTTTACTGTGCATGGCAAAGCACCCTGCCGTCAGCAGCGCCAGAGTGCGCGATATCGTGATACCCTCCCACACACGAGCCACTTAAAACAGCTGGATCTTCGCACCGCATCTGTCCAGTGATCCCAATCGCAACCCTCCTGGCCTACTAACCTGCCTACAATGCGAGCCAGTCGCGTCCGATCCTTATTCTATCGGCATTGGCAGACGGTGTCATTCCTCGTCGGGCTGGCTAGGGTTGAAGATGGGACGAGTGTCCTCGAACACGAGGCCGGGCCACGATGGGGACGACGAGCTGGCCACCGTGGGCCACCGTAGGCCACCTTAGGCCACCTTCCAAGCGCCGTCGCGCGTGGGTATACTGCTTTCCAGGTTATTACTTACCAGGTCAGTATGAATCTGCGCGGCTATCTTGTTCGGCATTACCCATTCTCTCCGTAGAGTTAGTTGGGAGAGGTTCGCATGCGCGCCAGAGGCGAAGGATTCTTCCCGGCTGGTCAGGCCGCACCAACACCAGCGATATGTATATGATACCTTTTGCAAAGGGTCGCGCCATTTACCACCTTGCAAAACACCAATACCCCCCTTGGTTGCATTGGGCAGAGGCAGGGGGGGTATTCCCTCTGGCTGTCGCTGAAGCGTACCTATCCCCTCACACAGTTTAGAGATATCATCATCATGCCTCCTTTCCATTGCATACTCATGAACCAGACCTCCCCCCGCCTGCTTACTCCTCACCATGACACTCCCCACCAACCCCATTCCAGCTCATAGTATCTTTTTTTCCTCTCCGTGTGCACTTCTTCCTTACATCAACCTAGAGACCTATATATGGATGCATTTCACTTCGACGGTTCCTGGCTTCGACGCTCCCCTTTCTAGGGATTGCGAAAGCTTACGATTAGCAGAATTCCGGGTTTCGGTCATACCACACATAACGTCCAGGGCTTCTCGATGTAGGTATATGTGAACCGGGGATTATCATTCAAGTTGCCATGTTCCCGCAACCAAAAAGAGCTTCGGATGCTGGGGGTTTTTTTTTTCGCACCGTGGAGAAGAAAGGTTGGTACAACACAAAATATGGGAGGTTGGGGAGATCCTTGACGCGGCTTTGCCCGGTAAACGTAGAAAGGGGGTTTTATTCCGGTCGGTTTATTCTCGTCCCGTTCGACAAGTCAAGCTATTGTGTCTAGTGCTCGGAGTCGACTCAATGCCTTCTAACCAATTCATACTAAACAGACAATGGATTCATCGTGTTTCTGTAAGCGATAAATTGGATAGCAAGCGTATCTAATTTTAGCATCGAGTAACTACTCAAGCAAATTAAGCAAATATGAGTACGCGGAATAAGCGCAACAAGCGTCAGCCACGAATTCGGTAGGCGACGGACTCATTGACTATCTAGTTGACGATTAAAGCCTAGGCGACAGTCAAACCACATGGGGAATCACGACTTCGGGAGGACCTTCATGAAGAGCAATCGAGACATTTGCCACAAGCTTTGAAAAAGAAGCGGGAGGGGGGAAAGAATAAAAGATAAAATATCAAGCTCAGATATAATTTATGTGTTCTAAATTACTTGCCTGCCATACGTATCGCCAAGCCACTTCCAATCTCTCGCCTCCTGTCGACTACACAGAATGAGTAGAGAGTTAGTTACCTTCGAAAATTGTACATCTGCCTCTCACGCCACTACAGCACATGTCTTGTTTTCCGGTGGTTGGGAGGAGGGGAGACATTGATAGGATCATGGCTTTGGCATTAAACATTTTGTCTAGGAAATAAGTCTATTTTATCCACTGGTGGCGGATTGAGGTTACCTGTTTCCTCTCAATTAACGCACCACGTCTTCACTTACTCCCTATACGTAACTTCAGATTTGACATCGCTCACTATCGCCATTATACATGGGTCCCGACCTACCTCTACCTAGGTACAAATGTATGGACGACGAGCTCAGGTACATACTCTACATACCTACCTTAGGAGGTAGGTATTCGTCACGCAACGCGCTATTCAAATGAGGTTTACAGATCGAGACACGGTGCGAGCCGTATCACGTCAGCTTCGATCTGTTTGGCGGATGTGTCCCTGGGCTGGAGAGGCGAGGCGTGGGAAGAAAACAACCAATTCCCGCGTCGTTTATGGGCCACATTTATCGATTCCACAATCGTCCGCATCGAAACGTGATATACAGGTACGCAGGGTACAGCCAGCAAGCACCAACTGTCTTAGTTGACTTGAGTAACTCGCCACGATACGTCTTATCGTCATGTTACAAATAATTACGTGCAGCCCTCACTATCGGAGGCATTAGGATCAGGCACCCAGATATACCTATCTTCCCCGAGCACTAGGTCTCTCCGTGAAAGTCGATGATTGCAGGGCATCTGCCTTCAGTAGAGAACCCATAGACATAAGATCACATGCCTTGAGAGGCACCTAAGGTAGGCACCTACCTCTACTACGTAGGCTAGAAACTGGAAGCCAGCTGCTGGCCATCGGTATAAGCATACATCACCTCTTAGGTATTATATGGCGTATGGCAATACCAGTAGCAACGGCCCGTCAATGTCGGTGCCAGCCGGCGCCGCCTCCTGCCCAATGCAGATGAGAATGATGTCATGAGTTCAACGCTTATCGATACCGGCAGGTTGAGAGGGCCGACTTGGCGATTTCCCTGGCCCGGCTTTGCCTTGTACCTCCTCCCCTCCTGTTAGACAATCAGGTCGTCGGAACGCGGCCGTCACGGTGACCAATAGTGGCAACATCCAGCTCGGCATCGAGCCAGCGAGCCCGCACAACAACAACAACCCGCACCCGAGGCCATCCGGACGAGGCTCGAGTTTTGGGACGGTACTTTCCGGTCAGGCACCGCCAATCGCAGACCTCTATGCACACCCTTAGTTCAGACCCGTGTGCCGTCTGGAACTCAGCAGCGCATCTGGGGTATACTCTGCATTCCAGTCCCCTCCGCAGGCCAAAGCGCCCGCAAACGTCCACGCTCGCCTTGATCTCATGCCAATAAAGACGAGCCTGACCCGAGCGCGCCGGCGGCCCACCCACAAGAGAGAGCCTATCTCCAACCCAATGGACAGGACCCGCCGCCGTGCTGAACCCAGGCCAGCCGACGAGGACGCCAGCTCGCTGTTCGCCGTCTCGGTACTCTACGAGCCACAAGAACCCGAAATGTCGATTCCCGACCTGTTTACCACCCGGCCTCCTATCCGAGACACGCTCACCACTACAACCTCCACTGCCCAGGATGCCACCGTTGCCGAGTGCCTGCCCTTCTTGGCCGCCGAGGTCCGTTCGGCGGCGGCGCCCAACCAACACGGCGTGCCGCGTCTTGATCGGCAGCGGCACATCAAGTTCCTTCGGAAAAACTTGGGGACGCTTCCTGGCCGGTATGTCGCCTTTGACGCGAGCCGGCCGTGGATCCTGTATTGGTGCCTCAACGGTCTGTCCCTCCTGGGCGACGACGTCTCCAGATACCGCGCCGACCTGATCGCGACGGTCCGATCTATGCAGAACAGCACCGGGGGTTTCGGAGGGGGCGGCGGTCATCACTCGCACCTGGCGTGCACCTACGCCATCGTCTTGGCTCTGTCCATCGTCGGCGGAGAGGAGGCGTATGAAGTCATTGACCGAAGGGCTTTGTGGAAGTGGCTCTGTAGCCTGAAGCAGCCGGGAGGCGGATTTCAGATGTCTGTTGGCGGAGAGGTCGACATAAGGCAAGTCCAGTCAACCCTATCAGACCGGTTAAGCTAAGCTCTCGGCTCTTGGGTGTGTTACTGACGGTGACGGACTAGAGGGGCATACTGCGCGGCTGTCTTGGTCACCTTGCTGAACCTCCCGCTTGATTTACCGCCCGGATCGCCGGCCTGGGCAACCGAGAAGAAGCCGAATTTGTTCACCGGGCTAGCTGATTATATCCGTCAATGTAGAGGGTTCCTGGCATCCCAACCTTCCAAGTAGATGGGCGTTAACTCTCTGCAGGCCAAAACTTCGAGGGCGGGATTTCGGCGCAGCCGGGTGGCGAGGCACACGGAGCCTATGCCTTCTGTGCTCTAGGGTGCCTTTCCATCCTCGATGCTCCTCATCGTACCTTTTCAAGGTCTGTACTGCCCAATATTCTTCCATAGGGTGCTCGGGCCCTAGTTAGGCGAAGCATCCCCCCTACTAAGACCTCAAGTCTAGATACCTCGATGTTCCACTGCTGATCTCTTGGCTATCATCACGGCAACATGCTCCCGAGGGCGGGTTTAGTGGCCGCACGAACAAGCTTGTCGACGGTTGTTACAGCCATTGGGTCGGCTGCTGTTGGCCATTAATCGAAGCCGCCATCGCCGGCCCGTCGAGCCTCATGTTTGACGTAAACAAAAGCAAGGGCCCCGACAGCAGCTCCGCGCACGACCTTTACAATCGCGAAGGCCTCGTCCGCTACATCCTCTGCTGCGCGCAGGATCAGTCGAAAAAGGGTGGTATGAGGGATAAGCCAAGCAAGTAAGTATGGAAATCCAACCCATCAATCTAAGCCTTGGCTAAAAGCTACCTTGAGATCTCCCGATGCGTACCACACTTGTTACGTACTTAGCGGGCTGTCCTCTGCCCAGCACGTTACACGTTTACTTACCTCGGATGGCGAGGGGATGATGACGCATTCCGAGTATGACGTCTCGCCGCATATTGGGAATCCTCAGATTTACGAAGAAGAGGATCGGGTCAACCCGACCGACCCCGTATATTTTATACCTGAGGGGAAACGGAGAGAAGTCATGTCATACTTCCTGTCAAAGCCGGGATTCTGACCCGCTTCTGGCCGCATATGAAGAGGCCATATCCGACACTACGCCGGGCCAATACGAAGAAGGCTGAAAATCTCCTTCGCGGTTCTGCAGCTTCTCGAGTTCTCGCCCCTACGATTACGGATGTCGGGATTGTGGCCTTTTCACGTGTCGAGCTATATATACATCATAGGTTCAAATGCTCTCGTCTTGTATAACATATAACATCATCATGTCCTTGATTAAGATGAGCCAGCTCGTGTACCTGCCTGTCTATCCAGAGGGGAAGGGGGAGGGGAAAGGGGAGAGAGGGGGGAAGGGCCATTCCGGGAACGAAGGGACGTGAGAGGAGTGACGGCACCCCCTATCGTTACTTGGATGGCATTCCTCCGCAGTTGCACATCATGACGGTGCGTCGAGAAGCCCGGCAGCAAAGATTGGCTCGCCCATCGCACAAGAAGAACCCGTAAACCATGACTATACCCTTTTCACACTTCTCTACAGGATGTATCATGCACTTCGCAATCAACACCTAGACCGCCATCGGTAATACAAAGGGCAGATTCGCTAGGCAGGCTCGCGCGACTGGAGTGAAGCAGAGTCAGCTAGAGCGATTCCATCGCATTCGTTAATCTGTTTTCCCCACCACATGCGGCCAAAAAACCGTCCAGCAGGCAAACGATGCCATATACAGCAAGTCTGGATGGGCTACGAGCCAACGCCGGCCAGCAGGAAGGTGGCAAACCCTCCCAGCGGCCGGATTCGACCCGGCCTGCCAGCTTCTGAGGGGACGCCACTGACTTATATCTGAGGTAGACCAAACCGGGACGCTGACGGCAAACGGCAGCCGTCACGAAGACCAAGAGGCTGCTGAATCGTACGACGGCGCCCACCGTCCACATCCGTACAGGAGCTGCACCGCAGTGGTCGAAAGGCGCTCTACAGAGTTGCATGAGCATTGAGCTTGCCGATCAACTCAACAGAATCGACAGGTTGGCCACATGGTGTGGTCGTTTCGCATTCCGCCCCTACGCACACACCCCCCATACCACCTTGCGTCCATTGTGGCCACAGGAGGTCCTTGACGTGTCAGTTCCCGTCCTGGCCTCCTAGGTGGCCATGGCTTCAGATGTTAGAACGATCCTTACCAAGCTAAGGCATTGGCAGGTAGTATTTGGCATCATCCCCACTGGTCCTAGATACTTCGCACGACTTTGCACAATGCCGTGCTACTAGTCTGCACGCACCTGGCCAAGCGGAGGGAGGAGTAGTAGGGGAGGGGAGAGGAGGAGGGGGAGGGAGGAGGAGGAGCAAGAAGAGGATTTGTTGACTCGAAGGTCGAGGGCTGTTAAGTCGACCTGCCTGACGGCCACCTTATATGGCCGGCCTACTGTAGGATGCTACGCGACCCAATATATATCTCTTCAGCTTCCATAACGTGGGATGTTTACCCCCTCGCAATTATGCCTATTGTCATTATCCACCTGTGTGTTCCGGCAGAAGACCACGGTAGTGTATAGCTCGTAGAACGTCGCGAGGCCAGATAGGAACAATGGAGTTACGTTATAGAAGGGCACATACACATACATATCTACAGTATCTAGATTGACTACATACATCCGCGGCCGACTTCCTCGAGCTTCAGGCTGCGTGTCCGGATATATGCGGTCGATAGGGTGCTCCGCGCGATATTGTCTTTGGCCCGTGGGCCTCCTCCCTTCGGAGAGACGAACCGATTCGTTACATGACCGGATTCTGGAAAGAAAGCATTAGGAGGCTCGACAGGGGGAGGGGAGGCCGCGGCTCTACTTCCCGGCCCTCTTCCAGAAAGTCGGGCATCGGATGTCTCAAACTTATTTCCATAGACATACGCATACACGTATACAGAGACAGATCCGCGCATTTTTCAATATACGAGTGCGATTAAGCACGCACTGCACCTGGAGCAGAATGCGAGCTTTACTTTTTTTTTTTAAAATTTTATTAATCTATGCTCTTGCTGTGGCTCTGTACGAACAATATGTATGTCTCTCTACAAGGCAAGCCTCGCAGAGAGAGACATACTCATAGAGAGAGGGAAAGAAAGGGAGCGAGAGAGACGAGGTAGGATCGTGAGGGCTACCAGCAAGATCCCTTGAGCGCTAGCTCCTCTTAAACTAGTATGGCGCCGGGTGCGGTGTATTACGAGGCAGCTTCGTCGCCGTCGTCCTCGGCTGGGGGGAAAGAGGGGGGGCGCCAGTCGCCGGGAAGGATGATGCCTGGACTTCTGGGCTCGCGCCCGCGCCCGGGGGCTATGATCTAGATGTCGTCGCTGTCGCTGTCGCTGCCGCTGGCGTCGATGGAATGTGTGTCTCCGCCCCGCCCCCTCCCCCCTCCCCCTTTTCTTTTCCTTTCTCCCACAAAAAAACCCCCTTCTCCCTTCGTGGTGCGGTACGCTTACCAATCTGGCCAGCCGGAAAGGCAGCGCCCCTCCGTCCGCTCGCCTCGCGCCTCTTCTCGTTGTTCCCTCTCTGCCTCTCCTCGATCCGTCGCCGCTCATCCGGGCCGAATGGCTGGGACAGGCAGCTGGCTGGTCCTGCGGTGCACCTCCTCCCATCCCCCACCCCCCCCCGGTGCCGCGGTATCTGCGCAATATGGGACATACCTACCCTACCTAAGGTATACCTGTCTGCTCTAAGATGAGGCGTGTACGTATGTATGTATGTATGTGTGTGTGTGTGTGTGTGTGTGTGTGTGTGTGTGTGAGGCGGAGTACTACTAAGACCAACAGGCCTCGATAATTCGCCTGGTGCCGTCTTACGGGATGTCGCCTCTTAGGTGGTAAATAAGCAGACATCTCAGCAGCATCTGATTTCCAGCTTGCCCTCCTAAAAGCTGACTACGCATCATCGTGTGGTCTGGCGCCCAGCCGTCGTCTTACTTCGGTTTGGTTTTTAGATTTAGATTGATTTCTTCATTTTATCAGTTATTGGTCCTCATCGCTCGGCTTCGTGTTGTCGTCTTGTTTGTTTTTCTTCCCGTGGCTTCTCGCCCTTCTCTCTCTTTCTCTGCCCGTCTATCAGCCTATTTTGCCATCCCCCTCCTCTACGTCAGTGGTAGGTAGTTGGCGTTATTATTGTGTATAAGCCCCCCCGGAATGAAAGCTTGGCCGCACGCAGCCCCACGGGCACCGACTTTTTGGCACTCTCGCTGTTATTCGACGGCGGCGACAAGCCCTCTGCAAAAGACTGCATCAGGAATTGATGTGGATGGACGGGTGTTTGTACTTATTATCGATGTATTATGCCTGGCACCTTGCCTACCTTGCCCAGGCTCACGTCCCCAATCCTCCTCTTATAAGTGGGCTTCCCGTTGGTCTCGGCGTCTCCAATATCGCGTCGGCGAGGGAGAAAGAGGAAGAGGAGAGAGAGAGAGAGAGAGAGAGGAAAACAAAACAAAACAAAACACGATAGACCAAGAGAAGGAGGGGGTAGGAAGGACAGACAAGAGGAGCAAGTCCTACCGCCGCTACATTAAAGTCCGAGAGGTGCATCCCGTTGTCGACTGGCTTTGCCTCTGTCTCTGCCTCTGTCTCTGCCTCTGTCTCTGTCTCTGCCTCTCTCTCTCTCTCTCCACGGATAGATGGCATTGGACGGTACGCGTGCGTGTTATGGTATGAATGTAGGTATGTACATACCTGCATAGGGACGCAGGTATGCACGTAGGTAGGCATGTAGGCATTGTAGCAATCACCACCATTCCTCGGTGCGTCCCATCGCCGGGAATCGTCATCATGAACGGCATCCCGTATATTCCTCAAATGCAGCAGGTCGTCAGGCCAGTTCGGGCCAGGTCGCGGCCGGTACCACTACTTCGTTCGTAGGCGAGCGCGCGTTGGATCGGCCAGTACCCGTACCCAGTCCTGACATGCACAAAATAAGGTCTATCTTGATTTAATATCCAGCGGCAATGCCAACTCATCATTGCATGAGGTGTTAAACGTCTGTTCTTCGCCTAGTTGCCTCGCCGCCCCCGTACGTCGAACCGCGATGATTGGCCCTGGTCCAGATGGATTCTCAGTGGCTCCTGTCGGCCTTCGCAGGGTCTCGAAGTTCCGTCTCCAATGGACTTCGTAGGCTAGCGGCCAGGTTCATCGCGAGACCGGGGTTGCCCAGCAAGCCAACCAGTGTTCATGCATCTCATTCTTGCTCACCGACTTCGTGGTTCCGGCTCGATCTGGTCTGCTCGGGTTTTCCTCTCGTTGACATGTTTATTTGTCCGAGAAGGGAAAGAAGGGGAGAGGTCCGGGGGGTTCTTCTTTTTCTTCTGCTTCTTCTTCTCCATCTCCATCTCCGCCTTCTTTTGCTTTGTTTATTATACCTTTTTTTTTTTTTTACTAAGAAAAAGTTTTTTTTTTCTCGTGAAGAGGGAGGGATGAGAAGTTGAGGGGTAACAAGAGCGACAACCACAACTACAACGACGACGAGAAAACTCCTAAAAATAACAACATCGCATCTAACAGAGAGGGAGAGGGAGAAAGAGAGGAAGGCGAGGTCGCGAATGTGTAAAATCCAAATAAAAATAGGGATAATTAGAAAATGGTGAGATTCGAAAAACATTAGCTGTCTAAAAAAATTAGCACGAAAAAGAATACCTACCTACCAATGCTATCCAATCCAGTCAACCCGCGCGCGTCACCGAGTTGCCTCTCTCTCTTCTCCTCTCCGCTCCCACGTATGCACTGCTCCCGTGCTTCCCCCTCCCGGCCGGTCTCCCTCTTCTTAACTAACACTCTCTACATACCTACACACTTACCACATGCTAACTCGCAGCCACGGCCAACTACTACGTAGTAGGTAGGTAACTACCTATAACGTACTACTTAATGTAGCACCTATCCGCTAGCAGTTGACGCTACCTATAACCGCCTAACCGCCTAACCGCTATATGTAGTACTACTTGATTCTAAGCTTCTTACCGATCCCATATACGTGCAAGTACGTGGTGTTTGCTGATGTATAAGTCGTATTCGTGCCTAGCTTGGCCTCTTCTATTTTAGCTAACACTCCCTTTTTCTCTTCTTCTTTTTCTTTCTTTCTTTCTCTCTTCGTCTCCTCGAAAAGGGCCAACCCGTCGTCGGCTTGCCTGTGATTTGTCCACTACGGGGCCCTGCGCTCTCACCTTGTTTATTATTGCCAACTGCGCAAGTCGCCCCCCCCCTGTACCGTCTGGTCGCGGGTTGGGGCTACGGTTACCGTTACGTCTGTTCCCTCGAGATCCGGGGGCTCCTCCATCTGATCCCCTCTTCCCCTCTTCTCGGTCTCTTTTCCTCTCTCATCGCCCAGTTCGATCTCCGAGGGCTTGTCCATGTACATGGATCTATACATACATACAGACCTACATGCATACCCACTCCATACCTAGATAGATAGATGTGGTACATCAAGCGACAGGCATCGTCGTAGCAGCAGGGCCGGGTGGGTATGCACGTATGTGGGAAGGTATCATTATTACCCTTCTTCTGGTCGTCTAAAAACGCCGTTTTCCAGACGGCACCAGCTATGGATCGTTTTGATTGAGTCTCGCTGCATTAGCGGCCGCCCAGAATCTTCTGGGAATGGCAGTTTGTTTCTCTCTCGTTTCTCTACTTCTTTTTTTTCTTCCCCGGCTGGTTATTATTATTATTGTTATTATTATTGCCGTTTTATTATTATTATTTTTTAACCTTCCCCTCTAGAGGCACCCATACACACATACCCCTACCTCTCTCTCCCTCCGTGTCTCTGCCCCCTCTCTGTCTCCCTCCATACACTTACACTTATACGCACGTACTACATAACGTACATACCACATACATACATACACACGCGCACCATGCCAACTCCCACACCCACCTTACGAACCAGGCATATCCCTCTCTCACCATCCCCTCTCCCTCTGCTTTCCTCTCTCTAACCCTCCTGACGTTGCTCCGAGAGAGGGACCCCCCTCTCCGCGGAAGAGGAGGAGGAGGACCAGACCTGACTGGCGGCCGGCCCTAGTGGGTAATCCTCGAAGCCTTCCCTTTGTTTTCCTCCCGCTCTTCTTTCCCTCTCCCTCTCCCTCTCTCTCTGTCTCTCTCTCTCTTTGTTTCCTCTTTCCCCTCGAGCTGCAGTTCCTCCGAGGCCGTGGATTGGCCGCAGAACTGGTTCCAGTTTCATTTTGCCACTTCAATATGCTTACTTGTGCATATCCATCATCTCTTTTACCCAGCTGGCCCCATCGCCGGACAGGGTTGAGGGAAGGAAAACTCGGACGGGGACGACGGTACCACATTCTGCCAAAAGGAGCACGGCTAGACTTATCAGAGATCATCGTCTAAGGAATGCAGACCCCATGTGTAGCGGTGGAGTTGCCTAGTCTCTCGACCTTTTATCAACTGGCAACGACACGCGCCAGCACAGCAAGATGGGGTCACACTCTTCGAGAGCCGCATCTTCACCTGCGTCTGGCGACCTGGTTCCCTTCCGTCCTATTGCCCCTTCGGCCTTGTCTCTTTAATTGCGTATTTCCAGATCCCTGCCCGGCACTAACAGCTCGATTCTGCAATAAAGCACACATGTCTCGCCGTCGATGGCTCGTCTTTCTGCACCGCAGCCCTGAATACGTAGCCTAACCTCCCCCTTCTTCAACACCACCACAACCACACCTCCGTCTCGTAGTACAGACTCGTCGACGACATTCAGTGCTGCCCTACCGGTCCGCCTTTGATTGACCCTCCCTCTAATCCCTCATACCGTTGGGCTTGACTGCATGCCCAAAAGGCGTCTGGAATTCCATCCCGTGTCTGCTTACGACGAGGAGACTTTTTTTTTTCCCCCCTTCCTCCGGGCCATCACGCTTACACCCGACCGACCTCTCTCCGGTAGGGGGGGTGTTTCTATGTTTTGAGAATACAACCCTGCTCGTTCCTTCTCACCAGTGTCCCCGGGGGCGCCATTGAGTGCTTTGCTGTCAGCAACATGGGAGGATTCTACATGCAGTATCTCGAGAGTGAGTTTTTTTTTTTCCTTTCCCATTTGGTTTGGTGTGTTCGCTCGCTCGCTCGCCTGCCTGCCTGCCGGCCTGCTTCGACGCGCGCCCTCTTTGACGACTCGGTCGTCTCCCGGCTGTCTCCAATGACTCCGCGATGATGTGCGCGGTGGGGCTGGGCAGCGAGAGAAAGATAGTTGCGTCTCACACGTGCGCATCCCCCTGCGTCGACACGACGTGCAGGCAGGTTGCCAGCACGCCTCTGCCGCAATGAGCCTCGAGCCAACCCTCGTGCCGGGATTTTGTTGAACGCCACGTTCCTGGGATGTATGGATGGCCCTCCACGTTCGATCGGGGAGCGTTCGTGATCCGGCTGCCATGCGTGTGTCGTGCTCCATCTTCGCCGCGTCATCAGGGGTGCAGACGATGCGCGTGAGCGTCGATTGGTATCCAACAAGGAGGGGAAGTTCCAGGGTCAGCAGCTAACTTGGCATCCGATAGGCCTCTGCCGGCGTCGCGGGTGGCGAGACCCTTCGTACGAGTGTTACAGAGACCCCAGTGGCTACACATGTCTTGTCCTGGTAAACGGGCGCGAGTACCAGACGGACCTGGCCTACGAATCGGACCACCTAGCCCAGGAGAACGCAGCCATGAGGGCCTTCATGGTATGCCGGAACTTCTCCGTCAATGGAGGAATGCTCGCGCGCAACGGCATCGTTCAGGGCCTCCCGGCCAATGAGTCGACCCGGCGCAAGAAATCCCGCCACGCCTCGTCTGGCCACGGCCACGGCCAGAAGGAGAGCCGCCACAGGTCCGGCCATCACTCGAGCAGCAGCTCGACCGCATCCTTCGAGTGAGGGACGGCGGAGAGAGAGAGAGTGACGAGAACGTAATTCGATTGCCACCCCGATGGATCGCTCCAGGACATTGAAAAAAAAAAACCCAGGAAAAAAGGAAACAATAACAACTACGACGACGACGAAGATGACGACGACACGGACACCGGCTAATTCCAGCCAATGAATACAAACGAGAACGCAAAGGTGTCGAAAGATCGAGATATATATTACTTATATACATACACGTGGTGAAGCTTCGCAGCTTATCCCCCTGGCATATTCCGCGGAATACCCCGTTCAGCATGTCCCGATGAGAGAAGGAGAGAGACAAAAGTTTGCATACATCGACGATTTTACGACTTTGACGAAAGAACTTAACGAACTTATGAAATAACCTAATATCCGCAACCTTCTGTCATCATCCCGGGAAGAGGCCGCCTTCATCCCGACGCGTTTTTCATTTCCGTGCCCCATTTCCTTCTTTTCCTTTCCGTACCGCTCACGTTTCCGTCTTTTTCCCTTTTTTTTTTTCCCCTGAACGAAATGATTTTGGTGAACCCCATTTCTCGGCCCGCGGGGATTACAGAACCAGGCCGGTTCGGGAAGACGGATTCTGCTTTATTGTTTTCGGAGGCGACTCTGCTATTCAACGGAATCCGCTCTTGGAGCACCGTTTCTTCCCCGGTCTGATAGATGGCTTCACAGCGATTCCGGGCGCCTTACCGGATTGACTCAAATGGACCTTAGGATATCTGGAGATAGACCTCTTTTTTATTGGATGCTTTGGGACTGCTCGGGCGGGCGAAGCTTTATTTCTTTTTTAAAAAAAGAGAGAGGAGTGACAAGAAAGAAAGGCAGGTAATGCAGCATGGCCTCCCAAGGGCGCGTTGCGTTTCCGCTCGCCCGCCTCCCCTTGTTTTCGGCAGGCCCTAATTCATCCATTCCCGTTTTCCATCCCCTACCTACTAGGTGGGAAGTGGATCGGCCAATCCTGGAGTTAGCATGAGAAGAGATGGGTGGGAGCCGGAGGCATTGCTGCCCATAGGGAAACTGAACGAGAAAGGAAAGAGGGCGAGAGAGGAGAAAGGAGAGGGAGGGAGGGAGAAAGAGAAGAGAGAAAGGGAGGGAGAGCGAAGGGAAAAGAGAAAAGAAAAGAAAGACAGCGTTCGTTGGTTGGACTGGCTTGCTTTTTCTCGGTTTCATTTTCATCGTCTTTCCACATTTCCCGGCAGAGAGACGGAGAGGGAGGAGAGGCTTGGGAGATGTTATATTCGGAGATGCGTATAACTACGATCTTATGGTTAGAAAGATGATGAGTATCACGATTACGATAGTCACGAAGAATTCAATTTACGACGTTCACGACACAGAAGAACTCTTATATTTTGCGTCGACCTTCTCCGCCTGTGTTGGTGTCCAGTGGCTGCAAGTTGCCGTGATGTCTCAGCTGCGATAGTACTGGAGGGAGGACGGGTGCGCGCGAGTAGGTGGATTGCGACGGTTCGGTGCCTACCGAAGAAGCGTGACAAGTAGCAGAAGAGCTGCCCAAGAGGGAAGATGTACGGAATGTAGGAAGAAAAGTGAGTCTGATGACCATCAGGAAGGACCAGCAGGAGGTAAGCACGATTGTGGGATCGTGATCGTGAGACCGAGGTTGACTGGCGTTGGCGTTTGGAGACGACATCATCCTCATCCTCGTCATCGTAAAAAACGCCACTCATCCCCCGGCCTATGACGGGTTCTCACCCCACGGATCAGCATCCCCAGCTTTCTCTTCCCCGCCTTCCTCCCACCTTTTTCTCCGCCCCCGAGCTGTTCTAGAGATGCCTGTTGCGGACCTGGCGGTAGCGGGGAGGGAGGGCGGAAGGGCGGGCGGAACCCAGGTAGGTAGTCTTCCGTCCTCCCCTCCCCTCCCCCCTTTTCCTCACCCCCCCCTTCGCACCTGAGCCGCCCAGGAACGCGTGATAGGGTACATAGTTACGCAACCAGTGAGCCCCTCACACACGCACACACGCACACCACTTATATCGTATTGAGAGAGAGAGAGAGAGAGAGGTGGAAATAGGTAGGTAGTCGTACACATAATGCTTAGCTACCTATCTGCCTCGCTCGGTACCTTGCTCCATCCATACATCCTTGTGTACACGTGTGGACATGATAGGGCCATTCTCTACCCAAGGCAAGAATATGATATTGGTAGCCTACCTAAGGTAACTAGAGAGGGGGGTCCGTATTCCATATACCAACGTGGCCCGGTTAGGTAACCTGTTCGGCTTGCGCACCTTGACAAACATGCATACATGCATACACACCACATATATGCATATGTGCATACTAAAAAAAAACTGGTGATGTGCACTCGTATTTAGGCCGTGGTCGCCAATACGAGGCAGGGAGGGCACAGAAGGGCAGGCTGCCCTCAGCTACACCTAGGTAGGTGGTTTGAATACTTGTAGTAGCCGTATACGGGCGTCCACATAATACCATACCTAGGTACCTACCTCCTACCTACCGTCCTCTAGACAGGTTCATCTAGGTATTAGACACCTTAGTACCTCTCTCCCCCTGAGTGAGTGTTAGGTACCTTAGGCCATGGGCAGATGGATATCTGCGCTCCAATGCAGGAACAGAGATGGATTTGTTTCCTGCTCTCTTCCCTTCGGTTGGTGCCTAGGTAGGTAGGTAGGTAGGTAATCAGTAGCGTCATCATCTTAATCCCTCCTCTCTCCTGACTTGCATGGGCAGGCTGCTAATGAGCAGGAAAAATGAAATCGAAACAAGATGGAAAATCTCGTATATAGGTGTATACATGCCTACCATCACGTTAACAGTTGATAATACGTAATTTAAAAAAACGTATACCTAATTCCGCTAAGATGAGGACTCGGGTGCAATCTTTATGCGCGCTCGCCATTCCGCGTGGAGTGGGAGGCCGTGTCATTATTGGCTGCAGGATGAGGTGGTATGCAGGCCCGGCGGGCACACTTGCATTTGCACCAGGTACCTCCCACCAACAAGGTACGTGCCGCCACAACGTGGCTGGTGGACTGCACCTTAGTAGGCTGCGTATAGAGATAGTATTAGGTTGAGCACTACGAATACCTTAGGTACCTGCTTAAGGTAAAGTTAATAGCCTGTTGCTGCCCGTGGCTAAGAGGTACCTGCCTGCCTTAGGCATGTACTGTATATACACAACTCGATGCCTGCGCATGGCACTGTCAAGAGATGGGTAAGTACCTCCGTGGTGGTCTCAGGATACAGCAGGTACCCGGTACCCACATTCAGACAGCCCGAACGTCCATGCACCCATAGCGGAAGGGACATTGCGGGTAGGGATGTGTATAGCAGGGGGAGGTGTGACAAGGCTAGGGGTGGCGCTGCGTGTAGTACCTAGGTTTGCAGGGAGGTATGTACCTATGGTATACGGGTACTCAACAGGCTGCACACATTTGTTGCATTGTTGGCATTGTGCTGGGTATCTAGGGCACATGTGTACATTGTATGTTGCATTACGTGTGTGTGTGTGCGTGTCCATGTGCGCGTCCTGTGCTCTACAGGTATAATAGTAGGTTCGCAGGTACTATCTCACCCCACGAGGGACCTAAACCTAGGGGGGTAGCCAGCCTCAGGTTGCGTACAGAAGCTACCGCAGGTCTATGGCGCGACAACCTTACCGGCCTAGAGAGATAATCAGAATTAAAGGGGTCGTTGCTCACCTGTCCTTCGTTGCCACGCACCAACAACAAAATCCCCTTTGACCACCTACCATTCTTTACGATTGCTAGCTACCTGTCCGTCTAGCAACCGGAAGCAAACACGCGAGACTCCAAGTGTCCTTTAGACAGGCCAGACCCTCTCCCCTTCCGAGTCTCGATACCCTCTCACCTCGTTACCTCTTGTCGTCGGCATCTCCCTGAACCTCAGTCCGCTCTAGTAGTCCCAGAATCTCCCACACACACTGACTTCTTCCGCTGCCTCTGGCATTCCCAATCGGCTCATCGTCGTTCGTTCCCTAGGTTGTGTCGACATTTAACAGCATCAGAGTCCGTCTCTACCCACACTCGTTCAACTCCTGCCGCCATTCCCGCTGGTGCTATTCCCTTCAGTGGTACGCATCGACTCAACGACAACATGAAGGGTACGCACCCTCCCTCCCTCCAATGTTTACCTAGACCATGGCCGACTAACTTGCCTCCCATGACACAGCTCTCATCCTTGTCGGTGGCTTCGGCACGCGTTTGCGGCCCTTGGTACGTGTAATTGATGTCTTGATTGTTATGCGGCAACAGCAGCGTCGACTCGGTGGTTCGAGCTGCTCCTGAGATCGGATCGACGCGCTAACTCGAGCCTCTCCCTCTGCGTAGACCCTTACCATGCCCAAGCCCCTGGTGGAATTCGCCAACAAACCCATGATTCTTCACCAGATCGAAGCTCTAGCAGCTGTAGGAGTTACCGATGTTGTTCTAGCTGTCAACTATCGTCCCGAGATTATGGAAAGAGTCTTGAAAGAGGTCAGTGCCCAACCCAGGACAGATGGTTCCGTGTAACCCGCTCCCGCCTCCCCCCTCTCTTTGGTAGCTGACAGGTGATCCACATAGTACGAGTCCTCTCTTGGTGTCAAGATCCATTTCTCTCTCGAACACGAGCCCCTCGGCACTGCTGGCCCCCTCAAGCTGGCGGAGCACATCTTGGCCAAGGATGACTCGCCATTCTTTGTCCTCAACTCCGATGTCACCTGCGAATTCCCCTTCCAGCAGCTTGTCGAGTTTCACAAGGCCCATGGCGACGAAGGCACAATTGTGGTTACCAAGGTGGAAGAGCCCTCCAAGTACGGTGTTATTGTCCACAAGCCCAACCACCCCTCTCGAATCGATCGGTTTGTCGAGAAACCCGTCGAGTTCGTCGGCAACCGGATCAACGCCGGTCTCTACATGCTGAACACGTCGGTGCTCCGACGCATCGAGAAGAACCGCCCTACATCCATCGAGCAAGAAACCTTCCCGGCTATCGTGCGTGACGGTCAGCTCCACTCTTTCGACCTGGAGGGCTTCTGGATGGATGTTGGCCAGCCCAAGGACTTCTTGACGGGTACCTGCCTCTACCTCTCGTCGCTGGCTAAGAAGCAGCCTCACCTGCTCGTTTCGCCTACCGAGAGCTTCGTACACGGCGGTAATGTCATGATCGACGAAACCGCCAAGATCGGCAAGAACTGCCGGATCGGCCCCAATGTGGTCATCGGCCCGAATGTCGTAATCGGTGACGGCGTGCGTTTGCAACGCTGCACTTTGCTCCCGGGATCCAAGGTTAAGGATCACGCGTGGATCAAGAGCACCATTGTCGGTTGGAACAGCACCGTCGGCAAGTGGGCTCGTCTCGAGAATGTCACGGTCCTCGGCGACGATGTCACGATCGGCGATGAGATCTACGTCAACGGCGGAAGCGTGCTCCCGCACAAGAGCATCAAGGCGAACGTCGACGTGCCGGCCATCATCATGTAGCCGGCCAAGGCGCTCGCTCGTGCCCCTTCGGCAGTCTGGTCTTCGGACTCTTCGTGTGTATATCTAGTCCCCGTTCACCTTACTCTATGATTTCGTAATACCTTGACGGTTTCGGCCTTGACATTGCGGACCCTCTCTTCTCAGCATTTGTTCGATTTCATTTCAAGGCAGGGTGGCGTTCTGGTCGGCATGTCGGGATAGACGGCCATCATTGTTTTCCTAGGACCTCGGCAGGCGCCCTAGGGCCTAGGTGGAAGGGCAGTGATCACCAGGCCTCGGCCTCATCGTCCGGACGATTCCAAACCACCATCGAGTATAAAGTCAAGCTCAACCCCTCCCCGCCTTTCTCGACTCGCGACGATATAGGTGCCTAGTGGTGGCGGTCTCGGCCCCCCCTACATCATCTCAGCGGACACCGGTTCGAGTTGCCACTGGTTCGCGTTTGGCCTACCAAGTCTTTTAAACAAGAAAGAAAAAAACTAGGAAAAAGAGGGTGAGGATGGCGTCTGAGAAGGGATATAGATGACATGGGCGAGAAGTCAAGGCATGGACATGCGCAAAATTTTGGGTGAGACGAATACGATGCAATGGTCATGGTCATGGTCATAATTATATGAATCTCAATGGATGATGGTATTTGCGCCTTTGAAGCACCGGGTTGGCTTGATACCGTCGACCGTTGGGTTTGGAGGAGGATCGAGGGCCGCTGGGGCCGTGGCCTGTCGAACCTCTGCGCATGCGAAGGCTCCAGCCAACTTGTGTTGCTGTTACACGATAATTGCCATAAACCTACATCTCGAGAAGCGACCTGGGTAGTGTGCCCGTCCGCATAGGCAGACGGGCAATCCAACACACGTCAACAATGACGAGAAGAAGGCGTTCACCTTGGGGATACGTGATCTGTGTGGGCGGGTGGTACTCGCCCCGTCTCGCTCGTAGCCAAGCTCTCTCTTCTTCTTTTCACGTTGTCGGGATCAATTTCTCCGACCTGCTCGTAGACGTACTGCTCTTCGACGTCCGGGCCATCGCACTCCGGTACGTAGTCTGAATATATATTATACACCTTACTCTCCCATCGAGCTTACGCAGCCGTGAACGGCGTAACGGGGGGGTCGACCTTTGGCAGGCTTAGTAAAACAGGCCCCGTACGGAAATATGCACATATCGACGCCTCGACAATGTCCCCCCCGCCCGACGATACGCTTCTTACGTGACCAACTCGTGAGAATTGCCTAGAGGTGGGAAGGTAGGTAGGTAGGTAGGTATATCGTGAATGCAGCCCTTGACTCCTTTTCCCCCCCATCCCCGAATGGATGTCCAGCCCTTCTATGTGTGTATAAGGAAATCCAGCGAGAGCTATCCATTACTATACACGCCTGCTCGCGACGCCGTACCGCATATCCCCCCCCCCCCCTTCCCCCTCTCTGTCTCCTCCGCCTCCTTGCCGGCGCGGAGCAAGTTCCCTACCAAAACCCTTCCCTTCCCTGATTCCCAAAGAGCGCGCGGCCCAGCGGCCGTGGTGTGGCCGGGCCCCGTTTTTGGGGGTTTTTTTTGGGCCTTCGTGATATAGGAGGTAGGTGGTACCTAACAATTAACAATTACCTATGATCGCGATCAGAATCGTCATCGTAACAGCCGCAGTAACAACTGGGAGCCGCCCACCCGCTCGCTCATCCGGTCCCTCCGTCTGTCCGGCCACCGGCAACCTGCCCCGCTCGCGCCCCTCCTCACAGCGCCGGCTTTTGCGATATCGCGGGCTTGGACCAGTGGGTCCGGTTGTACTCCTCCTCGTCCTGCTCCTCGCGGACCCACCCGCGGCTCATGTCCACCGCCCTCTCCCAGTGCTGGTACATGCGCCGCGCCCTCTTCGGCTCGATGCTGGGCTCGAACACCCGGCGGCCCGGCTTCCTCCGCGTCAACTCGACCAGCTCCTCGAGGCCGCTCCAGCACCCCTCGACCGCCAGGCCGGCCGCGATCGCGGCGCCCAGAGCCGTCGTCTCGCGCATCGCGGGGCGCTCCACCCGGATGCCGCTGATGTCGGCCTGCGTCTGCATCGTGAGATCCGAGTTTGACATGCCGCCGTCCACGGCGAGGGATTCGAGTTTGTGGTTCGAGTCTTTCTCCATCGCCTCGAGGATCGCCCGGGTTTGGAAGCAGGTCGCTTCGAGGGTTGCGCGAGCAATGTGGCCTTTTTGCGTGTGTTGGGTTAAGCCGACTGCGACAGGTTAGGAACGGTTAGCATCGAAGTATACAAGCTAGCACAACCCGTCAGCGAGGAACTTACAGAGAGTCCCCTTCGCATCGTCGATCCAGTATGGTGCGAACAGGCCGCTGAATGCTGTGACAAATACGACTCCCCCATTGTCATTGACACTCTCTGCCAACTCGTTGACCTTGCTCGAGTCTTGAACGAACCCCAGGTTCTGCGCCAAGAATTTGACACCGGAGCCGGCAACTGCTATACTGCCTTCTAGGGCGTAAACGGGCTCCTGACCTTTTCCGAAGTCGAACGCCACGGTTGCCAAGAGGCCGTACTTTGAAAGCACCGGTTTTGTCCCCACGTTGTATAGCAAGAAGCATCCGGTGCCGTAGGTATTCTTCGCCTGGCCCGCGTTGAAGCCGCACTGGCCGACTAAGGCGCTTGACTGGTCGCCCAGGCAGCCCGTGATTTTAATCCCGGACAAGGCGCCGCTAGCGATCGTGCCGAATGCCTTAGGGTCAGATGAGGGCACGATCTTGGGCAACGCCACTTTGGTCCGATCGATACCGAAGAAGGAGAGAAGGTTCTCGTCATACTGCAGCGTGTGCAAGTTCATGAACATGGTCCTGCTCGCATTTGTTGTGTCGGTAACGTGGACGTTGTTCTCCTTGCCGTTCAGCCGGTAGATAAGCCAAGTATCTACTGTGCCGAAGGCGAGGCGACCCTCGTCGTAGGCACGCCTCACGCGCTGGTCGTTTTGTAGCAGCCAAAGTAGTTTGACACTTGAGTGATAGGTGCTCAGGGGTAGGCCGCAGAGTTGGGTGATTTGATTGGCGCCCGGGCGCGTCTTCAAGTCTCGGACGAGGTCTTTCGTTCGCGTGTCGGGCCATACAATGGCATTGCAGAGCGGATCGCCGGTGTTTTTGTCCCAGCAGACGATGGTTTCCCGCTGGTTGGTGATACCTACAGCCTTGATCTGGGACTTGGAATACCCTTTGTGGCTAAACTGTTCCATGGCCTTGTCGACACATAGCTCGACGGACCAAAGCAATTCGAAGGGATCATGCTCATGCCACCTGCGCCACGAGATGGAATGTTAGCTTGTCGCGAACGCGGCGACGGAGCAAACGAAATGTCAATACATACCCGGACTCCGGATAGAGGTTCTCGAACTCGATCTGATGACTAGCCACAGGATCCATATCGCGGTTGAAGAGGAGGAAGCGCGATGACGTAGTGCCTTGATCTATGCTGCCGACGAACCACTCGGAAGAGGCGGGGTTATTGCTAAGGCCATCTTTAGCCTGCAGGCCGTTAGTTCGGCCGTTGGGTTGACCGTTGGCACGGCCGTTGATAGGGCGGCTGGTGTGGCCGTTGGTATTGACGCTGGCGCCGAGGCCGGTCAGGGGTTGGTCATTCCGGCCGGACCCATTGCTCTCACGGGCGTCTCCCATTGCACACCGAAGGGTATGGATTGCAGATGCAGAGCCAGCTCGGGGGGAGAGGGAACTGGGCCGCCGCAAGACTACTTGAGGTCGGGAGCGCCCGTGAGGCAATTTAACTCGTTCCTAGCAATTAGGACGGGGGTGGAGCGCGGTCGGCCGAGTGTATGCCGAGCAGTAGCAGGCTGCGAGGGGCGCCTGGGCGGCGGCGGGTATTATCGATTGCGACGGAGCGGGGTGGAAGAGGGAGGATCGCGAGCGACGCGGGCGAGTTAGGCGAGACGATGAGCTGTGAGGGAGGAGGAAGGAAGGACGAGAGAGGGAGCTGGCGAAATGGGGGGGAGAGAAATAGGGAGAGGAAGAGGAGGAGGCGATGGTGGAGGCAATAATGGCGGTGGTAGCAGAGGCGGCCGAGGAGGAGGCGGTGGTAGCGGTGGTGGTAGCGGTGGTGGCAGTGACGGGGAAGAACATGTTGGTCAGGCTGATGACAGGGAATGTGTATCGCACTGCCACTACCGACGGATGGATGTATTGAACGGGTGGATGTAGGTAATGTGTGGTATCGCACCGAATCCGGCCGACTGAAGCTTCTGCAAGGGAATTCAAATCAAGACGCCGTGCGGAGTGAATCAACCTAAGAAGCAGGGGAGAGGAACGGGATGGACCTAGAGGCTAAAGGAGGTAGGGGGAGGGGGAGGAGGGCGTGGGCTGCTAGCGTAGGGCACTATGACGCATATATACATACTCTATGCGCATATCCGGGTCTATGGTGTCGGATAGGTGCACTGCCGACTTGGGGTGGATAGATTAAGGTGGCATCCATGCTAGCGCGGGGTAACCCAACAGCATCAGATAGTCCCTGACGGTGCGGCCAGACTCTTGGGGGGCGGTGGAGGAATAGAGAGCGAGCAAGAGAGGCGGTAGGCCAAGCACCTACGTACACATCCAGAGGTCCAGCATCGCGGGGAACCCGGGCAGCTCAATGCCCCTCCCCGTATCCTGCACGTCTACAGACAGGTAGTAGGTATCTACACACGTAGGTAGGTAGGTATATACCTGCTGGGCATACCTACCTCTGCCGTATCCTTAGGAGGTAGGTACCTAAGGTAGGTAAGCATCTTGCGGTGCCGAATACACCCAAGATAGAGAGCGTCGCCGGGGCCGGCACGCCGCAACCTAGGTAGACAGGCTGATGTCATACTTAGCCAAAGAATGCCTCCCGCTCTCATGTCTCGCAGGACCCGAGCGAGGTAGGTCGGAGGCACATACCCCAGCCTCGGGTTGGTTTCCCCCCTTCCCTGGGTGCCTCGCATTGTCCATACCGATGTACCGAGTTGCCCCCCGGCTAGTAACGTATATACGCATACGGCACGGCTTGGCTGGACTGAGGTCATCTTAGAATGGCACCCCCGCTTCTCGCGCCCAATTCGCGAGGCATCATTGGTGGAATATTCTAATGTCTTGGTCAGCAGGTGCCCCCTTATGCAGGTATCCGACACCATCTCGATACTGCTCGTATCGATCACCTGCCTGACAAGTCCTCCAACAAGCGTTCAGGTGCGCGCCCCCTTTATTGTTCCGCCTTTACCTGGCCAAGCCTAGGTGCTTTCTTGTAATGTCCCCGCCGTCCCCTTTTCCCATGTGCCCGCACATCAAGTCTACGAGACAAGCCACAACTCCAAACACAGCCGCCCTGGCGCGCTCCCAAGCAGCCAGCTATCGCCTCGTCTGGAACAACCATCCCCCTCCAAAAAAAAAAGCCACATAATATAGGTACCTAGGTATCTGCCCATAAGCTTAGGTACCTAACGCAGTGAACCCCATTCATACACCACCCTTCTTCTTCCCACCTTTTTTTCTCTCACCCTTCCCCGTCCCTCAGCATTGCCTCTTACTCTTATTGGAATCACCGTAGACGATAAAACCACTCCCTCAGGGTTCGCACCCTCATGTTTCTAACGAGCATCCGTCTACGGCGCTTTCCCGCGAAGATATTCTAATCGTACCGACGCGGCCGTCTCCGGGCTCGTCATCGACTCACGGTAACCAGTCTCGATCCCGGGCAAATGTGGACTCTACAGTCGGGGGGAGATCGCCCGGCCGACCTCTCTCGTCTGGGTTTCGGTGTGGGGCCGCCAGCACCGAACGCCGGGCAACACCGCCGGCCGTCCAAACATGTCAGGAGTTTTCTATCAGCCCCATTTCTTACCACCTACGCAACCCGCGACCCCTCCAGCACATCGCTCCAGTTGGTGCTCTCCTCGTGGTGACTAGATTTACTATGATATACGTCTCCTTACCGATCCACCTAAGGTAGGCAAGAGAGTGCAGCGCTATCCAGCGTAGCCATGCCGCTCACAGGTACCAGATCCTAGCAGTCGGTACAACTACAGATGTTAGCAATGACTCTCCCTAGTACACTCGTCGTCCGCGTTCGCCTAGGCAATCTCATTACAGGCCGTCGTCCTCGCTTCAGGACTGGTCGCGGAGTAGGGCGGGACCTACTTACTAGCCCTGTGATCCCTCCCCAAAGAGAGTCGCGGCTCCGTGAACATTCTATTAGCTCCTTCCGGGACCTGCTATCTTCATTTTGTTGCGTAAAGCATAGACGCCTGCATTCTTCGACTTGCAGATATATGCTTATAAGGGTGGATTTCTCACGCGACACATATTAAAATCCTAAGAAAAGACCCTCCCCCCCGTCCACCGTTCCTCCTCCACCCTCTTTCCCCAGAGAAGAGAACACAAGTAACTGGGGTCGTTGCCAGGCGAGCTGGTGCCGAGAACACCCTCAATCAAACACAAATGCCCTTGGCCTAGCTTCCGCGCACGTCTCAGCAAAGTTAGCCAACGACTGGCGATTTACGCAGTGCGTGACGTTGGGCAGATGGCGGCTGGTACACCCGGCAATCAAGCGTCTCCGAGACCCAGCAATACTAGGTTTGCCACGTTTATGATCACGATGATGAGCCAGATGATGCCCGCCAGGACGGAAACCCACCAAGGATTGGCCATTTTAACCAGATCGCCTCCATTGGCGGGTTGGAGTTCTCTGTCGTTCTCGTGAGTGTTGAGGGCCGCCTTGTTGAAGGTGAAGGTATCTCTGCCCTCAGTTCGGTACCTAGCTCGGCCCGGTTGGGCGGTCATGTATTTATTGAAGCAGGTAAACCAGATAAGGGGGCTTGCGACGAATGGCAGGACGACACTCAGCGCGACTTGGCTTCCATTGAGCGCGGCATTGAGCTTCTGACTCCCCGCGGCACCAGCGATTATGATGCTAGGCGTGATGGAGATCGACCGAGTGACAAGGCGTCGGACCCACGGCTTCATCTTCCACTTCAGTGCGCCTTCGCAGATCATCTGGCCTGATATCGTGCATACTATCCCCGCGGAAATGCCCGAAAACAACAGCGCCAGCGCAAAGATCGTTCCGGCAGCAGGGCTAATACTCTCTGCGAGCAGGTCGTGGATCCCGAAGATATCGGCTTCGAGGGCGTCGGGGTTGTTGTAAAGACTCGCTCCGGCCACAACTAATATGGCACTGTTCACGAAGAGGGCAAACGAGAAGAGCGAGAACGCCACCTCGGAATATGAGTACTTGAGGGAATGCTTAATCGCCGAGAGACTGGGCACGTAGTAAGTCTTCTCTCCCGTCTTGTCATCCATGGCGCTGTCGCCGATGGATACCAACTCGGTCGGAAGTAAGCCGTGCTTGGTATCATAGTCTTTAAGGCGAGTCTGCACTATACCAGAGCCCAGAAAGAGAGAATGAGGCATCACCTATTATATCAACATAAATAGGGGCGCCAATGCAGAAAGAGTGAATGAGATTGAGAGAGCATTGGCCAGGGGAGGGCATGCCCGTTGTCCAAAGCCTAGGGGGGGGGGGGGGTTCATTGGGAGTTATAGCATACCGTGGCACCTAGAATTCCGCAGGCCTGGAAGAGACCCGAGGACTGTGCGATAGAATTGTTCGGCACATAGCCTAGGAATACTTCGCCAGCGGTTGTGTCTTCTATGAGCGAGAGCTGGATGCAGAAGCAGACGACAACAGCCATGACGAGGAGCATGACGAAGAACTCGAAGGCTCGGAGCCCTCTCATCGAACCGTTGGGTCGGTAGAAGAACAGGATAATAATTACGTCGAGGATCGATATTGCGCAGCCAGCGACGAGAGGAAGACGAGGGAAAAGTAGATTCAACCCAATAGCGGTGCCGATCACCTAGGTATTCTCTCTTAGCGGTCAGATCAAGGAGCACGCCGGGGCGGCAGGCGGGAATTCAGGGGCGGCTCACCTCTGCTATGTCGGTCGCAATAATGGCTACTTCAGCCATGAAGTACAAAAAGTAGTTAAGCCATCTGGGCAGGAATGCGCGACAGGCTTCGGCCAGGTTCATGCCGGTAACGGTACCCAGCTTGATAGAGAGGCACTGGAGAAATATGGCGAACAGGTTACTCATCAGAACAATGAAGAGCAGTCGGAATTGGTTCTCAGCGCCCGCGCTGATGTCGGTGGCATAGTTACCGGGGTCGACTACGGGGATCGGTGTAAGTCAGCTCAACTCGATCGCATCTCGAGGGTAGAAACGGCTACGGACTGTATGCCACGGCGACGAGAAAGCCGGGTCCGACAAACTTGCCAAAGTTGATGACAGTATACTTAAGCCGGCCGAGGGGGCTCTGACGAGACGCGGGCGCAGCGTCAGAGCTCTCGTGCACCGGGGCAGGCGATAGGCTGCCGGGGGTCTGACCAATGGTACGACATGGATTGGTTAGACGGGGTGTCGGTGAGCGCTGGCCGGGGTCGTCGTCGGCAGCAGCGGAGAGCGTGTCCTCGGCCATAGGCTGTCCCGAGTTGTCTATACTCCTCGTAGCGCTGCTCCTGTGCTCGCGGGCATTGGCGATGCCGTTGAGGTCCTGGTTTGTGACGAGGTCGTTGGAGAAGGCGTTAGGGCTCTGGTTGTACCCGTCGCCCTCGTCCGGCTCGTCGGTACGCGAAGTCCGGTTCATCGTCGACTCACCCGGCTCCGGTGGAGCGAGGACCGGGAGGGAGAGGAGAGAAGGGGAAAAGGACGGGCAAGGAATAGTACAAAGTCACTTGCGGGAGCGGCGGTCCTACGCCGTCTCGACGTGGCGGCTTTTCTATCGCGGTAGGCAGGGTGTTTTCCCCGAGAAGTCGGCGAAGAATGAGGGCATCTGAACACCTAGGTAGCTAGCCATGTATATGTACTTGGACGGCCGAGGCGCCGGTATGCGATGAACGAGTACAATATGTATTGCATTAGGAGGTGGTTGTGTGATGACGGGGCAGATGATGTGCAAGGGGAGCTAAAAAGGCAGGGACAAGCTAATTCTTTGTAAATTGATTCGTCAGAGGTTGATTCGGGCTTGCTTGCTTCCCTGCAATGTGTTTTGTCCTACGCAATTGACTGACCGGCCGTGCTACAGCCGGCCTCCCCACTTATCCTCTTCATCCGCCTTCGTTTGCCTGACACGCACTCGCACTCGGTCATACTCACCCTCTTTCGACATTCTAGTACTCGCCGTGGCGGGCGATTCTTTGCTGGAGCCGGGAGGGGGCAAACCCTCCTAGCTCCTAGCCGTCTCCCCGCCTCTGGCCTATTCCTTGCCCACCTAGATAGGACGCGGCACGCTTGAGAGCGAGCTCCTAAAACTCATTTCTGCGGCCATCGACCATATTGAACCACTCCTCGGCGCCGTCCTCGCTGGCAGACCCGATAGTGAAACCTGGTGCCAGGTCAACCTCGCCATGGCCGTTGCCGAACTCACCCCACCTTCCCAATCAGTCGTGGAATCCGTCCAACAAACGCCGTAGCGTCATAATACGCGAATTCTTGCGAGAAGTGTCAAGTTATGGACGAGGGTCCTTAAGTTGGAACCTGGTCCACTCTATGCTAGTATTCCTCGGTTTCGAGAACACATCTTCCTAAGGATCGCGGATCTTTGTAAGCATGGCGTCCGAGGCATTCTTTAAGCCACGCAGAGAAGGCGACAATCCACGTTTCCAGGAAGGATGGGGAGGACGACCGAGTGACGCAAACTAGGATGGTGTTCTCGACTGGCTTTTCGAATTTAGTAACGATCCGGCGGCATTTACCCGAGGGCTATAAATCGAACCCGATCGGCCGACGATGAAGGCTCTTAGCGCAGCCTAACAAGCCCGGCTCAAGGTTCCACAGCAGAACGTAAGCTAGGTGTGGGCTTCGTGAGCGATCAAAAGGCTGGGAAGGACTCCAAATGCGACTGGGTGCAGATGCTTACACGAGGAGAGTTGAGAAGCAACCCATTTACCGATATAACTTCGAAAGCATGGCCTGACCTAGGGAGGTGGGTATGCAAGAGAAGTGTTTGCTGCTCAAAACCCCCGTCGCTTCGTTTTAGGTAGGATTTACACTTTGTAGCCCCTTAATACGGGTTTGGCTCTACGACCGGCTCGGCGGGATTGCATCTGAACGATTCGATATCAATCAAGACGGACTGTAGTTTATATCTACGATCCTCAGCTTTCTTTCGGTAGATGGTCGAGGAGGAGCCCGGATTTGATCGTGCAATTACTACCGAGGAATAGCTAACAGTTTATTGAAATCCAACGGAACGGCCAGATACCTAGGATAACTCAGTGTCGATGCAATAGCAAGACGTACACCATGTATAGCAGCCCGGGCACGATCTGTTAGAGAGCCCACCATAAGGACGACTTACGAACGCCTTTGCTTGTCAAAGATTTGTGGCAGTTCGTACAACGAAACGAGGGAGGCGAGTTGACGAAGCGACGAATAACGACCTCATGTGATCGAGGTGGCCCGATATTATTTATCATCGCAAGACTGTTTATGTCTGCGGTGACCTTTATATAAGAAGCAACATTCGAAGTGAGCTGGATATTATAGTGGCGCAAAATTACCGACCAAAGCGCTCCGCTGGCACATCGAGCCGGGCGGGCGCCTCTTTACCCCCTAGCAAGCGATCCTATCCAGCATCTCCAACAACGGCCAGAGCATAATTAAATCGTATACGTCGGTGTGTTGTTATTCGTGACTTTGGAAAGCCCATCTACGACGTAATCTCGTGAGCGGCTCTACTAAAAGCGTTAGAGGGCTGCATGGAAGGACACGAGCCCTAATAAAAGGCTGGCTTTCCCCGCAGAGACATCTCAACCGACAATCTCATAATAAATGAAGATGAAGAGAACCCTTCGTAGCCCTCGTTCTAGACCGGCCTTGTACTTACTATTAAAAAGTAACGAGATGGTACCTCCGGGGCAAATGGGAAGGCTAGTACCAGGGTCTCCATGGCAATCGGGTCCCTGCTAGGTGAGCAGCACCCCTTCATGCACAATCCCGAGTGGCTTCATTACCAACCATTAATCCCGCCTATTAACAAGCTCCGGCGGCGGTCTTCCCTAATGGTACGAGGTGGAGAAGAGAAGAACTAGACCTGTATTCCGAGATGAGAGATATGTCGTGGGCCGCGCGGGAGGCGGAGGAATTAGGCCAGTGACGTAGCCGAGCGGCCGGTTGCAACTATTTGCGGACAGAATCCTCAAGACGGATCCCTAGAATGGACCGTGGCCATCCTTTGCGACGAGGGCTCAAGTAAGCTTTACAAATAGGCATTACTTGTATCTAAAGCGAACAGGTTGGGCTTGAACTACCAAGATGCTGTAGGTCGTAATCATGAGAATTCCGCCCCCGAAGGACTGGTGAAACCCACTCTGGCTATTTTCCCACCGGTGACATCTTGAAAGTCAAGGGCATCTTGCATCCTGTCAGCTTGCCCCTAGACGTTTATCCTGGCGAATACAAGCCAACCCCCATTCCGCACATACAATTACCGAGCGTGCCGCCGCAGTAGCTTACACCCGTTCTACACATGGACCTCACCCGAAGTGTGCTCCGACGCCTCCCTGTTCCGATCCATCTTACGACCGGCCGGTCTCGGAAAACTCTCGGCAACTCTCGGCATTCCGTCCACACCAATTGTTTTCCCACCCGACTTCCGATTACTGCGACTTCTTGCTAGCCTCCTTTCCTGCGGCACGTTCTCTTTCCCTCTTTGCGTATATCTCGGCCGTGAACGGGTTCTCGTACTTGAGCGCAATCTGGTAGACGACGAAGACCCAGGCCGTCAGCAGGATCCCGGCGGGTTTGCCGTACAGCAATGCCGCCCCCAGGAAGGAGCACGTCGAGCCGTTGTACATGGGCGCGTCCGTGATGTTGAAGGGGAAGCCGGTCACGATGTCGTCCATGAGGATTTCGAAGTAGTCCCCCAGGAACGTGCCCGTGACGCCCAGCGCCCAAGTGGACGACAGCACCAGGACGTTGCCGGCAGCTATCAAGCCGTAGGCCAGGTATTTGACCTCGTCCAGCTCCAGCAGGGGGTACGACGGCTGCTGGCGGAGGGCGCGCTCGTACAGGAAGTCTCGAACGAGCCCGAGAGAGAAGATGGTGGCGGCCAAGGCGTAGCAAGCAGCTTGCGAGCGGCCGCCAAAGAGCTTGGTGAGTATCTTATTGTGATATTCTGCAACATGCGTCAGACCCTGGATGCCATGCCCCTACGAGATGACGGCCGAGACGTGAAACGGCAAGGGAGACGGGGGTTCGATGGGCGGACCTTGCCGGGCAATGATGCTGCGGCTGTCGTTAGCCTCTACGTCTTCGAGGATGAGGCGGAAGGGGAAGTAGAGACGACGGGGCAGAAGAGGAGGGGAGGGTATCGTGAACGTAGGCGTAGGGACCCCAGAACTTACTTCCAAAAGAGTGGGTTGAAGGCGATGGAGCCAGCCGAGACTATTCTCAACAGTTAGTACATGGTTTTCACGTCGGTTGCTTCGGTTCCTAGCTATACCGAAAAGGCTTATCTGGCTGAGATCAACCAGCTTGGTGGCGGGAGCTTCGAGCGGCGCCATATTCTGACCTGGTTTCTTGGGACGCTACGGGAAAGTTGTGAGGGAGGTTGTAGGAAGGCCGTGCCTGGTTATGCTGTATCGAGCGGGGAGGTGATGGGGTATGTGCGTGGGCGAGGACGTTGGCTGGGGTTTGTTCGAGTCAATCTGTCTACATAATTGCGATGTTAGCATCTCAAATATTTCGAGCATCGAAAAAAACGTTGAGCAGGGGGAGCTCCGGTACCTATGGGTACTTAATGTGGTAGGAGGTAACAGCCAACTCGCTAGCCCGTCTAGTGTTAGTACTTTTATCGAATCGTTTTTCGGGTTTTATCCTGGCCATTAGTCGTACCTTCGGGTGCTCCTGTTAGAAGATAACGTACCTACGTACCTAGGTAGGTACCTACAGGTAGGGGGAATGTACTTGATGTTGATAGGCAACCGTCGCCAGACCTTAGGCACCTGGCAGATCCCCCCCGCCCCCCGGTGTACATGCACAGCTACTTGCACGGTGAGCAGACTTAGTCGCGTACTCTCTCCATTTATTCGGAATCCCTTCGGATCTGATAATTACCCCGTTTGGCCAAGTACTTCCTTGGGCATCCGGTGACGAAGATGCAAACCCAGGTACTCTATCCTGCCGCCGTCGCCACCACCTGTTAGCATCGTCATCGTCACCTGCGCGTTCTCGTTTTCTTCGCCGGCTGCGCCATGTCCTCTTCCTCCTCATCCTGTCCCTTCTTAAGATCTTCCTCCAAACCCCATTCCTCTTTATCGTACCAGTCCTCTCCGTCCGACAGGTCGCGGTTCGCCCCGACATGCGCTTCGTACTTGGACCATTGCAAAACCGCTTTTCGCATCCTGTCAGCACGGAGAAGCCCTTCGTATAGTCGCTTTGCCCCTCGACATACTTCCTCTTGCTTCTGTACGTAGAGCTGCAAAAGTCGTCGCATATCCTCGGCTTCTGCCTCTGGGATCCCTAGGTCCCGGTCAGGGTGAGACGACCGCGGGGGAAGGAAGAGCGGGTGTATTGGGGAGTCATCCGCGAATTCCGACGTCACTGATACTGCCTGACTGCCACCGTGTTCAAGCCCTTGGCCAGCTTGACTATGCTGCACCACTTTGTTATCGGCTTCTTCCTGCCTTCTGGGGTGTGCTAGGTTATGCATCGCTAACCCGCTAGGGCCTCCCACGACTGTCGTCGACCCCGCTATCTCGTCGTCGGCGATGCCGGTTGCGCTCCGTGCGTTTTCGGCCGTCTCCATTCTCCCACCTTTCTCCGGTTTGTCGGATATGTCATTTTGGCCATTGTCTCGTCTCTGACCCCTACTAGAAGCGTTTCCGCTCTGGGTTGCTGGCTCTGGAACGGCTACGACCATGCTAACGGGTAGTTCAGCGTCGACCATAGGGGTATCAACGCTATCGGCTCTTTCCCCATTCGTTGTTGCGTTCCCATCTATGCTCATAGGACCTTCGGTCTTGGCTACGGCCTCCAAGGAGTTGCCCTTGTTCGCCAGCGCATTCTTCACCGTCCCTACGTTGGCATCTGACTTAACGGACCCCTGTGATTGGCTCTGGTAGTCCACATAATCGTCGCGATACAATTCGATGTCGTTGGGACCGAGCATCATTTCGCAGGGCACCCAGATATGGTCGCCCACAAGCATTGTCTGTAGATGCTTCACCCTCCAGAGCGCTGCATTCTCCTTGTGCATGGTATGTAGCCCTTGTCTCGCCAATTCTGTGAGAGTTTTGGAGGTGTAGGATCGTGATAAGGTGGGATGTCTGGGAAGGTCGGTGATAGAGGTAAGAGGCGCGAGAATATCTGCAGGCAAGCAACCATCAGCAACCGCGGAAACCCCTCGAGCCGGAGAGGGAACACCAACTTTCAAGCCGCACATTGGCGTATGGGTTAAATTCGGCCGCCGCATCAGTGACATCCCGGATATATTCTTCTTCGTCGCCGCTCTCCACCTCGAAGCCTTCGTCATCGACGAGGACTGGGTTCCGACTAATGATTGCTCTGTGGTGACCAGCATGATTCACAACCTACGAAATACCAGCAGGTTAGGTGTTAGCTTCATCAGCCCACCAGCCTCTACCGATCCGGTGGCAACGTACCTCTTTGTAAACCTCAGGTCCTGAGGGCGGCGCAAGCTGTCCCTCGTGGACAAATCTTGCCCTCTTCTTGAGCTTGTGCCCGCGATTTCCGTTGTAGTTGATTTCAGAGTCCGAATCCGAGTCTGCACGACCTAGAGGTCAGCACTAGAGTGAGGCCTGGCTCCACAGGAACCTACCGTATGCCTTTCGTTTGAGCGCCTTCTTCATCGCCGCAATCGTTTCGGCGAAGAGGATATGCTGTGTCGCAGACATTGTGGCCGTCTGCTCCCGTAGCCACTCAGGTATCTGTAAGCCCACACCGTTCCCACAGCGGTTCGCCGTTACCTGGCTCGTGGTAGCCTCGACGGAGGAATATCTCGGTATGCGGCCGCTCGATTTGTGGCGATGGATGGATGATTTCGTCGGGCGCAAGGGAGTCAATCTGCCCTAGCCGTATTTTCGCGGAGGTCAACTGAGTGTTGAGGTGTTGGTTGCAGAAATAGATGGACGGCGTAGGTGGTAGAGCAGGGTGTACTGGGACGCTCAGATGCTCAAGAGACGCGAGCTCGAGAATACTTGTAAAGGATATTGTAGGTACATAGGGCTTTGCGTAGTTTGTCCGTAGAGAAGTATGGCGCCTATTGTGCACAACGCTGCGAATTTGTGAGAAGACCGCCCGAGAATTGGCAGCGGACCATTTTTTGGTTATTGACAAGAACACCGTCGAGTGGGCAGGTATGTGGATGGGAATGGGAATGGTAAAGTTGTGAGCGAGCCCGAAAACAAGGCTGTTCTGCCCGCAGTACGCGCGGGAAGCTCCTCTGCAATTACCTAAGACAGAGAGAGGGTACATAATGCCATGTACTGGACAGGGATTTTTAGAGAGCTGCCCATATACCGACCTTCTACCTCGGTGATAAGTATCTGAAGGTACTGACTTCATACAACTAACGTGCTGAGTACATAATGCATACCATGCATGCACGCCTTCATGTGGTCCCTCTGATAAGGGCGTGACTCTCTACCAAGATAAGAAAGGTCGGGACGAGCGGTGCCCGGCCGTCCGACCTGCAATCAGGGAAAATAATGTGAGCCGCTAGGTGAGGTCACCAGAAGCCATCACAGGAATGCGAGAACCGGTAGGCCACCAAGTCGTCTCGGTAGCCAACCTAAGCTGCGCAGACTCTACGTAATGTGAACTGCAAGAAACCAAGCGGAAGAAAGCGTCAACCGAATAGCCGTCCGCCTCCGAGAAGGAATTTGCGATCCTCCACGTCTCTAGACTGACGGCAAGCCTCTTCTAGGGTGTTGTATGCCATATGCCGAACTTGAATTGATCGCCATCTGGCATGACCACTCTCCGCCCATTCATACACGCCACGATACCAATGCCTCCCGATCCTCTATCCAAGTAGACCAATGGATGACTATCCAGCAGGTAGTCTGGACCATAATGTCCCCTTCCTCGTCGTCTCCGGTCTGGGGGCCGCTCCCACCAAGCCCCCCCTCGCAGATCACGACCCGAGAGAGCACGGCACGCTCATCCGATCGGAACTGCCTTCGATAGATAGCCGCGAAGCGAGGACTATTCTCCGTTATATCCAAGAGAAGGATGCCGCTGGCCTTCCCTGGAACTCCGACTCTGGGGATACCTCGAAGAAATACAAATTCAAGATTCGAGCTATCGGAAGGGTATGTCTTCGCCGCCATCATCCGCAGCTGCTCGTACGGCAAGTCATGTTTTTATCGGAGTCTAGAGTTTGACTGTGGCCCAGGAATTCCTTCTGCCCCCCCGTCGCGCACACCTCCAGGAAAACTTCGAGACGCCATTATCACCACTCATTCTTCATTCTCCCTTCTCTCCTCTTAGCCCGGGCTCTACTCTATACCCGGACGGCTTGATAGACACACGATGGCTCCAGAAACACCAGGAGCTCGTGCCTAGCGTCTGCCTGTCGTTCTACAGCCTGACATCAGACCCGTCCCTCGCGACCCTGCACGACAACCAACTCAGAACAGACATAAACGCTGTCAAGAATTCTATCGGACAGTCGGGTTATAAGTGCCGCCTCGTCGTGGTCATCCTAAGCGACCAGTCGCCGGCCTCTGTAGGCCAGTTTCAAGAGAGATTAGAGTCCATCAGGAGAGGTACGGGATTGGATCCGAAGACATCTCTTTTTGGCCTGCCCACCCAACGAACTGAGGCAGAATTAGAGAACGCCGTGGATAGTGTCCTAGGTGCGGTATTCGACCAGGCTATCGAGTACTATCGCGATCTGGGGAGGCACGCTCGCAAAAAGAAGGGGAGAGGGGTCGCGCCACAGCCTACTATTCCGCCAACCAGCGGTACTTCTCACACATTATCCCTTCAGGGTTGGAACGTCCGCTACGACTTCAAGACAGCCATTTTCGCACAGTTCCGACAGGAAATAGACGTGGCCTTACGCTCTTATGAACAAGCATACGATACCCTATTTGGCGCCGATGTTTTCGAAACTATTCCAGGCTGGAACCCTAGGTTCAATGATGCACGGCTCTTGGCTGACATTATAGCAATCCGGGTCTTGAATTGCTTACTGTGGGCTGGGCAAAGCACTGCAGCTGTTAGGAGGTGGCAAATACATCACGACAGGGTATTCGACCTTGTTGATCGGAGGGGCCGCGGGACGCAGAACTACGGGTGGAAGGCTTGGGAAGCGAGGTGGTGTACGGTCATGGCCAACCTAGTCGAGAGGGCGAATTTCCCTGAATTGGAGCCGTCCACAATGCTGTCGTATCGCCAGCCCGAAAAGAATCTCTCGGCCGATCGCCTGCAACCATGGGAGCTTCTTCACCACCCGGGGTACTGGTACCGCGCGGCTGCGCGGCATCTCTCCGATAGACGAAGATTAGCACACTCCATATCCGAAGACGCCCGAGAACCGCCAGACAAGTCTTCGCAACTACAGTCGAATAAGGCCTACAACTACGACACGTACATGTGTCCAGAACCCCACGAAGAATTCCCACTGGTCGGATCCGGCGTCAACCACGCCCTGTTGATTTTCAACCACTTAGTGCTAGCACGGAGCGAATTTCAGAGACGAAACCAAACACGATCGTCGGCAGAACTTGCGCTCGAGTGCTGCAGGGAGCTTGAGGGGATGCGTGAATGGAAACAGATCTTGGAAATGCTAACGCCTCTATGGAGGAGCATGTCGTTCCGCAGGGAGGGATGGTGGGACATCACGGAAACATTGAGCTGGGCATTGCGAAAGGCAGCCGCCGAAGCCGGCCAAAGGGATCTCGTCGTTGCCATCGACTGGGAACTTCTGCATAGAGGTGAGCGAGGTTGTCCGTGAAAATGTGACGACTTGATGGACTTATTGATCACTAGGGTTCTCCAAGCGCCCTGGATGGCATTACGATATCACCAAGTCATTGGATGGTGTAGCCGGGGAAGACAGGGCTGTGGTTGATATCAGCGATGAGCATGTAACATCATTCCTACAAGCCTCCTTTGTATTCAAAAATCAAGAGGGAAAGGCCGGACAGAGTTGTCTTGCCCAACTCTCGATTATCTCGAGCTCGTTCCGGGATGCTGCGCCGGTGGTCTTCGACGGAGTTCGAGTTGAATTCGACGGAAGTTTGCGCACATTACATATAAAACACCGGCCCGGCGATAATCAGACGCCAGTATCTTCAACGCTACACGTTACTAAAGTGGCTTTAGATGAAGTCGACATCGGCGATAGTGTCGGTTCTGACGATGATTCCGAGACTAGTTCTCCGGCGACTCGTGCAATTTTACTCGAGGGGAGAGATGACTTGACCGTGCTCCCAGGGCAAGCCAGGGTCTTCGAAGTAGAAATTCCGCTAAGGGAGCCCGGTGACGCCAAAGCGTCGTCTATACAGGTTCTACTAGCCCCCAAGGATTTTATACTTCGATATACGATGAGGGTTCGAGACAGCAACATGGCGGGCCTTTGGTATTCACATTTGTCCTCTCGCAAGAAGATTACACGGACAAACCCACATAAAATCAATGTGCTTCCAAGGCCGCCGAAGATGGAGATCAGACTTGTCAATTTGCTTGAGCAATACTATGCAGGCGAATCCATCAGGCTAGGATTGGAGATTCTCAATGAAGAAGATAGTCACGCAATTACGACGCTGGATACAGCCATATATGGGCAGGACCCTCCTAGCTATAAGGTGCGGATTGAGGGCGGCGAGGAAAAGTCGAGTGCTACGGGATTCGAGGAATCGAGGCTAGACGGCATCTCGGTCGGAACGGTGCCAAACTCCGAGTCGGCAAAGGCTACCGTCATTATTGACCCCGTTGATCAGCCCGTGGTGTTTGACTTGGTTTTGAAGACTCTGTATCACCTAGTGTCAGATCCAGGGACGCCAATAATCCAAGAAGTCACATACCACATCAATATCGTCAACCCCTTCGAGGCAAATTACGACCTATCTCCCAGGTTGTATCCAGAGTGGCCCAACTATTTCAGCTCGGAAGATATCCAGGAGCCGTCTGACGGAGATGAGATCGTCCGCCACCCTCGCGGATTGACCCAGAAATGGTCCCTTGCCACACGGTACGCTTCTTTTGCGCAGGAAGACTTAACCGTCCTGGATCTAGATGTGAGTATCGTTGCTACGCAAGGGAACGTAAGCTGCAAGACATCCAAGAGCCAGTCTATATCAGAAGATGGGGCAATCATCGGCCCCAAGACGATCGAAGAAGCACAGTTCGAGCTCATCGCCCAGAAATTAGACCTCGATGATAGGTCGCCAGCGACAGCCGACCTCGCCTTCACTATCAAGTGGCGGCGGCTTGCTTCATCGCCGGGAGAAGTGAATAGCACGACCCTACCACTTCCGCGATTTTTTGTCACCAGTTCCGAGCCTCGAGTTCTTGCCGGGGCATCATATTACTCGCCGCCGAGCTCGTCGCCGTCTTCGCCACCTTCTGCTGCGACGCCTCAGTTGGTCTTCCTCGACATCACGATAGAGAACCCGTCGTCTCACTTCCTGACGTTCGGGCTCACGATGGAGCCCAGCGACGAGTTCGCGTTCTCGGGGGTCAAGACGACAACCCTGAACGTGCTTCCGGTCGCCCGCAGGTCGGTTACGTACCGGCTGCTGCCGCTGGTGAGGGGCGCGTGGGTCCGACCGACGCTGGTCGTGCGTGACAAATACTTCCAGAAAATCCTCAAGATCATCCCGACGGAAGGGATGAAGAGCGATAAAGAGGGCATCCTGGTGTGGGTTCCTCCCGAAGACGAAGTCGACGGCGACGGCGACAGCAGCCTCTCGGCAGGAAACGACCCGTCTGAAACAGCTCGAGAGACGGAAGAATAGAACGCTTGGGTCTGGGTCTAGGTTCCGTGACGGGTTATGGGGAGATGGCGTCCCCTTTTTGCCAATCTCTGTAGAAATTTTAAGATATCTTTATGGTAATGCGTTATAGGTTCTATCAACGATATCGACGTTAGAGTCGATATTACCGGAACCAAATCCCAGGCTCCAGGGCGCCTGTCTTACAGTACCTACGTGATCCTCACAGTTGACGCTTTATCGAATCCTTGAAGCTCTCCAGGGCCCGATAGGGGTACATCTAATCAACAGAGGGACCAGCACCCTGAAAACCCGACATTATACTCATAGTAGAGGTACCTAGTGGGTATGCGAATCTACTTAGGTACAACGTAACCGGGGGTGTCTACAGGAGGTACCTTACCTAATCTAACGGTGGGGTGCATTTGTAGGTACTAAGTACCTAGCCGAAGGTAAGGGAGAGCGCATTAGGTAATTGTAGGAATTTCGATCTGCCCATTGTCATCATGGTTCTATTTTCGGGTTCTAGGACGCGGCCGGGGTCTAAGATGTTGCGACTCGGGTTATCATTTTCTTAACTCCCCCATCGCAATCCCTAACTCCGAGTCAGCTACAACCAGCCGGAGTTCCCGCACAGTTCATTTCAAGGACGCGTTGCTCGTCTTCTCGGCTGGAAGCCTGTCGTCGACGACACTCGGATACGAGATTGCGAGGCCCCAATGATCTTACGCCACCTTCCTAGAGTCTGACCCGTCCAGATCTTTGGGCCCCCCCTCCTTTCTTTGGATGCCCTTGGTCGTAGTATACGTATATATATACGCATATATATTTGGCCTAGAACGTGCTTTATTCTGACCCAACTCATGCATCCGCTGCTCCGAAGTCTCTTCTCCAGCGGACCCGGGGTTCGAACTAGCCAACTCTACAGAAGGGCTTCCGTATCGGGTGCTACCCTCGCCCTCTCGATGGCAGCGTATTACAGCAACGTGGTCGTGCGTCCGTCGCCGGCTGCCGAGGCCCAGGAGTTCGATACCAAGGCTCATCACATCCAGAACCGACATGGGAAGACGATCAAATTTCGCAACCCTTACCCGTCCTCTCAATCTATCAGCGGTTGGGATATTTTCAAGATAACCACAATGCACGTTTGCCCCCGGCCCTCCCCCCGGGCCTAGGGGCCTTTGTGTCTGTTGCGCTCCCGCTAACGAGGATTTTTTGCGTAGAGAGCCGCTCACGGGGTCGCTCGTCTGGCCGAAGCCAAAGCCGGAGGACAAGGTGGTGCCTGTGGTAAAACCCGAGTTCCTTCCGACGCGCGCGTCGTCGAAGCTCCGTGCCACCTGGCTCGGCCACGCTTGCTACTATGTAGAATACCCGTCGGGCCTGCGGGTTCTCTTTGACCCCGTGTTTGAGGACTGCTGCGCGCCCGTCTCGATGCAGGCCTTCAGGCGGTATACAGAGCCGCCGTGCGACATCGCCAGCCTGCCTTTCGTCGACGCAGTAGTCATTAGCCACTCGCACTATGACCACCTGTCGTACCCGACGGTGCAGGCAATCCAGAAGCACCACCCCAACGCGCACTTCTTCGTCGGCCTGGGACTGCAGAAGTGGTTCAAGCAGGGCGGCCTGAATAACGTGACGGAGCTGGACTGGTGGCAGGAAGCCGAACTCACGCTGTCGCCGCAAGCTGGCAAGGCGGCGGAGGCGAAAGCTGACGACGGCCCGGCCCCGTCGGAGTCGATAACTGCGAGGATATCGTGCCTGCCTTGCCAGCACAGCTCCGGCCGGTCCGCCTTCGACCGGGACACGACTCTCTGGTGCTCGTGGGCGGTCACGTCGGGGGACCCGGCCAAGTCGGTCTGGTTCGGGGGCGACACGGGATACCGCGCGGTGCCGAAAGCGCCCGCGGGGACGGACTACGAGGGCCCGGACTACCAGCACCTGCCGGTGTGCCCGCAGTTCCGCCAGATCGGGGAGAAGTTCGGCTCGTTCGACCTCGGCCTCATCCCGATCGGCGCGTACTGCCCGCGGCCGGTGTTCTCGTCGGTGCACGCGTGCCCGGCCGACTCGGTGGAGATCTTCCTGGCGACGAAGTGCAAGAGGGCGATGGCGATCCACTGGGGCACCTGGATCCTGACGCCCGAGCCGGTGCTGGAGCCGCCGAAGCTGCTCAGAGAGGCGCTGAAGCGCAAGGGCCTGGCCGAGACGGGCCTGTTTGACATATGCGACATCGGCGAGAGCCGGGAGTTTTGAGGGCGCTGCATAATCTGCATAGATAGGCGTACGTACCGGATGGGTTGACACCTCAGTTGAGAGGGTTGTTTGTTGCCTTGGCGGTGACAGCGGAGTTCAAGCGGGAGAAGGGGGGCTTTCGCGCAGCTTGTAAAGAGAGGGCTACGTAGGTATAGGAATATGCGTTGGATTTGAATCGCTTTGCTATCTCTATACATTACCTATGTTATGCCTACTTGCAGGTAGGTATGGTATACCTACTATATTACAAACACCAATATTACAGAACCAAATACGAAGAGCTGGTGTCGATATGCACAGGTGCGCAGGTAGGTGACGGTCTTGAGACACTTGACTGCCTACCCGTAGGCGAGTGCTTTTGATATTTCGGGACGGACTAGGATGTGCCCTTCCCACTCCCCTTTAGGGTCCTATAGGATAGGATGTGGCAGGGAACAACATGTGTAGGCCTAGTAACCAGCCTAAGCCTGCTATGTATATTTGCGTTACCTCTGTAGACTATACGATATGTAGGTACCCACCTACCTATCTTAGGTACCTACACATACATGTCATTACAGCGGGAGAGCACTGCCTGGTACCTAACGTAGGTACCTATAGGTGCCTACCTAGGTACATGTAGACAAGCTTTTTAGCTTGATGGCTTCCGGCTAGGCAAAACGCCGATCACATGATCAGGCTATGTCAACGTAATCATGTCCCCCCTACCTACTGCTTACCTACCTAGGTACCTACCTCCTATGCCATGTGCACCCAAGGTACATGCATTTTGCGGCTCTTCCTACCCAACTGAAGGTATCTCGCTAAGGTCACTTAGGTTGCGATACTTAAGCCTTGGGTGTGGGTGCCCGTCCGCCTACCCAAACATCCTAGAACTTCCCCAAATTCACTTCCATTGTCTTCTCCAGAGCCCAGGGATAGGAGCAGCACCTGCAATCTCGTCGCCTACCTACACACACGCGCCCACTCCGAGCAACTGACACTCCTCTCCTATATAAGACGCCTACTAGTCCAGTCCTAGAAAACGCATTCAGCGTTCGAACCTCTTCTGCTTGCCTCCCTGCTTGCTTACGTTCCCTGTCCCGAACCATACTCTATATCGGACTTCGTCACTCTTGTTGCGGACTCATCGTAGACTCATCCCACTCATCCCACATCTTTTGCTGTCTGCGAACGGAGGTCGACCCTAGGCGAGCGCCTGTCTACCCGATTGTTGCCTTGGCTACCTTTCTCCCTTTTGCGGTCTTCGTTTCCGACCATGCATCAACGACAATACTGTTGTTTGGAGTTCATCTACTTAAACCCAGCCTCTCGCCGTCTTCCCACCTCGCCGCAGTGACGAAGTGTTCGGTGGCTTACTCTGAAATGTGCTTTTGTGCCCCGGCCGGGCCTATAAAAGTACTGTATCCTTATGGCTAGTATGGGAGACCCAGCTAGCAGACTCATCGTGAGTATCCCGACCGTGTCCGATGCCGAACAGCCCATCCACACCTACACTACATCTATTCATCCTTGTAGCTCTCCATCACGCGCTCCTGGTGGCTTGCCTCCCGACCTGCTCTCTTGAATGAAGCTGATCTCTTGAGTGTAGGAGGAGCTCCGGTCGCTTCTTGACGAGACAACTATTCTATCTATTTCTAGTGACTTCGACTTGGATGATCCTCAGCAGTTTGCTGCCGCCCGCGAAATTCTCCTAACCATATCTAAAGATGTGGAAGCAGAGGAAGCCACTGGTTTCAACGCCAGTGGCCTTGGCGCTGATGGTATCGTAGACATCAATCCCTCACAGCCGGATGACGGTGCAGAGATTGCTAGTGTGGCCGTCAGCGACATAAAGAGTATAAGCGGCCTGACCTCCACCACTGAAAATTCGACCCCTCCGAGTCTAACTTCGAAGGGATCATCAAGGATCTCGACTCGTGAGACCCCGGTGCTTTCCCACGTCGGTGTCTTTGACGGGCTCAGCGATGACGAGAAGGAAAATCAACTCGCTCAGATGTTCGTTAGCTTGAAGCGCATCGACGTGAGGCTAGCTCTGCAGAAATCCAAGGGCGACGCGAGTCTTGCCATTGACGAACTCCTTAACTTGCAGTGGCTGGAACAGACGAACCAGCGCCCCAAAGGCGTTGACGGCTTTTACGTATCTGACGATGATTCTCGGGGCAAGAAGAAGAAGGGTAAGAAGAAGAGGAGGGGAGGAATCAAAGTATCTACCCCGAGAGCCACCGGTCCTGAGGGCGCACCCGAAGGAGGAATCGATAACGAGGTAGTCCAGAGTGGTAAGGGCTTTAGTTACCGAGTCGAAGAAACCGTTTCCGTAGGTGATATTAACAAAATGCCTTCTATAGATGATATTGTATTTGTGTCTACTCGGTTCAACCTATCAGAATCGGAGGTGTCTAGCATCTATCGTCGACACAAGGCCTCTCTTGGGGCTACAGTGGTGCAGATCTTGGACAACTACATCGCTCTAGGCCTGCCGCTGGCGGATCCTAATTTATTGTCTGATTTCCAGCAAGAAGTATCTGGGTTCTTTTGGATACCTCGCCAGTATATCACGTCAGTCATCGACATCTGTCCGACCCGAAGAGACGCGGTAGACGTCGTCCGCGTGTTAGCAGAACACTTCGAGCGGTCATCATACCTAAAAATTGACGTGCCGTATCGCGTCGTGGCGTCGGACTCGGACGTGGTGTCCCCTACTATCATTACTACGCTCGAGCCCGCGAGCACCACCAACCCACAGTCGCCGACGAGCCTCCGCGCCGCCGCCTCGGTGTCGCAGCGCCTCGCCGCTTCGCGTAGTCACTCGATGGCCTCCGCCACCGCCGCCTTTAAGAAGGGCCGGTCGGACCCCCTGTTCCGCCAGGCCGGCGCCCTCTTCGCGGAGCGCGCCCGCGCGCAGACGGACGACCTCCGCCGCGCCGCCGCCACCCTTGCCAACCTCCGCGTCGACGAGCAGAGCGCGCCCGGCATGATCGATCTGCACGGAATGACGGTGCAGGATGGCGTTACCATTGCTCTCGAGCGCGTCGGCAACTGGTGGCGCGACCTCGCCGCCGAGAACGCCGGTGACGAGCGCGCCCGCCGTGCCGCCGCCCGCGCCGCCCCCTTCAAAGTCGTCACCGGCATCGGCCGGCACAACCCCGACGGGAGGTCCCCGCTCCGCATCGGCGTCTCCAAGGCCCTCGTCAACAACGGGTGGAAGATCGAGGTCCTGACCGGCGCGTTCTGCGTCACTGGGAGGCAGTAACGATTTTTTTTTTGTTTAAGGAGGGGAAGGAAGGGTAGAACGCTTCTAGATAAGCGACGAACCCGACTTGCCCCCCCACACCATATTCACCTAAATATGTGAAGGCGGCAGCCGCGCGGCTGCGCGGAAGCCCTCTCTAAACCCCGAGCAACACACATTTGGATGGACGACGAGTTGGGTTATCTATGTATCTACACCTCGGCGTGCAAGACATGAGAGTCTACCAGAGGGAGACGCCGACGGCATTTCGGAATTTTTGGTAGACCCTCTGCAGGTGCTCGGTGTGTAGGGTAGCATAGCACGCGTTGGCACACACCTCGTCCTGTATCTCTCCCCGGCCGGATTCCCGTCGGCTACAACGCGACGCGGGAATCCGCCCGGTACCCCCCCATCTATACCACGTTCTCTCCCATCTTGCATGCCGAGAAATGGCCCCCTTCCCTCCCCGGCGGCAAACTTACTGAGTGGCGCCATCTAGATACCGAGTTCGTGCCCGCGAACGGAGACGCGTGTCCCCGTCCTCGGCAACTAGGTTGCTGCTAACTGGCTCTCGAGATCGGCGCCTCGGTCTGTGTGGTCTGCTTCGGTCGTAGATAACACGTTGGCATCGGGGACATTAGCTTTACTTACGGGCAAGGATTGCGTTATGAGTGATGATGTATACGATGTATAGTTACAGTAATCTGTAGATGCGTACACTTCCCATTTTGAGAGGTGGGCACGTGTAAGTTCCCGCGCGACATACATATTATATACCCTTGTTCATAGTCGACGTTGTAGTGTAAGTAGACAAATTAGTTGGCATACAAGTCGACCCGTATTAACCCATTCTCGTCTTGAAGGACGTGGGGAGGCTGACTTGTTACCTATATAATTCTACATAGTAAACCCGCTTAATTGTCTTCAACTTGTGTAGGACGCTGCTTCCAAGTATTAATCAAATTTGATAGTCCCCCCTCCGGTCTGAGGATACGATATGCCGAGTTTATAGATCCATCCTATCTTACAGCTGCGGCTCTGTCTTGTTTTCTGTCCTTCTTTCTTCCGCTCTGCGAATATTTACTACTCGTCGTCGTCGTCGTCGGAATAGTCCCGGTCTATCGTCGCTAGGTTTCGTCTGGCTACCAGATCTTCCACAATGCCTCCTTTGCTATCCGGGTCGGCGTATCCTTCTCCACCAACCAACGATAGTGCCACCGGCAGGAAGATCAACGCATGCGTGGCTGCGAATATGACCAGCGCTAGCCACACACGGAAGTAGTAGATTTCGAAGATCTTGGACCGGGTGAAGGCCAAGACGCAGACGCCGAGCAGCTTAGTGACGGTGATGCCGCTAAAGACCGATCCGCCAACATTCACGAGTGCCGTCCAAGCCCTGGCATCCCGGCCGCGGAAGCGATTCTTAGCCCCCTCCATAACCAACTCCGAAGGGAACATGAATGCCCGCGCGATATGAGCGCAGAATTCGACGGCGATACCGACGCAGATGATTAGGTTTACCAACGAAACGGCATTGAGCGACACACCAAACACTGCCATCGCACCGATTATATCCACAACGGTCATGGTCACGGTCAGGGTGACGATGAGGGCGGTGACGACAGAGCCAAGAAGAATAGACGAGACCACGAAGACGAGGGCCACTGCCGAGCCAAGGAGCGCGCCGGTGAGGTTGACAATGTTCGCGTACTGGTCAAAGAAAACGTAGAAGACGCTGTACGGGAATACCTCGACCCCCGTGTTGGCTGTGATATCGTTGGCAATGCGGCGGGCCGACGCGTAGGCATTGATGAAGTCGTCCTGGCTGCGCAAGGGTTTGTGCATAGTCCGGAAATGGCTGGCGGAAACATCGACGTTCTCGGCGTCCAAGACGACAGCCTGGCTATACGAAGCTTGACCGGCCAGAGGACACTCCTCGGTAGTTGGAGACTGCAGGAATTTCTGCAAGTAGTGAACGAACTCGTCACCTTCCGGCATACCAGCCAAGGTGATGTTCCATAAGGGGTCCCGACCAGTGAAGCAGACTTTACCGTCTTCCTTGCAGCAGCTCTCGAAATCCGGATTTAGCCAGAGGAGGAAATCGTCAATCCAGCTGGCGGTCGGTGAAGATATGTAAGAAACATCGGGCCGCTTTCGCTCTTGTTCGAGTATATTCGTGAGGGAGAATTGCTCGCAGGTCGTAAAGCGGGAGCAGAGGTGTCTCTGGTTCGTGCGCTGCGTTGCATCCAGGTTCTTGGTAACAAAGTACACAGGTGGGCCGGTATCCAAGTAGCTGTACACGTCGTTGAAATAGTCGATGAGATAGGAATCGTCGGGTAGAGCGACTCGCTGGTCTAGACCCAGTTTCACATACGGAATCAAGGCCACACCGGCAGCGAGGAAACCGAAGAAAACGGTGACGATAAGAACCTTCACTTTCTTACCCAATATGGTTGGTGCGTAGCGTTTCCGGATGAACTGCTCTAGCAATGATTCATCCGGTTCGTCGAATGTGCGAGGGGCGCCAATGCTGGCACTATCTTGCAGATAGATGCGAGCTGCCTTGACCTGGATACAAGGGAAGCAGTCTGCCCTGAAGTTTTCGATCCGCTGTTGGTTATAGGACAAGATAGAAATAAACAGAGTCATCTGGAGGAGCGCGTTGATGAATACCGCACCCGCGGCATATATCGCGAAGTTCCGGACAGCCGGCATACCGACGAATGCCCCGAGAGCAAAAGAGACGGTTTCCGTAACGGCCGAAAAGAGAATGGATGGGCCGATCCGTCCAAGTGCTTTGGCTATCCTCTTTTCGACCACAGCGTCCCGGTCGCTTCGGTTAGCACGCTCAAACTCGTGGACGATGAGGAAGATGTTGTCCACTCCGACAGCCAATACGATGAAAGGGATAACCTCAGCAATGATGAGCGTGACCTTTATCCCCGCGAAGGAGAAGAGTCCGACAGAGGAGACGATGGATGCCAGAACGATCATTATGCCGGCTAGACCTAGCGAGAATTTGCTCTCGACCAGAGCCACAGCTGGGTTTCTCACTAGCCCACGGATCGTCATGGTAGTCGAACCCAGGGCAAGCGAAGCATAGAAAAACATGACCAGATAGCTAATGACGATGATTGTCGCGTCCGTGTTTGTAGATTTGTTTAGTTCCTCCTCCAAGCTGATTTCGGTCGAAAAGGACAGTCGTAGGCCACGATCTGCCGCTTCGCTCTGGACCTCTAAGAGCCGGTCTTTCAAGGACCGCTCCCAGTCCATGGCTTGGGCCAATTCGGCGCTTCCCTTGGGGTGATTGCTGACCACCCATGTCACCGTCATGGCCCGCGCCTCGGTGATATTCTCGATGCCATCATAACCACCTAGGATCATATTTGGCTCTATCGGCTGTCCAAAGTCAGGGCGACAACCCACGGGAGATTCTGCACACTCTTGAAACGAGGACCTCCAGGCTTTCGTGCCATCGAAGTAAACAGTTGGAGACTGGACGACGCAGGCGGAGCCGGTCGGTTTGAAACACACTTCCTGGAAGTTCGCGCGGGATGTCTCGCCCCGCAGCTCCTTAACGCTCTTCTCTACTCCGGCCCACCACGTCAGCGTCTCGTAACTGAGGACCGGGCCGGGTCCTAACGGGTTAGTGTCGTTCACTAAAAAGACCTTCTGCGCGCGGTAGAAGGGACCGAAGTTCTGATCGAAAAATGCTTTCTCTTGAGCGGCTGCCGACTCGGGGCTCACCCACAATCTCTCGGGTTCGGTCTCGACGTAGAATCTGATCCAGCCGGTAGAAAGAAGAAGAACCAGTATGACGCTAGAAGAGGTGGTAATCCCAGGATACCTCGCGCAGAAATGGCCCAATTTGCTAAACGCGGTGCTGCACCAGCTGCTGATCGCGTAGTCCCTCTGGGGCCGGTCGTAGATAGTACCATTAATAAAGTCGCCCTCGTCTTCGTCATCGCTCGGTTCGGCGCCATGCAGCAGGTGGCGCCGCTCACTTCGCCGCTGCACATGCTTCATCCAAGCAACATGGCCAGCCAGGGCCACGACGAGTGTACAGAGCAGTATGCCATACGTGAAGATCGAGGCAAACGATAGACAAGGAAGAACGCCGACTCGGCACGATCCCGCCTGCCGTACCTCGGGAAGCTCCGGACACACGGCAGGACAATCGACACAGGAACATCGAAAGTTGGGGTCCTCGTCGTTGCACTTCTTAGGCCTCATCTGTCTCGGCGCCATGGCCGGATCCGTATATTGCTCGGGGAAGTTGATCTGGAAGGGCGACCCGATCACTTTCTCGTCACCGAGGAACTTGAGGAGCTGGGTGTAGTTCTTGGCACCGCCACCGATGAAGTCGATAGCCTTAGAGTTCGACGCGCCAAACTTGACTTCCTTGCAGCTGTCGTAGAAGCCCTCGCCATATTCTTTGGAAATCAGCTGGTCGACCTCGGCAACCAACGTCTTGCCGTTCTTCTCGATTGTCTTCGTCACGTTGATGAACAGCGATTGATCGGGCGAGCAGCTGAAGGAACAGAACAGGTTGTAGAAGTTCTCTTTGCAGGCGGGACAGGAGCCGATGATCTGGTTCGGGGTGGACAGCTCGGACTTGAGTGCTTGGAGCTATACACCTGTCAGCAGAGGCGAAACGGGGAATAAGGGGCAGGCAACGGAGGGCGGACCTGTTCGGTACTACAGCAGACCTTGCTATCCTTCCATTTGGGACCGCACACGGCCTCAATTTCCTTGGCAAATTCCGGGTCGGGGGTAGTAGCCAGTCCGTTGTCGACGCAGGGCAGCTGTTTGCCGAAGAAGCTCTTCTTACCGCACTGGCCGCGCATCGCACAGCGTCCGGCTTCATGTTTAGGTGTGTAGAGCTCGTCTGCCACAGCGCCGCCGGCCAGCAGCAGAGCGGCGACAGCAGCGACGAGGCGAGGCAACGGGGCCATATTGGTGCCCTACCAGGCCGTATCAGGCCGTAATGTTGCGAGGCCTAGCTAGCGCGATAGGGCGCCGTCAACACCATGAGGGCGAGGGTGCGAGATGGTCCAGGGCACGAGACGGTTAAGGAAGCCGTTCTGGTGCCGCAGGCACTAGGATGAACGAAGGTGAGGGAATTCGCAGGTTGGTGATGGAGGGGATGGGATGGGGGATGGCAGGCAGAGAAGACGGATGATGGGCGACGGGCGATAAGACGGGGTGGGATGGATGAGGTTGGCCGGAGAGGGATGGTGGATGGTGGAAGGGCGATGGTTCAAGAGAGTACCTAAGGTCAGGTCGCATGAGTTGTCCTGCGTCATCAAATGGGCGGCCCCGTGCCTGCCGGCCACGGCTCCAACGTGGACCTTGCGCCAAGAAGTTAGTTCTTGACTCATTGCATAGGAGGTACCTCAGGTGGTATGGGCATAGGTGGGTTTGATCACGTGCCAGAATCCCACCTCCGCACGGGTATCTGTTCTGTCCTGTGGGGCAGATACCTGCCCCCTGAGGTACCTGCATTGATGGATTTAGGTACATCCGGATTAGGTTTGACGCCCATTAGAGTGCCGACAATGATATGATCAACTGAAGATTTCTACCTGCGAGAAACCAGATCAACATCCCCTCGCTTTTACTAGAATGCCCGCGTTGCACATACAATAGACATATAGATACCTGCCTAGGCATGGCATGCTTACTACATATAGATAAGTACCTCCTATACATATAATAAGTAAGGTACTTCGTATTCGGTTACCGACTTGGTAAGGACCTCCGTTGATACGGCGTCATTCCTTGATGTGATGCACCTTATCGAGCACGGTTCTCCAGGGCGGACGCTGGGACTCGGCGCGTAGCCCACATGCGTCTGGTTCTCGCATAGCTAAGAACGCCTACGAATAGGTAACAAGTGGCGGATAGCGGGAGGCACGCGTCCCCCTACGACAGCACCTGTCTACGAAGACGTAGAATCAAGACGATGATGCATAACATTTACCTATATACACACCTACATAAACGCCAACACATAAATACCAATCACGATTATCCCTCGCAAACACATACCTACATATCCCGCAAAGAGCGAGTGGGAACGAGCGAAGCAGGGTCTTCCCAGCCGAGACGCCGATTCCTCTACCGCTTCTTCTTCTTCCTCTTGCCCCTGAACGGCTTGACCACTACCATAGGCAATGTGATCAACGCCAAAAAAAGCGCCACCCTGCCTCCCCCCTAAGTAGACCGACAGTATGTACGTAAGCAGAGATCAGCCAAAGGAGGCTAGACTCGTGCGAACGCGACCCGTAGCTACTATCCAAGCCGGTCGGCAGATCAGTACGCGAAGCTCTCGCACGCGACGTCCTCGCCCGCCGTCCACTGCAACAGGACCTCCGTTAGCTCCCGGCCCGCGCAGCAGTAGAACTTCCGCCGGCCCTTGGCCCCCGCCGCCAGTACGTCGGCTACCGCCATCCGCCGCGCCAGCACCTCCGCGCCCAGCCCCCGCACCGCCGCCTCCAGGTCCCTCCGCGCGTCCGCCTCCCCCCCTCCTGTGACGAAGAGCCGCGTCACCGCCGCGAGCCCCGCCGTCGCGCCCACCACCGCCACCGCGAGCGCCAGATCCTCCGCCCTCAGGCTCCATAGGACGCGTAGCCTCTCGCCGCCGCCCCGCAGCGCGCCCGCGGCCTGGGCCATGAGCGGCGTGATCCCGACTCCCCCCGCCACGAACACGCTCGTGCGGTCCGCTTCCCCAGCGTCCCCGCCGGCGGGCAGCCGGAAGCCCTCCGCGCCGCCGAACCCGAGCACGGGGATCTCCAGCGGCACCCGCAGGTTCCACCGCTCGAGCAGCCGCGTGGCGGCGCCGTGCCTCCGCGCCGTGATCTCCAGCACGCGGGGGGCCGACCCCTCGGCGTCTCCGTCGCGGTCGGCCGGCGGGGGGCAGCTAATCGTGAACGTCCGCACGAAGTCGTCGTTAAGGCTCTGCGGGTCCTCGTCCCGCATGTGTATCCACCCGCAGTCGAGCTCTCCGGAAAAATCCAGCGTGACGTGCTGCCCGGGGAGCCACGTCGGCGACGCCCCCCGCCCTCCTCCTTCTCCTCTATCCGCGCCCGGCTCGAGCCTAAGCGCGTACCGCGAGATGCTCGGGGTTAGCGTCTCTCGGGAGACGAGCGCCGCCGTCGCGACTGCGCGGTCGCGGTCGGCCGGCGCCGGCCCTGCCTCCCCGGCGAGTTGCCACACCGCCGGGTTGTACGGCGAGTCGTCGAGCGCGGCGCCGCGGAACGGCAGGCCGTCGCGCACGAAGCGCGCCTCGGCGACGTCGATCCGCACCGCCAGCGCCGCTCGCGGCATGCACGCCGCCGCCTCGGCCCCCGCCAGCACCGTCGCTCGCCCCGTCAGGTACAGCACGTCGCCCGTCGCCAGGTCCGGCACCGCGAGCCCCGCCCGCGGGTCCAGGTGCAGGTTCCCGAGCGTCTGGTACAGCCGGTTGCCCGAGTACTCCGGGTACACCAGCGCCGTCCCGCCCTCTTCATTCCGCAGCACCCGCACGAACCCCGGCGTCCCGCCTCGATGATTCGTGTCCATGCTCCCGCTCCCGCCCTCGCCAGCCCCCGGTGCGGCGCTCGCGATGAAGAACATGTCCGCCCGCGCGAGCAGGTCGACGGCCGCCACCGGCAGCGGCACGCCGCGCCCCTCGCTCGCGAGTTCCGGGGCGGGGGTGCGCGGCGTGATTCGCTTCCGGTTGAGGTACTTGGGGCAGTTGCCGAGCGCCTCCTCGATCTTGACGGCGAGCTGCATGTCTCCGACGCCGTCGCCGCCACGGTCGCGCCCCGGCCCCGCTCGCGCCACGGTGCCGACGAGCATGCGTCCGGCGATCTTGACGCGGTCGCGCGTGTCGAGGTCTATCGCGAGGCCGGCGAGGAGCTTGCCGCCCCCTTCGGGCCGGACGACCGCGTCGTCGCCGTCGCCGATGACGATTTCATCCTCGTTCTTGGCCCCCGGCGTCGCGAACAACGCCCGTAGCACGGGATCGTGCCGCGCGTCAGCCGTCGCGCGCACGCCCAGCACGTTCCGTGCGATCGGCCGGCAGAACCCGGCCTCGCCCCCCCAGATGGTTGCCCAGGGCCGCCCCTGCTGGTCTAGAGTCCCGAAGGCGACGAGAGGCGACTGCGAGATGCGATACCCGTGTCCCGCCGGCAGGCCGAAGTTAGTGGGATTATCTTGTGGGGGCACGTGGAGCAGACGGTGCATAGCCTGCTCCCCGGCGTGAAATTGAAATGGCTTGACGGTCGTGAGCTGTGCCATTTGGAACCATCCCCGTGGCTACGCGCTAGGTAGGTTAGGTACGGTTGTGAGATGAAGATGAAGAAATCGATGGAGGAGGACCCGGTTCGCATTGGATCATGATGAACTGACTTACCCCAAGGTTTCTGGGCGCCTTTATAACATGCCAGTCGCGATCAGCTCCGCGGAGGATGTACGCTAGAAGCTTCACGCCAGTCCTCTAACCCTCCCGGCCTCACAACAGGTTAGCTAATCGCCATACTCAATGACGATTTACGGTCCATGTCATGTAAGCCGGTCATGACAAATCAGGAAGGGCGCGCTGCCGCAGGCCTTCAAATCCCGGACGGATTCCAAAGACCTGCTCCGGCGCAGAGAGCATAGCCCCGTTATAAATCGACCGAGTTAGCAGCCGAAGTGACCGAGGAATACCCGCGATCAGAGGCCCACAATAGGGAACAGTCAGCCCCGTATAGTTGCTACAATCTTCGAGATGAACCGTGCAGTACAACGAGACTTCATTAAATTCATCGCAACCCCTGATGTATTTACAATACGAGCGCCTTCTCGTTGGCGTCCTCTTAAACGAAATAGGACGACTTTCTAAGACATGTCCTCCCAAACGTCTCGTGCCGGCTCAGCTATAACGAGAGACATTGTGGGTTTGTCCGCATACGCGTGACAATATTAGGGTATCCGCACATCCCACCTTCATGTGGTCAATCCTTCACCTTGTATAAATACTAGTATCTTTGAAAGTCGCGTTGCGCTTCTAAGTCACCGTCGTAGTCGTATCTTGGCCCCGTGTTCCTCTGGCCCGTAGTAGTCCCGGGCCGCTGCGGGTAGTATCCATCCGGCTGCCGGGGCGGCATTGGAGCTGTCATATTCCGCTGCGGCGGCAGTCTCTGGGCTGGGGACATAGGATTCGTGGCGCTACGCTGAGGCGGATAAGGGTGAACGTTATAGACGGGACCGCGGTTCGGGAACATGGACGGTCCCGGACCAGAGCGTCCACTCGCCGGAGGTCCCCGGTTTGAGTACATAGAGGGTGCCGGGCTAGAGCGTCCGTTCGTGGGAGGCCCCCGGTTGGAGTACATGGAAGGTGCTGGACTGGAACGTCCGTCGATTGGCCCACCATTACTAGGCCGTCCACCAAGTTGATTGACGGAACGAGGCATGGGTCGACCATAGCCATCCATCGAGGGCGGGGAGCGGGCGGGTTGCGGCATGGGTGGCAGGGCGTCCGGCGAATAGGTAGATGGGCTTGCCGTATATCCGCCGTCGAATCCATTTCCGCTCGTTTGCAAACGACCAAGCTCACCAACTGAGCTCAGGCTTCCCTTTGAGCTTCGCGTTCCTGGCCGAGTTGGCGGCTGCAAATCAGCAAGGTCAAATGAGGGTAGAGTCGGCGCAGGAGACGCGATTCCCCCGAAGCCCATCGGGGCGGCCTCATCTACCAGGGGGGCACGAGATGAGACGTTGGCGGGCCGTGTCGGCAGTTTCGGGTCCCAGGAATCGAGTTCGATGCTGCGCGTAGACCCGGGTCGCGAGCTGTATGGCGGCAAGGTAGCCATTGTGTCGTTCCGGCTAAGCGTGGGCATTCCCGGGAGTTTATCATCCTGGCTGCTGTCATCCATCAGAGTTGGTATAGTTGCTTGTCGTCCCACCGGCGCCTTTTCGCCAGCTTTCTTCGCGGCCCTATACTCCGCCTTGAATCGATCTCGTTCCTCCTTTTCCAGTGCCTTGTTCACCTTGACCGTCACAATTTCCGTCAGTCTCTTGTTGACCTTGCGCTCGCAGTAGCCGTGGAGGCCCCCATCTTGCCGAGGAATATAATGCCAGAGGAAGAAAACGTAGAAGAAGGCCGCGGTGAGCAAGAACAAGAAGGACACGACCCAGACGACCAGGGTGAACAACATGCCAGACAAAATCACCACCTGCTGAGTGTTCTCAGTAGCGAGCTGCTGCAGCTTGCTGTAGAGGGTTCCGAGAGTACTTTCTACTGAGGAGACATCCGTGGGGATTAGATCCGAAGTGTAGACGGCGTATATGGTTAGGGCGTTGATGGCCTGGCGTGGGCCAGAACAGAAGATAACACGGATCCATGCTTAAGAGCAAGTCAGCGATCGTCACGGGGGGTTGTTGCTTTGCTTTTCGCTTCTCCGGGATCATTACTCACATTGAAAGCTGAAGTACGTAAAAAGAGCCACATACTCGGCCCCCTTCTTAGATTTCGTCAACTCGGCGAAAACGAGGAAGCGCCTCCACCCCTGCCCAGACCCCATACGAACACTTTCCAGACGCACTGCCAAAGGGTCAAGGTAGCATTCGGCGACGCTTCCTCGCTTCATAACCCTCATAGCACGGAGATGTTCGAACGCAAGGTTAACGAACGTGGCGATGATGCATGCGGAGAAGATCCATTTCGAAACGTCGAACGGGATAAGCTGGGTGGGATCGATGGCGGACGACCAAGTGTTGAAGGCGAGCAGATTAATAGCCGTGAAGGTATCGACGCCGTAAACGGCCAGAGATATGATAAGGGAGAAGTACAGATAGGCGAAGGCGAATGGGGTGAAGCATGACGTTGACTTGAAATCTCTGAGGCTCTAGGAAGCAGGGTCAGCATGGCGAATTGGGTTCGGCCCGGATGCGTATCCTGCGCGGAGAGAACATACAATGGCATCCCACTTTTGCTCAGGTCGAATTTCGACCTGCTTCCGACTACCGCGGCAACCCATCTTCGTTGGATGGGAATCGCTATCGTCGCGAGAGTCGTCTACGTGAGAAGGAAGCCAGAACCAAGGGGCATAACCAACAAGGGGTATCAAATATCGCCAATCGAGGGTTATAGTTAGAAGGGAAGGATTGAAAACCAGAAGGAAAGAAGCGTGATCAAGGATGGAAAAGAATGTAGCTGAAGTCCTATTTCTTGTCGTCACTTGTTAGACCGGTCCTGCCGTCTTGCGCAGCCGTCGCCCCTCGCCAGCGAAGTTGTCGACCGCGCTCTCAAATCGAAGAGCAGATGGGCGCAAAGGCGCGAAAGAAGGGGGGGAAGGAAAAGGAAGAGGAAGAGGAAGAAGAAGTGAAAATAAGACCTAGAGAAAAGAAGGGTTCCCTAGAGGACAAGGCTCGCAGAGGAGAGACGGACGTCGACCTCAACCAGGAGATACTAGACAGTGATACCCGTCACTAATGACAGGGTCTCGGCCTGGTATCCGGAAGACATGCCAGCCAAGCTGGTGAATGAAGGAAGAGAAGGCAAAGAGGCGGCGGCGATTGCGGGCTCGTAGAAGCCACGCTGGTAAAGACTGGCTTGCTTTGGTGACCGTCGAGATTCCGATCAGGGCAACAAGCTTTTCCCGCACGGTTGCTCAAAGGGTAAGGCTCGAGCAGTTGGACACTGGAACTCGAAAAGCCTACGAGACGGACCCGGGCGGCGTCTCAAGATGCGTGGGACGGAGACATACGGGACTAATGTGGGTTGATGTGGTTCGGCTCTGTTTGATCTGCCCTTAGGGTAGGGGGCAGCAGGAGGAGGGTGCGCTGACTGGGTTGTCAAAAGGTGGAATTCGCAAGGGAACAGACGAGAACGAGTGCAGACTGTGTGGGTATCGTGATGAAGCGAATGACTAGAGGCGGTCCCGTGTTTGTCGGAGGTGGTTAAAGGAAACTGCTACGAGTTCAACACAGCAACGTAGACAACTGAAGATAAGGCGACACAGTCGGTCATATGGCAACGAAACGAGCAAGCGGAAATGATGAAGAAGCCATCGATCTACCCCTGCGACCGACCAGCTACATCGGGATTGCACAGGAAGGGGGGGCGAGAGAGGGAGACACGGAAAAACGAGTGGAAGCGAGGGGATGAGAGAGAGGGAGAGAGGCCTTCGACTTGGGGGGCGGAGGGGGGTTCTCCGTAGAGGAGGATGGAGGGGTTTGAGATTACAGCACGCGGCGCGTAACATTAGATACAACATGGCATGCGGGCGTGGTTGGGCATTGGCCGATCAATCCGCCCTCTACCCCGGCCCTGCAAGGTACCGCCCACGGTAATTCGCTGTATCCAGCTAGCGCCGAGCCCCCTGGCGATGCCTTAGCGGTTTGAGAGTTGGGTCCGCGGGGGGGGGGGGGTCGACTGCGACATGTACATACGCTGCCATCTGCGTGCATCTGTACCTGGCTGGCACGTACTCACGCACGCCAGAATCCACCTGCAGCCGCGCGGATTTCGGCTAGAAGCCACTTGGTCAGGTACCTCACGCCAAAGTACCCTCCCTACCTCTGCTACATGGCGGCCAGAGCGTGCACGGCGATAACGAGGTGGTGACATTACCGAAGACAGCAAGCAGTTGTTCGTAAAGTGATGGCCTCGCGCTTCCAACCATCCTTCCCGCTTCCTGTAGGAGCTACGTAGTTCGAGCTAACTAACGTACCTACTATAGAGCTTGCGGAGCATCCAGACGAGCTTGGGCGTCCGGAATTGAGCTATTCTACGGTAGAGGTTGTAGCCGTCACGGATGGCGGACAGGCACGTAGGTGCGGTAGATACGCACATATCCATACTAGAAGTAGGTACGCAGGTACATAGGCATGCGTGTGTGTACTGAGTATGAGGTGAGGTTAGGTAGTTTGCGCCGACATACCCGCCTTGCGCCCGGACGGTTCCTGCATCGTGGATCAATATACCCGCCCAGCAGCAGAGAGCCAGGAACCCAGAAGGCTGGAGCGGACGTGGAAACATTGAAACGTCGAGTTCTCAATCGTCGGACGCCAAACAACGCGCGTTGTCGAGCGTTTGGTCGAATCCGACCCCCTTCTGCGAGCCAGGATCGACTTCCGATTCTTCCTCATCAGAGAGAGCGCTTCCGGGTCGCAGCTTGGCTCTCGCTAAGAATCCCTACCAAGCACCTCACCTGCGATTGCGACAGCTCCGTACCCCTGAGGGAACCGAGGCCAATGCCACCCGTTCGGTCGATGGATTTGATTGAGGAAAGGTGGCGCCCGCTATGTAGGTATATGCCTCACTCATATGTCTACCTCTACATCCCGGCCTTTATTACTGTGCGTCCCGACTGTAGTAATCAGATAACTATGTAGGTACCTAAGGTAGATCCTCCCTCGAGCCCCGAAGCCCACAGACTAACCCAAGACCGAGAGAGGGCGTAACACACCGGCGCCCTCGTCTTAAACTTGGTAACTACACACATCCGCCAGGCACAGGCCAGTAAGCGCCACTACCAACGACTCATAGACAAAACAGTGTACCTACCTACATAGCTATCAGTTTCTATCACATGAGGGGATCAATGCTATTATGAAGAGAAAGTTCTTCATACCAGCATAGGGCTTAACCATACTCGAAACGTCTAAGAAGTCATTGTCGGAAAAGGAGAGTACCTGCCTAGGTATGTGGACCGAATACTCAGCAACTCGACGAAGATTCCCGCCCCCTTCTCCCGTAGGCAGACAAGTCCAGGGCGGCCGGCATCGATTTCAAACAGAGACAATAGACGCGCGCGGAACTTCGCCGTCGCGAAAGGAATCCGTCTTTGGAATGCTACCCGCCTTCTTTGTAGCTATGGCGACAAAGGCGTTAGAGGGCGCCAGCATTCCAACGGGACCTGCCCCGAGAATATCATTAGGGTCCCTGATATCGTAGAGATGCCTTGATGGTCCAACCGACGACGCCTTCTCCTTGCATCGTCCCTCTCCCTCCCTTCAACCACTTACGAATCAGAGGCGGCGCCATGGATAACGTAGCAGGGAACTACCGGGAAGCCGAGACGTATGAGTTCCTCACAGAGCTCAAGCCCGGCGTCTGGAAAATCTGTTCCAGGAGGGACAGAACAGAATACCTTGCCCATGACGTTACCGACATGCTCTATACCCAGGGAGCCGAGACGGCCCTGCAGCAGCTATTGAATAAGGAACCGAACGCCGCGCTGACGCTCCAGCTCGGCGACATCCTCAACCACGAGAACCTAGTCTCGTTGATAGACTGGCTACGGATCGATAAGACTCCTTTCGGGGGCCGGTTCAGGGAACGCCAGTACACCGTCTGGGACTATTGCGACGCCGGAAACCTGGGCAACCTCTTCGTGCTCCAAAGCCCGTCCCGCGGACCTCGCAGATTTTACCCGGAAGACGAAGACGCCAAAAAGGAACCCGATCTGGGAGGCGACGGGATCGACTGGCGAGACGACCCGGACGACCCGGACGACGACGACGCCCTGGAGGTCGCGCCCGTGGACAAGGTCGTATTCTTGCCCGAGTCCTTGTGCTGGCACGTGTTGATATCGATCCTCAAGGCGCTGGCGTGGCTGCACGACGGCAGCCGAAGCTTCAGGCGCACCGAAGATGGCAAGGGATGGGATATGCACCCGAAGGACCCGGACTGGCTGACCATGCTGCACCGCGACATCCACCCCAACAACATCTTCTTCAGCCATCCGAAGCGCAACGAGTGGTACGGAACCTGCAGGCTGGGCAACTACGGCAGCCTGTCCATCTCCAACCACAACCACGGGAAAAAGGGGGAGGTCCGCCCAGAAATCATCCTTAGCAAACCCCTGGCTCCCGCCCGGGGGAAGAATTTCCAGACTATCGAGGACCTCATCCGGTCGGACTACAAATACAGCTACACGTACCCGCAGCAGGTGAAGTTCCCGACGAGCCCCCACCCCCTCGACCTTTGATTCTGTGTGTAGCGCGCGCGCTGACCCCGTCCCCAGGCGGACCAACCGTACACGGTCGTCAGCGAGTGGCGGGCGTTCGGGGAGATCATGCAGGCGATGATGATACGGCCGGCGACGAACCGGCACCTGGAGTCGATCCCGACGCGGACGGTGCGGGAGAACCTCGAGCGCGCCGACTACTCGGACCTGCTGAAGAACCTGGTGGTGAAGCTGATGACGCTGAACCCGGACGAGCGGCTGCCGGACGGCGACTTCCGCACGCCGGACCGCGAGTACATGACGTCGCGGCTGTGCGCCGAGGCCTGGGCCGGCTTCCTCGAGTGGCGGCGGTCGGACCGCCCCGAGGCCCGCGGCATGGTCTTCGTCTGGGACGCGGTCGCCGACCAGGCCCGCGAGGACGTCCTCCGGCTCCAGTGGGGCGAGGTCGCCACCGAGGCCGCCCGCCGCATCCCGAGGCGCCAGGACAAGCTGTTCGGGGACAACTACGTAGACGCGTTCGGGCCGTTCGGAGAGCAGTCGCCGGCCCCCGCGTCCTAGCGCTAGGTACGCGACGCGTAGGGTAGACGGAATCGAGGGGCAACGAGCTGAGCGGACGACTGTAGCGCCCGCTCGCCATCGTGTGTCACGCTGTAATCTAGTGCGGACTCTGCATTTGCTGCGAAGTCCGAGACGCCATTTTGTACTAGTTGGGGTCTCACCTCGAGGTCTCTGCGTTCCTACCTAACTAAATACATGCATGCTATACCTACCTACCTACTTAGACCACATAGCACTCTCTGAAGTTTCCGCAGAGGTCGAATCAGTGTGATGCCTATCGTCCTTCTTCAACTGGTTATAAGTTTCGGGCGGGACCCCCCATCGGTGGCAAAAGGCAATGTCTCCCCACAACACAAGCCATCGGGTATGCATACATGATGATAATGGGCACCCGTATCCCACCTAGGCTGGCCACGCAGCTCGGTGACGTCGCTCGACACGTTCGACGCCCGCGCGCCGATGAAACCCGACCGCTTTTGCATTCCACCCAGCATTCGTTATGGGCATGTTTACGTTGTTGGGTAACTCTGGTTCCCGTTTCAACGCTCGAGTTGGCGTGATTGTAGCCAGGGCCGCGATAGCAGGAAGGCAGGCAATTATGCCTGCTGTTTGCACGAAACCGGACGCGCCGATGAGAGGAGAAGACCGTGGTTGTTACATGTGAAGCTGCCTCACCTCTTGTCATGAAACCTCTCTAGAACAAGTTTCGGCGTCGTATGCCCCCAAGCCTGCACGTGCTTTTGCAGGTCGTCGTGGAAGGGGGGGGGTTACGTGGCCAGGTTACGGACTCGTTTCGATAGGTAGAGGTAGGTATAGTAAATACCTTACGTATAGTATGTGTAGGTACACCTAGGTACATATCTACCTAGATACCTGTACTTCGGCCCACGAGTCTTGAAAAGAGGTAAATACATGGAGTTAGGTGGGTTGGCAGGTACCTATAAGTATATGGATTATAGGAGGCATCTACCTATATTTCTATCGGCTACCTAACTAAGGCACCTAGATGAGCAAACCCCCAGGTTCACTTGCGTGCCTAGGCACCTCATATACCTACCTAATATCTTGGGTTAGGCACCTAAACTTCCCTCCTCCCATGTGGAGGCGCCATGGGTTTGGGGCCGGCTGGGTCCATCTTACTGAGGTTGGGCACCACCTGCGATATGCAGCTATCGGGGACGCATGCGTGCAATCGCCCCGCATACCTGCGTATCTACGCGCGGGCAGATAACGTAATCCGCCCGGTAGCTGAATAAAGAGTACGCGCTTGCGCTGCGACCAATGCATGTCATCGCGCGCGCTTCCGTGCCTACCTACCTACCTACCTAGCCACCCCCCTTTTGACATTTGCGTAGGTCGAGACCAACCTTCAGAGACGTCACATCGGCAGCTTTCTCCGACTTGCTCGACACCTCCACAGCCCGGCGCCGCCTCCGCCATGGTGAAGTGACAGCCTCCCTTTGTCTGTCTCTCTGTCTATCCACCTATTTACCGCACCAACTTTATTTTTGGGTTTTACCGACTGCAGACTTACTTTATAGTTGGTTCCCAACCCGCCTGGACGAGCCCGTCCTGCCACGGCAAATACGATCTACCTACCTACCATCCTTCGAACCGACATCGTCTCGGGGGACGGCCGTCGCGTCCCCGAAACCCCTCCCCCCCCCCCCTTTTTCCCCCGACCCCCTTCCCCCGACCCCCTGACCCGCGTCGAACCCGACCATGCCGACCACCTCCGTGCCCACGCCCTCGCTGCTCCTGACCAAGCGCCTGACCGCCTTCCTGCGCTCGAACCTCGGCGCCCACATCCACACCGCGGCGCTCACCACGCCGTCGGGCAAGCTCCTCGCCCACGCGTCGCCGCACCCGGTCGCCGCCCTGCGCACCCAGTGCACCGTCGCCGCCTCTATATGGGCGCTGTACGCGACGGCCGAGGCCAGCACCGCCGTGGCCGAGGCGCTGCCGCCGCCGCCCGCGGAGCCCTCGTCGCCGCCCGCGCCCTCCGCCGTCGTCGTGCAGCTGGCCGGCGGCGTCGTCGTCGTCCGGCGCCTGCGGTGCCGGCTGCTGTTCGTCTGCGTCGGCCCGTCCGCTGCCGCCGACCTGGGCGCCAGCACTGCCACCCTGCCTCCGCAGCCCCAGCCCCAGCACCAGCTAGCCCGGCCCGTGCCCCAGCCGCCCGCGAGCGACCCCCACCACCACCACCACCACCACCACCACCCGATTAGCCCGCCGCTGGGCTCCCCCTCCGAGGTGGAGAGCGTGGCCAGCGCCGGCGCCGCGACCACGGCCAGCGTCGCGACCTCGGCGAGCGTCGCCGCCTCCGCCGCCGTCGCCACGCGCCGCCAGGCCGAGGAGCTCGCGCGCTGGCTCGACGACAGGCTCGGCTCGCTGGGCGCGCTCGAGGACGGCCTCGGGATCGAGCCGCGGTAGCGACGCGGGATGCGCGCCGCCGCTGCGGGCGAGCTCGGCCGCGGCCGTCTTCTCTTGCTTCCTTGCGTCGTCTGACCGTGCCGGCTGGGATGACGCGCAGGCTCCGACCTATCTACCGCCTCGGTTTTTTTTTAAACCGCTAGCTCGGGGCATGGAGCGCCTACGAGTTTCTCGTCCAAGTGTCGTTTCTCTAGGCCGGGCGTTTTTCCGGCAGCACTTGCCGGCAGGGTTTTGCGTGCTCCGGGGCCCGGCATGAGAGAGGAAGGGGAAGGGCGGGGCCAGGATGGTCCCGGACACAGCGAAACCTTCTAATTTGCCGAACCGTCACACCACATATACATATAGCGCGAACCGAACCCCGAGGGCGGGTCTCGGGCTGCTCTGCGTTGCTTACAGAAATAACGACGAGAGGTCGTCTGCGGGTGGGGAGGACACGCCGGCGGTCCCGCGCAATGGTCGATCGGCAAAAGCGTCGATAAGTGGTATCATTAGCCAGACAGGGCGGCGTAGATGGACACGCTCGGAACGTCGGTGTCAGAGGAGCGAGCACGACTCTCAGCCTAGGGGAGAAAGGCCCCGAGGGAACGGGGATATACTATTATACCGTAATAATAACAACCCACAATGTTCACGACTTCACGACAGACGGCAGGGAAACCTGCTCTCCTCTTTTCTTCTTCTTCTTCTCTCTCTCCGTCTCTCCTCGTTTTATCCTGCATGGAGGGACGATGGTTCGTACAAAAAAAAATTACACCACAGGCGTTCTTCGGGCACACGTACATGTTTTTTCTCTTTATGGATTCCAGGGTAGAGTAGAGAGGTGTAGTCAGGCCATTCCCACACCCCCATATTAACCGGCTCCTCGCCGTTGACGGGCCCGATCTATTTGCTACCGAGTACTCGTGCTGGCTACCTTTTCTTCCCTCTCAGCCTATGAAACAAGTTCTCCTGTGTGGCATGAAGCCTTTGCCTAGGTATATTCCGATGGACATAGTATATGTGTACGTAACGAGGAAACGGGGTATCGGTCAGCTACTACGACGAAGAAAACATACATAAAAACCCCGATGACGAATAGAAACCGAGTATAAGGCGCCTAATAGCGTAGTAGGCTGGCATAGGGGTATCACGGAGAGAGGGATAACCCGGCGCATTTCGTCTCCCACATCCTGACGCCGTCCACCCCCAATCACAGTTGGAAAAAGCCTGATAGGGCAGACGCAGCACGTGTGCTCTACCAGGTCTTCTCAGCCTGGAAGCCGACAGAGTACCTCGGCACCGAGCTATTCCAGCAGACGGGAATCATCGTCAAGATGTTGACGAACCTGTCACCATTCTTCTTAAAGTTGGTGACTTGAACGGCCAGCTCGGTATTGGAGGCCACTGCCCGGCTCATCCTCTTGAGTACGTCCTTGTCGACGTGCTTGCGGGCGGAGGATTTGCGGACCTTGCCGCCCGGAGCCTGTAGGAATCGACAGTTTCGTCCGATGACCTCGGACGGGGAGAAACCGGTCAACACGACGAAGGCATCCGACACGTATACTATGGGGTAGTCTGGCTGCTGTAGATCGCACAAGATGAGGGCGCACGATGCGTCGATAGGACCAAGCTCGACGGTCGGGCACGGCCTCATCATCACGCGGGCCTTTCGGTCACGTTAGGATGTACACACGAGTTTAGCATGTGTATGTACCTACAAGGATGCCTAGAATATCGACGCCGCTTGGGGCGTACAGCCCCGGGTAGATAATGCTATCGTGTACCGTATCGTTGACGTGTATGGCGACGTTGGTGGTAACCGCGCCGGTGTCATCTTCGTAGCGATACTTCATAACGGGGGCTCGTTAGCACTCCGCCTCTCGATCCACGATGGTATATAAAAGGGGTGTTCGGATCCTCTCGGTCTAGGCGGGCTTACTTGTAGCGAACTTTCTTCCCACGGATTCATGGTAGCCATTGTTCGAGAGCGCTGGCGAGAGTTTTGCGAGCCACCTGGCATCGAGCGTGGAACAGGAAAGGGGGAAAGGCCTGGGATGCAGAGGTTGGGCGGGCGGGCGAGCTTGTACCTGAGATTTCCGCACACATACTTGGAAGTCCAGGGGCCGCCTCGACTATGTATATTACACCTTCCCCGGTTACTACGATGCTTGGTAGGTCTGCTTTGGATTTCCAACGAGGCCGAATTGCACTAGTTGATGGTGAAAGAGGAGCGGAGACTCGTAGGGATTCGCGCCGAATCGCATGCCGAGGCCGTACGCTGTCCGACTTGTGCCTCCCCGGCTGGCTATCGAGATCAAAGCAAGGAAGTCCTGGAGCATCGCGATCTGCCGGCACCAAAGAGCGGCCTACCGAATTGGCGATGCATGCCGCCTCGTATATTGGACCCGATGTGGGTGTCAGGCTGCACGGGGGGAAGAAAAAAACCAGCTAGCATGTTTTGGTCCAATAGTGTAGAGAGCGCCGAGAAGCGAGAGGCCAAGACGGGATTCTGTTGGATGATCGCCGCGGTTCGATGCCATCGCCGTGATCGAACACCGCCCCTTAGTATCAGTCTCGGCAGCCGGTTTGAGCTACACCAGCCCTATCGACCTGTTTCCCGGAACAGGCTTAACGACTGGCCGAGAACAAACAAATAGGAATAATCGGCGACTTACACGTACCTATGGGGCAGGCCAGCCTGTTGACCCAGTCCGTCTGACTTTTATCAAATTAGATCCTTCACAATTGTCCGGTGTCCAGGGTCGCGCGGCTGGCCAGTCTCGGGGTCTCGTACATCGACGCCTTAGACAGTCGTCCGCCACCGCGCCAGCGGGTGCAGACTCGAGGGTATAGACGGCGGGGCATCCAACACGGCCGGTAACACGACGAACAATGGGGGGGGGTGGGGGGTGGACGTCCATCGGAGACTACCATAGGGGAATCATCCGAATAGGAATTTCCCAGATATCGAGAGGCTGACGCCTTTTCCCCCGTCGAACTGCCTTTTTTTTTTTTTTAGCATTAGGACAGGGATAGGCGTGAGACTAGCTTGGCTAGACACCACGATGGGTTGGTTGCTGGACAGACAGACGGGCTTCGGAATAGACGATTGCGGCGAGACACTTGGTGAGGTACTGGGTGAGGCCGGTAACGAGGCACCCAGGGTTAGGTGATGATACTGACTAGGAGGTACGTAGGAGGCGGCTGAGGGTTGAGACCTACACGTAGATACCTATGTACTTGATTGATGCCCAGGGGGCGGGTCCTCGTGCCCCGATCGGTGCGAGATCTGGGGGCGAATCTCTCCCCGTCCGCCACCATCGGCTCGGCATTTTTAGGAGTGGACCCATAAATCTACGAGGTACCTCTTACCTGCCTATCTGCCTAGGTACATACTATACTCACAGGTAGGTGCTACGCGTACCTACCTAGGTAGTATAGGTATGGCTTCCCTCCTATACAGATGCTACCTCAACCTCAACCTCAACCTCAAAGAAGGTACCTAAGTACATAAGCAAATGGTACCTGTCCGTGGGAATTCCATGCTATAAAGGAGGCAGGCAATGCCGAACTCTTTCTACGTATATCCGTCATGTGTGACCTTCCTCGGACCAATTCGTTCAGTAACGTCAGCGGCAGCTTACCGAAGGTCAACGGTCCTTCTCTCGATCGCAAGCATCCCTGGCCAACCCATCCCTGGCGCCTCCCATCCGTTAGCTACATATACCCACTACGTGTACCTACTTACCGACCTACGTTATGATAGATATATGCACCTATGGGGGACTACCCATTGCCGTTTTCCCGTCCGCCACCCCTGGCCTTCTCCCTGCCTCCCTACCTACGATGCAGCAGATTTAACCCGAAACCGGGACGACGAGGGCCAAGGTTTGAAGAACGAGGATGGAATGAAAAGAAAAGAAAAGAAAAGAAAAGAAAAAAGGCTGAGAAACAAGCCAATTCGGCATTATCCCTCACGCGCCCGGCAACGTTCATATATATGGGTTGCGAGACATCTACCCGCATGTCTCACTGCGTATTCACCGCCATCCTGTAAATGCCCATCAGGGGGACGGATCGGAAATCTCTGAAAGCATCGCCGATCCCGTCGCATTCCTGAGTCCGCCGAGCAGAGTTTCCGGAACAGTGGCTTTTCTTCTCCCCACCTACGTAACTGACTGACTCAAAAACAGCCCAGGGGCAGGCAGGACCTTATCTCCGGTCCCGGGACATTGGGCCGTCCAGCTAGAGAAAAACCATCGAGTATTAGTGTGGAGGGCGTCGCGTCTGCCGTCTCTTACCGGTGCTGGCAAGCCTCCATCCGCTACGCCAGTGAAGCGTATATAACGAGCACACACACACACACACACACATAAAAATAGTCTCCGTAGCGAGACCAGACGTCTTTCTGGTAAAGGGAGTCGATGTAAAACTACACGCTCAGGCCATAGCCCGCGTAAGCTAACCCGTTCCTGCGATCTAACTCAACTGAGTGATCAATGCGAACTTGTTTGCGCCTGAATTTGCCCTGGCGCGATCGCGAATGCCTATGACGCCGAGCCATCCGCCGACGCCTGTCCCCAGCCGATGACGCTTAGGGCCCAATATTGAGATGCTAGCCTGGGTATACGCACAATAATTCGTACAGTATCAAGACACGAAGTTGGCCGACACGCCAACGCCAACTTCCCCTACTTGCCATCCGCTCCTCCCGGCACGGGGGCGCATACCCCCCCGTCCCCATCCATAGCTTCCGAATCGGCCCTAGCTGGCTTCAATCGGGAATGCGTATGCTAATGCACGCGAAAACCGCTCTCCGTAACGCGTCGAGGACGGATTTGGAAATGCCGAGAAAAACTGCTGATACAATGCTGGTAATAACACATAAAACGATAACAAGGCCGTACCCGGCCGGGGATCTGTACAGGGAATCGGGTAGTCAATGGAGACCGACCAGGCGTCGGTTCTTAGCTTGTAGCTGTCGGAATTTCTTGTCCAGCACCTCGTGCTGCTTCTTGGCTTGGGTCCACGCGCTCTCTGCGTCTTCCACGCTCATCAGAGGCGTGCTGCCGATCGACGGGGACGGGCCACCGCTGGCGTTGTCATAGCCGGCGTACACGCCGTCAGCCGTGCTGCTTCCCGCCGAACTGTGGCTGAACTCATCGCTGGTTCTGCCGGGGAACATCTTTCTCTGGTCCTCCGAGGTCTCACCAGAAGAGTACATCCATGGCGCCAACTGCTGTAGGTTCACATTCTTCCCCGAATTGGAATTGAGCCCCGTCGCCTTGTAGTTGTTGAGGTTGAGGGACGGGAGGACGTGCTGGTTGATGCAACTGATGGCTTCTTCACGGTGCATCTTCCCGACGGGATCGCTCGGATAGTTGTCTGGTCCTGACGGGAAGTACGACGGTGTGCCGTTGGGTACAGCGCGGTTTTTCACGAGGCTAAAGCCTGCCGCGGGCGCGTACCGTGGCGCCGAGAAAGCGGTGGGGCGAATGCTGTCGGCCCTGAGGCGGTCTTGCAGCTCGAGGAACAGGTCCGCTTCGTCCTGCGTCAGGTTGAGCAAGCAATCGCCGTTCGGAGTGAGGAGCACCGTGTGCTCGTTGACGACTTTCCTAACGGGCTGGAATGCATTGAGTTTGTCTTCGTCGTCTTTCGTGACGATTGCCTTCAGCGTCGGTGGCAGGGCCGCCGGCATATTTCCAACCGAATCTGAGCGGTAGCCTTGGACCGTCTTGAAGAAGCTGATCCCTTCAGCATCGGGGAAGCCGTTGCTCTCGATGACGGCCCGAAACACGTCGCGGAGGTTAGGGATCTCGCCGATGTCCTCGTCCACAGGCTGCTCCGGTTTGGGTTCTGCACCGTGACTGACGTAGTCAGGAGTGAGGACCGTAGTTTTCGTCGACTCATTCAACTTTATGGATGTATCGATCGTCGCCGGGCTCTTTGGGGGGGTCCTGGCCGGCCTGCCCTTTTGATCTCCGGCCTTAGACGACTCCCCCGCCAGTGCCGAGCCCTTGGTGCCTTTGATAGACTTCTCGCCCAAATCTGTAGGGGTCGTGACGGTGTTCTTCTGGGACACCGAGGCATCGACGTGCGGTTCCGGGATGCTTGGTGTGTCGGGGCGACTCACAGTGGTCGTCTTCTTCTCCTTCTTCTGTTTCTTCTTCCTTCCGAGGATAGGGGCAATCTCCACCTCTTGTTCTACCGGCTTGGATTCGGCGATCTGTGCAGCGGCCTCCTTCGAAGCTTCCTTCCGTTGTTTGCGTTGCTGGCTCTTCGTCGTTGGACGCACCGATGCTGAGCCGCCCTTCGAGGGAGGAGGGGAACTTGTTCGGGACACCGAGACGGACGCACTTACAATGGACGCGGTGTCGGAGATGGCCTCGCTAGTGGGTGTCGTGGGTCGATTGGCGGAGCTGGCTATGCTACCGGCTCGGATGGAAGCGGCAGCCGCAGGGGGAATGTGAATAGGCGGCATTTCCGTCTTCGGAGTGTGGACGAGGCGGAGTGTCTTAGGAGCCGCCCTCGTGACGGGGGACGACATGGATGCCGTAGTGTGCGTGGGTGTGGGCAGATTGGAGGACCCTTGGGTTTTCTGAGCCTGGCCGGCACTAGCATGAGCTTGACCGACCGACCTATCGGGTTCGCTGGTGACTCCATTGACGCGGGCTTGCGCGGTAGCCTTGGTGGCTGCCGCGATGTCAAGAGTGCCCGGAACCGGCCTTTTTTCGGATCTACTGGGACTGACGACGGCCTTTTCCAAAGGAGGTTTAGCTACTGCTTCGCTGGCACCCTTCCTGCCCTGAGGTGCCTTCACAGGTGGAAGCGGTTTTGACGGCAATGCGGGAGTTACCTTGGGAGGTGAATTCGCTTTAACAGAGTCGAGTGCCGGGAAATCTTCTTCGTGTAAAACGCTCTTCCCTTTCGCTAACTTGGACGCCTGAGAAGCGATGTCTTGAGACAGGCCACTCCTCGCAGCCAGTTCCTTAATGTTCTTCTTCGCTTCGCTTCCGCCAGCCAAAGCGCTCTCTTTCCTACCTGGGACAGTCGGTTTCATGCCGATCCTGGAGACGAGTGGGGTTACGGGCCGCGGGATGGCCGGCGATCTCGAGGACGCCGTATTCTGACCCGCCTGGCTGGTGGGCACAGGCGTTGAGCTTCTCTCCGCAGCTTGCACCGGGGGCTGCGGGGGGCCTAGGCCCAGCCCAGACGGCACCGACGGCACCGACGCCCGTCCGTCATCCGGTATGTACGGAATCTGAGGCTCCTCCGGCCCGTCGGTATCCGCGACTAGCGCGTCGACAGAGGAGGAGACTTCGTCGAAGGGTATGAAATCATCATCTAGAGGGTGGATACGTTAGCTACTGAGATCAGACCGCGTGGTGAGCTACAATGTGAAAGGGACGGGAAGGCCGGCGTCACGTCACAAGCGTCCATCGTCGTCTTCCACAGTTTATACATGAAAATAGCAACGGGTACGAGGAAGAAATGCTATATTTAGACAGCCTCTCGGGTCTGGTCTGGAGGCTCGGCCTGCGTGTTAACGTACATGAAGAATGTGGAAGACGACGATGGCTTGCCTGACGTGACCCTTTTTTTTGACCGAACAACGCGCGGGAACAAATAAATGAATAGTGCCAGAAATGAAGTGTGTATCTTCTGAAAGGCAAAGCCTCGGCCGGGAAGCCTCGTCGTTTCCAAGAGCAAGTGGACGCCAAATGCAACCTAGACCCGCCCTGGGCCATGCCTCTGCAATGCTCGCTCAAACAATGTGCTGGAAAGTCCGATTATCTCTCCCTGACCATTTCCGAAAACCCGGACGCCCTAGGACATACCCTCGCCGAAGCCAAGCAAAGTCAAATGTGCCGCCAATCCCCTATGAGCACCGCGGAACGGCTACCATCTGCCGTATCCGCTGCTCCCGTAAACCATGTTGGGGTTGTACCCACCTTGGGTTTGACCACCATACAGCCCCTGTCCGACTCCGGTGCTGTTCCCCTGTTGCTGGTGCGGTATTCTCGCCTGCAGGATACTCGGGTCCGCAAGATCTACTAAGCCACTCCCCCCAGAGGAGGAAGTGTTAGCGTGTCTGTGCTTCTTCCCCTTCTTCTTCTGCTTTGGTCCGAAATCTTGGAAAGCTCCAGGCTGGGTACCATAGAGCGATGCCAGGAGGCCCGGAGCCGGAGCAGGAGCTGGGGTGGAGGATGTGGAGGGTGGATATTGGTTATGAAAAGAAGAAAAGTACTCACGCTTCGCCGCATCGTGGGCCTGGTTGCCACCCGCACCCCTTCCACGAATGATGGATTGCAGGAGCTCACTCGAAGTGTCCTTGGATGCTGCGCCAAACGCCGATCCTCCGAAGGAATGACTTTGACCAAACATCCCGCCATTCACAGGCGTGGTGCCAGCCGACTTGAGTCCGGGGGGAGGCCCCGGCATCGACGAAGGATACAACTGAGTTCCTGGCTGCGAACGGTACGCTGACGGCATCATAGACGACTGCTGCGCCATGTATCGAGGGTCGCCAGTTGACTTGACGTTGATCGAGCTGGAGCTGCTCTCATTCGCGAAGCTGAACCTCGACTGCTGGCGAGTGTGCCCCTGGCCCTGGAACAAGGAAGACGGCTGAGAGATTCCCGGCGGCATCTGGTCAGCGAAACTGCCCTGTGGTCGTACAAAGAGCTGCTGTTGCGGCGTTATAGTACGACCGCCAATAGAGCCGACCGCCGAAGAAGTCTGACCGTACCCGGACAAACTAGGTCCGAACAGCTCGTTTGCATTGGTTCGTTGAATTGGGGGCTGTGGCAGATTTCGTCTCTGATCGTAGCGGCCGCTTTCGCGACCCTGATCTCTATCCTCAGGCTCCCCCCCGAGAGCAAGACTACCACTTTCAGGCTCGCCTTCAGACGGCTCGAGGTTCTCTACTGGCTCCTCGTGGTCGCCCAGACGGTTCTCCTCCTCATCCCTCAAGGCACGTCTCCGCGCTCCACCATTGACGTCGAAGAGAGGCGGGTACGAATCGTCGTCAAGGCTGCGCGGTAGAAACACGCTTTCAGGGCAGGCGGCGAGGATCTTCATAACGATGCTGAAATCAAGCATATCTGGCTTTATTTCGGTCGCTGCTTTCGTATTGACGGGACCGGATTTGGCCGGCGTGTCTGTCGCAGGCTGCTTATCGGGAGCCTTTCGACTCAGCGAGCTAGGCGCCTCTACAGCTGCTGCAGCTTCAGTGGAGTCTTGCGCAGATGCAGCAGCAACGGGCAGTGAGGTCGATATAGCGGGGCTCGAGGCAGCACCGCTCGTAGCGTGACTACCCCTTCTGCTTCGCTGCTGGGTTGTGCGCGCCCAATTGGCCGAGGCTGGTAAGGCCGGCCCATCACCGGCGTCCGATCCTTCTTTGCTAGAGGTGCGAACCATGGGCTGCGAACCGCCGATCGGGTGACTCTGTTGGCGCGACGCAGAGCGCGAGGACGAGGCCGCATTAGAAAGCGGGCGCTGCGTGTGGACGCTGTTCAACGACGAGAGATCCTGCCGCGAGTAGCTGTCCTCCTCGTCACCCAGCTCATGCAAGAACATGCACTGGCGATTTCCGCATTGCTCGTGCCTGAGCCACGCTGAACAGTACTTGGTCGTTCCAAGCTGCGCCTTGAGAACGCGATCGCCGTTTTGCGAGCCGTGTACGGCGAGTATGCACCGATCTGCGTCTTCTTTCTTTTCGAATGTTACGTAGATACCAAGGGATTGGGGCTGGCCATCGGCAGACTTGCGATTACTAATCGAAATCTTTTGGATGTTGCCGTACTGGCCGAAGAATTCGGGCTTGCGAAGCGTCTTGAGGAGTTCGTCTTCGCGTACGGTAGGCGTCAGACCCGTCACATAGACGAGGTTCTTCTGTACGACGCGGACACCCTGGAGATTCTTGCGATTCTCTTTCTCGGCCTCGCGCCTCTGGGCTTCCTTCTGGCGCTGTTCCGACGCCCGCTTCTTCTGATTCTTCTGGATGTTGGCTCTGAATTCAGCCTCCCTGAAGGCAATTAGCTTTCCACCTCGCGCTCTGTGTTAAGCAACTTGTACATACTCCTCGTGTGTGACCACCTTCCACTTGATGTCTTTTTCGTCGTAAGGCCGTCGGCATGCGGGACATAGTCCGTTCAGGTTGTTCTTGAGATTGTTGTAGCAGAACTGACAAATCTGGGTCCAGTCGGTCAGCGGCTCGCCCAAGCATGCGGTGCGGGTCCTAGCAAGGTGCCTACCTGATATCCGCAAGGACATGGACGAAAGTTCCGATCCGAAAGATCGAATTCTTCTATGCAGAGGGGGCTAGAGGCGAGATATTAGTCATCTTGTGGCCACATACGCGTCGGGAAGGCAGAGGGTGTATCCAGCGCCGTTTGAGGGGTTTGGGGAGGGGATAGGCGTACCAAGTGTCATCTTCTTCATCAATGAACGTATCTTGAGGGGCCATTTTGATCCCCGTCGATACGGTTTTAGGGCCTGCGTCGGTCGAGATGGAGAAGCAAAACGTAGCGAGCCCCGGTGCCAGGATATAGAGTCTCCCAATCTCTGGCTTGAGGGTTTATATCAGAGACAGGCAGCGAGGCAAGGCGTGGGTGTGGGCACAAAAGGCGCGTCGAGCCGGTGTGTGAGGCAGGGGCTAAAGTCAATGTCGGGCGGTGGTGTAGGATACAAAGTGACTACCAGGCATACGAGGCGGGAGAGAGGCCTAGAAACGCGTCCGCCGAAGAGGATTACTACGTAGGAAGAAAGGGAGGCAGATCTGCGTGGTGTCGTCGCGTGCTGTCAGGGGCGCAGGGGCAAGAAGAACGAAGAGAACCGGCGATAGCTGGCAAGTCGGCGTGAGAAAAAAAAAAAAAAAAAAAGAATATCGAGTTTAGACAGAAGGTGAGAATGGACGAAATAACCAGTCAATAGAGAATAAAGACTGGGGGATGTGAGCAGCTCCCGCCCGGCCTAAACAGGCTTAGCGTCTTTCCTTTTCATTTTTTGCCGCACAGTGGCTGGTACAATCTTCGGAAAGCCCTGGTATAGGTTCTATTCCATAGTGGAAGAAGAGCCATTAGGTAAGCGTTTCGTGTGGCGGATGCGCAGGCAGGTGGGGCATCAATAGACGGATCCGCCAATAATAATTAGGAGGCTTGGCCAGAGGTGGGGCCGCCATCCTGCGCGGTCTGGACGCTGATAAGTCGCTCTGCCCAATGGGCATGGAGTAACGCCTTCCGCTTACCTACTAACTCAACTGGCAGATAACCCTCCAATGATGTGTACTTACGCGTACGTCGTGCGACGGAATTTGGATGGGTGGCCTTTCGCGAAACGTCGGGGTAGGTAGGTACTTTCGGTGTGTGGACCGCCCGCCTCAGACATTAAGCAACAGCCCCATTGACAGGGGAAGTTTGGAGGTGAAGGGCCGGGGTCATGTGCTACCATGGTGCCTACCTACGTCACGCATACATGTAGATGCATACAACACGTAAACGTCGAGCATCTTGATGAGACACTCTTGGCAGCCTAGGTCCGGTTTAGGAGGAGGTATTTTTGGAGGCAAGTAGACACATTAGCTAATGTATTTCCTTCCGCGGTTGCTCCCGAAGAGAGAGTACGAGGATGAGTGGCGCTTTAGGAGAGAGGTACCTAGGAGGTAGGTAGGAAGGTTAGCTTAGGTAGGCACCTCCCGCTTAAGGTACCTCCTAGGGTACATAAGGTACGTGCAGTACCTGTAGGTACCTAAACCGGTCTACAATGGACATTAAGAAGCATGTACCTCAGGTACATAGGAGAGGTAGGCACCTAAGAGGTAAGGGTACCTACAGAAGGTAGAGGTAGACAAGTACTTCGCCACTTGACTGATCCTCTGTCCAATCTATGAGGAAAGGTATGTCTCAAGAGAAGGGGCCGAGGTATGCACCTACCTAATGCGGCTGCTCGAACGGTTATAAGTAGGTAATATCGGTGAAGTCGGAATAAGCGCTAACATTGATCCGGATCCGTCAACGCCCGGACCCCGACAAGCCGATGCCAACCCATCTAGAAAGCCCAAGATGCAAAATCCCTGGCCTGATTGGTCGAAACCGCCCCCAGAGTGTACACTTCTTCACTGCGAGGCCAGCTCTAGTCTGGAAATGTCACTTACCTAATTGAACACTCGTCGGGGTATATCGTCAATTCGTCCCTCATCCCCTCCAACGCGCAATCCATCCGCAATTAACTGGCCCATCCGCCATCGTCCCCCCGGCCATGGCGACCAAGCTCTCCCGGGGCAGAGCCCTCGCTTCCGCCCTGCGACCGAGGAACGCTCCACTGGCGGGTCGGAACGACCAGGTCGCACGCTGTATCGCCTCTACGGCTCGCCGGCACGTCGCGTTGCCGAAAGACGCCTCCAACATGAGGCAAGCGCCGCGAGACCACCCGAGAGAGCTCAAGGCCCCCATCGTCAACCCTGCCGACCAATACGCCTCGAAAGCCGACGATCTCCACCGTTATGGGTCCTGGCTCATGGGCTGCCTGCCCAAGTACATCCAGCAGTTCTCCGTCTGGAAGGACGAGCTGGTCATATACGTCTCGCCGTCCGGCGTCTTGCCCGTCTTCTCTTTCCTCAAGTGTACGAAGCCCGTGCCCTCCCCCTGCCCTACCCCGCCTGCTCCGGCCGCCCCGGCAGGGTCCTATTTCGCTGACCCGCAAGCCAGACAACACCGCCGCCGAGTTCACCCAAGTCAGTGACATCACCGCCGTAGACTTCCCCACCCGAGATCAGCGGTTCGAGATCGTCTACAACCTGCTGAGCGTGAGGCACAACGCGCGGATCCGAGTCAAGACGTACGCCGACGAGGCGTCGCCGGTGCCCAGCATCACGCCGTTGTTCGACGGCGCCAACTGGTACGAGCGGGAGGTCTACGACATGTTCGGCATCTTCTTCCTCGGCCACCCCGACCTGCGCCGGATCATGACCGACTACGGCTTCGAGGGCCACCCCCTGCGCAAGGACTTCCCCCTGACCGGATACACCGAGATCCGCTGGGACGAGGAGAAGAAGCGCATCGTTACGGAGCCGCTGGAATTGACTCAGGCCTTCCGCAACTTCGAAGGGGGCTCGACGGCCTGGGAGCCGGTCGGGCCGGGCGCTGATCGCAAGCCGGACACCTTCAAGCTGCCAACCCCGAAACCCGAGAAAACGGAAGAAGCGCCTAAAAAATAGCCGTCAGTTTCGGCATTTGTACATAGCCACGACACAATCGAAGCCGGTGGTCTCGCGCCGTATTTGTCGTTGTTGATCTTCACACGTATGATCCTCTCCTGGTGACGCTGACCTGCAATACGTTATATATCGGAGTGAGGCTCAAGCTTGTCATCTACTATCCTCGCTAGGGAGATGAGTTTTCTCTATAGCTTCCCACGCAGAGTAGTGATGTAAGTACCTAGGTAATAGGCCTACTCGTATTTGGCCGTGTGAACGGCCCACGTAGCTTTGATATCGTTGGGCAATTCAACTAAGGCAAGGTAGGTCTGCTAGCTATGGTGGGCCTTCGGTTATGTATCGACGCTCGAACGTCTTCCCGTTGTTCTCCTAGCACACGTTGCTGTTCCGGTATGGTCCTTACCTTCACGACTGCCAGAATCGAGGTCCGGGAGAGCGAATGCCCCAACACCACGAGAGACCGGCAGAGAATAAAAGATACGAGTCTCGGAACACAGGGAGAGCGACGTACGGGGCTCGGGCGATCGAGCCAGCCCAAATGACAGGCCGTCAGAATAGGTTATTTGTTCGCCATGGTATCATCGATAGCAACTGCTAGCTGCAATGCTGCCGCCAACAACACCAACAGTCCAGGTGTTGACCACAGATGAGGAAGTTGAGGCGAAGACATCACGATCTCGGTAGAAGAATGCGCAAATCGCGTTGCCGGGTAGGCTTAAGGATTATAGGGGTGGTTGATGGTGGAAGTCGAGTGACACATACCGAATTCTACGATATGCTCGCTAGAACGGGCGAATTGGAGCTTTAGAACGACTGAGCAACAAGCTAGGAACGGCAAAGGTTGGAGACAAGCGCGCTATTATACACTTCATAACCGCCCACCTCTTTCTCATGATGCATGCGCCCCTAGCGACCTTAGCCACATGATATAGCCGATCGAGAGTACCGCCCAGACCCGCAACAACACTGGTGGCCCTTCTGCTGCGCCCAAGCCATTGACCGTACACCATCTCCCACTAACGTACAACAACCGCCTTATGAAAACCGCAGGATAGCCGATGATGCCGCCCATTAGTCAGACTGCTCATCTGCCGAATCCCATATTATGGGCGGCGGCTCCTGAATCTCGTCATTGACCAGGCTGTCCGGCAGCATCTGGCTCCGGGTGAGGAACTGAGAAGACCTCAAGGAGTGGCGCGTGCTCCGGTAGGGTGCCGGGCTGCTGCTGTGTAGGACGCTGGCCGACGGCTCGCGGGACAGAGCCGTCTCTCGAGGAAGTGACATCTCTGGGGACACCGCCGGGCTGCTGACCGTGGTGGCCTGCGAGGGTCTTACGAAACTGTCACGTCTTTGGCTCGGGGGAGCGGGAGCTGCCTGGGAAGCAGGTCCGGGGCGTCGGCTCGAACTAGGTCTTGCAGGTCTCGTAAAGGGGTGGCCGCCACCTCTAGACCGGGTTCTCTTGGGAGTCGACTTGAGGGGTGACTGGCTCGAAGGAACCACCTCGTCCGCATCCTCCTCCGCCGACGGATGTTGAGTCGAGTAATCTAGGTCGCCCTGAAGCTGGGCTTCGAGTTCTTGCGAGACAGTAGTGCCCAGACTGCTCGGCACCACCGTAGCGTCTGCTTCGTGCGCCTCTTCTCCTTCTGCGCCGAACAAAGCACACTTCAAGTTCGCTGTGAGTTCCCCGACGACCGCAGGAGGAACCCAGGTATATTTCTGCGGAGCCGCGGCTACCCAGCCCTTCCTCTTCATTTCATCCAGGGAGACCGGGTTGTTCAGCTCATACACCTGGAGTATCTCGTACGCGTATTTCATCACCGTCTTCCCTCCGTTGAACTCTGCGTTCCCGATCCCCTTCTCGCCCTGGATTTCGCCAGGTGTTTTGGGGGGGCCGAGGACGCACATATACTTTAACTCCGAGAATGGTCTAGTCGAATAGATCCAAACGCGACACACGCTAGGCGGTATCTTCCAGGACCTGAACTCGTGGTCTTTTGTACGGTCAAGGATCTTCGCCAAGGGCTCGGGGTGGAGGGATACCAGAATATCGGAGTTTGGCGTCTGCGGGCCGAGAGCATTGATAGCGCTCAAGGGGAGCCGCTGGCTCTCGGGCCCCTGCGTGTAAAATTGAGTCTCTGGCCTCTCCGTGTTCTTCTCGGATGGTAGTGCTTTCTGTGGAGAAGACAAGGGCGGTTGTTCTACTACGGCAGCCGAAGGATATGCAGTTATACTACTAGACCGGGCAGTTCTGGGTGTTTCCTTTGGCTTGGGCGTGGGGGTAACCGATCGTGACCGGCTCGACTCTGAAATCTCGCCAACACCACCAAAGTCGAGGCCGAGCTGGCCGTTTGAAGAAAGTAGCTGGGCTTGCGTTTCGTCGCCGATAACACCGTAGTAAGTTTCTGGTTCCTCGGGCTCGTCTGTCGATAGTATGCCATGGCCTTCCCCTGACTTTGTTGGCACGTTTGCATCATCCCCCGCGGTTTCCTCATCGTCATCGTCTTCAGCCACGCCCAGATCGTCGTCTGAGTCGGGAACCTCACGTAGGGGCGGCCGTCCCGGGGTCTTTCTCAGTGGCTTCGGAGACTTAGGCTTCGTGCGCCCTGGCGTGATGTTTTCTTTATCTTCGGGTAGCTGGAAGCGTATCCTCCTCCCGGAAGTGGCCTTGGCAACAGATTTAGGGGTGGGCGTGGCCAGGGAGCTATGAGCGGTGCTGTACGAATCCGGAATGACTCGGTCTCCTGGGGTCTTCTGCACTCTCTTTATAATTGGAGAAAGTGCTGCGACGTTGGTTGACTTCGCCGTTAGAGGCGAATCGTGCGGTGCTGGGCTGTAACGCATCAACATTGGTGTTGTTGGCGTGTGAGAAGACGGAATCACAGCCTTCGTCCGACGGTTGGTCGGAGTCACGGATGGGATTGGGGATGGGGTCGAAGACTGAGCTCCCGCTTTCTTTTCCGGTTTGGACTCATCAGTCTTGGAAGGCGCCTGGGTCTCTGGCTTCCTCGGGGTCTCCATGACGAAATCCAGATCATCATCAACTTCGGAGTCCTCGACTTGCCAGGCGGTGTCATCCTCCTCCTCTTTTGCGGAGAGGAACTGTGTCAAGGTCTGCGTGTGGAAATTACTAGATGGGATAGGGCTTGGGGCATCCCCCAGTGTTTTCCGCCTCTTGGTGTCTCTCGGTTTCTCGCCTGTGACTAATTCATCGCCTGTAGTCTTTCGTCGGAGGGCCCGACCCTTCCTCTTGGGTTTTGTATCCTCCGCAGGCTCTTCAATGTCGGTTTCCTTTTCCTCTTCGTCCTCCGTCTCCGCAAGAGGCTCCTCTGGCATGGGTGATGACATAAAATCCATCTGGGTCAGGGTACTCTGTCTTGGGTTTGGGTGGGCGGCCCTGGTGCGCCCATATGTCTTCACATGTCGTCGGCGGGGCGGGAACAGTTGTTGCTGAGGAGGAGCGGCCGTCGACCTATATGATCGCACCCCGGGTGGCATGGTTATAGCAGCTTGGGAAAGCCCTACTTGTTGAGACCTCTGACTAAAGGTATACAATACGACGTACACGGGTTTCCGACGAAAGGAGTCGATGCCTGATAAAAGAACCCTCAGACAGACTTTATAGAATGGGCTTCGAATCAGCCGCTCCCTTTCTCGGCGGAGGGGAGGTAGGAGGTAATATCGATTCTTCCAGCAGACCGACTTTTGTGGATGACGGTGTCGAGAGACGAGAGGGGGAGTTTATGGAATGGCAACGCGATGGGTTGAGACGCGGTCGCAGGGTCAGGCAGGTGGTGGCACTTTAATTAGCGACTAGCGCGTCAAATGCATATCTCCATATGAAATTACCAGAACATCGGCTAGTCGTCCCATATATAGGTAGGTACCTAGGTACGTGGCATGCTTATGTTGGGTACCTCTTATTCACTGACAAGTGGGCTAATACAAGGGGTATGTCCCTACGCCTAACCTACAGTTGATTCCCCGTCTTGGGTGTCTAATATGTGTACCTACGTACCTATATATACATATCTGTGTATCCCGTCAATTGCGTCAACCAGGAGATGACATGCAGCATTCCGAGCCATCGATTGGGTCTCGTAAGGCGGGCATGCACGTAAGCCATACCTGGGTATACTTACACAGGTCACACGACAGCGCATACGCATAACGCCTTGACTTGTCGAGTCACCCCCATCCCCCATGTGCGGGCGTTTCCCACAGATACAATTTCACGGCATCACGACTCTGTTAGTTCTTCTCCTCCGGTTAGTATCTCAACAGCCAAATTCCTCCCTACAGGACCCCAACTCTGTAGGGGCCCAACAACGCTCCAAGGCTCTTAAATGAATCAAGCCGAGGTTACGTTACTCAGCTGGTTCCCAACAGCTTTGTGGCCGTCGGGGCGCGAACCCCACACTGTGCCCCCCTGTCAAACCCCCCGTTAGTTCCCAAGTGGAATCGGGAAATCCACCGTGAGACCAGGGCCGAAGTAGGATGGGGCCGCGGCTAAACCGAGGCCCATACCTCGCAAGCTACCTGCCGGGAGCTCGACGGCTATTAGAGAGGCCGCGCCCCCATCGCGACGTGCCGCGGACGAGCAGGGAGCCAGACGAAAGGTAACGGAGCCGAAAGACCAACCCTCAATGTAAGCACCGAAGAAAGAGGACATCGCTATACCTAGATATTGACCGACAGAGTGCTATTGCGCGGCTCTCTCTTTTTCTTCTTTCTTTCTTTCTCCTTCCTAGCAGTAGGTAGTCGCACATGACTTCGAAAGGGGCGTGACGGTATACCCAATTCTTTTTTTGGATAAGATCCCGAATCGCGAGTAGGCAACGATTCCGCTTCGGAGGGCGTCGAATAAGATACCTACCTACAGCCCAGCCAACCCCCACCCCCCTTCGACAGCAGGCGGCGCGCATCTATTCCTTCATTTATTTGGGTACTTATCTGCTTAACCCCCCGTCCTGTCGATCTCTCCGCCTGTCTACCTGCTTGGCCGCCATCTCGCGACCTGGCCGAGACAGCTCGCCAGCCGGGGGCGCGAAGAAAGCGAGGAGAGGGAAAAAAAGGCGACGCCCAGACAAAGGAAAAACCATCCGGGGGGAACAGGGAAATAAGCCATCATGGCCTCCTCGCCCTCGCCCTCGCCCTCCTTCCCCTTCCACGTCAGGGAGCACGTCGTCCCGGCGCAGCACATCCGCGAGTTCCCCCGCGCCACCGCCGTGTCGCAGGACGACGTGCTGCGCATCAGCGTGAAGCAGTACATCCCCGTCGACAACCCGGACCCGCAGCCGGGCGACGTCACCATCATCGGCGCCCACGCCAACGGCTTCCCCAAGGAGCTCTACGAGCCGCTGTGGGCCGACCTGCACGCCCAGTCGCTCGCGTCCGGCCCCCGGGTCGGCCTTGACGACGGCGAGGGCGAGGGGAAGGACGGACGGAGCGGCGCTGCCCCTGCCGGTGGCTTCCGCATCCGCGCCATCTGGATCGCCGACGTGTCCAACCAGGGCTACAGCGGCGTGCTCAACGAGCACGCGCTCGGCGACGATCCGTACTGGCTCGACCACGCGCGCGACCTGCTGCACCTCACCAACGTGTTCCGCGCCGAGATGCCGCGCCCGCTCGTCGGCGTCGGCCACTCGTTCGGCGCCGCCATCCTCACGCACCTCTCGCTCCTGCACCCGCGCCTCCTCACCACCCTCGTCCTCCTCGACCCCACCATCACCCTCTTCTCCCTCCGCGGGCCCGGCCCCTGCCCCGGCGAGTCCGCCGCCCGCGCCTCCGCCTTCCGCCGCGAGACCTGGCCCTCCCGCGCCGCCGCTGAGGAGTCCTTCCGCCGCTCCGCCTTCTACCGCTCCTGGGACCCCCGCGTCCTCGACGCCTGGGTCCGCCACGCCGTCCGCGATACCCCGACCACGCTCTTCCCCGACTCCGCCGGCCGCGCCACCCTCCGCACCACCAGGCACCAGGAAGTCTTCACCTTCTTCCGACCCCTGTGGCCCTACGTCGACCCCGCCGACGGCTCCGTCGACCGCGACGGTGCGCCCGACTTCGACCCGGAGATGCAGGACGACACGTCCGCATTGGGCGCCACCGCCGCCGCCGCCGCCGCCGCCGCCGCGGTCTCCCCCCCGCCCCCTTCCGCCTCGCCCTCGTCCTCTCCCGCCGCGCCCTCGTCCTCTCCCGCCGCGACCTCCTTCTTCCCGTTCTACCGCTCCGAGGGCCCGAGCGTGCTCAAGCACCTGCCCGAGGTCCGGCCCAGCGTGCTCTGGGTCTTCGGCGGCGACAGCGACCTCAGCGACCCGGCCGCCCGCCGCCTCAAGACCGGGCGCTGCGGCGTCGGCGCCGGCGGCAGCGGCGGCGTCGCCGCTGGGCGCGTCGCCGACGTCGTCCTCTACGGCCGCGGCCACCTCTTCCCCATGGAGGCCCCCGCCCTCTGCGCCCGCCACGCCGCCCCCTGGATCGCCCGCGAGCTCCGCCGCTGGCGCGTCGACGAGCGCGCCTACCGCGCCTGGGCCCGCCGGCCCCTCCGCGAGAAGACCACCCTCACCGACCGCTTCCTCGACAACGTCGGCCGCCCCCCACCGAGGAAGGGCGGCGCGCCAGCGGACGGGTCTGGATCCTCCAAGCTGTGAGGGTGGGAATAACATAAATTATTAACGCATTTCGCTGGCTTACCGACTTCTAGGGGATCTAAATCCCAACGAAAGATTCCGGATCTGTACATGTAGATAGACTCGAGAAGACTAGGAGGTACTTTGGGCGACCGCTCCGCACTCGTTTTGCCCTCCTTTCTAAAGTCCCGCGAGATGTTAAATATTTAAGAGTCTCCTAAAAAATGTATACGCAACACTAATTTTCCCAAGACCTGGTGCATACGTCATTGAAATAGCACATTGTAGCTACGAAAGGCACGTAGTGAGGTTCTGCAGAGCAATACTTTCGTAAATTGGCCAATCTATCTACCCGATGAAGCCACCCTTTTTGCGACATTAGAACAAAGCTACAGCTAGACCTCGTCAGGGCTAACCAGACTGCAGCTGATCCTGCCCGGAATCATAACTCATTCCTACGCCGAAACAACCTTTCCATGCATCCGACAAGTCCCTCTCGCAATCCGTTTCGTGTTTCTCTCGTTGCCCGCTTCGACTCCTTCACTATTTAGAGGCATGGCGGACACTAGAAGGGCAACTATTTTAGGGGGGTTGCCAAGAAGAAAGAAAAGTACCCTCCTGTCAGGCACACCTACACGATGGAGAATACTAGCTATCATGGACATCACTGTCGTCCGAGTGTAGTGCTGATCGATGTTCGGGAGCCTCCAATATATCTACTAATAGTATGCCCACGGGCCCAGAGATTACGACAGATGAAAGGCGCCTTGACCCTCCCTAATAGCAGTAAAAAGCTGCCGCTTCATGCTGTCGATGCTGCTATAGTCGGGCAATTTGAGGTAGTTGACACACGTCATGACACTAGGAAGGTAGTCGTCAGATGTGTAGGGCGGCTCACTGGGTTTGCACACCACAGTAAACATGGGGGTCAACCGCTTGAAACCTGCGATGACGGTTAAATCTGTCTTGCGTAAGAAGGGACTGTACAACATACCTCCGATAGGAAGTTTGGGGCTGCCGGTGGTAAATTGTAGGAAATCACGGCGTTGCGTAGGCGTGAGTTCGCTCATGGTCTGGAGTAGATTTCGGACGGTTCTGCTGTCCATGTTGAAGCCGTGGTCGGCTTTGATCGAGTCCATGAGAGCTAGAATACCACGGTCAGCCCAGTGCGTGGATGGATACATAGAGATTTACTTACTCTCTAAAGACCAGTCCTCTTCGACGCGGCCGAAAAGTGCTACCAATTCGTCCGGGGTAAAGGCGCTCAGAGCGGAGTAAGGGAACACCTGAGAGAAGCCGCTGCGGAAGGCTTCCACCTGGCGCTTAACGCCGCGACCCAAGGTCATATCGATAACTTTCTCTAGATATGACTCGACGTTGTAGATGGTGACGGCTGTATGGGATCCACCAGGTATGAGTTCGATTTCAGGATACCCAGGTAAGGTAAAATCCAAAGCCAGATCTTCCAATGTCCCCTGGTCTACGGTGATCTTGCCGGTGTCGGCAACCTTTTGTGCGGGGGTGCGGTTGGGGTCTTCGTCGATCGTCTTCTTGACTCTGACAAATTTATTGATGTGCTTGAGAGAGTTGGCTAGACCGGGGTCCACTATCTTGACAGCGCCGAGTGACGGCTTAACCCCCGAGGACCCCTCACCAATGCGAAAGAAGGTAGGGTTGAAGTTGAGATCGATGATGCGGGAATCTATCATGGATCGCGCGACGAACTTCCCAAGTATTCTAAACAACTGCAGGATGACGCCTGCGCTTGAGTCATCGTCGCTTAGCGGCCGGGGGAAGAGGCCAGTAGGACCGGAGATAAACTCTTCGGAGTCGTTTGAATCCATTTCACGCCAAAGCCTGAGCTTCTTCTTGGAGAATTCCTTGGAAACGGTAGAATAGAACTCGAGAGTGGGACCAAGGCCTGTTCCGACCTCTTCGAAGTACTCGACCTCGAGTATACTCTGAGAGCTGCCGTAGAGTTCCATTACCTTTAAAGCGGATTCCAAGATCTTGGATCGCGAAATACGCACCTTTTGGCGCTGAAGACGACCAAGGAATGGGCGCTCGTCACGTCGATCGCGACGCGTGGTATCTTCTTGTTGGGCGTTCTGCCATCGACTCATAGATCGGGCATATCCAAACGATGTAGATTGGAGGAACAGGTGGCGAGTCTCGAAGGGGAAAAGGAATGGGTACAGCCGAGCTAGATCTTCGCTCCAGCCGGGCAGGCAATTGCTTGCCACGATGAGAGGCTCCTCTAGCTGCCTGTTGAGCTTAGCGGTCAATTTCGTATTGACAAACTGCGACAGGGGCTCCACATTCAATTTCAACGTCGTCTTGTTCTCCACCATGATATCGTCAATATTCGCGTTCAAGTCGTGTAGAATTTTTAGGAGGCGGAGAATAGACGCCGTAGTCGGGTTATTGGAGAGCGAGGCCGGCACACCGCCCACGTCCGAGGTACCGTCGAACGAGGGGGCGAAGCCGATAGGTTCGGCTGGAGGCGGTCCCGGGACGCGGCGGAATTTGATGGAGTGCACCGTGGACCAAACGTTGCGGCTCAGGTGATCGTCGGCAGGGGCCGAAGAATTATGTACTGCCCGATAGATTGTGGTTTCGTTGGGAATTACCCGGCTATCGAGACTGAATTCGATGTGCCAATCTTGGGGTACAGACTGGATAGCCGCCGCATAGGAAAGGGGGCGAGAAGTCGACGTAGTCGGGGTCGGTGTGCCCTGATGAGATCCGGAAGGCTGGGGTGGCGCGCTACGACTGGGAATATTAGCGAGACCGCTCTGGGCCGGAGTCGGGACCCGCGTTCCGTCTTCTTTCCTAGCCGTAATCTTTCCGCCAGCTGCCTCTACTAGGTTAACCGCGGAAGGATCTGGGACGGGGGCATCCTCCATATCCTCGTCTAGCTCCCCGACAATGGCATCGAGGGCACTACTATCAGCCAGGTCGGCTTCCTCATCCTCGTCCGTGATCGGCTTCTCATCGGCGCATTCCAAAGCATTCTGCAAATCCTCGTCGTCTTCCGGCGGCGGGGGCGGCGGGGGCGGAGGTGCCTGGGTTTCGCTGGGCTGTGCTGGTTGGCGTCGCGTTGACCTACGGAGGACGGCCTTCTCCCGCACAGGGCCAGCTGTCGAATTCGGGGTAGACGGGATGTCAGGTTGACCCGGCTGTTTCGACTTAGATCGCCGTGCTGGACGGGAGCTAGAGGCTTGCGACGGTAGTGGTGGGGGCGGTACGCCGGAATAGCCTGATGCCAATCGATCGGCAAGGCGTTCTGCCGATGCCGACAACCCTGCCGAACCAGCCATCGCAGCCAGCGCTCGGGATAGGCCGTCACGAGGTCTCGGGCCTCGGGGCCGCTCGTGGTGGCTAATCCGGGGTCTCAAGTAGTCGTCGAGGGCCTTAAAGGTGGCTATGGCGTGAATGGATACCATGATATTGCGGTAAGAACGCGGGATATCAGAATCTTCGTCGGCGACCAGTTTAAGCCTGATCTGCTTGGCAAGCATAGATGCCGCACTGCTGCGATTGCCGTCGAAGGTATTGTGATGAACCGTGATCACCTCAAAATGCTCGGACCGACTAAGGAGATCTTGCAGTTTGTGAATCATAACGCTGAAAGGGGTCGAGGGCGAATCCACGGTCGCCGTCTTCGTTCGTGAGATAACGGATTGCCCCATGAAGACCACGAGGAAGGCGGCTCGCGCAGCATTGGCCAGCGCCTCGTCAGGGTTGCTGAAAACTTGTTCCAAGACGCGCACGAGCCCCGAAGCGAGCAGTTCCGCGCTTGTCACACTCTCTAGGACATCGGCATCAAAATAGGACGACAACTTTTCGAAGAGGACGATACCATTCCCGGGATTCAAGTTTCTGGCGGGCCTCTGCAAGTAGAAGGCTTCCATCTCAGATGCTAGGCTTTGAAGATTGCTAAGGATCTTAACCGCCTTCTTCTTCATCGCCTTTCCGTGCTTTTCCGTCTCATGGGCCTCGAGGAACTTCTTCGCCGCTTCGGCGATGCGAGCCTTCATCGACGGAGTGTCGCCAATAAACGGCCGAGGCGGCCCATCGATGGACATGGTAGAACCGTCGGAGCTCGCGGGAGAGCCGGACATGTCATCGTCGTGATGATCGTTTTCCTGGTCCTCGTCGTCGTGCTCGTCATCGTCCTCCTCGTCCTCGCGTTCTTCGTCATCCTCTTCCGAGTCATCGTGGACGGATGCCCTGTCCCCTTCTTCGTCCCCGGACGCCGTACTGTGCTCCGTCGAGACCCCGGCTGCCTTGTTCTCGGGCTCTTGGTATTCGGCTGCTAATTTGGTTATCTCTGTGATGACACCTTCACGGTATATCTGGTACCGGTAGATATCATCTAGGCGACTCAAGAGCAGCTCCGTCGTCTGTATCGCGGACATCACGAGAGACGGGTGGTCCTGCTGGGATAAGATGGCAGCCAGGAACGAAGCATACGGGACGGCCTTTAGTGCGTCGACGAGGATATCCTTGTCAAGGTTGAACAACATCTTCAGTTGAGCCGTCAGCACCTTCTGGCGGACGCTCAGATTGACGGTGCTCGAAAACGCGTCTGTTAAAGTCGGGAACAGGATGAGCGCAAATCTCCGCACTTGGTCTTTGCATTCGTCAAGCAGCTCAAGCCTCTTTTCGTTAGATGACTTCTTTCGGGACCCGAGCGAAGACGGGGTAATAGGCTCGGTGAGATCAAGATCGGCGGAAGCCGAAGGGGCAGCTGAATCATTCCAAACCAGGCCGGGGAGCAACTCGCAGACCACATTAAGAGTCTCGATGATTTGCTCACGTGGTCGATGAATCAGCGCTTGCATAATGACAACACTGTCCAGTTTGGAGGCGACATCTTCCGTCTCGCTAGGAGGAGAGACCCCCGTCAGGATCTGATATAGTGTCTCCACCACATTCATCTTGAAGAGTTCGGCCGATAAGCGTGGGCTCGCGCGAGCGGTAATGGCCAACACACGGAGGAACTGGGTGTGGATATTAGAGCTGATGAGGTTCGTAGTCCCCGGTACAAGCAGCCGTAATATAGCCTTGAGCAGGTCTACGCTGACCAGCTGTTCTAGTTTGGACGGCTGATACTTGAAGCTCTCGATAATACGGGTGACGCAGAGGGATGCTTGTTCCACGACGCGCTGGTCGCTACTACCTAGCACGTTGAGAAGAATGGGCATGACGTCCTTGATGACGTTAAACGAATCCTCGGGGATGTTGCGGCAGCAGTTGGCCGCGGTCGTGACGGCCGTCCGTTGCGTGCTCGTCGCGAAGAAGTCGAGGTAAGATAGACAAGCAGTCAAACCACCTTCTCGGACAATGCTTGTTGGATACTCCACCGAAATCTTCTCCAGCGTGCTCAGGGCCTGCTCTGCGAGGTCAATAAACGAGATCTCCAGAAGCTTCTGGCACAGCACCGGAACAGCACCACCAAAGACGACAGTGGCGGCGCTGGCCGGTAGGGCCTCCATCAAGTTCGCGAGACATCGGCACGCGAGAAGCATGATCTCTGGACTCTCCTCTCCGGTAAACTCATTAGGTTGCATCAAAGCCACCAGCTCCGTCACGAATGCCTCTGGCGAGAAATTCCCTGACAGATTCTCTTCGTTAGAGACCAGAAGAATCTCTGAAAGCTCCTGTAGAGCCACCAGCTGCGTCGAGGGATCGCCTTTCTGCCGAAGATTGTTGAGTATATCCCGTAGCCGCGTGGTGATGCCAGACATCATGCCAGTTAACGCTCGGAGCGTGCTAGAAAGACCCGATCCGGGAGGTCCTCCGAACCCGAACGGATCATCATCGCCATAATGCCGGTTTGGCTCCTCATCATCATCGTCATTCTCGTCGCTGTTGTCATCGTCGGGATCGTGGGGAGGGGGCGGTGGCGGAGGCGGAGGCGGAGGCGCATCTGTTTCTCTGTCGTGCTCTTCGGTTCCCGTCATGGTAGTGTCCTGGTCGGCAGATGGCGGGTGGGTGCTAGATGCGCGCTTCGCTCTTCGAACAGGACCCGAGGTGCCTGCGGCAGCAGATTCTAGTTGGCCGGCAGATGACTGGTTAGACAGATGGATAAAATTCTCATCGAGGCGTGGTATTTACCTTGAGCTGGCTGGCCGCCCTTTTTGTTGCGGCTCGACTTCCGGCTCGACGAGGCTGAGGCTGGAGCGGGAGGGTCCTGCATTGTAGTCGGCGGGGGTGGGTCAGACCTGCCGCAGGCGCTTGTTAGCATTGAATACGAGCCCACAGTGGATGTTATTGTCAAAACCTACCCAGTGGGACTAGACATCGAAGCTACGGCCTTCCCTTTCCGTTTACGTGCCGAAGACGGAGGAGTAGCAGTTGTAGTGGCTGGAGGCTCCGGGGCTGTTGTGGGCTCAGAAACTTTCTGGCGCTTAGACCGGCGAATTAAGGGACTGGCGACGTTCTGCGGAGGTGGTTGCAAATCGCTCTCTCTCGATGCAGTCTTCCTTTTCCTTGAGGACGGAGGTGCCAACCCAGACTCGATCGTACTAGGTGCGGCGGACGCAGAGGGAGGGGAAGCGGCTGAAGGTTGGCTGGCCGAGGGTTCCCCTGGCGAGGCTGCTTGGTTTGCAGCGTTCCGCGCGGAGGAGCGTGTGATTCTGGGAGACATGAGTATCTTGGCCAAGACTGCATATGAGACAGCAGGCAGAGATGGTGTGATTGGAGGACAGGCGTGTGGCAGGGGAGTGCAAGAGGGTGAAGGTCATGGAAGGCAGGGTAAGGAATTATTTTAAGGATTTTTTAATGGCCCAGTCTTTGGGGGGGGGGGCTTGGATGGTGGGATATAGCGCAGAGGGTTTAGCCGTCTGTCTCCCTCATCCTTCTGCTGGGTGAATTTAGGTCTGGGGCTCTTGTGTGAACCGCGCTGGCGAAGGCAAGGACTGTCTAGAGCCTCATCAACTGCTGTGTTTGTCCCTGCCCTTTTTGTTGCTGAGCACAGTAGAACCTCAATTCTAGCTGCGGCTAGTAGCAACAAAGGAGGGGGAGGCACAAGAGCCGAGGGACCAACTGCAAAGGCTCTGGAGGTCGATTCTCAAGGACAACACAAGCATCTAGTCGGCACAGGAAGTAGACGATATTCCGTCTGTCGAGGGCAGAGTGGGGGATATGTGAATGGGAGGATGTGGTGATATTGGGTCGGCAGAGGAAAGGCAAGTTGACGAGTTGAAGGTGGCACAGAGAACGGAGACCGAGAAGAAAAAAAAAGTGGTGCGGTGCTTCCCAGGATGTACCCAGGTATTGATTGCGTGTATGATGGCAGGGAGCGAAGGATAAGTAGAGTCTAAAAGGTACTTGATTGTGCGTTGTATGTGCGAGTACTTGTGGTGTGCATGTGTATGTGTATGTGGCATGAGACAGGTACGAGGACGGTATCTGATCTGGGATGATTCGACCGTTTCGTCAGGTGCAGCTTGTATAGCTCAGGTAGGCCGGTCGAGGCGTGCAGGTAGGAGATCGATAGAGAGACAGAGGGAGAGGGAGGGAGAGGGAAGGGGGGCGGCAAGGCAGCTAAGAAGACGGAAGAGACGGAGGGCACAACGGTATAACAGCCGGCGGCAGGGTTTGGTTGAGGTAGGAGGAGCACGAGAGTTGGCAGGTTGGCAGGTTGGTAGGCAAGAGGGAAGAGGGAGGAGGGAGGTTGGGACTGATCATGAAAGACGATGGCGATATGTGTTTTTTCATATCGTACCTGGTAGATGATAAAGGCGAATGCGGCAGCGAGGCAGGAGCTGTCGGTCGCAGGTTCAGGTTCGGGTTCAAATGCAGGTCGGGGACGGATGAGAGTCGTGCCTGGGGATCGTTATCGACAGCCGATCGAGAGCGCGGGTTCGCAGCAGAGAATTTTCGGTCTGCCATGGATTACGCCATGGGGCACGGCGGCAAGTAGGTAGATTTCACGAGATTCCGATCTTGGTTGTTTCCGGGCCACACACGCGCACTCGCTTCCTGCTCCCCTCTCTTATCTCTCTCTCTCTCTCCTCTCTCTTCCTCTCCTTGACTGACTAACTAGCTACCTGGCTGGCCGACGTGACGGGGTCGCCCGTCTATCCGTCCGTCTGTAAGCGTGTCGATGTATGTATGTATGTACGTATGTATATATCTGTGTACGTATGCATATATGTACGGAGGTAGTCTGCGTGTTACTCGTGGGAAAGGGACAGGTCGGCCGGACAGGGTTGGAGGTGTCGTCACAATCGATTGCCGGGTCGAATGCGTAGGTAAGGTTGTTGAGCGGATAGTATAGCAGCGATAGATCTCTTCTTCGCGGTTCGGTCAAGACGGCCGATAGAGTTGGGCCGATATGTTGTAGTCGCCGTTGCTGAAGTTCCGGGCCTCTCTTGGTTGGAGGTTCTACCGGAGGAGGTTTGCTCGAGTGCATCGGCGGGCGGCTGGATGTTGGGTTAGGTAGAGAAGTAGGTGGAAGTGGGTTGTGTGGATGGGCCGGAGTGGGCGCGGGCGTGGGTGTGGGCGGATACGCGGGCGTGTGGATAGGCAGGGGATGGAAGTGCAGAGCGACCGATCTGTCCAGACTCGGTACTTGCAGGTGTATCCAGTACATTGCGTACAATGTGCTCATACACGTCAGAATGCCATACTGGGAAGGTAGCTGGTACTCTGGGGTTGGGTACCTAGGGTAAGACAGCCTATCCGAACAGAGGGGGCGTGTCGCAAGCCTAGTGTTTCTTGCTATCTGGCTGGCGTGCCGATAGCTACGACAGAGCTACCGAAACTGTACCTGCTGTCGATACATATACTGTATGATGTGCTAGTTACCATGCAGGGGTGTCATCATGAGGGAAAGCCACTCCAAGGTAGGTAGGTACGTGCCCGCTGCTTCCCAGCGCCTCCGTCGGTACATGCCCAACCACGAAGGTGCCTTCTTCGCTTACCGAAGTAATCGGTACCGACCGAATTTATAAGGTGGCTAAGTATGTATCTAGGTACCTGTCCGCAGCCCCGGTCTAGTACATTCACAATACGGCTGTTAGTTTAGGTACCCATTACGTAGTACCCAGCGGAAATTGATGAATCATTCAGGCCATCCTGTTTAATATTAATTGATCTAACTGCTATGGAAATTACCTCTCATGAATACTCACATAAGTGCATATCGGCCACACATACAAGCCTGCCACCTGCCCGCAAGTACTGAACCCGTCTCCAGAAGGGTGGCTCTAGGTAGGTAGCTAGGTGCCTAGGTAGATTAGGTGCCTACCCACCTGGTACCTATAGTTACTACGACTTCAGCCATCCTAGCGCCTGGAATCGTGTAGCTCCAGCCGCTTCTCCCACCGGCCTCCTCCGTCCATAGATTGTTTTATATGCAGTCCGATGCATAGTAGCTCTGCGTTCATTTACGTCCCCGAGCCACCTATAGCCATCTGTGATACAACCGTAAATGAGCAGAGGCGTGGTACGTATCATGTATATGTAAAAATACGTCAACTGTGTCATGCCTTATATGCCTATGGATAGAGAAGGACCCGAGATGTTCGAGTAATTGACTCCGACCCGCAGCCCAGAGCCGTCCTCATCCTCGCCTTCGCCTACGCCTCCATTAAGCTAACGCCTTTACGTGTCGGGGAAGAGACAGAAGGGAACCACTCCGTAGCCGCTATTGACATCCGGTTCTGGCTACCTACCTCTTTGCATTCTGGAAAATATATATTTGCCTCTAAGCCGCCTTCAGCTGTATCCCTCCGCTGGGTTGTAGTTGGTACGACGGACTTTCTATCTGTTGGCGATCGGTAAAGATCTTCCTTGTCTTTTTGCTCGACGTGGCTGACATGCGCTGGCAATCGTCAATAGATCTACCAATTATCAGACGGAGAAATATTTTTTTCATAAGAAAACTCGTCGCCACACATCCACCATCGAGTATGTATATGCCCACCTCACCTGACAGTCTCGGGCCTAGGATGTAAGTAGGTACTTGTCTTCTGTGGCATATACTTCTATCGCATAGTACAGGTATTGGGTGCCCGAGGGCAGGTAGACACCAGGTACTACCTACGGCTTCAAGCTATCGATTCCGTCCTCGTACTCGCCTAGGTCGTATTCGTGGGGATACTTCTCGAGAACCTGCTTTAGCTGTTGCATCTGGGCCTTCAGGTCGGGGGTTAACTCCTCGTATACGTCCTCAAACATGGCCCGAATCGGCGGCTTCTTCTCCCGCTCTGCCTCCGAGAACGCCTTCAGCACATCTCGTCTAATGCTCTCCCGCGCGTCTTTCTCCTTGACGTCGTCCCAAGAGCCCTTGGCCTCCAAATATTTGCGCAGCCTCGCGATGGGGTTGTCCCGCCGCTTCCAATCTTCGACTTCGACCCGGGCCCGGTACGCGAAGGAGTCGTCGGACGTGCTGTGGTGGCTCACACGGTAACTCATGGCCTCGATCAGGACCGGCTTCCCCCCATCTTGGAGGGCAATCTCCCTCGCTTTCTTCGTGGCTTCTCTAACGGCCCAGATGTCGTTTCCGTCTACCCGTACGGTGTCGAGTCCGTATCCGATTCCCCGGCTGGCAATGCCATCGCCTCGGTATTGCTCCAAGGTCGGCGTGGAGATTGCATACCCGTTGTTCCGGCATATAAATATAACCGGGCAAGACCGCGTTGCGGCGATGTTCAAGGCGGCGTGAAAGTCGCCTTCGCTCGCCGCCCCTTCGCCGAAGAAAACGGCAACGACACGCGGCGGTAGGGATGGGTCGTTGATGCGTTGCATCTTGAGGGCGTACGCCGCACCAGACGCCTGGGGTATCTGTGTAGCCAACGGTGAAGAAATAGTATGCTATGTAGGTCAATTAGCGGCTAATGGTTGGTCAAGAGGTCAGTCGGGGTGGCCGTACAATGTTCAGCTCTCTGCTCCCGTAATGCACGGGCATATTTCTCCCCCTGGCCGGGTCGTTCTTGTTCGCGAAGAGCTGGCTCATGAAGTCCTTCAAAGTAAAGCCGCGTTGGGCGAAGACTCCTTGCTCGCGATACTGGCAGAATATCACATCCTCTCGGGCCAGTGCAGATGCTGACCCCACGCTGATAGCCTCCTCGCCGGCCGACACCATGTAAAAACTTATACGTCCCTGCCGCTGCGCGTCGAACATGATAAGGTCCATAATAGACACTGTCAGCATGGTTTTGTATAATTTGATGGCCTCTTCATCGCCGAGGTCGGGCTGGAACGAGCGGTCGATAATATTGCCGTCCTGATCGACGGCTCGGTACGTGGGCATAGCGGGAAGATCGGCGGGTAATACGAATTTGAGGTCACTCGTAAAGGCACTCTTTACAGCGCCGGGGAAAGACAAATAGCTTACACCAGGCCGTTGCGATATACCGCTAGCCAGCCGGATGGGTACGCATCGACTGCCCGGCGGGCGAGCACTACGGGGTGCGAATCCCGCCGCTCTTCGCAACGACGCCCCCGAGATTATTGGAGCCTTCATTCTCGGCTCTTTACGCGTTCTGGATCAAAGTTCAAGTATATTCCACGTAAAGACAAGCATTGAAACTGACTCGATAGCACGACTGAGGGGAAGAGGGATGTTTATGTGAGAGAAGCGACACCATCCAAACAACCCGCAGTGTCACTTAAGCCGGTGTAAAGCGCAAGGAGGGTATAGACCGGAAGCCGAGACTAAAGGGTCTGAACCCAACTCTTTATTTTCTTACGTAATCGCAATTACTGTTGATAACCTCGTCTAATTACCTAGGTACTTATCAACGTAGTAGAAGAGAGAGTAAAAGCACTCTACAGGGCACTTATCCTATTTGAAGGATAGTTATGATTTTATCATATTAAAAAAAATACCCTTATAATTACCCTTATAATTACTATTATAATTACTATTGGTAACGTTATTATAATTAGTTAAAATACTAACTCTATAATTACTAAAGGTTATTTTACTTTAATTGGTTAAAAGTTTATATTACTTATTTAAAATAAATATATTTAATAAAAATATAATATATAAAATATACTTTATTATTTACCTATCTATATATATTCGTTATAAAGTATATTTTCTTTATTTCCTTTTTAATTTAGATTAATAAATAAATTTAAGTTAATTTAATAAATTAATTTAATTTAGTTTAATAAGCTAATTTAAGTTAATCTAAATTAGGTTAATTAAATCAAGTTAAGTTAAGTTATTTATTTCTTTATTCGTTTGCCTTATAGTTTACTATCTAAAAGATAAGTCTCTATGTTTTGACTAAAAACATACTGGCAAAGCACTACAAAGTACTTTAGCGTATATCAATAGAGTCTATATAGCTCTACTTTAGATGATTCTATTTTAATTTACAAAGGATTCACGGATCCAGCTCGTTCCCGGACGCCTCCTTAAATTAACATCCATGTCCGCGTGCCCGTTCCCGTCATGTTCCGAAAAACGCCTGGAGTCTATTTTCGAAGACGAAGACCACGGTAATTATGTTGTAGGTATGTGTAGGCAACTTTATGGTTGGCCGGGTGTGGCTGGAGTAGATAGAGATGTCCGTAGAGCACACAGCGTGTAGACGTGGCCCGACGAACACGGTTGAGCGGTGCGATTATGTCTGAAGTCACTCGGGCAACCACGTCTCCTGGGGGACTCGCTACCTACCTATTATTCACTCGTCCAGATGCCCAGGACGAGTTCTTCCAGCCCGCGAGCGCTGGCAACATGCTGGTCCACCAAGGAGGAGCAAACACCTGGAACATCGGCGGGAACGTCGTCCATTCCCACTCCCTCCCCCCTTCAAGTCTGCAGGATCTCGTCTCGGAACTATCTCCGCCAACAGCACTACCTCAGGATTGCCGCGTCTTTGCCTACCAGTGACCCGGAGACAAGAACCGCGCGACCAGCCAGCCAAACCAGCCTGACCAGCCTCATCACAAGTGAAGAGCCAAAAGGGGAAAAAATAAAATAACACACACCGAGGAGATGGTGCCGGGCCAAAACGTGGTGATCGGCGTCGTGGTCGTCATCCTGGTCTCGATTTTCGCGCTTCTCGCCTGGGGCGGCATCGGCAAAATCCGAGACTTCGCCATCTTGATGTTCAAGGCCAGACAAGAGCGCGCTCAGCAGCAAGGCGAAGGAGAGGGGGGGCAGCCCCCGGAAGGGGCTGCTTCGAACGCGGCAGCGGCGGCGTCGGTTTGATGCCCGCCTAACCGACCGGCTTGGCACCCGCATCCACGGTAGGCATTTGCTGGGTGTGGCCAGGGGAAAAAAGGAGGACACCTGAATGCAGCCGATAAACACACACATGTCGGCACACTCTGCCTCGACGCACACACACCTACATACATATATTGACGCATGCAGGCGACATAGATGGGCATGTGACCCCTTTCTCATAACACCCTGCGTAATCGCCCCGCGTCTCGGCTCCAGCGAGTCGTCTCAGGCCCCAGACTTCCTTTGCTGCTACTACCCTGGTCCCTGTTAGCCAGTGTGGCCAGGCACCACAGCAGCCCACCTCAGGTGTGGCTAGTACCTCTCCCTCTTCCCCGAGTTTTGTGGCTGACCTCAAGCGTGTCTTGGGTAATCCGCGGGCTGCACTAACAAGAGTTACTCATAGGTACATACGGTACCTTCGTCCCCGAACTGATCGACCCCATCCCGGCCGCCGCCGATCGAACAGCATTTTTCCCACTGGCCGCCCGCATAGCTCTCCGGCGGGTCGCACGCACCGACCGACCTTACCTTTACCCTGCCTCACCCTCTCACCCTCTGACCATCGGCGGCGCGCGTGGCGCGTGGGAAAACATACTAGAGACGCGACCGGAAAAGAAAGACAGATAATAATATATAAAAAAACGCGGGGCGTCAACATGGCCGCTCGGCCCTCTGCGCTGCGCAGAGCTGCGCGCCTATCCGCGTCCGCCGTGCGCAGCTCGCTCCCCTGGTCCCCTCACCCGCCCGTCTGCCAACAGGCGCACATACGACTCCTCTCCTCGACGACCCGCGACGGGCACCCAGCCGCGGCGCCGGGCCCAGCTTCCTCCGCGACACCCGATGCCGCCGCGGACAGCGCGCCGCGGACGACGCACTTCGGGTTCCAGGACGGGCTGACGGAGGCGGAGAAGACGGAGCGCGTGGCGGACGTCTTCCACCGGGTGGCGGAGAACTACGACCGCATGAACGACCTGATGTCGTTCGGCTGGCACCGGGTGTGGAAGTACGTATTATCTACCTATACGCGCGTAGCCCTATCCCCCCTCCCCCCTCCCCCCCGGGGGGACGCCGTCGCTGACGCTTGTGTATGTACCTAGGGACCACTTCGTGGCGTCGCTGAACCCGGGGTTCGCGCCGCCGGGCGCGCCGCCGCAGCCGCTCCGCGTGCTCGACGTCGCGGGCGGCACCGGCGACATCGCGTTCCGGATCCTGCGGCACGCGCACGGCGTCAACGGGAACCCGCACGTGCGCGTGACCGTCGCCGACATCAACGCGTCGATGCTGGCGGTCGGGCGGGAGCGCAGCCGCGGGCGCGGCGTGCTGACGGAGGCGCAGCGCGGCGCGCTGGACTTCCTCGAGGCGGACGCGACGCGCTTCGACCCGGCCGCGGTGCCCGACGGCTCCGTCGACCTGTACACGGTGGCGTTCGGGATCCGCAACTTCGCCAGCGTGCCGGCGGCGCTGGCCGAGGCGCGGCGCGTGCTGCGGCCCGGCGGCGTGTTCGCGTGCCTCGAGTTCGGCAAGGTGGCGCCGCCCCCCGGCGCCGTCGCCGCCGCCGCCGCCCCCTGGCACCTTCTCGACGCGCTCTACCGCCGCTGGAGCTTCGCCGCCATCCCCCTCCTCGGCCAGCTCGTCGCCGCCGACCGCGACTCCTACCAGTACCTCGTCGAGAGCATCCAGCGCTTCCCCGCCCAGCCCGACTTCTGCCGCCTCATCCGCGACGCCGGCTTCCTCGTCAGCCGCGAGCGCCCCTGGGAGGACCTCACCGCCGGCATCGCCGCCATACACAAGGGCGTCAAGCCCCTCGGCTGAAAAGAAAACTAACTAACACAGTCGGCCCGCCTCGCGGTGGTACCTATGGACGCGCCCGCCGCGTCGTGTACATGCCTCGGCACGCTCTCGCGCAGTCTGCGAGGGAGGGCTCGACGGGGTATCCGGCACGCTAGCGATAGTGCGCTGGGCCGCAGAGAGGGGAAAGGGGAGGAAAAGGGGGCAAGGGGGTAGATAAAACAAAAAGAGTAGGAAAACACGAGGGGAACCACCTACCTAAGAGAGGCTCCCTGTTTTGTTGTATTACTATGGTTATTGCTACGATAAATCGTAAGCTGGAATCCTCCTCTAGGGCTTCTTCTCCTCTTCCTGAACGACAGATTCCGGTGAGCTACCCAGCCGGCCGTACCCAGCCCGAACTACTAAATGCATTCATGTGTTGTATTCAGGCACGAGCTCTACGCCAGCATGTCGGCTGTGGTGCTAATCACGAGAGGGCTGCGTTCTAGAGCTAATATAAGCGTTCGGGGGTGCCAAGAACCTACATACGCGGCCAAAGCGAGCAAGCAGCATCTATGTATGGCATGTCTTACAGTAACGTGTATGCCGGTTCCTGTGGCATTTTCCTCAACACTTACGTCGGGCGCATTTTACTCTATCGACGTCAGCCCGTCATTAAGGCCACACTGACTAGCTAGTAGTGACTACCGGACACGGCGTGCAATGAGATGTTGCATTAAGTAGCAAGGTAATCTTGCAACTGAGATCTGTTCATTGCCTTTGTTGTTGTATTAGCAAAACCTAAACAACCTATCTCAACGACCCGGCACGGTCCTGGTCCTCGGAATAGTCTAAGAAACCGATCGATCCGTTTTGCGGGCGAGTCGTGCGAAAACTACCGTGGGCGTCACCGAGAAAAAAAAAAAAAACGTCGCGGATTTGCGTCGGGCAAACCATCCACACCCTAACCTCCGTTTTCTCAAAAAGGATGAAACGACTGGTATTTCCCCCCTTCTGAATGCTTCCTTCGCAGGCCGGCAGATCCTCTGAACTCCACCTGTATGACGACAGAAAGCCGGTTGGAAGAAAGAGCGCCAGAATACAAGCAAAGAATGCGCGTTGTTGCGCGAAGTCATTAGCGGAGTATAGGCGAGGACCCGTAAGTAACGAGGCGTTCTATGGGCGGTCGACCTATTTACGAGTCGCCTGTGGGGGCGGGCGAACCGCTGCCGCCCTCGCCTTTATTCAAGCCGCCACGGCCACCTCTGCCGCCACGGCCGCCTCGCTCGCCCCTAACCCCGCGTGATCCGCCGCCGCGACCGCCACGGCGGCCGGTCTCAGGCCCGCTCTCGCCGCCGCTCAACCCTCCGCGGTCACCGGCACTACGGTATCCGCTCGTCGAGTCCCGGCCTCTACCGCTACCCCAGGTTCCGGCTCCGCCTCTACCTGCATAGGTAGGTTTGGAATCGCGTGGTTGGAAGATCTTCACCAACGGCTTCGACCGGTCTTCGGCTTGGCGAACTTTGAACTCGTCAGAGAGACTAGAGTATGCTGCATCTCTGTCCTCCGCGCTCTGGAAGTGGGCAACCTTGTTGTTACTATTATTTCCCCACCTTTCCACTTTGGTAATTTTGGCCTTGTGCTCGTCGGGGAAGATATCGCGAGTCTGCTCATCGCTCTGGACGTTCATAACAAATAATCCGATAATACTATCAGCAGACGGTCGCGGCGCAGGCGACGGCGCACTTTCTAGTCCGTGTGCCGATCCGTTAGCACTCGTAGGCTTCTCGTTCTCTTTATTGGCCGTGGCATTAGGGGTTGGAGAGGCCGTAGTTGGCCTCGGCGTGGTAGGTTTCGGTTGTAAAGGGGTGACCGTGATTGGTTTAGAAGATGATGGCACCGACGGATTTCGTGGCGGGCTATAAGGCGGCGGGGCGGATACTGTCGGGGGACCTGCAGACGTTGCTGAGGTCTGTGGAGGGGGCCCGCTGGCGGTAGGTGCTGGCGAAGGCGTGCTCTGCGGTAGGGTAGCTTGTTGCTTGGCTCCGCGGTGTGAGAAGTTGAACCCCTGCGCCCGCATCTCGGTGCCGATACGGCCATCTTGTATTTCCAGCACCAACCAGCCAAACGCGGCATCCGCCAAGTTGAAGTTCCACATATTCTTGAATGCGCTCTCGTCGACCTGACCCTGCGCGCCGGGGCCGCCAACAGGACCGCCAAAGGGGTTTCCGCCCGCCGCAGTTCTAGGCATCTTTTCGACGAGGTCCAGCGCATTTTGTAAAAGCTTCTGCTGAGCCTCGTTCTGCTGGATCGCGGGCTCCACCTCTCCCTTGACCGTCTCCCAGACATCGTTAAACGACGCCTTCGAGGCGGCGAGCTTACCCCGGTAGTGATCCAAGGTCGGGTTCACGCTGAACTCGTTGTACGAGCTACCGTACCGGAAATGCAGGCCAGCAGAAATAGAGAAGTCAGCCTTGAGGCTGACCGAAAGCTGGTTCAAGATACCCTCGCGTGCGGGGGAAGCATGCGTAACGAAAACACGGGTTTCGGTCGGGTCATACACGCGGTTAGCTGTATCGACTAGTTCGCCCATCTGGAGTAGGGTAGTCCACATGGTACCCTGTCCGCCCGCAATGGTAGTTCGACCCTCCCCGTTGTCGAACAGCTTGTGCATGACGACAGCGCCACCGAGACCGAGAAGTCGCAACTTTACACCGCCGATTTCCAGCAGCATAGATCTTGCCTCATCGATGATATGCAGATTCGGCACCTTGTATTCGCCGGATCGGAATTTCTCCAGTACGCGTACATCCTCGCAAGCGCCCCAGACGGTGTAGACGGGTACCTCCAGCTTGACTTTGCCACTGATGAGCAGAGGCAACTCGGACAGAGGTAGCTCTTGAGGAGTGAATCGCGCCTTGACAGAACCGGGCCCGCCTTGGGTGATGGCCTTCTTGATGGCGTCGGAGATCAAGGGCGAGTATTGGGCGACATGCTTCAGAGTCCTGCTCCAGTCTGCGGTTAGAGAGGGTCGACTTGAAACCATGATGGAGAAGACGACGGTGGCCTTACTTTTCCGCGATGCGATCCAACGACGTATCGTCGTAGAAGCCGAAGTCACCGGTATGAATAATGTGGTCGGCCTGTGCCTTCTTGGCGAGATCGTTCAGGGAGTGTAGGTTCCCTATAACACAATTCTCAGCTCGGCCTCACTCGGAGGTTACACTCGACGGGGAGCATCCTACCTCGTACGTCGGCTATGCAGAGGACACGGATAGGACCCGACTGGATGATTCGGCCCTGGTTGGGCAGTAGAGGGACGGCACCCGGAGCAGCGGGACCGAGATGCGGGTGGGCACTGGGAGCGCCGTTGGGCATGTAGCCTTGGGTGTTGTAAGGCTGACGAGGTTGCTGAAAGACGGCACAAGTCAGCGAGGGGGTCTCACACGGACATTCTCCAGAACGTCGACGGGGTCGGGATAGCATGCGACGACGAAGCCGATATCGATGCTGACGCACCACGTGCGACGGCGGCAGCGACGGTTGGGGTACCACCGGGCCAGGTCCGCGTGGCGCCATCATGCACCCGAGAACTACGACGCGGCATGAGGGGATGGGGGATAGGGGGGGAGGTAATGGTGTGCGTGTTTTAGAAAGAAGAAGGAAAGCGGCGTGGAGGGGAGGTGACGTGGTTATGGAAGAGTGGTGATGATGTCTGAGATGTTGCTGGGCCAGTCGCAGGAGGCTGAGGTTCACGATGTCCGCATGCAGCCCTCAACGCGAACCGCTAGGGGCGAATAGGAAGAGAGCATAGACGTACAGCCATGGGACTATCTGTGAAGAGAAACGGCGAGGGTTGGAATCGAGGATCCAGTGCGTTCGGTTATCTTGCCCTACGGGGTTACTACGGGCGAGGGTCGCGGCGTAGACGGGTAGGAAGATAAGGGCTCGGTAGCTGAGAGGCGGGCAGAGGAGGTCGAGGGAGGAGTGCAAAGAAAAAGAAGAGGAAGAAGGGAGAGAGAAAGAGAGAGAGAGATAGGGAGAGGGAGAGCGACGAGGCGCGTGAGAAGTTTTGTGCGGTGGTGGCCAGGTGGCTCTAGTCGACGACGAGGTAGCGGACGGGTTCAATGACGACGAACTAGACGGGTATCAAAAAACAATAGGATATGAGGGGAAAGGGTTGACGTGGGCACGACCTGGCTCAGGGCGAGGCGCGGGATGATGGGCCGTCTGCTTGGTTGGGAGGCGGGAATTTGGGAAAAGGCAACGGGACAAAATGAGGTCGGGAGCTTTTTTGGATTTTCGGCAGCGACAGTGAAGGTTTGGGGTCAAAAAAGTTCGACGGGCAGGACCATCACCTGGCCCGACGTCACGATTGGCTACGGTCCTCAGCCTCGACCCACCTGGCTGTGGAAGGTACTATATACCCAAGTACGTACCTCGGGGTTGCCCTGCCTGGACGCCTAACCTTAGGTACCTAGAGGTACCTCCTCTATACCTGCATCAAGGCATACTGTGAGGTTTGTATAAGCACCGACAGCCGGCATGGCAGGTGACGAGTAGCAGGCGCATCTGCCTGCTTTGCTGGCTTTAGGTTGCAACAGGCGTCGACGGGCAGCGTCTGGTACTCAAGGTTGGGCAGATCAGTACTTAGGTAAGGTAGGCAGATTAGGTTGGATGCCCAGGTACCTCTCAGGTATCGCCTAGTTAGAGGTACCTACCTACCTCTAGGTACCTAAGGTACCTAGGTACCTACCTGGGTATCATGCAAGGTAACTTCCGTTTCTTGTTATTATTTAACTGCTACCTCGTACCTACCTTTCTGCCTTGGTGCCTACCTGCCTACCTACCTACAATTAATAAGGCAGGTATGGCACTTAAATATCTAATATTATATCCCACAGGTGACAATTCCAGAGTTCGGATCGTTGTAGTTGCTAGACGCATGTTTGCAATTACCTGCATGTTTTAGTACTGGTTAGGTACGTCGTTACGCCTATACTTATAATATACCATCTATCACATGACCACGGGCCACCCTCCCGCGGGCCACCCCTTAACATACCAAAAAACGCTAAAACAGGCCATTTTAAATCATACCGCTTCCCATTAATTTTAAAGCTATTTAAGAAATACTATAAATATAATTCGTATGAAGCTTTATTATTAATCTAGCGTTTTTTCGGATTAAATCGGATGCGTATTACCGGGGTTATTATTAGTTAAAAACGGCGGTAAATGAAATTATATAGCTATAAACTACTACCTAATTAATACGAGTAAATATTAATTAAATCTCGACTAAATAAGCTTCTTTTGCTATGAAATTCGTTAACGAGGATCTCATAGCGTTTATTATCCGATTTATTACTTAGGAAGGCGTTTCGATACGCCGTTTAGCTATTATATACGGCGTTTCGCGAATTACGCTAGCGGCTTGGCTTTAGGATAAGTTAGCGTTATTAGAGCTTTAATTTTTATAACGCTTAACGAATAAGTAGGAGGAATAACTCGCTTCGTAGGTTTTACGTTAGGAAACGTTAGGGCTAGCTCCTAATTACCGTATTATTCGCGGAATTACCTAGGATATCTTAAACGCGAGCGGCGATCTACGGCCTCTTAATAAGAATTAGCTCTATAACTTCCTAAAGCGTAACCTTTTAATTACGCTAAAATCCAGGCGTAAAACTAAAGCTTCGCGTTTTAATTACTTTAATTAAAAGGCTATAAATTAATATTTCGATATCCGGGAGGCTAAATACGGCTAAATAAAGCCTTATCTTACCTTTAACGTCGATAAAAAAGATATTATACTTAATTAAGGTAAGGAACCTTATTTAGCCTTATCCTTCCGTTTCTATATTAATTAAAGTACTAAAGCTCGATAGCTTAATTTTCGGGAGCTTAAATACTAGAAAAGCGATCGTTAAGAGCTCTTAGCTTAGGACTTAGGCCTCGTTTATCGAGTATATTAACGCCACGGACCATACTCTTTAACCGGGTATTATCTTTAAAGGAAAGGAGCTTTAAACGACCTAGTTTATAAATTAATTTAAAGAGATCGCCGATTAATACTTTATTACCTTAAATAACGGCTAATCGGATAGCTATATCGCGTTAAAGTAGTTAAAGGGGATATTTATTAAAGAAACGAATGGCCTCCTTTCCTACGAATTTAACGCCCGCTTATTAATCCTAGACGGCTATAAAAGCCATATAATTATTAGTTTATTTATCTCTTAATTAACTAACGTTAATTTCGTATTTTTACGATTTTTTTCTGATTTTTTATAAGCGAATATTACTAACGTATTACGATCTTAGGATAAGTTTATAGCTACTTATTTTCGGTATAATATTTACCTATATTTCCTATTAGCGTATACCTCTTACGGCTTATAACTACTCGATAATAACTTATTTAACGCTCTTAAAATAGCTTATAGGAAGTACTTAAGCTAGTTATACTCCTTAACGAATACCGCGCCGATTAATAAGCTAAATTTCTTACGTTACTTATACGCGGCGAGAATCGACGCCTTTACCGAGAAAAACGTCTATACCGGCTTTAAGGTAATTAAGAACTAATTAATAAGCCGTAATAAGGTATTAGCATATCCTAAGCTTTAATAGGAGAAAGATATAGCTAAAACGAGCTAACGAAAGAACCTTAAAAAGGAGAGCTTAGAAGTTTAGGTCTCGACGTTAAACGCGATTAATAAGGCTAGGAAATTCGCCGTTAATCGATCTCTATATACTCGCGTAACGCTTAGGAACGTTACTAACGACTATTACGACCTTTATACGAAGCTAGCTTTTAGAGATTACTAGATTTCCTCGTTAATAACTTAATTAGAACTAAAAAGCCAGCCGAGAAGGAGGGCTATTCCTAACCTAAATAAGCGCTTCCAATCCCTTTACGAGATACTAGCGAACGATTAGGATAGCTAATAACTACCTAATATTACGTTAGAAGCCGTAATCGAATAATAATAATAATAAGAGGAGGTAGTAGTAACGGTAGCCTAGGAAGAGGCTATAAGCCTACCAAGCGAGGATAAGTAGGATACTTAATTATTATAACGCGTCCGATTACCGCGCGTAATTAAGGCTCCGGCGCGCTTTAGGAATTAATTAAATAACGGGCATTAATTTAGTTTAGTTTTTATAATTTTTCGAATTTATTTAGGTAAGCTATTTAATTTATAAAAGGGCCTGTTTTAGCGTTTTTTAGTGTGTTAAGGGGTGGCCCGCGGGGGGGTGGCCCGTGGTCATGTGATAGATGATATCCCCCCAGACCCATGCGTGGAAATCTCTGCCAAGGTAATTTACAACCCTGTGTGGATCCTCAGGCATCCAGAATGGAGGCCTGTGATTGGTAGAATTGAAGAAAAACACGCAACAGCTAACTGTTCGTAAAACGCTGTATTTAAGCCCTTTTAGCAGTTTAGTTTTTACACCTTCAATTGATTAACTAGGTTTACCTTTCAACTCGTCTTACGTGCCTTACGATTAAGGCAGCGAGGCCACGAAAGGAACCGCCACCAAAACGCACACCTGTTCCGTACTGTATCAGCCTCTTATCACCATATCAGAGACGCGGACGTGGAGGCCCTTTAAGTCTGACCTCTCTCTGACTTGCCTGCCTTACCTTGTAATACACACTCACTTGCTCTGCAAGCCACGAACTTCCTTGGTAACCATCCCTGGGTACCTAGTCTCTCGACAAGCAACCACTGTATAAGATACGAATTCCCATCTCTCCGTTGCCACATTGCTAGGCCCGCTTACCTTCTTCGCCTTCTCTCCAGTCACTCCCCGTTAGTCACGGTCCGTGGAACCATGTGTGTTCTGCTGGCGAATAATACGGTGTCTTAGGTTAGGGAGATGCCGAGAGAAGCAGCAAAACCAGCCACGGATATCGAGTAAGGACTGCCTCTCGAGCATATATGGCGGGTTACATGGGTAATATCTATAATCCGGTTCGTCCCCATCCTGCCAATCCGGGAACGAGGGCGGGGTAGTACCTAGTGATAACAATAACAACGACGACGACGACGACGACGATGACCACGGAATCCGAGCATCACAGGGCAAAATATTGGCGAGACAACAAGCGCGGCCCCCTTTACGCTTCCTGCCTGCTAGGAAGGCAGGCTCTTAATTCTTATTATAACCCAAGAGCGTCGGTGGCTTTCTATCCATACGCGAGCCGCTACCATGCTTCCCCTTCGTCTCCTCAAACTTATCCTCAAAAGGGTAGACCATCCACGCGCGAGATGTCTAGCAGACCTCCTTTTGATATAGCGTAATAATGCTCAACCCCTCCCCCGCTTCCACACACATATCCCTTTCCCTCCCCGTTCCTCCTTTCTCGCTCTCCCTCCCCCCTCCCCCTTTCCTTTTTCCCTTGAGGCAGCTTGTTTACTCTCCCACTTTTTGTCTCCTTTCCGCCCCCCTTTCCGCCCGTTCATAAGAAGAATAAAACACAAGAATACACAAGATGCGTAATCGGTGTGCAAACGCCAAAGTGGGAACGGGAAAAGGTCCGACGTCCCAATGCCGTTGAAACATCCGCACCCTTGACACCGCGCTCCTATTGCTATCCGTACGACGAAAAAAAGGGAACTTCCCATTACTGCGATACCTGATGGGAGGAAATAGAGTGGTAATAGTAGTAGCACACGCAGCATATACATCACCTTCGTCGAGGGCCCGATTCATCCGATGCCCCACACCGATAGCCACAGCAGCTGCTCCCTCTCCTCGCCAAAGCTACCATGAGTAAATCCACTGATACAATTCCTATACGAGTGGGCTACCGATGTCTCTTCTTCGTCGCTAGACAGAAATCTCACCACATGTCGTCCGCTTCCGACTTACGCTGGCCGCCGTCTCCGTTACCGTGTCGGGTGTAGGACGCGTAATAATCCTTGCCCCCGTCCTGAGAACCGTAGTCGTCGTTTTCCTGGTAGTCGGCGCCGCGATTCCCGTGGTCTTTGCCGTGCTCGTAGTCGTAGATCTCTGCCGCTTCCGGGTAGTCCCCAGCTTCGTGCTGCATGCTGGGATCCCCATATTGCGTCGTCGACTGCACGGCTGGATTAGAGTTGGGTCTTTGGCTAGGTACGGGGGGTGTTCACTTACGCGGTGATATTCAAAGTTGTAGTTGTCGATGCTGTCCTGGGCCTGCTGTTGCTCTAGACGCTGCTGCTCCTCCTGCTCCCGCCGCCGCCGCTCTTCCTCTTGTAGCCGCTTCTGCTGGGGCGACAGGGGGACCTGAATTTGGGGGTGCATCGCCTGCACTTTGGCGAGGTACGAATACATGAAGTTGCTGAGCAAGACTTGGCTGTAGAGGGCACGGCGAGGATTGGCGAGTTTGATATGGGCCATCCGATAAATGGCCCGTTCCTCCAGTATCGGAAACCTCGTCCAGTGATAGTCCATATCGGGCCGCAGCAGTCGATACGGAGCCGGCTCTGGCGACAGGGATCGTTGGGATTGATGCTTTTTACCACCCGGCTCCCTCTCGCTCTTCCTCTTGCTGCTCCCGAAAAATGAGGCGAACAGGCCGTCCTTCTCTTTCCTCTGCTCGCCGGACCTTCGGCTGTTCTCCTTTCTCCTCTCCTCTTCTAGCTTGTTGTCGACAACCTCGCGGTCGAGTAGGAGGCTCTCTCGGCCTTTCTGGATCGCGGTATCGATCGAGGTTTGGAGAACGTCGAGACGGACATTGTCGTGCGCTTTCTCCACGAAGGCCTTGGTCTTGGACTTCCTATTCTCCTCCTCCTTCTTCTTCTTCTCCTTATCTTCGCCCTTGTTGAACCATTTCCAGGACGTTGGCTTGGACTTCTCCCCTTCGCCGTCGCCCCTGTCTTTCTTGCCCTTCTTTTCTGGCCTCCTCTCCTCCGAGGGCGTAAATGTCGGGATAAATGTGAGAGATTCGGTGCTCGTGGAACCGCCGCCCGGAAAGGGCGAGGTGGTTGGCGGCATATCGTTAACGTTCTGGTTGGAAGCGCCGGGGGATCTACTTGGCTGCGGGGACCGACCGGAGGCCTGATTCGAGGTAGGTGATTGCGATACGGTTTGGGGCTGTGGTCCGTAATTCGGCCGTCGGCTGGAACGTGCGGGCGGCTCGGCGGGCATGGGTGCTGGTTGGGATATAGGTTGTGTGGAACTACTCTGCGAGGACGACCGTTCAGGGAAGGGCCTGCCCATGCCCGCAGCCGCCGACCCGGGCTGTTCCTCTTCGGCTATCGGCGCCTCTACCGTCGGCGCGTGCGAGCTAGGCGTGGTAACAGCGTCCGCGGACGCCATACGCTTCGGCCCCGGTGGTCTTGTCGGGCCCGCCTGGCTCGATGCTGGGACCTCGTGCTGCTGAGAGCTCTCGTATAAGTCCGAAGTCGGCTCCCTGGCGAAGGTTTGCTGCCGCCGTACGGGATCTGTCGGCCGCGAAAAGTTCTCCGAAATCGGTTCCGACTGCACGCGTGTCAAACCGTGGCCCGGCGGCGCTTCGATGGATTCGGCACTAGGAAAGCCGCCACTCCCTTCTTCAGCCTTCCGCGCTGCTATACGCTTAGAGAAGGGAAGCCGTTCGTCAGACTTGAGGGAGCCGCCTTGTCGGTTCTTCAGACTGCCGCCTTTCCGGTAGGTGGTACGAGTCGACCGTCGCAGGCCCATACCAGGCGCGGCGGGGAGTATAGGCATGTCGTCAGGGTTCGGCGCCGGGCCCTCCGAGTCCAGCCGCTGCGATTCGAGCGTGAGCTCCCGCACGACCTTGGATGGATCGTTCATGAGATCGTCGATGCTCAATTCGGGCGGACCACTTCCGGGCTCTCTCTGAGAGATCCTCCTTCCTAGCCTCTCAGCACCGTCGACATAGCCTTCTGCGCCGTGCCCTCCCGAGTTGTCTATCTGCTTCGAGAGCATGGACTTCTTCCTCCGCAGACCGCCAGAATTGCTCCCGTCCAAGCCGTCGACGGAGAGGGTCGCGTCGGCAGACCTTCGTTTCATAGATTGCACTCTCTTCTCGACAAAATTCTTGAACTCGGTCGGGGCTAGCTCCGGGTGTACGTTGGCCGGAACCCATAACAGCCTCGAAGGATCGGCTTCGTCATCTCCTTTCGGTGCTATCGAGGGCATGGCCATGAGCGACATGCCTTGGAAAGGAAGCAGATCGGGGTCGCTGTTGTTGGAGACGTCTATGGACATGCGCCGCAGTGCCTGCAGATTGCTCAGCTCCTGGGCGATATCGTTCGGGTTGTCGATGTTGGTCAGCGGATACTGCTGGGCCTCATCGCGCATGTCGCGGAGCGAGGGGGATGAGGGAGAGCTGGGCGATTCCGAGCCGGCTTCGTACGCATTGTTCCTAGCCGGCGTGTTCCGGTGGCTTGGCGAGTGGCCAGGAAGAGTTTGAGGTTTCTGCACCGAGGCTCCGTTCGTGACAAGGGCAGGTGGGCCGCGACGTCCTGTCTTATCAGTGAGGGAAGGGTTGGTACCGCGGTGCGGACCTAGCTGCTCGCCTCCCCGGGGGGATGCGATAAAGCTCAGGGGGCGCGAGTCGCCGTTCTGGTAGTCGTCGTCGTCGCCATATAAAGTCCCGATAGTCTCGGTTATGTGGTGGGTCGAGTCGGATATCGAGAGTTGGTTTGCATGGCCGCGCCGACTTGAAAAGCTCCCACCCACATCGCGAGGCCGGGGAGAGGTCTAGGTCACCGGGGGAGGTTAGTCGCAAGATCAGTGCCGGAGAGGAGAGGAAGCCAGAGGGAGGCATGGAGTTTAACAGCGGGCCGGGAGAAGCAGAGATGGTAGTGGAGTATTGCTGGTGGAGAGAGGTCTAATAGACGGGCTGCCCCAAGCGAAACAAACAGAGAGGCCCGGGACTTCCTTGGTCTCTTCCGGGGCCGCCGCCAGGGCATGCGACCGAGTGTAGCAGAGCGGGACGAGCGACATACCATCATTGAGGGTGTTCACAGCAACCTCGGGCGAGGTCACTGCCTCGAGAATCCCCCTTACAACGTCGCCGGGTTGCACGAAGCACAATCTCGTCCGAGTCGCGGCACTGGCATGGGCGGTGACAATGTCGCACAGGATTCTGGCAGGGATAACAATGGCAGTATTTAAATCGGCGGGAGGCAGGCAACCAGCAAATGCTCTGTGCAATTAATGGCGATTGGAGGTCGGACGGACGGTTCGAGGCAGCCCCTCGATGGTGGTTGAAGGGGGGCTTGGAGGGTCACGCTGTCAGATCACACAATGTTCAGTGTTCGCGGTTGCTGGTGCAGGTACAGACAGCGCTGGTAGTGTTGTTGCTGCTGGTGCCGGTGCTGTTTCTCGTTGGTGTCTTTAAGGGGGGGTGTTGTTTGTTACTCGTGAAGGATTGGAGCAGGTGGCTTGTCCCGGGGCGTTGGGATCGTGGGAGGGAGAGACAGCCGGCCTCTGTCTGCAGCAGGTGGGAGGGAGGAGGGATAGGGCGTCGTGTTGTTCTGGTCGTGTGTTGTGCTTGTGACGGAGACAGGGACGGAGATAGACGGACAGGCAAATAAAGGGGCAGGCGACGTGCAAGTCTATGATAGAGTTGCGGTTAGGCTCCGGGAAGGTCGACGGGCTGCTATGATTGGGTACATGCGGAGTGAGGTTAGTGGTGGTGGTGCGTGGGTCGAGATCATGGTGGTGCTGTTTCTTTCACCTCTTTTGCCAAGTTCACGTCCAGCCTGGCGGTCCAGTGGTGCGGACCCTGCAAACCCTCCCCAGGTCGAGAGGCGACAGCAGGTGCAGCGCCAGAGAAATCCTGGGCAGTTCCAGGGAGCTTCCAGCAAGTCTAGCGAGCCCCGTCCAGCACGTACGAAGCAGTAGGTAGGGAGGTGAGGAGGTAGGTAGTGGGTTGTCAGCATGTGCCAATTAGCATTTAAGAATAAAATAAAATAAAATAAGAACAAGAGAAACAAGCGAAGGGGTCGAAAGAGTAAACAAAACTAGCAGGAAAGGAAAAGAGAAGGAAGAGGGAAGAAAAAAAGTCCCACGGTGGCATCTGCTCGTCGATCCGATATGGGCACAAGGAGGTACCGTTACATGGCGGAGGTGAGGTATCTGCGGATGGATGGGGGGATGGGAACGGACGGGAGAGAGGCGGGAAGCACAACCAGTATTTGGTTTCGCTGGGTGGTTTTACCCAGCGATTCGCCCCCTTCACGACGTCCGGCTCCCTGTTATGATCGGTTTATGCCATTCGCCTGTTGGATAGATAATAATACCTCTAAACCGCCCCTCCCTGCGAACCTCCCAACTCGCCTGTAAAGCCCCTAAAGCCTCGGGTGCTCACTGTTTAGTTCCCCATCTCCCCCCTTGGCCCCCCTTCCCCTTATCATCTCCTTTCTCTTCTACTCGTTTTCTTCTTTTTTTTTCTTTCCCTTCTCGTCTTCGGGTTCCTCGGCTTGTTAACAGGCGTCTTAAGAGCCAAAGCCACCGAATATAGCACACACGGGCCTATATATCTCGCATATATGTACCTACACACATATACAGGTCCAGGTAGGTACGCGCAAATGCACATACCTACATGCTCGCTAAACTGTGGGTGCGTTCCTTGTATTGTACATTGCATAGAAACATGGATATGAGTACCTAAGGTATACATGTACGGAGGTATCTAGGTACCTACTAAGTTAGGAGGCAGTACCCACGCATACTGAGTATCGTGTACATACCTCCAGAGGTACCTACCTTAGGTACATATGCCCAGCGTGGGTAGCGCAACCTCGCTAGAAATTGTCAGGTGTGGGGGGGCAGGCAACCTAAGCTACGGTATCCAGAACGAAGACCCAAGTGGAGGGATCCTACCTCCTCCACGCGCCCAATCACACACCAACCGCCCTGGCGCCTGGAAAGACCCAGGCGCGCAACATGGTGCCGTATTACATGTGCCTAGGTACCTAATGTACACACATGCGCACCTCAGCATGTACCTTAGGTACCTACCTATCCCTAGGGATCTAGTGGCTAACTTGCGAACAAACTTGTCCCACGACCTGGAACCCGGCCTATCCACTGCAATGCTAAATGCTAACCCCGGAAGCCACCAACACCCTGATCAACAGGACGTGGAAGATGTCCGTGAGGTGAGGAATCCATGTGGCGTGGGCAGCGCAACCCTACTTAATAGTATATCCGAGGACAAGTCATATATAACATCGAAAACGCGCATCCCTATATGTGTGCGCACGTATATATATATATATATATATATATGTATATATATATGCCTAAGCACATTGAATGTTAGGTAGATCCAAGGAAGGGGGGTGGATCGTTGAGGCCTGGCCTGGGTGACCTCTGTACACGCCTCTGTGTGTACCTACCTACCTACCTACCTGCCTGTATATTACGTACCTACCTATGTGTAAGGTTGGTTATCTACCTCCGTTTTGCAAATATCTGCCACATCTACCTATCCCTAGATCGGGCACTTTAAGCTAGTTAGGTTGGGGGGCCTTGAGTACAGAACGGGAAGTATGGCTCACCTTATATACATAGGTAGGCAGACATGCTACTTGTTAATACCGACCGGCCGCTTTTCACGGCCAGGCGCCTACGTGCTCACTCGCCTCCATTTGCCGCCGGTCGGTTTCTGCGTTCTGATATGAGTAGAGCACAGAGCCTGTCCCGGCACTGGTTGTGACGTACCTTAAGACCGCGGCGGCGAGACGTGGCTGGGCGGGCCAATCAGCGGCAATACACGTGCGCACGCATTCCACCCCGGAGAACAGCTAGGTAGGTACCTAACCTACTGCTATTTCTGAACCCTCATCTCTGTCAACGTAACGTCGCCAGCGTTTAGATAAGAAGATATTACGGACCTACCTACCTAGTAGGTAAGTATTTACTTGTATTTAACTACCGCTAGGAGGAGGCACCTAGGTAGGTGTCCAATATAGACTAGGGTCAACAGGTCCCGGTTAGGTTAGGAGAGGTATCTATGTGTAGTAGAGGTACCTGTTCGTAGGATATCAGCCCATAGTTAGTCAGCCATCAGTAGGTATATTTATAGCAACAAGTTGTCTCCCTCACTTGTCTTTTCGTCCCAGTCACCAGCCATGACCCGTATATATTATTACCTACCTACCTCGTCAGAGACAGCTGCCATAAGGCCCGACACGCAGCCGAAGCGTGTGTAAATCGTGGCGGGTGATGGCGTGAAGCAGCGATGGTGGTAAGCCAAGTAAGCACTAGGCCAGCCTTCTGAGTTTTCCTGCTTTCTCCCGCAGTAAATTCACGGCATCGACATACCTACGTGCCTGTGTGGGCATATCGGGATACGCACCTACCTTAGTACATTACGTAGGTAGGTAGGCAGGTACCTAAGGTCGGCACAGAGTGACGTATAGTGGTTATCGTTAGAGTGATGCGTAGAATACCACCAGTATGCCAAGCGAACCAGCTATCCTGCCAGGAAAATACAGTATGACTCGGGAGGTAATGCGCAGCCGGGGTTGCACATTATATTACCTACCCAAAACCCAGGTCAACACTCTCTCTCTACCGTCCAGCGAACAGCTCCTAGCTTACGTCTATACATTTCTCGTGCGGGATGTGGTCGCGGCGCTATCTAGTAGCGGCGGCGGTCTCGGCAATGGCGGCCGCCTTTTCTAGAAAGTCTCTAGTACGAGATATGCCCACAGATGATCTGGTCACAGCGCAGCACGCGGCTGACTTGAATGTCTCGGGTTACGGTGTCTGCCCACGGCGACAAGCGCTGCGACGTGGTTACTATTCACGCTTCGCAGATACGTCGTCCCTTGCCTTGTGTTCGCCCCCCTTTTCTCGCGTAGACTATGGCGGGGCATGCGACGATTTCCATGGTTTTCGTTGCACTTGTGTTCCTGTCGCGTAGGGAGGTCGGCTCAATACGAAACCTACGACTCAACCGCCGGAAGCGCCACGCGAAATCCTTCAGACGCACGCAATCGAGGATACTCAACCCCCGGCGGTTAGGCCGATCAGACTACTTTCTAGGCCGGTTGCCCGTGACCTAGTTTCCCCCCTAGGGCCGAAGCTAAAGCCAAAGATACGTACAGTGCACGTATAGGTAATTTTGGGTGGCAGATTTCTTTATACCTTTCTTCCCCCTCCTCATCCCATCCCGTCTTATTCTATTGTAATAGGTATCGAATTCGCAACTGCGCATGGTACCGGGTATTCAGCTTCGGTGCGCTCCCACGCCGGCTGCTACCCGTACCCGGGCGGGACCCGGCAAAGTAGAAAAAACGGGCTGGATCGACAGCCAGCAACTAGGTACCACGGAACCCGACAGCGTGGTTATACACATCCCTCTCTCCAAACTTAATCTTACATGCGCAGGACCCTCCCTAGCACGAAGCTTGTTCTTCTAATCGACGTCTGTCTTCTTCCGCGGTCGAGATTAGTAATGCCGCCCCATGCCCTATTCGGCAGGAGACGGAGAGGATAGGCGCAGAGAGGAGACGGGCGGCTGAGTTGGTTGTGTAGGTAGATATTATGTGCGCCAGGAATCCTCACGGCGCCGTTCTGGTCTCACAACCCGGAGGTGGGTCGGCTGGTAACAGAAGAATTGGGAAAACCAGCGGCATACCAGACTGCTCATCACGCTCTAATATAAATCCCAAGCGGAACTTATAGGTACTGACGTCTATGCTTAGGCTAGGGACACAGCGGTCATCCGCAAGAAGTTGTGCTGGCGCGAGAGATCGTAGCCAGGTACCTATCTGTCGGGGAGAGGACCGGTTATAGGCCCTGAGCCCGCTACTTGCGCGGGGTCGGCTTTGTATAGCCCATCTGAGGAAAATATAAAGGCGACGAGGAGAAGTGAGGAGTCGACCCGAGAAACAAAGCAGAGCCAAGTTGTGTGTGTGTGTGCTTTTCTGTCCTTCGCGGCCACCACAACACGTGGCTTGCAACCTCGCAGGTGCATGCAGCCAGCGCCGATACGGTGCTCTGCATTCCTGGACCAGGAGGGGCCGCCCTGGGAATTTCTACTTCCCGCCGCCCTACACCGGATCTCTCGCTGCTTTTCTTCGTGCCTACTTACCTCCGTTGCCCTGCAGTACTTCATAGACATACCTGGTTACTCTCCCCCTCCCCAAAAGATCCATCCGATAATCTTCGCCGCCATTCGCTAACTCGTTATGGCGCCTCACTCACCCTCACCCTGGCTCGTTCTAACCCTCCGAAAGCTTCTTCTCCTCTTTCTCCTTCGGAACTTCCTAGGCGCCGCCCTCGCCCAGGACTGCTGGAAGGACACCCCGTGCACTGGCCCCCGAGAAGCCGCCTTTCCCGGCGTGTGGGAGTCGGACATCTTTGCTCCGCTGGCGCGGACCGTGACCGCCGCCGCCGTCTTCGATCCGGCTACCGGGCAGGGCCTGCCGGGGAACGTATCCCTAACCGGCGCCGGATCGGCCGCGTGCCTTGATTTCGGCGTCGAAGTCGGCGGGATCTTGACGGTCCGGTTCCGCGTATCGTCTGCGGGCGGCGGCAGCGGCCGTGGCGCTCTCGGCGTGGCGTTCGCCGAGGCCAGGGACTGGGTCGGCCCGGCCTCGGACTCGTCAAGCGGTATCTTCGAGCGGCGGGATGGCGCGCTCTATGCCAACTTCTCGGCGCCCGGAGAATACGAGTACGTCATGCCAGACGAGCGGCTCCGCGGGGGTTTCCGGTACGCGACGCTCTTCCTCGTCGACGTCGGGCCGGAAGTCGTGGTCGCGGTCGACGACGTCAGTCTCGAGCTGTCCTTCCAGCCGACTTGGGCCAACCTCCGGGCGTACCAGGGGTACTTTCATAGTAACGATAACCTTCTCAACAGGATTTGGTACAGTGGTGCATATGTAAGTGCGCGCTTGTGTCCCAGCTGAACCGTGTAGATATCAATTATATTCGCCTTTTTCGTCTTCTCCCTCTTAAACCGCTGTGTGGAATACTTTCCCATCACCCCTCACTGTGACATTGTAACCCGGCCTTTCTCTTGATACTTTGTGTAAATCCGGAGCCGCAATATTCCTAGTTTTACTTATAGGGTCGGCATTGACGTTGTGAATCCCTCCAGACTCTCCAGACGAACGCCATCCATCCTTCAACGGGGCGAGCCTGGCCAGCTCCCGACAGCCTATGGCAGAACGACGGCGTCATCGGACCGGGCGACACGATTGGTACCGACGGCGCGAAGCGCGATAGGACCGTCTGGCCCGGCGACATGGGTGTCGCGATATCCGCCGCCTTTTATAGCACCGGGGACACAGAGTTAGTCTACACTTGGGAGACGTCAGTGCGCCTCGTAAATCTCTTCTGCTTACTGTTTCCAGGAGCGTGAGAAACTCGTTACGGGTTCTGTATGACTACCAGGTGAGTGCAATTTCCCTTTAAACCCCCTTTAGTTCCCCGCTCACCTACGAGGCACTCCTCCGGTGGCGTTTTGAACTGACCGATAAACTATCCTTGATAGTCGCCGTCCGGTTTGCTGCCCTTTTCCGGGCCGCCGCTCCTGGCGGCAGAGAGTGATACCTATCACATGTGAGACTCCTCTGCGTACACCAACTGCAAAATTGTTTGCCGTCTTTACCCCCTACCATTCCACCACGTCCCGCCACGTCGCGAACCTCGTTGACACGCGTTGCCAGGTGGACCATGATAGGAACGTACAACTACGTCCTCTATTCCGGTGACTTGGACTTTGCTCGAGACATTTGGCCTCGGTATCTGGCAGGCATGAGCTTCCTCGCTGGCCAATTTGACCCATCCCTGGGGCTTCTAAATATCAGCGGCTACGCGAATGACTGGGGTCGCTTGCACACGGATAACACTTTGGTCTCGGCCCAAGTGCTTTACTATCGCACGCTGATCACCGGGGCTGCGCTCGCTGATTGGCTCGGCGACACGAGCGGAATCAATTCGACGTGGCTCGAAGCCGCTTCGAAGCTCAGAGGTGACATTCATGAACGTCTCTGGGACGGCGCCTTCGGCGCGTTTGCCAACAGCATCGAGTCCCTCGAGCAGAGCACCGGCCTGCACCCCCAGGACGGCAACGCTCTCGCGGTGTTATTCGATGTGGCACAAACTGCGTCGGATCGAACGCAGGCGATCTCCTCTTACCTGACGCGGAACTGGACCCCTATCGGAGCTGAGTGTCCCGAGCTCCCTACGGAAATCTCCACCTTCGTCTCTTCATTTGAAATCCAGGCGCACCTAATGGCTGGGCAAGCGCAGCGTGCTCTCGACTTGATGCGGACTAGCTGGGGCTGGTACCTGAACAACGAGAATGGGACGCAATCTACCATGATTGAGGGTTACTTGACAGATGGGCAGTTTGGCTACCGGTGGGATGCCGGCTACGGGGGCGACTATTCGTATACTTCGCACTCTCGTGAGTTACCCCTGTGCTTGCCTACCTCCGAGGGCTGTTTCGCCCCTATCGCGCCTCGACCCAAGCCGAATTCTTGAAGAATCAGACGACTGACGTGAGAAAACATCTCGATGTGCACACGTAGACGGGTGGGCAACGGGCCCCATCGCAGCATTGACCGAGCATGTCCTTGGCCTTAGTGTTACTGGACTTGCTGGGTCGACTTGGCGAATTGCGCCCCAGTTCGGGGACCTGACGCACGTAGAAGGCGGTTTCACCACTAGACTGGGCAAATACTCGGCGGCGTGGACGGCGAATAGCACGGGCGCCTATGTGCTGGAATACCAAGTTCCCGAGGGTACTTCGGGGACGCTCATCCTCCCCAATCCGAGAGGGGAGGGATCCCAGGTGGCGGTTGATGGGGAGGTGGTACAACAGAAGTTCGGGGAATCAGTGGAGGGAGGCGGCGGCAGACGAGTGTATGTCAGTCCCGCCAAGGGTGGACGTCATCGCATCGAGGTCAGCTAGAGAGGGCAGTTTGTGGGCTTGTCCACAGAGGTAAGTTGGTGCCGTCGTTATGCTCAGGATTGGCAAGCAAGAGTGCCTCCAACACGCATCTGTTATCGCATGCCGGTGTTGCCTGTAGACTGCACTGCCGACAGGTGTGACTCAAGAGTTGTCCTGAGCATTAAGCCATCCCAGCTGGGTATTGAACCATCCGCTGGAGAGATGGCCCGAATAGCTAGGTGACTGATGTGATCTAGGAGGAGGGCGGTGACTCATGACGGATTGCCGTCTCCAGGAGGTGAAAATAGGGTAGGTACTTGACTTAAGAAATAGAAACGAAGAGGTCTGAGGGGTGACCTAATTGAGGCACGCAAGGAGGATTTCATCCTTTCTTTAAGTGCATACCTCCCTGTATTACACGTAGAAATGTATGTAGATAGAAGGTATATATATATAGAGAGAGAGGTACCTACCTGTCTAGTAGCAGTACCTAACCTGATATAGGTACCTACTTGATCGTCGGGTGGGGTAACCACGGGCAATAACGCAATAACGTAATAACACCGCGCTTCCTCCCGCCGCCCAGAGTTTTCTCCGCGCAAGAAACCGGTCAATTATGCACTTATGCATGAGCGAAAGCCGTCGAGAGAATCAGCTGACCGCGACACGCTATCGCGTTAATTACATCGTCCCAAACGCGTCAAATAAATTCTCGAATTCAATCCGTCCCACCTTTTCCTTCCTCACTGGTGTTAAATCGCCCTCCACCTCTATTTTCAGGCAACAAATCTGATACCACCCCCGGGACGCGTGCTAATCTCAATGCCAAAAACACACTTATACTACCCGTCTGTGCCGCTACGCTTTTTTCCTTCCCCCCCGGTCCCTTCTACTACATTAATACGCGTGCGTTGCCCACCCTTCTCTCGTCGGTATACCCTCGACAATTGGCATTGACGTGCATCATCCAACCGCGTTGATCGTCAAAATGGCGGAGCAGGAGGGCTCTTCTACGCTCTTTAGTCACTGTACCTTCGCCTTCGTCCCCAGCCGGGATGTGGGCGAGTCTTTCGTTCAGGAAGTAAGTTGCCGCATATCAGGCCTTCATTGAGGGGGCGAAACTACCGGACCGGTCACAACGGCCAACTAACCATGTCACCCTCTGTGAAAGCTCTCCCAAATCATCGCCAGCCATGATGGGACAGTCATACCAATGAAGCGAGATGGCTCGCTGCCGCTGGCGCAAGTAACCCACATCATTTCGAACACGATAGATTTCCCACAGTATACCGATACGACGGCGATGATGATCCCTGTTGTCAAGACCAAATGGATCATGGTGTCTGTCGCGAAAGGCAGGCAGGCCCAGCTCCGTCCGTTCACTCCCGACCCGCGGATGATCTTCTCCGACGTGATACTATCATGCGCGGACATCCCATCCTCCGACAAGGAAACAATCATCGGCGCTACCATGGCCATGGGCGGAATGGACTCGGACAACGTCACCAAGTTAACCACCCACATCTGTGCCCTCTCGATGGACCACCCGAAATGCAAGTTGGCCGTGGAAAAGGGGCTTAAATGCAAAATTGTTCTTCCTCACTGGTAAGCGCCTTTATCCTATGCGGAGAGCGACGTTTAAATAAGAGACTGACCGGTTTCGAGGTTTGATGACTGCTTCAAACTCGGAAAACGGATTGACGAGTCTCCGTATCTCCTCCCAAACCCCGAGATTCTGCGAGCGGGCCCCAAGGACGGGGTGAAAGTGCCGTCGAGCCAACACCTCGAGGGTGCCACTTCGGCCCAACCAGAGTATCTCCCAGCTCGTACCGACGACATCGCGAGTGCCCCGCCTAAGCTTGCCGTCTTCCGCGACAAGAAAGTACTGCTGTCAGCAGACTTGTCGATCAGGAGTCGGCTCAGAGACATTATTCTGGACCTGATTACCAGCGGCGGTGGCGCAATGACAGATGACGTCGACGAATGCGACTGGTTCATCTGCCAATATCGTGACGGGGAGCAGTATGTACGCGCCGCGCAAGCCGGAAAGACGGTTGGCAACCTGTCTTGGCTGTATCATCTAATTACGCGTAATGAGTGGACGTCTCCCTTAAGACGTCTACTTCATTACCCTATCCCCCGCGACGGCATTCCGGGCTTCCAGGACAAAGTGATCACGGTGTCGAACTATGGAGGGGAGGCCCGGATATACCTCGAGAACCTGATCATTGCTGCGGGGGCAACGTTTACCAAGACCATGAAAAATGACAACACTCATCTAATTACAGCTCGAGATAACAGCGAGAAATGTGAAGCGGCCCGGGATTGGAACATTGACATGGTCAATCACCTCTGGATCGAGGAGAGTTATGCCAAGTGCGAGATGCAAAGCCTCACGGTCGCGAAATATACTCATTTCCCGCCCCGCACGAATCTGAGCGAGGTCATCGGCCAGACCTTCTTGGACGAGGCGAAGCTTCGGGCGATGTACTACCCGGGCGAGGCTGATAACCTCGGTGCGACGTCGAAGCGGAAGCGCAAGATCCTGGAGATGGCCGACGAGAATTCCTTCTCGGAGGGCCCGGCCCAGGGCGTCGCGATCGGGCGACAGGCCCACAAGGAGTTCGACGTCATGAAGGATTCCGACGCCGAGTACGCGCAGAAGACGACCGAGGCCTTCGGGGTGCCGGCGCCGAAGGAGCGGCGCGCCGCCGAATTCGCGACCCCGGCCCGAAAGCGCCACGTCCGAGCCGGCAAGGAGAACGAGACGCCGTCGACGGTCTCCTCGAGCAGGAGCGCCAAGGACGTGGCGATGAACCGGCTATCGGTCCTCGCGCCGGATATCGCGCTGTACGAGAAGGAGAAGAAGCGGGGGGCCAAGGATGGCCACGGCCTCTGGGGAGGCAAGCGGGCGGCCGATTTCATCGACCGAGAAAACCTCAACCGCCGTAGCCTCTCCAGCCCGTCCGTGGCGGGCAAGGACAACGACGACGACGACGACGAGATTGCGGCTGAGAGGCGCCCTGCGAAGAAACATAAACCTACGCTCCCCGAAATCACTATGCGAGTTGTCCTGACGGGATTCAAGCGGTGGGTAGATGACAAGCACAGAGAGGATGCGGATCGGGTAAGTCAACTACATCCTCATGACGAAATCCTACTAATGGGATTTGAACAGAAAAAACTGCGCGATCTGGGGATTGCCGTGGTCCCAGACGGCCAATCGTGCGACTACCTAGTAGCTCCGCACATGGTGCGGACGGTCAAGTTCCTGCGCAACCTGTCCAAAGGCGCGACCATCCTCTCATCAAGCTGGATCGAAGAGTGCCTAGATACAAAGTCGATTCCGGACCCGCAGGACTACGTCCTCAAGGACACCGAGAACGAGAAGAGGTTCGGCTTCAAGCTCGCAGCCTCGGTCCGCAAAGCTCGGGAGAACAAGGGGAAACTCCTCCGGAACGTCCCCATATATTGCACAGCTAGCATAAAGAATGGGCCGTTAGGATACCAAGCTATTGCCGAGGCCAACGGCGCCATCTTTAAAGTCTACAACGCGAGGAGCGGGACCACCATCAGGCCGACCAGGCCCGGGGAGGACGAGAGCGGCCCCGACCCCGTGTACCTCCTGAGCACGACGAATCCCGAGGAGAAGAAGTTGTGGGTCAGGTTCGAGGACATGGCCCGCAAGGGTAACATGGAGCCTCGCGTAGTTGCTTCGGACTGGTTGCTGGACGTAGTTATGAAGCAGGAATTAAGCTTTGACGAGAAGTACCTCGTGTCGAACTTCTTTTGAGGCGAAGGCGGAGATGTACGGTCGGATTTCGGTGCTGCGGTCTCCCATTCCGCGTTACGTGTTGCATGGCTCGGGTTCCGGAAGGAGGAAAAGGGAGGCGTTAACGGCGTCGGGGTGTCGTTATATTCTGCTCTTCGGCTCGGGGGCGATCGGGTACTGGCTCTTGCTGTCTAGCCTCGTGTGACAAATGCATCTGTTGCAGTAGACGATATAATATACGAATTTGTAAAAAGGCTTGCCTCAGAAGAACTTGACGCCCTGCTGGTCCTCCTGTCCGAATATCTGTGCCTTGCCGCGTTTGACCAAGACCTGTAGTGCTTTCTGGAGCAGATCCGTATCGAGGCCGTGAAATTCTGCGACGGAGGTTTAGGGCATCAGCATCGTCTTCGCTTTGCCGCCTGGCGAATCTGGGGCCAAGAAAGAAGAAATCGAAAAAAAAGGAACATACCGGTGCCCCTGGTAGCCTCGCCGTCGGTTAGCTCGTACAGCGTCAGGACGGTGCCCTTCTGCGCCGTCTCGTCGACCCAGCTGTCGACCATCTCCGCCCACTCCTCGGGGGTGCGCCAGTGGATCCAGAAGACGTCGCCGCCGTCCTTGGCGCTGCCGCCGCCGACGTACTCGGCGCGGCCGTCGCGCCGCATGAACTCGAGGACCTCGCGGGCGTCGGCGACGCTGAGGTGGCGGTTGATGCGGCGGTTGTAGAAGAGGTCCTCGGCGCCGCCGGACGGCCCGGGCGACGAAGAGGCCGCGGCGGTCGCGGGGGCGGGGTTGGCGGCCGAGGCGTAGGCCGAGGAGGACAGGGCGGAGAGGGAGAGCTTGAAGAGCCGGTGGTGCCGGCAGTAGGCCAGCACGAGGGAGGACCACTTCTCCAGCTGGCTGTGGCGCGTGGTCAGGTTCGTCTGCTTGGTGAAGAACGGCGGGAAGTGGTATTCGCGGGGGAATTCGAAGGAGGAGGATGCAGGGGCCCCGGCGCCCGGCGCGCTGGCGTTGACGGCGGTGGACGGGGTCAGGGCCGAGGTCGAGGACGAGGGTTTGACGATCGATCCGATGCCGACGGAGGAAGATCCCAGAGTCGAAAACATCCTGCTGAGCGCCGCACTTGTGCTACGGTAAGTAGGTGGGATAATACCTATGAAGTCGTTTGCGCTCGGAACTCTATGGTAGACGGGCAAGAAGTTGTCGGAATGGCGATGAAGTTGCGGGATATGACTTTGGCGGGGTTGAGGATTATATAGGTTAGTTATTACGTGAATCAAAGAGCCTTAGCTACCCCAAAGCTTGGGCCCCGCTATGACGGAGTTGCCCCTAACCTGTCGAGACTCCGCTTCATCACAATATCTTGTTATCAGATAGAATCTGTTAGCGGGGTTTGTCACAAGAGCTAAACTACTCATAACTCATGAGACACCTTTCGTTATGGAATCCTACCCCCTTGCCGACTACTACGTAGTAGTATAGAATTATACACACGAGACGCGTTCAACCACGTACACCACGCATCACCGCAATCATATACATAGAAAACGCGCAAGGCAATTAATGAAGAGGCATGCCCAATGCGAATCTGTCCGTTGTAACAAGCGTATCCCTGGCCTAATCGTTACCATCGCATACTCCGCGATTACAGCTAGTCCAACCAAACTCCGCGCAGCAGACACCATCCAAACCCAGCGCAACAGCGGCAGTCCTACCAGGTAAATCACATGTCGATGCCACGGGTATCGTCCCTCACCTCGTCACTGCCGAGTTCTTTCTCGAGCTCGTCCGTCACGAAGCCCTCGTAGTCCTCTAGGTTCTTTTGTATATGCACCTTGAACTTAATGATGTCGTTCAACATCCTCTCGATTTCAGTGTGTAGTTCCTCGCGTAGCGCATTGGCCCGGAGAGTTAATTGTTCGTATCTGGAAGCTTGCAGTTAGCTCTAGGCTCCACTACCTTTTCCATAATAATAAGAACAAGACGGAAGGCGGTTGAAAGCAGGTAACGCAGACGAAACGAGAGAATGGGTGAAGCATACTCGATGTTGGTGTTCATCTCCCTTTGCTCCATCAGTTGCACAGATTCAGTAAGCTGCGCGCGCATCTTGGCGAGTTCCTTTTCCATCTTCTCGATCTGCGCATCCGAAGCCAGCTTCTGTGTTGTCGTGATCTGGCAAAACTGTTAGCCGCGACGTGGCGCATAAATAAATGAGACAGCGTTGATATACTTCTTTTGTCTTCTCATACTCCTCCTCCGCGGCTCTCACCCGATGCTCCAGCGCTTCTACTTCGTTCCGTTTGTCCTCAATTGCCTCCTTAATGCCGTCAAGGAGGTCGTGGTCCTTCATCATGGCATCCATGGCCGCCGTGCGCCGCTCGGAAATGTCTTTTCGTAGGGTTAGGAAGCTGTTCTTAACTTGCCCGCGCAGATCCAGGTTCAAGATATGGGCTGGTTGGTAACCGGTAACCGGATCTGCTAGTAGGCGTTCGCTCCCCCCTCCCCCTGAATACGACCCCTTCATGACGGATCCCGTGAAATCGGACTCGTTGACTGTTACCGCAAGCTCGTACGAAGCGCCCTTGGCGTTGACAGCCGTCGCGGGGATCAGGCCAATCTGGTAGGCGAGCGTGTTGTATTTGTCTACGAGCCTCTCTAGCTCGTCGAGTTTGTGGCTGGCTTCCATTTCTTTTTCTGCTACCTTCTTCTTGCCCTCGTCAAGCCTCTGCGTGGCCGACTCTATGCCTTTCTGTAGTCTTTCACGTTCCGAGGTCATGCGGTCGATATCCTGCATGCTGATACCTTGATCGTCGACTTCTTTTTGTAGCGCCCGTCGCTCATCCTCCGCCTCCTTCAGCTCTTGCAGCAGCTTATCTAGCTCCTCTTGCAGGACCTGGATCCGGCTTTCGTATTTATCGGTCCGCGATAGAGCGAGCGCATTGTACTCCTCGAACTTGACCTTGTCCTCTTCCATGATCTTGAAGTGATTGTCGAGAACGCGGGGGTCGGGGGTTGACTTCTCGAGATCCTCGATTTCTTTGAGTAGACGGGCATTCTCTGCCTCGAGCATCTCAAGCTCCGACAGGTACTTGGAATTCGACCTCTCGAAAGCCCTAGCCATGCCCTCGACGTGAGGCGCGAGCGCCTTCTCAGCGTCGTCGTCACCGGCGTCTTCGTCCATAGCGAGCCAGTCCCGATACGCTGAGCTGAGAAAGTCGAAGATGATGTGATCGCCCCCAACGTCGATCCCGCTCTCCATACAAGCTTCGTCGTAGCGGTTGGAGGCATATCCCTCGAGCATCTGCGCTAGCTGCATCATCCAGTGGAGCACGCCTAGGAATGTACTCCAGTTCTGGCCACCCACGGCGGAGATTTGCGATTTGGTGATGCTCTTCTCATAAGGATAGCGCAGCTGCTTCAATATTGGCGGCACCTCCTGGTCGATGTTCTTCTGGAAGCGGTAACTCGGGTCTATGCGGTGGTATAGCCACTGGAACATGTAGTTGAAGTCCTTCTGGGTTGGCGACTTGATGATATTGTGCGACAAGGTGTGCTTCATCTCCATCTCGAAATTGTGCTGAGAGAGGTAATCCAAGAGCTCCTGGCCGATGCGCGCCTGGAACGAGCGATCTCTCAACGGCCGCGGGTCGCGCGGGACTCCGGCGGCTTGCGGCGCCTGTTGGAAGAAGCTCTGATGGCTGCCGGGCCCGTTGGTGGAGGTTCGCGAGCGGTAGACACTGCTCCTTCGGTCGTTCTCCGAGTTTCGCATCGGCACGCCGCCGGACGCGTAGCTTTTCAGGGCAGAGCCGGGATTGTTCTGAAAAGACGACCGTTTCACCGAGGACATGCCGGCCTCGGCCAGGTTAGTGCCGGAGGACGTTCGTGAAAACATGGGCTGGCTAGGACGGCCGAGGGCGAGGGATTGCCTAGATCCCGACACCGATCGCATGTGACTGCTGGCGAAGGCGCCATTTCCGCTAATCGAATTCGATCTCTTCATTGCAGAGGAAGGCTGAGCTGTCGCGGAATTTGGATTGATGCCACCTAGTGTCTGCTCGCCAACATCTAGTTATTACTATTGTCTGTCCCAATTACGAAGGGCGCGAAACCGCGCGCTGGCGCATCAACAAGGGGGAGGGGAGAGACGTATGCATACCTCTCGAGGTCGGCGGACGCTCCAAAGTCCGGTCTCTTGGGACATGATCTAGCAATGTGCAGCAGAAGTTAGGTCCTCCTCGTTAGCGATAACAATGATATAATGATAGCCAGAGGGGAACACAAAACTAGGTTGATTGGTCGTATCCCGTCAGAGAAACAGGACTGGCAGAGACGGGGATGGGGGGTGTTTGGATGCAGAGGTGGTGATGGGGTAGATAACGGGTATGCGACGTATTAGAGGGGGGATAGGCATCTAGGTAAATTTGTTATGGCGGTGCGCACAGAATATACAAATCCGCAGGCGCCAAAGGGCTGGATAAAGTAAACAAATCGAAAGCTACCACGATTGGCTGAGATGCAGCGGTGACAACACAACTTTGCACGGATTACCTAATATGGAGGTACCTATACCCAGGTAGCCTTGCGTGCTGACTTGCCCCGATAGGTTAGACGGGTTAGGTACCTATTGGCTACATCAAGCCCTTGGGCACCCGCCTAATCCCCCCGAGGAAAGTGGCGTGTGCAGGTGGGGGGGGGAGTACCCGATGCGATGTCATCGGAGTTTGGGTACTTCCCAATGCTCGAGAGAGAGACACCACGGCTCAAATGTATCTCCACATTACAGGAATATTGCTCATACTTGAATATGACCTTACATACCTACCTAATTAAGGTGTATTACCTAGGTACCTAGATATATGTGCCTAACGTACTAACACCCACGTGAATTCCATCCGTAATTTCTACCTAAACTTACAGCACTCCGTAGGTATATAAGCCTGGCAACTCTCGTTTACATTTTTATCTGATTGATTTCCTCAGTGCCGGGCCGCGCATACGCATACTTTGCCATATATCTACGAAACTCAACTATGCTTCGTCCTTGCTGGTAACAAGCTGCCACCCATGTACCTTGTCCCAATGGTCCACCCCCTCAAGGCATAATGGTCTTCCTGTCTTTCCCGCATTCTTTGCAATGGTGCGAAGAATTCTGGTCCTCGCAGGTGCGCCGGAAAGCCGCACACTGAACTGGGAGGAGTCGAATCTTCTAGGTCAATTCTTAGATCCTATCGCCACTTTCGCTCGCATCGATGCGGCTGCTTCGGAACCCGCTCTGGGACCCGCCCTCGACGTCGCCGTCTGGAGATCTATACCGCTTACGAGGACTGCCCTGCCGACCGGCTTCTCCCAGATCCACCACATCAGAGAGGACGATTTCGGAGATGAGAGATTCTTCAATTCTGCTGGGTCTTCGTTCGACGCGGCTTCTGGGTGCTCGGGTTCGAGTGCGGCGACCCAAGAAATCCTAGACCGGTTCTACGATCATTCCTTAGCAGTTCACGATGACATCCCATCGTCTGAGCTGCCCACCGCCAGCTGTGGGACCACGCTGTCTTCTTTCGATACTACGGGGGACCAGAGCTCTCATATGTCCATCCAAAGCAACGATTTGTCGATTGGCCAGGACCAGCCCTCGGTTGCTCAGTCAGCTCATCTGAGCGATCTCGAGGATGTGCCTAATGCCTCCTATCTCGAGTCCATCTCACCCCAGACTATGACGGTGAACCTCATCGTCGGGATAATTTCCATCGCCGAGCCGCGCACTGTGAAAACCAGATGGGGTTCGACTTTGTCCCTCATCGAGCTTCTCGTCGGAGATGAGACCAAGTCCGGCTTTAGCGTCACGTTCTGGTTATCGTCCGACCTCGGCGAATCGTCGAGCAAGATTCTTAGGGAGCTCCGCAGACAGGATATCGTCCTTCTCCGGAATGTCGCGTTGAGCGTCTTCATGAACAAAGTGCACGGGCATAGCTTGAGAAAGGGTCTTACCAAGGTAGACCTGCTCCACCGAAGGAGATTGGATAGGTCCGACCGGGGGGGCTTATACAATCTCAAGGACGTTTCTTCGAAAAAGTCGGCACATCCGCAATTGCGTAAAACGAGAAGGGTGCGAGAATGGGTCATGAACTTCGTCGGCGGCGGCGGCACGGCCCTAGGAAAAAGGCGACGGGGCGGGAAGTCTGTCAGAAGCTGGGACATGCCGCCGGAGGATTCGCAGTGAACCTATCGCACCATAAGCTCGCCTCGCGTGGCGTCACTAGGAAACGGGTCATCGCCCGGGAGCATTTTTGGGGGGACATTTCGAGGTCGTACATTGATAACGCAGCGTATTCCTCACCGTAGGATGGGTACATTCGGAGGAGTGCGATATACCTAGCGACGTCGTCGAGGGACGAGATAGATTATAGCAGGAAGGAGAGTTGGGCGCTCGTCAACAATTGACCAACTTGCCTCCTACCTACCTACCTACCTACCTAAGTATTCCTTCTTTCCTGTTACTTTCCCGCTTGTTGATGGCGCAGAGGGCGGCGTTTATGTTAAGTTATGGCTGAGAACCTGTCGAAGCGGAAAGGGGATAAGGGGGAATGCATACCTACCTGTATGCATCTATAGGATGTAAGGCTATGAGGAGGTACCTAAGCTACCCATCTAAGGTACCTAACCCATGTACCAAGTATGTAGGTGATTGTGGGATGTATACCTACTTACCTACTTCCTATGCAATGGCGGAACCCGACGGCAATGAATAACGATTAATCCGGGCAAGGCGCTGATTACCCGCGCGCGTCAATTGGCGGCGACGCGACGTCACAGTTCACCGTCGAAGATGTAACTCGCAAATAAATATGTAATGTTGTCGCCCGCCTCCACCCCTCAACCAATGCTCTTCCGTCGCCCAATCTCTCCTCTCGCTGCCCCCCTCGACTCACTAATGCACCACCCACCACACCCAGCGAGGCCCGCGCTGATGATGTCCATTCGACAACCCGAATCGTCCATACATTTGGGGCTTACCGAGGTTTGACATCAGGAGACCACCGGCCCAGCCAAAGCAGACGGCGATCTGCCAAGATCTACAGGGGCCCCCCATCTCTGTCAGTCATAGAACCATTGTCACGACACCTCCAACATGGCTGCAATTGGATATGACGAGGTGGCCGTGATGGACGAGGACGTGAAAGGCGACAGCCACGGCCGCGGCATCCGCATACTGGAGAGGTCCTCCCTCTCTAGGACCAGGAGCCTGTCGGACGGAGGCGCTACACCACTGTCGTCCTCCCCACATATACTCGAAGCATCGAGGCGCGCATCCAAAGATGACAGCTCCCTGATCATGGACAGGAGCCAGGATGCAGCCGCCACAGCCGCTTCTGCTGCTCCCGCTCCCCCCGTCACCCCTCGCCGCCCCGACATCTCCTTTCGCGGACTCTCGCTCCAGATATCCAATGCCGATTTCGCCTCGCCCGCCCAGACACCCAGCCACGCCAAACTCGCCCCCTTATCCCCGAAGCTCGACCATTCCCAGATCTACGCTTCCCCCACCAACATCTTGCCCAGGCGGTCGCGCGGTTTAGATTTCTCGAGGGCGGCCACCAGCCTGCACCACTCGACCCTGGCTGAGCAATCCTCGCCCGACTCGTCGCCGACTATCGGTGGGCGCGCCATGAACATCCCTAGCCGAAGTTCCGGAGAATATGGACTCGAGCAGCCGGTCACGTCGTTGTGGTCGATGATGGGCAACCAGGAGCGGATGCACGTTTCTAGTTCCGTCGGGAGTGCGAACCCCCTAGCCTCGGACTCTTCTTCAGGCTCTGACGACGACGACCCTATGGATGACGAGATGGAAGATGCCATTTTCAGTACGCCGCAGGCTGTAAGGGCCAACCCGCACGGAGGCGTCCTATCATCCGGCACCGCCGCCCCCTGGATGACCGCGGCTTCGTCGACCATTAGTAGCCTCTCTAGCTTCCGAACGAGACCCCGGAGGCAACCTAGGAGGAAAACGCGGGGTCTGACCGGACTACCGTTCAGTCCTGCCCACCCAGCGGCGCTGTCCAAATCGCCGCCTAACAACGTGGTGAAGGATTTTCGAGATGTTACTATTCCGCCTTCGCGGAGAGAAAGCATCAGCTGGGCTGCCAACCAACTGCACATCTCGGGGAGCGAGAGCGAGGATAGGTCTATGGATTCTGGCGAGGCACTATCAAGAGATGGTCATCGGGGCGTAATCAAGCGAGCTGTCACGAGGAGAGGCAATCTTCTTGTAAGCTGGGCCTGGCCTTATACCTTATTAGACATTTGTCTGACGTGTTTCGTAGCCGAAAACGAAAGGATTTGCACGTATCCGTGCTGCCCTGGCGGAAGAAAGCGCGCCAATAGACTCCGAGGTTCGCCGAGAAGCAGAAGTCATCCGGCAAGTTCGCGAAAGCGATATGGATCTGGAGCCCCGCGTCACCCCCGCCGCACCCCTAGCTTTAGATACCAGCAATATTTCTACCACCCGGTCGTCACCAAATCCGACTACGGCCCAAGAGTCACTCGACGATATACCAGAAGACGATATGATGACCGATTCGAGCGCGTCCAATAATTTTAAACAGCAGGCCGTGAAGAACTCGAAGGGTAAGAACTTTTGGGAAACATTCTCTGAGACGAGTAGTGCTAGAGTCACTCCGCCGCCTCCGTCCATTATGCCTAGAGGCTCCTCGTCCGGGATGAGCGAAGATGTGAATATGGATTCGCCTTCCCTGTCAGCCGGATCTGGCAGCGCCAGCCTTTTCGGCTTAGGCCCGGGGAGCGGGCAGGTGACCCGCGGACCCGGAAGCGATGGGCAAAAGTCGGAAACGCCGCAACCGACGTCGGTGTCTGTATCTCAGGGAGGCAACATCCCCCCCACGGCAGCAGAAATCACCCGCCGTATCAACAACAAGCGTCGTAGAGATGACGACTTTGACCCGCACAGCTTCAAGAGGCGGGCGGTGAGCCCCGGTATGAGCGTGCACAACTCTCCAATCATGCAAAGTCCGCTGCAACGAGACATGGCCCCGTGGGGCTCCCGGCCGGGGAGCAATCACGGCGGAGACAGGGCTCCGGGGACGCCAAGCGAAAACGGCAGCTCCGGTGGTAACAACGGCCCTTTCGGTAGCAGCGGAAGGAGCGTCAGCGGCGCCAAAGGGCGGGTTGGATTCCAGGGCATGGTTGATACCAACGACGGTCTGATGCGTATGAGCATCGAGTAACACGATCCACATCCGCAATGTGTGACAGCAGTGCGTGCGTGTGTGTATGTGTGTTGAGAAGAGGGATTTAGGGGGGGGAAGGGGTAAGATAAAGGTAGCTACATATCGTAAGGAGGACAATACCGACTAAAGAGCGGCAAACGCGCATGTAGTCGGGCCACCGAGTCCGGGGGGGCATCGGCTGGTAGAGCGTCCATCTATATGTATTTATCGTCTCCGTAGATATTATGTAGACACGAAACATGCGAGAATACAAACCAATCCTACCCACACCTGCTTACTATGGCTTTCAAGTGTGCGATCTCGCGGCCGTCGCACGTACCGTCCGTCACCCTCCCTACCTAGTTACTAAATCTTATACCTCGAACGGCGGAGCAACCAGTCCGGCTGATAATGCAGCGATACTTAGGTAGGTGTACAGTAAAGCGTACTACAGGCGACCGTCGAAAGCCGCGTATCCGCGCTGTGCCCCAGCAGAGAGCGACGATTAATATCTAGTGCGGGTCCAACTAGAGAAGGGAGCGGTGATATTAATGCCGTAGTAATATATATAGTAGACAGCGCATGGCCCTGGAATCGCAGGCGTGAAACGCCTTCTTTATATCAGCCCCTGTCTCAGCCCGTCTCAGCCCGTCTCAGGGCGATTCTATGCATGCAAGCCTCTCCGACGCCTCGCTGCGGGCTCGGCGACCGGGGGCCTCAGGGTTTTAGGCGCGGGGCACAACCGCCTGTCTTTCTTTCTCTCTTTCCCTGTCCCACCCGACCCTATTATTCTGGGGCGGGGCGCTTGAGTCTGCCCGACCGCCGCCTGGCCCCGATCTCGGGTGCGAGCTCGATCTGCGCTCCCTTGTCCTCCTGCTCCTCCTTCTTATTGGCGCCCCTCCGGGATCTGCTCGGAGGGGCGGGCTCTGCTTCGTCCTCCGGCTTGACGGGCTTCGATCTCGGGGTCCGGGCCTTCTTGGCCGGGCGCTTCCCGCGCTCCTCGGTTTCCGCCTCGCCGCGGCCCGGGAAGAAGCGGCTCTCCGTCTCGTCGTCCGAGCCCGGCGCAGGCTCCTCTTCCTTGACGCGGCACCTCTTCTTCTGCACGCTAGGGACGACGCAACTCGTGCGGCCCCCGACAGTGAGGAAGGTGATCTTGTCGCCGTTCGGCAGGGCGCCGGGCGAGTCCTTCTTGCCCTTGCTCCACCGGTGGTTGAAGAGCCAGTGGTCGGGGAACTGGTCCGAGTCGCCCAGCTTCGCGACGGCGGTGTCGCACACGTAGCAGATGGCATCGTACAGCGTGTGGACGTCTGCGTCGTCGAACTCGTTGCAGTATTGCTCCGGGTGGAGCTTAGCCTGGTACAAGATCTCGTCGCCAACCCAATTCCCGATGCCGCTGACCGTTGTCTGGTCCAGGAGCAGCGCCTTGACGGGGACGCGTCGGCTCCTCATCTTGTCCCGCAGGAAGCGCTCTGTGAAGATGTGCCTGTCGATGACGGGGTCCGGCCCGTTCTCGACGAGAGGCGAGTGCTTTCGAATATCCTTCCCGGGACAGTCGACGAGGCGGATGCGACCGAAACGCCTAGCATCGGTGAAGGCGACCTCGACTTTGGGGTCGCCGTCGGTCTCGAGATGGAACTTCCAGAACTTAGGCGGCCACAGCTCCTTGTCGCCCTTGGTCCTCTCGACGTAGCGGGTGTAGCCGGTCTGGATGCCCCGTATCTGCACCCAGCCGGTCATGCCCAGGTGCATGACGGCGTGTGGCGGGCTAGACAGCACCATCCAGAAGTACTTTCCCTGGCTCCCCACATCGGTGACCTCCTTGCCGGCAAGCGCCTCTTGGAACGCGAGACCGGTGGTGCCAGCCTTACCAAATACGTTGGCGTCATCGAGGGCGAAGACTCTGCTGATGGTCTTGCCCACCAAGTGTCGCCGCAGGAAGTGGGTGATGCGTGCGACTGGCGGGGACCGGTCAGCATATCACGTCACGATGCTACTGGGGGGCGAGCCGAAAGTCGGGCACGAGGGAGGTGATATCTCACCTTCGGCAATTTCAGGCATCGCAATCAAGTCAGAGCTTGGCAGACCGGAGGAGGGACAAGGCCAATGGGCGCGCAACTCGGTAACTACCAGGACCGACAAGCCGAGCAGAGGCGGAGCCAATCAGACGAAGCTATTAAATAATGGATGGCATCTAGCGAAGAACCACCGGTTTATAGCATATTCCGCCAAACCGCTGAGCGGGCGGTGCCGCTAGAGATTAGGTACCTAGGCCGGTTAGATTGTGTACGTGTAGGGGTAGGTGGGTAGGTAAGTACCTACGTGGTAAGGAGGTGGGACGCCAGCGAAAAAAAAAAAAAAAAAAAAAAGAGAGAGAGAGAGAGACAAGAGTGAAAGAAGGGAAGAAGGGGAAAAAAAAAACAGATGTAATGGTTCAGATCTTGATACCTGCATGTAGCCGCGGCGCCACAGACGCTGCGCTGCATGTACCTCCGCACGGAAACGGCATAGGCCGTGTACGTGCCTGGGGGGCGCTGCGTCGAGACGATGACCCTGCTGCTTACCTTATCCAGCCTAGATGGGTGGCTGCTTTTACCATCGCCACGGCCGCTTCTGTCAGCATTTTTGCCCGTTGCGTCTTCTGGCCGGGTTTGGTCCCCTTCACATGCTTCTGCGGCTGGCCGTGTGACTCCGTCCAGCCACCCGCCACACACGAACCTGTCAGTGGCAGCCAGCCCACATCAGCTCAAAGCGGCGACTGAGATGGAACTCGGGCGAGTACATGCGTCCCGATGTACCTATGGGCAGAGCCAACCCCCAGTTCGCGGCGGGGGTCCCTGCTGAGAAGTCCCGCACAGTACATGGATGCGGACGGGAATTTACGTACATGGAGATGTAGCACTACAGAATGTATGCATCGCATTCTGAAGTTGGTGGTGGGATTGGCCCTGCGCAACCGCAGCCGCAGCCGCGATGACCTGGCAGAATTTTTTTTTGGTTGCTTTCTTAGTTTTTTTTTCCCCTTTCCCTCTCGGTCTAGCTGGGTAGGTGGTGAATAATAATGGGGCTCTGAGGTCAATTAGAAGAATAAATTCCATCCTGATCATTTCCAATCTTCATCTCCATCCCATCTCAGGTTCTCGTCACGGCACTGTGGCTACTGTGACAACGGTAGCTTGGAGAATCACACTCGGAAGCCAAGAACCTAAACCTTAACTCGTTCCTTGCTGGTCGCTCTCCATCATGGATCTCCTCTAGGACTGCCTTTCCACGAGCCCTCTGGTCCCTACTTCGTCGGCATCACTCTGGCTCGCCTTCACACCTCCGCCCACACCCATACCCGGGTCCGCGCCTGTCCAGCTCTCGTCTCGGCCAAGCTCCCTTAACCTTCTGGGGTTGCCAGATCGACCGACCGTGATCGGAGCAATTAGGAACGGACGATAACAGCAACCCTCAGGTTCGCTCACAGCGCATCCCCTTCGCTCTAGGTCCTGCTGGCTTCAACAAATCCCTGCACTCCTAGACGAATCTTGAGTGTGATACGCGCGCGTGTGAGAGAGAGAGAGAGAGAGAAGACGAAGGCATCCGCATTCGTTGACACCGCCCTTTTCCCCTTTCATTTTTATTTTTATTTAAAAAAACATTCCTTTCCCTCCATCTATTCATACAGTAGATCATCCAACATGGTCCGTAATATCGTTATTCTCTCGGGCAACTCGCACCCGTCCCTCACCGAGGCAGTGTGCAATATGCTAGGCATTCCTAACGGCAACCGCATACTGAGCAAATTCTCGGTTGGGGAGACCCGCTGCGAGATCAAGGACTCGGTACGGGGCAAAGATGTCTTCATCATCCAGTCTGGCGGTGGATCGATCAATGATCACTTAATAGAGCTTTGTATCAGTACGTATCTGCTGCGGAGAGCTGGCGGAGGAGGAGGGGGTTTCCAGGCCTTGGGCTGCCCGCTGGGACTGGAGCTGACAGGAGCCGACAGTGATCTCTGCCTGCAAGACCGGCTCGGCCAAGCGTGTCACGGCTGTGCTTCCCTTGTTTCCCTACTCTCGACAGCCCGACCTACCATACAACAAGATTGGTGCTCCACTCTCGAAGCCCACCGAAGCCTCCAAGGACAAGTATACGTTTGAGAGCGTCCCCGCGACACCCGGACCTGGTGTTGTGAAGAGCGCAAGCTTCAGTAAAGAGACTGATCTGACGAGGGCGATGAGCAAGACTTCTCTCACCAACGGGACGGGAAGTGCCCTCGCTCGGACGAATGGCGGCGAGGGCTACTTCCACTCTGATGGGAACGCTGCCGGGGACATGTACCCGGTTCAAGGCCTGCATTCCCGCGTAGGAAGCTATACGACTCACGACTACGAGAATCCGGGACTGCTCTCTACGTTTCAAGCTAAACCCGGGTATAAGCGATGGGTTGCACAAGCCGGAACCCTGGTGGCAGATCTTTTGACCTGCGCGGGCGCAGACCAGTATGTGTTTTCCTAGCGCCAGAGGAGGGGGGCGGGGATTTGCTGTGCCTTTATCGAGAGGCCTCTTGTTGCCTTCGAACCCCTCTTCCTCGACGTCTAGACGTGCCTCCCGTGGGCTTCCACGCGAAGACAATGGCTAACGGGGGCTGCAGTGTCGTCGCGCTGGACCTTCACGATCCTCAGTACCAAGGCTTCTTTGACATACCCATGGACAATCTATACGGTCGTCCCCTGCTGAAGAGATATATCCAGCAGAACATCCCAGATTACAAAGAAGCCGTGATCGTGAGCCCAGATGCGGGGGGGACCAAGAGAGCGACGGCTATCGCAGATAGCCTGGGCATGGAATTCGCCCTCATCCACAAGGTAAGACGAAATTGTTATGTGCCGGTCTTCAAACTTATTCGGCAAACCCAGGAACGACGGCCGCCTCGGATCACGGATCGGCAGAATGCGACGATGATGCTGGTCGGTAATGTCGCCAATCGGGTGTGCATTCTGATCGATGATCTGGCCGACACCGCCAACACCATTACCCGTGCCGCTAAGCTCTTGCGAAAGGAGGGCGCGGTGGCCGTGTACGCCCTCCTCACTCATGGCGTGCTTAGCGGGGACGCCATTGCGCGCATCAACGCTTCAGCGCTAGACAAGGTGGTCGTGACCAACTCGGTCCCTCAGGACGAGCACAAGCGGCTCTGTCCCAAGCTCGACGTCTTGGACGTCGCCCCCATATTCGCCGAGGCCATTCGTCGCATCCACCACGGCGAGTCGATCAGCGTTCTATTCCAGTACGCTTGAGGGATGGGGAGTTTCTACGCTGCGTGGTGATAGGAGCCCCGTCGACCGTTCCCAGGTCATTTTCCTCCCGGATGGTTAGGTATTATTACCTAGTCGCATACGTTGAGTCTTAATGGGCCATCTCTCTTTTTCTTTCCTTTTTTTTTTTTCTTAAATCATTCCGAGCATACTTTCCGTATTAGACGATGCTAGCCGTGCGTTTTTCCACCTGAGGGATGCGTTTCAGTCCCAGGCCCCCCTCCCCCTTCAGCCTCGAGAACCCTGATTAGTATATGGAATCAATCGCATAAGGTCGGCAGTGACCTCTGCTCAAGGTAGGCTAGATTCACCCGTGGGTTCGGGTTTGCCTGGGCGTGGCCACCGCGGCCGGGCACCGGCGGGGGCGGGGAATGGGAGGAGTTTTGCGGCAACAATTACATCTCATAGAGAGGAATTTCTAGGGCGCGGAAGAAACGGTGTTTCTCTCACACACGGAGCCTGCGCCATCGGGGGTGGCACGGTGCAATCCGCCTCCGACTCGGTGATTGTGACTCGCCTTCTTCTGAACAGCACTCACTGCGGTGCCCGTACGCCGACACAGGGTTTCCGGGCATCGCATAGTAAGGGTACTGGCGCATATCGCAGGCCTACCCTACCGGCTGGAAGACGCAAAGGTAGATACGTGTCTACGTGGGTTCACTGGGCATCCGATCTGTGTGGGTATCAATCATAGTAAGAAGCGAAAGATGCTAACGTCGAAGGGGGCGTGTCGGTGGAGTATATAAGCCGAAGGAGAAGATGAGATGAATATATACCCACGTTTGCTGATGGTAGCATTCACTGTAGATCTCTGCATAAAAGAGCAAGGCTGCCCGTATCTGTTGTGAGACTTGTCAGAAAAAGGTCGGCTCTGTCAACCACGAAGGGTTAGCAATCACGAGTCAAGGAAGAGGTTCATGGGGCTAGGAAGGCCGAGAAATTACGATCAGTTCCGTTTCCCATTCCGTTTTTGATTTGTTCCTCTACCTCCGCATTCCGGATTCCTCCCCCCAGCAATGCCTAGGTACCCAATACCAAGATATGGGGGGGGGGAGGCTTGGCCTAGTGCGTGCAGGTTGGGGTAACGGGCGCCACCCTAGGTAAAATGGAGTTACCTCCCCTCCTCCCTCCTCAAAGAGGTGCCCCATCCCAAACAATGCACCAGACCACGGGCGACTTGCCTTGGGTAGGTAGTCAGTCCGGCTTGAGACATCGGAAGCTTAGCTGGGCAACGGCCTGAGGGCCTCGTAGCAGCCGTCGCGCCCATCTGCTAGGCCCCGCGGGGAAAAGGGGCTGGTCGGCGTCGATGTCGCCATTGGAAGGGGTTTGGGTTGGCAGCATGGTGCAGCCTCCATAACGGCACCAAAAATGATACACCGTAACATAGGTACCTAGCTCCTATTTTGCTAGCAGGTTGTAGTGCAGCGAGTGGTAGCCTGTAGGTACCTACCTTAGGTACCTATTGAGTGAATTAGGTACCTGGGGTACCCGGGATGTATGTATTGTACGTTAGGTTAAGCATGTTCTACCGTTTTCAATACGGAGGCTGCGAGTGGACCAATAGTAACGGTGGCAGCAGCGCAAGGCCAACGCGCAAAACCACCCGCCCGTTACGACCAAGAAACTGCCGGCGCAGTCGCAGTGTCGCGCAGTGGACCTCGGCATGTGCTCTGGGGCCGGGGCGTCCGCTCTAGCTTTAATTCGGCCAACTTGACCACCCTTTTCCGGCTGAACATGCATTCAGTCGTTGTTCAACGTTTCCCCCCTCTCGACGCCAGCTACGCCAAACTTCCACCATCGCAGGATCTCCCTCGCCAGCATCCGATTGCTCGATTGAACGGGCGCCAGTCGGTCAGTCGCGGAAGACGGCGCGCCATCTCCACCTATACTATTACTCCCTGACCAGCCAGCCAACCCATCTCGCTACATTCCTTACACTCCGGACTCGAGCGCGTGTTCTTGCCCGACAAGGTCAATCGAGTCTCGACCCATATAGCCTGTACGGACAGATAGACAGGTCCTCGGCGAGCCGACCGTGCCTACTCTTATCCGCTACCCGCCCTACGGATCGATCGATCCCGCCGCATCGCAGTAACGTCGCGCTGAAAATCACGCCCATATCCATACGAAACGTCCACCTCCGCGAAGAGCACGTGCGCGAGAACCGAGGGACGAAACACGAACCCAAAACTGATTATATAAAAACCCCCCCAAAATAATTAATAAATACATACAAGGAGAGAAGGCTACCGGAGAGATCGGAAACATGGTTGCCGACGCGGTCATCTACCACCCCACGGTGGCGCACTACCTCAAGTTCGTGGCGACGACGGCGGGGCGCGACAAGCTGATGCGGACGGTGCAGTACTTCGCGCGGTTCTACGCCTGGTACCTGTTCCGGACGAACGGGACGCGGGGGGAGGTGGCGCCGTGGGAGGCGCTGAAGAAGCAGCTGGGGCTGGCGCGCAAGCTGCTGCGGCTGGGCAAGAACGTCGAGCACCTGAAGGCGGCGGCGCTGGCGGCGGACGCGATCTCGGCCGCGTCCAAGACGGCTGCCACCGCCGGCGCCGGCGACGACGTGCTGCGGTACGCCGCCGTCGGCCGCCAGCTCGGCTACGCCGGCTACCTCACCTTCGACGCCGCCACCGTGCTCGACTCCGTCGGCTTCCGCCGCTGGGACGGCGCCAAGCGCGCCCAGCGCGAGGCCTCCCGCTTCTGGGCCCTCGGCCTCCTGTGCAGCGTCGTCGCCCAGGCCTACACCCTGTACCGCCTGCGCGAGCGCGAGGCCAAGGTCGACAAGAAGGAGGGCGAAGGGGTCGTCGAGAGCAAGAGGATTGCCCTGTACGTTTTCCCCACTTTTCTTTTTTATTATTATTTACCTTTTTCGCATCTTACACGCGCTTCTCCCGGCTCGGAATTATCTTTTCTCCTCATCTTTCTTCCCTTCCCTTTTTTTTTCTCCCCGTCCTACTCCCAAAAAAAAAAAAACCTAACCGAAAATGTCATAGGGAGCGGGCGGCGAGCCGGCTGCAGCTGCTGTCGGACCTGTGCGACCTGACGATCCCGACGTCGGCGCTCGGGTGGGTCGGCTTCGACGACGGGTTCGTCGGGCTGGCGGGCACGGTCAGCAGCTTGATCGGCGCGTACGCGCAGTGGAAAAAGACGGCGTAAGGGACGGGAAGGAAAAGAGAAGAACGGAGACGAAGGAAGCGGGAAGGAGGTCGTAGAGGCTTTATTTCGCGGAGGGGGCGACGGGGAAAAATCTCTGGCTCGCGTTGTTAAAGGTCGGGGGAGGAGGGAGGAGGGAGGGAGAAATTATAGGAGTGGAGGAAAGGACCAAGACGAAGTAGGAGATGCGGAAGAAGACGCTATGGGGGGGGGGGGGGGGGGGGGGAGGCTAGCACGAGGGAGACGGCCACAGAAGACAAAACATGACGAACTGTTCCCCTCGGTGCTGTATGTCCGATAAGTCGGTGTGTCGCGAAGTCTAGGTGGGTGATGTGACGGATAGACGCGTTGACGAAAAGAAATAAGGGGAGAGGGGAGGCCGTCGCCTGACGACGTCCTGTGTTGTTTTTTTCTCTTCACACTTCAGTTTTTCTTTTTTCTTTTCCTTTCCCCTGTACCAGTCCGGGGAGGGAGGTGTAAGATAGCCTGGTTGCATACTAGGACAATAGGGGGCACACCTGGCTGGGTGTAAACGAGGAGCAGTTCTTAGAGGGTATCGAGGTGGTTAGTTTCTCTACTCGGTTATGGTTTTCTCAGTTTACGTAGGCAGTTGCTGCTTGTTACGGGAGCCGACGTCTGTAGTTTGAAGAGGCTCTTGGCGCGCTCGGTGGTTTTGATCATTGATACAGCATCTGAAGGTCTGGAATGATATAATTTATACGGACTTTTTGATAGACGATGTAGGTAGGTATGTAGGTAGGTAGGTAGGTAGGTAGGTAGGTAGGTAGGTATTTACCTAGTCTTGGGTGCCCAACCTTGCTGAATGCGTTCGGATGTGCATATCGGCACGGTTTCCATAGGCACACGACCCAACCGGATGATTTGCATGGACCCTGTGGAAGAATGGGAAAGTCCCTGCAGCCAAGGCTCTCTGAGAGAAGACGAGTCGGCTAAAAAAAACAATGCACCTGTCTACGTTCGTAACCAGGCTTAAGATATGAGCTATTGGATAGGAAACTTCCGCGCTCGGAAACGGGCGAGTAAATAGACGCCATGTAGGCTGTTTACTTATATCTAGCCTCTCGTATAGCATGAGCGCGTGGCTTGCACTCTTAACTCGTTGGATGGGATTGGAATTAGACGTACGATGATTAGGATTGCCCTTTACCTATCACAGATATCTTTTCTCGGCCCATGTACTAACATTGAAGGTAGATTCAGTGTACTAGGACACTCCGGCTGAAAAGGGGGTAAAGGGTAGGTATTAGCACCTAATGAAACGCGTCCATCGAGAACCCACTTGCCATCACTCGCTTTTACTGAGACCTTTCCAATAGTCTCCCCGAGGTTTGAATGCTAGGTAGATACGGCTCTTCATGCATTGCCGAGAAAACATCAAAAAGTTGAAATTCTCCCCGTCTCTCCCTTCCTGGTTCCATGCCCGGATGTCCCTCCCCGACAGTATCTCCTCGGATTCTTCGTGTCCCAACATCACGCTGGTAAAAGCCCGACGCACTGGCGATTAGCTACAAAGCGAAACTGCTGCGAGGTTCAGACGGTCCTCAGTTGCATCACGATACCCATGCCAGCCCGTAAAAGTGGACACTGGTTTAAAGAGGTGGCTATTGTAGGACTTTCTCAATAGCAGAGTTGAAGTCTATTATGGCCATCGCGCATTGCATTAGAAATACGACTTTCCTGTAACGTCTACGATAATAGGCACCGCAGCGCACAAGGTGATGATACCCACGTCAAGCCAGGCAACCGTGGCTTCGTGGCCATTTATGCCACTGAGCTCGCATCCTATTCCGTTTGAGCACGGCATATTATTAAAGTCCTGTCGTGTAGTAATAACCCCTCCCTCCATATGCAGGTTGGTTGCAGGTGGTTGATATTAGCCAAAGGCATCGTTGAACAACCCTCCCCACCATCGTCTGTCTAATGTCGCGAGGCGTAGAAGGCGAGTACGGTTAGCACATTGCTCAGCCACGAAGCACTCAATCTTAGATCAGCTAGACAAAGAAACCGCCGTGAGTCGACGAGAGACTGCTGCTAGATCCGACATTACAAAGGTCTGCCTGGCATACATATCCAAATTGCCCCCGATTTCTAAAGATGATATCAAGCAATCGAATAGGCCAAGAATTGCAGCATCCGCGTTGTGTGACGCCGGTGCTCCTGGGGTAGGTTAGTTAAGATACAATCATACATCTCATCTAGTGTCTTTGGCAAGGATGCGAGGGCTTTCCGTACAGCCAGAGGGTCAAGACATTCTTCTAGTGAATCGAGTTGACACGAGACCCAACCCAACGGAACTTGTATTACTTTTGTAACTAGACGAAGCTTGTATTGAGTAACCGATAAGTTTAACTTGAACTACCTACATTCCGTTCACTTTATCCGTCAAAGTAGTCTCGATCTTCTTTTTTTACATCCGGGCGCTGCCACCATCTTTTTAGTTTGGAGTTGCTCATTCTTTTTTGGACGTGTCCTGGGTTCTCATCGCGGAATTTCACTGCGTTATCCACCTCGTAAGCTCACTGAGATAACGGTTTCTCTCTATACATTCAATATTCTCGAGTATTTCATAGGCTGCTTGATCGTTAATCGTGGATGTCAAATAGAGGAACCTAGCAATATAACCATCATGTCTATTTGAAGAAAGAGTTACTAACCGTCCGACAGAAACTCGTTAGGCTTCCTTTCGGCCTCAACTTTATTTGGCAGAATCTTGTTGACGAGGTCTCTGGCGTATGCGGCTGCTGTCATGGCCGCATACCCTCGCCACAGCTCGTTCTTGTGTGTATCCGAGTAGTCACATATACCACGGACGACAAGGCACGGGAAATGGTTCATCAATCCGGCGGCCTCCATCTCAAAGCACAAGACATCTTTCTGCGCCGAGAGCTGATCCCGGACCAACGCATCCTGCATCATTTAGTTCGCCGAAGCAATCAGGTCATAGTGGACTGCTGGGCTGTCATCGGCCGCTGCCAAATCGACTGAAAATACCTATCGTGTGGGTAAGTATCCGGCTGGCGTGAGTTGCGCCGAGTCAAGCGGCGAGCTGAAAGGGGGGACCCGGCACGCTTGGTTTGTCCTATTCACCAACTCCCTGATAGATTGGGGCTTCCTCTTCGGAGCACTCGTGCCTTATGTCGTAGCTGCTGCCTCTCATAATGCCCGTTACAGCACCATCTAGGGAACAAGCCTAAGGATCGGGGTGGTGTTCCCGCTTGTACTCTTTTTCCTTCGGCTGAGGCTCAAGGAGCCCGATGAATTCTCTCGAAACTCAATGAAACAATTAGTGTCAATAAACCCGCTCTGCTACTTTACCACTCACATTTAGCCCTACCTTGGGTTCCAGGTTCCCCAGTAGGTAGCCTTACTTGTACTGGAGAACGGTGACTTATCACTAGATGATGTAACGCCAAGCCACCGTACCTCCTTGCGTTTAAATACTACAGACTCCGACTGCTCGTTCTTTGTTTAATCTGGTTTACCTACGATGTAAGGGCGCCGGACCCCCGTCCTTTCAAACGCGGAGCGTGACACTACCTATTTCTTAGATATTAGTTCCCCGCTTATTCCTTCTCCGTCTACTCCAGCGCCATCTTCGCCAACATATGGGTACGGCGGCTCGGCGCTCCTGACGACCGTCTTCGGGTGCAACGCGGTGATCAATCTCTTCTACACCCCGGGGACCGTTCTCGGCGCGCTGATGGGTGGTCGCCTTGGGCCCCGCCGCACCTTAGTGCTTGGTTAGGTCCTCCAGGCCGCCGTCGGCCTCGTCATGGCCGGCTGCTACGCCGAGCTGTCCCGCCCGTCCGTCGCCGGCGCCTACGCCTTCTCGCACCTCGCCGCGCCCGACGGCGACCCCGTCGTCTCAGTCCAGTACAAGTTATACCTCGGCTCCTCGCTGTGCGTGCTTGCCGCCGCGCTCGCCGCGCTGCCGCCCCCCGTGGGCCAGGACGCCGTCGCCGCCGAGGACGCCTGGTTCCGGGCCTACGTGGCGCGCGAGGGCTGGCACGCGGGGCAGCTCGGGCTGAGGAAGGCGTCCGGCGCTGTCGAGTCCCCGCCCGTCGACCCCGAGCACGGCGCCGCCCCAGAAGGCGTGAGGGAGAAGGGACTGACAGGGCCTTTTGTCACCTATCGAAACGCCACTAGGCCATCCCCATGTATCCGACTAACAACTCGAAATACCCTCACCCCTAATGAACTCGGCAAAGACTGGTGCGGATATGTGCATAACATCATCCAGGTACTTATTTCCTCATTCTGGCCTTATCAGCAGGCACACCGACGAGATGTGTTTTTTTTGGTTAGGTATCTCTCCTCACCTCAAGACGACTTCTATGTACGTATTCTTCCAGCGTGATCGCTGGCATATGTCGCCGCGCTGGGCTAGAAACTTCACTTCATTGATGTTTGCCGAGTCACATCGTAATAGGGTGGATGCTGGTCTATAGTTGTCACGTTGGTACGTAAGCATATTGGGAACTCTAGTCACGAATCGTCATGCCGGCGTGGTAGGATGTCCCATATTTAACTTTTTTAATTGGGTGGTATGCCCGGGTATGTTCGAGAGAAAACACAGATCTATATGAATTGCCAACTACAGTTCATCGTGGCCTGACGGCTCATCGTCGTCTGCGGCACCTCCGGCACCTCCGGCGTTGCTGTACATCTTGGATGTGATCGGGTAGGCGACGTTCGAAAGCTTCTCCTTCTGCTCCTCGAAGTCCTCGGCGGTCGCCGTAGCGGCGTTCTCTTCGAGCCAATCGGTAGCCTCCTTAATAGCCTCGAGGATCTAGTATCAGGTTAGCGTCCGAACTGGCGAGATTGCCATTGCCGGGGTGTTAACTTACGGCCTCCTTGTCGTCCTCATCAATCTTGCCACCGAGACCCTCCTCGTCATTAACCTGGTTCTTGAGGTTGAAGGCGTAATTCTCAAGGCCATTCCTGGCCTCGATACGTTCGCGGGTGGCTTTGTCCTCCTCGGCGAACTTCTCAGCCTCAGCAACCATGCGTTCAATTTCTTCCTGGCTGAGGCGGCCCTTGTCATTAGTGATGGTGACGGACTCGGTATTTCCAGTGCCCTTGTCGTGGGCCGAAACCTTCAGGATACCGTTGGCGTCCAGTTCGAAGGAGACCTCAATCTGGGGGACGCCACGGGGCGCCGGGGGAATGTTGGTTAGCTCGAACTTGCCGAGCAGGTTGTTGTCCTTTGTCATGGACCGCTCTCCCTCGTAGACCTGGATCAGGACGACGGGCTGATTATCAGCGGCGGTGGAGAAGATCTGGCTCTTACGAGTCGGGATGGGGGTGTTGCGGGGGATAAGCTTGGTCATGACGCCTCCGGTAGTCTCGATACCGAGGGTAAGCGGGTTCACGTCCATGAGGACGACGTCACCAGTGCCATCCTCGCCCGAGAGAACGCCGGCCTGAACGGCAGCGCCGAAAGCAACAGCCTCGTCAGGGTTGATACCCTTGCTAGCCTTCTTGCCACTGAAGAACTCCTCGAGGAGAGTCTGGACCTTGGGAATACGAGTAGAACCACCGACCAGGACGATATCGTCGACTTCCTCCTTCTTGATCTTGGCGTCGTCCAAAACCTGCTTGACGGGTTTCAGAGTTCGCTTGAAGAGATCTATGTTGAGCTCTTCAAACTTGGCTCGGGTGAGGGTCTCGGAGAAATCCTTGCCCTCAAAGAAGGCCTCGATCTCGATGCGGGTAGACATCTGAGAGGACAGGGTTCGCTTGGCCTTTTCGGCCTCGCGCTTCAGTTTGCCCATGGCCTTGAGATCCTTGGTGATGTCGACAGAGTTCTTCTTGTTGTAGTTCTTGGCCAAGTGGTTGATGATTCTCTGGTCGAAATCCTCACCGCCCAGGTGCGTGTCACCAGCAGTAGCCAAGACTTCGAAGACACCATCCTCGATGGAGAGAAGGGAGACATCAAAAGTACCACCACCAAGATCATAGACAATGATGTGACGCTCGCCGCCAGTCTTATCCAGACCGTAGGCAATAGCGGCGGCAGTAGGCTCATTAACAATCCGGAGCACGTTAAGACCGGCAATTATACCGGCGTCCTTAGTGGCCTGTCGCTGGTTGTCGTTGAAGTAGGCGGGGACGGTGACGACGGCGTGAGTGACCTTCTTGCCCAAATAGGTCTCGGCAACCTCCTTCATCTTGCCGAGGATGACGGCAGAGATCTCCTCGGGGGTGAACTTCTTGGTGGCGCCCTGGAACTCCACTTGGATAATGGGCTTGCCATCCTTTTCGATGACCTTGTAGGGGAAATGCTTGAGATCGTTCTGGACTTCCTTCTCGGCAAATTTTCGGCCGATAAATCGTCTAATGTGAGCGTGGTGGTTAGCTTAAAAATCCTCGAGTCTGGACGGGATAATGCGTCGGCTCGACTTACTTGACGTCGAAAATGGTGTTTGTCGGGTTGGATGCCGCCTGTTGTTTGGCGGCATCTCCGACCAATCTCTCCTCCTCGGTGTAAGCCACGTAGGATGGGGTAATTCGATTTCCTTGGTCGTTTACGAGAATTTCGACCTTCCCTTGTTGCATCACACCGACACAAGAGTATGTGGTTCCCAAGTCCTATGTGAAAAATGCGGTCAGACGACATGGACCTAAAGAGGAGCGAGAGCGAGAGGGGAATTCACTAAGGGCAGAATAGTCGACTTACAATACCGATAACCGTCCCATAATCAGCTACATCGTCCGCCCTCACAGTGCTGACAAACGCGAGAGGACTGAAGAGGAGGATGCTCCAGGCTATCATGCCAGTGGCGATAGCCCAGTAGCTCTGAGAGCGAGCCATGACGGACGGAGGCTGTCGCAATCTGAGCTGGGACGGGTTGCGAGAGGGGAAAAGGAAATCAGTCTAGGGAAGGAAAAAAAAAGGGAGAAAAGGAAAACCGAGCCGCCCTGCAACCTCTTCAAGAGTATGGGGTTGGTATGGTATAGGAAACTAATCAAGGCGTAGTATGTAGAGGAGAGGAGAATGGGGAAGAGGGATGCGGCAAGGCGTAGAGAGGTGCGTAGGCCAAATTCTTATATGGGAAGGGAAAAAGAGTTGAGATGTTACTAGATCGAAGTTGCCAGCTTGCAAGAGAACACATTGCAAGAAAGTGTGGATCCGGCGGCCACTGGACACCCCGCTGAATGCATCTAATGTGTCTGGGGCGGTTCGCTTAGATGCATATTTCCCTCCCACCCCTGCCTCATAACACAATACGTGCGGGAGGGATGGGTGAGTACAGCTACACCCACAGTACCTAGCATTGGCCCAGGACGCCCGAGGGATGGCCATGTATCTTTGGGTACCTGGTAGTCTGTCTTCGCATCCCGCGAGCTATCCAAGTATTACATAACGGGTCTCCACACAGCCCTCCCTACCCACTTGCGACTATGTACGCACATGTGGAATGCACGTATCCCACATCTGTTGCGCAAACCGGGTATAGGTACTGGAAGACAGCTGAAGACAAAAATGTGTGTGCGAGTCAATCCATGCCTGCATTCATCAGAACCTGAGGCATCGATGATGTTGCCATCTTCTCTACACCTGCCTCCACCTGGCTACCTTGATTGAACACATATACACTGCCCTCCCGCCTCAGTGGCGCTCAGGCGTGTTATGCACCTATAGCAGATACATACTAGAAGCTTCTCTTTCTGTCGAGCAGAAGCCAGATCGCCGGAACGCCTCTTTTTTTTTTCTTGTGCCCTTTCGGTTCCTTGCCCACCAACAGTACCATCCTCCTCCTCCTCCACCCCGCCTGATGCGGGTCATCCCTGCTCCCTTGTCAGGTAGGTACTTAATAAGCTTCCAGCATTGCCCTCCCGTGGCCCTGGATGCTACATTAAGTACCACCTAATTATAATTCCGTCCCATGCCGCCTCGCTGTTGGATGGGTGAGCATACCTAGAGCTGGCATCGTGGTGGATAACACGGTGGCATACGCGATCGGGTCAGCTGGCAAGAGATCTGTCCCTTTGCATTAGCTAGATTGATTCCACCTTGCCCACACACACACACATACATACCTCTGTATGGATGATGTCCCATCTGCATGTATGTAAGAGCCAGGCAGGGTGGATTGCTTGATGTGTTTGCGTCAAGGGCCCAGGATCCCCACGCCGTAGGTACATGAACGGGGAGCGTACCTGTATTTGCTATAAGCAGGTGCTTGTATACCTATATGTACCGAACATACACGGCCATCGCTTTGAGGCTGTCATGAAGTTATGAAGTTGGATGCCTCCTCTCGCGGCTCTCCTCCATACTTCTTCCCATAGGATGCATACCCAGGCACAGTGCACGCTAGTATTCTGCCTATTAGGTCGGTCGGGTAGGAAAAGTCGGGTGGGACGCGGTATTCCACAATATAAATAGAGTGTGGCTATAATTAATTCTCCAGAGCCTCAATTGTGGCACAGCACCTTGAGGCCACAGTTTCAACGACATCAGCGACGGCTCATAACCACGCACAGGGTATCCACCTACGTCCCCGCCTGGCTCGTCCTAGGCTATCAGGTAGGCTCCGTCCCCTGACCAGGTAGCCAAGATGCCTGCCCCATGCCGTCATTGCTTATAGATATACCAGGCAGGTAGGTAGGTACTTACCGCCCCGTCTTATTACTCCAGCAACCCCGCCGCAACCGTGTCGCCGCCGCTCCGCAACACAACTCTCTGGCCCGCCTCTAACGGCACCTTGGTCCCCATCTTGACCACAATTCTCGCGACGCTGGCTGGCTTCACGATCTTCGGCTTCTTCTTCGCTACAGTGCCCTTCACCTTGTCGAGGAGTGCTGATATCTCTGTGATCTGACCTGCCGCGTGTAGTCGGCCCCGGTGCACGTCCACCTGCATCGGCATGAGAATGTCAAACGCCAGGGCCTTGACCGTAAATGTGTCAATGCAGGCGATAGGCTGTTTTGTGTCGCAAATGATATCGCCGACGCGCACGTGAATCGGATCGATGTTGCTGAGGTGGATGATGACATTCTGCCCCGCTACCGCCCAGTCTACTGGCTGGTGGTCCAGCTCCAACGACTTGACGTAGGCCTTCTCTCCGCTGGGCTGGACGAGCAATGCGTCGCCTGCCTGGAGCGACCCGGAATCTATCCGTCCAGAAACGGTGAGCGGGCTTTGAGTCGAACGGTATGCCTCGGAAATAGTTAGGCGCAGGGGTTTATGCAACGCTCGGGCCATGGGCTCCGAGCCTTCCAGCTCCTCCACCAGTGTCTTCCCGCTGTACCAGTCGGCCGCCTCGTCCCTAGATCTCGCTACTATATTGTCCCCGTGTAAGCCGGATAAGGGCACGAAACTGACGTTTTTGAGCTGGAACCCTGTCGCGGATAGGAAGCCGGACACTTGCTGCGAGATCTCGTCGAATCGCGCTTGCGACCACCCAACTGTGTCTAGCTTGTTCACCGCGACAATTATACGTGATACCCCCATGCTCCGAAGGAGGAGGGCGTGTTCCCTCGTCTGCCCCTTCAGCCCCGCCTCAAACGCACCCGTCGTGGCGTCGACAACCAAAATTGCAAAATCGGCCTGGCTTGCCCCTGCAATCATGTTGGGGATGAAATCTCGGTGGCCCGGCGCATCTAGTATCGTGAATAAAGTAGTGTCCGTTTCGAACCTGTTTGTCGCGATATCGATCGTCACACCCCGCGACCGTTCTTCAGAGCGCTGATCTAGCACCCATGCGAGCGCAAATGACGACTTTCCAATACTCGCAGCCTCCTTGCGGTATTTCTGTATGGTTCTTTGGTCAACGACGTGAAGATCAAGGAGTAGGCGCCCCATGAGGGTGCTCTTGCCAGCATCCACGTGGCCTTGTCGGGTCAGCATGTATACTAGGACGGTAGACACCACCCGCGAGTCTTACCGACAACTACAAAACTTGCGCTCTTCTTGCTATTGGCCTTCTCGAACTCCTTCAAGACATCAAGGTTCTTGCTTTTCGGCAGTGGTGTGTCGTCGATCTTCAGGTCCTTTACACGATCCGTGACATCGCCCTTTTTCGTGCCCGAGTCGGCTTTTTTCTTGGATGTACCAGCAGCCGGCTTCTTGCTGCCTGCTAATACGAAAGTATTAGTATCCTCGTGTGTTTGCCTTCCTCGCCAAAAGCGAACCTTGGGACTGTGCTGCCAAGACCACGTCATCTGGACTTGGCACTGAAAAGGGGTCAGCTATCGGTGTAGCTAAATGTATATAGGGAAACGGGTAGATATTTCTAGGCCTGGGGGTGGTAGAACCGTTCGCGACACCAAGGAGAGTCCGGGCAAAGGCAGAGGGTGCAGCGATTTCAGACTGCGACATCACCGCAGAGGTCTCGGCAGGTGTTGATTTGAGTATGAGCGGTGCCGCTGGCCTCTCCAAGCTCTCGGTAATTTGACTTCGACTCTGATTGGCCCCAGTCCTGACGCGCTCCGAGCCGTCTTGCCGGAGGTCACCACCTACGCTAGAGGCTGCGGTGCTTGGGCTTTCCCCATGGGTTAGGAGAGAGGGTTGAATGTTCTCCTTGGTGATTGCGTGGGGTCTATCTAGGATAGGTAGTTCGCGGGGCAACTGCTTGTTCTGGTGTCGCTGTTCGTCTAATTTCCGTTCATCTGCCTTCTTCTTCCGAGCTGCAGCCAGAGCTTGGAGTTTAGACATCTTGCTGGGAGCACTGGAACCTCCTAGCAAGCCGCCTCGAACCTGCGGTGGCTTAACGAAAACAGTCACCCGATCCCTGGGCACATTCAGCCATGGCATATCGCTGAAGAATGTCGCAAGCGTGGCCTTTGGAACGCGGTTCTCCTCTTTAGCAACTGGGAGACCTACTAGAAGTTAGCCTTCTGGCTGATTTTAGTCTTAGACACGGATGCTCTTGAGACACGCACCTGGAGCGGTAAGATGCCGCGCTCGTGCTACTGATATTCCCATGCATGACGTGTGCCGACCCAAGGCTTCGAATGTAGTGGCAATGCAAGTTGAATAGAAAGGTACCTACCTGGCTCTTTCTTCTTGCTAGGAGGCGCGATGAACTTGCTTATTAGATAAGCTATGGACTTGTCCACGTCATAGTAATAATGCCATAGTGCCTCTTGGATCTGTTGAGTGGTGACCTTGGATGATTCGCTGCCGAGGGAAGCCCGAATTTCGTCGGTGCCGGCGTCCATCTGGGCTGGATTTGAACACGGTAGAGTTAGCGTAGACCTAGACCTGGGCTTGGTTCGTAAACACACATACCTCGATCCTCCGGGCTAAGTTCCTCTCCCTCGTCCGAATATCCATCTCCGTCTCCATCGTATTCGTTGATGTCGTTCTCGTAATCATAATTGCGGTATGCTTGGTGACGAGACATCCTGTCCGCTCAATAGGACTCCGGGGGAGGGGCAGATGGTGTGGACTTTCCGACACGGAGGTCTGCAGGCGGGATTGGCGTCTCGAAACAATCAGTGGGGGTTGGGAGGCTCAGGTCGGTGCTGTCACTGATGTCTATCTGGGTTGTTGTTGTTGTTGGTGGTGGTGGTGGTTGTGGTGGTGGTTGGAAGTTGTGATTGAGCTCCACGTACCATTTTAGTACGAGGGATGCGTCGCAGTCTGGTGGTGAAATCAAAGGAGGGGCAGCAAGAGAGGGTAGCTCACTGCTTACTACCTACCTACCTACCTAGGTACCTATCTGCCTACCCTAACTGCCTTCAACGAGTAGATACCTTATCCATCTCTTATCTGCTTGTGGTATTCCTGAACTCTCCCATTGGTCCGTTTGCGCATTCTTGAGGATTACGTACCTAACCTGGTAAGTAAGCTTATGAAGGGATGGATACATTACGTAATCATACATAGGTACCTGCTTGTTAATATTGACAAAATCTTGCTTGGATTTCTTGCCAGTTATTGTTAAAATAAGTCTTTCGCATTTTTAACCTACGTTACTGGATATATAAAATGCGTAAATTAACAGATGATGCTAGGTGTGTAAGGACGTACATATTGAGGCACAATAGGCACCTGCTCAGTATATTTACCAGTGCTATAACTAGGCTCAAAAAGCAAGGCATATCATAGCTTGTGAGGAAGGGTATTGGAGATCACCATACCTGCAGTCAATTGTGCCAAATTCTTACGAGAACAGCAAACTAGGACAGCGTTAGAGAGACAACGAAGCTGGTGGCAAATTTTCCTTTTTTGCAGTAGGTATATTAAGCCTTGCATGTCATATCCCCTCCATCCATAGGTATCCCAAATTTGTCTCTGCAGGCCTCCTGCGGACGGCATCATGCGTAAAGACGACCTTAGCAAAGTCCCAGTGGGTTGAGTCATTTATGTGCTACAGAAAGCATTAGCCAACTAGCATCAAGGGCGTTGCTTTCGACGAAGAGTCCAGGACGCAGGATGACTTCCTAGAATAAAAAGGGGCTCAGTCCCGAATACACCATCCCCATAAACAAGAGACACCCTCAGTGCGCCGACAAAAAAACATCTGCCCTATCTGGCCGTCATTATAGATCTATCAAGCTTTCTTCTACCACAGGCTGCTGGGGCGCGTGTCGAGGAGCGGCAGGGAACGTTTCCTGGGTGAACCCCGGGTATTCTGCACCACTGGTCTGATATACTTGCGTTCCTTGGCCTGCATGCTGCTGCCAATACGGTTGCGGCGCTTGCTGGCTAGGCGGCTGATATTGTTGCGGAGGCTGGGATGGTTGCGCGGGCGCCGAGGCGGGTGTTGGTGGAACGGATTGCCTATTGTAGTTTAAGTTGTGCTGAAGGCTTGGGTAGGGCGAAGGCGCAGCCTCGGGAGGGATAGTCGGCGTGTTGCGGTCGTTGCTCGACTGTGAGCTGTGATAGTAATATGAGGCATTAGGCTCTGCGACCGGCGTCCCGACCGGCTCGGTGGCTCTATTAAGGGGAGTCTGGGGGGAAGGATGGGATGCGAGGTTAGGTGGGGGTGGAGGCTCGTTCGGAGCGAAGTTTGCCTGGCTGGGATATTGAGCCGGCGCTGACGGTCCCTGCGGCTTCTGCCAGCTATCGCTTCTCGGAGGGGCGTGCTGTGGGTATGGGTTGCTCGGAGGCATCGATACTGACGCTCGCTTATCGTAACTAGCGAATTGCTGTTGTGGGCCTGGGTGGACGTGTTGCAGATACTGGTGACTACTAGCTATTCTGGCAGGGTCCGGAGGGCGCTCGCCGGTATAGAAGTTTTCTGCCGCCGCAGAACTGCTACCTGCGGCAGAATCTATGGACGGATACGGATTGGGTTGTTGTCTGAGGTTGGGTAAACTGTAGCTGCCGATGCTATGTTGGTTATACGCCTTGGAGAGGCGCTCCTCTAACATCCTGTCATAATACCGGACCACAGTAGACAATTTCGCATGCAGGTCCAAAAGCGTATCTAGATTGCGGTTAGCGAGCGGACGAGGCCCGGGGTCTCGCGTGCAACTTACCATGCTTGCTCATGGTTTCTCCGTACGTGCGCGCCAACTTTGGTCGCAACGCCCCAATAGAGTCGTAAAGTTCCTGAATCTGCGGTTCTCTTAGGATGGTGCCCGGCGGCTGGGTCTGCAGCCTATCCACCAACGTTGAAAAGAGGTTGATGTTTTCAGCTTCTACGGGAGTGAGCTCGTAGTCATTCTTTGGTAGAGTAAAATGGGCGGCCGATGTGCTCTCGATGTTGGTTGTTTGCTGTTTTAAGACGGCAGCATGTCTTTGCTTTTGCTCTTCCATATCTGCTAAGGAGGCCGCGATGGCTGCTTTTAGGTCTTCATCCTCCTCCTCAGATGCACCCGTCGCTGCTGCCAGGGGTGTAGGGGAGTGGCCGTTCGTTTTCACTTGTGTTGCTAAAGGGGCATTGTCTGTAGGAGGGACATAACCTCTCGAATGGTTCTGGACGTCCTCTAGGCTCATTGCGAGAGCCCTCTTCAGATCTTCGTCGAACGCGTCGTCAACTCGGGCGTTCCGAGGTTGCATGGCTGTTGTGCTGCGATTCTTATGCGGGAAGGTCGGGCTCGTCGGAGTGCGCTCTTCTCTACTGAACCCTCCCTTGTTGGACCTGTCGGTCAGTTTAGTGTAGCAACCGTCATCGACTCGGACGGGCTGCATGATGCCCAAGTGAGGCAGAGGGAGCGTCTTAGCAGAACACTGCTGATCAAAGCAGTTGCCACAGTTGCGACAGTGGTGTTTACGGTTTGTGAAGGTGAACGGAGTACGACACCGCATACAAACGTCGGAGTCGATCCATTCAGGCGGCTGTCGGTGACTAATTAGCGTCCTCCCAGTATACGGCGCGCATATGAGGGAGCCGAGGGGCGCGATACGTACGGCGCTGCTGTCAATCATACTACTCGCCACGGTGGTCCGAGGTGGGAACTGAAAGCCTTCCCTCTGTAGGGCCTTGTAGGTCTCGTCTATGTACTTCAGGTCGTAGCGGCCATCGGTTGCCACGGCCCAGGACTGTATTAACTCGAGTATCTTGGCTCGTACTTCGATATTCACCGCGGCGGGACCGACTGCACGAAGGAGGGACACGAGGTTGTCCATGAACTCTCGAGAGGCGATCTCGACAAGGAAGTGGGAGCCGCCGTTCTTGACGCAAGTATCTGTCAACTACGCCAGCTGTCAGTACCACACAGGTATCATGACAGTAGAGGTCGGGGTAGCCGGAGTATGTCATACATTGAGCGCGCTCAGCTGAGTGTTGGGATTCTTGTTGCCGATGCGACGCTTTAGCGAGCGCATAGCTTCCTTGGGCTGTACCGTCTTGGACCTGATGACGTCGGAGATCTCGAGATTGAGGGGAATGTCCTCTCTATAGGGAACAAGGTTAGTGGTCTGCGAGGACCTGGCGGCGCCGGCGGCGCGGCCAAGGTGTACGCGAGAGAAATACGTACAGGCTGCTCCCGGTCGCCTTTTCGATCTGCTCGTCCAAGGCGCTGTTGGCCGAGGACGACCACCAGCTTCCCATCATCGTGCAAGGGCTTCCGGAGGGCCGAGTACGGGTCAGGTACTATGTGGTGATGAGAGGATTTGCGACGGGCTCGTTCTTGAGATGGAGACCAACGCGGTTGGTTTGTCTGGTCGATGGCGAGTTGCGCGGCAACAGATCGAAATGGCGAGTTGTGGTGGTGAGGAAGCTTTACGTAGGTCGGTATGTTGTTGAATGTATCAGGTAGGCCGGGGTTGATACGATTACCTACAGGTTGCGTACGCAGTGGCCATTACTATGAGAGGTAGTTGGCCTCGACTCATGCTAGGTACCTACGGTACCTAAGGCAAGTCCCAAGCTCCGTCCTTATTGATCTACCAGGCATCCGCGGTCGTCAATTTAGGTACCGAATAGGTACCTAAGCTGCCTAGAGGTACCTCCTAACCTACCCCGGTACGTGTATACATTAGTATGTACATAAAACGCCAGGGGGTACCTACCTAGGTACCTCCCAACCTAAGGCTTAGCGCAACTAGACCCCGTCCAGTTCAGAAGACTTCTTAGGCTTCAACAAACCCACGCATGTTAGGTAGCTGGCAGAGCTCTTATCATCATTCTGCAATCCAGCAGAGCCAAAGATTTCCAAGCGACATACTTCCCGCCTGGGAGGTCCTCGTTCAGGCCCTCCTCTTGGAATCGTCCCGTTGACCAGCCCACCCATTGAAGGCTGTAGTAGTAGTGCTCTCTGGGGCGGTGTTGGTCCGACTTCGAAATTTGGCCCCGTGTAGGGCATTTTTGATACCACGCTTATGGTCCCGATCCGTCACAACGTTGAAATATCTTCCGATAACACTCCCAACCTCCCTCGTCCCCTATCATTCTCCAGTTGATTATTCAAATATATTACCAACTTTGAAATCGAAAACTGGAGTCACAACTTTGAGGCTGTAGCTGGAATTACCATCTTATGAGCGGATCATCTTTGGTAGTTTACCTAGGTATGCTAAGTAGGTAGTCGACACGAAGGAAAATGAACTCCGATCTTTTTGACCTTTTAAAAGGAAAAATTCTTCTATACATTGTAATGCAAAGCTCTGTATCTGTCATCCTGAACCATCTTCATGTGCATCTTGACTACCTAGGTATGCGTTGCAGAACCGTAACAGACACCTTTGGGATATGGGGTTGGTTGGTCCATCCGGCGCCGACGATGGGCTGCCGACTAGCCGACTGTTCATGCATAGTTATTGACCACTAGAATAAGGGTTGACCTCAACTTGGTTGACAAAGATGATCCAGCGAGGCATACTCGCCACTAGAGAACAGCGAAATCCTTTATCTGTTGCATAAAACGCAGCTCTTGCTCCCCCCTCTGGCAACTCGACGCCCTGACACAACCTTGGACCTTCTGAATCTCGACACTCAGATGAAACATCTGACATAATTGCAGCCGACAAACTCTTCTTACTAGGAATTAGTCTTTACATTCTTGCCTCTGCTAAATCATGTCTTCTGTACGGAGTACTTCGTGGTCGAACACGGCAGATTTCGGTGAAACAAATCGAATGCCAATGACAGTAGCACATGGTTTAGTAACTATCTTCAGTTTAAGGCAAAACACAAATGGATCTTTATCTGACTGTTTCAACTAGGAGTATATAGCTAGTCTAGGCTCTCAATCTTCTCACGCATAACATTGCTCTACCAATTCTAGATCTCCACCTTCGGCCCCCTTGTGCTTCGGGGAATATCTAAGTCGAACATGATTCCGATGTTATCGAGCCACACTCTATATCTATAGATAATTACGACATTGAGGATCAGGATAACGGATCTTTGAGTGTAGAAAGGCGGCATGGCTCGGAGTGAGATGAGTTAGACTCGGCAGAGTCTAAGTTTAAAAAAAGTAACTTGGTCATTGATATGATAGACTGGGTCGACACCATTGAGACTGATAAGATCCGTGTACACATATCTAATTAAGATTCTTGAGGGTTTGATGCTGCGATCAAAGTAGAATTTATCCATGCTCGACAGACTTCCATTAATTGGCCTTGATTCCTATTCAGACTTAAATAACTACGTTCTCGTACTGTTTCATTTCATAGAGCCATTAAGCTAGAGATTGAGATCTATATCTAACCTTAAGTCTCAGTGTGCCTAATTTATCTAGAATATAGGTGCACAAGCAGTAAAGGATCTCATTTGTGATTACATTGATACTAGTTTATATATTAGTTAAGCTAGTTTATATGCTTATCCTATTCAGAGGATAATTACAATACGTTAAGCTTTATCTAATTTTTCTTAAATTATAGAGTTAGTACTTATTTAATGGTATATATATAATTGTGGAGAAAAATAAAAGTAAGTAGAGGTACCTATTGTATGCACTAGCTTATGAACTGCTTAAGTGAATATGCATTATCTGCCTTCCTGCCCCGGGGTCCACCCTGTGGTTTTATGTAGTGGCGGAGGTACCTAGCTCTGAGGCTCTGCCCTATATACATACCTACCTACATAGGCGTCTTCCCGTCTTGTGATATTGTTCTCTCCTCCGACCATCAGGTCCATCATCTCCTTGTCTGAATAACGGCTCTCTCGAAATACCGATAGGGTAGATGCGATGCCTGCGTTTCCCCTATGCACTGGCCGCTTTCTTTCTCTGTTTCCCCGCCGTCCTTTAACCTTCCGTTCTCGTCCTCCACCCACGTTTTCGTCCCTCTAGCGCGCCTACGTTTATAGACTTGGCCCTTCTCTTGAAAGAATGCCACCACATTCCAGTATCCGGCCGTCGTTAGCGTTACAACGATACATAAGAGACTCTCGTATTGTTCTTCGACCCGCTTCGATTCTCTTTTTCTAGCATCATACGTCCCGATCCGACCGCAGGGCCGAATTCGACTGTTCTAACCGCCCTCACGAGCTCGTGTCCCGCCCCCCTATCGCCTTCGATTTGCCTCCGACTCCAGCGCGAGCTGCCTGTCGCCTAAAGCTGCGGCATGGTATCGGGCCCCTTCCTGGCTAGAACATGGGCTCTGTTGCGTTTACAAGGTCTACAGCTACATCGGGAGTTGGGGCGCAAGGCGTTGTGGCCTCTGCGATGGATAACAACTCCGGAATCGCCGCGAATGGCGCTGCTAGGCATAACGCGGGTAGCGATTCGGGCGCCGGAAGGGCACCCTTTCGCCACATAGACGACTTAGTTTCGGTCAACGTCGACGTCGATCCCCATGCTCCGCTTCGGAAGCTCCTTGAGCTTGGTGATGCCTCTATGCGCCAAGCCATGACCTGGTACACTTTCGGTCGCCGAGACTTAGCATTGATGGAATATATCAAGGCATTCACGATTGCTGTGGATAAGATACCGAGGCACAAAGACTATCCCTCCTTGACATCAGACCGGGGCGCGCTCGGTCGTCAGTATAATGCTCTCAAACAGCAGATTACCACGAAGAGTGCAGATTTCTCCAAAATAAAGATCGAAATTCAAGAAGATAATCGAAGGAGTGGTGTGCGACCGATGTCATCTTCGAGGACTTCTCTCGACCCCGCACCGGCGAGCAGATCGAGTGCGGTGTCGGCGCAGTCCAGGGTTAGCAGCCCTCCAAATCACCAGGGGAACGAATCGAAGAATAGTTTCGATACGCCAGATGGAAGTGGTCGCGCGGAGGATGCTAGGGAAAATGCCAGCGGAAGCCGCAAAGTAAAACCGCCGGTACAGCCTAAACCCCAAGCGCTACATGGAAAGGCTATCAGGCAGGCGTCGGAGAGTGTTCCAGACGATCTCGCTAGCCGATTTGCTCGGTTACGCGAGTCCCAGAAGCCCGGGAATGCAACGAAAGCAACGCAACCGGCCGGAACCGGGTCGGTGCCTTCGCTTCACCAACGATTACCCTCGCTTGACAGCTCTGTGCCATCCATGCCAAAGCTTCCCGACGCGATATATAGTCCCGCAAGAGGTACCATAACCAGCGAGGTTGCCAATCTTCCGTCGAGCACTCCTCGTGGAATGTTTAGCCGGACGAATTCCATCACCTCTACCCCTAGCGCCTCGGCCCGCATCTCGACAGAAATTGCAATTAGGGCCTTCAGCAATGAACAATTTGTGGCGGCTCATGCGTATGGAGCCTCTCTGCCGTCAATGACACCAGCGGGAGTACGAATCCCAAGCGGGGAAACCATTACAGCCAGAGCACTCGCGGACCTGCTAAATCGAGCCTCTCCAAAGGTGGAAGTTCTCATTATTGACGTCCGGAGCCGTGAGTCTTTCGATAAAGGGCACATACCATCGGATAAGACAATCTGCGTAGAGCCGGAGATCCTCACAAGGGAGAACGTATCCGCGGAGCAGATTGCCGATAGCATGGTTCTTGCCCCATCGAATGAGAGGCTTGCGATAGAACAGCGTGACAAGGTTGATCTGGTGGTTATCTACGACGGCGACAGCACCTCTATACCGACTAGAATAACGGGGGATTCCGCAGAAATGATCCTGTACAATGTGCGCCAAGCTTTGTCGTATTACAGCTATAGTAGACCGCTCAAAACCAACCCAAAGCTTTTAACAGGCGGCCTAAACGCCTGGGTGGACGAATTCGGGGGGCACTCACTCGCAGTGTCTGATACATTAACAGATCCTTCACCGAGAACGGGAGATAAAAGACGGTTACGGGCCAAACCACTTAATCAAGATGAGATCAACCAGTTCGAGGAAACAATCAAGGAAGACCAAACGGGGGCTTCTACCTTCGACTACATCAAAACCAGGGAAGATTTCGTTCGCCGCTATCCGAGTGTCACGGGTATCCCCGAATCCATGACCGGTCCCGTCAGGGAAGAGCACGTTCAGTCCGGGCATATCCCGGATTCGACGGAGGACTTCTTAGCTGGCATATCGCCGGCTCCGCCTAGGCGGCCGGCGCCTGCTATGGCGAGAACGAGATATAGCGGACTGGAGTCCAGAGATAGCGATACGGATGTTGGTTCTGTTGCCACGCAGGGATCCGCTTCGTCGTTGTGGCAATCTCGTACTGGGCTTCAAAACCCCCAGAACTGGTGCTACGCAAACTCTACTATACAAATATTCCTCTCTTCATCAGGGTTTGCCGATGAGATGGTCCGATCTGACTGGCCCGATCGTTGGCGCATAAGCGCGGACCGACGACCAAACCGACCGCAGCTGATGGCAAAGATACTAGGCAATCTGCTTCAGTGGATGAATAAGAGACAGTTCGAAGTAATGAGAGCCACGACGTTTATGGTATGCCCTCCATCGCTTAACCCTCCCCTACCCGTTCAGACGGCTCCATACTAATAATTCCAAAGCACTACTTACGCTCCATTCATACGGGATATGTTGGGGATCGAGGGCGTGTGATTCGCCTTGGAGATGACAACCAGCAGGATGCTGAGGAGTTCACGAATTTTGTCTTCGACCAACTTGCGGCCGAGACTGACATGAGCAGCAGCCTATCCAGTAGTCCCGCGCCAGTGGTGCCGGCCGAAGCGTCTTTGCTCGTTTCGTTTGTCATCAAGGATTGGTGGCGTATATCAGTTTCGAGTTCCTCGATGATCGACCATTACTGGCGGGTGTTTGAGGTGAACGAAAGGGTGTGTGATTCCTGCGGAGAAGTGGGCTTTTTCCCCGAGAACACGCACGGCACGTTCGTATCGCCGCCTGCCCGAAGGCGCGACGTCCAAACTCCGCTGGAAAAACTGCTGGAAGACCAACAGTGGACGTCGAACGCAAATATCCAAGTGACCTGCGAGAAGTGCCAAAGCACGCGTCACCAGCGGTGGACGCGTCTGGCCAGAATACCTCCCTTGTTCCGCGTGGTTATCAGAAGAAGCGTGCCGACGATGACGGGCGGGATGGTGAAGCGGATGGACCCGATATCGTTCCCGATCGACGACTTCGACGTGAGCCCGTACAGCTTGGCCGAGGAGGTGCGGTCGCAGGCGGCGGCGGCGCTGGGGCCCGAGCACAACGACGGCTTCTTGGGCCCGAGGATGTACGACCTCTACGGCATCCAGTGCCACTACGGAGCCACCACGCAGTCGGGCCACTACTGGTGCTGGGTCCGCGTCGGCAGGGACGCCTGGCTCAAGTGCGAGGACCACAACGTCTCGTACTACTGCGGCGACATATGGAGGCGCGAGCGCAACGCCATGTTCAACTGCGACGGGAACGTCACGCCGGTTCAGCTATTTTACAAGCGGAGAGATATACCCTGGAGATGGGACCCGCGGTGATAGGGAGCGCGCAGGTATATATATATAGAGGGAGGAGGAGGAGGAGTCGCGGGACCTTTACCATATCTTAGAAATTTCTGTGGGAAGCAGAGAGAGGGGAGGGGACAGGCATATATACTCGCGTAGATTTTTGAGGGGGACCGGGGCCGGGCGGCGTGCCCCGACTTACCCAGCATGTGAGGAGTTCTGTCAGGCCTGCTTTGCTTTGCTAGAGATACCTATCTATCTGTCTGCTCCTAGTAAGCCGCGCTTTTGGCTCTCTCGTTTCCTCTTCTTGCTCCGCCTCTTCCGCTTCTGTGGTCTTTGCGTCACCCTTGGTTTATTGTATCGATACCTGGGCGGCGAGAAGGTGTAGATAGATGGATAGCTGGAGCAATGGACGATACGATACCCCTGGCTACCTACCTTTCCCGTTTTCTACCCGCGCCCCGAGCAGGGGAAGAAGCGCTGAGCGCCGCTGGGGTGCCACAGTTGGGCTGGCGTGCTCTCTCCGGTCGCCTCCGCGCATGTAGGCATTCCCGACGCTTTCCTCGGCCGCCTATTCTTGAGGCTCGAGCCCGCGGACGTATTGTCCCACGGTCGATGGCGGGTTGGGCGGCGTGCGCGGGAAATGTGTAAGACATCGAAACTGGGCCTTCATCGCCGATCTCCCTCCCTTGTTTCGTCATTTCGGAAGTACATATACGCAAGGCCTGGCACAGGCGTCGTATGCCTCCATTAGGCCTGTACGGTGGTCGCGACGTCATAGAATCCTGCATATGGGATATATAGACAAGCAGCATTAGCAACAGCTCGGAGCCGAGGTTCGCAGGGTGACGCTGCGACGACGATCGCTCTGCTGTCCCGCCCCTTTTGTCGGGCCATCCGATATTCATACCTACGTGACATATGGGCGGGGCGTTGGCACAGGATTCAGAGGGGCACCAGCTGTTCTGGATTATTTTGTATTACTCAACACATGTCGCCATGCCTCGACGGGTGCGCTCCACGATTGCATCTCTTGCACCTTGCCTACAAATCTGGCATGAAAAAAAAAAAAGCCGAGAGACCAGTACTTGGCGTAGACCCAGCTACTTAACGCCTAGCCCATTGACCGTGACCGTGATATAGAAAACTATTCAGTCCGCTTAAAACACTCCTGGATTTGCTTCTTGAAAGCGCTGTTCAGTGCTCTCCGATTCACCTTCTGCGTTGCCGTGACCAGGCCCTGTCGTAGCTTGTTAGCTGGCAGCTTTCGAGGGAGCCTAAGGTGGGAGGAGAGCGCAAAGAGTTAAAACTCACCGTAGCAGGGGTCCATTCCTCCTCACCCAGCACCACCCCGACAACCATCTCCAGTGGGGTCAAACCGGCCTTCTTGCCCACCACAATCAAGTCCTTGTGTATAGCATCGACCACCTTCTGGCTGTGATGCATGTGGGCGTGGTCAACATCTAGACTCTTTGCTAGGCTGGCGAGGGGCTTTTCGTTAGGGCAGATTACAGCAATCGGGCGCGGATGCTCGCTATCGCCGTATACCATGATGTTATGGACATATTCGCTGCCGCGATAGACCGCCTCCAGCTTTTCTAGTGCGATGTACTCGCCGCCCAGCAGCTTGACCAGGTTCTTGACGCGGTCGATGATCTTGATATGGCCGACCGCGTCAATCTCACCAATGTCACCTGTTCGGAACCACCCGTCCGGCGTGAACGCTTTCTCGGTTTCTTCGGGATTCTTATAGTACTCTTTGGTGACGGGGGGTCCTCGGAGGAGAATTTCGCCTTGCGGCGGCGTGCTCTTTGCGTCATAGCCCAGGTCGGGTAGGCTGACAAGCTTGACCTCCAGCGAGGCGGGCACAGGCCCAATAGCAGTGGACGTCCACTGCAAGGGACAGCCTAGCGCGCCGTTCGCACACGTCTCGGTCAACCCATAGCCCGTGATCATCGGGGCCAACACCAGACTGACGAACCGCCGTGTGCCGCTCGAAATACCACTGGCGCCGTTAAAAAGAAACCTCACCCTTCCTCCTGTCATCTCTCGAACCTTGTTAAAGACCAGGGCGTCCAGGACGCCCCCTCCAGGCAGACCCGTGGCTACCAGCAACGATTTCAGGTTGTAGGCACCCCAGAAGAGGTTCCTGGTCAGCGGGCCGCTGGAGTTAATCCGGCTTTCTATGCCTTTCCTGATAGTCTCCCATATCTGAGGCACCCCAACCATCACGGTCGGCGCAAGCTCCCGCATGTCGCCTGCGCAGTTCTTCATGGAAGTGTCGGCGAGAGTGCGTGGGGAGCCGTAGCCGAGCGTGCCCCCGATAAACATGACCAGATTCTCCACAGCCATCTCCAAGATATGCGCGAGGGGTAGATAGGCAAGGATGACTTCTGTGTGCGAGATAGACTCGGCAATGACACTGTAGAGACCTGCTACGCCGGCGACGATGCCCTCGTGCGTGATGGAGACGCCCTTGGGCGTTCCGGACGAGCCGGAGGTGTACATTATGCAGCACATGTCGGAAGGCTTCGGCGGCACAGGCGGCACAGGGTTCGCTTCGCCGAGGTCGACGAGGTCGGAGTACGAGATGATGGTCAGGTGGGGGTGGGCGGCCCTGAAGTTGGCCATTTCCTGGTCGGAGATGGGCATGTGGGTAGTGTCATTATAGATTAGATATTTCATGTCCTTCGCGTTCTTCAGCGGGCGGCTGGCCACCTTGAATAGGTGGGGTTCGGTATAGACGGCTTTGGCGCCCGTCTGGACAAAGGAAAATTCGACGGCGTCAGAGCCCAAGGTGTCGTACGCGGTCGCGATCGTGATGGACTGCGACGCGCAGCCGTGGGCCATGCCTAGCCAGTTTGCGCTGCGCCCGGGTCAGCCCACAGCAGCGTGGGGAATAGGAAAGCTATGCCCTACCTCGTTGTCGCAAAGATGTGCAGCGTGTCACCCGACTCGACGCCGAGTTTCCTCAGACCGGCGCCAACACGCAGAGCTCGGGTCTTGTACTCGCTGTAGGTGAGGAATGTGTAGGGAGAGAGCTCGAAATAGGTCCATTGCTTCTCGACCTCGGTCTTGACGCCGTCGACAACTTTGGGGACCTTCTTGGTCTCGACGTGGGTCCGGATGAGCTCGCGGGTGCCTATAGCGTGTTTTTCGCCGTGCTTGTCGGCGCTGTCGATCAGTATGTCGTAGGTAGTAGCGATATGAGGGGCGGGCCGGGTAATGAGGCCATCCTTGGCCTTGAAATGCCTGTACGGCTTGGTTTCGCCCTCGACATCTTTGGCTCCGGGCGCTTCGATCATGAACGGCGGTTTCTGCACCATGTACATAGGGAGGACGCCCTCATACTGCGTTGGCAAAGCCATCATCCAAGCCAACGAGGCGAGATCGGGGACGGCGTGACTGGGGAGAAAGATGCGACGCCCAGCCGGCGAGAGCGGCAACTAGGACTTATTTGCCGGAGATTTCTGGCGCAGTTTGCAGGTCGGGCGGGAGGTGAGGTCTAGATGTTGGCAGTGCAGGTAATATTTGTGCGTATGGAAAACGCATAGGAGGCGGACATGGACAAGGGATGGGGTGTGTGGACGGGGTGTAGGAGGGCTCTGGGATGTACGGGCTATATAAACGCGGGCGGGTGGCCTTGGGTAGGAGGTAGGTAGGAGGTACCTACGTGTAGAGCAAGCAGGAGGAGGAGGAGATGAGTAGAGGTAGACAGGCAGGTAGGTAGGGTATCGAATACTTCGGCCCTAGGTAGGGGGCTAGGTACCCCTTTTGCCGGTACCAGGCGAGGCGTGTACATGCCTAGACGTATATGGGCTACATAGCTAGAGGGTATCTACAGCGTGCATACGTCAAGCAGCTACCTAGACTCGGTACCTACCTGGAGCCGCGCAGCTTTATTGAGCTCGGGTGCTCTCCATTGGCGCTTCCTAGGTGAGATTTTGGTATGCTCCAGGGTTGCGAGGGCTTGGGGGGGAGCGTGACCCCGTACATACCTCCGCCGGTACCTGGACCTGCCTGCTACTAGCCCGGTACTACCAGGTACCTCACCTACGTAGAACATACGTGGTAGAGGTCGGCAGGGAGACGTCAGCGGGGCGCCCAGACTACGCACAAGACCGGGGGAAGCTTGTTTCTCTACGGCCTAAGTGTATAGGCCTCTCCCTAATCCGCTCTATGGCCATAATGGCACCTTACGTGCATGGCTGTCTCGGCGTAACTCGCGTTCCCGGGTACTTCGAGGCCGCGCCCGACGCCCGCACATATGTGGGGGCGACGGCTGTGCAAAAGGTACGACACAAGTGTGTAACTCGGTACCTCCATCCAGCTGCTCGACACGTACACCACACCGAAACGTAGTAAGTACCTAAGGTAGGCAGCTCTTAGGCACCCATCTATCTTAGGTACCTATCTTAGGCTTCGTTAGGTCTAGGAGGCAGGTACCTACCTAGGCATGGTATGTATAACGTTATGTAACGGCCCAGGCTGGGCGGATTGGCGACAAGAGCGGCAAGAAATGAGGTAGGCTACAGACCTACACGTACCTACGTAGGTAGGTACTTGGTAGGGACCGAAGGCAATGCAGACAGATTGCTGGGAGAGAGGCCTGGGCCCGCGGTGGGTGCCGGCGGAGATGCCTAGGGAAATAAAACCGCCTCTGGGCCACGCCGCCGATCCGATGGATCTCGCCGCCTTCTCGCGCGCCGGCAGGGCAGAAGTTGCCTAGGCAAAAAGGCACGCTGGAGAATAGGGATACCGAGGCTGCGGAGTCCTGATTACAGCAACGTTACGCCGTGCGAGTTGCCATGCTGGCCCGGGTCCCGGTTTTTTTTTTTTTTCTTCTTCTCATTTCGTTTCCTCCTCGGTGTTTGTCGGAGCGGGTATCGCATCGTCTGGGGGGAGCCGCAGAGCACGCGACGATATTGGATTGTCTATACCACATTTCCAATTGTCTCATGCGCATATCCGATCCCGAGCTACCTACCCAGGCCGACTATGGTTATTTATAGGGGGTTAGCGGCTCTAGGCGCAGAATAGGAAGCTGGGGAAATTGCTCAGATCGGCCAGGCCGGGATCAGGTAAGGTGCTTTACTCGTCGACGTGGTAGTGGCCCGAAGCTGGACCCTTATATGATGGATACCGTGTGTTTTGCGACGAGCACCTACGTAAGGCCAGGCGGTGGCCCGATTGCCAGCAGGGGGCGCCTCTTGTGGTCCATGCGCCGCCCTGGGTCATCCCATCGCGAGGCCCACCGAACGGACCCCCGTCGATGGCGGATCGACCCCCGCTAGGCGGCCTTTGGTAACGCCAGCGTGTCCGTGGGGTACCTGGGTACATACGCGTCGCGAAAACTTCCCTGCCCCGCGGCTGGTCGGCGTCGAATTTTCCGAGCCAAGGAATTGCGGGTCCTGACGGATCTCCATCCCAGGCAGAATTTCAGAATTTCTAACATGGCCAAATCGAGGCAGCTCAGAAGCTGTCCCTCACACAGTCCAGTCCAAGCCGACGCCAGAGCAAAAATCGCACCAGTCCAGCTCCGTACCACGCCGCACCTCGTCGTCCCTCGCAGAAAACCCCCAGCCGCTGCCGTGATCTTTCCAACTGCCGTACCCTGAGCTCCCCAGAGCTATATCATCCGGCAAGATGGCTCTGAGTACGCCGCCGTTGCCCCACCTTCTCGCCCTGGCCAGCTGCTGACCTGCCACTCCAGATCTCGACCTCCAGAACGGTACGCCGAATACGTGTCTCGCTGTCGCCCTCTAGGCACTAACCATCCTCGCAGCCACTGTGATGAAAGATGAGCAGGGGAGGCCATTCATCGTAGTCAGAGAGTCAGTTACCCCTCGCTATTCCGATACTTAGGATTGGTCGTGCCTAACCTTTGCCCCTCCTTACCCAGCCAAGGCAAGAAGAAACGCCAGTATGGCAACGAAGCGGTCAAGTCACATATCCTCGCCGCGAGGACCGTCGCAAACATCGTCAAGACATCGCTAGGGCCCCGCGGCCTGGACAAGATTCTCATCTCCCCCGACGGCGACATCACCGTGACCAATGACGGAGCCACGATCTTACAACAGATGGAAATTTCGAACCACGTAGCGAAGCTTCTCGTCGAGCTTTCGAAGTCGCAGGACGACGAAATTGGTGATGGGACAACCGGCGTTGTCGTTCTGGCCGGAGCTCTCCTAGAGCAGGCCGCCGAGTTGATAGATAAAGGGATCCACCCGATCCGGATAGCAGACGGCTACGATCAAGCCTGCGATATTGCGGTGGCCGAGTTGGACCGAATATCCGACATCATCGAGTTCAGCCGGGATGAGACCGAGAACCTCGTCAAGGTGGCCCGAACGAGCTTAGGAAGCAAGATCGTGTCCAAGGCGCATGACCAGTTCGCCAATATCGCCGTCGATGCCGTTCTCTCCGTCGCCGATCTCGAGCGAAAAGACGTCGACTTCGAACTGATCAAGGTGGATGGCAAGGTCGGCGGCTCACTAGAAGACTCGATTTTGGTCAAGGGCGTTATCGTCGACAAGGACTTTTCGCACCCGCAAATGCCGTCCGAGGTCAGGGACGCCAAGATCGCAATCCTAACCTGCGCCTTCGAGCCGCCGAAGCCGAAGACGAAGCACAAACTAGAGATCACGTCGGTCGAGGAGTTCAAGAAGCTTCAGAACTACGAGCACGAGAAGTTCGTCGAGATGATCCAACAGATCAAAGACACGGGCGCCAATCTGGTCATCTGCCAGTGGGGTTTCGATGACGAGGCGAATCATCTATTACTACAGAATGAGCTGCCGGCAGTAAGGTGGGTTGGTGGGCCGGAAATCGAGCTCATCGCCATCGCCACAAACGGCCGAATAGTGCCCCGGTTCGAGGATCTAAAGCCGGAGAAACTGGGAAAAGCGGGTCTGGTGCGGGAGATGACTTTTGGCACCACCAGGGAAAAGATGCTTGTTATTGAGGAGTGCGCCAACACCCGAGCAGTGACAGTGTTTGTCAGGGGGAGCAATAAGATGGTGGGATTCCCGTTCTCTGTTTTCAAGACAAAGCCTAACCCAAGGAAATAGATCATCGATGAGGCTCGGCGATCGCTACACGATGCCCTCTGCGTTGTACGAAATCTCGTGCGCGACAACCGCGTAGTCTACGGTGGCGGCGCGGCCGAGATCGCCTGCTCCTTAGCGGTGGAGGATGCGGCGGTCCAGACGCCCGGTCTGGAGCAGTACGCGATGCGCGCCTTTGCCGAGGCCCTCGACTCGGTGCCGATGGCGCTGGCCGAGAACAGCGGCTTGAACCCCATCGCCACCCTGGCCGAGATCAAGTCGCAGCAGGTCAAGGCCGGCCCCGAGGATCGCGGCCGGCTCGGCGTCGACTGCATGAGCCGGGGCAGCAACGACATGAAGGAGGCGTTTGTGATCGATCCCCTGATCGGCAAGCGGCAACAGCTCATGCTGGCGACCCAGCTCTGCCGCATGGTGCTGAAGGTGAACAACGTGATCATCAGCGGGTCTGGCGACCAGGACTACTAGGCCCTCTGCCGGCGCGACAAGCGTGTCGGTTCACGTACGGCCTCGGTAGAAGGAGAAAGGGCAGAGGCGGGACGAGAAGCATAAGAAAAAAAAATTTTTTTTTTTAAAAAAAAAAAGCCAAGTCAATTTTTTAAGACAAATTAAGGGGTCTATAGATACGCAAGAGCGCTGTCGTCCTGGATGTAGATACAATTATAGACTTGCGTAGTCGGCGGCTTAGTGCTTGTGGCCGATGGTGGGGTCAATGCCTAGATGCCCACCTGCCCGCCCTACCTACCCAGACAGGACGTGGGAAGATCATCCTGCGCAGATCTGGGCCGCATCTGATGTCTCTCGGCTCGCGTCTCTTCCGTGCGCTCGCTGGCGTAAACACACGTTGTCCATACGAATCTATACGAACCTCCCGTCGTGATCTCTGGTGCCCAGCCCGCGCTAGCGAGTTCCCGATGCCTCCGGCCGTCCCCGTAGGTACCTAACCCATACATGCACGTACGCGCATTTACGCACTTACGGGAGGCAGGAGGACCCGGAACGGACGTTGCACATGGGCATGCGGGGGCGAACCGGGGGGGGGGGCAAAACGCGGCAGTGCGCGAGCGGTTCGGCTTTGTCGGGTAGATATCTACTCGGAGAAGTCTCGCGGAATCAAAAAGACAAGACAAGAAACTAAGGGAGATGAAAAGGACCGCTCCTTGCTTTTTTGTGCTGCGCGCTGAAACGATAGAGAAGTCGTGCCAGCCAGAGAGGAGGCACTCCGTCCCAGGGACCCGGGAAGACTTGGAGAAGAGCGGATATCCCCCCTCCGCAAACGAAAGAAGGGCGGGAGATGCCCCCGAGATTCCTCATCCCGGTCCACGCCGGTTTCCCTACACGTAAATATATATACACATCCGTATTCGCGTGCGTATGCCCCAGATCAGAAGGCTAGGAGGTCAACTAGCCCCCATGTCCGACAACGAGAGACTCGCCAGTGCGGTACTATTGTCCCCCCTCCCCCCCCCAAAACTGGCCTAGACCCATCCACACCCACCAGACGCTCATCGTCATGTTATTGGTTTCCTCGTAATAGTCATCATCCTACTCTTTTGGAGGCCAATCCCTTTGGGGGGCCTTGCTTCTAGGCACGCACGTCCCATTTATTCTCCTTCTAATGTCGACGCTATCGACCACGTTTTACATCTGCGCATACATCTGTGCATATATCTGCTCTCTTCGGCCCCCCTGACCTTTACCAGGGACAGCTCGATACTCGCCGCGCAATTATCGGTTACGTATCCCCTATTCGCGGAGGTCTCTGTAAAGTTTCTCTGGTTCTGAGACCTTCACGCAAATCCGAAGCCTTGCGCGTTCTCCAGTGCCATGGCGAGGCGCTCCCTTAAGACTTCCTTGTCGCGGTAGATGGGGAGCAAAAGGGTCCCATAACAGGTATACGCGGTGGGCAAATGGCCACCTTCTCCGTCCTCCTCGCCGTTCTTTTGTACTATGAATTGGATGTTGGCCATGCCGCCCACGGGGACACGGTCACTAGCCGTTACGAATTCGAGCAGCTTGCGACGCATGCGCTCGTCGTACTTTTTGACGATAGACCAGAAGTCGCGCACCGTACGGTGAGACGCGTCCCAGCCCACATATCGCGTGGCGCGGCGGAGCTCGCCGATATCAATCTCCTGCGTGCCCTCGACAATGGACTGGAGGAGGGATGGAGTCAAGAGTTGTAGCGATTTCGGGTGGAGGCAGTTTCGGAATCCGCGTGCAAACGCAGCGAATTGTGGACCAACAGAGACGTCAGTCAGGTACCGAATATAATCACTAACATACGCGTTGCGGTTATCGCTCGTGACGAGCGGTGCGTCGCTTGGATTAGACGCCGAGGGCGGAGTTGGGTCGGGTTGGTCAGCGAACTGTGGCCAGGATGTTCCCTGCGAAGGCTGCATCTCGCGAGTGATAGGCTGGCCAAACATAGAGGCAGAGAACTCGTAGGTGAGAACAAAGACATCTTCTACTGAGCCGTCCTTCTCGTTCCACTCCAGAAGGTTGGTAAGACCATTGGCGAGATCCGGCCAGCCGTCCGCGATGTGGTGGAGTTCGGTAACGGGCTCGCCTAGAAGTTTCCGATACAGAGCATTCGGGAACGTAATCGGTAGAGCAAGCCCGTTGTAGACGGCTAATGATATAAGAAGGCCGACTAGCTCAAACTTCCACTCGGGTTGTAAGGAGCCCGGTTGGAACCATGTCATCCGCGTTCTTTCGTCGATTGTGAAAGCACCGTAGTCGGGGTTCAGCGCCTCGGCGATCGCGAGCCGGAAGAATTCTTGTTGTACGCCACCAGAGTCGAAGCCTTCTTCTCCGGTATCTTCTCCTAGATGAACCTTCAACGGCCTCATCAACTCGCGTTCTTCGCGTCTCCAGAGTTGGTCAAAAGCGTCTCTGAGAACGTTCTTCCGACTTATATCCAGAATCAAATATTTCGCCGAGGGAACTTTCAGAAGATCCTGGAGAATATTCTTCTGGTGTGCTTCTGTAACAAGACTATCGGGGGCGATGATGGCATTAATCCGGCTCTGTAAAGAACTAGACTCCTCGTAAGAACGGCTCATCCTGGAGAAGTTGATAGCCCGGAAATACGACACTAATGACGAGGGGTTAAAAATATACGGGTAGTCTAGAAGATGGACCTTTTGCCTCGTTGAGGTAAATGATAGCCACGACACTGGCATCTGGATAGGATCAAGCCGCTCGCCGAAATATTCAGAGCGGAAATGGACATCGCCTAGAAGGAGAGACTGACGTTTCTGGTCTGCTTTGCCGTTAGTTCGAGACCCCGAAATCATAGTCCAATAATAATATGTGCTTACACATGGCCGCGATCAGCGAAAGCGCACCACCAAAAGGGCCATCTCCAGGAACTTCAGGCTTCCCCTCCCACTCGTGTAGCATGACTGCCCTCGCCCAGTCGAGTAACAGAATCGGTACTCGTTCTTCGTGAATGCTTCGTTCGGCTTTAGAAAACCCGAGGACCGGCTGCGTGGAGGGCTCGAGGTAAGAGAATAACGTCTCTACAACATCCAGCTCCTTGACACCATCATCCAAGTCCAAATCAAGCTCGATTAACTCGTCGAAGTAACGTCGCGTTGGAATCACTCTTAGTAACCTTCGCACTAATCGGAGAGCCATGTCGTCCGTGAAAGCATCCTCATATTGCAGGCACAAGGAGACTGGCTGCGCCGCGATGGCGCCTCCGCCCGCGAGTGATAATCCGTGAGATCTGAGGCGAGACATGTCATTGAGCTGTCTCGAGTCGGTCACTAAGGGAGCTGCCGCTACCAGGGCGTGGAAGCATACAGACATAAGGGACGCGGCCTCTGCGTTCGTGAAAGATTTTTGAGACCCGGGGAACATCTTCGAGGTTGGCGACCTCCCGGACTGTAAAGTCTTCGGCGGCGCGAAGAGACTCGCCAGGGACATCCAGAGACTGTCAAATACGAGGCTCGGGGCTACCCTTGTCAGACGTAGCATACAATACCATAGCGCCTGCGAATCCATCATGCCGTTCGGGTTCGTAAACGAGTCTAATATGGCTTGGGGATCGCTCAGTACATGGAATATACTCTGCTCGGCGAATAACTTCCATTGGAGCTTTAGGTTCTGTGGGTAAGGGCCCTGTGATTTCCTTTTTCTCCGCCACGTCTTCCGTCGGCTTAAGGAGCGCCTTGTAGATCCATTGATGACTGGCGGCTCTAGTAAATGTTTCTCGGCGGTAGCGTCCTCTTGTAGGATATCGCATATAAAGTTGACAGCTTGAAGACTCAACCGAGAAAGCGATTGGGGTAGATAGTTATCTAGTTCAGATGTCGACTCTACGTGATCGCTGGCGGCCAGGCTATCTTGACTGTCATCTGGCGTGTCCAGAGACCGCGTGGTCTCGGTACTCCTGGAAGCCTCTTCGCTATCGAGGGTATCCATCGGAAGATAATGCTCTTCCGAGCGATCGTGAGCCTTTGCGGAGCCGGAGTCTTTTTTGCTCAGCACTGTTCGAATAACGTCATCCGTTGATGACTGGGATGCAGTCCGCACCATAGTCGACGGAGGCCGAACAAGACCTTTGGGGAGCTTTTCTGGCTGATTTGTATGAATAGTGGGTGATATGAGCCCCGTCTCATCTGCGATGGAGTCAATCAGGGAGTCAGAGATGACCTTGGATTGCGATTTTGAGACCGACGACGTGCGAATCCGGGCACTGGGATTTCTCCTCTGGTGCGAAGGCAAACTCGGAAGGCTCGAATTAGACGACGGGCGTGGTTCGTGATCTACTCGTTGATAGAACCCATTGGCCCCGCTCTCCGGAGAGGGTCTCTGCGTACTGTATTGATGAAGGTCGGGGGGAGCCCAGAAATCAGATTGCTTCTCTGACTCAGACAATGATGGCGTAGACAGTGAGATGACCTTCCTGCTCTGCCCCCGCGGTGGTTGGCTTGGTCGGAATTCCTCGGCGATTTCCGTGGAGCCATCGACAGCTTCAACCTTTTCTGATATAGCTGCAACATTGTTCGGTGTTAACCACTCCAACATCTTGAAGGCAACAGTGCCGAAAACGTTGGCGGCAAACGAGCGGTAGTCCTTGTTGGCTGCTTGCTCGGCAATCCTTATTTGGTTGGATCCATTACGTGATGACGATGCCGCCCTCTTCTTGGTCTCGTCCTCCCATTGCCTATTTTGTTTTTGCCCGTTCCCGTTCTGACTGGCTATCGCGGATGCAGCTGGAGAAGGGGTTGGGAGCGCTGCTGCCTGTGCCTTTCTCAACGGCGGTTGACCCAAGGAACCCTTGGTGCCTTTGCCTTTGATCTTGGATCCCGGCCCGGCGTGAGGCGCTGTCGCGGCCTCGTTCGACGTCGTGGCATGTCGCGGGCAAAATATCAGGGATTTCATGGCGCCGCTGGGGCCGGCTGGCGGCTGGAGGTGAGGGCATAGTCGACTCTCGGGGTCATCTTGGCTTGCTAAAAACACGGCTAGAGTTCTTGCACTGGTAGAGTTGTAGCGGCGTACGGGGGCTTTGCCAGCCAATCGTGTTCGGCAACTCATGCATGAGGGGGTCGTGCAAGCGCTGAAATGACACCCGTATCGAAGTTGCACGATGAATCTGTAGAAAGTTAGGACTCGTTCGCGTTCGACGAGGCGGGACTTACTTCTCGACCAAGAGCTGGAAGTTGTGGCGGCGGCTAGCGCGATGAATGGCATACACCCTCTTCGGGTTTTCCACATCGATGACAAGCTCTTTCATCTCCAAGGGCGCATCGGCCGGCAACCGTGGGAAAGGTGCCTGCTCCCAAAGCGAGGCCAAGACGTCCGGCTCGGGGCTGTTATGGCCAGGACCATTGTCCATCGGCCGAGAGAGTTCTCGCGTCATGACATAAGGTGCAAGCGGTCCCCCGGACCGATAGGATGCGATGGAATCGTCTCTCGTGTGAGCTGCAGCGAACGTGGCGTTAGATCTGGCTCCTCAGACGAGGCCGGACATGGCCGCCAACCCGGCGGCGCAGCTTATATACGTAGGTCTAGGCTGATTGACGGTGTCGGGGATCGGGAGCAATAGGAAGAGGTAGAGGGAAAGGCGGGATAGGGCAATGGCGGCAGCGGCGGTGACGCGTAGGGCGACGTCGAATTGCGTGGATGTTAGATGGTGAGCGTCGGAGAGGAGGGAGGATGTAGTTGGGCCATGGAGAGTGGAAAATAGTTGATCGTGACCAGCGCCGAGTGCGTTCAAGACCGGTTTCGTAAGATGGGGTTATAGCAGTGGTATTGTAACATGGCAGCAGCCACAGGCCTATCATCACCCGAGCCGCACGCAATCTCTGAAGGCGAATCCTATATGTATAGTGGTCTCCCCGTCGGCGGGTAGGGAGACGGAGTACCCGGCAGGTATCGATCCGCAGCGTCTCGAGGCCTGCAGCAGGGAGGTCTGTACATGCATGGTACATAAATGCAGTAGGCACCTTAGGTACTTTTAGGTAGGGGCACGTTACTGTCTAGGCCCTACTCTATTGGTGCCTTAGGAGGGATGTACCTAACCGACGGGCATTGCCCCATAGCCCCAACATGATATACTGAGGAGATATAACCGGTTTAAACACCTTTATCTGCCTCCCTTAAGGTACCTATGCACATAGACCCGCCTGGAAGCAGTGGTAGGCATCTCGACGTTGAAAACGCCAAAGCACCCAATGCTTCCGTATATATTGTATAGGCATACTATGAGTGATACTCACGAAAGATGGCATCCGCTCCGGATTACGCGCCCGATTTTAACAGGAGAAACTTTACCGGATAATATAGTCGAGTTCGACGCTAAGTTATTACGTACCCAAGGTAGTACTTATCTGTAGTAAGTGTCTACCTCATACCCACCTACATAGAAGTGCTGGGGCGATATACTCATATACCTTGGGCACATATCACAGGGTTGCCCTCAACACGCCTCTCCGCAAATACGTTCGATACTTTCATCGCGATAAACACGGCAACCGAAGTATCAATTTACATATACACAAGGTGCGTCGCGCCCGTCGTCGCCGGCTTACCTCCCTATGCGTTTGGTAGGGCTTGGCCGTACAAGCGACCAATCTTTTTCAGATCGTGACCTACCACCTAGAAGGGGTCTGCTTACGAGATGCCCATTAGTGAAAGCCCTTAATAAAGGAGAGGGATTGTCCCGGTCCTACCAGGTAGACAGGTACCTTTTAAAGAGAGGTACCTCGATGGGAGGACAGGCGTGCCTATACGATGATTATGGGAGGTGTCGGGAACGGCAATGTCGCTTATGCTTGTACACGCCCTGTCGGCTGTGCCTGGCCCTGGTCAGCGGCCCCGATAGAGGAAAAGTGACGTAGGAATGAGTAATTGCTCCCTGCGTAATATTTAGACGGTCTTGTAAAGACTGAGAATGTGGAAGTTCAGGCAAGTAGGTAGGTACCTACGATATAGCGATAGTATATTCTAGCATAGGTAAGCACTCCACTGACTAAGGCCACTGGATCTTCTCATAAATCCCCATGATCATTTCATCAGTCCAACAACACCTCTTTGCCACTTCCTCCCACTTCGCCCTGACGTCCAAACCCAACAACCCGTATTGTAGGTATGTGGCCTCCTATACCGGTCAGACCTCGACACTTTTCACAGTCATATTCACCTCAGACTCTGGAGTCACCTATCTCATCTTCGACTTGAAAAACACATACATGTCTCTGCTCCGGCGTCCCTAACGCTAGTGCAATCGGCATCCAGATAAAGCCTCACACACCCCTCCCCCTCCTCGTCTTCTTTTTTTCCTACGCCTGTCCCGGCTGACTAGTCCGGCTTGAGCTTGGGGCTAGGGGCTTTCCTCGAAGCCAGGGTTTCCGTCATTCACCATTGACATATTCTAATCCCCTTGTGCCTGGGAACATAAATCAGGTCCCCTCATTGGCTTTGCTTGGAAACAATTCCCCAGAATTCATCAATCTCCCACCGGCTTGATTGAGAGGCAATCTTGTTGTCGCAACAATGGCTACGACCGCTGGGGGGCATTCAGGTGCTGCCCTACCTGCTAAGCAGGATTCCGCGCCCTCTTCCCATCAGTACACTTGCAATACATGTCAAGTGGCCTTCCGCTTTGCTGACACCCAGAAAGGCCATATGAAGAGCGACTGGCAGTATGCTATCACCGTACCCCTTTCCTCCCCCCCACGGCCGATAAATCCTTTACACAGAAAATCTAACATGTGCATATTCTAGCCGATACAACCTGAAGCGTCGTGTTGCGTCACTGCCACCCATCTCGTCTGAAGTGTTTACCGAGAAGGTCCTCCAAGCTCGCGCCGAAACCACAGCGGAGGCGGATCGCGCTGGCTATCAACGTACTTGTGAGGTCTGCCAACGGACGTATTACAGCGAGAACTCGTTCCGAAATCATGTCTCGAGCCAAAAACACAAGGCCAGGGAGCTGGCCCTCCAGCTCCAGGGGCCAAAACCAGATGACGCCAGTTCTATTATGAGCTCCACTTTCTCTCTGGACGAACTTAAACCTGTACCCGACGGCAAGGTCGATTCAGATGCCGAAGAAGAGTTCAATGAGGTCGTTGAAGGTCTCCAGAAAACTAGCCTGGCAGAGCGTCCTTCCCCGGTGAAGAGACCGTCAAACCCTGACCCTTCCGCCGAGGCGCAGCACAAGAAGGAGCATCTGGTTTCGGAAGAGAGTAGCGAAGCCGCTTCTAGTACATCGACACCTGTTCCTAACCCTACACTCAAGTCGTGCCTATTCTGCAACTACGATTCGCCCAGTGTGTCTCTCAATATTGTCCACATGGAACGAATCCATAGCATGTTTATCCCCGAGAAGCAGTACTTGGTCGACCTAGACGGCCTCCTTGGCGCATTGCAGCAGCGAATCCAAGAATTCCACGAATGTCTATACTGTGGCAAAATTAAGAGCACCGCGCTTGCTGTCCAGACTCACATGCGAGACAAGGGCCACTGCAAGGTACCCTACACTTCGGAGGATGAACAGGTCGAGATTGGTGATTACTATGACTTCCGAAGCACCTATTTAGATAGCGAGGACTCGGAAGACGAGTCGATGGATGACGACAGGCAAGGCGGGGGTGCCAAGCTCGGAGCTAAACGATCGGCCAAGGCCATCGGCGAGGACGGACGCGAGGCCGTCGATGAGGAAGGATGGGAGACGGATAGCTCTACATCGTCCTGCAGATCTGAAGACCTAGGACCCATCCCAGTTGATCATCAGTTGCGACAGTTTGAGCGGCTCGATAAACACCCCCACCACTCGTCTCACGATCCCCGACATCACCACCAGAGAGACGGGTGGCATTCCCATGCTCATAAACACCGCGCCATCTTCTACGACGATACCGAATTGCACCTTCCTTCCGGTCGCGCGGTTGGGCATCGATCCCTCGCCAAGTATTACCGTCAGAACCTTCACAATTACCCTTCTGCCCAGGAGCGTGCCGAGAGGCTGGCCATCGAGGCCGCGTCGCCTTCGGGAGAGGGTTCCACGGAAACTGACGGCGATGGGAACGCCGGTGGCCAGGTCGCTTCGCGCCAGGATCGCGGACGCAATGGCGTCGTCGTGAGCCGAGCGAACGGAGGAACGGGTATGTTGGGAGCGACCGATGAGAAAAGAAGGGAAGTCCGCCGCGACGAGCAGAGGGGCCGTAAGCAGGAGCACGCGGCGCAGAGGCGGAATGAGTGGGCTGTTAACAAGCAGGCGAACCATCAGAAGTTCTACAACTACCAGATCTTGTGAGGTGCCAGACGAGACGCCCGGGCCGCGGCGAACCAGGAACTCGCCGGGCGGAGTCGCACGAAGAAGTGTAAAACGTCGTTATTAGCAGGAGAAGCCTACGGCGCCGATCCCGCCACTAGATAGGGCGTGATGTCGTCAATAGAACAACGGTGTGATTGTTCTCTTGGGGACCCATTTGGTGAACATATATATATATATATATAGGTATATACCTAAATTGAAGTGGTTAGATAAACGCGGGAACTTCCCCTTGCCAATGTTACCTTGGCGGCCATCCAGGTGTTGGGTGCTGTAGGGATTTAGAGGCGTTGTCCGCCTCTTCCCGCACTTTTTACGCCGACAAGATGACAGCGAGACCACGTCGAACTGAGACGTAGCCATTAGCCCCTCCAGGTTCGCCAACCAGTCGAGCAGGTCTGAACCTGCTGTAACTTTGGATCGTAAGTGCCTCGGACGCTCTTAATCACCTATCCTTACACCGTGCCTGGTACCCACGAGTGAGGCAATCGCCATCCGGTTGTCACGGATGGGTAATTCCTTTCTACCCCGACCCGGCTGGCGGTGGCCCTGGTCGAGGGGAGAAACTCACTAGATTTCCTCCCATTCTTCTCTCTTCTCTCCTTCGGCCTTCCTCTCTCTCTTTCCTTCTTCCTTTGTTCCTCCCTCCACCCCGCGATACACGCGGGACGATACTGCAAGCAGCCGGCTAGAGCGGTGTCAGTTCAGCTAACCGCCTACGTAGCAGGCATTAGCGATCGGGCGTCTCATTGGGCCAAGCTGACGGCGATCTGCAATGGGATATACCTCCATCACGATCAACAACCAGGGGGCCGCCAGCACATGCTCCCATGCATAGTACTGATAGGCCAATTGAGGGCAAGGCGTGTCCCGTCCGACAACAGCTATAAGAACCAAGCTTCGGCGGCTCTAGTCAAGCTTTCTTGATCATCGCTTAGCACTACCCTGAGCTCCCCGGAGACCCATGTGAGTAAGGGGGCCAAGTCTGACAGTCGAGCAAGATGCAGTTTGTTCCTGGTCTACCCACTGCTGCCGTCTTATTGGCGCTGCTGGCCCGGTTCAGCGACGCTGCTACGGCGGCATCCTATGCGGGATCGGCCATTTCGAATCTCTACCCTCCAACAGGCAGTACGTAGCACGCCTACACACCCACACACCAATACTCCTTTACTAGCCTCCGACGAGGCTCACCGATCGCTAACCGTCGGAGACAGCTTCTGCCGACCACGAGCTGTTTCCACCCGAGACTAAAGTGGGTTTCTGGGGTGAGACCCCGACGGGAGTCCAACCGGCCGCCATTGAGACAGCGCCGGCGTATCCGGACAACCTGGGGCAAGCCAACCAATTCCCGCTCGTCGCGCCGCAGCCGTACGGTCACGCCGGATCATCCGAAAAGTTCGACATCACCAAGTACTGGGGCAATCTGTCTCCCTGGTACTCGGTGTCATCAGCCGACTACGGGTTGCCCAATGCCAATCCGCTTGCCCCCGAAGACTGCACCGTTACCCAGGTTCACCTGCTGTACCGTCATGGCGCGCGATATCCGACGGCTAGCGCGGCTCCGGCCGAATTCGCTGCCAAGATCGCGAATGCGACTGCAACTGGACTGGAGGTTTACGGCGACCTAGCCTTCCTCTCCGACTGGACTTACAAGCTCGGTGCCGAGGTGCTCACCCCCTTTGGTAGAAGCCAGAACTTCCTCCTCGGGATCCAGTATCGGCAGCTGTACGGACACCTCCTCAATAACTTCACCGAGGCCGGCACCATTCCCGTCTTCCGGACCGAGTCCCAAGATCGCATGGTTAAGACGGCTGAAAACTTCGCCGCCGGTTTCTTTGGCGTGCCCGAGTACTTAGACCAGGTCAATATCGAGATCGTTGTCGAGTCCGGCGGGGTGAACAATTCGGGTGCTCCGTATGAGGTCTGCAACAACTCGAACGCCGCAGACAAAGCATACATCGGGAGCTCGCTGGCGTCGGACTTTTCTACGAACGCATTCAATGCCACACTCGCTCGTCTGAATGCGCAGGTTAGCCAGCGATGCCACGCCCCCGAGAACGAATTAGGCGTGACGAGGCTTGCTAATAATACTTACCCACGCAGATTTCTGGTCTCACTTTCGCACCTAGCGATGCCATAGCCATGCTCCAGCTCTGCGGGTATGAGACCCACGCTCTAGGGTACTCCGCATTCTGCGAGCTCTTCAGCCAGGAAGATTTCCTAAACTACGAATACTACTACGATCTCGTGTGTTCCATGCCCGTCACTACTTTCTAATTTTCCTTTTTTCGTTCTCATTGACCCCCTCTCGCAAATCGCGCGCGATTCGCAAGAAAGCTGACCGAATGGTAACAAAAAAAAAGGTGTTCTACTACAATAATGGACCGGGTTCGCCTGTCTCCGCGGCGCAGGGCAAAGCGTATCTGCAAGAATTTGTAGCACGCTTCACCGGCGAGTACCCGAAGGGCTGGTCAGCGATAAACCGGACGATGGATAACTCGCCGATTTACTTCCCCCTAAACCAGTCCATCTACGCCGACGCCACGCACGAGGTTGTCGTTCTCGATACGCTCACCGCTTTCAACCTGACGGCGCTGTTCCGCGGGCCACCCCTAAGTTCCACAGAGAACCGACACCAGAACAGCTTCGTCGCCAACAAGGTCGTGCCCTTCGCCACCCACTTTACCGCTCAGGTTCTCGAGTGCCCGTCCTACCAGCCGACTAAACAGATCAGGTTCCTCGTGTAAGCCCAATCCCCTTTCTCCTCCACCACGTCTATTGTGTTCTAGGTATTTCGTATCGTTCTCTCTGGAGAAACTCAAGAAACCATGCCAACGAGAGATTCGGCCTGTTGTAGGAATGATGCCGTCATCCCCGTCGCGGACTCATACCCGGGGTGTCCAGCGGATTCGCACGGGCTCTGCGCCTTCGACAACGTGGTGTCGGTGCTCCAGGACCGTATCGACGAGATCGACTTCGACCACGACTGCTTCGCCGACTACGATGTCGAACCGGGCGTCAATTACAACGGCCGCGCGCCGCGGTCTTAGGAGCATCGCAGCCCAGCAACTACTATGAGTGGACAGAGCTGCAGGCCGTGGTTGGCTCGTCAGGTACGGCGGGCTATGCTCATAATGGCCAAGGCTTTCTACCCATGGTATATAGAAGTGTGTATAAATACGACTTTTAATATAGGTATATAGACTCGTTAGAAGATTAGTTAGCCTTCAAGTACCATCATAGCAGCAGGATACTATCCTTCACCTCACTGAGCCCCATGCTCCGCGACTAGCAATCATCAGCTGCCGACAGATATATATACAGGTTAAGAAGAACATTCGTATGAATAACCCAGCGAGTTCTCATATATGATGCATTTGCTAGGCGTACGAGGAGTATAAGTCATCGAGAAAGCCCCGTCCTGGGTAGACACCACTCTTATCGTAGCTAAAAGTAAGGCACGCATATAATACACCGCCTAACCATTGTCTCTGGATCCTGAAGAGGAACAGCGTGTGCAAGCTGTAGGGGAGACGGATAAGGAATACTAAGAAAGAAACGAAGACATCATACACGACGATATGAATACACTACACCGAGGATAGTGATGAAGGAGTGAATATCTATCTAGCTCCGCATAGCTGTAGGTAGTGGATGAAGGATGAAGAATAGGGTATGGATGGTGAGAATACGCGTACGAGACCCATATAAATACTCATCCGAAACCCTACAAGGACAAGTCCCGACGCAACGCTACATACAATCTTGATTTCAGAATCGACGCTGGCACTTCCCGTAGCGATCCAGCAGTCGGATACACACCAAGTATTCTCGACAACCGCCCACTCGGCGCCTAGATACGCATCGCCAGTCTCCGTTACTGCGAGGCTATTAAACGGCATCATCAGCGCTGGATTCTCCCCGAAGCCCAGAGGACTCCCACTCGTTGGCCGATGAATATATATCAGCCCCCTACCCGCTCAGTCCCTGGGTTGAGGGCTAATATGAGGCGGACTGGGGTATCCAGGCGCCACGCATCGCTGCTGTGAGGCTAGCTGCCAGAGAGAGAGAGACACACACGCAGGGCTAACCGGTGATCGAATGGGTTGGAGAGGACCAACGGTAGGCCCCGTCGACAATGGCGACTTGATAGGTTGCTCTGCGGCTCCCTCCAGACGTGCCGGGGGTCTGTGTGACGTGGCGTCGCTACTGGGAACAGGAAGTGCACCCGTGGTATTATCCAATTGCATCGTGCTGGAGGCGGCGGCCGAGAACCATCTTCCCGGAAGTCAATGTTAGGTTATGGTCCATCTCAGTGTGAGACAGGAAGAGAATGTGTCTGGTTATCTGCAATATCGATCAGAGGGTGTGCTTTAAGAGGAGGAAGATAGGTAGGAGGGGGGGGGGGGGGGGTTGCTAACGTTGAATATAAGAGCCTTAGTCAGTGTTGAAACTGAGGCTCTGAGCCCTACAAGGCTCTGGGCCCTGTATGTACGCCCACTAGCTTTGAGAAGCTCTGTCTAATGATGGTGGCTGTTCAACTGTTAGTGGTCCATTGGAAGAAATAAATTGGGACGGGGGAGCTGTTCACGGACTTGACGATCAAGTATCCCAGGCGTGTGATAGAAGGGTGGATATCCTTTAGCCTCGTGAGAGCCAGTCCTGAAGAGGTCAGGTAGTTGCTGTCGTGAGCCGTCACCAGGTATGTGAGGAAGGGGAGCCAATGGACGAGAGTCTCCCCACCGCCACCGGGCACCCCTGAGAACAGGGTAGAGTATGGGGCCGCACCGGGAAGCAGAGCGACGCTGGCAGCAGCACTCATGCGAGCCATCTCAGCAAGGGTCGGCGGAGCTCCATCGCTCACGGTAGGTCGCTGAGCAGACTGCACATTGGTTGGTAGAGAGGGAGCGTCCATGGCTCTCGTAGACCGGATGGGGGTGGGAGCGACAGCGGTCACAACCGCAGGGGAGTCGTCTTCACCACCCAGGGCTCCCGCCGCAGCTCCCGGCGTGTGGGGGGATGGCTCAGCCAGCTCTCTGTGTCCACCACTGGTCTCTCGAGTGTCACTATTGATGTCGGGTGTCCTTATCCACACCCCCGTTACTCTACCTGCCGCGTTTCCAACTTGGCTCTAATAGCAATCGGTAGGATTATCCGGTTGCCTATTAGTCAAGCTGGTTTGATTAAAGCTGCCACAATCTGAAAGATATTAGTATTAAGAAAGGCCTGTGAGTCATTTCGGCACTGGGGTCAACTCACAGAGGCTAACCTTGGATCGGCACTGATATACAGCAGGATTTGAGGTGAGGATATCTCCAGGTTTGAGACTAGGGAACTGAGTATGCCCTTCTTCGATGATATCCTGGATAGGATACTATGTCTTCATATCGTCCTCAGCATTAGGCGATGCAGACATCCTGTCGTAGCAGTACACCCTGATGGGACGGAGAGCAGCCGCCGCCACCTTACCACTCTCCACCCAATACCCAGGCAGCAGAGGAATCTGCAGCACCTTATATTGTTCAACGTTGCGGGTTCTTCTCTAAAATCGTTACTCTGTGCCATTCCATACTTGGCAATGCTGCGATGTATGTTAACAAATATTGGCTTGAAGAAAGACACGAGAAGGGATTGGTAACCATACTAGCTAATGGTGCAGTAGCATACCCCATAAAGTAGGTCAAGGTAGACTTGCTCTTTGCTCCACCTAGAGGACGTGGTTTTCCGTAATGAAAAATAGGTGCATCTTTGCGGGGGTACTCAAAGTCCTGAATGACATCGGTTTTTGTTGCTTTGTTAGGGTGCTTAGGCTTTGCAACCTCTGTGTTAGAGGTGGGAGGGGATACAGGTCGTGGTGGTGGCGGTGGTGGTAGTTATGTGTGTGGTTCATGAGAGTAAAGGTAAAGCAGAGGAAGAACTAGGGCCGTGTGGGAATTATTGGGGGTATTTATATAAAATTCCTACAGATATAATATCCATTGGCTAATTTCATTTCCAAGGTCCAAGAAGACTCGACTGTTTATTTGTGCGTGGCATAATGTATTAAACAATTTAAGCACCGTATGGTAAAACTGTTCGTCACCTTAGTGATGCTTAAGGATAGTACAAATGTTAGGGGATGGTTTACATGATGAGCAACGCAAGTACTTAAAGACTTAAATCGTTAACATGAGTACAATGGCATGTTTGTATTTACTATTGCTTGCAACTATACCCGCCCTACTTTTCTCGCGTCTGAACATCCCGTGTATGGTACTTATGAGTGTGAGGTTTCTTCAGGAGTAGCTAGAAGGAAAGTGGTTGTCTCCCCCAGTAAGTTCCTTTATGTTTGTAAATTTTAAGTCCGGGAAGTATATCTGCTATACACTTTTTGTTTTAGTGAAATTAGGGGAAATGGTTATGGGAAACCGAGACTGTATCTTTTATATATGCCCGTGTATTGAAACGTTATGCCCCGCGAGCGTTCTGCTCTTAACAGTCGAGCTCTTGAATTCTACACTGCATTAGTTTCTTGCCTCTTTCGGTGAGAGTCAGTTGGCTCGCTTCCAATCTTAACCCGTCCCGTTTTGGAGCTGGATATATTTCTAATTGTAGTTATGCCGCTCCATGATGTCTGGGGTCAAAGAATCTCCTCCGGGGTTACTGTGAAATTATGCGGGGGCCGCTCTCTCGCCCAGTCCTCGACAATAACGATAGTAAAGTTTCGCCGTGTCTTGGATTCACTATGGACTAATGTTAGATCACAGTACAGTCGCTGTATCATAAACAGGATTCGGTAGGTAGACATACTTAGTAGCATTAAAGAGGTAATGAACGGTAATATGAGCCTGCTGGAAGTCCGGGTCGGGCAGCACTCTCGATATCACCGTGGCATCCGCGGCACTGTCGCTGATGTCTAGACGACAGTTCGTGTAATTCGAGCTCAGGGGCTTCCCGTCAGCGTAGCCCTCACATTGGCCGTGGAAGGCCGGGATCCGCGTTGGGCCTTCGCCGTACTCTGCCGCCGAAACATTAAAATCTGGACAATGGCCGGTGAGCATGTACGTTTAAATCCGACGAAAGAGTGTGGATGTGGCTCACTATACCAGCCCGTCACGGGCGCCTCAGGGTGACCGTGAGACTGGCCGGCTTGCCACTTGTCTATCTGCCAGATGTACTCTTCCGCAGAAGACGCCACGGCACTCTCCTGGATCGTTGCGGCTGTGGCTGTTGCCAAACTAAGGATTGCAGTGAAACGCATATTGGAAAGATGCCGCGTTCCCTAGGTGTTCTAGCTTCTCGAAACAAATTGTCTCGACCATGGCCCGGATATAGGAGATCGGAGTACACTTATATACTGACTTTCTAGCCGTAGCTCCCTTGACATCTATGTCTCCGTATTGCGCGTTCAGGAAGGAATGATGAAATGGCTAAATACGAATAAGCACATGTGCAACGTTACTGGAGGGAAAAGGCACCAACGTTGTATTAAACCAAATACGAGGTAAGGTGGATTTTTGGACGGGCCTGGAGTCAGCAAAATTAGAATTGCGCATACGGGCTCGCGGAATGGTGGCGTTTTCGTGGTGTAGTATTGCAGAATGGTGGACCGATACCTATAGAAGTGGATGCAACGATCAACACTTTACGTTCTAGAAACGCCTTCATAGGGCAACCGACCGGCGAATGTATACTGGCGGAGACGAGGAGGAAGTAAATGGCCTTTGAATACGTGGTCTCGCATGATTATGGCTGAGGCAAACGTCGCACTCCAACGCCGCTCTGGGCCTAGGCATAGAGATGGACTGAATATAAATTGGGCAGGTTCACCCCATGCCACTTGGAGACGTATGAGAGATGTGATGCGGTATTGACGGTTAAGGATTTGGCTGATATGGGTGATGCCCAGGAACGCATTTAAAATCGAATAGTATCGCTCAACTTCAATATAACGTGTTTACTTGCTTCATCTATCGAGTGAGATAAGCTTCGAGAAAAACTAGTACGGCGTCGACGGCGGTATCCACGCTCTAATAGTCTACCCCTTACTGGACTGGCTTGTCTTCGGGTGAAAAATTCAAGCTGATGCTGTTGACACAATGCCTCTCGTCGGTTGGTGTTGGGTAACCCTCGCCCTTGAAGACGTGGCCGAGATGGCCTCCACAGTTGGCACAGCAGATCTCGGTTCGTGACATGCCAAATGCGTTGTCGTGGTGTCTCGTGACGGCACCGGGAATGCTGTCGAAGTAGGCCGGCCACCCGCAACCAGACTTGAACTTATGGTTCGCCTTATACAGGGGAGCATTGCAGCCTGCACATGTATAGACTCCAGACTCGGAGAAGAACTTATCGTACTTCCCGGAAAACGGGGCTTCAGTACCCTTCTCTCTGAGGACCCTGAATTGTTCTGAGGAGAAAGCAGTTAGCTGGCGGCGCTTATGGGTTGCTGGGAAAGGGGTTTATCCCGAAAGTGGGACTGGACACACCCTTGGTTAGAACGGCGCGCCACTGGTCAGAGCTTCTCTGGTCGGGATAGGACATGGTGTTGGACGAGCTGGGGCTGGAGCTGGAGCTGGAGCTGGTGCTGGTGCCGAAAAGACTGGTGAGAAAGGGAATGGATGGCATGGGTTTTATCGTTGCAGGGCTTCGCCGACGGAGGGACTGGAAAGCTGAGGGTTGAACTCGAGTGGAGTCGATGGCGATGAAGATACGGGGCAAATTGGAGAACGGCAGCAGAGATCGCATGAGGTATCAACGAAGCACGAAGCACGAAGCACGCCGCACGCCTCGAGGCCTACTTATGTATTTTTTTCGGGTTTCTTTCTACGACGATTGTATAAGCATCTTATTGATTCCACACGACCGACCGTTGGAGAGAGGAAATCGGGTTGGACTAGGCAAAAGGGAGGGAGAAGGTTGCGATTTGGAATCAGCGTTGGCTGTGCAAGATGATTTGTCAATACCTCCACGCTCTCAAAAGTTGTCCCTGCGTACCTAGTACTGCCTTTGGATGCAACTTCTATGTCCCATTGATGGCGTCAGAGACCTTTGCCCCACTGGCATCTGCCGCCTGGGACCGGGATCTCCACATCCATACCAAGGAGGTACCTATCTCTTTTGCATTTACGCGTAATAAGGGGTACCTACCTCCTGCCTGCCTAGTATCCGATACCTAATGAGGTACCTTGGGAAGTAGTGTGCTCTTAGGGAGGGATGAGAGAGGTAAATGGACAAGCACTGAACCATTAGTTCTATCTACCTAGACCCTTAGATTAACGACCTCACCTACTATAGGTGCCTAGGGTAGGTTGGATTAGGAGGTATCTTGGGTACCTACTCCCAATTACAGGTACCTATATGTACCTGAGCATCAAAGGCTACCTAAAGTATGAGGTAATAAACGCCTTCGCGTCATAACGAAAGATCAAACCCCCAGAGGTACCTATGTATAGAGAAGAATGATCCTCGGAATTCGCATAACTTCATGAATAGTGGGACCAGTGGGAATCGCTGTGTTTTGGTTGGCTGATGGCAGTATGGAATCAGAGGCAGGTACATAAGGTACGTAGATACATCCTCCAGAGTCTTGTGTGCCGACCAGGCGGCGCGGCGAGGCCGTGCCAGAGGCAGCCACAGTTTCTTCGCCCAAGTTTCCCATCCCTCTCATCTCAGATTCGACCTTCACAAGGAACTCCCTAAATCCACATCAGTGCTGGAGTGCTACACCCGACGAGGTTCCGTTCTCCGTCTGGTGCAATTGACTTTGCCTTTCCCCGATCCCACTGTGCTTCCCACCCATCCGTCTCTTGCCATCTGCCTCGTGCTCTTGTTCTTCCTCGTACCATTCGCCTTCGAGCACCTCTCGACCCAATAAAGAACTCCCTGCCGATTCCGACAGACCTCCCGATCCATAACCCGTTTCGAAAAGGGGCTGTACCATGTCGAGACGACCTCCCAATCCCGCTGCTGAGAGAGCAGCCCAAAACCAGCAGACCATCAAGAGTCTGTTGAAACTAGAGGCCAACAAGATATGCGCCGACTGCAAGAGAAACAAACGTACGTCTCCCCGCGAGCACGGCCGGCTCGCTCGGTGTCTCGTCCCGCAATCTAACTGCTGCCTGTAGACCCGCGATGGGCGAGCTGGAACCTGGGCGTCTTCATCTGCATCCGATGCTCTGGCATCCATCGAGGGATGGGCACCCATATATCGAGAGTCAAATCGGTCGACTTAGACTCGTGGACCGACGAGCAATTACAAAGCATCCTGAGCTGGGGCAACGCACGTGCGAACAAGTATTGGGAGGCCAAGTTAGCTGCTGCCCATGTGCCGTCCGAGGCCAAGATCGAGAACTTCATCAGGACCAAATATGAGCTCAAGCGATGGGTCATGGACGGCCCGAAGCCGGATCCCGCCACCTTGGACGTCGACGGCGACGACGATGTCCCACTTAGCATCGTCAAAGAGAAGCAGAGCATAGATAGGAAGGAGTCTATTCGGAAGAGCTCGGTCGGACAACAAGCGGCACCGCAAAGAGCCATCACTCCTCAAGCGGATCTTATCAGTGGCGCTGACATCCCCCCCAGAGCTAGCACTGCCTTACCTCCGCCGTCGCAAGTCCCTCCCAAGTCAGCTCCAGCGCCGCCGAAGGCGGTGAACACCACCAAAGATTCGCTCCTAGGTTTGGATTTTCTGGGAGAGGCCCCCGCCGCTCCCCCGCGTCCCGCTAGCACGAACCCGGGTGGTCTAGGTGGCGGTCAGTCGAGGCCCGACCTCAAGCAGTCCATCTTATCCCTCTATGCGTCGGCTCCGCGGCCACAGCCCCCACCGCAACAGCCGTCGCATTCTCCATCTGGATCCTTTGGGGGCTTCGGAGGAACGCAATCAGCCTCGTTACAGTCTCCTCCCATGGGTCACCAGCCCAAGAAGTCAGCTGGTGGTGGGCTCGATGATGCCTTTGCTAACTTGAGCTTCGGAAGTGTGGCACAGCCGAAGAGTCCTCAAATAGATGCCTTCGCGGGCCTGACGGCTATGTCTGGCAATCGCTCTACCCCTAAGCCTACAAGTACTTCGTCATTCCCTAGTCTCAGTGGGGGCAGCTTCTTCGACTCGAAGCCTACCCCACCGGCGCCGCAACATAGTTCGAAGCCGTCGGCAACGGGCTTCGATAATTTCGGCGCTTTCAATTCATCCGCCGCGACGCCGAAGCCCGCGCAATCTTCTTCGGCAGCTTTAGGTGACCTCTTCGACTGGTCTACCCCGGCGCCCCAACCGGCCGCCGCACCGGCTCCCAAGCCTGCTCCCGTGTCATCGTCAACTAGCAATTCCGTCTTCAATCTTTCCGCGAAGCCAGCGCCGGCGCCAGCGCCTGTGTCGGCCACGACGACTTCTCTGAACACATCTATACTTAATACTTCGGATGTTTGGGGGAACGCATGGAGCAATCCCGATCCCACTCCAACCTCAGCATCGAAGACTCCCATTGCCACCAAGAGTCCCGCCACTAGTGGCGGTATCGACTTTGGCGGCTGGGGTAGTGGTACTGGGGGTTCCTTCGCTAACCAGAGTCTGGTGCCGGGCACTTCCGGAGGATTTGCTCCAGCACCCAAGGTAGCGGCCGATGAGGAATTCGGCGGTTGGACTAGCAGCGCAGGCGGAAATTCGAACGCGAACGGGGGTACCAAGTCTGGCGGATTTGGGAATGACGATTTATTCTCCAACGTTTGGCAGTAAGTTGCCGGCAGCATGTGTAGCTAGGGAGGGCAGGGGCGCATCTTTTGGAAGCGATACGAAGAGATTAGACGAGACTAGCTGAGATATCCATCGGGTCGCTCTCTTCCTATCGAAATATTATCTATTCCGTTTTGTACAGACAAGTAGCATCCCGTAACGCCCTTGCTATGCTCGCGGGTATCCTTAACCCCTCCTACTTCAAGAGTCACTACGGCACATAACTGGACTCGCCCTCGAAATCACGTCGACGTCCATTCGTCTATACCCTTTACGCAGAGCCAAAAACGGCACGAGCCATTAACCCTTACCCCCCTGCGACCTCGTCTCATGAGCTACCACGGCTTAACTAGTCACACCCCCCGCGCCGCCTCTCGCGAGCTCCCCAATGGTATCCAAGTGCTTCCCCAAACGCCTATGACGGCCCCGAATAATGGCAGTGACGTAGGAGGCCGGCCGTATTTGTGCGTGTGGTGTACGGCAGCGCCGGATTCGCATCGGTAGGGAGGCCAGATCGGTCAAACTGCCAGGCTCGCCCGCCCGGACGGCACTCGTTCGGAATATTCGTGTGCGTGTATGTGCGTGTGCGTGCGTATGCGTGTGCGTGCGTTGTTATTGTGTTGGCGTGGACGAGCCGGGTTTAAAAGATCCACTTCAGGAGGTAGTAGAGCACGAGGAAGACGCCGACGATGATGCCGGAGAGCTTGAGGATGGCGACTTTGTTGCCCGAGGCGGCCATGCGGCCCAGCCGGCCGGCGGACCCCTTCAGCTGCGACGACATCGAGGAGAACGTGTCGGACTGCGGCGGGGTTAGTTTTTGGCTCCTTCTCCTTCATCCCCTCGGCCCTGCGTCTTCGTCTATTCGCGCGTCGAGGGGGGGGGGGACTGCAGGAGGAACGGATTGGGAGGGGAGGGGGAGGCGGGGGAAGCGTACCGTGTTGTCGATTACCTCCTGGGCTCGCGCGTTGTCGTAGATGTCCACCGTCACGCCGCGCAGCGACGACACCTTGGCCGAAAGCTCCTCCAGGCGCGCGTTGTTCTGGCGCTCGCGCTCGTAGGCTTCCGACATTGTGAATCTTTTCTTCTTTTAGTCCGTGTGTGGTCGTCGATGGTCGGTCGGGAGATGAGGGTGCGAAGTGTGGCGGCTCGGTAGGTGTGCCTGCTTTGTAGCGACGTTTGGTAGCGGCTGAAAGAAAAGCTGGAAAGAATAGCAGCGGTGGACTACGACGGGCTCGTGTTCACACAACTCGGCCAGCGGTATAGATTCCCATCAAGTCCTTGACTGCGAAGGCTGGAATTGCTCCGAAGGTGTTGGTATGGCTCCTCGTGAAGGCTTCGGGGTTCGAAGTCGGCTGTATCGGCAACGCGACGAGTTCCATCGGTCCCCTGTCTAGTGTCAACAGGTGACGAGGAAAGGAGGCGAGGTAGGATGGGATGACACAATGTGGCTGATAGCCGACGCAGGTATGGACGCCACATCGGGCGAGAAAGCCTGGGCACCGAGGCATCCTGTACACAGGGTACATATGTGCCTACCGGGCAGTAATCTTTTCCCCGCAGGCAGCGTACCTAGTACATGGTTGCCACCATTATCGCTCGACGCAGTTGGATAGCAACCACAATATACCTGCGTATACATTATAGACACCCAAGCTACCTTAGGTACCTACCCGATGCATGCAAAGTGACATGCTATGTGCGTGGACAATTTTGCGACCTAATGCGATGTTGACGCCCGCACGCTTTAATATGGCAGCGGAATCTCGTTTCAGACGACTTTGCCCTAGGCAGGTCCTCCGCCGAGCGGTAGGTAGCTTGAGGGGAGCAGATACCAACCTCTAACCCCCAGTAGGAGGTAGGCAGGCAGGTACCTGCCCAATACGTAGGTAGGTAGGTACCTAAGATAGATGGAGGTAGGTTACCTGCCTACCACGGCTTGTATAGGGATACCACGCACCGTCTTGGTGCCCCGCTGTGGTGGCAGAGCTCTTCCGGCTGACGACGCCGAAATCTTTCCCATGGCAAGCAAGTTAGGCCATAAATACTGCCATCCCACCTCCTCCCACCTACAACACCCAGCTCATCTCTCTCGATTGCTACTTATCTGTCTATTGATCGTTCTCTCGCCCGCTCTCTCTCCCCCTCCCCGCCCAGGTATTTATCGAACGTGACTAGCAGAGGCTGCACACAGAAAGCCTGTCCGACACATATACGCACGCCCCGTCGCATACGCCCGCCGAGTCGAGTCCAGCTTGCCGAGATCCGCGACAGTCATTCGCATCAGTTCCTGCTCTACTTGGCAAACCCAGACCCCCGCAGTTCGCCCGTGGATGTGTCTGTCTGTGTGTGAATCGCTTCGATAACTTGGGCGCCCATCCTACCTGCTTCGTTCTTTGCAATTCCACTTGTAGCTCGGAAGCTTCGGAAATCAGCCCTGCGCGGAGAGAGATCTTGGCAACCACCTCTCAAGATGGGTATCAACAACCCTCTCCCGTCGTCAATGGCGTGTAAGTCTGTTAACCTCCAAGTGGGCACAAATTCCGTCCTACCGGCCGGTTGCCTTTTGGTCCTCCTTACTAACTGCTCCTGTTCCTGATAGCGGAGTGCAAGAAGTGTGGCAAGATTCTCACTTCTTTCATTGATCCGCGCCAAGCGTTTGGTCCCGATAAGATCATCCCTCCCTCAATTCTCGCAAATGCCAAAGTCAGTAGCTTCGCTTCCCTCCTTCGTCTCCTCCTCTCCTCCAACTTCCCCTCTTGGCTTCAGGTCTAGAAGGAGCTAGCCTACATCCAGTCTTGGATCAATATTCGCGCAACAACAGCCTCGGCTAATCGGTGGTGGTTAGGGTCTCGCCATCCTCACTGTTATCAAAGCCGGCTTCCTAGGATCCGCGCGTTTCGGCTCCGGCCTCGTTGTCGCTCGCTTACCCGATGGCTCGTGGTCTGCGCCCTCCGCCATCATTACGGCAGGTGGCGGCTTCGGCGGCCAAATCGGCTTCGAATTGACCGACTTCGTATTCATCCTCAACGACTCACACGCCGTCAAGACGTTCTCACAGCAGGGTTCGATCACACTCGGCGGAAATGTCTCGATAGCAGCAGGGCCAGTAGGCCGGAACGCAGAGGCTGCTGGTGCCGCGTCTCTCAGGAGCGTGGCTGGGATATTCAGCTACAGCAAGACGAAAGGCCTATTTGCTGGCGTGTCTCTGGAGGGCTCGGCAATTGTGGAACGAAGGGACGCGAACGAGAAGCTATACGGCCAGCGCTGGACAGCACAACAGCTGCTCACGGGCTCGGTCCGGCCACCACCCCAGGCCGCGCCACTAATGTCGATCTTAAACTCACGAGTCTTCTCAGGCGTGCGCCAAGCCACCGTGGATGATAATACGTACAACGACGTCCCTATATACGAGGACCGACATGATGACGTGGTGTGGAATGGCCAACGAGGGAGCGCCTACGGAGAGCAGCCTACCGCCAATGGTCGCGATGAATTTGGCGGGCCGAGGCGGGCAAACACCTGGCAGGATGACGTATACGACCGACCGGCTGCCAGCTCTGGCCTTTCCCGGTCGAATACCGTAGGAAACAGGGGCGCCAATGATGACTACGTATACCGAGATCGACCGTCGCCCTCTGCAAGTGCCTTTCCCGAGGAAAGGAAGACTGGTCCGAACAGACCCGCAGCACCGAAGCCGAACTTCGCGAGCAAGCAAGCACTCATGAAGAAAAATGAGGCTGTGGCACTGTTCAACTTCGACGCTGATCAACCGGGCGACTTGGGTTTCAAGAAGGGTGAGGTCATCACGGTGCTGAAGAAGACGAATAGTGACAATGACTGGTGGTAAGTGGCGCCGTCTCCCCCCGTAGGCTAGATGTGCCCAAGACACTGACGATCCGTGGCTCACAGGACCGGTATGATCGGTTCAAGACATGGCATATTCCCTAGCAATTACGTCAAGATGAACGAGTGAGAGGGCGGCCCGTCCGCAACTCGGCCATCCCGACACGAGTCTACACACGGGGCGAGCGGAATCAGCTCATCATCCAGGCTTCAAAGGGGGTCCGAGGGAGAGGGGTTATAACGGACGCTGTTACGAGATTGATTGTTCAAGAGATACCTACCTGGTTTGCTTTTGGGAGTACCTGACGGTTAGACTCTAGTTCTCACGTACGGGGTTTTATTCGGCTCATTTCTATGGGTTGGGGAGGGGGGTTGCCTCTCGGTGGATGGATGACGGGTTTTCTATGAAATATCTAGGTGTACCTAGGGGATGACGAATATTACCAGCGGGAGAATGGTGATGTCCCTCAGCTGCGTTGCTATCCCACGTTGAGGGCGTGTGTTGGAGGTGGTGCGGCACTCACAGCCCCCTTTACGTACGCTGCATACATAAGTGGTCTTGGTATGACCGACTAGAACGCGCCTATTCCCAGTTGTCGGGGTAAGTGGAGGTCACCAACTAAGTGTAGTAGTATATGCATCAGATCTAGTAGGTCGTATAGATACGTCAGCTACCCGTAGGAGGCGTCTAACGACGGCTCCCTCTGCATATAGATTCTCTTTACTGTAAAGGCTTCACGGTGTCGTATAGGTCTAGCGCGTTAGGCACGTATCTCGTATAGAGTGGTGTGGCTCCCTTAGGCACCTAACCTACATTAGTAGGTAGACACACACAGTACATGAACAAAGCTTATATACACTCCCTAGTCCGTTACCCCGGATAGTTACCCTATATGAAGGAGAATCCGTCTCTCCATCCGTCACCGTGGGTATCATTAACTCGCTTTCGGTGAGGGTGACTTCCTATTTGCGGACCGACGAGAAAACGCCCGTCGGACCAAATTTGCAATCTCGGCGATATCCTCCTGCGTTGTCTTCTGGGACCCCATGAGATACAATACGTTTCCGAGGACCCGGCTATGGACGTTCCACGCGCCCCCATCACCACCGTCACGCAAGGTTCTCTGTAAATTAAGCGCAGCATTGCTCTTGTAGCCCAGCCCGTCTGGGGCGTCCATGTGGATAGCGAGAACGCTGCCGAGGGCCCAGGTCCCGGCGACGAGCCTCGTCTGGTGCGAGATCCAGTCCGGAAGATCCTCCGGCCAGATAGACCAGACTCTCTCCTCCCCCGGAGAAGGGGAGAGGGACAGACCACCCAAAGAACTAGTCTGGTCACCGCCCCTCTTCGCCCAGTCCCACTCACCCCGGGCTTCCATGTCCCGCATCTGCCGCAGCGACTCCACGGCAACGTGGCAGCCGACGGGGTGTGCTGTGTAGCTATGCCCGTGGAGCAGGGCGTCAGCCTTTTCGGAGCCTCCGAAGGCCGCGAACACGCTTTCAGATGCCAGGGTCGCGCTTAGCGGCACCAAGCCCCCCGTCAGCAACTTCGCGTGCACCGAGATATCCGGTTCCGCCCCGGCACCAAGGAACGACGCCGCCGAGAACCGGCCCAGCCGGTACAGGCCCGTGAATACTTCGTCAAATATTACGGGAAGACCCGTCCAAGACGTGTTGTCGGCAGTGTCGGCAGCTTCGGGTTTGTGAAGGGGATCGAAGAGCTTGGCCGAGCGACGGACTACCTTGACGAGAGAGCGCTGGAAGAGGGGATCTCTAGACTCTGGTCAACCGTCATGGTCCTGCTTGCGAAGTAATAACTTATACCCGCCACTTACACCAGTTCCATACCTCCAGCTCCAATCACGACCGGTTCCATGAGCAAGGCACCGAATTTCCGGCCCTCGCCTACATGGCGGGACAGCCTCTTCTCAATATAACTCTCGTAGACTTCGTGATCGCGCTCCAATTCCCGCCTTTCGAGATCGAACACCTGATCCAGGGTCCCAAACATCCGGTCTTCCCCGAGCTCCCGGCCGGCGTCGGTTGGCATCTCGATGGCCCACCAGCCGCGGATGCACTTGACACGAGGATAGTCGAGCCAGATGCCTCGACCGCTATACCACTCGACCGTCTCGTTGAAAGCGCTCGGCTCGGCACAGTCCATGGCACCGATAGTATCACCATGATAGCCCCCGCGCAGGCCGATGACGCCGACCTCTGCGCTTGCTGACCAACCGTACCGGCGCCGCGCGGCGCGCAATGCCATCTTGACCGCTACCTCGACACCGGTGCTGCCGTCGTCTGAGTAGAAGACTCGTGTCAATCGCGGGTTCCCACTGTTATCAAGGAGCGTCCGCGCCAGCGCTAGCGCCGGCTCGTGCACCGCACCCGCGAACATGACGTGCCCGTAGCGGCCGGCCGCGTATGCCGCTGCGAGCGCCAGCGACGGATTGCCGTGGCCGAGCCCCTGAGTCCACCACGACGCGGAGCCGTCGAATGAAGGCCGTAGAACGGGCTGGACCTGGGTGCCGCCGTTATCTCCAGTTCGAGGTAGCGGAGGCGCCAGGGTCTGGAAGAAGTCCCCCCGCGCGCCGTCAATCGCAACGATATCGCCCGGCGTGAGGAGCTGGTGCTGCGTAAAGGGGTACCATATCCGTCGGTGCGCCTCGCCGGGCATCGACTCGAGCCTCTCGATACGTGCACGGTGACTGCGGTCCAGCTCGTCGAGGACACGGAGGGTTTCCGCGTTCCCGCTCGTCTCTTGGTAGTAGCGCGACATCAGCTCCGCATCCGCGTCTCCATTGGCATTCGGTAGCAGCGGAGGAGGTTTTGGCAATGACGCGACTAACGGGCCGTGGTGCTTCGCAAAGTAGGCCCGTAAGAACTCGGCGTTGTCGTGCTTGTCGTCGCGGAACGCCAAAACAGCTTCGACGTCGTATCCACGGATCTTCAGAGACTCGAAGGCGGATATGGTCAGCGAGATGCCGCCGAGCTTAGAGTCGGCAACAAGCACGACCGGACACCGCAGGGCCGCGTACAGGTCGGCCTGCGTGACGCCCGAAGGCCCCGGGGAGTGGACTCCACCGGCTGTCTCGATGAAGAGCCACCCAGCCCCTTCAGCCGCCCTCTGCGACGAAAAGTCGTATATGGCGGAGAGAAGCTCGCTGTCTAGGGGGATCTCCTTGGCAGCTATGTGTCAATTTACAAGCGATGTCAAGACCAGAAGACCACGTGTAAAATTTACCTTGCCCCTCGCCGCGACGTGCGGGCTGACTGGAGTGTCATACTGGAATAAGGTCTTGCGAACGACCCCCGGGGCATGTTTTTCGACGTGTCTACGTGTAGATCCTCATTAATGCTCGCAACCCAACATCTCTGATTTGTGCCTTGCTTCATTTCTCCTTCTATATCCATGCATAGGTCAGTCAGGTTACAATCGTATTATTGTACGGGACGGGACCTCATGATAAGAGAGAAAATAAAAGAAGCCAGCAGGTCACTCACACCGGTCGTCTGCATCATCCAGAGGGCCTGTCGATACAGGCTTGAGGAAGGCTGATCGTTCCCCATGCCGTATGCCCTTAGCGGCTCTCGATAAGATCGTGGCAAAGACGGTCTTGCCGACATCAGTGTTGGCGCCGTAGATTTGGAAGACCCGGAGAGAGCGCCAGAGCAATGGGCGGGCCGGCGCCATTGCCGGTATATTGAGTGCCGTTGAGTCGCGGGCAGGTTGTGGTGGTTGTCGGGACAGACCCAACTCGGGGCATCATTCATTGAGCACTATCGGCGGGTAAACAGAAGACGATTCCTTGGGGAAAAGATTGCAAGGAGGCGCCTCGGTTCCCCACCAGTACCTATATGCGGTTCCGGGGCTCCGGCTCACTTTATCTAGGTAGGCAATCGATCCATGCTCAAGGCTTTTTCTCACACGGCTTTTTCTCACACGGAGTGGGACAGAACCGTAAGTATGAAGACAAAAACAAAAATACAAATAATCCGCCTCTACTTACTACCGACCTACATAGTAAGCTAACTTAGCAGACACGGAGCAACATACATACCTATGGCTTTTATACATACACGGCGCGAAGGCGCCATTACGTAACGTTTTTATTCGCTGTTTGCTTTTATTCAAGGGACGGAGAAGTAGGTAGAGTGTGCGCGTTGAGAATATCATCGCATCACCAGGTGCCTGTGGTAGCACGCACGCCCGAGATCCTCGAGAGGTCCAAGACCAAAGGTCCACTGACCATGCCAGGAACCAACAGACAGCTAGACGGCGCTCTGGCGGCTCTGCTGGCCCGTCGGGAATCGCACGGCAAGCTCAGACGGTTGACAAAACCGCTAGCGCATTGCGTCGATTTCTCTTCGAATGGCTATCTCTCGTTGTCCACCAACCTCGAGATCCAGGAGCAGCTTCTCGCGCGGCTGCAAGCTAGGGTAGCAGCGGGCGCCGCGGACATCGACCGGGCGGCTGGTTCCCGCGCGTCGATACTCGGCTCGGGGGGCTCTCGCCTGCTCGACGGCAACTCGTCCTTCGCGGAGGAGATCGAGGCCAGAATCGCAGCCTTCCACCGCTCCGAGACGGCGCTCCTCTTCACGTCCGCGTACGACGCCAACACCGGGCTCCTCGGCAGCGTCCCGCAGCCCGGCGATGTGATCGTCTACGACGAGCTGATCCACGCGAGCGTGCACGACGGGATGCGCATGAGCCGAGCCGGCAGGAAAATACCGTTCGCCCACAATTCCGTGTCCGGGTCTCGTCCCGGAGCTGGCGCCGAAGCCGGAGACGGCCGGCTCGGCCGCCAGAGCGAGAATAAAAATCTCGAGCACGTCCTGGGACAGCTATCCGGGCGCGAGGGGAGCGAAGATGTCAGAAGTGGCAAGGCGAATGTCTTCGTTTGCGTCGAGGGGCTGTACAGCATGGACGGCGACGTCGTGCATCTGCAAAAGGTCGTGGACGCGGTAGACCGATGTCTACCATCGGGGAACGGCTACATCATAGTAGACGAGGCTCATTCGGTGGGTGTGTTCGGTGACGACGGCCGCGGTTTGGTGTGTAAGTCAGGTCTAGAAGACCGGATATGGGCGCGAGTCCTCGGCTTTGGGAAGGCTATTGGCTGCTCAGGAGGTAGGCGCCTTGCCATGTTTCTTTCAACCCGCGATACAAGTGTTGACAGGCTTCACATTAGGTGTCGTGCTATGCTCTTCTACCGTCCGGTCATATTTAATAAACTATGCCAGAAGCCTCATTTACACCACATCCATGCCTTTCACGTCGCTGGCTAGCATAGAGGTAGTCTACGATTATCTCGTCAGCGGCCGTTCTAAGCCGCTAAGGGAGCACCTGGAGGAGTTGATCCATTATACACATTGCCAACTTCGCGCTATTTGTGCTCGGCAGCGACCAGGCCAGCTCATGATCCGCGTCCAAGAGGCGCCCGCAGTATCGCCCATCATCCCCGTGCTCACCCCCTATCCCCGGGCCCTCGCAGAACACTGCCAACGATCCGGGTTCATGGTACGCCCGATTGTTGCCCCAACGGTTCCTGCGGGGAGCGAGAGGATAAGGGTTTGCGTACATTCTGGCAACACAATCGAACAAGTAGACGGGTTGTGCAAGGCAATTGAGGCATGGGTACGACAAAATCATGGGGCCGTAGAGAGAGACGAGAGACGAGATAAGAGCAAAGGTCTCGGCGAAGTCACCAAGACCCATAATGTACTCAGCCAGGACAGGCCACGACTCTAAGAATCTATATACTCTAGTAAGAGGGCCATGCCGGATTCCCACCGACAAATCGAAGAAGACACCAGCTAGTTCCAGCTAAATCGCCTAGCTCAGCTCGTTAGGGGGCGGAGACTTGTCGAAACTCCTCATGGGCTCCAGCCCCCAGCGGTCGAACATGTCCTTGTCCTCGTCCCAGCCGTTGCACTCCGTCGTCAGCATCTTCTCGCCGGTGAAGATGGCGTTGGCGCCGGCCATGAAGCACAGGGCCTGCTTCTCCTCAGACATAGTCTTCCGGCCGGCCGCGATCCGTACAATGGTGGCGGGCATGATGATGCGGGCGGTGGCGATCGTCCGAAGCACTGATGGTGCATGCATTAGCCAGTTAATCAAATAATTACGTCTGCTCATTAAAGGCGCCCCTTTGCGATCCCCGCTATTAAACGGCGCGGAAGCCGTTCGGCCGCCATGGCGCAATTCGCCAAAAAAAAAAAGAGAGGTGGTCTTAAAGAAAAAGTAACAGCTCCCGCTCCTCGGGCACACTTACTGCTCGTGAAGTCGATCGGCTCCCGGTCGCCGAGAGGGGTCCCCTTGATGGGCACGAGGGCGTTGACGGGGAAGCTCTCGGGATGCGCGGGCAGGGTCGAGACGGTGTGCAGGAGGCCGACGCGGTCGGTCGCGGTCTCGCCGAGGCCGACGATGCCGCCGGAGCAGACGTGGATGCCGGCGTCGCGGACGTGGGCGAGGGTCTGGAGGCGCTCGTCGTAGGTGCGGGTGGAGATCACGGAGGGGTAGAACTCACGGCTCGTGTCGACGTTGTGGTTGTAGGCGGTGAGGCCGGCGTCACGGAGCTCGCGGGCCTGGGCGCCGTCGATCATGCCGAGCGTGACGCAGGCCTCCATGCCGAGGGCGCGCACCCCGCGGATCATGTCGGCGATGTTGCGCAGGCTCGTCCGGCGCCCCCGCATGTCCCGCCACGCGGCGCCCATGCAGAAGCGCGTGCTGCCGTTCTCCTTGGCCGCCCGCGCCGCTGCTAACACCGTCTCGACCGTCTCGACCTTCTTCGCCTGCAGGCCCGTGCCCTTCTGGTATCGCGTCGCCTGCGCGCAGTACGCGCAGTCCTCGGTGCAGCCGCCGGTCTACGGTGGGGGGTGAGGAAAGGAGTTAGCGCACGGTTTCTTCGAGGAGCTAGTAGTCGTGTCGGCGTATCCCTCGTGTGGGTAGGATTGGGGGGCAGAGATGAGTAGGGAGGACTAGGAGCCGCCGACCTTGATGTTCATGAGCGTGCAGAGCTGGACTTCGGATGGCTTGTGAAAGCGGCGATGGACTAGGCTCTATGACGTCTCGTGCTGTCAGTCTACCAACTCACCTTCTGCGAGCAGGGCGCGCGTTGTAGGTCAGTAAGTGCGCAGCATGGTTAGGAGGGCCCTACAGCTTGGTGCACCAAGTCCATCAGGGGATGGTCGTAGATCGCCGTTATCTCCTCCCTGGTCCAGTCATTCCTCGGCTGAAGAGCGGAGACGGCGTCACGGAGAGTACGGGCGGCATCGGCCGGGGACGATTCGCGACTCCTCGTGGGGACGGCGATGGGGTGCGGCCCGGCGGCGGGAAAAGGAGGCAGATGATCGGGTAACTGCTCTTGCGGTTGGGCTACGGCGGCGGCAGCAGCAGCGGATGCACGAGAGCTGACGGTAGAGATCAGCCGGGGATTGACATGTCGGCCATAGCTGGGCCGAGCCAGCGGCACCGCAAAGGGACGAAGAACCAGACGAGCAGGCCTCATTGCAATGCGGAGATATCGAGATCTGGTTGAACAAGGCAAGTTTCCAAACCAGGACTTGACGAATCGCTGGGGTAGCTTCCGATGAATCAACTGGACCCCTCTCCTCGACTGCTGCTCGTCGTTCCCCCCACCCCTCCCTCCGTCCGATACACCGTTGTCTGCAGGTCGATTATGCAAGGAAGCGCCAGGAAACGCCGCTTATCGATGGCGACGGAACCGCCTAATTACGGGCATCCAGAGGTACTAGTAAGTTAGGTCGGTACCTAATGCAGATGCGTACACGATAAATTACTGACACAGTGTAGGCAGGTAAGGGGGGGGAGGGGGAGGGGGAGGGGGAGGTTGTGAAGTGAGGTATCTAACCCGCCAAGGAGGAAAAAAAAACCGACCACTTACGGTAGGTAGATGTGCAGTAAGTAGGGAAATATAAATACATCCTTACCTAGTAATCCCGGTTAAAAACTCGCGCCTCGGGCCACTTAACATCGGCGCTACAGCTTCGACCGAGTAATAGGCTGCTGCTGATTCGCCTTCGGCTTGCTGGGCATCGGGATGGTGGATTGCGACATTGCAAGCTCGGACTAGAAGGGGGGAACAGGGGGGGAGGTCCTCTGTCCGGGACGGACTTCGCCAACAGGGGCGTGAAAACGCATAGGTGGTTGAAGTTGAAGCGCCGTACTGCTGTACTGTCGAGCGACGTAGCCGCGCAGGCGATGGCCGGGGGCCGGGGATAGCTTGCCAGCCTCACCAGCGAGCCCGAGGATGCCTCCCTCCGCCCAAGCCGCACACCCACCTTTCGCCCCGGTCCTGGCCGCGAAGGCAAGCCGGCGACTACGCAGCAGGCAAGCAGGCCGTAGGGCTTTGCGCAAAAATGAGAGAGGAGAGAGGAGAGAGCGTAGCATTCGGCAGCGTGCGCATATCGCCGTGCGGTCGTGGAGCGTGCGGTCTAGACAGGCGCTGGAGAATCGCACGGGCGGCCCGCACCCCCGTCCGGCGATGCCTGGCCGGAAATGTCCCAGCCGCGTGCCACTCGCGAGGCCCTTGGTTAAGCGCGCAGCGACACTTATCCTATCACATGTGTGTGCGCGCCCTCCCCCCCGGTCGAGGCCGACCCGTCCGGTCACTCGACGCGCCGCGAGTAATCGGTGCCGAGGCGGTCTGGCGCCGCCCGAATACCATCGTCGCTTAATATTTATTTATCTTGTGGACGCCGCTTCTACGACAGCTTCTCCTCGGATGCGTTCTTTTAGAAAGAATTAACAAAATTACCTCCGCTTTTCTCCCCTCCCAGGCTGTCAGAATAGGAGGGGGGGTGAGAGGGGGAAGGTGAGGGGAGGATATATATATTATCGCAGCGAGGTGGGCCGAAGTGGTTTCGCCTTCACAGTCCCTCTCTTTTCTCGAGCCACGATCAGGCTCTGGGGACTTGACGCTCCCCTTTCTGCCTTGCTAGGCGTATAACACAAGTAGGTCCCGTATTCTCAGGGGTCTCCTACGGGGTTCGTACATAGTGCTTCCACACGACGTTTGTCTATCCTGTGTCCTCATAACCAACCGGACGACCTCCATGGTGCCCCTGGCTGAGATAATATTGGAACGCTTGGGGGCAGCGCTCAATAGTCCCAAGGAGGTGGTTAGGTAGGTAAGACTGGCAATCACTCACTATGCAAATCCAGTTGCCCTGACCAAGGTGGACCAAGCCGAAGCGAGTTACATATAGCGATTGTGTGGCTGAACCTAAGCAGGTTGAGGGGAAATAATATGGACCAATGTGCAAAATGTGTAATGACCGGATACCAGCTAGAGGTAGTGGTTCTTGCAGGAATACAAACTAGTCGCTATTGAGACGAAGGCCGCCATGGCCGACATTGAGATACCACCCCATCCCCTCCCGTACGACGTATACAACATTAACGCTCGCAGACTACCCCTTCCAGGCCGGCAATCGAGTAGGTAATTAGACGGAGGAGCATAGACTCGCGAAATAAAATCCCCACGTATAGAGTTGATCGTACCTGTAGGTATTCTCCCGATCTCGAGAGCTTGCTTGCGGAGGCATCCCGCCATCAGTCGAACTCTTCGGGGCACCAGACAACGACGCCGCGCTCCTTGTCGATGTGGAACCACTGCTGGCGATCTCGGCTCCAGGTCCAGTACGGATCCCGGGGGTCCTCGCCCGCGTCCTCGTCCGGCTGGTCGGGGTTGCACTGGAGGAACAGACCCTGGGACTCAGGGGAGACGGCGTCCAGGTTGGCCTGGAACGTTGACGGCGGGTTGAGAAATTCGTGCGACCTTCTCTGCTGCTCCGCGTTCGCCCACAGGGGGAACCGGAAGGCTGGAAAGCTCTGCGCGCGCAGGTCGGGCCGGGTCACCCCGTCGGACAGAGGAAAGGCCGCTGGGCGTCCTGGAAGCGGCCTCTCGTCGCGGTAGATCCCGAACTCCGGCACCGAGCTCACCTCGGCGTAGTTGCTACTTGTCGACCGAGCTAGCCCCGCTACCCAGGCACTGCTTGCGGTTCGAACTGCAAGATTCGAGCACGTTTCCAGCTCGTGATCCCGACTGTGAGAATCTGAGAGATTTCGGCCATTTCGTGGGAGGTCGTGTGTGAAAGATCTGGAGGGGCCAGAATCTCCTGTTTGACGACGATTCGCGTTCCCGGCCCCAAGTACCGTTGGCAGCACATCGTTATTCGAACCCGGGACTGGACGAGCTGTACGAGGGGCCGAGCTGGTAGAGTCCATGGAGACGGAGATAAAGGGCGGCGGGGGTAAGTGTGCTTCTCTAAACTGGGCTGGCGCCTCTATCACTCTTGAGGATGGCAGATTAGAAGAGGTATGTAGTTGCCGCTATGCTGATTAAGATCGGGGACTTGAGGACCTTATGTCTACATGTCGACATGTCTACCTATATATACTAGTTCGGTGAGTTGTTGCTTTGAATATTGCCCTGCCTCTCTTTGTGAATCAATATACGAGGCTGATATAGGTATTAGCCCGTAGCCTTCGGGAATCTAACTCTTCAACCTGAAGGCAGATCTTGTGATGCATACACTTCTTCATGTCCCTTTTCAAGCCCGGCATTTTTTATCCCAAAAAATGGGAAGATAGTGGTGCTATATCTACAATCTGTGGTGAGTTTCCGCGATCACGATCACTGAGACCGTCTGACTTAGGCTCGATAAACGAATAGAAGGGAAGTGAGAGAGGTAGCTAACATATTGGGAGGGGGGACTAGATGGGAGGAAGTGTTCATTGTTAGAATCCTCCAGAACGTCGATGATAGCCTAACGGTATGTCTAGGACAACAGAAGAGGCTGGCTATCTATCGCATGGTGGCTAATTGTTCATTTCTAGCCGCTATGGTGGTTGGTATAGGTGCAGATTGTCGAATATGGGCCGCGGCGTAGTTGTAATTACGCTGTAGTGTGATGGCCACCTCTGCGCGTAAGGTACAGGGCGTATCTAGGAACGTCGAGCATCCGCAATTCGCACTAGGGCAAAGCTATTAAGTAATGTTGTCAGCACTTGGCCTTTGTCCCTTGCGGCGGCCCCCACTCACGTGACATCCAGGGAACCTTAGTTGGGTCTAGTAGAGCAAGTCTGCCAGTATAATAGAAAATATTAGGTACGTAGATCGGGAGAGCTACGTAGGAACTGAGGTTGCTCTGCAGTGCGAGCAGCAGAAGGTGGGAAGAAGAGGTTGAATTGACTGACTAGCTAACTAGGAAGGAAGTGAACAAAGAAGATGCGAGCTACCCACACACACACAATAGGGAGCTGGGAGCTAGGTTAGGTAAACGAGCATTCAGAGAAGAAGTAGAGAGCTATGTATAGATGGCTCTCTACGTGACGGAAAAGCATTTCAAAGGCCGCGTTATTTTGTTACTAGGGGATTGGCGAAGCCAAGCTTTTCCTCGGGAAATTCGTGCCGATTGCGGCGGGCCGTGGGCGGTGAGAGCGAGGTCTCCTATTTCCTGGGTGCGACTACGTTATTCTAGGTTGGCCGACGCAACACACACATGGGGACGGAGGCAGAGACAGACAGACAGACAGATAGAGATAGGGACGTCGGGGGAATATATTGATCAATCCACCCGGCAGTTCCCTGCTGAATTGCGCGCCGTGCGCAGTCCCCAGACCCCAGAGGATCCCTGTCCCGATATCTCTGTTTCTTTCCCGTTCCCTCCTCCCTCTCTGCTCTCTCCTCTCCTCGTCCTCTCCCTCCGTGTTCATCCCCTCGCTTCCTCTCCTCGCGCCCACACCCATCGTCGCCGGCCCCCCCGTCGAACGCACCGTCAAACCCGCCTCCGATGGCAGTAGAGAGAGTGAGCTCGGCTCAGCTGAGACGCTTCGTGCTCTCGACACCTTGGAGCAGGACCGCATACCACACCTGCAGAAATCCGGCTCGTGGACATGTTGCTGCAGGTAGAGTGCCTTGTCCCTTTCTCGCCGTTTGCTGCTGTCAGGTCCCTTCTTTGACGATTGCCTTACCCCCTACCCTCATCCCCCACGGGAAAAAAAAAAACCTGTAGGGAAAAAAAGGGTAGAGGGTGAGGGGGGGGGATTTCTCCACACGAGTACCTGGCCATTTTTCCCAATACCCCTGAAGTTAGGTGCGACATACCCACCCACAATTTCTGGGGATGGCCTCCTTGTCACTGTCAGTCACCATTTGCCGGCTGGCAGGTCGTGACAATATCGGCCCGTAGCGAGACGGCTTACCTAACACCTCCCCCCGACTTGGAGATCCTTATGCCGGACCCCGGGGCCAAGCCGGTTCGTCGTCGTGCGAGTGGGACGATGGCCCAGGCCTTGCGCTGTTTCTGGTGCGTGGACGAGTCAACATTCACCCGGTCAGGGACGTGGGCATGGGGGAAATGAGGGATAACTAAGACTTGCTTTTCTCTTCCCATACTTTCTCTTTTCTCCTTCTCCCAGACTCCTCCGCAATTGAAAACACTACCCTTGTTGTCTTAGTCACTACCGGCCGCCTTCTCCCTTCTCTACCTATAGCATCCAGGCGTCGACTGCACATACCTATCAAAAAAAGACCAGCCTCGGTGTCGGCGCTAACGCGAACAGCAGGACCAGGACAAGTACCCCCTCAACCTACCCCGCTGCTGTCATCCTCCTGCCGGCCCGCTACCCCGCCATCTCCAACGTTGTTGTCCCACTCTCGTCGAAGTTTCCACCCCCAGACCACGATGGCGAGGCTGAATCTCGGGAACATCAATCCCCACGTCGTCGAGGCCAAGTATGCCGTCCGCGGCGAGCTGGCCGTCAAGTCGGAGGAATACCGCGCCCGTCTCCGCAACGGCGACAAGAGCCTGCCCTTCGCCGAGGTCATAAGCGCCAACATTGGGAATCCCCAGCAGCTCGACCAGAAGCCCATCACCTTCTTCCGCCAGGTCCTGAGCTTGCTCGAGAACCCGAAGCTGCTCGAGCACGAGGATGTCCTCTTGAACGCGCTAGCCTACCAGAAGGACGTCCTCGAGCGAGCCAAGTGGCTCCTGAGCCAATGCGGCAGCGTCGGAGCCTACAGCGCCAGCGCCGGCGTGCCCGCTATCAAGGAGAGCATAGCTAAGTTCCTCGAGAGTACGTGACGGATCTTCCTATTTGTTTATTTATTTATTTTAGTAATGGTCCTCGTGAATCCGCGGATGTGTCGGAGAGACCCGTCGAGGCTAACCGTTGATAGGGCGCGACGGCTTCCCCGCCGACCCGGCGCACATCTACCTCTCGGCTGGTGCTTCTTCCGGCGTGAACACCTTGCTGCACATCATCTGTGCCTCCCCCACCACCGGCGTCCTCGTGCCCATCCCCCAGTACCCGCTCTACACCGCGTCACTGTCCCTGCTCAATTCCACCTGCGTCCCCTACTACCTCGACGAGGCGGCCCAGTGGGGCACGTCTCTAGCCGCTATCAAGGAGTCCTACAACAAGGCCAAGAGCGACGGCATCGATACTCGCGCTATCGTCATCATCAACCCCGGCAACCCGACGGGCGCGTCGCTGTCCGAGGCCGACATCCGGGCTGTCCTCGAATTCGCCGCCGAGGAGAAGCTCGTTGTGCTCGCCGACGAGGTCTACCAGACAAACGTCTTCGTCGGCCAGTTCCGCAGTTTCCGGCAGATACTCCTCACGCTGCAGCGCGAGCAGCCCGGCCGCTTCGACGCCGTCGAGCTCGCGTCGCTGCACTCGGTGTCGAAGGGCATGGTCGGCGAGTGCGGTCATCGGGGCGGCTACTTCGACCTGCTCGGTTTCGCCCCCGAGGTCGAGGAGCAGATCTACAAGTTTGTCTCGATCACGCTGTGCGCCCCCGTCATCGGCCAGTGCCTCGTCGAGCTCATGGTCAACCCGCCGCGGCCCGGCGAGCCCTCGTTCGAGCTCTACGACCGCGAGTACTCGGCCATATTCGGCAACCTGCGCTCGCGCGCTTACGCCCTGTACGAGGCTTTCAAGGAGATGGAGGGCGTCGAGTGCGGCGAGCCCCAGGGCAGCATGTACCTCTTCCCAACGATCCACGTGCCGCCACGCGCCACCGAGGCAGCCCGCGCCGAGGGCCGCACCCCCGACGAGTTCTATTGCATACGGCTGCTCGAAGCCACCGGCGTCTGCGTCGTCCCTGGCAGCGGCTTCGGCCAGGTCGAGGGCACCCTGCACTTCCGCACCACCTTCCTGGCCCCCGGCACCGAGTGGATCGGTTCCATCAAGAAGTTCCACCGCGAATTCTTCGACAAGTACAGGTAGAGAGAGATATAGAGCCACCCCTTTGCGACCTACCACGTATACAGAGCAAATACCATAAGATAGGGCGATATAATATGGACATATGCATGAATGGGCGACTGTTTCTCCGATCGTCCAGACCATTTTGGATCACCGAAGCCTTGTTGCATTTTCCCTGTGTTCCTCTCCCCCCCCCCCCCCCCCTTTTCTTTCTGTTGGAGACCTAGAATCTGTGTAGGGAAATCCGTTGCTGGAACGAGGAAGAGGAGACAACTAAAAGAGCGATTACAAAAAAGGCTTGAGCGAAGAAGAGAAGAGAAGAAGGGAGGAGAGACCGAGGGGGACTTAGATTTCGTCCCCTATAGAAAAAAGACTTGAAAGATTCAGCCTGTCGGGTAGCTACTAGCAGCTCTCCCATTCAAGTGTTGGAAGCTCTAGGAAAGACGATGAGGGCAGCCCACCCCCACGTTTCCTACCTTGTCAGCATTCACGAGGGGGGAATTTGCACCCCTAGATCCCCCAGACGACTTTAGCTTATGAGCAAAGTAAGCACGAGAAGTCGTTTCTACTGGGATCTATTTTTTGGGACTTGATGTGTTGTTACAACGCTTTTTCTAAGAACGGGGGCTACCCCTTCTCGTTAGTTGCAAGCGAACAAGGGTTCGCCTGTCCATCCTTGACAACGCCATGAATTGTCACCGCGGCGTACTAGGCGCGCTAGGCGTACTTCGCCGCGGTGCACGTCGTCGCCTCCACCGCTCCCCACCTACTCCGCCCCCTAGACTTCAAATCCTCCTCCTACGCCCTCTCGCTGCCGCGGAGCCGCACGGCCTGGCCGTACTTCTGCAGCTTAGTGATGAGTTGGTCACCCTGCTTAACGACGTCCTGGTACTGCTTGTTCTTGTCGTCCGGGCGGTTCGTCTCGATGACACCCTTGCCGCTGACGCGGTCAATGGTGCACGGGATGCGCCCGCCGGCGATGAACCTGGCGAGGTCGCTTCGGGGGAGGGCGTCAGCGCGATGGCCAGCTCGGCAGAGCTAGAGAAGACGAATTGGCCAGGGGAGGTAGGAGAGGGCGAGGGAAAAGAAAGACGTACCGGTCGAGGAAGTCCACCGTGACTCCGAAGTCGTTGGCCATGCTCTCCAGCCCCACGACGCGGTAGCTCTGCAGCAGCTGCTGGTAAGCACGTAGCCGCATCTCGCGGATGAACCAGCCCTTGTGCTCGTGCAGGTAGCGGTCCTGGGTTAGGAATTGCTCCTCGACCAAGGCCAGCGCCTGGAAGAAGAGCTTGTAGTTACCGTTATACAAGCTGTTGACCAGCTGGGCGAGGGGGGAAAAGTCGACCGCCATCTCCGCCTCGGGCTGGTCTACACTGGAGCCTAGTGTAGTCAGATTGACGGCCGTAGTGGTCTTGGTGGGCGCGGCGGCGGCGGCGGCGGCATCCTTAGGATCGCCCATCTCGGCGTCCTCCGCACCCGGCCCCGCGGAAAGCGCGCCGGTCAGGGCGAGCAGCTTGTCGTCACCGTCGGCTCCCAGGATGGCTTTGATCTCGGGCGCATCGACCACTTTGCTCTTGAAGTCGACCCGCTTGAGGGAAACGGAGCCGGCGAGAACCGAGTAGACGACCAGATTCGAGTATGTGCATAGTTCGTAGCTCGTGAATGTGGAGAGAGAGTCGAGGAGGAGCGGCGCGGCGAGGTTGTACGATCGGACGGTCAGAAGATGGAGGCCCTCGTAAGCCTTTAGGCGGTTTCGGCGGTCCCAATCGCCTCCGCTGTCGACGAGGGTCTTGGCTCGGGCGACATGCTTCCTGACCAGGGCCTTGTCGCCGTAGAAGAGGCCCATGCGGATTATGGCTAGGACGAGGTCGATCTTGGTGCCGAGGATGCCCGTCTTTTCGAATACGTCTTCGTAGGCTGCTATCGCCTTGTCCTATAGGCAAGGACGTCAGCAATCCAAGTCCCGGGAGGGGAAAGAAAAAACAGCGCGGCGGCCTACCTTGTCGCCGATCCGAGCAAAGAATTCGGCACGCTTCCCTCGCGCAGCCATGATCTCGGTGTCGCCAGCCTTCTCCACGGCCTCGTCCTCCTCCTTCTGGTACCCGTCGAGCTCCTTGTCGTTCTCGGCCTTGAGCTGCTGGTAGACCTCCTCGTCCCAGGGCAGGGTGACTCCGACGGTGGAGCCCTTGGTGGCGACCATGCCGGCCACGCTCGGTTTCCGGCCGACGGGCTTCTGCGGCGGGGGCGCGGACGAGGTGGTCTCGCCGGTCAGGTTCAGGATGCCCTCGGTCGGGTGGGCGAGGTACTTGTACAGCGGGGCCATCTTGTGCTCGCCGATGCCATCCTGCAAGCTCTTGACGGCGGCCTGCTGGGCGGGCCGGGTAGCGTAGGAATTCGTGATGGTGAAGACGTGCTGGGCGAGAGGCAGGAGGGGCCACTTCGCGTACTGCGGATCCGAACCCATGATGGAGGGCAGGGTCGAGATTCGGCGGGCAGCGCGAGGGCAGAGTGAGACGGGCCGCGGGATTTTTTTTTTTTCGAGAGCAGATAGAGCAGTAGATAGGTTAGACGAAGCTCTAGGGACAGGCGATTAGGAGAGAAGTCGAGAGAGATAGGTAGACTGGAGGGAGGATGACACGAGTGTTGATAGAGAGAGAGCTACTAGCAGTTTTGCCCAACTCGCCAGTATCTAGAGCTGCCGCCGCCGCTTGCTACAGGCGGCCACCAGTGGACGTAACTTGTCGCCAAAGCGGCGGTCACCGGGCCAATCATACAACTTTATATGGGAGGCGGGTCTAAGCGAAGGGCTGGCTGCAGGGGTCAGGTACGTACCAGCCTCCTCTTCGCTCCGCGGCGTGAGACCTAACGACCTCAGGTATTGTAGGTACCTGAGGTACCTAGGAGGCAGGTAGGTCAGGTTTCGTATAAAAAAATATAAAAAGGCCAGTACACAGCTCTCAAGTACTGCGCCGGCGATTCTTCTATCGCGCACTACTGATGGCTTCCGTACCTCTCTCCTTTGAACATCCAATTCCCCTGCCGTTCCTCTAGCGGTACAGGTACTCCATAGATGTAGGTACCTAAGGTGCTCTCGAGAGTACCTACAGGCCCATACCCATAGTGCCTCTAGATAGACAGACCTGCCCTCCCTCCGCCCGCATCCTCGTCGCGCCTCTGCCAATTCTCGGCACAACCACCTACTCTAAACAAACGCACAATCTGCCAACGACCAACACGTGAACAGCAAGCCACGGCATACGCAGTACCACATCGCCATATGCTCGCATACTCTCCCGAGAATCTGCACGCAGCGCGCCGACAGAGAAGGATAAAACTAAAACGCCAGATTCCCCAAGTGCGGTAGAACTCCATTGCCCGCGATGGCAGGAGACGACGTCGTCGAGGAGCTGCCTCAGCCCTTCGATGCGAAGCGGCTCGAACCCGCCAAGAAACGCCGACACTCCCAATCCCCCGTCAGGGGCAGCGACAAGAAGAATCGTCGCGAGGACAAGCCGGGCAAGTCCAGCCGTCCGGGCATATCTTCAATCGACGAGCCGCCCCAGCCTTTCGATGCGAAGAAGCTCGAACCCGCAAAGAAGCGCCAGCGCTCCACCTCGCCCTCCGAACCCCCCCGGAAGCTCAAGCGCCCCGGCCGCGGCGCCCGCTTCTCCCAATCCGACACCACGTCCATCCGCCAGCGCCAGGAGCACCGCGAGCGCGAGGCCGCCGAGGCTGCCGCCACCCAGGCCGTCCTAGAACAGCGCGGCATCAACGATGTCGTGCGACAACACTACAATGCCGTGCCCGAGAGGGGCAGGGACTGGAGGAAGACGGACAGCCGGATCAAGGGGCTGCGGTCCTTTAACAACTGGGTCAAGAGCACCCTCATCCAGAAGTTCTCGCCGGACGAGGACCACACGCCCGGCGCCCACGAGCACGGCCGCGACATGGCCGGCGCCAGGGGCCACGAGCTGCTCGTTCTCGACATCGGATGCGGCAAGGGGGGCGATCTGGGCAAGTGGCAGCAGGCGCCCCAGAGAGTGGAGCTGTACGTCGGGCTAGATCCCGCCGACGTCTCCATCGATCAGGCAAAGGAGCGATACCGCAGCATGAGCCACCGCAGCAGCGGCAGCCGGGGCGGCAGAGGAGGCTACAGGGGAGGCGGCCGCCCGCAGCACCTGTTCGAAGCACGCTTCTTCGTGAAGGACTGCTACGGCGAGTCCATCGGCGACGTCGACATCGTTCGGCAGGTGGGCTTCGACACCGCGCCGATGGGGAGAAGCGGTTTCGACATCGTCAGCATGATGTTCTGCATGCATTACGCCTTCGAGAGCGAGGAGAAGGCGCGGAGGATGCTCCAGAACGTTTCGGGCGCTCTGAAGAAGGGCGGCCGCTTCATCGGCTGCATACCGAACTCGGACGTCATCGGCGAGCGGGTCACCAAGTTCAACGAGCGGATCGCGGCCGCCAAGAAGGAAGAGAAGGCCGAGGGCAAGGAGGAATCGGCCGAGGGCAAGGAGGAAGGGGAGGCCGAGGAGACGGCGGAATGGGGAAACGACCTGTACCGGGTCCGGTTCCCGGGCAAGACGCCCGAGGACGGGGTCTTCCGGCCGCCGTTCGGCTGGAAGTACAGCTTCTTCCTCGACGAGGCGGTCGAGGAGGTGCCGGAGTACGTGGTGCCCTGGCCGGCGTTCCGGGCGATAGCGGAAGACTACAACCTCGAGCTCCAGTACCACCAGCGGTTCCGCGACATCTGGGAGTCGGAGAAGGACGACCCCATACTGGGACCCCTGAGCGAGCGCATGGGCGTCCGCGAGAGGGGCCGGGGCCAGCTTCTCGTGACGCCGGCAGAGATGGAGGTGGCTAACTTCTACGTCGCATTCTGCTTTTACAAAGTATAGAGAGAGCGCGCCGCCGAGGGCGATCGGGACGAACTTCGGGATCGTCTGCGGCTCTCGATCACCGCCCTCCCCCGATGTAGGTAGGGAGAGGGGGGGTCACAGTTCTGCGCCGGGTGCAGGGGTTTTTCCCCGATAAACTCGAAATTGACATCACGGGCGCGATCGAAATCATTTGGCACCGTCCCCACAGAGCATTGGTTTGGGGGTGGCCAGACGGGCAGGATGGGCAGGGCAGGGTAGGACAGGTATGTAGTTAGGTAACCGAATCGACCTGCTGCGTCTGCTATGGCGTGCAGCCAGTCCCGGCTATCTGTCCCACGTAGTATCTCCATCTCCCCCCCATCCCGTCTAACCCTGGTTCCTCGCAGCAGCTGGGCGGGAGGTGCAACATAGGACGTGGGATCCGGGAGGGGAGCAATATGCGAACCGGCGGCACGTACAGTTGGCGAACGACGACCTGTGTCGCTCGGCTCCCTCTCCCGGCTTATCGGGGCGGAGCAATCGACAACGACGAAGCGAACTGATGCTTAGGCTGACTCGGTCTCTCTCTGTCCCTCTGTCACTCACTCTCTCTCTCTTTGCCTATCACCACCTTGTCCTTTTCTCCCTCCCCCCCTGACTTCCTAGCGCAAGGCGCCGCGCCCTGAGGAGGCCTCTCCTCTCCCCTGGAGCCAAAGCAGGCATTATAGTGGCATTTGCTCTTCCATGCAGTGCGTGGGCAGTACGACAAAATAGCCACCCGCGATGAGGCTCCCGGGCATAGCGCGGTTGAGGCTCGGCGGTTAGTGGTTGTCCTTGTGGGGGGGGGGCAGGACATTCGCTTATTGCACAGCAATGCCTCCCCCCCTCCGCCCACCCCCCACGCCGCCGGCTACACCGATCTCTCAACTAGGTAATAGGTAATAGCAAAACAGCACTGGTGGGATTCCCGTCGGTCTGCCACCCTGATCAGGTGGAACGTCCCCGGCTCGTCGCATCCTCGCGAGGCGCACCCGCCCCGGTGAGCTGGAAGCGGCGGCGGGTGCGCCTCGCAGGCTCGGTCATTACCTATATTCCTGTTACGCGGCGGCGGGGGCACCAGGTGTTTCTCGATGCGGCCTGGCGGCCTGGCTGCCTGCTTCCCCCCACACTCCCCCCCCCCCCCTTTCTTTCTTTCTCGCACCTCGCACCCCCTTCCCCTTTCTCTCTCCGTCTCTCTATCTCTCTACGCAGCATACTCGCGTCCGAATGCCCGCCCGGAATCGCCGGCGCTGCGTGCGGCCGGCGGGCGTATTACGAGGGCCGGGAGGACAAGCTCGGCCCCAGGGGCCGGCGCGCAGAACAGGCAAGGAGGGGAGAAGATACGGATCAGAACCTGCTGGCGTGAAGAGTCTACCCTACTAGCCGATAGCCAAAATAAACAAAAGATATATAAAATAAAATAAAAATAAAAAGCCATAGTAACAACGATAGCCGTGAAAACCGCCCGCTCCCCTCCCCCACTCCCTGGCGTGAGCGCATGCCGCTGCCTTCTAGGCCCCGATGCGCGGAGAGATACTCTTTCATCTTTTCTTCACCATACTAGAGACCCCGTCGCAAGCTAGAACCGAGCCACCTTTACAACGACGGGGAAAATCAACACCATCGTCGCGTGCGGGCGGGAGGATCCCGGGCCCTGTCTCCATTCGCGAGGACCGCCTCGCGCGGCCGCTCTCTACCGCGTCCTCCCCCGCCAGCGTAGAAATCCAGCCCCAGCCCTCGCCCCCTTCCGTAGACCTCCCCATCTCGCCCTCTTACCTTCTTCTTCTTCTTCCCCTTCCCCTGCCCCTGCTCCTTCTCACCCTCCTCTCCTCTCCTCTCCTCTCTCATCCGCGCCCTAGCCCCGGTCCGGCAGCCGGGAGCAGGTGCGCGAGGCCTCCTCGCGCCGCGGCCGCCGCCTGGTCGTCTTGCGGCGGCGCGCGGTAGTACCGGGCGTCGGGGTAGTGCTGCTGCTGGCCGTGTGTGTGGGCGTGGGCGTGGGCCGCCATCTCGTAGCCGAGGTAGGGTGGCGGCGCGGGCGGGTAGCCCAGATACGGCGGCGCGGGCGTCGGCGCGGGCGCGCAGTCCGGGTCGGACGTCGCGGGCAGCGGCGGCGGCGCCCCGAAGAGGAACGCCCCGCCGGCGCCGGCGCTGTCGCTGTCGCTGCTGCTGCGGGGCGCGCCGCGGTCGGCACCGCGGCTGTCCCGCGTCTCCCGCGCGGGCGGGGGGGCTAGGCGGCCGGGCGGCGCTGGGCCGCCTCTGCGCGGGGCGCGGCCCGGCGCGACGTACCGCTGCGCGCCGCCGTCGGCGTACGCGTGCGGCGGCCGCCGCTGCGGGTGGCGACGGGCCGGGGGCGGGGGCGGGAACGGCGGGTACGTCGGAGGCATCGCCGCGATCGCCGCGAACTCCGCGGGGAGCAGCATGGGCGCCGCCGCGGTGGGCGACGGCGACGCCGGGTCCGAGCCGTATCGGGCGCCGCTACTACCGCCGCCGCTGCCCGTCGCCGTCGTCGCGCTCGACGACACGCTACCCTTGCGGCAGTTGTACTTGCGCACGTTCCAGCGCAGCAGTCGGCCTCGGTACGCGCGGATTCTAGAGGGAGGGGGGGCAGGGCGGGGCGGGGCGGCAGGGAGCGCGGAGCCCAACGAGGAGGACACGTCGACGTGCCTTCTCCCGCGCCCCCGGAGCCTCTTGCCTGCCCCGTCGCCGACCGCTCGTGTTAGTGCTCGACGTTCTCGGCTTTCCTCCCTTCCCCTCCACTCCCTGCTTTCGGCGAGGGGGTTTCTCGTTCTTGTCACGCATCTGGCACGGCCGCGAGGAGCGCGAGACGCGGGGAGAGGGTGAGGGACGCGAGGAGGTCTTCGCGGAGGGCGGGACGACTTGTGCTAGACTAGAACTGCCAGGGAAAACGAAAAAGAAAGGCAATTATGTGTAGGGGGAAGATAGGAGAGAAGCGAACATGAAAGGGGGCGGGGAAAAGGGGGGGGACAGAGGGTGAGTGCTCACGAGGCATTGAACCCGTGCTTTTCGCTCATGATCCGACGCACATCCGATAGCGTATTCTCCGCATAGAGAGACCGGATCGTGGCCTCGTAAACATTCCACTGTTTCGTCATACTGTAGTCGTCGTCGTCGTAGGGTGACGTTCGCGCGCACGATGGCCTTTTTTTCACTACCTGATATATGATGTCTGGAAGGAAAGGGGGCGAGAAGGGGGAGGGAATAGGTAGGGAGGGTAGGGTAGGAAGATTAGGGAGGTATCAACCGGATAGCGAAGAAAGGGACGATTGTATAGGTCACACAGCCGGCCCTGATAGTCATGGTTATGAGGCCCGGTAACCCGGCTACAGAGCCTCGCCGTAGGCCTCTCGCTCTCTATCTCCCTCCCTCTATCTCTCCGTCTCTCTCCCCGTCTCTCTCCCCGTCTCCCTTCCCCTAAACCACACGTGCGTGCGGGGGGAGGGGGAGGAGGAGGAAGGACTGGGTGGAAAGGCCCTTTAGGGTAGGTGTAGAATTGCTCGCTGGCCGAGGGAGGGCGAGGTCGATACTTAGGGACGGGTGTCCGCCCTTGAGTGTTCGTCGTACTTATCGTAGGGAAGGCGGTGTAGGTGGCAGAAGAGGCAGGCTGCGGGCGCTTTCCCTTCAGTCTCTTTCCGTTTTTCTTCCCTCGGATTTCGTCGGCGACTCCCTCGGGAAGGGTAAATTATGGGCATGGACGTGAATTGTTATGTCTAAGAGAGCGTCGGTCCCTGGGAGGCGGAAACGGGTCGACCGCCAGGACCTCTTCTCTTCAACGGTTCAAGCCTCGTTCAAAGACCCAGGGAGGGGAGAGAGGGAGGAAGGGGAGAAACACTCGGCCTCCAGGACGAACCGACGAACCAGCCCACCGGCCTCACTGAATCAGGGGAGTGTATCCGAGCCACAAAAGGACTGCGCTTCCGGTTACAGCTGCACCAGAGCCTGCTTCTCTAGCGCCGTCATCATGCTGGAGGTGACGACGCCATATAGCAACGCCTTCAGTTGACCCCCCTCCCGACCGTAGTTACTTAAAAGACGCTGGGTTGTAGGTGGACGTAAGCGAACTTGGCGTGTGTCTAGGCACCCCCGGCCGCATTTCAGCTCACGAACCATTCATCCCCTAGAACACGGTCATGTTCATCGCCGATGAACTCACCTCGGGACCGGTCCCGCCCCTCCTCACCTGAGGCTGATGGTTCGCGCCATGCCGCGCAATTGGGAGCCCCCAATCAGACTAGGACGAGAGACTCTGGCTCGGATCGGCCACCACTCTTAGTCATCCCCTTAACGTGGTCCCGAATGACGAGATGCTACAGTGATCGGGGGGGGGGGGGGGGACGTTCAGCATCCAACTCCCAGAAGGGAAGGACAAGGGGCGGATAGGTGGCATTCGCCGATCGCAGGGATCCTAGTCGGCCGGACAATAATCCACGCTCCTATATCAGTCAATACGTAATTGGGCGCGATGGCGGCAGGTGGCCGACATGAACAACGCGTCGATATTGGGTCGGGGGCGTTTCTGTTATCGACGTATTAGGCGACTTGCGCATCGGGATCAAAGACAAAATATACATTACTACCCCCCACCTTGACTTATTGCTATACCCTCGATCTCGATTATTACCCCGTCTTCGTTCGGCGCTCTTCCTAAGCCCCCTCCCACCCCCCGCTTTCAGTCTTCGAAGCAGCTGTTCTTCTGTTCATCGCCTTGCGACGCCACGACCGGGGGTCGAAGCAAGAACGTCGTTACTATGCTTATCCGGCCTGCCGTGGCCCAAGTCGTCCCCCCATCTTGTACTGTGAAGTTGGGATGACTGACTCATTCCTTCTCCTTGCCATGCAGCTCGTAAATCCCTCACGCCGACAGCCCTGGGCTTCCTTTCAACCGTTCCGTTGCGAGGTGGCAGGTAAGCTATGCCTCTACGCATCGGCCTCCTTCTTCTTCTCCGAGGCTGAAGCACTATCCTTCATCGTGCTTTGCCGGGTGACCGCGGGCGACAGGGCCGTAGGGCTGCTGACGGTCTCGCCGCCCATGATGCCAGATTCCTGCTCCTTGTGGCCGACGCTGGAATCAACCTTGGTGCTCGCACCACTAATAGAGCCAGGAGTGCTACCAGTCGGTGAATGAGGCTGGCTATTGGAAATAGATCCAGTCGTGCCGGCCGCGATGCGGATAGCGTCGTACCACTTTTGGGCATCGGCAGCCGAGTGCGCCTTGAATTGCAGCTCGGAGGTCCCGGCCAATTTGCTGCTGAAGCTCCCACCCCTATCCTTCCCTTTGATGTAGAACTTTTCGCCGCTCGGCACGCCAATGACGGCATCGGGAAGGTAGATGGATAGCTCAGGTTTCGGGTCGATCCGTACGTTATCGTCGTCTTTGAACTCGTGCAAGAACTTGGATGGGGTGACGACGTAATAGGCCGACTGGGTGCCCCACGATAACTTGTTTCGCGACTTACGTTCCAGGCTGCCCTCGATCAGCGCCTTGGTGGAAACGTGGTTCTGATTCGGAAAATTAACCGACTCCACGCTCCGGGGCGGGTCATTCGGATCGACAAGACGGTTACCCTCACGGGACAGGAAGCCGTTCCACTCAAATTCGGCCGGGATGCGTTGGGCCGCGCCGAGCATGTCGACGTAAAGCGCCCTCATCTTCTCCGCTTGGCCACCGGCGACCTGATTGAGAGCCTCTATCGCCTGCTGGACCACTTCCACCACGTGGGCCTCGAAGGCCTTAAAGCCGTCCTGTATGTTGATGAGGTCATTCCTGTGATTGTTCTCCTCGACAACCTGCTTATTCAGCCTGTGGAGGACTCCGCGTTGGATAACATAAGGGTCCTCGCTCGGGGTGAGCTTAGCGCCTGTCGATTCAAAGGCGGCGGCGTTCTGGCTGAGAAGTTCGATATGCTTCTGGGTGGCGCTCCTCGCCTTCTCGATCTCCTTTGCGCTCTTCTCGGCATTGTGCGAGACTTCCTTATGCTTCGCCTTGATTTCTTTGTGCAGCCGCTCGAGGATGGGCAAGACGGTCCCCTTCAAGATCTTTTCGGTCTCCGCGTTCGTGTTGATCATTGCCTTCGGCGCGTTAGGACGTAGGTATAGGACGGGAGAACCAGGCCAGTCGGGGATGGGGGGGAGGGGGATACTACCTGCGTGTTGACGCGCACGTTCTCGAAGAAACCGGCGACGCCACCGAGCCCCTGGTCGAAATGGGCGCCTTCTCGAAGGGGGTGAGAGATCGTCTTAAGCACCTTCTCATACTCCTTGGAGTGCGCCCTATGAGCCTTCTCGGTCGCTCCCACGTACTCCTCCAAGTAGACGACGGCGTGCTTCCAAGCTTGCAGTCTCTCGGTGAGCAAGCCGGCTGTCTAGAGATCGGGCGGGCCGAAATCAGCAAGAACTCCGGTCGGGGGAGCAAGGCCAATCGGGACTCACCGTAGTAGGATCGATATCGGGCACGGGGCCGTCGCTGAAGGTAGTGCCTTGCCTCAGGGGCAAGGTATGCGAGTCACCGCTCATTCTGGAGTTTGTATGGCTGATGCTGTCCTGTTTCGGAGCTGGCGGCTAGCTGGCAACGTGCACTCAACCCCGCACTGGGAATCTCGTGGTCAATTGGATCGTGTTGGGAAGGTCAAGTGAGCGTAAGAATGGCCCCTCGCGAGAGATAGGAGACGGCGATATCACGATGCGCTCCAGACGGGACGCAACAACGTGTCGGTGGCGAGGGAGACCCCAAGCAGCTAATTAATGAATGAATTAATTAGCACTCGACGACGGTATCCACAGCAGGGAAACGGAATAGACCTGCCAGAGGAGGTGGCGACGGTGGGGAGACGATATCCCTGCGCGGATCGCTGGGAGCTTTCAGCCCTTGGCGAATCGAGTGGACCCGCTCAATCTGAGATGACACCGATGCGAGATGGCGATAAGAGGAGAACAGGACTACGGCACGCATTCGAGTCGTCGAGCAGCCTGGGGGCCCATCTACGCTATACCGCGCGGTGGCTCGCGTAGGATAGATCGGGAGGCGAGCGGGGGGACACGACGATCTATCGACGGGAATTGGGCGTCCGCGCCGAAAAGAGAAAGGAGAGCAGGTAAATAATAGGTATGTAGGAGGTTGGTGAGTGCGAGCGAAGGCGTTGGTATTTCCTGCTGGTCCGTCCTTTGCTGGTGTCCTCGCTTCTCTCGCACGTCGACGGGCCAGCGGCAATCAGGGCGTGTACTAATCCGGTCGTGGTCCAACTTCACTAAACTGCCTTAGATACCTACACCTAGCAACCTGCATGTCTAGGTACCTACGTAGGTACCCACGTAGGTATACCGTAGGTCAGTAGCCAGATGAGACGGGGTGCAGCACACACTGCATCCAGGCATGTACGTACACAGGCATATTCCTTACATGCGCATCTACTACCTTAGGTAGATGTACTTAGGTAGGCGTACCTACGTGTCTCGGTCATGTGAACCCCCTGACGTCATCCGCCAAATGGGCGGGCACGTCGACAGCCGACAACCTGTATCCGAGGTTAGGAGGGGTCCTCGCTATAGGTACCTACGCTTTGCCTAGGTAGGTTACGCCTAGGCGATAGGCACATTTACCTACCCAAGGTAACCCGCCTAACCTAGGAGGTAGGTAGGCGATTATTAATCTCCCCATACTACCCCGAGTTACTAGAGGCCGGAGGTATGTGATGCGCCTGTGTCGAGGGCACCGCATCTCGATGGTGGGAGCTTCGTTAGGAAGTTGTGACGACGTCGGCAAGCCATGGTGCGTATGCGCGTCACGTATTATGCTTGACGTACGTACATATTATACTTCTGTCTACCCTGTCCCTACCTCTCTAACCTACCGACGTATGTAGGTAGGTATGTATATGAGGGTGCATGCCAGTGAGTACCTTAGGTACCTATATGCCCACCTACGTTACGTACCGAGGTAAGCGACCCGCACGCAGCGACAATCGACTTGTTGGCACCCTTAGGTAAGAAAAGATCTACATCGTGGTGCGGGTTAGCGACGCACCGCTCTACGCGACGAATACCTACATATAATATATACGCACCTATCTATGTTCAATACCTAAGAGGCGGCCGGCAGCTAGTTAGAGGGAGGAGTGGCGAGAGGGGGCCGGCGGGAATCGGGAACCGGTTGGTCGGCGTAAACGAGAGCTGCCTACCCACCCAGGGCAGCTCCCTCCTAATGGCTGAGCTACCTAGCTATAGTTAGAACAACCATTGCCCCGTGGCAGGCTGAATCGCACGAAAGGGACCGTTACCGCTCCGTCCCTACTACCTTACTCATACCCGCTCCTGCGCACATGCGAAAAGAGGAATCCCAGCTCGGCTTTCCGGTCTCCCTATTCTCCCATGGCAATAATCGCGCACGCGGCCAACGCCGAAGAGGAGAGTAAGAAAAAGGATAGGCACGAGGGAGAGGGCAGGCGACGGCGACGTGGGGAGAGGAGACAAGTAGACACCGGGGTAGGAGACATGCAGAGAGCGACCCCGTATTCCGGGAATGCATGTAGGTATGTTGTAAGTATAGGCCTATATACTGTACTAGCACAGGAGGCATATAATACCATACCTACCTAGCTTGTCTCCTAGGCATAGGTATAATACACATACCTCTCATATCGATTGGCACGGAAAACCTGAGGTGGGTGCGCTTTTCGCAAGCCCAAGATCTGGTTGCGGACAGACCGCATTCTTGGGACAGGCAATTCGGTTGCATTCCACAAGTCACTCGCCTACTGGGGGGACGTGAAGCCGGTAGCGAAATGAATGGAACCCGGCGTCGAAGCGAGAAACTTCCAGTTTTATCGACCACTTCGCTTTTCTCTTCTAGTCTTGTCGCATTCTGCGACGGCGGGTAGCATGCATCGCCGCCGTCCACCCGCCCATCCCCCCCCGCGCCCCATGCAGCAGAGGTGCCAACCGCAATTATCCGCGATGAAGAAATGCGAGTCAAACTTTTTTTTTCTGGGTTTCCATTTGCCGAGGCGGTGCACGAAGACGGCGTGTATGCGTGTCAGTGTGAGTGCGTGCCAGTGTGAGTGAGTACCAGTGTGACTGGGAGGGCGCGCGAGCGTAGGATGTGTATGGTATAATAGTAGTAAGTAGTAGAAATGGTACAGTGGTATTTGCCCCCTCGACACAGAGTTACCTCTCCTCCCCCCCCCTTTCTCTCTGCGTGCGTTTCGAGTAGATGGCAATGGTGAGCGAGAAATGCGAGCTGGGGTATATAGCAACTGTCAAAAGACGTATCGTTCCCGAATCATCATCATAATATGTGCCCGGCCGGCCAATTCAATCCCTGCGCGACAGCCATAATTCCTGTCAAATTCGCCGCCCGATGTGTAAGTGGTGCAAAGTGCAGTCCGCCCCGATACGACCTCCAGGGATTGCGATGCGACCACAGCCGGTCCTCCCCCTCCAATGAGCCGTGGTCCAACTCAATATCTCCAACGCCCCGGGCGCCCGAACCTAACGCCCCAGCGAGGAAGCAGAACAATTATAAACATTACGCCCGGAAAACGTAGTAACCGTAGAAGACACCCTCTTGGGAAACATTCCCTGATGGTAGAGTAGCAGTCGAGGACGGTGTCGTGGCAGCAGTGGTGGCCAGCTGGTTTAGCCACTTCGACCTGGGACAAGTCGAACTCGCCGTTCGCCTTCGAACCCCCCGAGTGCCCCGTGACCAGGGAAGAAATTAAACCCCCCTATCGAGTGCCGATTGGCTTGCCTAGTGGCCGAAGTGCTCCTCGATCGACTATCCGGCGCAGCGCCCGCCCCGTTGTGCTGACGCTCCGCGATCGTCTCCAGAGGGTCCGTCGCCACCACGCGAGAGGGCGAACTTGGCATGCTGATGCTCGCTGCGCTCACCGCTGTCTGGTAGTCGGGGAGAGCGACCGAGCCCGTGTAACTGTGCGTTCTCAGGAGCGGTGTTCTCGTAGCTGTCGCGTAGCTGGGTACCTTGCTCAGCTGGACCAGGTCGAGGAACTCGGTATGCTCCGGTGGAGTATGGTGGCCCGTAGGGCCTGCGTGCTCCTCCTCGCTCGTCTGTCGCGATAATTCTGTCGAATGCGTGTGCGACGAGTCCGCGGTATGCTCGCTATCCTGATGGTGGGTCAGGGGGGTCGTGGCTCCCGATCCGGGAACATGTAGTAGGTAGGATTCGTTTCGGCGAGACTCGTCGAGCGAGACGTCGTGCAGCCTGGAAGTCAAGGCAGCGGGTGGGACGGCTATCGCATGGATCATGGCTGCTACGTTTTCGGACGAGCCGGCTCGGGATTGCGCGTAGAAAGGACTGTTGACGCCGCTATGGATGCCGGGGGTTATGATTCCGCTCGGGTCCACGTCCTCGTAGAGTTGATCGAGCACATGCATCCCGTAGCCTGGAGGTGCCATGCTCGACGTTCCGGTATCGCCGGGATCACCTAGCGCTTCCGGCGCTTGAGAGACGAGATTGCCTTCTTCGTCTAAAGGCATGTTCGGGGAGATGAAGATTGTGATGGGTAGTGACGCCCTCAGCTGTATAAGTCTGGTCAGCGCACCGTGGCCGGAAAGAAACCCCCCCGGATAAAACTAGCAGAGGCTTGAGATTCCTCACCTCGGAAATATGGCCGTCGGGGTTTTTCAGCGCGACCGTGAGCTTGAGCTTGTGTCGGATTTTGATACCGTGGACGGAGCAATCTTGGATACACCGGCTCAATTTCTTCGGTAACGACAACTCTCTGTTGACGACCCACCCCTCCTGGCCGGTCTCCTCAATGTTGTCGCGCCAGTGGTTATCTCGGGAGACCTCGAAGCTCCAGGACATGACGTCGCGGTCGTGCTTGTACGATTTCGTCGGCGCCTGGAAGCTCTGCACGACAAATTCTTGGACCTCGATGAGCTTGACCGAGATGTTGCCCATCTCCAGGCCTTTCAGCAAGGGCGTGAAGCGCATCTCCAAGGGAACGTGGCTCCCGAAAACGACGGCTTTCTGCGGGACGACGACGGAGTACTCGATCTTGTTGGGCCATATGTTCTCCACGCTCATAGCGTGGTTGAACTCCAGCGCGGCGGGTTCGAGGGTCCGAATGATTCGGAGTCGCTTGAAAGTGTGCAGGTTTTTCGCCAGCTTGCCTCTCGAGACAGTCGCCTTCAAGCTGTAGGTGATGCCGGTCTGGTAGAGCCCCTCGACGCTCTCGGCCGTGTTCCCCGATAACTCTATCTCGAAAGGCCACTCGTAGTTCCCGCGGCCCAGCAGGTTGTGGTGGCTCGACTCGCCCACGAAGGGGGGCCAGGCATGTTTGAGGATGGTAAGCATCCTGTCCACTCTCTGGTTGTGGATCCCGGACGGCGTCTGCTTCCCGTCGACCCAAGCGACCCGGCAGTTGCCCACGAGCCGGAGATGGACATCCTCAACCCTCAGCGGCTCCCGCAAGCACAGGACCACGACACCCTTCAGCAGCTGCCCGGAAGCCTCGTGCTCGTTTCCACGAAAGACGATGAAGTCGTTCTCAAGGCTGTGGCCAAGACTTAGCAAGACGCTGGAAAGTCTTTCTTCTCCGTCCGGCCGTTCGAGTGAACCCGGGATGGCTTACCGTATCTCGAACAGGGCGCACACATTCCGGCTAGCTACGGAAGTGAAAGGGTTGAAGGACGGCATCTTGGATTCCGTCAACTCGGCTGCGTGCGTGGCTCTCGACGATACGGCTGTGCTCGCCAGAGAGCAGAGCAGCGAATTCCGCTGCCAGAAGGTAGAGTGCAGGTGATGGAGGCCAGTCATGGATAGAACGAGGAGGACAAGTTGGTGGTGGGCGGGACAGCAAGGTATTATAAAGGAGGAGGAGCTGGACAAGAAGAAGAACCAGTCCGCCCCTTGTTAGGTTAGGACACGCGTGGGACGGATTGCAGCAACCATGTAGGGCACAGCAACACGGACATGGGAAGAACCTGGTGGGCGAGTGGATACTACTACTTTTAGTTATATATGCTTTCTTTGTCCGTTCTTTTTTTGGCTGCCTCGATCAGAGGTAGGTAGGTAGGTTAGGTAAGGTACTGCGTAGGTATAAGTACTGCGCACTCAAAGCACGGAGGCAGGCGGGTGTTAGACGGTGGGTTGCGGGCCAGGCCCGGGTTTAAATACACGCCTACCTACGTCGAGGTATCTATATACACATATATATACATAGCTTGTCCCGGTGACGGGAGCCAGAGAGAGAGTGTGTGTGTCTGGGGGGGGGGGCGAGGGGGGCAGCTCGTCCCATTTTTCTGGCTCGTGGGCAGGTTTTGCCGTTTTCTCGAGAGTTCGTTACATGGCAACTTAACTTACACGGGTCAAGAGACTTTGTCCAAGGTTCCCTCCGCCGCCCCCGAACAACCGCGGTGGTACATCGCCGGTACGTACTTGCATGTAGGTATGTCCTTGGGTACCTTGGGCACTACGAAGCGCGATGGACCTCGAGAGAGAGAGCGGCCAGGGGAGAGTCGATCTGGAACTTGGCTGGCCCTGGATCGGCCTGGGCAGGACGGTGATAGCCGGCCGGGATCTGCGCCCGCGGTCGTTCTCGAAGAAAGAAAAAAAAAAAAGAGAACACGGAGCCCTCTTCGCGGAATGGTGCCATTGGATGGGATCGACTGCAAGCGAAGCGGGTGGGTGGAATCCACGACGGCAAGCGGCTGTGTTGGTAGGTACTGTTGTACTCACCTCCTCTATACCTCCTATCTACATACAGTACACTGTGCATACATGCATGCATACATTGCATACATTCATAAGTTGGTACATGACACATACGTGTACGACTCATTTGTTGGGTAAAAAGATGGGATAGATCAGGTACCGACCTGTTCTATGCCTGTTTTACCTGCTCATGTATTGCATTGTCCATCTATTGTCTTTCAAGGTACCTACCTCCCCCCTGAAGTCATAGCTCCCTTCATTCCTCCGAAGCTACCTAGGTACCTACTAATCGCGTGCGTAGAGGTATGTACACACGTACCTACGTGTGCAATAGACGGGCATCCATCCACCCATCCATCCATCCTATGCAAGTGACGACGATCTGGAGGGGATACGCTTTCGACTTTTTCTTCCCCCTTTTCCTTTCCCTTTTCCTTCCCCCCCTCTCTCATTTTTCTGCCTCTTGTCTTCCTGCCTTCCTTCCATGCCACCCTCCCATCTCCTGAGCCCAAAGGCTCCTAACCTTAGGTAGTTGATTCTCTACGTAGGCGCCCTGCGCCACTAGCTTGGGCTGGCATCCGGTTCCAGTGGGCGGAGTGCGGCATCACCCTCCCCTCCTCTCAGCTTTTCGCGTGCAGAGAAGTCGATATAAGCATGTACGTATATACATCCATATGCGTATAAGCCCAGTCATGTGGGTTAAGTCTAGGATCGAGACCTGATATCGACGGCTAGCACCAGTAGAATCCCGTAGGACCACGCCGTTTTGGTCATGGTGCGGGCTAGTCACGCGGTAGATGGCCGATAAGGGGCGAGTCGAAGCACCGACGGGAAGGTCAAGACACTACTACTACCTACCTAGGTAGCCTACCGATCTCTCCTCGACCTCCTACCTGCTAAACCTCCTATGGTGAGTAGCAATTATTACCTTATACTAGTATCCAAGGTTATAGGGGTGGGGGAGGGAGGGGATGAGGGTACTAGAGGTAAAGTTGTCGTATGTGTGTATACATATATATGTATATATGCATGCCTCTCGAGTCTATCGGGGCAATACCGGCCTCGCGATTGGGCTTCCTCTTTTCTGAATCCAAATTCTCCATGCATGTCCTGCCTGCCATCCACGCGCACGTCCTACGTCTTAGCGATGGAACACCGAGTGAACTGATCATCATGATTCACCAAAGACGCCGTCATATGCAACGCATGTAACACAGCACATGCGCTGTAGATTGTTTATCGTGACCCTCTCCCGCCGCCGTTCGAGACCCCTCGAGCGACTTGCAGTCCGAGCCCGCGGCGGCCAAGGCGGAGGAGGGGGAGAGCAATGCTAATCTCGAGTTCCAGCAGGTTAGGCGGTCCTGTCTCTCGCCCGCCCGCGTTAGTAAGAGGCAGGTATCGTGATCGCCAGCGAAGCAAGCAACCCTTGCAACCGGATACAATACCTAAGGTAGAGACATGTACATACACACGCGCGCGCTCTGTTCCGAAGATCTAGGCTCTTTCTTTCCCAATCACCTGGAATTATCGCATCATATGGTGTGGTGTGTGGAGCTGGGGTCTCTCGCGACGCCCCGTGTACTAGTTATTCACTTATACGATCCCTTCCCTTTCCGCTCGACTGCTACCTACGAACCTATCCAGCTGAGCCCGCCCGATTCTCTCCCAGATGCAGCCAGCCAGATGCAACATCCCCTCCCCCCTCCTCTTTCCCAAGAAGCTCACAGCCCGGGGCGGTGCTGACCGTAGCAGGTGCTGCTGATACGGATGGCGTCAAATCTCTGGCGGCGGGAAAATCACAGGGCAGGGCAGGGCAGGGTCCCCGAAATAGCCACGAGCTTCCGTGGGGGTGACATGTCCACTTCGGCGTCTTGTTTCCGCCGCCTATCTCTCTCTCCCTCTTGGCGGTGAATCCCGACCCAAGACACCGCTTTATGTCCCGTGGGCGTCAACCACTCCTCACCATCGTTCTATAGAGCTATGATTGTGGGCGACTCGTACGTACCGCTGGCACGATCCCAAGAAGTACGGAACCGTGCGCCAAGGGCGATTGGCCCACCGCTGCAACCTCGCCTGCATGTGCCTGGCAACTCTCTTTGCTGATCGTGCCCTCGCTGGCCTTGGGTCTCCTTCACGCTCGGCCAAACATAGAACCGCTGGGCCGAAGCAAACAACTGACTCGCTACCGAGGCCGTCGATCGCCGCGCTGGGTTCTGGCTGTCGTCGGCTACAAGCTGCACAGCATCGCTGTACTCTAGGCAAGTCTGTCACATCTTGTACACATACCTAGCCTCTAGCACGTACATACCTGTATATACACACATCCATGCCTACCTACCTAGGCACCCACCTACGTCTACGAGCCGTTGCAACCCACCCCGGTCACCCAAGCTGGTACGCCTGACGGTCAACAGGCTGGCCCTCCGACGATCGTGTGCAGCGAACTGGGCTGCCGCTTGAGCTTAATGGCATCAACCCCTCCACGGGACCGTTGATCGCTGCTAGCCGGACGAATGACGGTCCAAATCAGGGGTCTGCGCTGCCGATTCACATCTCTTAGGATGAGATGCAATCGACGCTCGCTGGGCCTGCCCACGACAAGCCACGGCCTCTCCTCGTCGACGCACGCCTATATAAGTGTTTACATATAGGTACGCGGTACGCGTACACATGCGCATACATATACATGCATTATACGCATACACACACACACACACACATACATACACACACACACATATACACACATACATACATACATACATACAGTTAGGGGTGGGCGTTCGCTCGCTGGGCCTTTGTCGCTGTATCACGCTCCGCCTACCGCTGGGTACTATATAATTCTCTCCAAGGAGAGAGGGGAGGGAGGGAGAAGTTGACTGAGCCGCGTGAGAGAGATAAGGTCGAAGCTAATGATGGTGTTGGTGGCATCTTGGGCCTGCATCTACCTTGGGCTAGTCATGATTCAGCCCTTTGTTGAAGCCGATCCACACCTACCAAGTCTTGGAGCCTCAACCAACTATTTATGGCCGTGTCATCTACATCGGCACACACATATGTGTGTATGTCGTCTGCGTGGATGGGTGGGGGGAGAGGGAAGTAATCCAGGCTCAACGGCGACAAATACCTCTCTCCGTCGGATGAATCATGAATCCTGGCAATGCTCACTTGTCTGGAGCTCTGTCTTGCGTAATACGGTAGGTGGAAGAAAAAAAATGGTGCATTTTTTTTCTGCGGGACGGTTTCCCATCCAAGAAACTGTGAAATCTGGCCGACCCTTTGACGCAATCAGCCAGCAAACAACTAGTGGCTTTTTCATCGTCGTAGGTAATGCATGACAAAGGTCAAACTACTACTATGTAGGTGGGAACCGCTCCGGCGTGATGGCTCATTCATCCGTTATTAGTGAACGCCTTTTGCTAGTTATTCTTAATGCTCTTTCTCCCTCTTTTTTTTTCTCCCGAAAAGCGGGGAGTCTTGGTGTCCTGTTATTTTCTGTCTTCTCCGTTTCTTTCAGTTAATGGCGGCGAGCTTGGTGGATTAATCGTGTTGGGCCGGGTCCGCCTCTTCACGGTTTTTCCCGAGATAGCGGCTCAAGACCAAGACTTCTAGAATACATAGAGCCAGATGTTCCCTATCTTAAGCAAGCCAAGCCAGGCAAGTGAGCCTTGTTGCTTGTGATCCCTTGACCTGTGGATCTTGGTGTCGGTGGATACTCTCTGGTATCCATCCATCCAGGTGGTGCATACACACATACCTACATATACCGCTCACGGAGACCCATCAGGCTAGTGGTATCTCGGACCTCGACAAAATCTTCAAAAGGACCACGGACATCGTTAGTAGATTCCACGTGGGGGTACGCTGGCGTATCAGACAAGAGGCGCCCAACCGCGCCTCCTATCTTACCCGGGCAGTAAGAGAAAAGGGGGGAGCGGGAGCGGAAGAGCGAGATCGTGATTCCCTCTTCCTCTCCTCCCCCCAGTAACACCAGCGGGTTGCCTTTTTCAGTGCGAGCCATCTCTGCGTATGTAGAGTACATGTCTACCTATTACCTGCTATCCCGTTTCAGCCCAGCAACAGGCGTGGCTTTGGGTACCCACCGCTTGCTTGGTGTTCGTCCGCCATACATACATACATGGGCATGCAGGACATATGCAACCTTGAGTTTGTAGTACAGTCATGTAGGAGCGACTATGCTATGCACATATGTATATGTAGCCCTATATCCGTCGCCTACCTTATTCGGGATGGGTGACAGAAAAGGGGGGAGGGAGCAGGAGAGAGAGAGAGAGATAGAGATAGAGAGAGCCGCCCTGGCCAAGCGCACACCCACGAAACCGGGTCGGTCAGTTAGGTGAGTCAGCACTATTATACCTACACCATCGCCTTGCCTTCCCGAAACCCCGAAGGGCCGAATAGGAACGGGGCCAGAGGAGAGGGGGGGAAGAAAGAGATTTCTTGTTCGAAGGAGAAAAAAAGTTGTCTGTCTCTTTCTGAGAGAAGTTCCCTCCCCGGTCTATCAAGCGCGCATGCGCAGAGCGCGCCCGATCTCCGTACGTGGGTATGATAGGTAGGTACATTGGAGTCACCGACATGGTTGGGTCAGGTACCTGTGCGATCTGCCTCCGCCCGCCTGTGCCTACGATACACACGCTACATCAGGGTACCTACCTGACGTTGCAGAGCCCACATAGAGGGGGGGCTCCGATGGCCGGGGAGGGGCTGGGAGAGGCGCAAAGATGCGATATGCACAGGCGCAACCAGACGCAGGGGTCCTGGACGGAGGAGGTTGGCGGTTGTCATTGCATCACGGCATCGCCTAAGAGGAAATACACGACCAAAAAGGAAGGGTGGCATGAAAGAAAAGAACGCGGAAAAGCAGGGACCATGCCAGCTCGGCTTGGATAGCTTCGTTAGTGGGTGCAGCTTAGCTTGGTGAGCTTAGCTCGAGCGAAGCTACGGTTGCTATGCAGGCAGGGAACCTGTCTAGGTAGGTAGGCATGTATGAAGGGATCAGGTTAGTTAGAAGGCGAGTTGATACGTAACAACGCACACAAAGAATAGAACCTACTCACCGAAGTCGAGCCCGTCTTCGACGACGGACCTTGGTAGCGAGGGGCTGCATCTATCAGACGTAAGGGTTACGTAAGTACCTACCCAACAGATGTAGGCATGCATATAGGCGAGCATGTGTTAAGCGTATGTCCATGTAGGCATATGCAGGTCGGTACCAACGTGGGCGGTTGTTATTTTTACTTTCACATGTTTCCCTCCTCCTCCTCCCTCTTCCTCATCCCCCTTGTCCTCCTCCTCCTCCTCCTGAGTTGGTGTCCCTCCTCCTCCTCCCCTGTTGTCGCCCGCATGCTGCCCGCTTCGTCGCCTTCGCCTGTCCGTCCCCTCCTCCCGTTTACTCGCGGACTTGCGCACGTAACGGCCGGAGCGGAGCCTCATACATACCTACCTAGACCTACATGCCCACCGTCATGCCATACCCGAGGTGGAGATCCTGCCCACCTACAGACTTGCTCCCACGAGGCTTGTATAAGTTACATGCCTACACACGTACATCCGTTCATACCTAACCTACTGGACCTCCTCGGAGAGAGCACCCTCCCGGGGCGGTCCTGCGTCGTCCTCTAGGGAAGCGGGACGTACGTACGTACGCACGCACAGCACGACCACGCACACTCCCCAACGGATTCCCTAATCCGTCCTCCCGCCCCCGTCTCGTCTCGTCTGGCCTCGCCTCGCCTCGCCTCGCCATGCTGTCGTATCTATGTATTTCATGTAGGCCTGTGCCTGTGAGCGTGTAGGTCTCGGGGTCGGTAGCACCATCGTGTTAGCATATATTGGTGGACTTACACCTCGTCCTCACAACATGCCCATGCGCTCGCACACATACACCCTTCCGAGAGACCTCGCAGGCCCAGTAGGCCCAGCTGCCGTTGCTGCTGTCTCGATTCGCGAAGCATCAGTCGGCAGTGACGGCAACACAAATGTAGAGAATTGTGTGGTACCGCGCCGTCGCCTCCTCCTTCTGTGGTACGGTGGTAGGCAGGCAGCCAGCCAGCTGTCGAGTCGACGAGAGACAAATAACAAATGAAAGGATACGGAGGGTTTCTTTCACCACGACAGAACTGTGCCGTCACCCAGCACCACTGCTACCTCCATCACTCTCCCCCGCGGCTGTCACTTTTCTTGACTTCGTGATTTCGTTCGTCGTCTGCATATCTTGTCCTACTCGTTACCTAGTTAAGCTAGGACCCTTCCCTAGCCGCTCGTTTCGGGAGAACACTAGAAGCAAAGAAATAGAGAGGAAGAAAAAAAAGAGAACACGGTCGATACCGGAGTGCGATCGTACTTTGACCGAGATGCCACCGGGTTATAGTCTTCTAGGTGATGACAGCAGCACCTCTCCCAACTGCATCCTTTCTCTCAAATCGATCCTTTCTCAGGCTATCCACTTCTCTGCTCATCATAGAGTCGTAGAAGGTGTGCGAAGGCCATTGCTTTGACCCCAGACCACTTAGAGTTCTCTTCTCCCTCCCACCCCCTCTTCCTTCTTATGAGGATCACCTCGCCGGTGGCCAATGAAAACGACGCAAGATGCGGTGTGGCTCGGGCTATCATGTTGTGAGCATAAACAGGGCATTCCGGCCGAGTAATTGTTACCATCGAGGCCGAACCAGAAGGTATTACTCGGCCCCCGCCCCCCGCGTCCCCCTTGCTGCAGTATTTGGCGATTTAACAGGTTCGGCTTTTGCTCCCTTTCCCTATTACGAGTCCGCTTGGGCTGGGGAATCCGACGGCCGGCTCCAAGTTATGATGTGCCCTACGACGATCCCCTTCAGCATATAATCTTTGGGGGGTGAGTTGCGAGGACGGACCAAACTGACCTATCTTGCAGCCCGTTATGATGGCATCTTCGGTGAACTCGATCCAGCTGAGTGGATGCTTGTCGGCTGCCTTGGTTAAGACCGGAGGCAACATCGCTGTCCTGGATCGAGGCTCGACCGGATGATTGACCGTGTTTTCTTCTTCTCCGTCCAATCCCGAGACGGTCGAATCCGATCGGAACCTGCTGGTCGAGGTGCCTTGTGTCTCCGCGCGCTGCAACGCGGGGAGTCTGGAGGAGATGGAACCGCGTTGTCGGCTAGAGGCCTGTCGAACCACGTCAGCAGCAGCCCGGAAGCCGTAGCACAACCCTCCTAAACGGAAGAGACACTCACTGCCTTGGGTTTGTGCAACATCCCGACGTTGAAGTCCCAGAGGCACAGTCGGCCGTCCTCACCCACACTGCCAAAACGATAGTTCCTCTCGTCGCATCTCCAGCGATCGAATGCAACCGACATGACCCACGACTGATGACCCTGGCACCGCCCTATGAGTGTCGCTTCCGAAGGGCACCAAATGGATATTAAATCGTCCTGCCCGCCGGTGAGGACGTACTTGCCATCCGGGGACCAGCACACGCATGTAAATCCGCCGTAGTATGCGTTATACACTCCGAGCAGCCTGTTACATTGTTAAGAACCGTACTCTCCAAAAAATCCCCCCCCCCCAAAAAAAACACGACTTTCTTTTTTCTTGTTCAACCCTACTCACTTTTCCGTGAGATAATCAATTATCCGCATGGTGCCGTCTTCGGACACCACAGCGAGATGGCGGTTGTCCGGCGAGAATTCGAACGCGTTAATTCGCTGATTCGACAGTTTCCAGACAGCGACGGGATTGGTCTTCTGATTCTTGGAATGGACGGATTTGAACACGGTGATCTCCTTGAAATGGTTGGTCGTCTTGTTGGGGGTTGACGTGGCCTCTCCGTTAGTCTTGGTCTCGTCCTCCTCCGGGCTGAAGATGGCGTCCTCCTTCTCCTTATCGTAGACAACCAAGGTACCATCCATATGCGCGGCGAGGAACAGGTTCTCGGCCCCCGGGATCCACCGAATTTGCGAAACCGGCGTCTTGTTGATAACCCCCTATAGCTGGTTAGCAAAGCTGGCTCCCTACGTAGGGGAGCGAGATCCCCACATTCTTATTCAGTCGGGTATATCGTTGGGATATCGGCTCCCACCATATGACCTCTCCGGTCGAGAAGCCCATGATGATATCGATATGGCTCGTGCTCTTGGTGACCAGGTTAACATCGTGGCTTAAGCAGTGTGCCTTGGTGAACAAAATCTTGGTCAGATAATCGGCCTTGGTAGGGGACGACAGATCTAGCCACTGAAAGGCGCGATTGACATTGGCGAATGCGAACAGGCCGTCGCTCGGTCGGTCGGAGAGCCTTTTCGAGAGTGTCTCGTTGACAATGACCCGGGAGATGAAGGATGAGTTGCTCTTAGTCATGTTATTCTTGGGTTTCCGGCGTTTGTTGGGGTCCTTCGTCCTCTCCGGCGCGAGTAGAGCGTTGCCATCGCCGAAGGCCGGAGCCGATGCGGCCGTTACCGATGTGGGCGGCCCCCCATCGCTCAGAGAGGTGCCTCGCCCTTCGCCGTCGCTGCTCAGCTTAGCATCGTTGGAGTATCGGCCTTCGCTCGGGTGCTCGGCTATGCTTGGCGAGAGGGTTGTCGTGGTGGGCGTAAGCTTGAAGAGAGCGGGAGGCGGCGGTCGCGCGTCTAAGCTGAGGAGCGAGACCTTGGTTCCGGCCGTGGCTGGCTGCGGTGTCGTCGCGAGCGGGTTGGGGTTGATGACCGGTGCTTCCGAAGGGTGGGGTGGCGGCGTCGCTAGAAGTAGGTCTTCCTTGAGCACGTACGTTCCTATACCATAGCCTCAGCGCCAGTCCCATACACGGTCCCTTCCCGAGGCAAGCGAGCGTACCCTCCCCAGCTAGAAATTGGTCCTCGGGATTCGACAGGATGTTGTTCGTCTCGATCATGGGCGTCGCTTGGCCAGCAGCGACGGCGGCATTGTAAGCTGCCTGGGTCGGGTACCTAGGCGGGGGCGGCAGCACGCTATATAGATGTAGAGCAACATACGATTCGTTAGCTATTTGGCGCGGTCATCTACACATGACGAGGAAGTGGAGGGAGCACAGCATGGCAGCGGGACCTCGGCGGGAACGAAGCGGGAACGAGGTAGGCTTACAACATGGCGATGGCTGGCCGGGATGGTAATGGTGGTAGTACACTACTTAGCAGCGACGACAACAACGGTAGCAACAATGCTAGGCGGACTTGGCCTAATGTCGGATGGGCACGGAATGCACAAAATGGCGAAACTGGACACCGTGACGCAACGAATTGCGGGTGGAGCGAAACTAAGGGAGGAAGCAAGCAACCAGAGGGCGGAAGAGCAGGATGGCGGATGGCGGATGGCGGAGACGCGGTCAATGTCACGGGCGGATGGGCTTGGTCAGGATCGGGAGCTGTGATGTCAGACGGACGGGTATTATGGATGTAATGTCAAGCAGGTACTGTGCAGATTTTGAAATCATGGGGGGGTGGGGGATGGATTAGAGCCGCGGCAGTCGAGCGACGCCCAGGTCCATCTACGGTATATATGTAGGTACATACACGCATATGCGAGCAGGTGGTGTTCCGTAGGAGCGAGGGAGCGGGTTGGGAGGGCTCAGAGGCTACCCCCCCCCCCCCTCCCCTCCAAGCCTCATCGCATGTCGTTAGGGGGAAAAGAAGGGGCCGGCGGCAGGGATATCGAATTTCTCGGGAAGATAGTGTGGGGTATAGGGTGGTATAGGGTGGTGAACTACATCGATAGCAGGCATCTTTGACCACGGGGAGTCGGGATGAAGGGGGGATTGGACGCATCACGTTGGGAGGTGCCTAAGGAGGTCAAGGCCGTACCCAAGGTACCTAGGTAGGTAAGGCACCTAAGGTAGGTAGGTCTAGGTAGGTAGGTACCTAGGTAAGTACCCAATCCAGCGCCCTGCCGGATACCTACACATATACCTAGGTAGGTCGCCCCAGCAAATCCCACCAAAACAGCGCTTCCCACGCCGTCGTACATGAGGATCTGATCCTAGCTCGCTTCTTCTATTTCCACCTGACATGTTAAGGTAGGTTAGGCGGTATTAGTACACATCTCCCGTTAAGGTCAGCATATGAGTATCTATGTCTGGGCCGGTTCAACCGTACTGCCTACCTAGACCTTAGGTTCTTTACAACCTTTTTCTTCCTCGACGCTGGCACACACCTAGGCACCTAGGTAAGCGGGAGAGATATGCATGCGTCCAACCCATGTACCTGGCCTGTCTGACGGCCACCTCCGCTAGCATTATCGCCCGGACATGCTCAACACGCTTACTCTACGAGGTATCTGTCGCGGGTATATGCCCGGTGGACCGAACCCTCTCCGTCGACTTCACACCTAGATAGATAGGGAGGGAGGTAGGTAGGTACCTAAGGTAGGTGGGTAGGTGAGGTCGTGCCTACATAAGTGGCTAATCGGGACGTCCAGTCGGACTAGGCCCCCGGGTCGTGTCTGCGATTGTGTACCTAGGTACCTCTACGCCTCAGCCAAAGGTAGACACGCCCACTACGTAATACAGGCAAGGTCTCCTCACATATGAATACCTACCATCCAAAACCTCCCAGTCACCAGCTCTAGACCCTCAATCCCGGAAGAGGCCACAGCTAAAACTCCTGCCCGCCCTGCCCGTTCCAGCCGAAGAGCGGAGAACGAACACGTCAACACCACTTCACCGACGACGTGCCACCATCGCCTCTGACACGCACACCACCCTTTCTCCTAGCCCGCCCCAGTTCGACCACGCCACTCCGCGATCCGTGTCCCGACCCGTCCAGCGTTCGACGCTATCCCAACCCAGCTCGGCGTGCGAGAATCGATGGCATCATAGCAAAGGGGGCTCCGGACTTCTGGGAGAGCTGCTCAACAGTATGGCCACAGGTATGTCGCTTCGACCCGTCCGGAGGAAGGCTGCTGCGGCAGGGGACGGTCGCTGACATTGTCGATCTGCTGCGTAGTGCGGATCTGCGTCTGCGGAGACGAAGGCACCGGCAAATCCAGCCTCATCGCGTCCCTCGTTAAAGACGTCTTCGTGAGCCATAAGATCCAACCCGTACTGCCCCAAATCACCCTCCCGCCGAGCATCAGCACCCCCGAAAATGTCACCACCACCATCGTCGATACGTCGGCGCGTCCCCAGGACCGCAACACCCTACGGAAGGAGATCCGTAAGTCCAACGTCATCCTCCTGGTGTACTCGGACCATTACAGCTACGAGCGTGTCGCCCTCTTCTGGATGCCCTACTTCCGGTCCCTCGGCGTAAACGTTCCCGTCGTGTTGTGCGCCAACAAATCCGATCTTACCGACAACACCACCCCGCAAGTTGTCGAGGACGAGATGCTGCCGGTGATGAACGAGTTTAGGGAGATCGACTCCTGCATACGAGCGAGCGCCAGGGAACATATGAACGTTAACGAGACCTTCTTCCTGTGCCAGAAAGCCGTCACGCACCCCATCGCCCCGCTCTTCGACTACAAGGAAGGGAATCTGAAGCCTGCCTGTGTGTCGGCCCTGAAAAGGATCTTCTACCTCTGCGACAAGGACCAGGATGGCTACCTCAACGACGGCGAGATCAGGGATTTCCAGGCCAAGTGCTTCAACAAGCCCTTGCCGCCCGAGGATCTGGAGAACATCAAGCTGACAATCACCAAATCGGGTCCTTGGTCCGACACTTCGAGGGGTGTCGATCTACGTGCCTTCCTTCATCTCAACAAGATATACGCCGAAAAGGGTCGCCACGAGACCATCTGGATAATCCTCCGTAAATACCGCTACACCGACAGTCTTAGCTTGGAGGACAGCTTCATCCGCCCCAAATTCGATGTGCCGGAGTACGCTTCGGCCGAGCTGAGCCCGGATGGCTATCGGTTCTTCATGGACCTCTTCTTACTCTTCGACAAGGACAACGACGGGGGCCTGAACGACGGGGAATTAAATGCCCTGTTTGCCCCTACCCCTGGCCTGCCCTCCTCTTGGGTCGAGTCCTCGTTCCCGTCCACGACGGTTCGCAACGAAGCCGGCTATATCACGTTACAAGGATGGCTTGCTCAGTGGAGCATGACCACGTTTCTAGAGCCCAAAACTACTATAGAGTATCTTGCCTACCTAGGCTTCGAACCTTCGAACGCTAGGGAATCCCTTACTTCAGCCTTGAAGGTGACGAAACCTCGCAAGAGAAGAAAACGTCCCGGCCGTGTGGAACGCAATGTTGTGCTCTGCTACATTATCGGTGCAGCCGGGGCTGGCAAATCATCGCTTCTCGACGTATTCCTCAACCGGCCATTCGACGGCATATACAACCCCACCATCAAGCCCCGGAGGGCAGTCAATAGCGTGGAGCTCCACGGCGGCAAGCAATGCTACCTGATCCTGGAGGAGCTCGGAGAGCTCGAGCCCGCCATCCTAGAAAACCAAGCCCGGTTGGACTCGTGCGATCTCATCTGCTATGCATACGACTCGTCAGATCCGGATTCCTTCTCCCACATCGTTAATCTGCGCAAGCGGTACCCGCAGCTCGACGATCTGCCATCCATCTACACTGCCCTGAAGGCGGATAAGGATAAGACGACCCAGCGAAGCGAGCTGCAGCCCGACCAGTACACGTCGAGCTTGATGATGAGCACGCCGCTCCATGTCAGCGTGACATGGAATAGCATTGCCGAACTGTTTGTCGCGTTGGCCGAGGCCGCAACGAATCCGAGCACGGCATTCCCAAAGAGCGAGGAGCCGCCGCCAGATCGGACCAGTCTGTACCTCGCCCTGGGCATGACTACATGTGCAGCCGTTGCCGCCTTTATGATTTGGAGGAGGTCTACGAACTCTCTCTGACGTCCAGGCACCAACTACTCTTCTCTTGGGTACCTACCCCTTTACCTACTCACGTTTTTTCCCTCCAGTTCCGGGTCTCCAGCCACTTTTAGTGAATCCGTATATTTCGAGTCGTCGAACTGCCTGGAATAAATATTCGGCATCGCCTTGTCGGGCCGCCCTCCCTCCTCCTCGATTCCTTTGTAAATATGATACCCAACCGTCGTGTCCTGGGAATTCCTATGCCTGTATGGGCAAGCTACATAGGTAGTCACGTAATACTTAATGGATTAAGTCGGTAAAGCCGCCGAATTTCCCCCACGTTCTTATCCTCGGGCCCGGCATCCCCCCCGTTCATCTTTTACTTCTCTGCCGTATCTTGTGATAAGCACGGGTATATTGTGGGAGCAGCGGACGTGACACCTATACTCGGGCCCTCGATCCTACGTTCGTGGGGGATTCTATAGAATAATTTTCGCTGAAAAGTGTGATTTAAGGGCCAGGGGCGGTCCTCCGAGACGTAATGAGCTCCTATTGCCTGGGTCCGGGCGAGGATTCAAGAGCGGATGCGTCTATATGTAGTATTATGAGGAACTGCAGGAGGGGTGGCTCTATCACTTCTGTTCGACGCTTTAATTCGGATCTTTCCGGGGCGCCATCTCCAACCCCGCGGCCGTGTTCTCGCGCTCCCGGGCTAGAAGCGATGCCCCTTCTATGTCGCGGCCTCGAGGCCCCCTCCACTCTCTTCCCCCCCTCCCCCAACCTAGCTCAGTCGAGAGCGCCTCATAACTTGGCGACCTCCTTCCTACGCTAGGCCTTGTCGCCGCCCTGCTCTGAGGCGGTGGGGGTATCGCTCTTCTTGGGCGCGCTGCGGTAGGCGGCGCGGGGGGGGCGTTCTCGTTGTGGACCGACCCCACTTGCCGACAAAAGCCGGAGAGGTTGGCGGAGAGGGGCGACGGTCTCGCCGGTTGGCGAAGCTCGTGCGGCTGAAGACGGCGCGCAGGTGGGCGGCGCCGCGCCAAGCCACGGCCGGCCCGCCGAGGCCGCCGACCGCCGCCGACCGCCGCCAGCGTCCACAGGTCCGCGTACGTCAGCCGAAGCGCGCCTTCACCGGCCTCAGCAGCGCCCGCGCGTACTCCAGCCCCGCGTTCGCCGCGTCCCCGCCCTGTTCAAGCCTCCCGTCCCCGTCGCCGCGCAGTACGTCCCCGACGCGTGCCGCGCCAGCCGCACCAGCGCCGGCCCCGCCGACCCGTCGTCGCACCCCCGGCTGGTCGAGCAGCGCGCGCACCGCCTCCTTCACCTCCTCGAGCTGCGCCACCGTCGGCTGCTCGTGCTGCGACATGGCGCTCCCCGTCCTTTTTTCTTCTCTAGTGAGGTCGGTGGGTAGGTGTGTTTCGTTGAGGATTCTCTCCCTCTCTCTATTTCTATTTCTTTACTTCTTGCCTTAGGAAAAAGGAAAAGTACTAGGGAAAAGGAAAAGAGCTGATAAGCTTTGATAGGAGAGAAGAGACGGAGGGATAGCTGGGTGCGGACCAATACGCAGCCCCCGGTCCGAGCTTAGCCTGCTGAAACCCAAGTAGGGGTTGTAGGTCGAGCAAGCTGGCGAGTAGGGAGGCAGGCAATAGTAATGATAGAACACCCAACCCCTGGGCAACACCGGGATGGTATTCACGTGGCAAGTTAGGGTTCCTTGTGCGAAGAACGTGAAAGGGGGAGGGTCCCAAGAGAAAAAGAAACCGAGGCTGGGTCAGTGGAAGCTGTATCGGGTCTCTCCTACAGGGGAGACGTTGACGACTTGTTCGTCATAGTGAGATAAGGAGGGGGGGGGGGGCGGGGTTGAACAATAATGCCAAACTTGGCCCGATGACGGAATGGATCGAACCCGGGGCTCGAACTCGGCAAATGACAACGAAGAGGGTGATCGGATACGGCAAGAGATCTTCGGCAACGCGGTGGGAATTGCTGATCGCGTTAGACCGGCGTCGATGGGGCGTATAAATCGCCGCCGAATCTGGCAATGTTGAGAGTTGCCGTCTCGACATCTTGAACTACTACTCGGCACCTAGGGACTTGTTACGCAAGCCGGGTTACCTAATGATTATAGGTAGGTAGGTATGCAAGTGATGGATGAATAGAAGGGAGGGTTTGGGTAATGGCCTGTCCGCATTTTTTCCAACTACAACGCACACTATAGATGCCTACCCTACCTATCACCACCACACCCCAACCACAGCATCCTTATCCCGCAGGACGCGTCGCCATATAGCTATTATATCTCCCGTCGGGCGGGCAAGCCCTACCGCGCGCCGCCCTCGGCCGGCACCTCGACGCGCACCAGCGCGAGCCTGTCGACGAGGCGCGCCCACATGGCCGTGCTCTCGGGGTCGGCCGTGCCCTGGGTCAGGGTGGCGCGGTTGCCGACGACGACGAGGCCGGCGCGGGCCCGCGTCAGCGCCACGTTCATGCGGCGCAGGTCCTTGAGGAAGCCGATCTCGCGCCGCTCGTTGCACCGCACCGACACGAACACCACCACGTCCGCCTCCCGCCCCTGGAAGCCGTCGATGCTCGACACCTCCACCTGCGCCGCCAGCCCCGACACCAGCCGCCGCAGCAGCTCCGCCTGCCGCGTGTACGGCGTGAGCACCGCGATCGTCTGCTTCTCCCCCGTCGCCCACGGCGGCCTCCCGCCCGGCTTCTCCGTAGCTGCCCCCGCCGCCGCTGCCGCCGTGCATAGCAGTTTGCAGATGTGCGCGCAGAGCTCCGCCTGGCCCTGGTTCGCCTTCGACTTCTGCCCGAGCTCCTCCCGAGCTGCGCACTCCACAAACACCATCCTCGCTCTCTCCGCCTCCGGGGCAGACTTTGCGCTGGGGGGCGGCCACGGGAACTCCGAGTGGAACAGCGGCCGGGAGCCCGGGCCGATCCCGGTCTGCAGCCGGTCGTCGTAGAATTCCTTGGAGATGAATTCGCAGATCGACTCGTGCATCCGGTACTGCGTGTCCAGCATGAGCCTCGACACGGACGCGTCCCCGCCAGGTCGGCCCTTCTGAGAACCGTCCGAGTGCTGCCGATATAGCCGTTCGAAGAGAGAGACGTCGAACTCGACGAGCGCCGCGTTCTGCTGGACCGTCGGACGCAGCTGGACGTGGTCCCCTACCAGTACGGCCTTCTCGCAGCCCTTGACGAGCGGCACCAGCGACGCGGGCTCGGTCTGCTGCGACGCCTCGTCGATGATGACGGTATCGAAGTACTCCGAGCGCAGGAGGCCGAGCCCCGACCCGATACAGGTCGTGAAGATGAGCCGGCAATTCTTGATCCTCCGCTTCGCCTCTTTCGACGCCTCGCGGCTCGTATGGATATCCTGGCCCGCCATCGCGTCGCATGTATACTTCCTGAGATCTTCGGCTACTTTTCGTACCTAAATCGAGATGTGAGCCTTACTACCACCCGTAGCGGTGAATTCGGCTTTGACTTACCTCCGTCGACACGCGAAGAGATGCCCGTGATAGACCCATTGCCTCCGAGCGCGTGATGTACCTTCGCATGACATTGTCCACTGCGTTGTGAGTAGGAGCCGTCACCAAGATTCTTGCGGTCTCGAAGGCGTCCTGTAGTTGTAGTATCATCTCGACGATGGTTTCTGTCTTGCCCGTCCCTGGCGGTCCCCATAAGCACTCGAGAGAAGAACTCAAAACTGCTTCGATGGCCGAATTTTGGCTGGCGTTCAATTTCGGCCTATACTCGTACGCCAACGGTTCAAAATCGGGCTCGGCAGATGCCTCTGGTGCCAGGCCCAGAATTTGTTCTCGAATCATACAGGTCTCGGGCTGGGTTGCAAATGCGCGAATGGCATCGAACATGGTTTTGGTAGTGACGAAAGGGCCGCAGTTCTGAATTTTCCACGAACAGCTCTCGAAATAGGGGGGGAGCGGATGAAAGCACTGGACACTGGCAGAGCCGCGTTCGGATCGCGTAACAAGCCCGTCTATCGAATAGGGGTTCCCGACGATGACATTGGAAGGCAGGCTGGCTACGGTGAGGCGCACATGAGCCGATGTCTCGGGAGTTCCGCCCGGAGAATCAATCCTGAAGGGGATGTCGACGATTTTGTAACCATCTATCGCTTCCTCCTTGCTCAGTCTTATTTCGAGCAAGTCTTCCCTCTTCCTCGGCTGTTCGCTGGCTTCCCCGACGTGGTCGAGCGCGATAGCCATTAGGTTACGCACGAAATGGGCGACGAGAGCCGGCCGGCCCGAGAGGATTCGGCTGCTCTCGCGCTCGAGAGATTCGAGAAGAAGATCCAAGGCGATCTCCGATGACCGTACCGTCAACGAGATCAAATGCACTAGGTCGGCGAAGCCATCCATCGACAAGGACTGTACCCTGGAGAGGAAAGACTGGAAAGGCGCGATGACGAGTTCTTGCGCTTCGTTCGCGGACAGGATGAAAGCACGTAGGATATCTACGCTACGGGCTTCAAGCGCCATCGTAAACTCGCCGGAAAGCGCGTCGCCAGAACTCCTCCGAGCAAAGCTTATCGCTAAGAAGGGGGCGCGTCTGAGAAAGGTGAACATTGTTTGAAGGACGGCATGCCAGTCCATCTGCGGCAGCTGTCCCTCGCCGATGGTTGAAAGCAGGTAATCAAAGCACCGCAGGAGTAATCCTTTCTGATCTCGCTCGAGTAGCCAGGCGAAAAGAAATAGGTACTCATCGGCAGTCTTCATGCTTTTGAGTACAGAGACATCGTGCTGCTTCGCGACGACAAGGACATGATCCGGCACCGTTGACCATTCTATATCCTTCATGCTAGGGGTGGTGTATTCTTTCGGCTTCTGATCGAAAAGGGGCAACTTCTCCTCCGTGTCGATATGTTGCAGCCAAAGGTCAAGCTGCTGCATGGATGCGGTATCCCGGTTGCTAATTATGTATATCTCCTAAGATTCTTGCCGTCAGTCGTGCGCGCGCATGTTGTGATGGGATGACTTACCGCCCCGGAAACGCCGTTTCGATTCACACGCCCGACATGTCGCTGCAGGCCTTTGCTGAATTTGTCTAAGGCGATGCTTGCCCTGCAATCGTAGTTAATCCCACGGTCCACCGTAGACTGCCTCTGCTGCCTTCGCTGTCCTTTATTCTCCGTGTTTCGATATTCGCTGTCGTCTGAAGGGCCACGGCCGAGGAAGATCCACGTGTTTCCGCGCTGGCCGTCGAACAGCTGGAAGGCGTTCTCGTCGCAGTAGAGGCGGTAGTTCACCTTCGTGGGGAGAGACAGGCGGCTCTGCGTCTCGGACCCCTGGGAGTGCGGGAACGCGAGAAGGCGTACGTGATCTCCGACCAGGCAGTCCTGGGACCGCTCGACCTTTGCCGGTATGTATATGCCCACGGTCAGTCGCTCGTCCACCTGGATGACGACGAACTTCCGGTGATACAGCTCGAGCGCCCGGGTCGCGGCATCGAGAAACGTGGCCAGCCGGTCCTGCGCCGACGTGAAGTAGCGCTTCCACCTGATCCCCGCGTGGTGCAGCTGGAAATGGCGCAGCTCGTGCTCGCTGAGGAGGGTCGACGAATAGAGCGCGTTCATCACCAGGCTCGGCGCGTCGTGCGACGCGGGGAGCTGGCCGAGCACCCAAGCCTTCTCCTCGGCGGTAAGGACGTTGAAGTCGAAGAAGTCGAGGAAGTCCTCCAGAGGCACGTCGTTTTTCCTGCACCATCTGAAGGTCAGTTTAACGAGTTCGAACTCGGAAATGGCTATGTCGTCCCGGGCCAACAGCAGCTGCACGGCGTCGAAGGTGAGGCCGTCCCACTCCGTGCCGCTCGAGTGAGCCCCCTCGACCAGGCGCTTCGCCTCGCTGTGGAGCTCGTCGAGGATGAACGGGGGCGCGTCGGGAGCGGGCTGAGGGGGGCTCTCTAGTCTCGGCGGGACTTTGATTCGGTTCCCGTCGACGCACTGAGAGAATAACCTGTTGAGCTCTTGACACTCCACACACATGGGGTCTCGCGCTCGCGCCCATTTGAGATACAAGTTCTTGACGCGGCCGAGCGAGGCGTTGGTGTATCTGGCGAAGTAGACGAGACGGTCGTCGTCCGTGATGGGCTTGAATCGCAGCGGCTCCTGGACGCCCGGATACTGCGCCGGCTGCGAGATTTTGGTGGGAATTAGATCGCTGTCCCAGCAGACGAAAACTGTCAGGTTGTTAGCGAGGTGGTTTCTAGGCAAGTCGGGCTGCCTTGCTAGTCAGTCCTCACATGTATCGCCGTCGAGATCGCCGCCCGACATCATGTCGGCGGCAGGTCGTCTCCCTTGTGTCGAGAAGACGATGCAATCAACGAGGTGGGCTAGCTCGGGCTTCTCGACGACCCTGAATTTCTGCAGGTCCCCGGGATGTAGACACGGGTTCCGCGTCACGAGAATTTCCATGTTCTTCAGCGCGCGGGGCTGCCCGTCGCCGTCCATCGTGACCTTGACGGCGCACTCGCCTTGCTTGAGGACGCCCCAGGCGTCGCAGACGCCGAACAGCAGGCGCGACTTGGGCACGAGGATCCGGCACCGCTGTTCGCCCCTCTTGTTGAGCATCTTGTCGAATTCCGAGTTGACGAGGGCCTTGATCCTCGGCCGGACCGACTCGAGGGACTCCATCAACACCTTCTCGGCAAGCTCGTGCATGTTGATGTACGACAAGAACCGGAAAGCCGCCCGCGGGTCCGTCACTGCCGTCGCGAGGAACTGGAAGTGCTCCTCCTGCTTCTTCAGCAGAACTGCCCGCGATATGCCGAGGCAGTGCAGGAGAATTATGACTTCATCGTTTAAGAAACCGAACGTGTAGGGCTGGTTTCGTCGGAGCGGGCGGGAATTAGAACATGGCAGGCACTTATACAAGGGCGGGAAGGGGAGGGGTTGGTACCTTGGAATAGTCGACGACAGAAAAGGAGCAGTCGTCACCTCCGCTAAACTTCTTCATGGACTTCCGCAGCTTCAACAGGGTCTTCTTGTCCTTCATGCGTGGATCCAGAGTGACGACCCCCTTGTAGCCGCGGTACCGGATCTGGAGGACGGATGGGCTGTATCGGACGTTCCTGAAGGAGATGCGGAGCGTCCGGGCAAGCTCCTGCACGAGCGGGGGCGCGGTGAGGCCGCAGCCGTCGGTGAAGTTGTAGTCGGCGGTCTCGATGTCGGCGATGTCCTCGACGCGGTCGGGGTCAACGGTCTTGGCGACGTGGGCGACGGAGAAGAGGAGGCCGATGCGCTTAGCCTTCTTGGCGACGGTGCGCAGCTTGGTGAAGTCGCCGAGGGCCTCGACCTTGCGGGAGACGACGTCCTTGGGCGCCGCGTAGAGGAAGCAGGTCCGCGACTTGAGCTGACTGTTGCTGTGCCCGTAGAAGTTGTAGTGCACGCCCCCGAGCGACACCCCGGCCCGGAGCAGCCGGACGGCGTAGTCGGCGCACTCCCGCGGCGTCGCCGGCTGCAAGCCGTCGCCCGCGCCCGACGCCCCGTGGAGCGAGCGAAAGTCGGCGAAGGAGACGACGACAAAGCGGTCCATCGGCTCCCCCCGGACGGCCCGGTTCACGTTGAGCGGCTCCAGCTTGAGGGACATGCGGTGCCTGGATTCCTTGGTCACCAGCACGATACTCTTGACGAGCTGTCTCTGGTTGAGCTTCTCCGCACTCGGCAGGTTGGGGACGTCAAACCGCCACTCCGAGTCATCCTGGCGGAGAGTGTCCAGCAAAGGACAGGTGTAAGTTTTCAATTTATCTTTCTTCCCAGACATCTTCGGTCGTCGCTGGTAATGCAGAGAAGAAGACCGAATCCTAAAATCATGGACCGGGTACTTGGGTCTACCACCACGTCAGAGAAGACATATTTGTTGTAGGTACGAGATATACAGAACCTCAAATGTGCCTTGGATCCTATTGGTTTGCGACGCTGTCACTTTCGTGGTGACTGTATATCTGACCGTACTGTCACGCGCCGCAGCAGCGAAAACGGAACCATTGGTAAGAGAACGGGTCGATGCAGACGCCCCCAACAACTTGCATATTTCGGCTGGCTTATCATCGTCCATATACCGTCACACCCGAAGGAGTCTAGGCAGCACGCACGCCATACTCTTGATCCAGGAGCGGGTATGAGACTAGGCATTGCTCTCTATCCAAGTCATGGTCGCCAACGCGTATATGTCGAATATTTACATCGTGGGTGCGCAATGCACGGGGAAGACGACCCTCGTGAACGCCCTACGAGACCACTTCACCGAGAACGCCCCTCAGAAACGAGTTGTCCCGGAGATCGTCTCGGAAGTAGCTCGGACAGTTCTCAAGACGCATAACTACACGGCAGACGATGTCCGATCAGGGGCTGAGCGGTGTCTCGCCCTGCAAGAGCTCATCATCAAGGCGCAAGTGGCCGCCGAACGGGCGGCCCTGGAGAAGGGCGAGTGGTTCATCTCCGACAGATCGGGGATGGATCCGGTTGCGTACGCGAGGAGGTACGTCGGCAAGGAGGAGGCTACGAGGCTTACGCAAACCCCGGGATGGGCCGAGCTAAAAGAGAGGATGGGAAAGTCCCTGATTGTGGTTTGCGAGCCGGGCCTGGGCTGGCTTAGAGACGACGGCGTGAGGCTGATGCCGAAGGACCTCGCGGACTGGACCCACTTCCACGATCTGTTCTGCGGCTACTTGGAGGAGATGGGGCTTGAGTACCAGACACTTCCCCACGACATAGCCCATATCGCAGACCGAGTCCGATACGTCATGGAGAGGTGGAAACCGAATATCGACGCCTGACCTCTGATTTCGGGAGAGGGATCGGGCCCGGCAGCGACACGGGTTCTATGGTCGATTTACGCTGTGTAAAATTGCTGGGCGTCAGGGTTCGGTAACGGCTAAAGTAGAGGGGCGGTTATGGTGTTCGGGCCTCTAAGGTATGCGCTTAACCACGTTCCTACCCACCTGGTGCCTAGTTGAGGTCGCGGATAAGGTGTAAGAGGATGCCGACCCGGCTATTACAACATTGAATCGTATTTAGACCCGCTCTAGATCACAATAGACACAATGTCAGGAATCCCCAGTTGTGAAAATCGTCAGAGGCGGCGAGGAGTAGGGGGGCAAGCGTAAATATATAATGGTTTAATCTTCTGTGTCAGTATCGTCGATATCCTGTGTCGATTGAGGTCCTCTATCTCTGTTCCTACGGCCCGCGTTCGTTGCACGGGCCGACGTGATAGCCATACTCGAATCATCATTGACGTCGAAGCCATCCTCTCCATCTACCTCGTCGTCATCGTCTGAATTACTCGCCCGTTGCGTCTCCAACTGCCGTTTGATCCTTCGGAGCACAACCGGGTCGGGGAGAAAGTCGTCAAGCGATACTTCCTAAACATGACATTAGCCCTCTATCCGAGGTCGAACACCTTTCTCGTAGGAGAAATTGGTGAATCCTGACCTTGTTGCAACCTGTCTGGGGGCACTGCGCTTTGCCTCCGCGCACCCCCCTGAGGAATTGAACGATGGAAGTTTTCTCAAAGGTGTGTTTGCAATTCACACTCGTGTACGGGTCTTCCATGACCGCCATAGATAAGGGGCAGTGGATATCGAAGTGCTCCTCTGCGACGATCAAGTCTTCATCGTCGTCTTGGCCGCCGCCGCCCTCATTTTCCGTAAACCACCTAGACGCGTCGGGCAGCGGTTTGCCGTCACTGCCGTGTACGGCGTCGTGCCACAGGCGCTTGAAGCCGATGTAATCGTTGTTGACGCCGTACTTTTCGTACAGACTCTTGACCGCATAATCCGCCGCTGCTTGCTCGGTCTCGTGCTTGAGTACGGATAGGGGTACCGTGATATCGACGTCTGCCATGTCGGCGTCTTCATCGTCGTCTCTCGCCCTCTGCCCTAGCGCGATATTTTCACTCTCGATCTTCTCCACCATCCTCTGCATCGCTCCTCGATTATCCTCCACTTCGACCTTGAGGTCGATAACGCTCCGGACAGCAAGGTCACACTCGTCCGTCAGCTGCGGCACGTCATCCTTGAGGGCCAGCAGGGCCTTCTCCTCAGCCCTCTCGCGGTCGCTCTTCTCGCCGTTCTCGCCGCGCTTCTCCTGCAGGCTCCTGAGGTTATCCTTCCGCGCCACGTACTTGTCGTTAAGATCCCGCACGCTGGCACTCAGGAGCTTGAGGCTGTTATTCAGATGTTCTTCGTACTTACGCGTGTCCTTAGCCGAGGACAGTTCGGCGAGTGCGCGCGTAGCTTCGGTGCTGAGTGGGCAAGAGAGCGGTTCGTATTCCGGGAGATCAGTGAGGATGTCGTCCTTGTGGTTGCGCGCGGTGGACGAGGACCCGTGATTGCGCTGGGCGGCGGACTGCAGCCGGTTTCTCCGTGGCGGAGGCATGGCTCCGCTCGCCTTCGTTGCGATCGGGTGGGAGTGCTGTGGGATGAGCGACGCAGGAGAGGCAATTAGGCAGATGATCCCTCGACGGGAGGAAATGGATTCTCCTGGCCTGTTGTAGTTGGCTCGTTGGCAGCCAACCTCGAAGTGTGCGTAGTATACTCTATACAGGCAACTACCTGGTAGATGGATAACTCGACGACTGGAGGGGCATCAACTAGACGCGTCTACTGCAAGGCCTTGGGTAATTGGCATGTCAAGTCGCGTCGGGGAAACACCTGGTAAGTACATTCTTGTGTGCTCTAGAGGCATAAATTGTAGCTATCCAAGCTCAGTATTGTGCTAACCTGTCTTTCTTACGTAATCTTACCTGGGGGTCTGTTCCTTGCTAATGCTCTGCTACCTCCAAAACGTCTTGATCAAATTCAGGCGAGGCTACCCGAGGTCATCAACACGCTTAGTTATAGGTTTTTTTTATCATTAGGAGGTATAAATCATTAGGAGGTATAAATTATATACTATAGGTACAAGGTAAGAGGCAAGCAGGTTAGGCGCCCAAGGTACCTAAGCGTGTTCAGGTTACTTGTGCATTGGCAGACCGGACCCTGCTGCAAATAGCCAACCTCCTTAGGCGAACCTTAGGCGACCTTTAGGTGCTCCCCTACCTAAATATGGATGGGTGCAGGCCTGCATTAGCATATAACGTGCACCTCTCCCGCTCGTTCCGCCGCCGCGGGATGGATTCCATCCATGTCCATCCCATGTGCAGTCCATGTTGTCCATGTCTGGCCCATGAGAATCTACCGCACGCCATCATCCGGACACCCTACCAACTCTTCCACCAGTCGGATGGGAACAGGTCAAGGTCAGGTCACTTCTCCAACCCCCCCCCCCCCCCCCCGACCCCCTTCAGCAGGTTTTAATACAGAGACACCACAACCCCTGTGGTATCTTATTTTCCCTCCCTCCCCTAAAAAACACCCTGCGTATGAGACCCGCCCGTTCCTCGGTATCCCGTAAACACATTCTATAAACCCCTAACCTTGCTCGCACCCATAGGACAAACAATCTGAAAACAAGGAACGTAATGATGAGAAAACTGGGAAGCCGATCTCCTCTTTAGTCACCGTAGTCGCTCTCGCTCATGGCCCCGTCGTGCCCCATCATCTTGTCGTGGACCGCGTACAACGCTTTTAGCCAGGTGTCAATCATGGCGTCGAGCGAGTGCTCCTGGTCGCTGGACAGTCGCATATCGAGGACCTGGTCCCGCAGCCTCTCGTAGGCCTCGATCATGACCCATACCTGCAGCGCCGAGGTCTCGGCGCTGGGCCGGAGCGACGACCCGTTGGCTGCCGAGGACAGTTCTCGCGCCAGCAAGTCGAAGCAGATCTGGAGGCTCGGGCTCACCGAGGGCGGCTTCCGGAGCGGAGCGGCCGGCCGTTTCCGCAGGCGATTCTCGCGCGGTGAGGCCGGCTCCGGCGAGTAGCGTCGCCGCTGGAGGCTGGCCGAGTCCGCGTCGGACGCTACCAGCGTCCCGTCGTCGGACGTGGGCGACCCCATCGCGAGGGGTAGTACCTCGGGCAGCTCGTGGATGGTCTCGTGGCCGGCACGGATTCTCACGTCAGCGTGGTAAGGCTCTCTCAGATGTAGCGGCGAAGGAGGCTCAACGGGCGTGTCGTTGAGGATAGCACAGCTCGACTTCAGCAACTCCCGGTACGACTCGGCAATCTGCTCGATGCTCGAGACCTTTCGAAGGGCAGGCGGATCCCGCCCTGCGCGATCTTCCAACTGCCCGATGCGGTGCACGGGCGTCTTCGCGTACTGCCTAGTAACAGAAGACGACAACGAGGGCACCGCGCAAGATGCTCTCCGGTCTAATGGCCTCCCGGACCTCGCATCATCTAGGGTGAGATGCGCGAGCTCGGGGACTAGACATGTGGAGTGCCTAATCAGTGGCTTGCGGTCGTGTGGCTGTTGTACGGGAGGGGCGGAGTCCCGGCAGAGGTAACCGCTCTTACGAAGTTGCTCAAGCCATTTGCCGTCGTCGGGGTTAGGAATCTCGGAAATGGCTCTCTTGCTCGTGTCAGCGGCGTTAGCAGCCGCGGCTTTCTTCGTGTCGTGATGGCCAAGAGTCGGGAACCAGCGCTGCTGGCTCCCAATCTTCTGGAGCTTCTTTCTCAGCTTCTTGCCTTCGGACTTGGCGGGAGCGGGCGCCGTCGCCGTCGCCGTTGATCCCCAGTACCAATTCATGGTGATAGAGGGAATTACATGTGGGGGGGGGGGGGGAGCGGAGGGGAGGAGAGGGGGAGAGCCTGGGGAGTACACGACACGGACGGGAAGCTAAGACGACATATATGGCAAAACGAATGTTGTTGTTTTTAGAGCAATAATCTCTGCCTGCCTCTGGTAGCGTTGCACCCAGACGACTTTTGCACGATGACGTTGGGGCATCGTGGGATGGGATGGGTGGATTCACCACCCACCATTGCAGCCAAGCCAATACGAATCCCGTATTGGCACACAGCCCCTACCGTCCTATTAAACACCAAGTTGCACTCGTCCAATTGGCTGACATGCATACATATAATCCATACAATCGTGACGGCCATGCAGCTGGCCAACTCGGGAGCCTGACGGACGAGCCCGCGCCCTGAGGTAGTAAGCGCGCGAAATTGGGGGTTGGAGAACCAAAGGCAGGCCGGAGATCGCGGCCAGGCGACAGCGTCGCCCACTCTTCAAAGGCACGGGACGGGGTACACGGCGGATTCGTCGGGGGTCGAGGATCGCCAGGCACCGAGGCGTGGAGATTCGATCACCTATCGGTCGCGTACCAGTCGACCAGCTCAGCCGGAAATCCAGGCAGAGGGGCTCCAGTGGGGACGGGGGCAAAGGCCAAGACGGATGGTGCGCTCAAGTCGTCTCTCGCAGCGTGGCGAATACGCATCAGCCGATGGTAGGCTGGCTGACCGCCCTAGTAGATGCAGGCCCAAGACGAAGGGAAAATATCCCGCCCTGCTAGAGGTTACCACTCTGCAATGGAACTAGCCTCGCACCGCCGATACGAGTTCACAACCGGGCTACGATGGTGGGTGTGCGAGCGTGTATGTAGGTACATCCGCGCGATGGGTGTGGATGGGTGGATAGACGTGGGTGGGCACAGAAAGAGGAGAGGAGAAGAGAGGCAGAGGGAGAGGACAGACAGACGACGAGCGAAAAGAGGGGGGGAGGGGAGAGAGGCACTATTGGCTAGCTCGAGAGACACGAGATGCATTTCTCACTATTCGGGGCACGAATTATTTCCTCCCCCCTCTCTTCAAGGTGAAAAGGGCAGTAATACCAAACGGGTAGGAGGATGACAATGAGGATCGAGGCAAAGAAGGAGATGAGGAAAACGAAAAGCCGAGAGAAAATGGCAAGGAAAAGAAAAGCAAGGCTCAGCTTACAACCCCAAGTCATGTCGCCAAGGGTACCCTATTTTACCCTATCCCGTGTTAATGGCTGGGCCGGCGTGGCAGGGTGGTATCGGACGCAGGCTGCGCGCGGGAATGCTACCTACAGTCTGTATCACGACGCATGTAGGTGTATGCATGTATGTAGGAGATCCTGAGCAGACGGACGAGGCAGCGTCCCTCTCTGTCTCGCTCTCGAGGGGGGGGGGACGTAGGGTTATTATTAGGAACGGACGGCCAGGCGGCACTACGGCGAGGGCACCAACGCGCCGCCGACACCGCCATTCTCCCCGTCGGTGCCGTGAGACAACCCACGAATCTCACCTCTGCCTGCACGGCATCCTTCAGCTGAGACATAGCTACCTACCTAGATAGCAGTCGCGTAAGCGTCGGACGTAGCAGCGAGGAGGAGGGATTTGCCTACACACGACGACCGCGGCCACCAGAAACGCTCACTTCTCACAACCCCGCCGCCGATTCTCTGCAGCAGAGACCTACACTACCTAGGTAGCACTTACACACGCTTTTCGACACGCTTACTCTGCAGAGAAGAACACAAGGACGTGTAACCAACGCCGAGCGCGAAGTGCCGGGATACCCACCTGCGGCCGCCCGTGCTACTCGCGTGGCCAGCCCGACGACCTTTTTATAGCAGAAAACTTGTCCTGGCCATAAGCATGCGCAGGTAACGCCGCCGCCTCCTCACCCCCAAGCTCCCACCTGGGCAGCCTTATGAGGCAGACGTAGACAGGACAGAGCCTTGCGTCTCAGGTAAATGCGAGAATTCGAGGATGCGACAAAGACAGAGAGAGAGAGAGAGAGAGAGAGAGAGAGAGAGAGAGAGAGAGAGAGAGAGAGAAACGAGAAATGGCGCCGGTGACCACTATCAACGTCGCGGAGAGGGAGGACTGGGAGGGCAAGAGAGGCGGGCGGCCCAGCTAGCTGCTTCGGTAGGTAGGTTGCCTACGCGCAACATACCTGCACACGCAGCGGCATGGAATTCTTCCTCTCCTACCCTCGACAAGCAGTTCCCTACAGGCCACAGGCAGGTAAGCAGATAATGGAGGTACTTAGCCCCCTCGTCCTAAAAAAAGAGACGATCATCGTGACGGGGCATCGCGATCAATTGCATTTCCTTCTTATCGGAGGAGGGGGTGAGACAAGTGCACACGCCTGTGGAATCTCGACCTCTACCGCGGAGGAAAAAAGAAAATAAAAAGAAAAACCATTCGTAAATAAGCCGGACCGTGGCTTTCGGTAGATGCCGACGGGCTGGTGTAGAGTAAGCCGTGGTCGAGTGGAACTTTCCACGCACTGCAGCCGTAGAAATGCCTCCCTACCCTACCGGGCTCTTACGTGCTGGTAGCAACGTGGGAGCGCAAGCAGGCTGCCCTCACATCTTGTGTGCTGTGTACATATACGGCTGGCTCGCTAGGACTTGTCGCGGGGAGTACGGCGACCGACAGGTGATGCTTTAGATAGATACCTAGGACGAACATCTAGATAGACTAAATAATAGAGACTACCAAGTAGCGCTGTCAGGAATCGAACCTGTCCTCTATTATATAACCCACTTAGCTCATCTAGGTGTCCGGTTTCTTTTTCACTCTGCACTTGTGTCCATGTACCTCATGTGCTACCACCTGAGCGTTCGGGGGCGGGGCATATTAGAGGGACGGAGACAGAGACCGCAACCCGCCGTCTGGGTTCTCGACGCTGGAGGTGGTGTTGGTTTGGTTTGGGGGCTTAAGCGTTACCCACTGCGCCGTCCTCTTCCCGTTGCCTCGCCAATCTATTTGTAACTGCGAACTTGGTTAGGGTAGGCAGACGTTGCGCATTCGCATCGCAATGACGCTACACCGGGTCTCTGCTCCATAGGTGTTCTCCCCGTCTACTGTAGGTGCCCGGCTTACTACGTACTCGTTACCTGCCCGCCTGGTATTGGCATCTCCTATGGCAGCCCGTCAGCACTTACGATTCCTACTGCTGTTACTCGACAGGAGCCAACAAACTCGTCCACCCCAGGTTATTCGCTCACCTCGTCTAAATGATATTACCATGTAACTGTCACGGCAAATCGCGACGAAAACATCGGTGATAGACAAGCAGTCTCGTGTTCGTAACCACTTAGGTATTATGAACCTGTAGATGCCTAAAGGAGGTCCCTAAGGCGATGACCACCTAATCTTGTGACGGGCTAAGTCGTGGCAGAGAAATCCAGTAATGTCCCCCGTGATCTCCCGTGACGGTACCAAAGCCAGCCACGCCCGCTTCTGTTCTTAACGAGTGTTAACCACGACAATAAATCAAGTCGCGATCCACCTCTGTGCGCGTACGGGACCCGATAGGCAAGCCCCTATTGTTACCATGTAGCGGGCGACTGCATACCCGAGGCGAAGATAGAAAAGAAGAAGACGTAGCAGTAGAAGGAAGAGAAGCAGACAAAGGAGAGAAAAGCCTCCAAAAATCCCGAGCATGTAACCTAGGGTCCCGAGACCAACGAGGAGGCAGCCAAGCGCGCGCGTGCTCTCCGCCAAATGGGTTCTACCTCCCGTACCCGCTTCTTAGTCGTCTCCAACACCTGCTGTCCCAGGGAGGAGTTAATGTCGGCGGGAAAGCCTGGGATAAAAAACGAAAACAATGGGGAGAGGCGGAGAGGCAGAGGAGAGAACCGGGTGCTACTCCTGGCCTCCCTCCTTTAGGCTTCGGGCCAGCTTATATGAGTAGATATCATTGTCGAAAGTTTGGGTGTCCTCCCGCGCTAGGTTATCAGGTGCCGCCGCCGAGTTGCCACTCCGAGCTAGCTTATAGACGTAGATCTCATCTAAGGGACCGACATTGGCCGTCTCGCGCTTCTTATTGTCATCCGCGCCGAGAGCGTTAAGCGACGGCAAACCATCCCCAGGGTGCGCAGCGACGGTAGACGTCTCTCCTGTGGGATAGATATAGTAAATATCTCAACGATGAGTCCTACGTTTCCGGGGTTGGGAACAAGCACATACCGTTCGCCAAAGGCATGGCAAATGCGCAAGCCAGCCAGGAGGCAACGAGATAAACCTTGGAGCAGAGCATAGCAGTATAGTGGTTTGGTGAAATAGATGCTCGGATGGGCCGTAGACAAATGCCGGTTGGGGAGGGGGAGGGGGTTAGTCTGGGGAATCATTTGCTGAACACTTGGGACAGGAGTCACAGTCCGGGTTTTTATACTCCTATCGACTCTAGTTAGCGCCCATTGCTCTCAAGCTAATATCCTGAAGCTCGCAGGTAGGTAGATGAAATCAACATAGCTCTCGCGTACGTAGGAGAGCAAGTCATATCGCGAATCGCGCTGGTATGACCAGATGCGTTAGGCAACCAACGATCGTGTCCTCACTTCCCTCAATACGGTCTTCGTTGCGTCCCAAAAGTCTCACGACAGACCGGCTCGCCGCTCTAACATCAATTCTGGCTTCATATTCGACCGGACCTAGATTCTCGAGGTTGGGATCGGATCACCCATGCTCTTGTCTTGTGGTCGGGAGAAGCTCTTCGATGGGGTAGATTTAACATGACTTCCCTATTGTATGAGATCGTGGGTAAGACTGTTGGGCGAGGCCGCTGGTGTGATGGGAGGTCATGATATTTTGGTTTCACAGGTCATACCTTGCCAGCTTGCGAGTCTTCCACGACATCTACGAACAAGTCTTACGCCATATGGCTGCACATCTCGTGATATTAATTGGCTCGATCAAGGCAACAGCGGGATAGGGATATGCAATGGCCAGCAGTCGAGACCTTGGAGAGACCGAGAAGATAGGAAGAGAAAAACAAGACTTGTACAAACACTGCATAACCCCACTCGTGGGCCCTTAAACCACCCCCCTATAGTGGTAGGCCTATCGTAGTCTCGAGGGCTCATACCCCGGTGATACCGTGGAGTGGTCTCGAGCGACACCTGAGGGGGAGAGGGGCAAGATGGGCCGGCCGGAGTTGGTTAAGAGTAAACTCACGGTCCTCTTCGTCGCCGGTAAGTTGTTCTGGTGGTCTCCCCTTCAAAGTGATCATGGAAGCTGTCTTTGGGAAATCCGACATGTTCCAGACCAACTTGCTGGCTCTATGGCGCAGTAAAGAACCAGCCGAATACTCAAAGGCTTTGCTTGAAGAGGATGACGAAACGAATGGGCTGTCGCTGATGAGGAGGCATGGCTCTAGCCGAAGATGGCAGGTCTTGACTCTCCTCCATCTCCTCTTCTTTTCAGGGGGTGCTATTCTTTACGCTGCGGCCTGGGCTAAGTATTCTGAGCGCAACGCGTGCCTCAAAGTTACCTCTACTTATTGTTAGTTGGCTAATCCGGTGTAAAATAATAGAGATTGACATTTTCACTTGCTAGCCCCCATCCTCGACGAGGTAGACATGCCGTTAACCGACGTTACGTTGAACGGAAGTCTCTGGCAGGGGAAGAACACGCCTATCTGGCGAGGCTACCCGGATTCTAACGAGACAATGTCGGCTTGGGCAAGAAACGACCACATGCATCACATCGTCGTAACCAGAGAGCAGGTCATCAAGCTGGGAAAGGACCCCGGCACGGCAGTGAAGCTCAACGATGAGTACTGGGGCTTGGGTGACGACGCGTATGCCGCCACACTTGATTTCCCCCATCAAGTGCACTGTTTGAATAGGCTTCGGAAAGAGGCCTTCAGATACTGGCGCCGGGCAGGGGCGACAGCACCCGAGTGGACGGACCTTCATTGGCTCCATCTACTACATTGTACCGAGATGCTGATGGAGCATATTCTCTGCAATGCCGACGCCGGCTTTATAACCTTTAATTGGATGGAACACGAGTCTACCCCTTCCCCCGATATGAGCGGTGAGTGCTCCCTCTCTTCTTCTCGCCCGCTCGCGATCTGTCTGGTTCATGCCGCTCGTGTCGCAGCCGGCAATACCCCCACGATCTCGGATGAGCAGCGTGTTGACTCGGAGTATCGTAGTGCGAAGGAAGTGTAGAGACTGGCGTCAGTTGGTTGATTATGAGAAGGCATATAGGTTGAAGGACGACGTAGAGAAGTGGTTGCGGTGGAGGAAGCCGGAGGAGGCTACAGCACTGAGACAGCCCCAGGACTGGTGGGACCATCGCGAACAGTACGACACGTGCCGCTACCTCGACGACGACGATAGAGAGTGTAATTGAGAGGACGGCGAACACGAAAAGAAAGAGACACATGGGGAGGGGACCAGAGGGAGGGAGAGGAGAGAAAGGCAGGGATGGAGGATACGTGTGAGTGCGTTAGACGGAGTCGGAGTGTAGCTACTAATACTATGGATGGTGTTAGGAGGCAGGTAGTTTAGCTGCGGGAGGAGCCCAAGTACCAAATTGGTGTCAGTATTACGCCTGAGTACATTGTTTGGATAAGGTATTCGGGGTAGGCACCTACTACCTCAGGTACCTCCTTAGGTGCCTACACCTACCACCTTAGGTACCTCCTTAGGTGCCTACACCTATGAACCTGCAGGTACCTGTAGAGACCGTATAAAATGTAGGCACAGGTCGATGCCGACGACATCCACCGAACGACGTGGCAGGCTAGGTACCTATACACACAAATTCACTCGGTCTACCTAACCCGCCCAGGTACCTACCTACCTAGGTAGGTACTGTTACGCCGATTCCTACCCCATGAACGGTGAGGTCGCGAAAGAACACATCGTGCCTCCTATCCCCCTTTCCAACGCGGTTCCATAGAAACAAAGCAACCAAATCACGGATATCATCGCCACCCGAAGTAGCATTCTCCTGGCTGAGGCCTTATTGAGCTGGATGACTATTATATGGTGCCATATCGACGACCTAGTAGGCGAGTGGATAGCTCCCTGAGCTAGTTCGGGTTCGACAGATTCAACTAGAGCAGAGAGAATCCATACGTCAAGCTGTTGGGGATACTGGGGTTTCGCAAGATGACATGTCGTCTTCAACTATCCCATGTTGGTAGCTGTGAGTGAGACAACACAAGGTGTAGTCAAAATAGATTAGACAGGTCTATGGTTGAAAGTCGAATTTAGTATGTACCTACCTTACGGCGTGTACTAATTCAGAGAAGACGTATCTGTCTTCTAGGGCCGTTACGGACATCTCGCTTCTCTTACTCCCGCCAAGTTGTGATGCTGCGAATAGGGGGAACCTACGCAACCCTAACCAACCTAACCGTAGGTATATTAATATGGCCATCCTGGGAGCCGCGAAGCCCACTCGGCGAAAGGAAACTAGCTGAAAGGAGAGTTTCTCTTTTGGGCCTGGGAATAGCGCCGGCCCCTCGAAATGGTGGAGCCGTAAGCAACAATACCTAGCGAATACTCCTGGGCGAGCTGGGTGTGCTGGCGGGCGGCGGGCGAGTATTATTGATACAGTAGGTGCGACATAAGGAACCCGATCAGGGTAAGGAGGGCATTCTACTGCCATTAGCGCACCTCGCTTCGCCCGGAGATCACCCCCATGGTGGACATGGCGCGGCGGATTAGATCTACCGTGGTCATCGCGTGTTTCAGTGAGGTCCTCGCGTGGGCGTCGGCCTAGGTGTTGCAGTGAGGGACTAGGAGCAAGCTGGGAAAGATGAACGGCTGATGGAAGCCAATGATCTCATCATGGCGTTATAGTTCTAATGCTGTACTCTTCAGCAGCTCGGGCGGGTTTTAATCCGCTGCCGTTCGAACCCAGTCGCGGGCCCCCTAATTCCTAATGTAAAGTAAAGATTCAGCTTACGACAAGGAATAGTACGATCAAGGACATTAGGTATATAAGCGAGATCCCGGCTACTTGCCTAGAAGGGCAATACAAGAGTAGATAGTATCTATATGGGATAAATCGATGCTACGAAGTTCGGACCCTGAAACGTCCAGCTCCGACTTCAAATAATCAGCCACGAGCTTATTAAAAATGAGCAGCGACGGATTACAAGCTAAGTACAGGATATTCCAACACTTCAACAACAGTGACGGTGTATCTAGTCTAACCGTAACGTCAGAGAAAGCCTAATAATAACCCGAAATCCGTCTACGTTGCATACCCCCAGTTTCCAAAACTCTCACGATCCCACTCCCTTTGATGCTCTGTTGCATATTAGAAATGTATGAATCTAATCAGTCTAACTATGGCCGCCACACTCTTCTTTTCGCAGGATGCGAATATCGCCCCCCTTCTCTTCCTCGACTCCCAGATCACAGCGGCTCGAGGTCGCGGAGCTCGTTCTCGGTCCAGGCCCAGAGGCGCTCGGCGAGCTCGTCGTCGAGGGCGTCCTTGGAGGCGCCGGACCTGCGGCCGACGGGCTCGTAGTAGGCGCCGCTTTGGGGGCCGGCGCCGGGGGCGCGGGGCGCGGTGGCGGCCCACAGGGGGTTGCGGGCGAGGTCGGCGGCGCTGCTGAGCAGGAACTTGCCGACGGTGAAGAGGCGGGTGGACAGGGAGGGCTCGGCGTGGCTCATGAGGCCGGTGCGGCCGATGCCCGGGTGGACGGCGACGGTGGCGACGGCGGGGTAGCGGCGCGCCAGCGCGCGGCCGTAGGCGATCTGCGCCACCTTGCTCTGCCCGTACCGGCCGAACGCGTCCACGCCCGCCGTCTCCGCCGCCCGCAGCGACGCGAACTCGATCCCCCCCGCCGGCGCCATGCCGTGCGCCCGCGACGACACCAGCACGTGCCGCACGTCCGCCCCCGGCCGCGCCGCCGTCCGCAGCAGCGTCGGCCACAGCAGCTGCGCTAGCACCGCGTGCCCCAGGAAGTTGTTCCCCCACTGCACCTCGAACCCCTCCGCCGTCAGCCCCGGCGGCGTCGCCATGACCCCCGCGTTCGCGATGAAGATGTCTAGCCGCGGCGACGCGAACCCCTGCACGAGGGCCTCTCGTATCTGGCCCCGCGGCGCGCACAGGTCGCACGGGATGAAGGTGAACTCGGTGTCGGGCCCCTTGGCCTTAGCCGCGGCAGTGACGGCGGCAGCGGCCTCCCTATTGCGGCCGGTGAAGTAGATGTGGGCAGGGTTATGTGCAGCTAGGAAGAGAACCAGTTCCTTGCCGACTCCCCCGGTGCCTGGTTATCCGCGGTCGGTTAATAATAGTCCACAGCTGTGTTGGTGGGCATGTAAATAGAGCGGTTATTGACGAACCTCCAGTAATGAATATGACCTTGCCCGACAAGTCGGGTATATCCTTCTCCGGGTCGTAACAGATCATTGTGATTGGTATTATGAAATATGAGCGAGTAGTGGGTGATACGATGCTCTAAGCCTTTTAGTGTAACTATCCTCTCCCAGAAGGAAAAGCAGAAAAGGTCGGGAGTGATAATATTCGATGCTGCGACCTCTTAACAATTCTGTCGGTGCAGGCGCGCAGTCTGTATTTATATTGTCTACGTAGGCAGAAACACATATCTGTCATAACTCTGAATGCCTACGCATCTATAAGACGGAGTATACTGGTAACCCGATCATACTAGTAACCCGGTCGTATAATCATCGACTAAGTCGGCGAATTCAGCTACTACCCTGCCAGCATAAATACTGCCTAGACGCATATCAGCCAGGTGCGTGCACTGCCGACCCATACTATAATCTTCCGTGTTAGGGTTATAGCTACTCTCTGTATTTAAGAGAGTCATCCTGACTAGACAGCACGAGCACTTCATTGATACTACGACTAATAGACACAAATATCTCTCTACTTACTATCGGCTGCGTATATGAGAAAGTTTATAGCTATGCCTTATACGCATTAGCTACCTAGCGCAAGCGAATTATGCGATATTACTACTGCAAGAGACAGAGACTCGCCGTAGAGAGTTGTGCGATCATTCCTAATATTCCGCCAACAATCTCGAATGCTTGATGCCCCTTCGGAATTCTCTTGGAGGATGTCCTCTGATCAGTTCGTCTCTGGATGTAAGTCAATTCCACGGGTTAATAAACACCGCCGGGTTATGGATGAAGTCTTGTAGACGTTGCGGACAACAACGGCTTTAACCCCGGGCTAAGAAACGCCGCGTTAATATCTCACGTAACATCGGGGACAGCACTTATAATCCACGCCGCTGACCGCCCACAACAGAGTGGCTTGGGCCCGGCTTCGAGCAGGGACCCTATTGCGTAGGCGAGTTTTTGCCTGGCGATCATACTTCTATATTCAGTCACGCTGCACGATTCGTATAGCATTCTTGTCGCTCGGATGTCTTATTGGACGGGGACAGTGAAGAATGGCCTAATGAGGACCAGCGCCGCGCTGCCAGGAGCCTTGTAATATGCCCCATCCGCGCTAATTAGCATGCTAGATACCCGCTCCCAGTCCGTACTACCTGAGCTATGCGTATGCACGTCTCCAGATTGTTGTCGTCAGTTCTCTCCTGCCCCCTGGCCGACGCCGGAGTAAGCCGAGGACAGATGGTCCATGGGCACGCGCCTGAAGAAGTCCTCCCAGCTTACCGGTTTCACCTGGGGATACTTGTGGTTGTCAGTTTCGGGGCCCAGCAGTATCTGCCCGTTGAACATGTAGTACTCGTAGAACCTTCCGAGTAGCGTTAGCCCGTGGCACTCCTCCCCAGATAGTCGCAGAGGCGCAAGACAGCGCGGAAACCACTTACAGGATGATGTACGCGAAGAGCTTTTCCGGCTGGTTCTTCCGCAGCTCGTGCATCTGCTTGCAGTCCGACGCCACGTACCGCGGGACACCCGCCTCCGCGCACGCGTCCACCAACCGCGTCTGCCTCTCCGTCATCACCTTATCGTCCCCTAGGTAGCAGCACACCACCACGTCACACCCGCTCACGAACCGCCCCACGGCCGCCTCGTCGAACGCGTCCCCCTGCGTCAGCGAGACCCGCGTTGACAGCGCCGCGGGGACCTTCGACGGGTCCCTGCAGTACCCCTTCATGGCCACGTTCGGGTACTTGAGGAGCGCCGAGACAAGCTCGCGCGCGAATTTCCCCGCGATGCCGGCGATTCCGACGGTGAGCGACATGTTTTGGTATGAGGATCGCGTGTAGGGTTTCTGCTGAGGATATCCTCGAAGTTCAAGGTATCAAGTTTTGCTGCCGCTGAAAGGAAGACCGCTTCTCCCTCCCCTTTTATATCCGCCGTTGTGTACCCATAGTCGTTCCACACGTTCTGTGCGTGTTCGTGGTAGCGCCGCCACTTCCGAACGTTCTACTCGATCGGAGCTCCGTGGCGCCGAGTTGGGGTGTCCGGGCCTGGGTGATGCCGGCACTAGTTTGCCCTCAGTCGATGGCAAGGAGTACTCTTTGCGAGTTTCACCATCAATAGAAAACTTATACAGCTTCGCCCGTCTAGTTTACGGGTCATGCTCTCAGTACAAGATCGGGTAGGCAGAGGGCACGCTATAGTCCCGTTAATACCGCCTCGAGGCTTAAAGCTCGGGGATATTTCTTACCAAGGGATGGCCTACAAAGACATCATACACTACGAGATCCAACACTATCTGATAATATAGGTAATAGTAACTTGGAAGTTCATCGCTGTCGTATGGAAACCATAGCTCCTAGTCGGCATGTGATACTCGGGGATTACTGTACTATTCAATAACATGTTTCTAGAGGTTGGTAGCCTTCAGAATTGATGCTATCTCGGTTATTACTTCCCTGGATATTTCACCGTCATGCTTTGGTGAAGCAGATCGTTATTCTGGAGGGGATATTGGTTTTACAGAGAGGCATGCTGCGAATATTACCGCGGCGACATAGCTACGCATGGCAGATTCGCAAAAGGAAAGTAGTAATGGAATTGAGTACGGTCGAGGCCGCCCTTTTCGCCCGCCTCTAGTAGGTTATGGACCGGAATCTCAGCTCATCTCGTCTTAAACTGACTCTCCTTCTCAAGCCAGGTTCTGAAGTCCTTGAGGTCAGGGTTGATCTTTCTCAGGGCTGGGATGTCGGCTGCGTAACCGACATCGCGGAACCATCTGAACATGTACCCAAACTCCTTGAATAGCGAGTTTATGATGGTAGAGATGAAGTTGTACGTTGTGGGTAGTTCGGTCCCGGTCTTCTCCTTGAAGATGGCAGCAAATTCGCCGTAGGTCAGTTCGTCACCCGCCAGACTGAGCTTCTTGTTAGCGTACTTTTCCGGCTTCGTGAGCGCTTCGGCAGCGAAGAAGCCGATGTCGCTGGTTGCGATCAGCTGCAGCTTCTGGTCCTCCTTCAGGTTGGTCTTCCAGCTGGTGGCAAAGAGCTTGCCCATGAAGCCCGGCACGAGGTTTTCGAAGAAAGCGACGGGACGGAGAACGGTCCATTTCATCCCGCCGGCTTTGGCCTTATCATACAGGTGCTGCTCAATGTTGTGCTTGCTGATGAAGTGCGGGATGTCTGTCGGATGGTGGTCCGAGTTGGCGCCGCCGCGGTCGACCGACGAGTATACCAGATGTTTGACGCCGTTATTGAGCGAGGCATTGATCAAAGCTTTGCCCTGGACCTCCTCGGTCCGGGCGTTGGCGCCGCCGCCTATAGCTGCCTAAAGACGAGTTAGTTGCTTGGGTAGTCGAAAGTGCAATCCAGTTGGAGGCCGACCTGGACGCTGAAGACTCCCCATACGGGCGTCTTGGTCACCTCCTTCGCTTTCTGGAAGATACTCTCAGATGCGTCCAAGTTCCCGGGTAGCAACTTGATCCTAGGCGATTTCTTAAGAAGGCGCTGAGCAGATGCTGATTGGACATTGCGCGTGAGAGCCAGGATTTCAAAATCGGCGTTGGCCTTGAGCAACGCACTCACGACGGCCCCGCCCTGCTTGCCCGTGGCGCCGGTGATGAGGACAGCCCGAGACATGTCGATGCTTAGATAATACGGAAGGATGGTGGCTGTGAGATGGAGGAATGAGGTCGACAACCAACTGAGTATTGTATCTACGTGTGGGTATTTACTTGTATCAAGTGGGTTTCCTGGCGGGTGATATGAACGCAGGCGTAGAAACGGAGACAGAATACCGCGGGGAAAAAAAAAAGGGAAATAAAAGAAGACCACGATGGCTCGCATCCGACGTCACTATGATATGAGGCAGGTACCGTTTCCCGTAGGAAATGGGAAAAGTCACTGGCCAACGGGACCCATCTCGGAGGTCCCAGACACCGGTCGGCCCTGGCACGGAGCTTTGGGCGAGCGACTAAGGACAAGGAGGGGGTGTCCCTAGGGGTCGGTAGGTACTTAGGTACCTACCCCTCGCACAACCCAGCGCCGCAGGTCTTGCCTCACGTAGGTACCTACCTGTTAGGCATACTCGCTGAACGCGACGGTCCTTCTCAGTGGACGTGCTCGGTGTTGGCTAGAGGCGATGCCATCATCAATCATCATCCCCGCCCATTCCCGCAAGCGCGTAACCAAACGGCTACGAGAGAGCGCGAGTCCAGGCTCCCGGGAGAGCACTATCGAATATAGACAGAACTTAGGCATATCGATAGTATCTATCTCTCGGCCCGGGCCGGTCTGCAATCTAACTACCTAAGCTTATTGTAGCAAGGACCAAAGTTCCCCATCGTCAGTCTGCATCATCAAGGCATCCAAGTCCTTCATACCGCTCAGGTTGAGTTCCATCTCGTCCATATTACTAAGTAGGTAGTCCGGGTCATAGCCGGGGTCAGAAGTTGTGGTATCTATCGCTGTGCCATTCTCCATGTCAACACGGTCCAGCGAGTAGGAACTCAGACCCCAATCAAGATTTTGCTGGCCAATTTGTGGAACCTCGGGCGCTGCTCTGGGGAAGCCTGACCCATGGCGAGGCTTCATTTGGTTGTCTGACGATGCTCGCGAATCCGGCTGGGCTGAGGATGGTGTGCTAGTAACGTGTGCGTGCGTAGCCGGTGGAGAGGCCGGAGGAGTTCGTGTCCCAACAATATCGTGGACGGGGCCGGGGCTTCCGCCGGCACAATCTCCCCTACTGTTATTGATACAGACCGTTCTTTTCTGCAAATACCATATTTTGAGCTTTTGGAAGGCGGTTAGAAATGGTCGTGATTGTGGGAAATACCCATTCTGGGATAGATTGGCAACCCTTTGGATCAATGCGTCAAGATAGCTCGCGGGAGACGGTGGGTTGTCGCGATCATTGCCGGCCGTGGCAGGTAGTGACAGGTTCGCGGCAAAATGACTCAATTTTGTCAGGCATACCGCGGCACACATGCCCCAGGTGAGGAATATGTTAGGAAGATAGCGCGTGGTCGCATCATCCAGAGAGAGGTAGATGTCCAGAGCCGTCGCGCTAGCCTTCAAGCAGAGGCAGAGCGCGTCGGTATGCGTCGCAGTGAACGGTTGTCGTGGTCTTCCCGAGCTCTCTCTGTCCTTGTCCTGAGGGGGAGGAAACATCCGGCGATTGTAAACTCGGATGGCAACTTGGTGGATGTAAAGCTCCGCTATGGATGCAGCATATGCCGTAAGGTCTTTTTCGGGACGTCAATTGGTAATCAATCGCGAGACGAGGGGATGCTGATTATGAGCCTTATCACTTACGCGGGTTGATGTCTGTCGAGGAGGATTGCTTCCAGTCGGCCAATCGTTGTCGGAAAATACTCAGCAGATGCTGTGTTCTAAAATCATCGAACGATTGGTCCGTAAGGTGAGAGGAGGCGTTCAACGTTTTCGAAACCTCGTCAAAGATTTCCTGTAAGCCGACTAGGCTACACAGCCATTCGTCGTCCTTGTCTCTCGTGGAGTGTCGCCTCAGAGCATCAACGGATGCCCGGTACGATGATGTAGGTTGAATGGGTTGATGCCGTCGCAAAAGTGTCGCTGTACTGCATGATGAGGTTAGTGAACAGTTACAGGGTGATCGTAGTACGGTGAACACCAACCTTGACGCTCCAAGATAGACTGCTAGGAGAGTTCTGTAGTCATTCGCCTTATTCCTATTGTCGGTCTCGTTCGGTGCGGGCACCTCATCCAAGCCGAGATCGTGGGCCATGACCACGGCGCTATATATATGGTGGGGTAATGCAAACGTCTTGATGTGTTGCGGTTGGATGTAATATTGGGAGAAGAGGACCATAGACTGCAACAGGTCAAGCGATCGAGCGCCCTGTATAAAGACCTCCTGAGCGAGAGTGTCGTTGAGGCGGGCCAGAAAATGCGGCACTAGATGGGGCCTAATTGATGTGCTGGCTATCATCATAATTACTAGGAGCAAGATAGGCTTCTCTGCACGAAGAACGGACACATCCTCCTCGGGCGAGAACTGAATAATTGGCATGAACGGCCGCATGAAGATATTCCAGTGGTTGAACAGGAGAACAGCGGTGGGCATATCTACCAATCCCTGGCTGAAGACGTCGCCGGATGCTGCAATGTCGATCCCGCCATGCCCCAGGCCGGGTACTGAATCCCGACCCGGCCGCGTCGGCGATGAGCCGTCGGTATCCCGAGAATCGGAGTCTGGGGTTCTGGACCACTGCGGGTCGCCAGCTCTCTGGATGAACAGCTGCTGGTTTCGTAGCCGCTCAGAGTATAACGCGTTCGTCAACGCGCCAATCTTCTTCTCGAGCTCGGAAAATCTCTGTGAAGGCCTTGCGCGTGCCTTGGGGGGCCCAGGATCCTGACAAGGTCTCGAGAATCTGAGACAGGCCTCGCAGTCTCTTGAGCCTGGGACGGAAACACATTTGATCTTCATGTTGCGGCATGCGGTGCACGCCCTTACCCTCTTGAAAACATGGGCGGATTCCCCTGAAGGGGAATCGCCCTCGCGTTGGCCGCCAGGATTGGGAGTTGAGTTGTCGTCGATGGTGCTCTCCATAATGTGTCCGGTATTTACCTAGTAGTAGATAGAATCTCCTTGTAGGTACCTAGGTATTACCTAGGTATGTGAGCTGATCGGGACTAGCACGGCTGTTCCTCGTTCAAACCGATCTCAGTCGAGTGATGGGCTGACCGAAGCCCGCTTCAGAATCAGTGGTGACCAGTTGAACAAGTTGCCAGTCTCCGTATAGGGGCTGACATTAAGAGAGGTTCGGCGAACTGAGGTCCTTTACCTACCTACTAGATACGGCTAGATAGGTACCTAGGTATGTTAACGCCACATCGGAGTCTCGATATCAGAAGAAGTGGGCAGATCGATCGTGCAGAGATCCGCTGATGGGTACCTCTGGGAAGTACTCTACTACACAGAGGTACCTAAGGCACCCAGGTACACGCCGATACTCTTGATTCTCAAAAGCCGTTCAGCGATATGGCAACCCTCAACACGGTATTCCTCCTGGAGCATACCTACAAGTAGACTCTACGTCCACCCAAGCTTCAGATGAGTCCATAAACAACAGATTATGATGATGATCTGGAAATAAACGGCAGGTCAGTTGCGGCTCACGGAAGGCCTTGGTCGGCTTACCTGAAGTTCTTTTCGACGGTCCTTGCCGCATCGATAAAGGGTGCTACATAATAGGCCGGCGTCTACGTCTATATAGTATTTACCTATAACGCGGTTCGAAGCCAGTGTTAAGATGCCAACTCGAGCAATGTACTTGGGTCCCTCGACGAACCGTTCAGTGGATAGGCAATGTATTAGATGAAAATGGAACGCTAAATCCAGCCTTTATGAGGTAGGCATCTGGAGCAGTCGGTGAACCAGGTCAGACGGAGGCGGCAGGGCTAAGAGAACCGCTACGTCATCTTTTAACGACGCAGCCACGGCTGACTTCTCGGCGAAGTGAGGAGTATATACTAAGTACCTACCGAGGTAGGTACGTAGAAGGCAGTACATAGCTAGGAGGTACCTACCTACCTCTAAGGGCTTAGGTTGGCAGGCAGTTAGTGCCTACCTAGGTCGTTCTCCTGTGCTGCTGTGCCCAGTCAAAGACATCGATCCACTATCTTAGGTACCTAGAGCGTGCCGTACACACTGTACCTACCTCTCTATATCTGCCGCCTCAGATACCTGCCGTAGACCTACGCCACCTACCTCGGTGTGTCACGGCGACATACCTGGTATACCACCGACATGCCTACCCAGCACCTCGTCTGCTGCCGGGTGGCCCGACGGACTTCACCACATTCCACTTCTTGATCGCTTCTTGCTGAATATCATCTTGGATAGATTAAAAAGGTAGAGGAAATGCGCTACCCGACAATACCGGACTCCCTACAGACAGACTAAAGGAGCAAAGAACCTGATACGGTCCAGCACGACGCAGCAAAACGATAGTAGATACCCACCCCTCCTTCCCGGACATGCCTACTTCCCTCCGGGTACTGTTAAGGAATGGCAGCGATTCTGACCAAGTCTACGCCTACATCACCGGGATCGCCCTCCAGCATGGTGGGCGGCGCTGCATCCTGAAAGCTGACGGGCAAGGGCTGTACTTCCCCGAGAACCCGCGCGCCATCTGCTCACCGCTGACCGAGGACTGCGCCATCCTCCTCGGCCCCCCCGGCAATGCGGTCGAGACCACGATACCGCAACTGGCCGGCGGCCGCATATGGTTCTCGCGCGGCAAAAAGCTGACCTTCCTGCTGAACCCGGGCCCTGCCCTGGTCGAGCCGAGCGTGCTGAACCGCTCCGACCCGAACGCCAACGTCGACTTCGGCTTCTGCGAGTTCACCCTCGACAACGCCCAGCTCTACGCTAACATCAGCTACGTCGACTTCGTGCCTCGCCTGCCCATCGCCATCTCGCTGCGCCGGGCGAGCGGCGCCGTCCAGACCGTCGGCGGCATGGACCCGTCCGGCATGGAGCGCATCGCGCAGGGACTCTACGAGCAGGCGCAGAAGGACGGCCGCCGGTGGGACAAGCTGGTGGTGAAACGCAACGGCGAGATCCTCCGAGTCCTGAGCCCGATGCACGGCCAGGGCGTCGGCGCCAGCTTCAGGGGCTACTACGAGCCGTACGTGGACAAGGTGTGGGAGCACTACCTGGAGCGGCAGCGGCGGCCGCCAGGCTACCGGGGCAAGCCGCTGGTCATCGACACGCAGAGCGCGCCGGGGAAGCTGGCGGCCGAGTTTGGGGAGGACGGCACGGTGCGGATCGGCGGCGAGCTGTTCGGCAAGCCGAGCACGGCCGACATCCTCGGGTGCAACAGCGGGCCGTTCGCAACGGGCCCGTCGCCGACGCGCAACGCCATCATCCCACGGCTAGCCGCCGCATTCGCGCGGACGGCGCTGCTGCTTTCGGACGACCAGCCCTCGGTGCCGTCGACCTTCTACGAGCAAGACCCCACGAACCACTACGCGCGCCTCGTGCACATGCACAACGCCGAATCCAAGGGGTACGCTTTCGCCTACGACGACGTCCAGCGGAACGATTCCCTCGACATGTCCGGAAAGGTCAACGCCGGCGACCCGGTCCTCTTTACCGTGACGGTAGGTGGTACGCCAGCGGGGTAGAATCCTGTGTACTCTCTGGCTAGAACCTTTGGAGACGCTATGCCGGGTCGGCGCTGGGCTTTTCTATATTCATTGGCATCTTGATTGATCTAACACGAAACTATTAACAAGGGCGGTTATTTATATTGGTCAGGTATTTCGAAAATATGAGCGGTATACCGGAGTTTTCTCCTTGCCAGAAACGGAACCTTGTACACGCACTTAAAATAGTTGGGCTACCGTGATACTAGCGTTCAAATTGGAGTTTCCACGAATTCAAGTATAACTACGGCTAGAAATTACAGCCGTGTTTTGTAACTGACGGGTTACTTGGTAAAATCGACATTCGACATGTTTAAGACTTGTTGACCGTAGTAGGTCGTGGGTGTGAAGTAGGAAGCACAACCGGCTCGTGTTATTGCTAGATCGAAATACTTAAGTTATCTAAGGAGTTGGTAGGCTCTTGGAAGTGTTAGTTTCCTTTTCTTTTCCTTTGTCGAGGGAGGGATTCATCAAGCGTAGCCTTGCTCCGGCGAGGACATCACGTCTACTCGCTCGCCAGCGGCGGAAGGATTCGGCCCTGAAAATGAAACGGCGCACCAGCGGCGGCCGCAAGCGGATTCATCCTTCAGCCCAGAGAGAGGGCGGGGGATGGGGGTCTGAGGGGCAGAACACGGGCTACTTACTGTACCACGCGAGGCGGTGCCCGCAAGACGCGACGGCGGGCGGAGCGTGTGCCCATGTACGTGTGCGCGTGGGGTAAGCATTCAATTCGTCCTTCTAGTAAGCCAACCGTCGCAATACGAGTCTTGGGCATCAAGCGCCGTGTTCCTGCGTCAGGTCCGCCAACAATACGACCCGGCGAGAGAACTGCGAGGGATGGGGGGATGCGATTTCGAGGCGTAGAATGTGCGGGGCGGACGCTGGAGACGAGCCGCGATGGAGCAGGCCCATGTCGATATAGATTCCCGGTGCGGTCGCTGCTATGATCAGGACGATGTCCTTCGTAACCAATCGTATACTCATAGTGTTCCCTTGCTTAGGGTACCTGCATCCGTTGTGTATGTAGGTCTTCGTCGCGTGTAACGACGAGGACGTGGAGGTGTGTAGCATGGGTATTTCGAGCTCGATCCCGAGTGAAATAGCCGCAGATCATCGACTCGTCGATTCTACGCGCCAGGCTGGGCTCGGCCAAGATCGCCGGACAATCCTGCCCATCCACGGCACGGACGGCCCCAGCCGACGATCACAGCGCAGCAGAGCATGTACGACATACCTACACGTAGGTAATGCACGTCGTAGAGAGGGGAGAGAGGGGTCCATAGTACAGCGCGGAGCTGGCGGTGTATTATCAATTCTAGTGGCGCGTGGGGCCCGGTGTCATCTAGTCAAGTGCGTTAAGTCTAAAAGTCTACGTATAGTTACATATCCCAGCGCGCCCTCTCCAGTTGCCCAGCAAGGCTATCTAACGCCCAGAACTCCACTCGACGGCCGCGAGCGAGAGCGGCGACGGCGTCTGTGCCTACTGTATCGCCCGATCCCGTGTCCTTTTCCCGGGAAACAGCAATCACTGGCAACGTAGGTTAGCGACGAGGGACCACCATCTGAGGTGAGGACAGCCTAGAGACTTACGCAGGTGAGGGAATAGCTCGGCTGGACGACGCCGAGGTCGCCGGCGGGATAGATGCCGAAGTCGGGGTCGGCCTGACCCCACTGGGACTCCTGGAGGTTGTACCACCAGAGGTTGACGCCGCGGGCGACGAGGCTGCAGGCGATGTCCTGCCAGTAGATGCGCGCGTTCTCGGCGCTCGCGACGGCCTGGTTGACGGTCTTGCCGACGACGGGCCAGCCGGTCTCGGTGACGTAGACGGGCTTGTTGCCGGCGAGCGCGAGCGTCTTGTTGAAGCCGTCGTAGAAGCGCTCGCGCGCGTTGCCGATGTGGTTCGCCTGGGTCTGCTCCCAGTACGGGTAGCCGTCGAAGCCGAGCCAGTCGATGTTGTCGAGCACCGCGCGGTTCGTGCCGTTGAGGAACGAGTCGTACGTGTCCACGTGGCCGATGGGCATGCCCTGGAGCGCCGTGCCCTGGAGCGCCGCGCGCACCTTCGTAATGCACTCGATGAGCTTCTGCGGCCCGACGCCGATCTCCTTGTTGGCGTCCCGGTACAGGTCCTCGCTGCCGACCGAGATGCCGACGACGAGGTCCGTGAACGCCTTGCCGTAGATGTTGATGGCGGCCTTGAGGGCGGTGATCTCGTTGGTGATGGCCTGGTCGCCGCCCGACACCCAGAGGCCGAGGAGAAGGGTAGTCTTCGTCTCGATGGCCGCCGGGATAGCGCTGATCACGTCACTGGCCGTTCCCCATTGCACTGAGATAAGTAACACAGTTAGCGCAATCGGCATGCATTTATCGGCTAGCCAGAGTATATGTGTAAAGGAGCAAGCAGCCTCTGAGGAGCGGAAGCTCAACACAACACAACATGCTCAAGGCCAGAAAGTCATCTCAGCTCAAAACGTACCCATAGTGTACAGGCGAGCACTCGACCAGCCGCTGGTTCCCGGAAGGTTCTTGGCTCGGTTGAACTCGTAGGCGAAGTCCACCTGTTGTTTCGCAGCCTGATTGAGGAAGAAGGCGCCGTAGTTGAAGCCCTTGATGCCCGAGTTGGCGGCGGCAGCGGCGGCAGCAGTACCGGCGGTGGCGGCAAGGCCGAGAGCAGCTGCGGACAAACGCATCTTGTCTATATTATTACTATTAAGTGCTAATAACGAACGTCAGGAGGTTAAGGGTGAGCGAATGAATAGCCACGAGTCGCAGCGAGGGCCAAAAGAACGGGTGAGCTTGAAGAGATGCAAATTGCTCTGCCCTCTGCCAATCATGGAGGCGACAGGAGAGGGATATTAAATAATACCAATAAGACAATAAATCAAGGCTTCTAGAAGGGGAAAGCTTGGCCAGTCCTGGGCAAGATCCAGGATCGAGAACCGTCTCGTCCCGAAATATCCAACCTGCTCCTCCCAAGGCGCGAAATAACTGGACATGCCGGCGCTACGACCCCTGAACCTCGTATTCACGACCCACATGCCGCCCGGCTCAGCCTCAGGAGCTCAGGGGGGGGGGAAGGAGGACGAAAATGAACGGAGAAAAAAAATGGATGAGCCAGCGAACGAATGCACAGCTACCTACGTATGCAGGCCGGACGAGAAGCGATTGGAGCAGACAACGGGTAATAAATATATGTGTATCGTATATGTATGTACGAATGTGTACGTGTACGCGTGTTTTCTTGGCTCGAATATTACGCCAACAGCAGAGGATCCCGCCCTCATGACAATTCCGTATGGGTCCTGTCCAAAGCCCCTATTACCGAATTCCATGCGTACCTATATATATATATGTATACATACATACATACTGTGTGAAGCTACATGCCTACCAAGTAGGATATCACCCACAGGGGATGCTGCCGGCCCCCCCCTGAGGGTCCGCCGTGTGGGAAACCCGCCAGCCCCGTCTTGGAAATGATCGAGCTCAGGCCGGCCCGCGAGCCATGTCCGGCATATTTAAAGCGAGTAAATCACCGCCAGGACGTCCCGAGCGACTGGCGCTCAGGAGTCAGGAGTCAAAAGTGGGCCGCTGCCAGTTCCATTTACCTGATGTCTTGATTTTCGCTACGGGGTAACCGGAGTCCTGTCCAAGGCAGTCTCCCCAGCACGGGGGAGAGACCGCCTCGACCAGAGGGACCAGGGGGCAGCGATTTCTATGTAGGTATAAATCGTACAGGAATAAAACCGAAGACACCGCGCAGTTTCGGCTAATGTGCACCGTAGGGAGGGATATGATGTTATGTATGGGAGGCAGGCAGTATTTACCCACGCATGTGCTATTATGTAGGTACACATACACATATATTTGTGTTTCTTATTCATATGGCCATGCCCTGCTATACGTTATTCCCTCGTGGGCGAGCCATGCATGCCACGAATAGTGAATATTACCATTGGGGTCACGAGATCATCACCTTTGTTATTCAACGTAGGAAGCCCTACTCAAATCCCAGATAACAAAGACGACAATACAAGTTGAGAAAGCCGATCATCCATGCCTTCCGTACAGCTTAGCACGGGAGCAGACAATAACTACCATGAACATTGATATGCACTATCGCTACTATGACTGTTACTATCCACCGCCCAACTGATCTTGCGGCACTGTCCGCCCGCACACACGTAACGGCATTGCGACTTGCCAAATCTTGATTATCTAACACGGCAGGCTGGTGATCAAGGTTGACGACGAGAGGATCACCGGATGCTAATCTCGGGCCGGGTGGCGCAATTATCCCCGTAAGGTTTCCGTACCGAACGGTCCGGGGAATTAAATGTAGAATTAATCTGCTAATACCCGGCTCGAACTGGTAGAAGCATGTTTCACTGGGATTTCAGCACCGAAGGTGACCATTGTAACCGTCGCAGTCATTATTATTAGAAGGGCCTCAGAAGTTGAGATATACTCGTGCTGAAGCAGGCGCTGGCACTGCAGCCAATCTACTCCGGTTGCCCTTGATATGCCGCCGGCATCTCATATCAAGGGAAATTAGGTAATAATGAAAAAAAGGGAAAAAGGAAAATGTCGAAATCAACAACAATGAGGCGACAGTTACGAATCAGACGAAGACACCAGCTCTTTGGCCGGATATTACCATTGTTCGATATCAAGGATCCTCAGTCTGTCACAATGGTGTTACTTGCCGATTGCTGTATATATGTAGTTACGCGGAAGAAGCTCACAAAATCACACAAGTTGATGTACAAAGGCTTCGTTTTTTTTTTCTCCCGCTCCTCAGAGAACATGGTTATTGAATTGAAACCAGTCCAACTCTAACGATGACGCAGGCTCACTGGATCAACTAAGTTCAATAAACTCATCCTCTTATTTAACTTATCTAACTTTTCCCCGTCATCCACACAAACTATCACCGAACTTACTATCATCCCATCTGCTCTCACAAACTCGCCAGTCCGCAACGGTCCATCGATCCGCCCGTCCGTCCGTCCGTCCGTCCGTCTCCTTCTGCCGGACTCATCCGCGAACACCAATAGAGCAAGCAAGCAAAGCCCCCCCTGCGAGACCCGCCATCATGTGTCGTTACAACGAGTTCATCACCAAGTGCCGGGTCTGCCAAGAGGTTATCCGCGTCTTCAAGAGCGGCTGGGAGTACTGTAACAACCAGGGCCGCTGCAGCTACAAAAAAATCGAGACTTTTGTCAGGCACGACACCTGTGATCGATGCCGCAGCGTGAGGTATTGATGCTAGCCTCCAGCACGCCTCCGCGAGCCAGGGAGATGGGGCCGTGGAGGAGCCTTCTAAATCGGAGTTGCCAGACGCGGCGGCGACGGCGACAACTAATACGACTTTCGCAGCTTCAACCCCGGGACGTTTGACACCTCGCAGGTATGCTTTCATCCTCCGGTTTCCCTACCCAGGCAGGAGTGCCACACTATCATCAACTCGCCCTCTGCTATTATCTCCGGGCCTGCTGACGCTAACATGATACGTATTCAGGATTCCTCATGGTCCGCTTGAGCAGCTCACGTCAGACCGTTTCTGCAGGTCTGTCAGTTTACAGTTACTCCTTGGTGAGATGCCGAGGTACGGGTGAGGGCCCGATGTATTCTTTATTATTATGAGACACGATCGGATCGTCAGGTTATTAGAGATTAGATTCTGTTCCGGGGGGGACGCCACCGTCCCCGGCATTCATGTGCCCCTAGGGGGAAAGGGGAAAAAGACAAGACTTGATACCCAAAATACCAGAACTATGCGTAGGACTTCGAGCTCGGCGGCCTTTGCCGTGATTGTTGTGACTGTAGCCCTAAGGAACAAGTAGCTACGATAGCCCGACGACCCAAGGCAGCCTCCTAGTGTTAATATAAGACCCTCGAGGGTGATTCTTACTCACAAAACCCGACAGTTAGGCATTGTCCGCATGGCTCGTAGAATTGGGCAAAGGAAAACTCCGCCTGCCACGCGGTCGAGGGACATCCCATTGTAGAAACGGCCGGACCTTTCGTCGCGGGCACATGGGCGATATTTGAATAGATATAAGGCAAGTCGTGGATATTATGTTGGGACTCACACTCCCGATTGAGGCGCTACGGGAGCACCGTGGATCGTAGCCGGGGTCTTTGCGTCACATATCACGGCGTCGTCACCCGGGAATTTCTGAAAGTATAGGCGGCGACGGTTACCCGTCTGGCCATGTGTGCATGTGGAGGGTTGCGTTATGCAGGAGAAATCGGAGACGTTATAGGGGGATACGTTGGGGGAGGCATTAAGGGGTGTGTGTCACAACAGACGGTGGGCGAGGGCGTCAATGCGCCCATCGTCGCACCGCCGGCGCCTTGTGGCTATTTAGACGTTGAGAAGTAGGTAGATATTACTCGGTAACACTAGTCTAGGAGGCCCTGTCGAATACTGAAGGGCGGCAGTCTGTCTAAGTCGGCCATCACGAACGAGTCCCTCCCTCCGATATGTACGTTGCGAATCGGACTTTTGCAGCAAGAGCAGAATCGTTCAAGTCTAGAGAATTTCAAAGTGCCCTCCACCCGTCTATACGATCTACACGGTGCTCCCCTTCCCTCACCCCCTTCCCCCCTTCCCCCCCTTTTTTACTTTTTCACCACTATGCCCGCGTCTCAGCCTCAGCCTCAGCCTCAGCCTTAGCGCGGTCCGCGGCCTCGAGCTCGCGGGCCTGGAGGAGCTGGACGAAGGAGTCGCGGATGGTGTCGGCGAGGGGCCGGTAGGCGACGCCGAGGACGCGGGCGGCCTCGCTGCCGTCGACGGCGTACGCGTCGTCCCAGCGGCCGGGGGTGCCGGCGGGGAGGCGGGCGGCCAGGGCGGGGAGCTCGGCGCGGGCGAGGTCGAGCGCGCGCTGGTGGGAGTAGGTGTAGCCGACGAGGAAGCGCCGGCCGGCGACCGCGGCGCGCGGCGCCGTCGTCGCCGCCGCCACGTGCGCCGCGCCCAGGTCGCGCCCATCGACGCACCCGCCGAAGTCGAAGGCCGGTACCGCGCTCGCGTCCAGCATCCCGTCCAGCAGCCTCACCGACTCGCTCAGCCACGCCCCCGTCCCCCGCAGCGCGTGCGCGTACGGCCCGAACACCCACGGCGGGCACAGCGTCGTCAGCGCGAACCCCGCCCCAGCCTCCCCCCCGTGCTCCGCCATCCACGCCCACATCGCCCGCTCCGCCAGCGTCTTCGACGCGCTGTACGCCGTCTTGCCGTCGCCCGCCACCGCCTCGTCCCACTGCGCCGCGAGGGTCAGCCGGTTTGCGGGGAAAAAAAAAAAAGAAAAGGGGGGAAGGGGGGGGGAGAAGAGAGAAAAAGGCGAGAGAGAGAGAAAGAGAGAAAGAGAAATTACGCACCGTAACCGGGTTCCAGTCCTTCTCGGTGTACGTGTAGCCGGGGCGCAGGCCCTTGGTCAGGTCGAGGACGGCGGTGATGGAGCTGGTGGCGACGACGCGGCGCACGCGGCCGCGGCCGAAGCGGCGGACGGCGTCGAGGATGGCGGTGGCGCCGCGCACGGCCGGGTCGAGCAGGTCGCGGACGACGTCGTCGGGCGCGAGCACGAAGGGCGACGCGGCGTGGATGACGGCGACGACGCCGCCGCCGTCGCTAGCCTCGCCGTCGCCGTCGCCGTCGCCGGCCTCGGCCGCGAACGCCCCCGCGTACCCGCTCGCGTCCGTCATGTCCGGCACCAGCGACGTGCGCAGCTGCCCCGGCCGCCCCAGCGGCCCCAGCTGCGCCGCCAGCCGCGCCGCCGCCCCCGCCGTCCGCACCGTCGCCCGCACCCCGTGCCCCGCCTCCAGCGCCGCCCGGACGATCTGCCCCCCCACGTAGCCGCCCCCGCCCGTGATCAGGAGCGTGCCCCCGGCCGCCGGGGCGTCTGCTGCCGACATGCTGGCGAGTGAGGGGTCGGCTGGGATCCTGGGGGGACGCGGCGCGTGAGCGCGTAGAGGAGTAGGGGGTTGGTAGGCTAGTGCCGGGGATGAGGTGAAGAAGAAGAAGAAGAAGAAGAAGAAGAACAACCCTAGGATGCCTTAGGTCGGGGTAGAGGCAGTAGGTAGAGGATCAGATAGAGGTGTCGAGTAGAGAAGTAGATCGGTCTGTATGTCTCTTGCTCTGAGAGAGAGAAAGGCGAGGGGAGTGTTAGCCAGGAGAGGGCGTCGAGACCATCCGTATTTATATCGAGTGCTACGGGACATGGACCCGGCAGAGGCGAGCGTAGTGGGGCGGATGTCCCCGTCGAGAACGTTGGCGAGTATACGCCATCAGTTGAGGTCGTGTTCCGTACGGGTCGCACGGCGATCCTTTCGTGTTCCATGCAGCAGCACATAGCCTGACGGTTGCGTCTTGGTCGTGCCCGGGAGCGGTCCACCCTCGGCGACGCGGCCCCTGTATGTTGGGCCGGCGTCGATGCAGACCTGTTGTCGGAGATGGTCGTGGGCCATTCTAGCCGTCGGCGATAGGCCCATACCCTCCCCGCCGCAGGGAGCGTGGAAGAGGTGTGAGTCGCAGTTGTGACAGCAGCTGTGGATTATCATTTCGGTTCCAGCAAGATTCTATGACTCGAAATACCTCCTGTCCCCCCGCCCCTTGATCTCTCGGTCGTCTCACGACTCGCCTCCCCGTTCTGCTGATTCCCACAACGCCGTAAGTGATTGATGTCGACTTACATTAGTCTCATTGTATAGGGCGGCACCCAGTGCTTACTCGCCGTCATGGGTTCGTGTTGTTGAATACAGGACCTAGGGTACTCGTTTCCTCTCTCTTAAATACAAACATAGCGCTTAAAAGTTCTGCTTTTGCAGCGTCTGGTTCGATGTCTTACAGATATGCCTACGCGTTGAATCCGGCCGGCGGTGGTTATACTAATAGTGCTAAGGCTCTAGGCCGTTGGGGTAGTGTGCTTTGTAAGGTATTATAGGAACCATCGGCCTTTAGCTCTACGAGTTTCACCCCTTCAAAAACACCACATTTTATCGCCGATCCGTAGGTCCGAAAAAAGGGGTTGGCACCGCTCTCCCTAAGTCAGCACACCTTGGCATTACTTATTTCTTCACTCCGAAACCCGTTTTTTTCCCTCGCGCCGCCTCTCCCTGCCTGCCTGGCCTTGCCCTGCTCGAAGGAGGTACGCACAGATGCCATCGGTCCCCGCTAAATAGCTACGATCGCATGCGCGTAGGTGGCCGCGGGAATAACGCCAGTCCGGGTTTGAGAGGAGAGGAGGAGGGAGGGGGGGGGGGGGGATGGGCCACGAACGGCCAGGCGCCTCCCAAGGAACGCGCCATTCAATGCCGGTAGAGGCCCGATAAAGAGAAATTAAAACTGACGGGGTAGAACAAGACTTGGAAGACGAAGAAAACGAGGGGCCGGTGTCGCTAGGGAACGCGCACGTAGTTCCCGGCTCGCTACTTCGGTGTTGAATCGGGTGGCGATCGGCGGGACTCGTGTACGCGACGGTGACCTTCCGTACTCCTCGACACTGCTGCTCTCGCCTCTAGTGTGTGGTCCCCCTCTTGATCCCTGAAGATGGGCCATGCACGGGAGAGGGCTGGACTGGCGACTGTGGTGGTGGGCAGAGGCGGCCCGCCCCGTTCGTCCCCGCCGCCGTCCCCGTCCGTCTCCCGACTCGTCGTCGTCCCTCTACGTTATCGCGAGGCGTGGATTCGCATGCATGCGCGTTTCATCGCGCTACACCAATGGGAAAGCCTGCCCAACCTGCTCGCGGCGATAGCCGGGATCTGTATTGGTCTCTACCTCGGTCCGTATAGCCTAGGTCCTCAGCCGCTACCGCACTGTCTGTACAGAGTGGGGAGACGGCGTGGTAGCAATGGCGCGACATATTCGAAATCCAAGGATTAGTGCATACGGCATGTGAATTATGTGATGCTGCTGCAGGGCTTCGAGTCACCGGGCTGCTAGACGCTGCCCCCCGAGTCCCGTCGTCGGAGGTTGGGGGGGACAGGCTACACCAAGCCACTTACGCGTAGTATATGCCCCACGGTGGTCTCCTCGAAATACTCACGGTATGCCCACTTACTCGCCGAGAGTAGAGAGAGAAACCCGCCAGGCGTCCCACGTGTATATATAAACATGATGCATTTGCGACTTGATTACTATATTCCGTGTTAAGATCACCCGAACCGCCCCGTTTGAACCCAGAGCGGAGTGGCCGGTCACCCCGAGGATCGCTCCCCGGTATGACCCAGCCTACGCGCCGAATTCATGCCGCTGTTAACACCTAAAGTCGCCGTTGATCCTAGAAACCCTGTGCACATCGAGGTACGCCTAACAGCACTTGCACGCCAAACCCACGCTCCCCCAGTTGGATATACGCTTCTACCCTGGACTCTGGAGTTAGCAAATGCCACCTAGCTTCGCCTGCCGCTCTACCCTGGCGCGCCCAGAGATCACGACGTGGGCCATGCGACGGAGGCGGTCTCACCTGTAAGAGCAGCCTCAACGCCGGGAGCTCTGGAAATAACCAACTGCCATGCCTCCAATTGCCCCCAATTCCGCCGCGGGCTTGGGTACCCGACCGTCGCTAAAGAACGCCATCCCACCCGCTGTGGTACAATGCTTGCCCTTCGCCCCTCTTCGTTTCCGACGCCTGTCGATACGCCTCTGCTCAGTAATTAGGAACAACTGCCCCAGAGGTCATTCTCGGACAGGCCTTTACACTAAACAATGCCGCGAAACCGGAGGCCATGCGGGGGTGCCTGCTGGTGGGTACCGCGGTACCGAGGCTCGTCGAGCTCCCTAGGCCCTTCGCACTACGTCCAACGCGGCTGCTCGTCGATAACCCGCTGGCTACCCGAGATGCTGGGCCTATGGCTTGCCCTCCCGTACAGCTGCTCCATGAGCTTGCCTTTCTGCCTCGCGCGTACACCCTCGAGATAGACGCCTACGTCCTCGAGGCCCTTGATTTGCTCGTCAAGCGTCAGCGTGCTGCTATTGACGCTCCTCACCAGAGGGGAGATGAGTTTGCGCCGTAGGCTTTCGAGATTGGCCTTGAGGGTGAGCAGCTTGCCGTTGTGCTCGACGAGGATTCCCTTATTGCGCACCGTCTTCTCGCGCACGTTCTGCAGCAGCTCGCGGTTGCGCTCGTACTTCTTCACCTCGCTTGCCTTGGGTCCTAGTATGCGCGTCCAGAGCGATGAGAGGAAGTCGGCGTGTTGCTCGTCCTGCTGCGAGGATTCGCGCACCACGGTGCGCGCCAAGTTGAGGAATTGCCGGTCGATGGCCTCGAAGAGGCCAAAGAGCGCTAGCGAGTGTTGGAGCTCGTTCTCGATCGCCTCCTCGAGCACCGAGAGGAATTCCGTGAAGGTACGCTGCAGCGTGTAGCGGGTGCGCTGCGGGTGCGACATGCCGAACATGACCGTCGCGATGTGGCCTAGTCGTGTCGGCATGCCCGTGTTCGGATTCTCGAAGAGGCCCACTGCGCAGAGCAGGTTGTGGATATTGGCGAAGGCCGTCGACAGCGGCGGGCTTGGCACGGCTTGGAGCTGCGTCAGCTCGCGTCGCGCCCAATCCATCACGATCAGGATACCGTCTATATCGCCGTCGACGTTGGCAAAAAATCTAGTGAGCTCGACGGCCAAGGTCTTTAGGCTGTCCGATAGCTCGTCGAGGGATTTCACTATGATAGGCGCCGACGTCATATTACTCAATCGCACACTCTCCCCGAGGTCCCACACCGCGACACCGGTCGCCTGGAGGTCCCCGACCTGAGACACCCCGTTCTCCGAGTAGTAGATGAGCGGCTCGAACGAGCGCGCGACACCGGCTACCTTGACCAGATCGGGCGACGGTCGCGGCGGCGCAGGCTGGAACAACGACCTCACCGTTGATATCGATAGAAGGGCGACGAGCGTTGCGACGATGATATTCCCCCACGACTTGGTGATCACGTTCAACCGAGTCCGGAGGAAATTTACGGCGGCCTCGATCGGCTCGGTCCGCTGTTGGATGTCGGCGCGCACAGCAAGCCGGATATCTACGACACGGTCAATAGTCTGGTCCTAGCATCGCTACGCCCCAAACCTACAGTTATTCCTGGCGCCGTCGGGCGACATGGAAGCCATCACATCTTCGGCTTCCGCCGTCCCCCTGTTCGCGGTCTTCTCCACCGGCGGTCTGGTCTCTCTCTTCATCCTAACAAGAGTGTCGTCGTCGTCGGCGTGAGCCTCCTCGGGGGTGGGCTCCTTCTCGGGGCTGAGACTCCCCGTCGGCAAACGCGTCCTACGGGCCGCCTCGAAGATGTCATCCTGAAAGATGCTATTATTCCTGATGCTGTAATTTGCGCGCCTCGGCCGGTTCATGGTCCCCAATATGTCTCTACTCCCGCGCCAATTGCCGTACCAGCGATCTCCATTCTCGAGCCGCCTCCAGGCGGGTGGGCTGTAATTACCGTTGGACACTGACATGTCGTCCAGATTGTCGTCGCTCTCTTCGTGGAGATCGGCCTCCTCGTCCGAGAAGCCAAAGCCCGAGTGGGCTGACGGGTACTCGAACGGCGTCTGGGCCGGCGACATCGGGGTTGCGAACTTTCTGTCGTCTATGCTCGTTTCGGAGAATAGAGAGGTCATCTTCGCCTAGATACTGGGTACCTGGCCTGTCTGGGGTGGTCGGGCGCGAGCTTGGACTCTGACGAGGGCTCGGGAGGGCTGGTCTTGCGCCGAGAGAGAAGAAGGAGCGCAGGTTTCGGGTCGGCGTGATCGGGCGGTCGCGATACTGGTGATTGAAAGGGACCAGGGAATTCCCGGGGCCCGTTCTCGATTCGGGAGGGGGTAACGCCGGTAGGGACTTATGCTGCCGCGGCGGTTCGATCGCGGGTCGCGGCGGCGCAATAAACGTAGGCGCTTTTACGGGAAACCGAGGTAAGCGCAGAGATGTTATATTCCACAGCCGTATATGGCCGGTCGAGATGAGATAAATGTAGAAGAAGGCGAGGGTAAGTATAAATGCGACGAGGAACGTGCCGGGCGCAATCGTGATGCTGAGCAGGGAGACGTGATTGTGAGTCTCGATGGATACCAGGGGTAGCATCGAGTTCGGGAAACGAACGACCAGCTCTGAAGGGGGGGGGGGGGGGGCCCGTCTGACGGGGTGGTGACTCCGGGGACAGTCCGGTCTCGTCTCGTCTCGAGGATTGTCTGCGCGGTAATCGGATGATCGGGTTGGTAATGGTGAGCGCGACCGCCGTTCGCTGTGGTTGCAATCGATGTCCGAGGTATCCGGCCGGTTGCGAATCGGGCAACTCTCTCTTTCTCTCTCTCTCTCTATATATGTGTGTAGGTATGTATCCGCGTAGCTTGCCGATCCCGTGGTTATGATGTGCGCGCCTACGACGATGATTCCGTCGAACTCGGCAATACACCTCAGCTACCGCCGGCGAGATGAGCTCGGGTCCGGTCAGACCGAGTTGTCGCAAAGGCGAATGGGCCGGACAAACGAAGCCGGAGGCGCAACCGGTGAAATAGAAGTCGGATAGGCAGCTGGCCAATTTGCGCGGCGGAGCTGGGAAGCGCGGTAGGAATGGTTACTGAGGGGGAAGTGCGGAAATGGGTGAGGAGGAATGGGTGAGGGTGAGTAAGTGGGCAGGTATTGGGCGTTGAGGAGAGAGAGGGAGGAGGGGGGGTTCGAGGATATGGGACGGGACATGGGGATAGACATGGGGGACATGGAATAAGAACTGGGGTGGATGAGCGGGCGTGTGGATTGGAGGGAGGAGGAGGAGGAGGAGGAGGAGGGAGAAGGGAGGAGAGGGGGGGGGGATGTGTGTGTGTGTGGATGGTGGTGGGTGGGCCGTAGACAAGACGGACAGATAGATAGACAGACAGAGAGAGAGAGAGAGACAGACAGGAGGCAGCTAAGAAGAGACGGGTAGACGGCTCTGCATGAAATCGAGAGGCTGGGGAGATCTCAGAAGCACCAGCGGCGGCACCAGCAGCGGCACCAGCAGCAAGCCCATTCATTCACTGGAAGCCCCCGGCGAGTGCAGAGAGGAGGGTTTGTAGAGAACAGGCCATGTATGTACCAGCTACATGGCAGCGGCACCCGCTCGCCGCCGGTCTGTCCACCCGTCTGGCTGTCCAGCCGGGTGTCTCGTCGTCTCGCAGCAGCCACTGCGACGCCTGACGGCAGCGGCGGGGGCTATGTACCCGGTACATGGCCAGCTCGCAACGGGCCGGTGGTGACGAGAAACATGGCTGGCCACGGGAGCCGGCCACTCACAGGCGCGCCTCTCTCGCCTGCCCATGAGGAAAACCCCCCCACCTTCGGGATGTCGCAGGGGTGACCGCCGCCAATCAGCGCCGCTCGCTCGCGGCCGCCTCAGGTGAGACCCCAAGATGCAAGGGCCAATCCGTCTGAGGCGTTCCGCTCCTCTCCTGTCCGTCTGCGTCGAGTTGCGCGACTCGAGAGAACCGTAAACCCCTCCTCGCCCGAGCGGGCGTAGGTGGCCGACTTGTGTGTGTAGGTAGGTATACGTTAGTAGCCCCGCGTACCTACGTCTGGCGCGGCTGGGTCTGGCCTGTTCTGCCCTGTTCAGGAATGGGATCGCACCAGAAGGGAGCGAGTCCCCTCCTCCCCCTACGCCGACCGCCCTCGCAGGAGGTACCTCCTAGCCGCCAGTGACGTAGGTACCTATCTTAGGTAGGTAGGAGGTACTTGCCAACCTAACTAGGTACCTACCTTCTAGGTAAGTACGGTAGGTACCTGTTGGTGGGCTTGTCTAGCAATAAAGTCGCTTACCTCATGCACCAATCTCACCTGGGCAGGCAGGTAGGTACCCCTCGCCGGACACCTCGACCTCGGAACCCTGGCTGTCTCCCGCCCGCGAGTTCTCGTCACGGCTCCTTCTCGCTGCTTTCCGCTTAAGATAGGTATGCCTGGTTGGTCCATACTACGCTGTAGGGATACTTGCCTTGTATAATACTCTCTATACTATATGTATATACATACACATATATATGTATACCTGCGCTTGTCCACCTATGATAGCGGCAGCTAGCCAGCGATCCCCCTAACCACCGCCCACAGCCAGCATACCCGCCTCTACCTACATGCGTCGTCCCCATCTGCCTCTCTGCTGCACGTAGGTGTATATGTATGGTGTGGATGTGCCGACCCCAGCGTGCTCATTCGCAGATCGTAGACAACGGGATGCCCTCCCTCTTCCCTCTCCCCTCACCCCCTCCTCCCTCGTTGCTCGTCCCCCCCCCCCCCCCCCCCTTGATAGGGGCACCTAAGTCAGTGGGGAATACCACCCTGTCGCGGCTCGGCCAATGGTAGCGCGCCAATCCGCCGGATTTGTTGTCGCGGTCTAAGCCGTTTAAGTGCTTGCATGAATGGACCGGATCGTGGGTCGCCATCGTCGCAGCCAATCAGAATTCGCCGTGGCTTCTCCCTGCCCTTCCCCCTCCTCTCCCCTTCCCTCCCTGCTGGCTGTCACCCAGCTAAGTTATCCTGTTCTGCTGCTGCTGCTGCTGCTGTGACGGTACATGCACTTAGACGCGTTCAGGAGGAGAAGAAACGAGCGACGCCAAAACAAAAACAATCCACAGCCACACATATACATATACGCACACGCACACGCACGCACCCACCAACGTAGAGAGGGGGAGAAGCATAAGCGACGCATGCAATGCCGTCGTCGATGGGAGGGACGTAAACATCCATTAATTATAGGCATAAAACGGCTGAATTACGGCTTGCGTACCTAGGTAGGGTAGGCACCGTAGGTACCCGCCTTGGGTTAGTACAGTATGGTACGCACCGTAGGTTGTGTGGCTACCTGTAGGTACCTACCTCCTCTAGGTAGATACCTAGCCTTCTTAGGTACCTGCCCAGGTACCTCTCTCTTAGGCACCTCCTGGCATCAGAGAAACCCCGCTCCGCCCGGGCTACACCTTACCAGGTGGTATGACAACATCGAGTCGTTATCGCCCCCCTTCGCTTCGGACCCCTCTCCTTATCACCCCGCACTCTACATATCCACATCTGACGATATGCTGCCGCGCCAGGTAGGCACTTAACGGATTGCACGTCTCAACGCGATGCTGCTCGCGACCCGTCCACCGAAAGCACACATGGTTTATCGCTAGTCATATAACGCCCGGGGGGCCTACTTAGGTGTGGGGGAAGATTCTATGCCATAATTTCCTCCGTCAAAGTCGTCGCTGCTTGCTCCGCCTCCTGACCCGCGCGCTTTGCTCTCGTCCCACCCCTAGCTCGTAGCTCGACTCTTATCGTAGGATAGACGCCCGCCGACGGGCCTACCCACTCACGGCTGATAGAGAGGGAGATATGCCTGGCCGTCACGCACATCTGTCCGGTAGGCTCCGCCAAGCAGGGGAATGTCACTAGAAACCTACAGGTGCCGGTGCGTGGATCCGCCGAGAGCAGCGAGCTGCCGTCCTTCGCCGACGTCCTCTTCCATTCGCCGTCGCGCGCGCGCGCGCGTCCGCCCTAGTCCACTCGAGCGGTCTCGAGACTCCGCGCCGACGGGTTGGCTAAATTATTAACCTGCTTCAGTGGCGGCGGCTGGTATTTGCTCTTCTTGCGGAGTCGTTTGCGCGCGACCATTACCGGGACCGAGCTCTTCGTCACCAGATAATTCGAAAATGACCCGAGCAGCGTGCTGTAATTCTTCTCGTCAGCTTCCTTTCGCGCCCTTCGCCCGCTCTCCCGTCGACTTACCCTTTCAGCGCGCTTCTACCGCGGCTTCCCAGAATGACCAACGTCGGGTTTAGGATATCGATCACCTCCGTTATGAGATGCTTCGGGTTCTTGCAGTGGATCACTTCCACGATCACTCGAACCTGCAGCTGCGTCTTGCGAAGGAGCTTCGAGACTCTCTCGGTAATATCCTGCACCGCTCGATCTCTTTCCTCCTGCAGTCGGGTCTTCTCGCGATAGCTCGGCGCCGGCGACGGATTGTTGCTGCTGTTCCTGTCGAGGATCCGAACGTGCGGCGACATCGAGGACCCTTGTATCCTAAGCGGGCCGGGACTGCCGGTGCGATACCCGGGTTTTCCCGCGGCTCCCTTGGAAATTGCGCTGATGGCTACCGCTTGTTCCTTCATGGCTTTGGGTTCGTCCGGTACCATACCGCTGGCGTCGACTGGGCCGCTCGCCTCTTCGTCCATACAATACATGGCGACCAGCGTATCTCCGTCGCGGAGCACCGTCCCGACCGCCCACTCGAGGGCGTGCGTTGACTCGTCGCTCAGGTCGGTTGCTACTAAATACTTTCGGAGACGTCTGTGTTCCTCTTCCGCTTCTTTCTGTATTCTGCTGAACTCGCCGCGGTAGAGGATTCGGATGGATCGATGGACATCAGGCGTGCAGAGGATTGGGGTGGTGGACAGCTGTAAGCTTTGCGCAGCCTTGATGGCGTCGACGTCCGCATTTAGCTCTGGGTCGAGGGGTGTCTGCGTCCCGGACAGCGGCTCTTGGTCAAAACTGGTCGACGGCTGAACGACAGGTCTGCTAGACTTCTGCCTTGTTTTATCCCCCGACGGACTCGTGACCGTGATTTCAGGTTCGTCAAAAAGTGACCTATACTGGGGTTGTGTCGCGTAGACAAGTTTTCCTGCCAATGCCATTAGCCGTCTTGCGCAAGCCGCCTCCTCGGGATCGCGTCTCGAGGCTGGTATGCTTACGCTCGTCCTCGACCGCAGCTAGTAAACTTTTGGCCTCCTTGGTCCCCTCCCCGGTGGACGCTTGGCCTTCCGACTCTGCCCGCGTGGTGAGTTTTCTGCCCCTATGCAGCTCCTCGTCAGACGAGTTCGCGACGTCATCATCACTTTCATCCGGCAGCAGTTCCCCGTACGGACTCAGATTGTCCTTTTCAATCCTGCCATGCCCGTCGTTGTCTTGCTTCTTGCGAGCCAGCGAAGCCAGACTCGACCCACCGTAGATTAGGTTGGCGTCCGACAGTCTCCTGTAGGCGCTGTTCATGTCTATGACCAGACCGTTGTCTAACATGATGGTTCCTTGCGGCTGGCTGCGCCCAGCCGAGTTTCCAAACGGCGAGTTTGACCGCAGAGAAAACCGATTGTTGGGAGACTTGGACTTGGCATTCTTTTTAGAGAAACGGCCGTGCTCGCCCGGCAGAACGAGATTGGATAGGTCGGGCCCGCGCAGCGCCTCGCCTATGGAACTCGACCGACTAGCTGCCGTCGGGCCGCGTTTGTTTGGCAGTGCCTGCCCGACATTGGTCGGCAGGATGTCATGGAACTTGTAAGCAGACGTCGGGTCGTTATTTCTTGTATTCGACATGCTCATAGGCGGCGGAGACCGGTGCCCTATGTCTGTGGCGGAGTTGGAGGTACCATCGGACATGCTTCTAATACGGGCCAAATTGTCTGCGGCCGGCGTCTTGAAGGATGGCGTCGGAGAGGTGTGCGTACTTGTCGGACCCGTCGTAGCCGGAGGACCACCGATATCCAACATGCTCCTGGGCTGGACCGGAGTACTGATATCCAGCATGCTGCGGACCGGGGGTTGTGGTTGGGAGCCCCGAGCGGGATTGGCAGGTGCCTCGGCAATATCCAGCATACTCCGAACGGGGGACCGAGGGGTCGTATAGGGGGAGGGGGATCGGTGGCCGACGGAGGCCGGCCTTCTGGGCTGCATCGCCATCAGCTGCTCGATCTCCCTCCGCTCCTCCTCGAGCGCCGCCTCGAGCGACATCAGTCTCCTGCCAGACATTGATCAAGGGTTATCGGGGACGTAGCAGCCTTAACGGCGGCGCGAGAGACTTGGTCACTCTACGGCGACAATACGCAACTGCCGAGCCGAGGGCGAGGCGTTGCAACCTCAACTATCTCTGCTTGATCGAGGCGGTCCGCCTAGAGAAGCGAGAGAGCCGGTCGGGCGCGTCGAGGAAGCAAATTCCGTAGGTAGGTATTTTAATAGGGGTGTACAGAGGAAGAGCGAGGCGACTCCAGAATTGTCGGAGCGACACACGCCAGATCGGCACTATCGTGGGATAATAGTCGGGCGTCTTCGATGGAGACGGGGACCGAGCATCGTGTGCAGAGAAAAGACCCGTCTTTTCGCGTCGTTGTTTTTGTCGACCTGAAACCTGGGCCTCTCACTGGGGGCTCATGGCTACCACCCAAAGATCGGGTGTTGCAGGCGCGAGCGGGTCAAAGGTGAGAACTTGGAATTGGCACCGGGTTGGGGGTCAGGTAGAGGAAGAATAATAAGAGGTCGAGTTGAGTCAAACCGTCTGGGGTGGAATCGAGGTCAGCTCAGCTCAGCCGGTGTGGGGTTCGTCACTGGTCTGGGCTCGACGAGTTTTTTTCTTCTTTCTTTTCTTAAATACCGGTCGAGTCGCACGGAGCCCGGCACGGAGAAGAGGAGGAGGCCTCACTGGTTTTGCGCTTGCCAAGACCGATGTGGTGTAGAAATATCACAGGTGATTTGTGGTTAGGTGCAGTAGTGACGAGTAACGGTAGCCGTTAGTAGCCTGGCAGGGAGGAGAGAGTGGCCGCAGTGGGAATGGAGAAGAGGCGGGAGAAAAAGAGGTGGGGGGGGGGGGAACACGGTCCAGAACTGAAGGATGGATGCTCGCGAACAGGACGGGACGGAGGATCGTAGGCAGACAGCGAAGGTGCCTTATAGGGTCCGACGTCGATGGGATCGGGGAAACTAGTAGACCCGGTAGGTAGGTACTGGTTTTTTTTGGGGGGGGGGGTTTCTTCAATAAAAAAAAGAATGATAAATAAAGGATAAAAGATTTAAATTAAAAAAATGAAAAAAGGGGGCGCTGCCCACGACCTCTCACCTCTGCTTTATGTAATACCCCGGCTACCCGACGAAGGGGGGACCGGGGTGTGACATTTCTGCATCGCGACGTAGTAAGGGGCACTTGGTAGAGCCTTGGTCCTCTTGCACGGGCTCCTCATACGAACTGTATTTTACCTACCCACCTCCCTGGGCTATCGGCCAGAAGCAAGTAGGCAGATCTCCACCCCTCCTACACAGAAAGAGAGGCTGCTTTTGAGTTCTGCCGTGCCAGATTCGACGGGGATGTGAGCGGAAACGGCCTAGATAGGTTGGCTCCATGCCGCATACACATGCGCCTCAGGCCAGGAGGGGCCTGTAATTGTAGGCCGGGAGAGCGACACCCAACCTACAGGCCTTTTTGTCCCCGTCCCAAACCACCGACCCCAGGTACACTCGGTTACTGTACCTTGAGCGGCGTTTAGGGGCAAAGTACCTAATTTACCTACCTACCTGTAGTACCTAGGTCCTTATTAGGCTCGTAGTCCTCTAAGCTCGGCCTCCGTACATAGACCTACCTAGGTAGAAGAAGAAGTATATTTAACGTCACGCATTCTACCTAAACTAGATAATGAGACGGACCTACCTAGGTACCTAACCATCCAGCACATTCATCGAGTTACAAGCTTACCGGTACCGAGGTGTATCTACCTATTCTACCGGCACCCTCGTCTTCGTGGAGGCAGGCAGGTAGATAGGCACGGCATGCCGGCTTGAGATACCCGACATGTGCTTACAACACGTGTACCTGCATTTTCTTTTCTTTTTTTTTTTTTCGTTTTCTATTATTTCTCACGCCTCTCTACGACCCGCCGATATGGAGCCAGGCAATGCGCCTCTCGCTACGTCGTGTGGATTTCCGGGGATTTCCGGCCCATCATCTGCGCCTACACGCTCGCCAGTCTCGAAAGCAGTCGACTGATAGGGGACAGGGCAAGACGTCAACAGAGGAGACGAGGTGCGCCAATGGTCTCCTATATGTACGTACCTAGGCATGCGTGCATTTGCATGGACGAGGCGCCGCGTTCGTGCCAACCTCTTAGGTGGTGCGTATTTGCATGGGATCGATGTCGTTGGAGCACAAGAGGTCGGGACGCGGGCGAAAGGGGTCACCGGGCCATGCGCATACGAGTGAGCCCAAGACCAAGCGGAACCGTTCCGGCTCCGTATGTTTCCCAGGCACCCGCAAAAGATAGACCAATTCGAAGGATGATGTCTGTATATATGTATATGTATATAGCCTGATACCTAGGTGACAGGATTTCGTCACGGCGGTTATGAGAGTAGACCTATTCTTATATATGATTAATCCTCTAACGCATCCAGCGTTACTAACAAGGATACGGATAATTATCTTAACTAGGGTAGATAACATCTGAGAAAGAAGTGTCATGGGCTTGCTTCTCCGGTTCGGCATAAATTGCCTTGACATACCCAGGTATGGAATGACTGACTCGTTGGCTCCGGTCTTGACGGCTGCTTGCTCTGACCATCGTTAGTCTCCCCGCATTTCTGTTCCCTTGCCTTTCCCTTCTCCATCTTCTTCTCCACCTCCTCCTCCTCCACTTTCGCCTCCTCCGTCTTCCCGCCTCGCGGAACCCCATCCCGTAGAAAGGTATCGTGGCGTATATAAATATATAATCCCTGTTAGAGGGTCTAGTGACATGGCCACCCAGAGCCATGTGGCACCACCACGATCTATATACTAAAGGATTCCGGACGCAGCCAAGGTACTCGTCCCGTTTTTCACCTACATCTATCCGTCGCGCGTGTGTCGTGCGATGCACGCATGAACTGCGAGGGACGGTCATGACCGTTAGCCATGTCATATATACCTATATATATATATATATATTCTCTTAAGCATGCTGCGTGGTACGCAATCACACATGTTGGGCTGCGCGCGTGAAGATCATGTAACAAGGCATTTTTGTTCATTATCAGAAGTTCCTCCTTGGAATAACCTCTACTTCATTCTGAGTTGTCCCGTTCGGCAACCCTAAAGGGGGGTATTTGCTTCAGAATCATTGTGCCGCCAGATTCCCGTTCGGTGCCGGGCAGCGAATACCGCAAGGCCGACCGGCTGTGACCGTAAAACGCCTAATGACTTGAGCACCGGCATCCGGCCAGCGCTCCCAACAAGGAGCAAATAGTCTATCAATACATGCATGGGGTACGAGAAGAGCATCTCTCGAGCCAGAGCCTAGATGCTAGAGCGCCTAGAGGGTGGAGAGATCTGTTCGGACATAAAAGACGTAAGGGTCATGGGAGGCATGAAGAGTGATATGCGTCAAAGGATGCAAAAATCGATACCGAGCCATCCACCTCTGGATGCAGAACCGATGTCATAACTTTTCCGAAACCAGTTGCGGGAATTGACCTTCCAAACCGTCAAAGTATTGGGGGAATTGACGCCGAAGGAGACAGGATAGGACATAAACCCTTTTCGCCACAGAAGGCGCGAGGATATATAAAAAGGAGCGCCATCGCCCCCGTTTATGCTTTGTCATCGGCCTTGTCATCCTTCTTTCCGGCTTCACCCTCCGTGGTAGTTTGAGTTTTGATGTAATCGTCATAGACGGCCATGGCTTCGTCGACCTTCGCCCGGAGAGCGCTCTCGTCTTCGATGCTGTAAAAACTGTTAGCAATTTGCCGCTGTGAAAAAGTGAAAATTTTTTCCGACTTACAGGTTGACAAGCTCGGCATTGTCCATCTCTAGAAGCATGCCCGTAATCTTGCCTGCCAGATCCGGCTGGATTGACTGAATCTTGGGGAAGATCAGCTCGCCAAGCATCTGCTTCTGCTGTTGCGGGTTGCCTTGGGCTTGCAGCTGTGAATGCAAAATTGCAGTCGGGGTTAGGTCTTGCTGTGCATTCGAGACGTTGCCGATCGGTTGGTTAGGGATCCCGCGTCCACCCTGGGGAGGGAATTGTCCCGGTTGGCCATTCCGGTTGTTTATCCCGCCACGACCCGCAGAACCACCCTGCCGCGAATTAGGGGGGTAGCCAGGCATGCCGCCAGGGCCGCCCGGTAAACCCATGTTGGCCGGAATTGCCTGAATTGGTCCTCGGCCGGCGGGGACGCCGCGACCACCCCCCAGGGCCGCCTGCTGCACCTGGGCCATCGCGGCCATAAACTGTGGGGTGCCGGGCTGCCCGTACGGAGCACCTGGCGGAAACTGGCTCGGGAGATACATGCTAGGTGGAAGTTGAGGTATGGGTCCACCGCGACCTCCCTGAGGTCCTCCGTATGCAGTAGGGTTGAATTGGCCAGGTCGGCCACCTTGCGCGCCCGGCATGCCGATACCAGGGAATGGCATGCCGCGGCCGCCTTGGGGAGGGAAACCCGGCTGCTGACCTGGAGGGTAGTACACGGGAGGTTGCATGTACTGCTGAGGCATCCCTGCCGCCGCAGCTTGCTGCATCCGGAGTTGGTTGCGAGCTTGGATACTAGCCTCAAGCTGGCTCTTCCGAACATCCTTCCGCTGGGCTAGCGCGACATACAACGGCTTGTTGTTGAACATGCGTTGGTTCATATCGCTGACGGCCTTTGTCGCATCGTCGGGGTTGGCAAAGCATACGAATCCAAAGCCCTTACTCTTCCCGAGCTTCCTTTCGGGCTTTTTATCCTTCTTCTCGCCCTCCTCCTTCCCCTCGTCGCCGGATTCCTTCTGGTTCTCTTTATCCTTGCCCTCCTTCTCTTCCTCCGCGTCACTGATAGTGTCACGCATCACCTTGGCGGAGGTAATGGCGCCAAACTCGGCGAACATCTGGCGCAGCTTATCGTCGTCGACATCATCGTCCAAGTTCTTAATGTAGAGGTTCACCCCCTGGTACTTGTTGGCCTTCTCTTGGCGAGCCGCCTCGTAAGACTTGCGCAATTCCTCCTCGCGCTCGTGCTTCTTCTGGGCCCGGCCAACGTAGAGGTCCTGTCCATGGAAATCCTTGCCGTTAAGGTCGTCAACCGCCTTGGCGGCACTTTCGTGGGTGGTGAAATTAACAAAGCCAAAGCCACGGGATTTGCCCTCGTTATCACGAGCCAAAGACGACGAAGTTACGTCACCAAATCTCTCGAAGAGCTCCCGGAACTCGTCGTCAGTAACGTCCGCTTGGATATTTTTCACGTAAACGTTGGTGAAGTTCGCCTTCATCTCCTCAAACTTGCTCTGGCGGTCCTTCTTGGGAATGTGGTGACCAACGTAGACCTTCTTCTCATTGAGCAACATTCCGTTGACATGCTTGATGGCTTGAGCAGCAGCCTCGTCGGTCTCGTAATGCACAAAGCCGTATCCTTTGGAGTTGCCGTTCTCATCTTGGGCGACTTTGCAGCTCAGGATGTTACCAAAAGCGGCAAAGGTGTCGTGGAGGGCCTTGTTATCGATGGCAGCATCCAGGTTCTTGATAAAAATGTTGCCCTGCCCGCTCTTGCGCAGGTTGGGGTCACGCTGGGACCACATGATACGGCACGGACGTCCCTTGATCTGAGTGTAGTTGAGCTCCTCGAGAGCACGCTCGCCATCAGCAGTAGTGTTATAGTTGACGTAGGCATAGCCGAGGGAGCGGCGAGTAACGGCGTCACGGCAAACGCGAATCGAGGCGACAGAGCCTATCTGAGAGAAGAGCTCGAACAGCATGGCTTCGGTGACGGAAGGGTCGAGTTCACCGACGTAGAGAGAGGCGGATACGGCAGGGTGAGGAGTCTGGGCAGAGCTGGGGGTGGGTCCAGCAGCATCACCCCCGTCGCCGTGGGCGTCGGGAGCAACATTAGTATTGATCAAGGTCGGTTTCGCATCACCGCCGTTGAGAGAGGCGTTGCCAAGGTCGGCGGCAAGCTGGTCAACAGCGCCGGGGGCAGTAGCAGCGGCCATTGCGAAGGAAGTAATTGGCTGGCAGATTGCAGAGGCGTTAGCACAATTGAAGCATAAAGGAGTATGAATTCCTGGTTGGGGCGGTGGGGGGAGGGGGAGAGGGAGGCGGGATGCCAAACTTGCGCCTGACAGCTATCTCGGGACGGAGAAAAAGAAGACAGACAGGTGGCAGGATAGAAGCGACCGGGGGGGGGGGAGCCTACCAGATGATTAGGGTGAACCGAAGGGGGCGAAATAATGCTGTCGCCTCGAGACCGAGTGTTAGGCGATCGGCGGAAAATAAGAACTAGCCAGGCAAAGAGGCTGGCTTGTCTGTCGTCAAGGTCACAGAGATTCCTTTGTGGTTCGCAAACGTCTGGCTAAGTCTGCTCGAATTCGGAAGACGGTTTCGCTGTAGGTGAAGATGGACGAACAGGCGGGGGGAGTCGCCAGCAGCACCTTGCTCAACGGATGGGAGGCGAGGGCGGATCGAAGGGAGCGGGCGGGAATGAGAGGTCGTGAGGTGGAATGGGCTTTTTTTTCTGTTTTCCGAGTTTTTTTTTGGGTTTTGGGTTTTTGCTTGAATGAATTTGGCGAGAACAGAAATGAAGTACGAGCGGGGGAGATCGTACTTTATATCCGAGTCTCTTTTTTAGATTTTTTGTGAGAGTTTCTGGTGACGAGCTGGCGGATAAAGTTGTCAAGTCGTTGGGGAGAAAGGAAGAGGAAAAGGCGAAATAAGAGAGAGGGTCAGGGCCCGTCCTCTTTTAGCATCTTTTTGGGAAGATTTTTCGTGCCTCTTAGTCCATCGCGATCAACCACACAAAAAATTTCAACCGGGAAAAAGTGGATCGGACTCAGGTTTCCGTACCTAAGTACCCCCCGCGTACCTGGGACCCTGTGGCCTCCGCCGGGTTTGCGCTCTGAGGTCCGACATGTGGGAACTACTTACATCGCCGGTACATTCGTTGGGTTCCTGCCGGACTGGCAGAGCCATTACCTAAGCCCAGGTGGCATAGCACCTTCCTCTACTAGCCTCATGACGCAGTCCGGAGAGTTAGAATTGTAGATCTACCTGGGTAGGCACTTCGAGCAAGGTACCTACAGGTAGGTCGTAAGTACCTCCCTCTACCTCTACGCAAGCTCGCAGCGCCTCGCGAGAGTACCCGATGTACCTGTTGTCTTTCATATGTAGGAAGGTATCGATGAGTTGGACGTGCCGGGACAACCTTCGGTGAGGCAGTGACGGACCACGGCAAAAGTCTAGCTAGATCAGGTAATAACCTTCCGGAAACATTTACCTAGGGAGGCCCGCGAGATCGATATCGACACATGCTCCACAGGAGCCAGATGGCGAGGTCAGCGGGCTGGTTCCCCTACAAGAGGGGCAAAGCAGCGAAACGGACTGAAGAGTGAGAATACAGGGCGAAACATCAATGGACACGAGCTGCGAGATAGGTCATCGGAATAGCTGTGGAAGCCTGACTTAGCACGCCCCCAGTACACCACGGGAGGTCGCGGGATAGCCTCAGCAAGGCGGTCCTTACGGGCGTTGGATACATACCTGCCCAGGTAAACGATGTGAGAAGTTGTACGGCCGATGCCAGGGACACACATATAGCTATACAAGGAGAATTGTCTGCGCTAATCATAAGAGGCGTTCGGAGAGCAGTAGCAGCATAACAACACCTTAGCTGGCTAATCAGCCGCTACAGCACTTCTACATCGTGTGCAATTATTCCACTTCATGCAAAGTGCATGTGAAATAGGCAAATACTTAATAGGTAGATCCCCACATTATCGGTTAGCTGTAGCTTATCTTATCGGGTATCCAACGGACAGATAGCGGGGCACCTTACCGTTACCAACCTACCTCTACCCAAGGCCCATGTTCCTGGTATACAGGTAGGTACCTGGACATCCCGGCAGCTCACACCAAACCGTATAGTACCTGTTCGGTATACGTACGCATTCAACGGGCTGCTCTACCCGTGCTACCAACATCGAGCAGGTACCTACCTAGGTACCTAGGTAGGTAAGGCGTTGACAACAGTGGTGCGCGTGATCGGTGAGCCACCCAGTCAAGTTCTAGCTGACGTACCTAGATAGCAAGTTGCACACAGAGCCTCCATCCAGAGAAGGCCGCAGGGTTTTCCAACGAGGAATCTGTGATATTTTCATCTGGGAAGATGCTGCCCCAAAGGTACAGAACTACCCCTAGCCTGACGCAGCCCATATTAGCACTTTTAAATACAGCCCCTTGAATGATAAAAAGGGTACCTAAGGTACCTCTAGTATAGGTACCTACCTCCTACCTCTAGGTGGGCATTTATTGAATGCGTCATATCAGCGGTGGATGGACAAACGGTGGAGCGATCAATATTAGGTAGGTAGGTACTTACTCCTACACCTAAATGCTAGGCAGGTGCCACTTCATTGGGAGGTATTAGGAGGTACCTCTCAACCAGAGCAAACTGTGCCTTTCTCAGAGCTTCCACAAGCATGCCACAAGCATGCAAATGAGAGGTACCCAGCATGGTAAATCACGAAGTCGCTGAATGCCTGCTCAGCCAGGTTTGGACGCATTGCAATTTTTCCCCGATGGGGCATAGCGCTTCGCGCGACGCCTCTCTCCACGGTCTCGCTGCGGTCTCGCTGCGGTATAAACGTCTCCCCTACGTCCCAACGTCCGTCGATGTCGGCTTCCTACACTCTCTACCTTGCTCCTCCCTTGCCCTTCTCTCTCCGGCCCATCCCTACTCACACAGCGTGCCGCGATCATTTCCGAATCCTCACCGCTTCTCCATTGCCTTCGCCCTTATCGCCGCCGCCCGTTTCACAACGTAGGACATGTCCCACGACCTTCACTGTCTCTCGTCTCTTCTCACCTGCCGACTCCATTCTGGCCCAACCGGGACTGCGGTCGAACCGTCTGGACTCTAGGCCACCCCATGAACAATGGTTCTGGCGCTCAACCTCCTGCAACTTTGTCCCATTTCTCTTCTTTAACGTGCGCCGAGCGCCGTCAGGTATGTCTTTCGAGAGGATTCCTACGAGGCTCCCGCTAACCCAGCCAGCCATAAGATGATGCCACAAGTTTTCACCAACCCGCTAGGCAGCTAGAGTCCTTCACATTTCCCGCCGTCTTCCCATACGGATTCGTACTCTATTCATCATCACCGGACTGATTATAAACGCCATTCCGTCGCCCACCAAAAGGGGAGAGGGGATACGGGATCTATGGACATGAAGGTTGGAGTTGCTTGACACTTTGTGCATGGTTCCCTCCTTCGCACTTTGAACGCTGAGCTCCTTGTCTGCTGACCCATCACATGGCTAGCCACGTTGCGGCAGGAAGGAGAGGTGTCTCGTGGGGGAGGTCGTCTGGCTAGGGGTGGCAATTCGTCGGCCTGCTGCAAAGGCTGAAGAAGAGGCCGACTACACGGGCTACAACTCCCGAATTCAAGAGACAACCATTGCACGGTTCGATGACTGGTAGAGATAGGAGAGACTAAGGGAGAACCACGGCGCGTCTGGCCCTAACAGGGAGACCGACACGCAAGTTGGATACGTTAGATCGGACGGGCAGAGGGTGTCTGGAGATTATGATTCCGTCGACGCATTGCAGGAGCTGAGGCTACCTATACGACTCCTCCTAGCCGTCACACAATAGCGAGGCAGACATGCAACGCGAGCAGGATCCCGTGGGCTGGGCAAGTATCCTTGATTGGCGGCTCAGGGGAACCATTATCTAATCTAGGGTCGAGTACAGGCCGCAGCACGCAAGGAGGTGGAACGGGCTAACTATGTAGCCACGGCGAGGCCGACAATCGTACGTGCCTAACCAGGGAGTTGTTTCAACAAGGTGGCTCGACAGATGGATGATTGGCAGTATTACGAGAGGGACGATGGGGGTGAGGAGAGCGAGAGGCGAGGGATGAGGAGGACGAGGGGGCCGAGGGAGACAAAAGGAGCCGAACACGACTAGGGCCTCCCGATTCTAACCCAAGGGCAGATTTGCTGCGGAGGAACGCCCGTTTGCGAGCGGACTGGGAGGGGATCGAGACACAGCATCGGAGAGCCATGGCAGGGTCCGCGCGTGGAGATATATTTCTCTAGCCTGTCCATGTATGAATGGATTTCAACAAAAATCATCTATCGTGCCGGGATTGTTTGCGCTTCACCAATGGCATAATGGACGATGGCTTGCGCCAATATTGATCGTGTATCATTTTGGATTCCTCCTGTGTCGGCGAATACCGAGCTCAAAAGCCGAAGTCTCCAGAATCAGTATCAAAAACAACACCCTTCCACGTTCAAGCTATAGAGCCGAGCCACACCTCAGTAGGGGGGCGAGTGACGCGAACCCCAATCCTGCTCCATTGGAAAATCTCTAGACGAGCCAGTATAAATCTCAGACGATGATAGCGACGGCTCTGGCAGCGACAATGATAGCAATGATTCATTCCCAAGAGGCCAACAAGACTTCTTCAGTGGTGGATATAGGCCTAGGAGAGACTCAGCCCTACCCGTGCCGGCGGCCTGGACACCAGGATTGCCTTAGCCTAGCGGGAGCTGCAACCAATAGCTAGTGCACTGTGAGCTGCTGCTGGTCAGCTGGCTGGCCGCGACGGGCGGCGTTACCGCGTCGCGCTCCTTCGAGGGCTTGCAAAATGGACCCTTGCCGCCGCTGCGAACGAGGAGCTAAGGGCTATGCAAGGAACCCCGGATCTGACACCATACATACTCGCATACCGCCATGGCCGGCTAACATCACAACCCTCCCCCGCCGTCTCGGCCCCGCCTGGCACCTCCGCTATCTGACCCATCGAGCCTCTGACCATCTGTATTTGTTAGAGGGGGTATGGGCACACTGGCTGGGTCACTTGCTGAATGCTAAATGCTATAACTTGACCGCCGATGTATCCACTGAGGTGACCCCACAGTGAGCCGAAATGTGCCTCTCCAGAGCTAGACATGGACCTGCCGTTCCTAAGCAGACCTAGAGGTGGCAGAGCTTGTGATTTATTACGGTATACAGGAGGAGGCAAAAATAATGTAGGTAAGTGCCTGTATGCTAAGAAACAGAGCGTGTTGAGGACGCTGTGGACGTTGTGGACGTGCTCCATGAAATAGAGAGTCGAGCGAGAGAAGATCGAGAAGAGATTTTGGGCAAGGACTGAAAACTGAAGGATGCAGAGAGTCTCCGGCGCTTCCTGAAAGCCCAATACCCCGATGCACTCTTCGTGAAGGGTTAGGTATTGCCAGGTCAGTGACATGCGAGTTGTTAATCTGTAATTAATTGGAAGAAACCTCTAAACTCACCCTCACCCGGTCGAATATCCGGAATCATGGCAGCTATCGCACGCGGTTGCCGACCAGCCATGTATTTCCTGGCTCGCAGCTCTGCCGCAACGGCGACAATCTCTACTCGAAAACAAGGCCTACTTATGTAGGCGCGTTCGGAGTAGTGTCTTGTTGGCTTGATATGGGCCACTTACGGCCATCACATGTACGCGTCAGCTGGGCAACAAGCACTCCAGTTGAATCATGGCCAACCGCTGGAGAATGAAGTCAGGCTGGGGCGGCGGCCTGCCAGGCCTTACATGTGTCCCGTTCCAACACGACTTTCATCTTTGTGCGAAAGAATGCCCGGACATGGCACATTCTGCAGTTGAAGTCACCATGAGCTGCCATCCAGGAACTGCCACCAGGAACGTGCCATCCGTTCGAGCCTGCGCGAATTCTGGACCGGTTTAGGAGAGTCGGCCACCGGATCAAGTCCAGACCTGCAACGGACACAAAAAATATGTTGGCACTGGTTAAACGGGTTCTAGCTTAGTATAAGCTGCAGACTGACCGCAATGTTACTCCATAGACTCCGTGCTACTTGGCATCCTAACATCTGTTCCTGTGGGTACCACTGGCATTGGATAGCGCTTTTCCATGTCCTCTATTGACAGTGGCAATACATTCTTTCTGGAAGGAAAGATATAATTTCGGCGCTTTAGGTGTATAGAGATGTGGATATCAGCTTCGTAGTTCCTGGCTGAGTTCACTGAAATTTTTTTTTTTTTTCACCAGTGTTTGCCATCTCTTTTGGAAATTCTCGTTACTCCTGTCCCGTTTTCGCTGCCTTTGTGTAACATCCCCGGCCGATTTTACCAACATGGATGTTTCTTAGCGGTTCCGCTCAGAGACCTTATAAAATTTGAATCTTTTATATATGGCTAGGCTGTGAGAATAAGAAGAATTAAGTAGCTAGGGTTAGACTCGCTGCATTGACAAACATTATCTTGTGTTGTTAATACCACCTACAAATACTTCCACTAAATCTACATATCTATAGGCATGTAATACTAAAATCAGGCCCTTGGAGATCCTGGAGTTGGACCCGAATGGTAGGACCAGATCTGGACCCAGGTCCCAAATCCGGTCTCTACTGCCCCCCTTTTTTGGGGGGGGGGGGGCCTGCTCGTAGGATTAGGGCTGAGGCGTCAACAAGCGCTACTGCGCTTATAGTAAACCAGGTCGCAGGATGTTAGCACAGTCCGGGCCATGGGGCATGGGGGAAGCAGACAAATGCGATCGTCGAGAACTTACTCAGCAGGTACTGAGTAGGAGCACAGCAGTCACCAAGACAAATTGATAGCATTTATACTTCATCTTAAGTAGATCCCAATTTTGGGACGATTGTGGGAGTCAACTTCCCAGTTTCTTCCTCCGACGTCAAGATTTGAATTGCCCGGCGACATCATGGCTCGGAAGTCTCAATTCAGATATGCGAGTTCTAGGCACATTGCACCTATTATCAGAACACATTCGAGACTTGACAAGTCGGAATATAAATGTAGAAAATAACGTGACAGTGGCTAAACGCGGGCATCCAGACACCAGACAAACAGGTGTGCGTCTAATAAGCTAGACTACCACTTCGCGAGCCACCCCTTCGCGAGCCGGGTATTTTGTATAGGTTTACATACAAACGATTTATCCCTGTAAAAAACCGGGAAAAAATCGGAAAAATCGGAAATTTACTTACGTAATCGATTAGCTTAATTAAATCAACATATGAGTTTTTCGAATTTTTCGCTTAGTAATATAAGAAGTTATATACGATTTAAGGTTTTTTGAAACTGCACTAACAGTTTGCCATATAATTTATTAGTAAATCTGTTAACTGTGCTCATATCGACATGTTTACCTATTTTTTTCATAGTAATAGAGTGGGTCTATTACATAATCCTTTATTTTATAAATAGAAGAATGGCTAGTATTAAGTAATCTTATTTTTATTATTTGATTTCATTTTTATTTAATTTATTATTTTAAAAAAACCACGTTTTTGAACAGGTTAAAACTTTCTAAAATCGTACCCATTTTCACAGTAAGAATTCCACCTTTCCGACTGTCCTATTTTTCCATACAAAGAGGTTCTAAAAAAGAACACTAAAAATCAACGTTTTTAAGACTTATTTAATTTAATAAAAATCAGAAAAATAAAATGAAAAAAGTTTACGTAATCTTAACCATCATTCTATTTATAGTATAAAGGATTAGATAATAGATCCACTTTATTACCGTGAAAAAAATAGGTTAAGAGGCCGATATAGAGCACAGTTAACAGATTTACTAATAAATTATATGGCAAACTGTTAGTGCAGTTTCAAAAAACCTTAAATCGTATATAACTTCTTATATTACTAAGCGAAAAATTCGAAAAACTCATATGTTGATTTAATTAAGCTAATCGATTACGTAAGTAAATTTCCGATTTTTCCGATTTTTTCCCGGTTTTTTACAGGGATAAATCGTTTGTATGTAAACCTATACAAAATACCCGGCTCGCGAAGGGGTGGCTCGTGAAGTGGTAACCTAACTTACAGTAAGGACCACGGATTGTACTCACGAGTACATACACCTGACGATCCCGCTAGTCGGCTCCCTCACCTGCTAATCAGGCTGGCGGACAGTGGCCGAGGACCAACTAACCCTAGATTTACATCTAACTCTGCTACTCTCAGAGCTAAGTGGGTTATATAATAGAGGACAGGTTCGATTCCTGACAGCGCTACTTGGTAGTCTCTATTATTTAGTCTATCTGGTAACTTCGTCCAGGCAGCAGGTACTGCGTACTTTAAACTCCAGAAGCTACTGGTTCGAGCCAGAGTACCGCCTTTGTAATAAGGTCTTTTTAGGTAGTACGTATATACTAATACAGGCTATACGATAGTAATAAAGCGCATCTTATCCTTATAAGATCTTATATTCCGACGTTTACTAGAGTAGGTAGTATTATAATAACGCGCGGGAGCGCGTGCCTGTTATATGGGTCGAGCTCTATAGGTTTGATAATAAAGGATAGGTTCGATTCCTAATAACGCTACTTAGTAATCTCTATTATTAAGCCTATCTAGTAACTTCGTCCAGGCAGCAGGTACTACGTACTTTAAACTCCAGAAGCTACTAGTTCGAGCCAGAGTGCCGCCTTTATAATAAGGTCCTTTTAGGTAGTACGTATATACCAGTATAGGCTATACGATAGTAGTAGAGCGCATCTTATCCTTATAAGATCTTATATTCCGACGTTACTAAAGTAGGTAGTGTTTATAATAACGCGCGGGGGCGCGTGCCTGTTATATGGATCGAGCTAAGTAGGTTATATAATAGAGGACAGGTTCGATTCCTAACAGCGCTACTTGGTAGTCTCTATTATTAAGCCTATCTCTCAGGTGGTTTTCCGTAAAAGCTACCGGAGTTCGAGCGAGCAGGGGTGGTCGCTACCGAATCTAGGTACCCGGAAAGCCACCACAAGAATTGATTCTAGGTACAGAGTAAGATTTGTGATAGGAGCCAACCCTGGTAGTCCGTTCACTGAGAGTTACGTTCCATAGTCTCGTCCCCTGTACCCCAGTTACCGCACTTGAACACCGACCACACCGAGCCCACTGTCGCTAGCCTTCTGTTGATACAGCGTCCAAATCCTGTAAACTAACCACAGCACTGCCGTCGTAACTGTCTGTTCTCAGCCTTTCGTGCTCGTCTGTGCTCGACTTGGTCTTGCGTTCTCAGCGAGGTCCCATGTACTGATCGGGCGTGGTTCCTGAAATGGCTCATGTACTTAAATTGCATCCCCTTGCAGTCTCGATGCCGGCACACCTGACGCTCACTACGACGCTCTGCACGCTCTCTCTCCTCTAGATGTGCATCGTCAAAATGGTCGTTCCTGACAGTCGGACGGCAGTAACGAAACGCCTGTTCCTCGAGAGGGAGCCGTTCGTCCCCAATACGGTCAGAACACTGTTATTTCCGTGAGGATCTTAACCTGTTGTAGAGCATGGCTTCTGTTTCCGAAAGCACTCCGTCGAAACCGAAACGGCGGAAGACCGGGGTCTTGAGCATGGACCCCTCCCGACGCAGCGGGGTGCATTTGGTAAAAGCAGGCCCAGCCCTAAGTACACGGGCGGCGTTGGTCAGGCTCGGCGCATCGAAGGCGTGGTCGCGTAGTGCGTGGGCCATCATAACGGTGATGGCACAGAGGATGAGCTTCTTAGTTGGGCTAAAATAGAAGACGGCCCTGGAGCGCAGCCTTGAGTCGAGAGCTCTGGGCAAGGCCGGAAAGCATACGGTTTTGATTTTTCGTCTGCTCCCTTGAGATGAATAAACTTGATGGCCATTGTTGGGATGGCTTTACCCGTCACGGGGTGGCAGACAATCATCATGAGAATATTTTCGTAGCAGAGGGCTTTTGGGCGGCCGCGTCCTGTGGTCTCCCGCGAGAGCAGCTCGTTAAGCCGCTTGGGATCGTCATCGGTTGCCTCCTCATCGTCGGCCACGTCGGCCTTATCCGTATTGCTGCCGTCGTCGCCGTTGGCCGGCCCGATGACGACCTTCTGGCCGAATAGCTCGTCCAAAGAGCCATCCTTCGGCCTCTTCCTCCCGCCATCCACAAGCTCGGCAGGTCGCACTCCGGTATAAGACAGGATTACGTAATAGCCGTGCAACCAGACGCGTTGCAGCCCGGTAGAGAAGATGCTGGTGTCATATGCTAGGTTGAAGGTAAGGATGACTCGCAGCTCGTCGATGCCGACAACCGGCTTGCCGTCGGTGTTAGGTGGCCAGAGGCCAAGCTGAGGGACCAACACGTTGTCGTGGTACTAGCAGTGCGTCAGCGGACATTCTGTGTCGGATCTGCCCGAGGTACAGACTAGGCAGGGCTCGTCGCGTACCTTGTAAACCTCTCTGGCATCGTCACTATCCATAAAACGGCCGGTGACGCAGGTGTAAAGCTGCTGGAACTGGCGGATGTGTACCTTCGTCGTGCCTGAGGACCCGACTCTAGAGGTCTCGCAGACGCAGAGGAAAAAGTCCATCGTTGTCTCACGTCTAAAATTCGCGATCGTCGATTTCCACTCCCGCACCTCGCAGTATCTGGATCCGTGCCATTAGCTAGGACTTTGATGGGGTGACGGGAACTTGTGCGGCTTACCGCTTCTATTTCCCAAATATAACACCGACATTGATCTCGTCTCATCCACAAACTTTGGCTTGATGAAGCAGATACGCGTCTCAGGGCAACCAGACGAGGTGACGTAGAGCAATAGGGAAACGTCGGCAATGCCGCCATTTAAGGCGGACGAGTGCCATGGCTGGCGGTATTCGATCTAGGCGGCCGGAGTTGGCTCTCCATACACATGGATTGTTGGATACCCGAAGCCAGGAATTGGGATGGGAAAGAAGAGAAATGTGAACGCGGAAACGAGGAGACAGAAAGGAGGGGTCCAAAAAGTGGTCCCTCAAGTCATTCGGTGGGTCCCGGCGTGCGGCGTGGGAGGTCTTGTGGGGGCGGGCAATGATGGTATTCGGTACCTGACAAGATACCTCGAGTGCGTGGTCGCCCCTCGCTGCTGGAGCCTATACATGTAAAAATGGTGGCAGAAACCGCCCGATTCGGCGACCCCAGCTGCGCCTTCTCTGTTTAAAGAGTACACAGTAGATGGTAAAAGACCTAAATGTGGTATGGGGCGCCAAGAAGCAGGGGGGTAAATTCGTACCCTCTATCTTTTAAAACTTCTTATAAGTATTTTTAGAGTAAGGTAAAGCGAGTGCTACTACCACTGTTACCACTATTATTACTATTATACTAATACTATTATTAAGTTAGCTCTACTACTAATACTATACTATAACTATTTACTATTTACTATATAATATATATTTTAAAAAATTTATTTTATTATAAAAAATTAATTAAGCATACTTATATAAAGTAGTTAAAAATATATTAAGAAAAAAGTTTATATAATCTTTATAAAAAGTTAAAATAAAGCTTATTATAAAACAAGTTTTGATATTAATTTATTTTCAAGTTAATAAATTATAAAAAACTTAAAAAGTTTTAGAAAATAAAGAGTATAAACTTTACTGTTTACTTTTTGGCTTTTTATATTATATTAATTTTACTATCTACTAGGTATCTATGTAGCTTAGATACGTTAAGTGATATCTAAATTAAACACCCAGAGGTAAGGTACCGCAGTGACGTACCTACCTTCTCTTACAGAGGTACCTATCTACCTACTTAAATACCTCTTGATACCTTGCTTTATCCATACCTTAGGTGGATTACAGGAACCTAAGGCTAGGTACCTAACCCACCCATCCTGACCTAGGTAGGTAGGTATCTTACCTAACTAATGTCCTCATTATCCTTCCACACCCTTCCCACCTTGACCTTTGCGTTATCTACGCCATCTCACGGCTACTACTCCTCCAACACAACAGTAACTCGCCGCAGATGCGCATATATGCGTAGATTCGGATCCCCCTACTGCCCATAGGTGCAGGCTAACTTCATCGCATACATATCTGTCGTCCCGGGGTTTCTCTCCAGCACCCCTCCGCCCGCCGACCAGCTGTCATCTTCCCTTCCTCATTACGTCAAGTGCGACGGATTACCAACTAACCCTCACGACGAGCTCATCATGCCGATTCATGCAACCTAGTAAAGGGAACACAGTCCATAACGTCTCGTCACTTTGCCCGCTCGTTTAACGGATGACGATTGATTTGTCCTGCTGGGACTCAGCAAACCCGAGCCAAACCTACACCTAGCTAAGGCCCAACCCCAGCTCCCGACATGTTTCCTACTTTCACCGGCACGTCGAGGAGGCCTCGGAACGTCAACCTCAGTGGCCAGCGAAATACGAACCCCTGGGCCACCCCAAACTGGGCTACGTCCGGTTCTGGTGCTTCCAAAACGGTAGCACAGGCTCAGATTGAGCGTGAAAAGAGGCAGAGGGAGCGGGATGAGTTGAATGCTGCTAAGAGGCTCCAGAGAGTCTGGAGGGGACATAGCGGCCGACAAGGCTTCAGGCGGACATGCAGACAAGAGTACGATCGTCTATACCACCAAGCCGCACTCCACGATGCGCCGGATCGAGTCACTGATGCTCTACCCCTTCTCCTCGCTCTCTTTGACCCAAAGCAGGCGGAGGACCAGCGACGCCTAGACCTATTCGTGAGAGATTTAGCCGGTTTACGTACGTCCGCAACCCACATCGGAATTTCCGACCCAACTTCGTGGGATCGGCTTGAGCGGCTCCTTATCAGAGCCCTAGAAAAGTACGTGGGTGGGTGTGACAAAGATACTCTGAACCATCTGCTTACACCTCATTGTAACAGGCGTGCCGTGACCTCGTCCCAGCCCCTTGTCAGCCTCTTGGTTGACATAGTGAGGAAAAGGCCGATTTCTCTCGCACCCGTCTTAGACCAATACTATAAACTGCTTGCGCGATATTACGAGCAAAGCAGCAATGCAGAAATCTCGGTAGAATACCAGCAAATCCTGACTCGGGCAGCCACCGCGCCATTGGAAGCAGTATTTGAAGGAGGTACGTAGTCTGCCTAGGCAAATAACAGCGGTAAACCCGAGTATCTACGGGTACGTTGGTGATACCGTACCCCTTTCCTATGGCTACCCTAACCTTCATATTGCATCTGCGGAGGGGCTAACCGGCTGTAGCAATGCCCATTGTGCGAGCGTACCAGGCTTTCTCCTTCTATTTTCTCACCTCGTCAAGCCTGTCTTTCTTACGCCGAGACCCCTCTCCAATTGCACGCTGCTTGAATCTGCAGGCCTTATCGCAGAGCGTAATCGATACCTATTCGGGGCGGGAACACATAAGCACACTGTCAAAGAAAGGCTCTCTTTGGTTGCTGGCGCATTTCATCGCCTTGAATAGAGCAGCGCCGGTCTCCCAAGGCTCCAAGTATCTCGAGGCTCTCTATCTCCAGTTATCTATCCTTGCCGATGATATCCGAATGCGCCATGGACAGCACGGCAACCAGAACGGTCTCAGTCATAGCGATGAGGCATCCGATGACGCTATTGAAGACGAAGACGACTTCCCTCAATCCGACTGGGTGTTCGAACAGCTCGACTTCCTCGTGAACGAAGACGGCATCTCGGAATTGCTCAACAGGTTTACCTCGTATGCTGGCACCGTCCGCACTCTGCTCTACCCATGTAGCTAACACACGCGTCTAGGACAGCTCTGTCGTCCGATCGTCTTTCAGAAGACGCCAGTCTACTTGCAGGCTACACTTTAGTGTTACTAAGATGTTTCCCTAGCCATGGCGATGATATCAAAATGCGACTTTTCCAGGGGGATATTTCGACAACTGATCCAGCGGGTCCCGCGTCGACGCCGTCCGTCAAATATTTCTGGAAAGCGGCTTTAAATACCGAGATATTTCAGAGCATCATGCAGCCCAGAGCTCAACAGCAACCTACTCTGGTCGTCAATCTGCTACAATCGGAGCCCATCCACGACCGAGAGTGGCGGACTATACTCTTATTCCTAGAATTATACAACTTCCTCTTGAGAGTTACAGATGACGAGGATTTTTTGCCAATGGGAGGTCAGATATCATCGCAGCAGAGCCCCGCAACTATGCGTATACGCTCGAGCAGTCTCAGCCTCGATGAATTGCAGCAACTCGTCAACTTCCTTAAAAATCTCTCGTTCCCGCTCTATTATAATTTGCTAGATATCATGCCGCCCACCTCCGGACCCACGCGTCTGCTAAACAGCCTCATGGGAATCAGTTCTAGAAAGCCAAGCGAGCAAGAGGAAGCCACAAAACCCACGCCATCGGTATTCGCTGGAATCATCGGCATGACTGTTCTGGGTCTGAGAAGCGCGTCCACAACCACCATGCGCTCTTTATACGAAAGAGACTCTCGTCGCCGTTTTCTCCCCGCAGACTTCTGGTTGATGACCTCAAAATTCGACATGGATAGCTTTATTTCGGCAGTCGTGCTGGAGGAACAGCGGAAGGACCAGATGGACGAGGACAAAGAATACGAGGACGACTCAGACGAGGACACTCTTAGCACTTTCCACACTTTCACTGGGCAGCGCCTCTCACGCGCAGCTCAAATTGAGAAACGTCGTCGCCTGCGAAAGGTCCAGCGCGAACAGTTGCTCTCCCAGGTCGGGCCGAAACTCGAAATCCTCCGAAATATGCCCTTCGTTATTCCTTTCGAAGTGAGGGTCCAGATATTCCGCCAGTTTGTGTATCTAGACAAGTCCAAGCGCCGAGGTGGCCACGTCGACCCTGACCGATGGCGGCTGTCGGTGATTTCGTCCGAGGGCGGGTTTAATGAACATTCCGTCAGAGGGAGGGATATCCTCGGCCGTCATGCGGCTCGTGTGAAACGTGGTGAGGTATTCGACGACGCGTACAAGCAGTTTTATCCCCTCGGCGAGGGGTTGAAAGAGCCAATCCAGATAACCTTCGTTGACCAATTCGACCAGCCCGAAGCCGGTATCGATGGCGGCGGCGTTACTAAAGAGTTCCTCATCAGCGTTACGGACGAGGCCTTCAAGCCCGGGCCAGGCGGCCCCAGCCTCTTTGTCACGAACAATCAGAACCTCTTATACCCAAATCCGACCGCATTTGATGACCTCGCGGAGTTTCTCCGTTACGAAGGATACTCGGAAGGCGACGTCGAATGGAAGACGCACATGGCAGACCTTTCCAAGCGCTACGAGTTCCTCGGCCGTGTGGTGGGCAAGTGCATGTACGAAGGTATCCTCATTGACAAGGCTTTTGCTGCCTTTTTCCTCCTCAAGTGGTCATCGTCAGGGCAAAGCTCGCCAACTGACTACCGTGCGAATTTGAACGATCTACGAGACCTTGACCCCGAATTGTATCAAGGGCTCATCAATCTCAAAAACTATCCTGGCGAAGTTGTCGACCTTGCATTGGACTTCACAATCACAGATCAGTTCTCAGGCCCCCAAGGGGTTCGCACGGTCACTCGCCCGCTTTACAAGAACGGGGAGGATATTCCCGTCACCAACGCGAACCGCCCCCTGTACATCTCGTACGTGGCGAATCACCGGCTGGTAGCCCAACCCTATCGACAGACCAAGGCTTTCCTTCAGGGGCTCGGATCCATCATCAACCCCTCCTGGCTGTCGATGTTTAACCAATTGGAGCTTCAGCGCCTAGTAGGGGGGGATAGTTCGGAGATTGACGTCGAGGACTTGCGGCGTAACACCATGTACTCGGGTCTCTACGCTATTGGCGACGACGGGTTGGAGCACCCTACGGTCCAGATGTTCTGGGAGGTGATGCACGGGCTTCAAGATTCGCAGCGCCGCGAAGTGCTCAAATACGTCACATCGACACCGAGGGCGCCACTGCTAGGCTTCTCTCAGTTGAGCCCGCGTTTTAGTATTAGAGACAACGGGACCGATGAGGATAGATTGCCGAGCACCAGTACATGCGTCAATCTCCTGAAGCTACCTCGTTACAATTCAGTAGGGACGCTGAGAAGTAAGTTACTATACGCCATCCAGTCCGGAGCCGGGTTCGACTTGAGCTAGATCATGGCGACGTCGATACAATAGTAGAATCGAGAGGTTCTTTCCGCGACTATATCCGCCATCATCTGCTCGTCTCCTCGTCTCATGATAAGAGTCCCCTCCCATCGTGTCACAAGCCAGCCCCTCCTGCCCGTCTATTTCTTTGCCTCGGGTTCAACGTAAGCGGGTGCAACTGCGCAGCGACATAGTGGTATTATCTGCTCCAGAAGAGACGGGAATGTCAACATCGAGGGCGTTGCAGGCCAGATGCATAGGGTCACAGCTGATAATCACGAAGACTAGATAATCAATGTATTAATATTTCTTACACAATCACTTGTAATGATCCATTGTCCATGTAGCGGAGATAAAGTGCTGAACCATCGAAGACCCTTAGATTGCAGCTATACACCTGGGTTCTCGCTCGTCTTATACAGTGATCAGGCGCCACCATAGCTCAGGTGGAGAGCAACCAGAACCAGATTCTACAAGCAAAGAACAAGTCAGGTAAGTCTCTGGGTGACAACTAGAGAGCATGCTTGCCCCCAGCAGAGGGGTCACGATCCAACGGAGGGTCACGTCGACGTGCGAGCTGATAAAAGTATATGCTACGCACCCCACTCCCTACATAGATATATCGCCCAACCTACCAAGGCGGACGCGCAACTTTTCAATGATACACGCCACTTCTCCAACGGAGAAGCGGTTAAGTGTAGCATAGCCGAAGTAACATGGGATCATCTCCTCTGTGAAGGTGTGAAGGTGTGAAGGGGATTATAGTCCACACTCCCGGATAAGAACCCCAATTTTCCTTTATCTGATCTCGTCTAGCCCGATCTCGGGGGATAGTATCTTTTATAAGACCGCTGTTGACTACGTGCCCCAGACAGCGAAGCACAGATAATAGTCTCGAGTTAATGAAGGAAAATTCGATTTCTAATTTCTAATAGCCTTCTCCCCATCGTCATCATCATCATCATTACCTACCATTACTGCTACCTACCCCTTAACTACCGCGTACCCCATGGCTTCTTCCAGCCCGTCACCGTCACCGTCGACGTACCTCGTCGTAGGAGCAGGTTGCTTCGGAGCGTCGACGGCGCGGGCGCTGAAGCGTACGCACCCGGACGCCGAGGTGGTGCTCGCGGACCCGGCGCCGCCGCCGGACGAGCGCGCGGCGGCCCACGACTTCAACAAGATCGTGCGCGCCGAGTACGACGACCCGCTGTACATGGGGCTGGCGCTGGAGGCGCTGGCGGCGTGGTCCCCGGACGCGGGTTCGCAGCCCGACTCCGCCGACGTCGTTGCGCCGTTCTTCCGCCGCACCGGCGCGCTGTGGTCCATCACGCGCGAGCGCACGCGCGCCCTCGTCGCCAACTACGAGGCGTTCCTCGGCGCCGGCAACGCGCCCCTCGAGGCGCTGAGCCTCGACGACGCGCGCCGCCGGTTCCCCGCGCTCGAGGCGTGCCAGTTCCCCGGCGGCGGGGCGGAGCCGTGGGGCGGCAGCCCCGAGCAGTGCGTGCTGAGCCCGCGCGCGGGCTGGGCGGACGCGCAGGGCGCGCTGGGCGCCGTGATACAGGAGGCGGAGCGCGCGGGCGTCCGGTACGAGGTAGCCACCGTGGCGAAGCTGACCTTCGCCTTCGGCAGCGGCAGCGGCGGCGACGTCGACGCTGGCGACGGGAAGGCCGCGCGGTGCACGGGGGCGGTGACGACGGACGGCCGCAGGCTCGCGGCCAAGAACGTGGTGCTGTGCGCCGGCGCATACGTGCCGTGGCTGCTGGCGGACAGCGCGCCCGACCGGCCGGCTCTGCACGCCGGGGACCGGATGCGCGCCGCCGCCGTGCTGATGGCGCTCTTCCGGGTGCCGCCGGGGCCGGAGGGGCTGGCCAAGTTCGAGGGCGCGCCCGTCATAGTGCACCCGTTCGGGGAGTATCCCTGTATGTGCCCCCTGACCCCTACCCCTCCCCCGCTGCCTTCTTGCTACCGTCGGGGCGACCGAGCGCTGACCTAGCCTCCCTCCGCCCTCCCGCCCCCAGCCGAGTCCATACCGCCGGGCAGCCCGCACGGCCCGGAGCTGGCCAAGTGCACGCACGAGTTCCCGTACACGCACAACCGCTACCACGAGGGCGCGCGCCAGGAGATCTCGGTGCCGCCGCTGACGACGAACCCGGCCCTCATGATGTGGACGCGCGACCTGCTGCCCGACGCGCTGAGGGCGAATTCGGCCGCCGTGAGGGACTTGCTCTTCGGAGACGCGGTGCAGGGCATGACGCCCGAGGCGTATCGTCTCTGCTGGTAGGACCCACCCTCCTTCCACTTCCCCTCCCTCACACCTCTCGTTTTCCGGATGTCCGTTTTTTTTTTTTTTGCGGCACGATCGCTGGTTAACACGTGTCCCCTCGCGGGGACTTGGCTAGGGACCTGTCGACGCCGGACGAGGAGTGGATCATCTCGCCGCACCCGGCGGCGGGCAGCCTGTACGTCGCCACGGGCGGCTCGTTCCACGCGTTCAAGTTCCTGCCCATCATCGGCAAGTACGTGGTGCAGATGATAGAGGGGACGCTGCCCGAGGAGTACGCGCGGCGGTGGGCCTGGGACAGGAAGAGTAAGTCTCGCAGCTCGGGGAGGCCGCGGAGCTATGTTATAATACCCAAGTTGCGGAGTGCCTCCCCTCGCACGTCTGCGCGAGCAGCAGCGGTCGCTAACTGGGATACCGCTTCACAGTAACCCCCATCCGGACGCCGTATATGCCCCGAGGAGACCTAAGCGACGTGCCCGGGTACCCCGAGTAGACGGCGAGATTTGATAACGAGTTTCGGATGAGGAAAGGGGGGGGAAGCTATTTAGGGGGTATTCGTTTCTCACTTATGTGGTATAATAATGTCTAATGCGTGTTGAGTACGACGGATTTAATGGGTTTCACATACCTACGATTTCAGGAGATTTATTGTTATTTTCAAGGCTTTGTACTGTAGAAGTAAGAATGTATCGTTTACTTTAATACACAACTCACTGGCTCGTCAGCCCTTTTTCAAGTTGAACCGTCCCCAGGCATTATTTTGCGCTGTTTTCGTCCATGGTTACAAGTGTAAAAGCTTGTCGCGTGGTATCGCGTGGCGTTCTTTACATGTAGTACGTGTATTCTAGCCTCGGCGCATTCTCACGGGGAAGAGAACCTTCGGGAAGCCTCGTTCATCTTCCTGACCTTCGAGAAGCGGCTATAAGCTACCCATATCTTTCTACTAGTACGTCTGCCACAGGGGAGTGTGGGCATCGATTTAGAGATGTAAGCTTACATAGTTCCCGACGCGACAACTCCTCGTAGTTAGTCGGCTGGGCCGGCTAAGAAGCGGTCGCCTCTATAGCTCACACTAGTTGTCTGGTGGTCAATACCACATCCCTTGTCGTCGTCAGATGCGGTAGCTTAGCTTCTCAACTCCAAGCCAGGATATCGACTCCTCCCTGTCTTGGCGTAAGGCCTCATTGCTAGACCTAGTCCAAGCTCTGGGCCGTCCATAGGCATGATGTGTCTGTCTTGTTATGAGTAAACTACTAGGTAAGCCTCATCTTGCTATCAGGCTCATGGGAGTCATAGAGAAACATAGACGACTCCGTCGCTCTTCCTCGTTGGAGATAGAGGCTTACACACATAGCTTATCACGCGGTGACATTTATGTTTTGGAAGTATAGTTGCAAAGGATCCCCCACGGCCATGGATACTTCGCACGAGGACCTACGATTCCGAAAACAACAGCTCTGATAGCGCGTTACAATATATACACCGAATGGCTCTACTTAGATCGTATATCGGAACTCGGACATGCCGGCGTCTAACACCTTCTTACCTTCGTCCGCGCGCTTGTTCTCCCACTTGAGGACGAATATGGAGATGGTGGCGGCAACAACCGCAGCTATGCAGATAGCCATGACGGCTATGATACCCGGCGTGTAATTGGGTGCATCCTATCTCCTGGTCAGCATCTGCCTATTCTTGTAGTGCGTGCAAGTGGATGTAAGGGGGTACTAACCTGCTGGCGGAAGACCAGAGACGAGTAGATACCGCCGAGGCCACTGAGCGTGACCAGGACGGCCGTAGCGCAGGCGCGCTTCGCGTCTCCGCGAAGATTGTTGGCCTGCCATGCGAGGGTGGTAACCACGAGCCCGTTGACGCCGGCCTCGCCCAAGAAGGTCCCGATGTAGCGCGGCACGGGACTCTTGACGAAGCCGGTCATGCACAGGCCGATGATGGCGACGACCCCCTGCACGATGACGAAAGGCCCGCGCAGCCGCATCTTATCGGCCAGCCACGAGACGACCACGGCCTCGATGACGGAGAACAGGGCGGGCGGCGCCGACAGGACAAACGCGAGCTCCAGCGAGTAGCCCATGCCGTTGCGCAAGATGATGGGCAGGAAGAAGAGAAAGGCGTAGACACCAACGGCGCCCGCCGCGTACATCAGCGAGAAGGACCAGACCTTCCAGTCGCTAACGGTCTCGAGGAAGATAGCAAGGGTCACGCGCTCGCGCGTCTCCGTACCGCGGTCCTCGGCGAGGCGCGCCTTGACGAAGGCGCTCTCCTCGGGCGAGAGGAACTTGTTGCGGGTGGAGTCGGGGAAGTCGACGATGATGAACCAGGCGATGACGGCGGCGACGCAGGTGATGATGCCCTCGATGATGTAGATCCAGCGCCAGCCCTTGTAGTGGTGGGTATTGGAGATCTGGATAAGGCCGAGGGCGAAGATGTTGGCGAAGGCGGACAGGGCGGAGCCGGTCATGAAGAAGACAGCGAGGCGCTTCTGGACCTCGTACCGGCGGTACCACGACGAGATGAGATAGACGCAGCCCGGGTAGAAGCCGGCCTCGAAGGCGCCGAGGAAAGCGCGCATCACGGCGAGCGAAATCCAATCGTTGAGGAAGCCGATACCCATCGAGACGAGGCCCCAGGCAAAGACGATGAGGGAAATCCAGTTCGCGGCGCCGATGCGGTGGATGATCATGTTACTCGGGAGCTCGAAGAGCATGTACCCGATGAAGAAGACGAGGAGGGCGATGGACGCGCGGTTGCCGACGGCGAGGCCGACGTCCTCGTCGAGGCCCGAGATACGCGCGACGGAGATATTGCTACGATCGACCATGGCGATGGTGTAGAGTGCGCCCAGTATAGGTATAAGACGGAGGTCGATCTTGCGCAGAACCCTCCTTTCGAATTTGGGGTCGTGAGCGATGCCATCTAGCGAGGCTCCGTTATCGGCCTTCTCGTCGAGCGAGACGGCCACCTCCTTCTCCGCCATGTCGACGAGAATAAGGACGAGGACAAGGAGGCGGTCAGACGGCGGAGAGGTTTGCTGGTCGTGCAGCACCGTTAAGTAAAACAGGGACAGAAATAGGCCTCAACTAAACCGACGAAGCAGATCCGACCACGACAGAATAAAGAGGAGCGAAGGCGAAGTTCGCGACGACGGGGAGGGGAGAAGGATATAATAGGACGGCGTAGTCTAGCCCTCCCCGTCTCCTTCCCCCCGACCAGGCGAGCCGAGAAGACCGAGCCAGGCTTCGTCAATGAACCCAATCCCCAGGTCTCTTCGCTCCACGCTCATCAACGCTAGGTCAGGGTATCCGACGAAATGTGGAGGAGGTTGTGGGGAAGGAGAACAGAAGGGTTGCGGTTGTGGGGTAAGTGAAGAAAAAAAAAAAGCTGGGGTAGGGGGGTGAGAAGAAGGACAGACAAGGTGAGAGGGACAGGGTCGGAAGGGATCGAGAAGGGGATGAGGGGATCGCAGAGCAGCTGTCCCAACAACCCCTCGCAACACCATGGGTTAGGGTCAGGCCATCCCTCAGGCCCCCGGCAGGTGGTCCGGTATTTGATAAGTAGCTGTACGTGCATTCTATACCAGGTGTCCGTACTCGGAGTGCGAGATACAGAGGCGCATACTACACCATCGCCTGACTTAGGTCCGGCGCAGATCACGAAGGCCGGCTAAGAACAATCGAGGCGGAACAACAATCCCGATGCTATGGTAAGATCGCCCACACCCCCTCCGGACCCAGCAGAGCACCCCAACAGTCGATCTCCAGCTTCCCAGCCGAAGCACTCACAGAACAAGTACCTACTTATATAGGTAAGTATATACCTAGGTAAGTATACGCATGCAGGTGACTGCGAGGCGACGCGTAGGGCGAAGAGATACGATTGATCAAAGGAGAGTAGAAGCACATGGGCATTTTTTTCTCCTTCCCTTTTAGTGGTTAAGGCGGCCCGTCCCACGTGTAAGTCGGTAAGACTGTGCCGCCCCGCGTCGTGTTTTAGGGGGGGACACACACTTGGCAGCGAGGTTATACTAACCTACCCTCTCCTCCACGGCCCTTTACTTGCGAACTAACCTACAGATCTCCCGACCTCCCGACTTTCCTATACCAAGTACCTAGCAGATATGTTCCGATATGGTGAAACCGCCTACTTACTCATCTCTTCCTCTTCGTCGCCTTCTCGGCGGTCTGGGGTTTGCGACTCGCCATCGGGATATATGGCTAGGGGCGGGGGAAAGAGGAAACTAAGCGCGTACGGGGGCATTTTCTGACGGCGTGGCGTCGTCTGGGGGAGCTAACCCACATCCCCCCTAGACCCGGGAAGGCATGTGTCCGCTAGGCACGCTTGGACAGGCTTATCTGGGTGCAAATGAGAATGTCTGAGGTCACTGATCGCTCACACGGCGGTTAGGCAGTCGTCTAATTACACTAGTAGTGTCGCTATGCCTCGCACCCTTCGTCTCTTGGTTGTCGATATTACTACGGTATACTACGTAGTATCGCGGGTATCATATAGAGATAAATAAGACGTAATACGCACTTTACGCATGCATCCCTCTAACCTGAACGGCGCCCCATCGCGCCCCCTTGTCAACCAAGCAGCTTTGCCAGCTTGGAACACTAGATGCTCGCGGCTTTAACTGGAGAGATGGAATAGATAGTTTCCTGCCCTATCGTCTGGGTAAGATCCCGGGCATTTATAACCAGGGAGGGTGAGAAGCATTACCTGCTCGGCTGCGAGCATCCATATCACTTGGCAGGAAGGAAAATCCGGGGTCAAGCAGATTAAGGGGTTGCGTGCATGTCAGGGTATCTAGTTATCAAGTTGTTGATATGTATAGGGTGAAAGCGACACTGGTCTAGACGACGCAATTCTACCCGGGCGTGCAATCCCCTTTAAGACCTACGAAATCTCACCTGAGATCGACAGTTATAGCAAACCCAGACGTCGGCCAGGCGCACGAGAACCGGTACCAAGCGAAACCGTGCCGCACTTGCTCTTCCTTTACGACATGCACTAGAAAGCTCTAGCCCATTTCAAGGCGACGGGGATAAAAGAACAAGTAGATGGGGGAAGAAGTGTTTGGTTTTATTGGACTTCTCTGTATAACTAAGTAATAGGCAATACCCCAGCGTGCTGCTCATGGATATGCGGCCGGCGAAGCCGTGGGTGACGGATGGACTGATGAATTCTGCGCAACCTATCTGGAGAGAGAGACTTGGGTTCAAACCTCGCAGGGTATAGATGTCCACGTAACAGATCCACGGTCGACAAATCTATAGTGAAAAAACAAAAGGAAGCGAGCTCTCGAGGGGGGCCCGCATGGGTTCAGGCGGAAAACTCAACGTCATCCAGGTCGGCAGAGACCGCCGAGGGTCACTAGACAGCGTGCTTCTTCTAACCATAAACAAGCTTGAAGATGTCGTTGTGGACGTAGTAGCTGGGTCCCTCAGGAACAAGGTAAAAGGACTGAGCGTAGCTCATCGGCCGCTGTTCCTCATCCACCTAACCCCGAGTTAGTTTTTATTCCACACATGGAGGTGCGCCCAAGAGCAAGAGAGGGTCCGGCTCACCAGGAGCTGGCCTGTGACTAGAACCAAGATGTGGCCGGGGCCGAGGCCGGGCTGGGGGTCGATGGTGGAGACCTGATGCTTGATCTGCTGGAAGGGAAGGCTCTAAACGGTCTGAGTAAGTTCCTATCCCGGTATTCTCGTAGCGGCTGCGATGGTGCCAGATAGTACCTGTAGCTTCTCGATGATACCCTGGGCGCCTTTGAAGGAGGCCGACTCGAACGTCAACACAGACGAGTCTCGCTGCCTAACCGTTAGATACAGTAGCATTGGGCAGACGCAGCGGCAGAGATGGGCGAGCCTACATAGAGGGACGACAGCGAGGCGCGGTTTTGGTCGAACGAGTTGTAGTAGTATTCCACGAACAAAGCTATACGAGTGGACGCATGTCAGCCGGGCTGCAGCATCTCTCGCGGGTCGAGTAAGGCGGGTATAGCATTAAGACGGTCTCGATGGCAGCAGATGGACCTACTCGCAACCTGGACTGGATCTGCAGTAGACAGCATTAGTACACTGGGTTGCGCCGACGGTATATGTCCCAACGCGTTAGGCAGTATAAGACGCGACGCGACGTAGGAGAGAAGGCGGGCGGGCCGGATGAACATACCGGAGGCCATCCTGGCGGATTACAACGAATCGAAGCGGTGTCGGAGAGAGTGAAGACGAGCGTGTTGATGCTTTGCAAATGTCGGTCCTCGACGCGAGAGAGCAGATGCACGTGCCGGCTATGTTATCGACTGAGGATCGAGATGTGGTTTTTCTTCGGTCACAGTCGAGGCGATGGAGGAGGAGTAGGTATCGCCGCTGTGTCCGCCCTGTTTGTTGCTGGTGTTGTTGTGGCGGCAATGAAGGGACGGGTGCAGGATGGATGCAGGATAGGGGAGGGGAGAAGGCGGAAGAAATTGAGGCCATTCCAGTTGGAGGGGCAGGGAGAGGGGACCTGCCCCACTTTTCATATCGTCTTTTCGATTTCTGCTTAGCTGGCGGGGTAATTCGCGTACTGGGTAGGTACCAGCAGGTGGCCTGTACGCCTCTCAGTACTTAGGAGTACCTCAGCTAGCTCTGCTCGGCGGGCTTGGCTCGTCATTGGGCTACGCGATGCCCCTGCTGCGTCAGGTGCATGGGAAGGCGCGTGCACGTACCAGCTCCTTGTTGGCAGGCGGTGGTTATGTACCTAGCAGTACTACCATGCTATTAAAGGTACCTACCTCAAGTACGTAGGTGCCTAGGTACCTTAGGTACCTCCCGCTAATATACCAGCCAGATGCATCCAGGTACCTACGTAGATACCCAGGTATATCTCAGGGAGTCGTTACATAATCCACTCATCGCCTCTCCACCTTCTACCCGATACAGACGTGTACCTAGGTACGTACTCCCCATCTTCATTTTCCTGGCAACGCGACGTTGGAAAAGGGTCTCTGCGCTGTCCTTCACAACGCGACTTCGGGAGAGGATACAGTACGAAGTGCCCGCCTAAGCAGTATACTCGCCAGATCCACAGAGATGTCTTTCTATGACAATCTAGAATTCACTCCGTCTCTCGCGCGGCGCACCGTCGACAACTCGCCTATAGTTCCAATCGTCGGCTTCAATAGGGAGGCTGCGTCGAGCCTACGTTGTTTTCCCTTTAGATCTTAGTTGACCGTCCGCAAACGCTCCATCGGCCTCATACCCTGGCCCTTTATAGGAATGGGACACTCGGTACTATCGCTCCGTCCACACCTCACTTGTCGTTCGAGATAGGATCGAGGAAATTCAAGATATCGCCTGTAACCTCGCAATGGCGGTTGATAAAACCGGGACCGACAGCGCCGCGCCGGCCGGCCAAAATGTCCGCACGTTTTCCTCCCGCCTTATGTATCGTCAGAGTGCCAAAAAGACAAAAATGGTCCGCGATTCCTCGGTGGATTCTTTGAATAGAATCTTTGACACGCGCACCGAGTCGGAGGCCGCTCATCCTCCCGCATCCCGGAGACCTATGACAACCGACGAAGAGCACTACGCAAGCAATTCGTATGGGGTCGCTGAGCTGCGAGACGGCTTCTTCGACGCCATATTTCTCCCCTTAGACGAGGTTGACCCGGAAGTTCTTATGAGGCAAGCCGAGCTAACCCTCCCCTACGCTTTTCGGAAGAAGGATCCCCTTTCCGTTCGGAACTTCTTCCCCAAGCAGTGGCACGACATTCGAGGGGTCGTTCGCCGCGTCACAACCACGCGGTCCGGTATCCGGCTGCTCAAGTCGTTCCTCGCCTTCTTCGTTGCCTACGTATTCTGCCTCGTTCCCGTTATCCGGGACAGGCTTGGCCGCTACAGCTATATCACGGTAGTTTCGACCATCATCAATCACCCCAGCCGGACGCTGGGGGCTCAGGTTGACGGAACCATCCTCACAATAGTCGGTACCGCTACTGGACTGGGATGGGGGGCGTTCGGCCTGTGGGTATCTACTTCAACAGCACCCGCCCGTACCGGTTACGGCGGGATCCTGGCTGCTTTCCTCTTTCTATACATCTTCGGGATTGCTTGTTTCCGTTCATACTACATCCGCGCTTACCAGGGCGTTATCTGTGCCGGAATTGCTATTTCGTACACCTGCCTGGCCGAGGTATCGGGCCTCCACGTTTCGTGGACGAAAATTCTCAATTACGGCATCCCCTGGGTTGTGGGACAGGCCATCTGCCTGGTGATATGCCTCGCGGTAGTTCCCGATGCCGGTGCGCGCCCCCTAGCGGTAGCACTTCATCAGGCCTTCACTGTCATGCTGGTGAGTACACATATGCCGACTAAGGTTTCATCGAGAAAGCTGCGGCCAGAGCTAACATCTCTCGAGGATGGCTTGGGGTTAACCCGAGGGAAAAACATGAATACGCGCCGAAGACTCACGCAAACGTTCGTTAGTATGTCTCAAGCGTATAGGGACCTAGTCATTGACTTCTCCATAACACTTTTTGAGCCAAAGGATGTGCTGGCACTTCGTAATCGTATCCAGGGCGTCGTCCGTGCTCTTCTCAGCTTACATGGCGAAACAAGAATCTTCGACCGGTTCGAGGACATGCCCGAAGAAGCCGCAGACCACGCTCGATATGCTCACGGCGAGTTCGCCGTGGACATGGACAAGATGCCCTACGTACTAGAAAGTGACGAAGAGATCAAGTTTGTAAAATTTGTCGCCAACAATCTAGCCGAGCCGACAGAGAGGCTTCTCTCGTCTATGAAGATTGCGTTGCAAAGTTGCGACGCGGTCCTGATGGAGATGTGTGGCCACCGGCGGTATTTAGGTCCTCCGGACGATGTGTCGAACGACGTTCCAGGCGCGTTGGTGAAGCTACGCCGGTATATTATACAATTTGACAACTGTCAGGACAACGTGCTGGCAAGTGAGGGTTTGCCCCCCAAGTATGCGGACTCTCCCGAGGTCGTAAAGCTTTTCGCATATTGTCGCCCAGTCCACCAAGCAGCGACCGCGATCGAAGCGTTGCTTGTAACAGTAAATGAGATGCAGCAGAGAAGTCCCAAATATCCCAAGTTCCACCCGCCATCGTACCCCTTCTGGAAAGCCATTCACCGTACGAATGCCCAAGTTCGACGCGACCGAGGCGGTGTGACAGCGGGTTCATATTTTAGAAGCTTCAACGACATAGCCGAGATCATCCAGAAGATCAAATCCCAAGACTTCCAGCCTTTGCCGCGCAAAGGCGAGGATGCGGACAAGGACCACGATACCGCATATGCGACAATGACGGCTGACGAGCTCGAAGATGACCCAGGCCCGGAGAAGAGCCGGTTACGCCATCGGATATGGGGGATTCTTCATCGCCTCCAGGGCTTCGAGACACGCTTTGGCCTCAAAACTGCCGCGATCACATCTCTGTTATCCATACCCGCATGGCTGCCCCGCGACCACGTTTGGTGGGACACGAATGAGGTCTGGTGGGCGGTGGTGATGGCATGGCTGATAATGGGCCCGCGGTAAGCCAAAATACGATCGCCGAATTTTGCTTCTTTAGTCCAGATCTAACACGTCTCTTGCTTACGTAGGACCGGCGGAAACATCCAAGACTTGTTCACGCGGACGCTATGTGCTGTACTGGGATCTCTCTGGGCGGGGCTCTCGTACGCAGCCGCAGACGGTAACCCCTACGTGATCGCGGCCTTCGCTGTCGTCTATATGCTTCCCATGCTCTACAGGTATACGCAAAGCGAACACCCGGTAAGATACGCTAGAAAATTTGCAACGAGAGAGGCTCTAACTTCTCGCAGAGGTCTGGATTAGTAGGCTGCATCTCGTTTACAGTTGTGTCTCTGGCAGAAGTCACTACAGAAGGCAAGCCTTCTCCGGCCACGGTGGCCGCAACACGCGGAGTCGCCATGGTTGTCGGTGTGGTAGCATCGATCATCGTGAACTGGGTGATGTGGCCGTTCGTTGCACGCCACGACCTTCGGAAGGCTGTTGCTGCTATGATGTTCTATTGTAGCATCGTCTACAGAAGTATGTACAAGCCAACGCGTACATATTCGTCATTCTTCCATCCTCGGCCCTTTCTCACGTGGTATTAGGCATCGTGTCAAAATACGTGTACTACGAAGAAGGAAACGAACCTACTAAAGAAGATATACAAGCTTCCGAGGTCCTGGAAGGACGCTTGCGAGAGGGGTTCGTCCGTCTAAGGCAGTTATTGGTGAGATTCATAGTTATCCTCTTCTTTTCTTTTTTGCGCATCTAGACTTACCGTATCCAGGGTCTCACGCGCCACGAACTCCGTCTACGAGCCCGATTTAATCCTCTGCCCTACTCGGCGCTCATCGACGCCTGCGAGCGTTTCTTCGAGAACATTGTTACCGCACGCCAGGCGTCTCTATTCTACCACCCGCACTTTATCAGGGACAACACCGAGTTTGCCGCAGATCTTTTAGGCCACAGGAGGGACGCAATCGCGACCATTCTCACGAACCTCTATGTTCTCTCGGGGGCCCTGCGCGCCAATAGGAAGGTTCCCGTAAGTTCCCCAGCCGTTGGCACGAATCCGTCTGGGTGAATATACTGATGACCGGTTCGGCGGCAGAAATATCTACCGAGTGCTTCAGCTACCCGTAAGCAGCTGTTAGATCGAATGAGGGTTCTTGAGGTTGAGCTTGCGGCAAGCGGAGGGCTGAGCGCCGAAAAGAAGTCCGAAGGAAGAAAATGGGCACAGATCTACAGTTATTCGTACAATGAGAGCTTGACGGGTTGCGTCGAGCAGCTGGAAGAGTTAGAAAAGTTCACCAAGGCCATCGTTGGCGAACAAGGGTTAGTTATTGTTTTCTCGTCTGGTCGGCTTAGTCCCACCTCGCAGCTAATACTGACAATTCCGTGCCTAGGTTCGATTGCGGCTTCACTGACGAGGATTGGAGTGAGGTGAGGGACTGACCGGCTTCTCTCTTTCCCCTCAGAATCGCGCCTATCTAGTAGTTCAATAAACGATCGGAGACATGTCTATTTTGAGCAAAGACGAATAACAAGGAATGCATAGTTACCCGAGCAGGTGGGGCCAGGCCATACGAGAGATATTGCTGTGTATGTTGTTGAGGGTTCCCGGCACGAAGCATGGGATACAGCGTGCCCCTACCACGTATTCTCCCATTATCGTACTGTACGCGTCTTGGTGTGGTGTTTTGACGCATAATTGCATACGAGCCCGTCAAACCCGGCATGGCGAATAAAAAGGGAAATTAGCTGTAGATTTCATCGACCCTTTTCTGGCGGCCACGTTGCCGATCGATTGGCCAATTCTCAACCTACAAGATCCTCTCCAGTTCGGTTCTCGATTCGAACCGGGCATAGCACAAGTCCTCCTCTCGCCTCTCTGACCCTGGCCTCGTCATCCCGAATCGGTCCTAGTCGAAGCCAGCGCCGCCGATTATCTCCACACGAGAAATTGCATCCTCTATGCTTCAGCCGCGACTTGCAGCGCATCCACGTGTGCGGCGTCGTAACATTGCCGCTCATAAACGGTCTCGACGACGTACGGATAAGTAGCACGTGTATCTCAGGTCAATAATGAGATCCAGCCTGCCGGGTTCATCTGCACCTGGCTGGGCTATCCACAGGTAGCACCGGCTGCCCGGATTTGGCAGGTGGGAATGCACATGGGTTTTCGTCACCAGATCGTATATGAACGCGGCGCGCGCTGCTCCTGACGGGGCGAGATGGTGATCGCCAGCACTCGGCAGCGTATCAACACTTTCGTTTTTAGTATCTGCCAGCCTCCCACCCGTGAGGCGCGCCCCTTTAAGTATCGCGTCGCCCTGCAACGGTCGCACATACCTCCAACATGTTGGCTATCTCCGTCTTCGCCCTCCTCTCACTCGGTTCGCCGTGCCTCGCGTGGGAATGGGGAAAGAGCGGCAAATGGAATCATAAGCAAAGGACGACGTGCCACGGCGGGGAGTCAACGATCGAGTACACTACCATCTCCGGCTTCTTTCAGCAAGACGACCCCTCTACCGATTCTAGTAGCTTCGACTATGTATGACCTAGCTACGTCGTCTGAGCTCTTGATACAAAACGACTCTCGTCGCTAACGATGAGCAGGCTGAGGTCAACTATGGCCTCATTGAGCGGCCCTACCTCACTGATAACGAGTTCGACCCCAAAGGGGAGAAGACCCAGTGGGAGCGTTTCGCCTATTACGTCAATACCTTGAACCTGGAAAGCGATAAGAATACCCAATATAAGGTCCTATTTATGGCTCGTCACGGCGAAGGCTACCACAACGCCGCAGAGAGTTACTATGGTACTCCAGCGTGGAATGTAAGGCGTTTTCTAACGCATCACCGCAGCCAATTTGTAGTGCGTATTCTGACGATAAGCCAATAGTGCTACTGGGGCCCCCTAGAGGGAAACGGAACTTCGGTCTGGAGAGACGCTCTACTAACCGAGGCCGGTTTCGCTCAATGCACCAAGGCGAACAACTTCTGGAAAAACGCACTAGCCGTCGAGAAAATCCCCGCACCCCAGGCGTATTACAGCAGCCCCTTGATCCGTTCGGCGACGACGGCCAACCTGACCTTCAACGGCCTTGACCTCCCAGCGGACCGGCCGTTCGTGCCCATCGTGAAGGAGTTCCTCCGCGAGGGGATTTCTATGCGTACCTGTGACTTGAGATCAAACAAGACGTACATCCAATCCCTCCTCCCTGCATTCACCTTCGAGGAGGGCTTCACCGAAAACGACGAGCTGTGGAGGGGATATGAGGGAGAAACCAGCGAGGCTCAGAGAAAGCGGACGAAGATCTTCTTAGATGATGTCTTCAGCAACGACGACAGCACATGGGTCAGTATCACGAGCCACTCTGGTCAGATCCGCGAGAACCTCAGGATCCTGAACCACATCGAATTCAGATTGTCCACTGGCCAAGCCATCCCGGCGCTCATCAAGGCTGTTAACAACCGCAGAGTTGAGCCTGTCACCACCACCATCCAGTCGTTTGTACCTGAGGCAACATGCTCTTCCCCTCCGATCACCAGCATTTCCGGCCAAGGATGCGTCTGCTCGAGCGCAGCTTCTACTGCCGTCTTTGCCTCAGCTACTCCTACGGCGACACCGGCGTAGAGCATCGCCAGGAGGCATGCGGTGAGAACGGGGCTATGGAATATGACAGTACCTAACTAGTTTAATGGTAATGATATAATTCTTCATGTGTTACTCATGGTTTCTGTCCGAAAGGCGCGCATGCAGACCAGTTTTGAAATCCCAGACGTCTGTATTCACAGCCTTCCTCCCACCCGAATGCAACCCTTACCCTCAGAAAGCGTATCAGCCCAGACTACATCCCGCACGCCAGATCTCCTTGTGCAAACGAAATTTCGGGAGGGGCTATTTTCCCCAATTAGCTAACCTTTCTAGAATACTACTGGTAACGACGTCAACACCATTGCTGCGGTACTCTGGATATTAATTGAGAGTAGCAATACGCCTAACTCCTTGGTGCCCCATTCTGCCGCGTCCATACCGAACCTCGAGAAACCTCCCGATCTTCTCATGAACCGTGGTATAGAATATACCAAGAGGCAACACGCCACATACCCCGCTACGCTGTGCTCGATCTTGGGCCGAGCTCGTCTTACGACTTGCCGTCTTCACCCAGCTTACCGCGTCGGCTCTCGCCAGACCCGGGCGATTACGAGAAGATTACAACCCATCTCTTTAGCTTCTAGTTTCGGCCGTCTTGCAGAATCCGGAGAGAGTTCCATGGTGATGCTACCCTACCTATAGGCGAGCACAGGAGTGCTGCCTGCAGCCTTCAATATTTATAATCAGCATTTTGGAGTAGGTGAGTCTCTCCCCGCCTCATCAGCTCCGTGATTATGTGATATCACAAAGCACGGTATATGTCGACCAGTGGGCAAACCTCCATTTTTTACCAGTCCCAGGGCTATTTACTGGGACATGCCACGTCATCACGAGTAGATGTTACTTGCCTAGCAAGTCAAGCAACGAGCACGAATGGCGGTCTCGTCCACTGCCGGCCGCTGATAGCATTTCTACTTCCATTCCCACTACCTTACTAGGGCCGACTCGCTCCAGTAAAGACGGGCACGATGAGCGAGATAGTTTCCTATAGACACAGCCATATGTTCGGCTGAAAGCCAAGGCTCTCCATGGCCATGGTCCAAGCCCTGCAGGTCTCTGAAAGGTATGATTAAGGAATGCGGGATCGGCCAAGCATCGTGCTCGTTGTTATAGATAAGTATATTAGAGAGAACGAGTCGTAAACACTTGTTTAGCGTTACGGAGGGCCAATCTTGCACAGTCGGACCCGGACTATAGTTGTCACTGATCAGATTCAAAGATGAGGGCCCTTCTTGCGTTGATACTCTTTGCACTTTATGGCTACCAGGTCGCTATATGTCTCAACTTTCCTTTTGAAGCCGAGCAGCTGACCAAAGATGACATCGGCGACTTCCGGGATATCGACTTCGCGAACGAGACGCGAGCGGGCTCGGTGCAAGACGGTCCAGACTGCCGGGAGTACCCAGGGACGCCCAACTGGCCCCTTGAGGAAGAGTGGTTGAAGCTAAACCGCTCGTTGGGAGGCGCCTTGATTAAGGGGATCCCGCCGGCAGCGGTCTGCTACGACGGCCCGTACAAGGACGAGGACGCGTGCAGCTGGCTCGTCCGGAACGCGTCCTCAACCCGATTCTATATCAACGACCCCGTCACCGTCTTGACGGAATGGCCTGTCGGCGATCCCTGCCACGCAACGCTCACACCACAGGGGGCAACCTGTACCCAAGGGGCTTTCCCGGAATACGTCGTGAACGTATCCACGGTGAGGCAGATACAGGTCGCCGTGAATTTTGCCCGGAACAGGAACCTTCGATTAGTTATCAAGTAAGTGGTTGCTGCTTTCAGGCAACCCCTGATGCCATACATACGCGTCTTAACATAGTCTTCTTTTCCTCCCCCCTAGGAACACGGGCCACGAGTTCGTCGGGCGATCGAGCGGCTTCGGCAGCCTGAGTATCTGGACGCACTGGCTGAAGGATTTTGAGTTCCTGCCGCAATACCAGATCGGGCCGTACCAAGATTCGGCGGCGCGCGTCGCTTCTGGCATCGAGAGCTGGGAGATGTTTGCGCACATGCAACGTCACAACATGACGACAGTGGTAGCGGGTGGCTACACCGTCGGCGCGTACGGCGGCTGGATCGCGGGCGGGGGGCACTCGGCCTTGGCCTCCAAGTACGGGCTCGGTGCCGACCAACCCCTCTCCATCCAGGTCGTCACCGCCGACGGCCGGTTTGTCACCGCCGACCCCTTCCAGAACCAGGACCTGTTCTTTGCCCTGCGTGGAGGTGGGGGAAGTAAGCGTGCGCACGCCGGTCAATAACTAACATAGGCTAATAACACATGTAACACGTAGGCACCTTCGGCGTTGTAACGTCTGCCATCGTCAAGGTTCACCCGCCCACAACAGTCCTCTCCTCCTCAGTGGCGTTTTCAGTCTCGCAGTCGGAAGATGTTGAGAAGTTCTGGACCGGCTTCGACATATACCACGAATTTGGGAAGAATATTGTCGACAACAATGGCACTGCATGGTGAGTGGCTGCCCGCAACCGCCCCTGATCCTCTTGTTTAAAGGAGCTCTCGGTTGTTGCATAGGCCGTCAAGCAAATAAAAGCTAACCACCCTGCAGTACGTTCATAGTCCACACCATTTCAATCTCCCTAAACGAAGGGACTTCGACGAAAAGAAAACCAGACCTTGAGAGTACTATGCTGGGAAATTGACATTACCTCCTCTAGATAGTTACGTATCGCGCCGACCCGGTAACGACAGCTTCGGCTTCACGACCGACATCGAGCTGCCAGACGTGTCCGACGCGACGCTCGCCGAGTTCGTGCGGCCGCTGCTCGAGGATCTGCGAGCGGCGGGGCTCGACGTTACGAGCCGGGCGCCGACCCCGGCGGCGAACTGGATGGCGCCGGCGACGGAGGGCCGGGGGGACGTGCCGTCGAGCGGGCGATTCGGGAGCCGGCTGTTGCCGCGGGCTAGCTTCGAGGGCGGGGCGGCGTTCGCGCGGACGCAGGCCGCGCTGCGGCGGTCGATCGAGGCGGGGTACACGTTCCACGGGATCCACCTGGCGCCGACGGAGGCGGCGGCGGGAGCGTGGCCGGGGGACAGCGCGGCAAACCCGGCGTTCCGGCGGGCGGTGATTCACGCGGACTTGTTCGACCCGACGGCGCTGCGGGGCCTGGGGCCCGCGGCGTTCCAGGCGGCGCACGCGCGGCTGGCGGCGGCGCTGGACGAGTGGCGCGCCGCGTCGCCCGGGGCCGGGGCGTACATCAACGAGAGCGACGTCGAGGAGCCCGACTGGCAGCAGGCCTTTTTCGGCGGCGGCGACCGCTACGCGCGCCTGCTCGCGGTCAAGCACCGCCGCGACCCCTGGGGCGTCTTCTACGCCCCGACCACAGTCGGCAGCGAGGCCTGGGTCGTGAGCACTCCCGACGGGATGCCGACACAGAACGGGCCGCTGTGCCGAGCCAGCGCGGTGCAGCGGCGGCGACGCGGCGAGACGAGAGCGGGACGGGCGCGAGAGGCAAGGTAGAGAGCTGTGGGCCTTTAGTGCTTTTTCTTTGTAAGGAATTCAACTCGATTCTGTTTCTTGCGCCACCCGTCCCCTCCCTCTCGCGTCTAATTTAGCCGGGGAGAGGGCGAAGGGGGGGCCGGGAGATGAGGGTTGAAGGAAAAGGGGGTGGGAGGGGCTGCTGCGGACTGTACTGGGCCATTCCGATCCTGATTGGGAACAGGCATCTTAACAGGGCAAGCTGTCATTTGGGCGTAGGCAGAGGTAAAACGTTGCCAGGCGGTTGTAGAAGAAGATGATATCGCTCGCTTTAGACTCGTCCCAGGGCGTTGATACAAACCCTCGGAATCATCATTGGTATGCGTACTTTATGGTCTAGGAGCAGAGCGAGTAACAGGTATTCGTCATGTTCCGGCGGACGATGAGATTTTGTAACGGCATCAAACCCCTTTTATCCCTTCTTTCCGTTCTGGGCAAGTGATATTATCTTTGGCAATCATAAATAATAAACGGCTGTCTTCCGAGGCAGTATAGCAACTGGCTCATATGATGTATTGCGGTAGTTGGTCAGGCGATCGCCAACGAGCTGATTCGGGTCGATTAAAGCACTTAAGGCACGCAATAATAGCGCCTAACGAACACTACGAACAGTGTATAGAATGCCTAAGCAGGTCGATTCCAGTTCCGTCATTCATTAGCTGTACCTATCTAGTATCCTCGGCAAGAAGCTAATTCTCATTGTTAGCTGTTAAGTAAGTAGTATTATTATAGTTTTGTAATACTGCCGGTACTTATCGTCGTTATTAGGGAAACACTTCCGAAATACGTGTGCCTACCATCCTTCCCCCTTCGTTCCAACCCCGAGAAAGGCTGGCGACAACGAGCTTGAGAGGCAGCCCTTAGTTAACAGCCGAAAATGCCTTGGCAAGGCGGCCGCCTGTAATGAGACTGTGTCGGTGACACATTACTTGCCACGCTGACCTTCAACGCTCTGCGGTAGTGCATGGCTCTAGTAGGCAGTGTTGAGTGCCTCTACCGCCGTAACTTGCAAGTAGCGGACCTGGCGAGAGGGCATCTTGTTGGCTAGATAGAGGTCCTAAGAGTGCTTTGAGCTTCGAGGTGATCGTCCCAGACTGGTAACAAAATCTTTAGCCGTTAATACAGCTGTTAATTATGCTGCAATCTGCAACCTCCACCGAGCAAACTGACCATTCAGGAAGCGCTAAATGCCGTCTGCGTATTTTGCTCCTCTTTATTCTTACCGCTCTTCGTCCCCGTGGGGATAGTCTTCGGGGCTCTTGACCCGTCTCCCTTCAATATAGGTATGTGGATGTGTTCTTGCTGCCCGTGAAGGAACGCCGTAGACCCTTAATATCAGGTAGCTTCAGATTACGCATACTGCAGAGCAATGCATATTAGCTACCCAATCCAAGGTTTAGCTACGACGGCCGTGTTACTACCTAAACAATAGGTGATATTGTCCTCAGACTTATTGAATGCTCGAGAAACCTGTCGTATCAGATGGAGAAGCGAAGGGCAGTGCCACGGTATTTGGCTTTGGCTTGGCGTTCGCAAGGGATGCTTCTTGCTTCTGCCTAGGTACCTAGTAATACGTACCAGCGGCGCATCCGGGAGCTCTCCCAACGGGAACGGCGGCGGAGGAGCGCCAACAGGATGGGGAGTGCGTATTTTCGTTGGTAACGTGCACCTGGGTAGTTGGCGCTTAGGGGATAGCATCGCTTTCACATGGAATGCTTAACTGCGTCTTATGCTCCTCAGTGGCAACGGAATTGACGATGAAGAAGAACCTAGACTCAGAAAGTCACGGGCAAAGAGAGTCGGGTAGGTACCTATAAGGATTCTTAATAATCATTTTCAACCGCGCCCGGCCAATGGCAAGTGGTTTGCCTCATACCGGGAATTGACATCTCACACCCCGCTTCTGAAATCTTGGACTAGGGATAGGTACCTCCCGAGGTGGGTGCCCTAGGTACCCATTCCTTAAGCGGAAGACCTTCCGTCACCTTGCCCAGGCCACCAAGAGGTACCTGGCTAATGTACCTAATTTAATCCTTTGAAAGACTACCACGTACCTAGGTACGTAGGAATATACAGGTACCTACCTACCTCCTTGGGAAATATAGGAAGCACCGCATTCCGCCTATTAGCATCAGTGGAGGTTCGTGACGTTAGGTACGGAACACCCTATCTGACTTAGGCTACGCTAGGTACCTCCTACCTAACCTCTACCACCTCCTAGCCTACCTCTCCTAACCTAGGTAGGTACGTACCTAAGATACCTGTACCTACCTCTAATGCGCGGGTGGGCTGCCCCTCCTTAAGGTACAGGTACCTAGGTACGTTAAGCGGGTACCTGCCTGTATATTGGAAGGTAAGGAGAGGGGAAGGAACCACCATCTGGGGGAACTGTGGCTTGCGGAGCTCTTGCCGAAGATATTGACCTCCCGAACGTACAAGCGTGACTGCTAGGGCATTTCCATATGGAGAGGTAATGGCGTATATGGCAAGTATATATGTGCTTACCTAAGCACGTGCGTTCTTCAGCCTTGGCGCGGCTCTCTCCCCGCTGCCGGCCACCCATTGGCTAACCGGTCACCAGAGCGGGTCCGGCACACCCAGAGCCCAGACAAAGTTGCGCCAGAGAGGGACGGAGAGGGCTGTACCTTATCCTCTTCCAACTCATTCCTCCTCGTCAAAATCAACAACCATATTGCATCCCGCTACCCTCACGACACCACGCACCGCGCCATACCGCCTGGTTCATACGTCCGCAGAGAAGCCATTGAAGAAGTTCTACCCTTACCCGCTTTATCCTCGTGCATCCTCGCCGGCTTTAATCCTCCTCCCCGCCACTCCAGCCTCTCTCCAAGCCGTCGGATCCATCACCCGCCAGCACACCTATTACCTATTGCCAGCAGCACCTTACTCCGGCCTCATCGCCAGGCTCTCGTCAACCTCAACCCCCAACCCCATCCATCCAATCGACGATCACCCCGGCCCGCCGGCGCACTTCGCCCCCTCTCCAAGCATTGTCTCATGATCTCCATGCTCCAGCTGTCCGTGAGCCTGCGCCTACTTCCAGTCGCCATCTCCCATTCGGGTCCGCGAAAGACGCACTTGTCGCTGTGAACGGGTAGCGTTGCGTAATTCGTGATTCTGCGAAGGGCCCCGGGGGAATCGCGCAACATACATACATACATATACATACATACACTTACGCGCCCTCTCCTCTTTTCTCCCTTCTCGTCTCTTCTCGCCGCCTCTCTTCCCCCCTCTTCCCTTCACCATTTATCGTCTTCTCCCCTTTCGACCACGAGACCACCACCCTCATGGTCCCCCCACCGCCCTCTCACTCACGATCCGGAACTTTCTCACCTGCTCCTGCCCAGAACCTGCAGACAGGGCTCACACATTCTCCCCATCCGTCACAGGCCGGTCCTCTGAGTGCTGGTGCCAGCCCCAGTACCAGCAGCCCGACCGCGGGGACTAGTTCTCTCACCAAAATTGTTGTTGCCCAGGTCTACCTTCTTCTGAGTACCATCAAAGAGGACAAGGACCGCACCAAGTGGGAGTTGCAAGTAGAGCAGCTGAAAAAGGTACGTTGATTCCATCGCTCCTCTATCGCCGTCGCCCTTTCTATTCGCCGTCGCCCCTCCTGCTCCTTTTTTTCCCCCTTCTTTTTTCCTTTTCTCTATCTCTCTGTCTGAAATGGTACCGACATGATGGCTGACGGCGCCGGCCCCTCCAGCTACTCGATGACCACGGCATGGAGGTGTTCTCCAAGTACTTCACCCGGTTGGTTGCCGGCAATGCTCCTCAAATATTCCCCGGTGTCAACAGGCCTGTCGCCAACCACGGAAATTACACACTCCTGGCAGGGGAGATGGGCAAAATCTCCCACGACCTCGACCAGGCCACTCGGATAGCCGAATCGATTGAGACCGCCAACGAGGATATATTTCGTGACTTCGACCTGTCTACTTTCATGGAGCACTTCAAACTTGATGCTCTAGAGAAGACTATCCTGGCCCTGGCGTTCAAGTTCGGATCTCGCTCAGATTTGAAGACGAAAGGTGAGTTCCTCGCAGTGTTTCCTTCAGACATTCGGATGAGCGTTTTAGCTAACCGCCAACCTCTACAGCCGACGCGATACTCTCAACCAACTTCCCAACCTTCGTAAACATAATCTCTCGCGCGGACTATAATGAGCATACAGATCTCACGCCGTCTTTTGTTGCTACTATCGTTGATCGATATATTCAGGGTCACCCGCCGAACTTCAACTCTGCCGCTAAGCACGAGCTCAGCCACAAGGTTCAGTCCCGCTGGTTGCAACAAGATCTGGCGCCTCCGATGGAGGTGCTAGCTGCTTTAGATCTTATCCGGGTTCTGGGTGAGAAGCCACCGAATGCGCTAGCCCTCTATATCCAGAGGACGGGCACCGACTTCACGCGTGACGAAGAGACCTGCGCGGCCTACCTACAAGCCCGGCCATCCAACATCCTTCCCAGCGAAGAGCAAGTCTCCGCGGCTCTTACTTACACAACTGTCAGCATCACTTATCGCCACAACCCTTCGGTGCTGGTAGCTGCTCTTCGCCGCATATTGCCCCCGACGTTTAGCTGGCATGACGTCGTTGCGTATTTTGACCAGCGCGATGTCCGCGTCGCGTCGGCGCAATTTCTGCGACTATACGAAGCTCTTCTGCCTGTCGCTCAGTCTCAGGATGACCCGTCGCGGCCATTTAGCATCCAAAGCTTGTGGGGGGGGACCCATTGGGAAAATCCAGAGACCCAGCTGTCCTTCATATGTGCATTTGCGTCTTTGAGCCCTAACGAACTCGATGCGAGCACTATTCCCGGCCTTCAACCCACCTTTAAACTCGAGGAATACGCTCACTCCCCCCCAGAAGTCCGTGAGCGGGCAGCAGTGGCTGTGAAGCACCCCTTGGTATCTGGCCTTGCCTTGTCAGCGATCTTCCAAGTTGCCCTTCACTCCTTGCATGCGTCTCAAAGCACCGAGGCCAAGCGACTGTTCCAAGAAGTCGTCGTGCCCAACCTAGACATATTCATAGTTTCTGCGTTCGGGGTTCCTAAACCCTGGCCGCCAATGGCCGTGGAGACGTTGGCATCTCTGTTTGACAATTTCGTTCACCGGAGCTCCAAGAACCACGATTTCGTGTTAGACAGTCTCTGGAGAAAAGATAGAGACTGGGTTACGCAGAGGCTTGTCGACGTGCATGCTATGAAGCCGATGGATCTCACCCTCATATTCGAGCACGTCGTCAAGCATGGCTGGCTAGACGAATTGGTTTACCTACCTAATGGGTTCGGTTACGACCTTGCCGCTCTCGCGCACGCCGAGGGGCATCTTGACCTCACTCAATGGGCTCATAATATTGCCGACCGAAGCCCCGCGATCGCCCATTCTCTGCTCCAGTTCCTAATGATCAAAGCGAACCTCGAGATGCAGTCTCAGAAGGGTGGTGACGGCCAGGTTACCCCGAAGACAACTACACCTCTTCATGTTAAGACGGTACTTGCCATGCTTCAGATCCTCGAGGACTTCCTGCCGCGTAACCCCGTGCCGGAATTGATCTTAGTCCAACGCACATGCATAACCGCTTATCCTCGACTCATCAACTACGGGGAAGGCTATGATGATATCATTGACGCTAACGGTGCGGATGGCAACGGGCTCCCACCCGAAGCTGTCGCCAAGATGGAAGAGCACTACAAGAAGATGTACGGCGACGAGACGGAAGTCAAATTCATCGTCCACAAACTTGAAGAATATAAGCGATCACGAGTCCCTCTGGATCAAGATATTTTCGCGTGCATGATCCACGGTCTCTTTGACGAATACTCCCACTTCGTGGACTACCCCCTTGAAGCACTAGCTACGACCGCGGTCCTATTTGGCGGCATCATCTCCCACAAACTGATCTCCGAGTTGCCTCTTAAAATCGGGCTTGGCATGATCCTCGAAGCCGTCAGGGACCATAGTCCGGATCTATCGATGTATAAGTTTGGCCTACAAGCCTTGATGCAGCTATTCTCACGGTTCAGGGAATGGCCGGGGTTTTGCAAGCAGCTTCTGCAAATTCCCGGCCTACATGGCACAGAAGCCTGGAGAAAGGCAGACGAGGTTGTGCGAGAGGATGAGGAAGACCGAGCACGCGCGCAGAACGGCACAGCAACCCCCAGCCATGTCGGGGCCGAACCTGCGGTAAACGGGACGGCTGATACTTCCGAAGCACATACCGCTCCGTTTGCGTCGATAAATGCCGATCCCCCCCTTCCAGGCGCCGTATACGAGGACCCCGTCATCGACGTACAGGACAGAATTCAATTCGGGCTCAACAATTTGACATCCATTTCTCTCCAGGCAACCTATAAGGAAATACAGGAAATATTGGAAGAGCAGCACCAGCAATGGTTTGCCAGCCATCTCGTCGAGGAGAGGGCCAAGATGCAACCGAACTATCACCAAGTGTATCTCGACCTCGTAAAACTCTTCCAGAACCAGGAGCTCTGGTCCGAGGTCCTCAGGCAGACGTATATCAGCGTTGCTCGCATGTTGAACTCGGAGAGCACGATGCAGAATGCGACGGACCGAACCCACCTGAAATATCTCGGCGCCTGGTTGGGGCTTCTAACCCTAGCTAGGGATCATCCGATCAAGCACAAGAACATCGCATTCAAGCAACTGCTTATCGAGGCTCACGATACCAAGAGGCTAGTCGTCGTCGTGCCCTTCGTCTGCAAAGTGCTCATCCAGGCTGCGAAATCAACAATTTTCCGACCGCCGAACCCGTGGCTGATGGATATTATCTATCTCCTGATCGAGCTCTACCATAATGCCGAACTGAAGCTCAACCAGAAATTTGAAATCGAGGTTCTCTGCAAGGATCTCAGCCTGGATCACAAGAGCATTACGCCGTCCAGAGAGCTCGAGGATCGCGTCCCGGTCGACGACGTAGTTGAAATAGCAGCGCAAGACCCCATGGAGCACTTCGAGAATATGTCTATGAACGGAATGGCTGGCTCGGTTCCTGCTGGCCTCGCGCCACATCCTATTCCCGTCTCGGTCCCAGATATCGGCCCCCTTTTATCTATCCCACCTACCAATGAAATGGTCATTAGCAGCGTCCGCTTGCACGAGATCGTTCGTACTGCTGTGACAAAAGCCCTACAAGATATCATCCAGCCAGTTGTTGATCGCTCCGTTACGATTGCAGCGATAAGCACCCAACAGATGATCCACAAAGACTTCGCGACCGAGCCTGACGAGAACAAGCTCCGAACCTCAGCAGTCAATATGGTCAAGGCCACCGCAGGAAGCCTTGCTCAAGTGACTTCGAAGGAACCCCTAAGGGCTAACATGACGAACTACATGCGAGGTGTTGCCGCTGACCTCTCTCACACCTTACCCGAGGGTACAATCCTCATGTGTGTCAACTCCAACCTTGACCTTGCATGCAGCGTTATCGAAAAACAAGCCGAGGAGCGCGCTGTACCGGAGATCGAAGAGATGATCGAAAGCGAGATAGAAGCTAGACGTCGCCACCGTCTACAACGACCTAACGAACCATATGTCGACCCTAGCCTTAATCGATGGGCCATGACAATTCCGCATCCCTACAAGCTCTCCCCGAACATGGCTGGCCTGAATGTTGAGCAGATGGCCATCTATGAGGACTTTGCGCGGCAGCCCCGGGGGGCAGCCCCGACCGGCGCGGCTCATGCTTCATCAGCCTCCGACGCGACTAGAAATATCGCAAACGAGGTCCTCCAAGACCAGTACAGCTCGGTACCCAACCTCACAACGGCTTCGGAGGCGCCAGCTCTACCCCATCTTAATACGCAACTACCCTACTCTCACGTACATACCGGCAGCGGAATGACCAACGGCCGGCCTTCGGCTCATCCCAACCAGGTGGATGGGAGGGTTCTGATAGAGAGAGTGCAGAAGCTCTTGACTGAGCTCGAGCGTGCTGCTACCTCGACAGCTGAGGAGCACTTCAGTGACCTGCCCAGATCACATGCTGTTCTAGAAGTTGTTGACGCCTTCACCCAACTCATCATCAACATATCACAGAACTCGGATGAGTTTGCCTTTTACGCCGCCGAGAAGATTTGCCAGCTGCTCTTCAGCGGAGCAGACAACACTCTCTTCCTAGAAAGCCTCGTCCACATTCTTGAACAGCTGCTGAAAATTGCGGCCAGTTCCGGTACTGCCCTACACGACCGTGTTCAGGTCAGCTTCTATCAGCAAGCACCGCAAAATATTCTCAACATATCTTTGATTACCGCCCTGCTCCACACGGACTTCTTGGATCTACACAATATCGACCGCATGATGGCGAAAATGCTAGCGCAGAAAGTCGAGGGTTATCTAGAATTTTTCGAAAAGCTGTTGGACCTGACGCTTTTCAACGACCGCCCTATCGCCCTCTTCGCAGACTTCGTGCGCAGCCTCGAGGCTGCATGGGATTGGATCAACGAAGATCCTAACCTCGAGGTAGCACAGCGGCTTAAAGCAAAGCTGGCCGGCTCCGGCCTGCCCAGACCTCCTGTACCAAATTTACCGGACGGCGCCGAACGATCGGAGCAATTCGATTATATCTTCGAGGAATGGGTTAGGCTGCACAATAATCTCAACACGTCAGACAAGGCCCGAGTGGCTTTTGTGAGACAAGTGCAAGGCAAGAACACCCTCACAAACAAAGACGACTTCATTACCTTGGTACGAAGAGCCATCGACACGTCGGTTGCCCACTACGAGCAAGTTATGCAAGGCGGGTCTACTACCGAGACTTTCACTGCCGTCGACTCCCTGGCAGCGTTTGTCGCGATATACGCCAAGGAGAGCGCCGCCAGCCACGAAGATCCCAAGGCGGTCTTCCTCTCCATCCTAGACACTGTCTTGTCACTTGTCGCAGTCGTCCTGAACCACCATCACGTCACGCGCGGGGAAAATTTTAACCAACGAGTCTTCTACCGCCTCTTTTCGATGCTCGTTCACAAGACCGATGCGGTATTGGCCGAAGTAGAGGGCCTTGACGCGTGCCGGCCGGCATTCTCGTTGCGACTTGCCGACATCTACCTACAGCTCAGCCCGGAGCGCTTCCCTGGCTTTGCCTTCTGCTGGGTCTCCTTAATCGGGCAGCGACGCTTCGCGCCCAACCTGCTACTCCTCGAGTCCAAACGTGGCTGGCTTCCTTATACCAAGCTCCTAAAGTCTCTCCTAAGACATGTTTCGGAGCACATGAAGGCTATCGACGTTACTGACGTCGTCAAGGAGTATTACCGCGCAGTTACAAAGCTCTTCATCGTCCTCGCGCATGACTTCTACGACTACACGTCAGCCAATGCCGTCGAGTTCTGCTTGCTCATCCCACCGCACTGCAACCAGCTGAGAAACGCCATTCTCAACTGCAGCCCACGGGCAGACGCTGGGGAGTCAATCCCACAGGATCCCCCGGTGGATCCATCTCCGGCATTGTCATATCTAGCCGATGCGGGCATGCTAGAGATTCTTGAGCAGCTCATGCAGGCTCCCCCCTCAGAGGACGCCATTGCTCACCTTACGCATGCCATTAATAAGAGCACCGCGAGCGATTCCACATACGGAAACGTGCGGCTCGGCATAGATCACAGGCTGGTAGATAGTATTGTGACATTCGTCGGCAACCACGCCGTTTCGAAGGCTCGCCAAGAGCGGACCGTCTTCATCCCCGGCGCTCCAGATGTCGCAACATTGTCACTACTAGTGCACGAGCTACAGCCTCAGGCCCGCTACTTCCTCATAACTAGTATTGTCGACCGCCTGCGATTTTATGGCCCCCTGACAGAATACTTCAGCCTCATCATTCTCGACATCTTTGGCCAAGACATGAGCGACCCCGAGGAGGCTGATATCCGGCAGCAGATCGTTCGGGTCCTACTAGAGCGAGTGGTAGGATTCTGGCCGCAGCCGTGGGGACTCATGGCGGTTATCATGGAACTGGTCAAGAATGAGAAGTATATGTTCTTCGATCAACCCTTTATCAAAGCAGATCGCGAAGTAGGTGACTCTTATAAATCCTCGCGCAAATGTGGAAGCAGTATCTGGTCGAAGATCCAAAGCTAACGGAAAAACAGATTGCGGACCAGTTTCTGGCGATCGCACGACAACATCAGTGATTACATAACTACTAGCCACTTTTCTCTACGATAGGCGAAGGTGTCGTCGGCCGACAAACCTTCACTCTCGACGCGATATTACGCAGACCATTACCATGACGGCGACTCTGTGTTAAGCGAGAACCCGTAAATCGGAATTACCTGAATTTTAGAAGCGCATGAAGAGTAAAGGGGACGGGATAAAGGGGTTCTTGACGAAACGATACCATGACAGGTCAACGAGGAAAAAAAATGGTAGATGACTGTCGGACGGGATAGCATTTTACGGCGTCATGCGGCAAATAATGAACTCTTGTATGCTTTACGAATTTATGCTGGGAATGATGCACACAGGCCGGTCATCAGAGGCAGAAACGAGAAAAGTACTGTTTTGTGCAAACCCCCCTCGCTATTTGCATTAATATATAGATAGACTATACAAGGCAGGCACAAGTCTCTCTGTGTATGTCTCTCAATTCGATACGTTGTATCAATATGATTTAGCAAGCGAGGCTGGGTAGATACTCGGTAACTATGCTTAGCTGACTAGTGATCTAGGAGATGCTTGACGGAGCCACGCCGAGGTTTGGGCGCGCGTCAGTGTACTGCGATGACCTGGAAGCCCAGCTGTACGGACAAGCGGAGCGATCTACCGGCATGCTAGTATGCCGGGCGACGGGGCAATCGGGGAGACGCTTCTCGCACGGCGTCACGTTCGGATGGCCGCTCCCCTCGCGCGTAGGTCCATTCGGTGAGGGTACGCCTTTCCGCCTCTACCACCTCTCCCCCCATCCGAACTCGTCCTTATCCGCCCCCCTTCATCCCCCTCCTCTCTCTCTCTCCTTTCTCCCCCTCTTATACTTACCCCGTCGTAGGCAGGCGTCCGGACGACGTGCGACGCCGCTGGCGATAAAACAGCGTCAGCGGATCAACCCGTCCGCATGCTCCTCTCTTCCTTGTCTTCGTTAATAGATAGCATCGCCGTCTCTCTCCGGGCTCGTGGTAGGTAGGTAGGTAGGTAGGTAGGTAGGTAGGTCTGCGCATCTGCCTGGCAGCTGGCAGAAGGCGGTGCGGCCCGCGGCCGCGGAGGCCAGAGCGGCTAGACAGCCTCGTGATATCTCCTAACTGCGGTCGGTCCATATCGTGGAGGGGATGTGCCCCCAGGACATTATCGGGGCTAAGGGGGGGGGGGGGGTTTACACGGGGCAAAAAGAGTGCGGCACATCGTGTAGGGGGCCAGAGAGAGAGAGGCACTAGCGAATAGGGCGCCGCGCCGCGAGTTCGCAGACGCGACGCGATATAGCCGCCGCCGTCGCCAGAGCACATCTACCGGTGGTCTCTGCGCGTTCGTGGGCAGGATGTTCCCCCCCCCCCCCCCCCCGAGGATTCGAGGTGCCTGGGTTTGTATAATCTCGGTCCGCTGCCGGCAGATGAGGTTGGGACAGGGCATGGAGTTCGATAAACGGAGTGCCACCGCCGCGTGGTTGCTATCCTCCGTTTCTACCTCTCTTGCCTACGGCTAGGATCAGGTGGGGGGGGGGGTGCGTAGACGTCCATCCTGCCTCTAGACGTCCCCGGGAGAGAAGCCAAGCGTTCGGAAGATTTATAAGTCACGAACTACGGGGTGTTTGGGACCAATCCCTGTTTAGGGGATGCGACTTCACAGCCGTTATCTTCACCCCCCAGCCTGCCTCCCTAGAGCGCCGATCGTCGTCGTATCTAGGACATTCGTAGAGGCCGACACGGTTAAATATGGAAGATGCTGTTTTCAGCTATATACTCGCGATCAAGAGGTTGACCCTCGCCTAAGTGCCCAAGAAGCGAGCAGGGAGATACCAACAAGCTCGTAAGACACTCGCTGATGAACACATATGTACGCCTCGCCCCTAACGGCACCATGTCTGGCGCACGCCCACCATAAACCACACCGACGCGGTAGCAAGAAGCAAGACTCCTCGTAGAAGTGTCTCCATTCAAAAACACCCAATGTGGTCCTTTGAGCGGTCGATTTTCGAGGAAACCTCACCAGCACTTTCATAGCTTCGCACTGCTGGCTGAAGGCTCGGCCGATGACAGCGTATTGCTGCGTCCCTCTACCTCTTCGATAAGCTCCTTGAGAGCGGTGTCGGCCTAATAAGCGAATACGCAGCAACTGAGGTTAGCGAGGGAACTCTCTGATCGACGCTTTCTCGCATATGCCATTGTCACAGCGCATGCGGCTATCCGCTCACCTCGTACACGTATACCCAATCACGACCCGACGTGAACGAGTTCTCGACACGGTGTCGTATCTCGTCGTCGGGGGTCACGGGCCCCCGCGCTGCCATCTCCCGCTCGGCCTGCGCAGACTCGTCTAGGAGGCCGAACAACGCAGCGTAGTGCGGCGTACGCGCCTTGTCGAATAGGTCGAGCCCGCCCGATGCCGGCCGCCCCGACCCCCGCGCCCACCTCAGCGCGCCCGCGAGCACGTAGGCGTCCTCCAGGGCGAACCCGGCGCCCGCCCCGAACGCTCCCGAGAGCGGGTGCGAGGCGTCGCCGACGAGGGCTATCGACGCGGTTACGACGCTCCGGAGGCAGGGCCCAGCGAAGTGGTCGAACCGCTGCACGTACGTCGCCAGCCCGAGAAGCTGGCGGATCGGCGACGCCATCTCGCGGTAAAACTGGACAAAGCCCTCGACGGGCGCGTCGCGGCCCCAGCTCACGTGCTCCCCCCCCTTTTCGTCTCCAGCCGGCGCTGTAGCCGGGCTCTTGGCCCTAGTGGTAATCTCAAAGTCATGCTCGTCTAGCGGGCATGTGTAGATCCACTTGCCGTCGGTGCCGTGCCAGAAGGTCGCGACGGGCACAAGGCCATTGATTTTCATCGCCTCGTCCCGCCGGACCACCGTACGGTACGCTATCGCGCCCGTGTACTTTATGCGATGTTCGGGGAATGCAAAGTTCCGGACGACCTTGGTTTCAGTACGCGGTTAGTGAGAGCACGTGGGCCTTATACCTATCCTCGAGATGATGCTCCGAGTTCAATTTGGCAAGGGATATTAAACAAGGAAATATGTCGGCGGTAGCATATCAATCAGCCCATCCGCCTCACACTCACCGACCGAATACCGTCTGCGCCAACGAGGATATCAACCTCATCGGTGAAGCCATCTTCGAAAAATAGCTGGAGTTTCTCATTCTCATCTCCCAAGCGGGAGACCCTGACCAACTTCCTGCCCACACGGATCCGGCTATGATCCACTTCTTTTAAGAGGGCCTGCTGGAGCTTGGCCCGATAGACTCGGCAGGGGTGCCGGTGAAGAGGCGTGTCAGCGCGGGGTCTCTGTTGACCGATCAATTGGCCGGTCCTCCCATTTCTTTCCGGCGAGGTACGGATCACGAGTGAGAATAAGCCCATCAGGAAAAAACAAAACAAAAGACCACTGGTGCCCCCCGCTAGAATACTCACCGATGTTGAGTTTCGTGCCCGCTCTCCGGTCTGAAGAAGTCTCCCGCACTGAGATTCCGAGCTGCCCCCATCAGCTCGAGCATCCTCCACGTATTGCGCTGGATCGTGATGCCGGTGCCGATTTCGCTGATGGCGGGTTTCTTCTCATATAGCTTCCAGTCGACGAAGTCTAGCTTGCCAAGCTCGATCGCTACCGCGAGGCCGGCGGGCCCGCCGCCGATAATCGCTACTTTTAGCTGTCTTGAGGGGGGGAGCGGTGCGCCCATCGTGGATATTGTGATTCTTAGCGTGCCTTTTGGCGAGAAAAGTGCCTACGAGTTACACGTCTACAGGTCCGCCAAGCCTTGTGACAAGCGCGTTGCAATAGGTTGACCTCCCAACGAGCAACATGAGCAAAACGCGAACTCTTAGAGGTCAACGCAACTCTTCGCCCAAAGGGAAAACATGACCATGTTATAGCTCTGTAAAACGCCGGGAGTAGAGAGGTTGTGGGTATGTGTACTATATATAGTATGCATCATCCAAAGTAGAACCTGGCGATGGCGAAATAAGGGTAGCATATTGGTAATCGCAATCCGCCCACTCACGGAGCAGCAGACCACTAGGGGTTCGCTCTAAGAGTAATTATATCAAGTCTAGAGATTCGCTCCTTCGGCGTCTCTACATATGGCATATAGGACGACGGCGGGAAGAGAAAGCAGTTTTTTAATCTCGAGTAGAATATCTGTCGATTTGCTGCGCAGGTTGTCAAGGGGTCTGCGAGCGATGCGGCTGCAGCGAATCTGAGGATCCACGGAATCCCAGGGTCGGGTGGAGCTGAGGTCTGGGGCCTGGACCTGAGCGTCCCGAATCGAGATATCACATCGACGCACGTATTGGCGAAGCACACGATGCAGGGCGTGGGCCGATTGGCCTCTAGTTGTAACGTATCTGAAATGCGCCGTGGCAGCCGAGTCTCCGACTGGCCGGGACGGGCGGGAGCGGCTATGCGCCGGTAAACCGCACGTGGAATTTCGCAAGCCGTACGAACTTTGGCAAGCTGTATGAGTAGAAGGCGGTCTCGATCGAACCGGGGGTTGGAGGGGGTTGTACAGTGCCAGATTCACTGTGACTATCGACAGAGCCTTGTCTGAGATCTGGTAGGAATGTAAGACAGTCTTTCGGGGTCTATCGCACGGTGCATATTTGGACTGGTTCGTGGTGGGACATCCTAACCGCTCCATCGCCTAAAACGGCGGCGCAAAGCATGGGACCCCCAGTCTCTCGCGGACCTGTTGCAGACAACTTCCGAATGAGGGAGAATGGGGGCGATCTGGTTGGCTGGTTGGCAGGTCGACCAGGCCGGGATGATCGAGGTGGGCGCACACTAGCAAGGGAAAAAAAAAATTAAAAAGAGAGCGGAGAGCAGAGAGCGGGAAAGAGGTGGTCAGATAGGCAAGCCACGAAAGAAATGAGACCACGATAGGGTCGTGTGGAGGGACGGTAGGCGGCAGCGTTGCCTGAAGGCGAACGATGACGGTGTTTTCGGGCGGTTCAGGCGGGATCCGAGCCAGATTTACGGGACAACCCCCCTTTTACTGGGTCCCCCCCCTTCACGGCGCTTGCTCGAGATGAGATGAGATATATATGCGTGAGATGGGGACCGGGTTGGCTGGTTGGCCGAACGGGGAGGGTGATGGCGAGGGTGAGGGGTGAGGGTGTGGTTGTGAGGCGGAAGGATGGCGTTGCTTCGATACGGAAAGGTGACGAGATGGAAATGTCGGAACAATTTGAATAACCTACATCCCACGTAGTACATTCTTCTTAGGTATTGACAGCTGCATCATGTACGGAAAGGTACCTAGGTAGCCTCGATGGCAAGTGCAGAAAATACATACCTCCTAGGTACCTACCCTGGTACCCGTAGGCACGGAGGAGGAGGAGGAGGCGGGTTGGGCGGAGAGAAGGGAGCGAGGCGGAGGAGGGGAATTGTCGTCGATACAAGGCCGCCGTGGCTCTTCGTGATCAGCGCAGAAAATTTGGCCGGCAAATAATGCAGTCGCCGGCCAATGAGCGAACGCGCATTCCGGGAAGTTTCTCGCGTGAGAGGAAACGTACGACTCGAGGCTCTAATTAACTGTCTTTCCTTGTTTTTTTCTTCTCTTTTTCTTTTTTCCCCATCTCTTTTCCCTTCTCTCCTCCCCCCTCCTCCCACCGAGGAACCTCAAGTACTGTCTATGTCTAGGTACACACACCCCGTGGAGGTACTAAAGCCACCTTATGTTACCTAGGTAGGTACCTACCTACCTAGGTACCTACCTCCTAGGTGCCTGGGTGCCTTGCTTCGACGAGAGATCACGAGGTGCAACACGTCAATGTGTAGACGCCTATGTGCATTACGTACATGCTTAGGCACGTAGGAGAAGGAGATTCTTACTTTTACAGTACGTAGTACTGTTTGTACATCCATGTGTTTGGCAGGGGCTGTCTGAGCTACCGCTCGGGGTGCGGCGGCGACAGTGCGCCGCACGCGCTGCCTCCCCGATAACCGTCCCAGGCTACCTATAGTATTATATAGTGGCTGAGCACACCGAGATCGCTCAACCTTAGTGGGGTTCGCTCCGTAGCCGATCCTCCCGTACGGGGTTGATACAGCGCGTCTCTATGTATAGACGTGTGGAGGGACATTCGTATATTAGGCAGATACATCAGGCAGGTCCAGCAACTAGAGGTAGGCGCCGTCATGGGCCAACTCGACGCCTACCGATCGAATCAATACCTGCTTCCATTTCTCCCAGCAACCTGCCCACCAGAGGTTGTACGCCCCTAAGAGGTACCTGCTCCGTAGCGTTACCTTAGGTACTTAGACGTCGCGCAAGGCTCCACAGGTTTCATATTGGGCCAGTGGTCAAGTCTCGCTCATATGGGCAACGGGGGTACCGGCATTGTGCTGTGATGTAGACAGAAGTATAACGCGCCCTTGCAGTACGGACAACAGGTACTCCTGGGCTAGGTGGAGGCGACGTTTGATCTCGGTCGAGGACGTCTTCCGGGCCTCAACCCATTGAGGAAGCTAGGTACCTAGACTTGCCTGGTACGCTGGCGAACCTCGAGGCTACTCTGACCCGCAGGGAAAAAAAATTAGAAAAAAAAAACCCTAACTTAGCGGGTGCATCCCCTCGGCACTATCCTAGGTACCTTGGTGCATGGAAGCTAGCCAACACCACCTTCTGCGGCGCGCATAGCAGTACGCACCAACGCGTCAGACGACGACGCATGCTGTGTGTTGTGTGTGTGTGTGTGTGTGTGTGTGTGTGTGTGTGTGTGTGTGTGTGTGTCCGTACACAAAAGCAACGGTCAATGGGCCAGGGGGGGAAGTGGTTTTGCGGGATGCATGTAGCCGGCTAGGTACCCGAGGTACACATAGAAGAGGCATTCTGGATGAGTCTGCACTATGCACCGCAGCCTATGTATGGAGACGTAGACGTATGTACGTACAAATATGTGCGATAACTGGAGGGTGCAGAGCATCCATGCTCCAGTGAGGTCATATCCGGATCATGGATGTGAGAATGGGGGGGGAACTAAGACCTAAAATCCACCGAGACGATACGGCGATGGGTGTGAGCTTGGGTGAGCGAGCCCATGTCGTCGACCTCCAATGTATATAGGTAGGTATATACTATGGGCAGGCCGGATGGAGAGGGTGAGATGGGGGCCGTTGGGTGCCGATGAGGCTTAGGTACCTACGTAGATGTACTACGTAGTATTGTAGTTACGTACATTCAAGGCCTGAACCGTGTCATCCCTGCACAATCCCCTGCTAGGTTACTTCTCATCCGTTTTGCTCCGCACGCGCACCAAAACTTTTTTTTTCTCTCTCTCCTCGACTCGATTCCCTGCCATATTTTCACCGCGTGTCCCCTCTTCTCTGTTCTCCTCTTGCTCCCGGGTAACCTCGCTCGTGAAATTTCCTCCCCCTCTTTTCCGCTCTCGCAACGGGTAGCCAAGGGTAACCAAGGGAGAAACCTAGTGTAATGGAGAGGCGCCGGATGCGCGGCCGAAGGGCAAGCAAAGGTTCCACGAGACAAATGCCTATTTTTGCAAAATTTGCATGTAAATATATATAAATATATCTACCTGTGCGTGTGCGCGTACGCACGGGTTGGCAGGGGGGGACCTCCCTCCTACAACCTACTCCGATCTGTTTACCTCTTACCTCCGCCGCCCTTAACCTAAGTACGTACCTTATATAGTAGGTACATACTAGGTACCCTCCTATAATACCCCACCAATACCTCATACCCCCATCTGCGCTACGTCCTAGATAGCACACAATACCAGCTCGGGGCTACCTGAAAAATGCGTTCCTACACTTATCCACTCGACAACCTCCTATACGTGTAATAAGTCGCTTTCCTGTCTACCTCCTTGGGGTAATCCTATGCACAATGCATTGCCCGCATGTCTAGTTCCCTTACCGCCTCTTCTCTCCGGCCTCTCTATGGGAGTATAGGAATGTAGCGCGCATGGTAGCTATACCTCACATGTACGGGGTACGTGATAACCTGCGTGCTCTAAGGGTCGCCCTGCCATCCTCTTGCTCCGGCATGCAGTACTCATATGAGAGGGATGTGAACAGGTCCTGCCACGGTTACACTCGACTACCTCCAGTGCCTTGAATGCGCAGCATGGCGAGGGCGCGAACTCGTGCAGATACATACATAGGGGTAAGGGTAGGTAGTGTAACTGACTGGCTGGTTACCAGGCATATCGTGGAGATAACCCCTGGGGGGGTGGCAATCCGACCGTGGCGTAATGCCAGATCGTTAATAGGCAGGTAGAGCGATAACACGCAATGATACATCACTTCAACGCAGCCGGCAGGGAGGAGAGAGAGAGGCACCTTACGGGAAACCGGTAGGAGGAGGAGAGGGAGAGGAGGAGAACAGCCGAAGAGACGGGAGCCCGACGAGGACCCCTAAAAGATACAAACGAAGAGCCCCCCCTCCTTTTGAGATTTGTCCTTCCGTGGTAACGAACAGGTAGCGAGCCAAATTTGGTCCAGCCATCTCGAGCCAGAGCGCCGATGATTGGCTGTGCTCTTCCAAACGGGGCAATAGAGGCACAAGGGATGATCCTCGAATGCTACACTGGGTCCCGGCCAGGAGCATGGGTACATCTGGCTGGGCACCTCTATATGTACCTAGGTTAGGTACCTTATGAGTAGAGGCAGGTCATGTAGAGTAGTTGGCAGTACCTCCTGCAACTGTCTACCTGTGTGATACGTACACTAAACTAGGTACCTCCTAAGGTACCTACCTACCTCCTCTCTACGTCGCATGTAGGTAGTATGAACCTCCCCTGTTTAGGTCGTCTCCCAGTGGCCCGTTTCCACCCTGTCCCATCTCCAGGTGAAGGGGAGAGCATTCCTCAGCTTCCCCCTCCCCCCCCATCTGACCTGACCCGAGCCTGGGTCGAACCTGGACACAACACAACCACACGCACACAAGGCATCTCTCATGCTCGCTGCCGCCGCCCATACACACTCCCTCCCCTCCTTCGCCCGTTCAGACCAGTCTAACAAAAAGTCCCCTCTTGCTTTTCCTCCCCTTTCATTCGTCGTTTCAACATCACCGTCGCAATTCTCACCTCTTCAGTCCACCGCTTTCCCCAGATCCTCTCTCTCTCTCTCTCTCTCTCTCTCCTCTCTCCCCCCTCTGTTCTACGTAGATCATTCGTAGGGCCATCGCCAAACCCCCCTCCCATTATTCACCCAAGCAAAAAAAAAAAAAAGGTTTCCCAATCGTATTCCTCCTGCTCCCCTGTCTCGCTTGCATCACAAAACTCTCTTATCGTCTGGTGATCTCTCTCCCTGAGCTGGGATTCCGATCTCTCCGCATTCTCGGTTCACGCAACGGCCAGTTATAAGATACCCCGATACCCAGATACGCCTGTACCGTTCGTAGATCCTCACTTCTTCTACCTTACTCGCCCATCATGCCGTACAACACTCGTCGCAAATCGTTGTCTCTGCCGTCCCTCGGAATTCACATCCCGGTGAACCGGTCCTCGCCCAACAACTCCAGCGTGGCCTGCTCTAGATCCTCCTCCGAGAGCTCTTCGCACCCGAATAAGAAGCAGAAACGGTCCCACCATGACCCGGTCTCCGCCGTGTCCAGCTCTGTACCCACCTTCAAGTCTGTCGCTCCCCCCGCGAAGTACGATCACACACCGCCTCCCTCGCCTGGCCTCGAGCTCTCCATTGAAATGGACGACGGCGAGGCCGCCGATGTCTCGGAGATCAAGAAGGTCGACTTGGAGGGCATAAACGACGAGATAGTCGAGGCCGTCATTGTACGGTTGCAAGAGACGCGGAATCGACCCCATCTAGTAAAGGAACTCGCTACCTCCCTCATGGGCCAAGTCAGGATCGTTCAGCAGTGAGTCTACCGCGGTGCACCCTTTCCGTGCAGGATGTTAACTGGTTGGTTTTCAGATCTGCGAATCCGTGCGCCATCGTCTCCTCTCGGTTATCTACATACTTGAAGCGATCGTGTTGGTCCGCCGTAGCTCCCTGCCCGCTGGCCAAGGAGCTCGAGACTGTCCACCCGAGGCGCACCTACTTCTACCTTACCACCTACCCTCACCAACCCCTCCCAGACACTTCCGCCGCCTCCCGCGTCATCATCACGCCGTCCCTGTCCAGCTCCCCTTCTACGTCGGACGACGCCGACTGCGATCGAAGAAGGGAGCTCAGTTTGTCGCCCGAAGTCGATCTTTCGTCGCCCGAGTTTGACGACATGGACGAAGATATGCCCATGCCTGGAACCCCGGTGGGGTCGCTGCCGGGCCGTCACCCATCCCTCCACAACATTCCGCGCTTACGGGGAGGGGACGAGCCTCCGCTAGAAAAGGACGAGAAAGAGTTCACCCAGACTGCAGATGGACTACAAAAGCGAAAGGCGAACGGGCATTTGCTCAAAGCTGACCCCGTCGAGCAGAACTTGATAGACGACGGCATGCAGAATGAGCAGCTCTTTGGTGAACCGCCTAAGAATCTGGCACCGCCCTTTCTACCTCACTTCGCATTTATGACTAGCCCCGCCATGCGACCGAGTCTAATGCCGCCACCTAAGAGGGACGGCGAGGCCGAAAGCTGGACCAAGCTAGATGCCGTTCTCGAGTGGGGCCGGAGCCCCGAGACCGTCGAGCTCGACGAACTCGACGGTCTGCTTGACGATTTCTAAGCACGTTTCGATAGGGATTTTTTTTAAGAAAAAAAAATCCAGTTCTTCTCCTACTCGGTCTATGTTCTTTTACTAGGCGCAAAACGACGTGTGCATTCGGCACGCGGTTACTGTGTGATTGAGCATGTGTGACGAGATAAAAGAGACGGCCGTGATGAACTAAAACGGAGTTCGGGGTGGGGCGGCACTTATCAGCCAGTGCATTCGATTTCCGATGCGTCGGCTATCTCTCCATTTTTCGCGTCATGTTTATTCCCCCGATCTTGTCGTGCTGGTTAGCTTCCTTGTTGGGTGTTTACACGCCCGTTGCCCGCGTTATCATTTGCTGGCCGGAGAGGATGTATGAATACGACGAGAAGAAGCGCCCAGTGGGCGGCAAGGCGCGGGGTTGCATAACGGCGGCCCGGGATCCCGGGGTCGATGTTAAGCTGAAACAGCTGTCTCGGCTCCCAACGTAAGAGCTGGGCGAGGAGGGGGGTGGAATGGTAGTGGAACGTTGTTTGTCTGGTTTGCCACCTGGTTTCCGAAGAAGTAAAAAAGGGGAGATCGATCCTGTACCAGTAGGTAGACTAGACTACCAGAAGATGGGAGAGCCGGTTACAAGAAGAAGACGAAGCGGGCAGACGGGGCACCCCAGGCTTTAGAGCATTAGAACTTGGCTTTCTGGTAGTGGTGATAGCGTGTGTGCGGTGGCGGCGGCGAAGCAGGCGCTAGGCGAGCAGGACTAGATTAGTGAAGAGGTAAAAAAGGTTGCCAGTTGATTCTCTTGTCAAGTACAAAAGGAAAATCCCCAATCGAGATTTATCGCTATTGACCATGCACCTAGCGATAGAGCCTCTTTTGCGAGGGATAATTTGGTCGAACCGGGCCATCGCAAGTACACATAGCCACGAGAAGCGGGTAAGTCGTAAGCCGGCGCACACAAACAGTCGGGGGTTGATTGAGTGGTATAATATCGCTTCATTATATATGCACACCTATTCATTGGTCCCGTATGCCGACGGCTCTCTCGCGTAGCTCGTACAGACTTGGCTTGTGCGTCCCCGGCGCTCCTATCTGTCTCGCGGGCCCTCGTCCTTCCTCTGCTGCTCGTCGCTGGCGGCGCTGCCGCCACCGCTAGTCCCGGTCGCGTCGCGGTCGCGACTATTGACAGACAGGAGGCCGGAGGACCAGGCCCACCACCCGGGGGTCTCCGTCGCCGACGAGTCCGCGAGCTCTTCGGCGGGGTCGGGGTCGCCGGGGGGCCGCACGCGCAGCTCGACGAGGACGTGGGTGCCGACGGTGAACCAGCCAGGGCGCTCGAGGCGGAGGACCTCGAGGCGGGGGCCGGGGCCGGCCTCGGCCGCCGCGGCGCGCACGATGCCCTCGATGTCGCGGTTCCACCAGCAGCCGAAGCGCACGAAGTGGCCGAGCGCGCCGCGGTCCAGCAGCCCGTTGACGAACGCCCACCAGTCGCTGCGCCCGTGCTCGAGCAGGAGGATGCGGCCCGTGCCGGGGCGCACGGCCGCCGCGAGGTTGCGCAGCAGCGCCGCCGGGTCGCGCACGCTGCACAGGCCGAAGGTCTGGATCACCGTGTCGTACTTCTGGGGTGGCACGTCGCCCGAGGAGGCGCCCAGAGGCGGCGGCTCCAGCAGCGGGGCCTTCTGTGCGTCCGCGCGCACGATGCGGAGCCGCCCACCTGCGAGCGCCACGCCCTCCGGGGGCCCGCCGGCGCCGGGGCCTAGCTCCGACGCGAGCTGCGCGAATGAGGGCCGCTTCGGGATCACGTCCGCCATGTGCGGCACGACCTGGCGGACGCGCGTCAGCGCGAGGTCGAGCATCGGCGCCGAGATGTCGAGGCCGGTGAAGCTGAGCATGCCGGTCTCCATCTTGGCGAGGTCGGCTCTGACCTGGGCGGGGGTCTTCCTCCTGGGCGGGGGCGCGCCGTCCCCGTCGCTCTCGGGCCCGGACCCCGCGCGCCAACCGAACCAGGCGGACCCGCCGCCTCCGGGCTTCTCGAGCTGCTCCCGCTCGGCGGCGGCGCGCGCGAGGTCGGCGACGACGAGCTCCCAGTCGTAGTAGTCGAAGTTGCGGCCGGCGCCGACGGCGACCTCGAGCACGTGGCCCCGCGCGCGCGCGGCCACGCGGCGCCGCAGCTTCGTGATGCCGAGCCGCCACTCCGACTTGTCCAGGTGCGCGTCGAACTCGCGCGGCGACTGCACCGACGGCCGCCCCGTCGGCAGCTCCGGCTCCGCGCCCGCGTCCCACCGCGACGCCGGCTGCGCCCGCCAGTAGTACGCCAGCGACGCCGTGAAGAACCCCACGCACACGGCCGCGGCGCCCGCGCCGAAGAGCGGCAGCCACCGCGTCAGGATGAGCTCTGAGACGGGCTGCTGCTGCTGCTGCTTCTGGCCTTGGTGCTGGGACGAGGAGGAAGAAGATGATGAGGAGGTACCTGGTTTCGGGTGGGCCCCAGGGCTGCGGGCTGCGGCTGGTTGGAAGGGGAGAGGCTTGGGAGAGGCTCGCGGTAGCTTCGGAGGCGGCGGCGGCCCCTTGGAGCCCGGGGCGGTGGCATAGTGCCTACGGCGGCCGCCCCGTGTAAGCCATCGGAAGCTCCCCCCTCTTCCCCTGCACTCGCGCACCGCCGTCCTCGCGGCGACGTGGTGTACGCACAGAGGCTGCATCACGCACGATCTGCACGACTAACCGGCTAGCCGCCGCGTTCCCAGCTAGTTCCGCTTCTCTCCTGAAAGGAGGTGCAGGGTGGATAGGCGATGAGGCGAGGACGTCGATGCACAGCCAGGTATTAAGCCATCTTCTGAGGCTTCGATCTGGGGAAGAAGTCCTGAGCGCCACGTACTATAGGTACCGAACCCCGAGGGCGCGTCTCCGATCCGGTAGTGGTGCTAGAACCCAGGGGCCAGGGCTCAGCGGTGATAAGCTGCCAATGCCGATGGGAAAAGACAGTGGTGTTGTTCGTCGGTTCGTGGCTGATGATGGATTTGGTTGATACAGGTGCGGATTGGCGGAGTGTCGGCGGTGGCCGCGCCGTAGATGCACTGTATTTTCGCGCCTTAGGTGGGCATGTATCTAGGGCTAGTAGGTATCTACATAGGTACGTACTGGTACCCCTCTGCTTGCGAAGATTACAGGCATTCTCCAGCTGGGCTGCGGGGTACCAAGTACCTGGTATGAGGTACCGGACGTGCACTCCATGCCCACGTGCAGCTCCCGAGGGGAATGATGTAAGCAGTCGAAGTACCCCGTAGTCTGCACCTGCGGAACGCTTCGGAAGATCTTACCTAATCTCAGATGTCCGACGTAAGACTCGATAGATCCCATCGCTTATCTGCCTTGGTATCGCATAACGCATAACGTGACAACACGCGTAGCTGAACGCGCTGTCCTCTTCAACGCGCCTTTCTATAGTGTGTCCGCCTTGGACGATATCCATCAACCTGAACCAAGAAAAAAGCCTTCCCCCGAGGCATTCTCACCCATTCAATTCCGTTCGTGCATCGGCCATCCTGCTTTCCTCGTGACGAATACACCGCCAGCCATCGCGAACATGGCGTCTCAGCAGGATCTCCAGGAGCTGATTCGCCTCATGACCGTCGGCATGAAGGTCCCCATTAAAGACGCCCTAGCCCGCATCAAGGAACTACAGACCAAAAACCTCCGTAGGTAGGTGTATTCCAGATGCTGCGTGCCCGGAATGCAATCACGTAGGATACGGCTACTGTAGATTGTCTACAGAGGGGCTGCCTAAGCTGATACCGATCTTCGTCCCCGCTCAGCATTCGGCAGATAGCCGAGAGTTCCCTATCCGACGTCACTTCTGCCGTTAAAGACGCGAAGGCCGCCCGGTCCCTCCACAACGCCTGTAAGGCTCGACTCAAAGCCCCAGCAGCAGCATCTTCGGCAACCAAGCGGCCGGGATCGACTCTAGAAAACGCCTCCAAGAAGTCGAAGCCGCACAGTGAGGCCGGTTTCGGTGGCCCGGAGCCTATTGCCCCACACGAGTACGAGGCCTCACTTGCATTGCCCATAGAAACCGACGAGCAGATCATAGCCGATACCATCCTCGTAACCAACCGTGCCCCTCTAGTCCTAGCCTTTGCTGTCGAACTCTTACGATATACGATGCCCGAGCAACCCCCCTCCAGTCGGTTAAGTCTAGCGCAGGCGGTCGTGAGCGCCAATTCGAGGAGCAAGGCAGTCTCGATAGGGATTGAGAAGGGCCCCAGCGCCGACGAAGAAGGTTGGGGCCACGGCCAACCCCGAGTAAAAGTCATGGGCCGCGAGATAACCGTGCTGAAGAGAGGCGGCTACGAGTGGAAGGGGGATGAAAAAGTAGGGGAGGATCAAAAGTCAGAAGAAGGGCCGGCTAGTAGCGCGGGCGTGGCATCCAACGCTCAAGAGACCAGTATGGACAATGCCAATAAAAGTACGACATCCGAAGCGTCTGCCGGCCCTGCCCGGAACCTGTGGTCAGCTAGCCAACCCGTCACTTTGAAGAAGTCGACTTTCATCGTTCGAGCGACGAAAATCACCGGACCCTCTCAGCGTCGCTCCGTGATGCAGTCTCTTTTTGAGGCTCAGCCATCTTTAGAGGGCGCATCGCATAATGCTTGGGCCTATCGCGTCAAAGTACCGACCAATCTGTTTGGAGCCACTACCATCAAAGAGGAGTCTTTCGACGACGGGGAGACCGGCTGCGGTGATTTTCTAATCAAGAACATGCGAGAAATGGACACGGTCGACACCCTCGTGGTGATGACTCGTTGGTACGGAGGTATTATGCTTGGCCCTGATCGGTGGAGGATAATGCGAAACTGCTTAAAAGACGCTCTTGCAGAACGCCTTAGGGTTACAGGAGCACATGCTACACTAGGCGGCGAAGCTGTCTGGGGCTTGGACCTGGAGGCCATGCGAGACAAATCCGGAACTGTCGGTTCTGCATCTAGTAGGTCATATGAGGCGGGTGTGGTAGGCATGCCCATCCATAGACCCGAGGCGGCCAGAGCGTATCTTCTCAAGAGCTTCGCTACAAGGGTGGACGTTTCGGCGGACGGCGTGAGCGAGGTGGCGGCCACGGAAGGCGGTAAAGATCATGGAGCAGAGCCACCAGCTCCTCAAAAAGCTCCCGCCTCGGCGGGTAAGACGATGCTAAAGAAGAAGACGGCCAAGGCGCTGGAACTGGAGAAGGAGGAGAACGTCGCTAGACTACTTGGCGCCATCAGAACCCTATACGATAGCTGGGCCGACCATCTCGCCCCAGGCGAGCTTGATCGACGAGCTTGGAGCTGGTACATCGCAGTGCGACCCGAGGTAGACAGCGGCCCTTCTGGTTGGGGGGCAAAGGGACACTTGAGACTCGCCGATATTCTTGCTTTACGACGAGAAGAAGGATAACATTAATCAACGGTTGCTTTCACTTTTCGATTTTCCTTGGGTGTCCTATTGCATATCTAGAGCTCTATGCGCCGAGATGTCCTGTAACCATCTACGCCCACTCTCGAGAAAGATCGGGAATTGTCAACCTCACGGTTTCCATATATACACGAAAGGTTCGGACGAACCCATAACCCGAAGACGCGACCAAAGCACTAATATTTAACCTAGTAAAGGGAGGCTCATAGAAGACCGTAAGGCTAGAGGCTAGCCGTCGAGACCTATATTAGTGTATGCGGCTGATCGCCTCGACAGCCATTACTTTGACCCACGCGTTGCTAATTAATCCAGGCAGACTCGGCCCTGTGGGATCTATGTTCCACTATTCGAGCTTTGTCTTGTGCTGTCGCTCGAGGTATTCGCGGCATTCGCTGTGCCTGTATTGGTCTGCCTCGGCAGAGTCAGCAGGGGTTTAATTCCGCTACTAGCGGCCACGAATGCCGTCCGACTGTCGATATCCGGAATGTCTGGGTCGTTCCCGATACGGGATCGAGTACGTCGAACTTAATGCGCTCTTCTCTCACGGGGACATGCTCCCCGTCATCCTCACGGTCTCGCTCACGGCCTTCCTGCAGGGCCCAGTACAAACAGCTGTTTAAGGAGAGGCGGCTACGAAATGCTCTTGTCAGCAGTTCGATTCCCAGCAGTTATGCGGAAGTAAGCAAGCCTAGTTATGTAGGCCTAGATTATGGCTCTTCCCGCTCCTATTTCAAAGCATTCTATCTACGAGGACGGGTTCACCTCATTAACGATATCGAATAGTCAACGTCTTCGTGTTTGACTCAGGTACGTTGGCACAGAAGTGATTCCGAATGACTACCTTGTATATTGATTCTTCGTATCTGTCTTCCAGGATCATTATTCAGTGGAGTCCTGCATTACTCGTTACGGTTGGAGGGCCCCTCAAGGAGATTGCCCAGTCGGGATCAGCTATCTTGAACTCGCAAGCTATACTTCTCACCTCTCTTCGCTTCGTCGGATGATCGAGGATAGAATTGTTAGATGAGCCCTCTCGGGTACGCCATAGACACGATACCGCTGGTTCATAAGGACGACATTCGCACATGCCTACATGCGCCCAAAGCATATATATATATATGTTCCGTCTACCTAGTCATACTCATACCCTTGTGCCGTCTGTTCAAAGCTATGCGTTAAAGAGAACTTCCCAACGAATACATATCCACGATCGAATACTTCTTCCCTGCTTCCGTCTCTTGCGATACAATAAGCCCAACTAACTGATACCTGTAGCACCAACCTGCGAATAGCCCAACCCGTGACATCGATTCGTTTCCGACAAAAGCAAGCAAGCAAGCAAACCTAGCGAGCCACCTAGAAGCGTCCGTCTGTGATCTCGTTTAGGATATCCCGTGTAATCAGACGTCCCCTCATGAGGGCCTTGTCGGTGATCTTGCCGCGCTTAGGCCCGTGGTCGGCGGCAGCGGCGGGGGGGCGGTTTTCCTTGCCCTCGGAGATCAAAAGCCTGTTCCAGGCGACAGAATTCCTCTTCTTAGGGGGGCTGGGCGGCGCCTTGGTCGGGGAGGAGCGCAGCGGCGGGCGCAGCTGGGTGGCGACGCCGGCGGTAGTCTGGGTCGCGCCGTCTTCGGCGGCGCACAGGTGGCCGTCGAGGGCGTCGGGCGCCAGGTCGTAGATCCAGTCGCGGGCCTCCATGAGGCGCACGAAGCGCGCCAGCATCTCGTGGTCGCCGCACCCGCGCAGCGTGTCGCGGCTGCCGACGACGAGCAGCTTCGTCTTGGCGCGCGTGAAGGCGACGTTGATGCGCCGCCAGTCGCGCAGCAGGTCGCCGATGTTGTGCGCCTCGTTGCTCCGCACCAGGCTCAGCACCACCACCTCCTTGTCGCGCCCCTGGAACCGGTCCGCCGTGTGCAGCTCCACGCTGCTGCCGCCGCCGCCGTGCGCCCCGCGCAGCCCGTGCTTGAGCAGCGACAGCTGCGACCGGTAGTGCGTCATGACGCCGATCTCGCCCGCCGGCACGCCGGTTGCGAGCAGCGCCTCAACCAGCTGCACCACGATGCGCGCCTCCGCCGGGTTCACGATGCGGTTGCCCTTGGCCTCCTCGCGCGCCGACGGCAGCCGGTCCGTGTTGACGAACCGCACGCGTGCCTCGGGGTCGAGGAGGTGGCGCAGCCAGCAGCCGTCGGTCGCCCAGCCGGGGCAGAAGGACTGGGGAGCGCCAGAGCGCGCGACGGTGCTCGCGTCGTGGTGCATCAGCCGCAGGTTACCCATGTGGGGCACGTCGAGCCTCTGATGGCGGAGAGCCTCGGTACCACACTTGAGGTGGCCCTCGTAGATGAGCGTGTTGCTGAGCATCATGACGTCCTCGCACATGCGATACTGGTGCTCCAGGTTGACGACCGAGTCCGGGTGGGTGTCCGAGAGCAGCTTAAAGAGGCTCACGTCCAGGCCGCCGGTGCGGGCCTCCTCGTTCTGCACGAGCGGAGGCAGTTGATTGTGGTCCCCGACCAGGACAAAGGTGTGCGCCATGCGGATCGGCCCGAGGCAGATAGGCAGCGTGATCTGCGACGCCTCATCCACGATGCAGTAGTCGAAAATCCGCTCGTTGAAGACGGGGTGACTGACGCCTAAGCAGGTCGTTGCCACAATAGGCGTGTCGTGCCAGGCGCTGTGGATTTCTTCGAAGCTGGTCATGGGCTGCCCGGCGAGGACGGCGAAGTCCTGCACCTCAGGATGAACTTTGGCGGGCGCGCCGAGCCGTAGAATGGGTATCTTGTCGTGTTTTAGTTTCAACAAGATGTTGTCGACGGCGGAGTGGGTATAAGATGTCAAGAGAACGGTTTTCCCTTGGCCAACGAGCGCACGGATGATATGAGCGATCGTGGTCGTCTTGCCAGTGCCGGGCATGCCCAGGACAAGAGCATAGTCGTTAGCGCTCATCACCTTCTCGATAGCCTTCCTTTGGTCGATGTTCAAGCTCTCCTCGTCGGCAACTGTATACTGCGTCGAGATCGTCCTGAAGCTGGGAGGAGCGAGGTCGACTACTAGACGCCGAATTTCTCTAGACCCAAACACATCATCCGCCATCACTTGAACGAGGTTGTTTCGGACAGTCGCCATGCCGTTGCTAAATTCGTCTTTGTCGAGTCGAAATTTGAGGGGCGGTTCTTTGAGTTTGCCCTGAGATTGAGCAGATGTTGCGCCTTCGGGCGCCACCTCCATGATACTGGCAAATACCTGATTGTCGGATTCGTCGAACCCCGGCCTGCGAATGCGTGCGTTATGGAGCCGGCGGTCGACTGCGACGCTGATCTTATGCTTCCGGGCCGAGGTGACGAACCCGAGCGCCAGGGCGAAATGTCCCTTCTCGTCCGACACCACGACCGGCTCTCCTACTATAAGCTGGGAATCGAGGAAGGAAAACCCAGGCGGCGGGTTCTCCTTGATAAATGTATACCGAAACCGGTTTATCTTAGGGCTATGGGTATCTTCAAAGGCGGAGCCCTCTTCGATGGTGACGTTGGCAAAACATCGTCCGACCTTCTCTCTCTCGGTGCTTACCATGGTCCAAAGCTCCCGGCGCAGCTTCTGACTCTCCTTTTCTTCCTTCGTCAACAAGTCTTCCCATTTCAGAAAGAACTCCCGATGGGTAGGCGTCAGATGCCGGACGGCGTCATCGAACTTGGATTTCATGCCGCTCGTCTCGCCGTCACCGTCGTCCGCGAGCTTGTGGTAGATGAAACAGGACGATTTCGCATAGCATTTCGCGCATGCATTGGTGCTTCGCTTCATGGGCGGAAGCTGGACGCTGCGCTCTCGAATATAGCAGGCAAGCTGGTTGCGTTGCATAATCATATGTCGAAGTTCGTGGCGGACAGTAGGAATGCGAATCGTCTGGGATGTCTCCATGTAGTATAAAATTCCATAGGCGATCTCGATGTCATACCGATCTGACAGCAATAGATTATACAGAGACGTCTGGGCGTGGTGATTACTTGTAGCGTTGCGGCCCGTCTTCACTTCAAAAGGTACGGTCAACGTACGCCGTTGGGCGCCGTCTTTCATAACCACCTGCACTGTCGCGTCGATATTGCCCTTCAAGCCGTACATCGGCGACCAGACATGTTCTTCTACGTCCAGCAGCTTCGTGACGCACATATTGGCCTTGTCACCCTTCCGGCCTTGCACAATTGCATCGGGCTGTCGCGTGTCAGCCAAAGACCCTCTAGAGATCACACGATCAATGGGGACTCATACCTTGGGAAAAGGGGTGACAAACGCCGCCGCCCAACTCCTCAGCTCGGGCATCTTCGACCGCAGGTGCTCCCGGGCACCATCGATGGAGATTTTAATCATATACAGATCCTCGACATGCTTCTCCGTTATGCGGCAGATCACGCTATCCAAAAACTCGAGGCTCCACTTGTTGGCCATGAGCGCTTCCTGGAAGATCTCGTGTAGAAGAGTTCCGTACACAAGGGGGGGGGTCTTGTCGCTAGTTGCCTTGACGCGGTCCTGGAGCACGGCTCGGCGCATGCACGTAAAGCTGTCTGCGATGACGGTGGCCGAAATCAACTGATCTGGATGCAGGATTAGGATATTCTGGTTGTTGTCAATGATGCACTGCCCGGTCGACTCGAACCCGCCGATAACATGGACGTAGGATTTTGTGCTCGCCGGCGTGTCTATCCAGTCCCCTCGCAGGTGGATGGTCCTCATAACATTGCTCCGGTCGACTTGAACGAACAGGATCTAGACCAGTTAGCGATGATGTCTATAGCCGCCCGGATGGGAGAGGGGGCATGCATACTTTTTCCGTCGACTCCCTTCCAGCCTCATCGGCATATTGACTTTGAAGAATCTTAGTCACAAGATATCTCTGAATTGTCTTGGGTTTGTTAACTGGCTACTGACAGTCTTAGCAACTACTTCCAACTCGCTCCTCAACCGTCACCTACGTACAGGAGACAAGGGCCCGCTCGTCTTCTTCAAGGAGATGGACTGCGTGGCGGCTATCTCGGCCGCTTCAAAATCAAAGTCGCCCCCAAAGTCATCCCCGTATAGGTCCTCAGCAAGATTATCGGCCACGGCGGCGGGCCTCCTCTGCGCGTCAATGCTAGGTTGGAGCGGCGCATGGGCGTTTTTTGGAGGACGATTCGAGTCGATCCGGGCAATCAAGTCTTCGGCGGCAGCAAATACCTCGTCGTCTATATCGGCAAACTCGTCGTCAGATAGTTCATTCTCTTGGCTGACTCGCTGCCGATCAGCAACTTGGCCGGTATCCGTTGGTAGCGGCGGCAGTTGTTCGCATTCTTTCCGTGGTTCATAGATAGTGACGTCTAATCCCATTAGTTCATCGTCGTCAAAATCGTCGTCCCCGTAGTCTGATGCGGCATCCGACGTCGTCTCTAGCCTCTTTCCGACCATTTCTTGCGCCATCTTCTTAGTAGACGGCGGGGTCTGGAGCTTCAGGGGAGATACTTGTCGAGTAGGTGAGCGAGGCTCTGGGGCCGTAGACTGCTTCTTCTTTGGCGAGGCCGCCTGGCGTGCTTTGAGCACCATGGACTTGTTGATCTCCCCGGTTACGCTCTGCAGCAAATCGTTTACCATAGACGATTTGGAATGACCGCTTGGGATCTTGTCGATGGCGACTTCGACCTGCTTAACAGCCTCGACCCGATCCATCCGTCGACGTTTCGGCCAATTTTCCCCGCAGCTGATGGCCCTTCGGAGTCCACTCTCGCCGAGCGATCTCGCGGGCTGGGGCGAAGACGAGATCATGATTTGGGCGAGCGAGGGACTGGCAGCGCCTCCTGACGCAGCGGAAATGGACCCACTGAGAGAGAACCGATCCCACAGTTCGAGGGCAGGGTCGGCGTGGGGGGATTTGAGGGCTCTCGATAGCTTCTCGACGTTTACCGTAGGCGGGCGCGTTTTCGAATTAGATGCAGGCGACGATACGGGAGACGAGCTGCGTGCTCTCTTTTTCCCTCTCTTGCGCGGCATCACCGGAGACAACTTCAGGCCGTTCCTTATATCCTCTCTCGCATCCCACCCAATCTTCTCGTTGGGGCTAGCTTCCCCGACCCCCTCTTGCTCTTTACTCTCGGGTATTCCGACGAGATCCTGCCATGACAGCCGACTCATGGGTGTAGGTGTCTTCTCGGGAGTGGGCGACCAAGTCGCTCCCCTCCGATCCGGCTTGGCGTCTAGTTTCTCGTCTTCGATGCAGCCCTCATCATCGGTGTGCTGTCTCGTTTCTTTGCCATTGGCCTGGGCCGAGTTGGAACACTTGAATGCGTTGAGCTTAGTTTTCGTGGCCTCACAAATGGGCTGGAGTGGCTTGGGAGCGGCGCTTCGAGTTGCCGCCGAATGGCTTACGGCGGAGCGGCTTCTAGCTTTGTTCCAATGTTGACGATTCTGCTATCGAGGTTTAAGTCAGGCCCATGTTCACAACATAATAGCAGCGCATGATTTACTGCGGTAGAGCAGCGGAATACATACTCTCGAAGAGCCGTTTTGCTCTGAAAAAGATTTCTGGAGGGGCATGACGGCGTTGCGAGCTAATTACGGGCGATAACTCTCGGTCCAGATCATAACCAGGCATAGATGGTAGATGGGAAAGGGGGAAGAGTGAGCGAAAATGCCGACACCAATTCCAATTCCGAAATGAGCACCTGACCGGACAGCCCTCTGTATCATAGAAGGAGGAGGAGGGGTTCAAGGATTGATAGCAAAGCACAAGCAAATGGGTTGGGGCAGGGCCGAGTTTGTTGGTATGTGTGGAATCGAACCGCGACTGAAAGCGCGTCGCGACGTTCAAGTCAATATGATGTACCCAAGTACCGGGAACGCGAACACGACCCGACCCGGCAATATGCAGGTACATAGGTACATTTAAGTTGGGAGGTACCGAAGGTATTAGGTAATTCTCTCCACACAGGAGCACGTGCCACTCGCAGAGAACTGGGGACGAGGTACGGGGTACATGGGGTACCTCATAAGTACCTAAGGTACCTACGGTAACCTCTATTCAAATGTGGCTTACCTAACACAGGCATTCAGTAAGCGACAGGGAAGAGCTTGGTCGATAGGAGCTCGGCATCACAGCTCCGTCGTCACCCCTCCATCGAAATGTCCTCGCCCACCTCATCGTCCCACTCTCTGCTTCCCACTTCTTCCACTTTCCACCCGCGATTGGTATCGCATCTTGTCGATTCCACCTCTCCGCGGGTGACTCCACCTTGGCCTTGCCAGCAACTAACGGCAAAGCTGCCGACCCCGACACGAGATAACCTCGCTTGAGCTTGGAAAAGATGCCTTCAGCCGACGGGTTCGAGCCGTCAATGGACGACGGCAGCGTCCCCAACGAAAGCCGTGGGAAGCCTTGGCCGTTCTACAGCCCTGCTCAGCAAATAAACATCGAGAAGAAGTACTTCGAGGAGGGTGCCACGATCCACTTTGACCGATTACCGCCCTTGCAGTGGTGGGCGCCTCTCACCGCGGTCAGTGAAGGCGTGCGCGTCGGCTACATTACGAAGAAGACCGTCGAGGTGTCCGTGGCCGCTAACCGCCGTCTGACCGCCGATGAAGTCAACGCTGCGAGCGAGCATGCTGCTCGTTCCGTCCGGTACCACTCTTACGTGCCACTCCTGAGCCTTTCCCTCACCTGCTTCATTACTTGGGGCGGCCGGAAGACCTTCAGGTTTCCCTTCTATACTCCCAAACGCCACATCTTCGATCCCCGCGTCTTCCCCATGAGATCCCGTGCATATTTCAGGGGTTGGAAGGCTGTTCAGGCCTGGCATGCTGCAAGGTTCTTATCCTTTCTGCCTTTAACATGGCTTGGGTCCTTGCTGTTTATCAACTCCGTAGCAGAAGCTACATACGATGCGCACATGGTAAGAGATATACGCTTGAGGTACCTACTACAAGACGTCAAGAGAAATGTCGGGAATGTCCGCGAGCCAAATGAGCGCCGCCGGTTGCATCAGAATCCTCCGGCGCGACCGGGCACGGACGCCTCCCCACCCGCCCCTGAGCACGAGCGTGATACCTACGGCAGTCGGCCGGAAAACACCTTTCACGAGTCTACTACCGGACCCGCCGGTAACGTAGCAGCTCAGCCGCCAACAGAGTCAAACTGGGCTCGAAGTGCTCCGCTTCCGCCGCCTCCTGCGAAATATCCCGATTCCGGCTCGCGATACACAGGCGACTTGGATCTATTCGGTGATGACGGTGATGACGCTTCACCACTCTCTGCTTCGTCAAGAAGGGCCGAGGCACAGCGGGCCCGGGATTCGCAAGGTGGCTCGGCTTGGGACCGTATAAGACAGCAATCGCAACAAGGCAACAGCGCTCAGTGGGACCGGGGTGACTCCTCTGACCAAGAGAGAGGCTGGGCACACCTGCGACAGGACAGGACCCAAGACCCTAAGGAACGCTCTCCGAGGACCGATGGATTCTCCTACAGCCAGCAAGACGAAGAGCGAGAGAGGAGAAACTACGAAAGAGAGCAGGCCCAGAAGGAATTCGATGCTCTACTCGAGTCCGAGAGGCGTGGTGGCTCGGGCAGACAGTAGTAGCTCGGTCCGTACAGGAATTCGAGACGATTTATGAGTCCAAACTCATGAGTCTAGATCTGTATCATTCTGTAAAAAAAAAGCCCGTAGACGCACTCGGCGGCAATTAAAAAATGAGACGTCCTCCGACTCCCCTATACATGAAACATGTCGACGCAAGGCCACAATTTTACATCGAACAGTCCCCGATGAAAACAAGAATGATCCTGTAAAAGAACGATGCTGTGTTTGAGGGGATGCTTTTCACGATGGCAATCAAGTTCATGTAGAGGAGGGAAACGTCTCGGTGGATGCCAATTCATGTCTAAAATACCTAAGCATAGCCGTCCTAACAGATACGCTACATCTCAAACCACGAATTCGCCCCGAGCAGGCGCACATGAAGGTAAGTATAGGCATTCTCTTTTTCATCACCCTCCTCCTTCGCTGTCGCTGCGGGTTATGACCATACGCATGCACGCAACGACGCATCCACACGCTTACCTATGCCCACGCGCCAACGAGGCTCATGCCGAAGGCGCCGGCGAGGACGAGCAGGAAAGCGTACACACGATGATGTCCGCGCAGCACGCGCCAGCTCTCGTCAGAGAGTAGGTCTTCAGATAGAAGCTCGACGAGAGAGGCGAAGACAAGGAGGCCAGCCGAGAGGGCGTTCATGACGCCGACCAGCACTAGCCCGACCTCCGAGTCCGGGCTATACGCCGACCGTGCCGCGAGCCCGATCGCCTGGCCCAACGGGGTCCTGCCCGAAGGAACGGTGAGTAAGTAGGGCGAGGAGAATCGGCAGGGGGAGATACTTACGTGCATCCGTACGCGATCGCCATGATGGCGGGCTGCAGGCTCTTCGGCGGCCAGGTGATTGCCGCGATTCTCGCACCGAGGGCGAGGCCCTCGAACGTTTCTACGTCGATCGTATCAGTTTTTTTCTCACGTTTCCTCTCTGCGCATTCGAAAAACACAACGCTGCACACTACTCACGATGGAACGAGATGGCAATGAGCAGGACGATGAACTCGTTGTGGTCGATGGACAGGCTCAGCGCCATGCCAATGAAGACGCTGTGGAACAGGATACCCATCTCCAGGAGCAGGCAGTGTATGATTTCCTTCTGGTGCTTCTGCTCCAGTGTGAGCACGACGACCCCAGCATGCTGCGAGCCCGTCTCTTCGTCAGAGGCTCCGTTAAACGCGCCTACTGCCTCAATCTTATCTTCTTGTGCCTGTGCCCGGTTACTGCTTTCGATACCGGATATAGTGCGGCTGATACTCCCCTGCCGGCCCTGGAGCGGCCGCTTGGAGGCGATCTGCCCCGACTCCGCCCCGGGCTGCGGCGGCGGCGACGCCACCGCCTTCTCGTATGGGGTGCCGCGGGCCGGGTGCAGAAGCATCTCGATAACGGTGACGATGAAGATGCCGGCGAGCGCAATGGCGCCAGGCATGGCAGGGTAGTCGTCGGTCCAAAACCGGGATAGGCAGGGGTCGCCGAGGAGGGTGAAGGCGGTCGGCAGCAGGTGGACGAAGGCGGTCGCGATCAGGACGCCCGTGCCGAAGTGCCGCACGGCGAAGAAGAAAGACGCGGGCATCCGGATGCCCGGGAAGCGCGCGGCTGCGATCGGGAACGCGCAGGCCATCGACGATACCACCAGGATGATGAAGACGGCGCCGATGCGCAGTGGTTGGTTGAATTCCTCGATCGAGGCACCTCCGGACTGGCAAGTGCCCCTCCGCCGCAGGGGCAAAGGAGATGCCGATTCGAACTCCAGCGACGGATGAGCTGCTCGAGATATCAGCCCTGGCGTTCTAGGCAGGTCGATAGAAATAGGATATCCTAAACTCAACATACCTGTCACCAACCGGACACCGTCCATTTGGCGAGTCGCATCGAATATTATCACGTTCTTTCGGAACAGGTTGGATCCCACGAGAGCCGTGAGCAAAGCTGAGCAGAGAAGCACCGACATACCCCAAGATATCCAACCGTACCACGAGCTACGGGAGTCAACCAGAGTAGTGAAAGGGGCCCCGCGAACGTGGTGGCAGAGCGGCCCGGCGGCGGCGCGAAGGCCGGCCTTCTCGCGGCAGACATCGCGATCACCACTTTCCCCCAACTTGCGAGTCGTGTTCTCTGATTCATGCTGTCGCCAGCCCTCATTGGCCAATTTGTCGGGCCACGGCGAGCCAGCGTCCGCGATATTGGGCACGGCTCTGTCCGCGGGTGCCGCGACGTACTTTGGTTTCCAGTCCATGGGTGGATCGGTCTATGGCGGTGGCGGGAGGAGGAGTCCCGGTTGAGTCCTGGTCCTAGCACAGTCGTGTCTATCCTCGGGTTTGCGATCGAGATTGCTCGTCATCGGCGTCGAGGACGGCGGGAGCACGGGATCCCGCCTTGATATAAGAGGTCAAGCTTCAGGATAGCGCGGCAAGTGGGACCTCACAAGTCTGCGTCGACGAGCCCGACGAGGATTTTGAGCCCTATTTTTTTTCGTAGCCTCCATCCGGGTTCCCGCCGTCGGTGTGGGCTGAGACGCGGGTAGTCAGCCATAGCCACCAAGTTAGTTACGTTGCCAAGACCGCCAAGATATTTCACGGCAGACTGTCAAAAAGCTGCTGTGATACGAGGCGACGAATGTAGGTACACATAGGTGTGTATTCGCATCCTTACCGAGGTCTAGAGGCGACGACGAGATTTCCATGACGAATCACCATGGGGAGGCGTCTCTCAGAACCGCTATGTTTGCAATGATACGACCAACTCCTCCTATTTCACCCAACATCTAACTATTACCTACGCGGAGATTCAGGGTTTCAGGGCCAGTCTCTCCCAACGTTGGTTGTGAAGTTGTCTATGCCTGTTCAACACCACGAACGTCAAGCCCCTCCTCCCGTTCCTTTCGTCCATGCTAGGTACCTACCCACGATAACCACAACCAATCTACGACAGTCGACAGAACAGCAGCGGGATACACGGCTTGACATGCAATTGTCACTGCAAGCGACAACATTACGTCGCCTATCTTGTCTTGCTCCTTCGGCTGGGCCTGTAGACCTTAGTGAGTTCTCGTGCCGACCCGCATGCGCACGCGACAACCAGTTTTACCCCAACCCATCGGACAGGGGCTACGCTCATTGACTGTTGATTGGTCCTTTGCAACCGTCACGATCCTCCACATGCTGACCGCATAGCAGCCAGCCAGCCAGCCAGCCAGCCAGCCAGCGTGCATAGTAATACACGTAATTTATCTACCTACCTATCGCATGGATTCGTCATGTATCCTGACGCACGATTCCTTCTTGTCCGTGTGCGCGGAAAGAGGACTATTCGTACCTATAGTTTCTCATACCAAGTTCATAATGTTGCTGAGTTGTAAAACTCCGTGTCCCCCCCCGGCCCGGCCCCCCTGCTCTCCCCAGTTCCTTGACACGCCTAGTTCGAGGATTACCTGTCCGTGGTAGCATATAGCTACGCCGACTTCCCCGGATATACTTAACTCTGGGGAGATTCTCCGAAGGGGCTTGGTCACAAGTAGCTCTCATAAGTCCCTTAGCATATTAAGGTTGTTTCCTTTTCTCCCCTGGATCATTGACTGCAAAATCCCCCAGTAACGACTAGGCTCGATTTATCATAGATCAGTAACTGGGCGGGTCAGAAGCTTGATTTTTTCTATAATGCCTGGCTCGACCAATAACCAAGCCACGAAAATGATAACCCGTTTACACTTCGGATAGCGAGTCCGGACGGGTTATCATCATAGCCTTTATTTTTTTTGTTGAGTGAGATTCAAGAGTTTACAACCCATCGAGTCAGGCTATATTTGCACTTTGTTGCGTAAAATGTAGACGCCTACATTCTACGAATTGCAGATGTTGGCTTATAAGGGCTGATCCCGTATGTGACACACCTATAAACTGGGACTGTATCTTTGATGAACAATACCTATGTGAGAAAGTGTTCATAGACCTGTCATGACAGAAACGAAGGGGACTTGTATAAACGCACCCAAGTGTAGTGTCAGTACTCCCGACCTTGGTTATGATGATGGCTATAGGAATAGAGAGTATTAAAGCCACGGGGAACCCTCCCCATCAGACTAATACACCCCCCGAAGAGTCTCCACGGCCCTCTCCTGCAATAATACGACTCATGTGGATTCCCCGCAGCCTACAACGGAACGGCGCTATTACCAGACGTACGAGAAAGATCCCCCGGCGGAGATGACTGACGCGTGAAAGTAGTGAGTGTGGCTGCGCCACGCGAGTAATATTTCGGTTAGCAGACTGGGCGTCGAAAACCCAGTCGAAGATGACTCGGCGCGGGGGGCGGGAGAGGGATTGGCGATAACCCATAAACGCTGTACGCGCGGAGTTCTGCATATTGGCAAGCCGTAACAAGTAATGGCAAGCGATCTCGCGCGTTGCGATAATGTAGGGAGCTTAAACCTGCTGCCTCGTCCCTAATCCAACCGAGACCAGCGGATAGGATGTGATGTGATCCCCATACGCAGAAAATCACCAAGCCCGAGGTTGGTCTGCCTCGTGACATTGCTATTATACGCCCCTCTTACAGACGTAGGTCCCTGCCCCCCGAAGCTGGAAGTTCTACGCTCTGCATTTACCACTGTTCCTAGCATTGTTGGCACTTCGCTAACGGTGGGCGAGATGATATAAGAGGAGGGGAGAGAAGACATGTGACATCGAGGGGCTACTAGTTGACGGCCTCTACGACTACCGGCGGGCCTATGAGACAACAACGACGGCAAATTCCCTAATAATATATATCTCATGGCGGGCAATTCGGTTGATGAGGGCCTAGTTTCCTGTCCCTCGCATACACCTGTAGGTACGCAACTAGCGGAAGAGCGACATAATCGTCATCTCTCTCTCGACATCGCGTACGATCCCCGGAGCACGGCTTCGGATTGACGTAATAAGCCCAGAGGAGCTAGGTAGAATCGTCCAGACGCGGGCGGCGGGATTGACGTGAATATGCAGCAAGACGAATACAGAAGTAGTCCTCCGTTGAGGCTGCCGCCAACACACCTCTCGATTGCCTAGTCGCCCTAGAGCCCATAATCTGGATGGAGACAAGCGGCGTGCGCCACTGCCGCAGAGAGGTCACGAGCACGCTCGCCATCATCCTTGGCTCGCCTGAGAAGGCCTCGCGCTGAATCTCCCCCGTCCACTTCGTCGTTGTGGCTTACATTATTGCACCTCAGGACTCCACGGGAGCCATTGTTTAGTCAATAAAGAAATTCATCTCGTCGGAGACATCCCAACTTGAACAGTCATATAGCACATAATGAACTGGGACCCCACGTGTAATTCACCGAGAGAGGGGGTGATCTGAGAGTCTGTGTTAAGCCGTAGTAGAATGCGAATCCGAATTATAGTAGGGCCACGCCGAGTGGTCATAACATAGAGAAAGATTCCAGTGCCGCATAACGCGACGAAACGATACCGTACACGATGACGACCACTTCTCTCTCCCCTGACGTCAGGTAATACCTACCTACACTTACGGCCGTAGTTGTGACGGCAGTTCCCGGGTCCGGGAAAGATTCTCTTGTGTCCATAGGCAGCCTGACCTAGACATGAGGTAAAGGGACGCCGAAGAAAGATATAATATTAGCTAGGTATATTATGGACGAGGACTAGCCGAACACAAATCCCCTAACCACCATGCGAAGAGCTTAGATTTATTGAGCCCGCTTCCTCTCTGGGGCTTTCAAATCGAGGGCATCGTCGTTTAAGGGAATAGGAGTAGGTAAAAATCGAAGCCAAACCCCCACTCCTTCCATCTATTCTGAGTCGAGAATAAACAGAGGCATAGAGCCACAGTACGTGTGACAGGCCGAAACTCCTCCCCTCTAGTGTGCCCGGGCGCATAGTATAGAGCCTCGCAGCCAGACGAGAGCAAACGTCTACTCGGAGGGTCAGTCCTCAGTTAGCGAGCAAATGTGCTGTCGCGGAGGAGGAGATCTATGCTCAGTTGTCTGACTCATAGGCGTTACGTAGTCGTAGTACCGCCGGATACGGAAGCAAGCGCACGGGCGGCGCACGAACAGTGGTGGAGGTCCCACGAAGTGAAGCCAGGTTCGGCTCGCGGGGGCGGGCAAGGCAGATCGAGCTAGCCAGAGAGGGAGGGGGTGTCACCCGTCCACCTCACGAGAGGAACCTGTCTCGATCGATCCCTCGCTCTTCGCACCCTCCACCCCAAGAAGTCGTAGCAGTGAGAGGGAGTGAAGAAGGAATAAGAGAAATCAGAATCTAGAAAGTCATGACAGACCGCCTGCGGATAGGCGTCCTGGCGGTCCTCACGCCCTTCCTCCTCCTCTCCTTGGCCCCGCCCCCGGCCGCCGGCTACCTAGCGCACGCGGGGCGGCAGCGCAAGGCGGGACCCATCGACCCGTCGGGCTGCGAGTGCTTCGTGACGGACGGACCTTCGGCGGCGTCCTTTGCGCAGTACAAGTTCTTCGACTTCCGGGACCTGCCGGGAGCCGGGACGCCGGCGCCGCTAGCGGACGGCAACCGCAGCGCGGCCGCGCCCGTCACCAGCGCCTACTTCGACAGCCGCGAGTTCGCGTCCGCGTGGACCGTCCAGAGCCGGGCCGGCGGCCTGCCCCCCGACGGCCGCGTCCTCGTCGCCAACCAGTACTCGCGGAACAACGTCTACGTCGCGCCCAACGCCGACGCGCGCCCCGCCTCGCGCACCTACCTCGCCCTGCGCACCCTGCGCCGGGGCAGCTTTCAGTCCTCGGCCGAGGTCCAGTCCGCGTCCGCCGGCTACCAGCACCTGTCGGCGCGCGTGTTCGCGCGCGTGCGCGGCGACCCGGGCGCCGTCGCCGCTATGTTCACGTACCGCGGCGCCGCGGCCGCCGCCCGCGTCCAGGAGGCCGACCTCGAGGTGCTCACCGGCGACCCCGCCACCCTCGTCCACTACACGAACCAGCCGTCGCAGGTCGGCGGCGTCGAGCGCCCCGGTGCGACGCAGAACGCCACCATCCCGGGCCCCTGGGCGGCGTGGCACGTCCACCGCTACGACTGGACCCCCGGGGCTAGCACCTGGTACGTCGACGGCCGCTGCGTCGCGAGCAACAATTTCCAGGCGCCCCGCGACCCGGCCAACTTCCTCTTCAATTCCTGGTCCAACGGCGGCAGCTGGAGCGGCCTCATGGCCGACGGCGGGTTATCCGTCATGGATATCCAATGGGTCGAATTCCTCTACAACAACACGGCCGAGCCCTCCCGCTTCAGCTATTGCTCCAAGGCCTGCAGCGTCGACTGACGCTTCCAGCACCGCGTGCCCGGACTCCTTAGCTCCGGCCCCTGAACACAAACCTCGATTGAATGCCTGGAGCGGAATTTTACGGTAGAATCAATGTGGCAATTTCTCCGGGTTGTATACGAGCCTACGTTAACCGTGGCGAATCTGTTTCGTTAGGAGTTGTGCCATATATTAGCCCAAATTCAAGGCGTTTCTCTGTTACGCAGGTGACGCGCGTTACTCTCTCCCCATCCTACCAGCCGCTTCGACGAGGGAGAGAAGAAGGGGATAGCATTATGATAAAGGAGTATGAATAGAGGGATTGGGGGGGGGGAGGGGGGGGATGGAGTATTAGCCAGGGAACAGGGGCTAGAAACGGAACTGGAAACAGTTCCGGGGGAATCCCACATTCGAGGCCATTTGGAGTCCAGAGTTGCATAAAATTTGTCATACATACTAATCGAATGGCTTTACCAAGGTTCCGACACTATCTTAAAACAGGATGTCAGTTCAGTTCATGAAGGTCGTCGTAAGCTAGCTACTAGGCTAGATGGGCGTTGCTTACCAGAGGGCACGCATTGGAAACGGCCAGAGCGAAGAAGTTCCGGACGAATAATTCAAATTGATTACCTATGGCAAAGTTATATGAACTTCCCTCGGTGTGCATCCATCCATTGAACCTAGCAAAAAAGCTTTTTTCTTGTCAACATCCCCTAACCGGGCCCTCTACGGGCAAGATGTGCGAGGCGAGGCGCCTGGTAGCGACGGCATGACAAGACCTAATAAGTGAGAGAAAAAGCGAATCTCTAGATGGGTATCTGAGATGAGGAAATGGGAAATGTGGGGAAAAGAATGAGATAATGAGAGAAGAAACAGGAGAAGAATAAAAAAACTAGACGAATATAGCATCCCCCGAGGGCGCGATGGCGATCCAAGCCTAGCCAGGGATGCACATACACACGCAGACATACCCACACATATATATATGAACAGAGAGAAACATAAAAATCATAACGGCATTGGTGTTTTCATAGACCCAATTAGTCGTAAGATTCCGTGCCTATGGCGTGACCTTGCCTCATCCCAGCCTTTTCTCCTCGTACTTCATTTGCAGGTCCCCCTTCTAATAAGTGTTTCCAAAGAACCGACCCCCCGGGTTGAAAATAATAAAGGTGGGAAAAGGCACTATACCTCCTCAGTCACCCATGGAGGCCATCCCGGCCATGGGAGCAAATGTGTCGTAGTCTTCGTCGCTACTGTCGATTGGGCTCTCCGGACTTTGGACGCTACTGATGTCGGCGCTGGCCATACCGCTGTGTGGCTCGCCTCCAGTGCTGCTTATACCCATGGAGAGGAGACTCTGGCGTCTGCCGGTATCGAACTCGATGGCGCTCCCGCTGCGGCTCAGCTCCGGCTTCTCCGGGAGCTTCTTCAGCAGCCCGGTCGATATGTCAAGCATGCCCATCGCAAATTCGGTCAGACCCTTGGATTCCCCGGCCTTGCTGCTGACGCTCAGCGTCCACCGGTATTCTCCGAGCCGACGGCGGTACCAGTCGGCTTCTTCGCGGCCCGGGGAGGTTGCCCACAATAGCGACCCGAATGTGCCAATTAAAGCGAAATTGGTCTTCGACGCAAAGAACCAGAAGGCTCGGAGGTGTTGGGGCGTCAGGCGGTTGACAAAGTCCATCGCGGATATCAGACGGGCTTTCGCGGCACTACGGCAAATATGTTGGACGTAAGGGTCGACGGCCTGCGAATCCGCCTCGAGAGACCGGATGATCCGGCGGTGGAGAGTGATCTCTGCCGCAAAGTAGGCCAGGTGCAGGTATCCGATGCTCGACAAGCGCGTTGGCGCAACGCTGCCGGACTGGAACGAGGAGTCCATGCGAATGGCGCCGGGAAGCCCGGCATACCAATCTTTGAGCTTAAGCTGGATGGGTTTTGCCATAGCCAACACGAGATGCGTGCCTTGCGGGCCCGCGTCGCTTATATTCTGCATGGCCTGGAGGGTGTAGAACGTCTCGAGAATCTCGGCCAGCACCTGCGTAAGGTAGATCATCTGAGCGAAGAGCGTCCTGCCCCTTTCGATGTCCGTCTTCTCCTCCCGGGCCTGTTCGTCCAGCTCCGCATCGGGGAAATCGTTAGCCGCTAGAGGTTGTACAATCCAGTTGGACCCGAAGATGTGCGACGGCCGTCCGTGTACGAGGGCCCCCCATTTATCTTGCATGTACAATGCCCACGCGAGCCTTTTTCTAAGCCCCTTCTCCCACGGTGGTATCTTCCAATGTGTGCAATCAAGGTGGAGGCCGAGCTCTTGGGCGACCGCTACCAGCTGAGCGGTCGGCGCCCACTGGTCGCCGTCGGGCCGCTGCGAGAGTAGAAGGCCGGCCTGCACGGTAGAGAGCTTCGGACGCCACATGGCATCGGCCAGAGAGGACCGTATCAGCCTCTCCAGCTCCCGCACGTTCGGCCGTTGAAAGGTGGATAGTTCCTCCGAGTAGTCCCACCAGTTGATGGCGAGGAGGTAGACGGCGGCGAGGAGCGGTGGCGAGAACTCTCGATAGTCTCTCTCGTACTTCTCGTAGAAGACGTTCTTCTGAAGTACGGGGAAGGCGGGATGTACGACCTCGAAGTAGAGGTCGATCAGCTTGCGGCCGTGGGGCGCGACCAGCCGTTGGATCTCTTCGACATCGTCGATTTGGTGTTCGTGACCGGGCGTGGCGTGATCTGGTAGCATCAAGAAGGTGTCATTGTCACTAACCTTTCGAAGAGCACCTCGAGCGAGCAGACTCTCATCCTGAGGGTCGAACGGGGACAGGTTGATCAGAGACGGTTCAAAGTCGGTGGTAAGCCCGATATATTGGCTGTACCGATCAGTCTGGAGGCCAAGAGTGCGCTGGAGCAGAGTTGAGCCACCAAAATTAGCCATCTCCTCGATTAAAGAAGTGCTAGCGGTTGTACTGGAGAAGCTGGCCTGACGCTGCCGCCTTCTGTTATCAGACCTGCCAGGCGAGCTGGATTGGCCAATGGGAATGTCAGCAACGTTGGCTGCCCAAGAGTCGGTCGACCACACCGCACGGTGATAACGCAAAGCTGGGGAGGGTGGACGAATGAAAGAGCTGGTGAGCACTCACCCTCTCTTCACGTTGCTCGTCTCGGTCAAGTCACGCGCTAGCTTCCTTTTACGAGGCTGGGGGCTCTGGCCGAGGGAGCACAAGATTCCGTGGATGTGACAAGATATGCAGCTCTCGTCGTCTTCCCCCATAACACACTTGAGCCGTCTCCTTAGACAGGACTCACAAGATGTTCCGTTCCCACTTACGGCAGAATCCGAGTCTGTCGAATCATTACTGGTCATGCTATTCATTAAAGATACGTCGTTGCTATGCTGACGGCTAGAGAATAGGTGGTGTGCGGGTTTGGGAGCAATGGCGATAGGAGCCGTCCTGGGAACAACGGTAAGGTTTGTCATGGTCAGAAGAAAGGATCGGACGAATTGGAACCAGGGCCACTACCGGTGTCTGTGTTTCTCGCCGAACCAGCGTCGCCGTGCCACTGCCAGGGCCCTCCCACGTGCCGAGTGACCGCTCACCTCTACACTTCAGGGGGGGGGGGAACCCAGGTGATGTAATCGTCCTATTTAGGGAGATCAGAGACGGAAGGGGGGGGGGTGGACGATGGGGTAACTGGAGGAAATGGAGAGAAAGTCTGGAATAGTCTCTGAGGGAGACGAATCCGCTACCGAGATACGACCTCGAACCGTAGCAGGGAACGCTGATCTCTGCAACCCTTCGACTCGCCCTCCGGGGCTCCCTCCCCAAGGGATGGGCTTGATAAGGGAAGGTTGGGAGATAAGGCTGTCAGCGGCACGAGTGCGCCTTAGTAGCGCAAAGCGAACCCACGCGAGTCCCCGCGTGGCCTCACCAGTCTGGCGGGATATACTACCGATGTGACGACCGGGGAAACCCAAGGATACCCTGACGCCGGGTCCTGCAGGTCTCTTCTAATCAGAAACCGTCCCACGAACGGGCTCGCAGGTAGGCCTATGTAAGTCGCATGCGCTGGCGATTCCTCCGGTCAGGCGGGCGGGCTTAGAGACTGCAAGCCACCGTGCGATAGGCTGGGTCGAAATCACGCAGTTATGATCTGCGTTACGTCGATAGGCGGAGAGACTAGGTGACGATGGAGGCCAGGATGAGATGAGCCAAGGTTTTCTTCGTCATTGAAGCACCCGCTCGGGAGCGGAGACGTGCGTCTGATGGGAGAAATCTACTAGGCAGATAGGACGAAGCGACCGAGCCCATGTATTTCCGAGTGAGGTGAGACGATACGCGGGGAGTCTGGGACCAGTCGAGGCTCGAGCACGGCGGTGATGGGTCGAGGGGGTGGGTGGGCGAAGGCGTGTTCGGGCAGAGCTAGAGCTGGGCGAAGGAAAGAAGGGGGGGGGGAGAGGAAGAAGTGGCCCGCCCCGTGGCTTAGGAAGACGAGATTTCTGCGGCGGGACTGGTGCCGTTTTTTCGAGAGGCGGGATGACGAGACTGAAGAGTAGCTAGCCGAAGGAGGTGGTGGTAGTTGCCAAGACGCTTCCTCTTCTATCCATCCAGTTTATTCTCCTCTCTCCTCGTCTCTCACTCTTCTCTCTCTCTCTCTCTCTCTCTCCTCTCTCTTTCTCTCTGCCTCTGTCTCTGCCTCTGTCTCTCTGTGTGTCTCTCCCTGTCTCTGTCTCGTTCTCGCTTTCTCCCTTTTTTTTTTAAGGAAGAGGAAGGGGGAGGCGGGACGTTAATTTTTTTATAGTGCAGATTTCTTTTTTTTCTTCTTCTTCGTCTCTCTGTCTGTCTCTCACGGTCTTCTCATCGTCACGTCCTCCCGGTTTGCCCTTATTTCTGATGCGGACGGAGGCCTGTCACCGTTCGGAACCCATAACTCTTCACGGCGACGAGGTTGGCATCTAGAGACAGGGAGACGGGGAGCGGCAGCAGCACCAACGGAAGACTGCGGTCAGGGGAGAACGAATGACATGTCATCTGGCTCGGGGGGACGAAAAGGAACGGGACGGGCGAATTATAATGGAGCAATTGATAACCCAGAGATAAGAGTATCTGTAGATAGAATGACAAGAAAATAAATTGTAATCAGAGCATGTTCGGGAAACCACGTCCTTCCATGATGTTTAGACTAGAGTTAGTCCACTGCACCTCACCCATGGCGGTCGGCTGGTGCGAGGTTGTCGGTACCTGCGAGTGACTTGGGCCGGACGCAGACAGCCTCAAATGCAGAGGGCGGGTGGCTAATAGGGTGTGGCGGATTGTTAACAGCGCCGCCTGTTTCCGCAGGACAAGTTGCCAGTGGGGACGGGAGGACGACGTATCGCGCTCGTACCGGATACCTGCGTCTCTGCCTCTCTCTCTGCCTCTCTCTCCTTCTCTCTGCCTCTAACAACCGCAACCGCAACCGCGCCGGCACCGGCACCCGCAACCGCAACTTCCTCCCTTCTCCCGGGCGCCTCCTGCCGCCTCGCTGCTGCTGTGCTGCTGCTGCGCTGCCGCTGCGCTGCCGCGAAGGCAAGTAAGGACCGGTGGGCCTTGCCTGGCGTTTCCAGGGTGAGCGGCCCATGTAGGTAGGTATAAGGAGTACTGGCTATGTACTGCGTACTTGGGTCGGGTTAGGGTAGTTGGGCCAGCAGGCGTGCACGTATACTCTATCTGTGTACATCCCTACCCTAGGTACACACACAGAGAGCAGGGGAGCAGGGGAGCAGGGAAGCAGAGCAGCGTTGCCGGTCGGGCTGATGCTTAGGATCTGCTTACCTACGTAGTGGGTAGGCAGGCAGGGTCTCTCTCGTCTCTCGCGTCTCTCTTTTTTTCTTTTTTTAAAGGGCCGCCGCTGGGCTCGCCGGCTTGATTAGTGGATTTTAGGAACAAGACCCGGCTCTTGCTGCTGGGCTGCTTGGAACTCGCCGCCATTACCAAATAGAAAAGCCGTCTATGGCGGAATGCGGCTAGCCGCGTGAGTACCTCTAACGTAATCGTTCGACTGGTCCCGAATCATGCTGCAGGCCGTGGCTCTGCACGCGAGAGCGAGCGGAGAGCAACACGATGAGCATGGATGGGAACTGGCAGCTGGCCCGGATGGGCAACGTCCCTCTCGTTCGACCCCGGGCCTTATCTCCATACCTCCCAAGCCCTGTCGCGGTGCAGGCGTACAGCGTCCATCCGGCCTACAGCCGGAGTACAACGTATATGTAGGTACTGCAGCCCCTCGCCGGGCCCGCCTTTTTTAGTAGCAGGTTACCTGTTCCGTAGCTGGGCGGGCACCTAACCCGTAGGTAAGCACAGGTAGCCAATCGCCATCCCGTCCTCCTAGCTTGCCTGCCGTGTCTACACTACCTGGATGAGTACATGTATGCTGTACGTGTGTGTGTATGCTATGTTACATATAGATACCGTAGCACACCACCGCTGACTTACCTCCTCTTAGGCCAGTACCTGAGGACTACGTGCGTGCGCGTATAATATAACTGAGTCTACAGACGATGTTTATCCCCGGCCTGGTATACTCCCTCTCTCTCCTCTCCTCTCCTCTCCTCCTCGCCCACTGCTGCCGTATTCCAAATCACGGCAGCGCGCGCTATACGGCAGACCAGAGTCGCGCAGGGCGGCGAGTCTAGATGCATGGCGCGCCCATGTAGTACCAGGCACGCATCTCGAGGTATGTACCTATAGGCAGTAAGAACAACTGGGAATAGTGGTGCAAGGCAGGATGGGTGAGAAGCTTGTTTGTTCTCGACTCCCCGACGTGCCGCATTCGTGAGGTGGCGGTAGTTCGTTCCCCGGAAGGTGCCGAGGGGGGCGAGCGAAATAGCTGAGGTATGACGATGGAAACTGCTATACCTACCTAGTAAAGAGACCAGCCGGCCGGAGACGAAAAGGCTCTCAAGCAGATGGGGAAACAAGTCACACAGATGAGACAGGCGGCCGCGCTCGCTAGGATTAACTAATGAGAATGGAGGTAATAGATAATATACCCAGCCTTGGCCTGCCTTACGTATGCCGACCCAACAACACTTATCTGTGTGCGTCTTGGCTCTCTTCTTTTCTTTTTCCTCTCCCCCTCCCCCTCTCTCTGTGGCTTTTTTTTCCCTTCCCCCTCCCTGAGTCCTGATCGGCTGCAAGTCAGCAAGCATGGCTTCCGGAGGATTCGGTTGCACTATCAGAGGGGCCAATGGACCCGACTCTAGCGTCTGACGGACTACCACGAATTATGTCACCATCTCGGGTCTAATAGGGCGTGGCATCTCTTGGGACGTCACCGCGCCGTCGGCAAAAGGCCAGGGGGGGCGGTCGAGAGATTGGGTTGATCGCATTGGGAGAGGAGAGGGAAAACAAGAGAGAGAGAAACCGAGGGGGCGAGAGGGGACGAGAGAAGAGGGAGAAAAAGCCAGTTTGGCATCCCGTCTCCCCATTCCACACAAGTAACATCCGCGCACAACATCCCGCAGGTAGGGATATGCCTACGTCAGATCCATTCACCACCGCGCACCTGGGTAACACTCCGAATTTGCTCTTAAGCACCCAGGGCGCCGAGAAGATGGTATAACGACAGCAACACGACAGGTAGGTATTTGTGCAGTGGCTGGACAAGCGAAGAAGGCCGGCCGCTGTTGGTCGCGTATTCTCCTACCACTCCAGCCCCTTCTTCTTTGCCTGCCTACACGTACACCAGACCAGCATCCTAACATGGGCACCTCCTAGGTAGTAGGGGCGCGACGGTCACAGTGCATCGATGCACCCATACTTACCTACCCAAGGAACGTAGAATGATCCTGGATCATTCCGGGTCCCCCCACGATCCGCTAGATAACACATCTTTTATCTCCCGCCTATCATCTCCCTCCCCGCGAACCACCCCAGTCCGCCGAGAATGCGATCCCGCCCTGTGGCTTGCCTCGGCCGATGTAGAACTGTCGGACCCCCGTCACCTCCAAATCACACACGAGTCACACACGAGCTCAACTCTGGCGCTCTGGCATGCGACAGTCCATACATACCCCAAAGGAGCAGCCGCCGGCCCCATCCCTACGCCTTTGCGGCCGACGTGCCGGACACGTCCGGCCTGTCTCGTGATGCGCTTGATTGCCATCGCCGGCCGCTCGCGCCACCACGGAGCAGCGCGAGCAGCAGAGCAGAGCAGAGCAGCCGCAGGCACGTCCCACACACACACGTATACGCCCTGCAAAGAGTGCGGCTAAACAAACAGGCTGCGTGCGCAAACCCGGTCCGGTCGTATTGCATGACAACAGCAGGCCCGAAAGGATATAGGGGCCAATCCACCACCAGGCGATCGCTACGAGTTGGGCGGGCAGACCGCCGCAGCCCAGAACGCTAAGCCACGATGACATAGGCCGCGATACAAGGGCGGCCCATCCGGCGCGATTCTATTCGCACACGCCTCCCCCTCCCCCTGTTGGACGATATGTGCCAATGTTGTTGGCGGCAGCCTGCGTACACCGCATATAGGTGAAGATGGGAAGTAATAAGGTCTTCGCCAGCCCGGCTTCGGATTTTACCCTCGACCCATTGCCCCTACGCGACCTTGGCGCCTCAGGGTCACCCCGGACCGGCCTCCGATTATAAATAAATGTGTGAGAGGGCTAGATTTTCGCACCGTTGGGTTCTTTTATTATTCCTGCAAATATCCATTTATAATCCTCACAGTAATAAAATAGAGAGCCTCGCCTGATAAGACCCTGCGAGCGAGCGAGTCCGTTTTACCCAACGCGGAAAACATCCTGCTACCTGCCCGACTTATCTATCGTCTTAGCACCCCCCCCCCCCTGCTATACCCTATACCACAGGATTGGTGAGACTATTGGGAGGGTAGGGGGGAGGCAGGCAGGCAGGGTCGCCATAGTGTTCGCCGCCGTTGACAGCATTGATAAGCGCCGTCCCCTTCGTCTTATATAAGCAGAGTTTCCGTCGTGTCTTTTTATTACTTACCTACCGCTCGGAATAGATTTATACACACATAGGTAATATATGTACGTGTGTAGGTATATACCTAAGGATAGGTGAATGCACATACCTACATAAGCCTACATACCTATATATAAAGATTGCCGTCGATCGAACGATGGCCTGGCCCTCGTGATGGTCGATGCTTCGTGGGGTGCATGGCGGTATTAATATTGGGCGATTACCGAGACCGACACCGCCCATCACACGAGACCGGCCTATAAGGCGGCAGAGTCTCGCCTGCAAGCCTTGAGACAGGCCACCACCACTTCACCACGTCAACCCTTCCAATAGCCTGCGCCTGCCGCCGATTCTTTTTCTCTCGTTTCTCTTTTTCTTTTTTTTTTCTCAGACATGCGGGAAATTATGCCCGGGTCCTGGCCGGCTTCACCTCGGAACGCACTCGAGTTTGGACGTCAAAATCCAACCCCATCCGACGTGCGGCCTGCACGCTGGTAGATATCGACGCCCTCTGATTGGCCTTTCGGAAAGAAGAGCAGCGAAAACGAGGCAAAATACTTTTTTGAGACATCTTTACCGCCCCTGTAGGTAGAAGGGTGTGTCTTAGATCAATTAAGGTGAGACGGGCTGCTCAGATAGTGTGCTGAGAAACGATCAGTAGGTAATTGATAGGAATGAGGAGGAGAAAGTAATACGGGACTAGCATGGTGGGAGAGAGCACGACTACGATGACGATTATTCCCCGCGACGAAATGAAGGAGAGTGGAAAGAGAAGAGAAGAGAAGAGAAGAAGAGGAGTAGGGGAAAACTTTTCTCTCAAAAAAGAAAATTAATTAATTTAAATTAAAAAAAAAAGTAGGTGAAGAAGGGAAGACCGTAATCCGCTAGACTAGCGTACCGTTGTATGCCAGAGCCGCAAAACCCCATCTTCACGATGGGGTCATTCCATAGGCTGTGCGTTGGCACGCGTAGGGTCAATGCGTTAGGTGCCATTGACTAGGCCAACTTTATTTTAACCTAATCTCGGCTGCAAACGCCAGGCACGAAACGGAGGCCACTTTTGCTCGCATCCCCGCCCTCCTCGCCCGACGCGTCTTGAGATATCGGGGACGCGCCGAGTCGAGTCTCGCCTTCTTCTGGATACTACTTGGCGCCGTGCCGTATTCCCACGTCTCCGCCGCCGTGTCCGCGGCCAGATGCCCCAAAGGCACGCGTAGGAGGATCGGGTTAGACGGATCTACCACGTTGAGGGCCAGCGTGGCAGGTCCGTTCGGATAGACACAACTATTAAGTCTCCTGTTTCTAGATACGCCGGCGTGTCATTGCGAGTACCGGGGTATCAAGCTCACTCCTTTGCTACCTAATCCGTTCTCCGTGTCTATAGCATCTCCATTTTCAGCAGCGGAGGGGGAATCTTAGTTGTGAAACTATAGACCCCCGCGACGGCCTCTGCTCCTAGGTTAACATCTGCTGGATATATGTATGACGGAAAGCCCTCCCTCGCCGAAACTGCTAAAGACTATTAGACCAGGTATATCGCAATCTAGGAGAGTGGTAAGACTGTTAGAAGAGTTACGTAGAGACGAAGAAGAGAACTCCAGAGTTGCGGTTACACTCCGTACTATTAGGTATAGCATTGCAAAAAGTCAACTAACTAGTTTATGCCGATAACCCTATATACCTGCTATCCGCATCCTAGTTAGGCGTATGTACACATGATTGCAACAACCCCTTCGTAGCATGCTAACACAGCTCGGTTATAGCCAAGCGGACGATGCCGTAGAGCACATCTCCACTCGTACATTTCCTATGACAACGGTAGAGAACTTACCTCTAGTAGTCGACACGAACCCTCCCTCTCTCCACGGGCTACGCCAACGAACCCTAACGTAGAACCCAAGGTCCGAGCGTATACACTCCAACGCCCGAGTATACCAACGAACAGGCGTCGCGTGACGGGAACGTGTGAAGCCAAAGAGAGCACCAGAGCGGACGACTTTGAGACAAACGTCGGACGAGGACATCCAACCGAAGAGAATAGAGCGGGATCGTTCCTGACCCGAACTTGGTAGCATGGTCGTGGCTGCTCCTACGGTATAGTCTCGCGAAGACCTCGGCGTCTCTAGCCGTGACTAACTAGCTCTACCTTCAAGGAATGTGGCAACACCCATAACAACGAGGGACCTAGGTCTACAACGACCCCCCGCAAGTAATGGGGCTACCCCCCCTCTCTCTATATAGTACAAACTTACTTACGCTAGAAGCGCAAAATCCGACCTAGGAGCTCAGAGAACGAAGCCAAACGTAGGCCGCCCCACCCCCACCTGGCAGACGCGGAGACGCCAAACTACCCACGCCGAGCCCGGCCGCCGGAGAAGAAGGACCAGCGGCCCGAGGCAAAGCGCCAGGCGGCCAGGCGGCCAGGCAGGCGGGGCGCAACCGGCGCTCATCCTTCGCTCCCGGCCAACCCCCTTTCGCCCCGAATCCCAAGTAATAGAATAGCTAGGTAGGTAGGTAGTCTGTCTCCTTCCGCCACCGGCTCCCCCCGGTACTATATTCCTCTCTCATCCCCGATCCGTCACCCACCCCCCCCCCCCCCCCCCCTAACCCCCCAGCATCACCCCTTTCAGCTGGCTCTCCTCCGCGCATCTCCAGGAGCGCCAACCCCGACGTCGACCCGCCCGCAGTGCACTACTAGGTGCCTATTAGGTACGTCAGGCAGCCCTGCGGAATCCGTCCTTCCCCCGGCCTGGCGTACAAGACGCACCCACCGTTGGACGGCGCGCGCCGACAGCACATTACATCCCCCCCCTCCCCCCCCAAAGCTCCCTTTCCCTGCTACGAACCTAGGGCAGGCTTACGGCGGATCGAGAAGACGGAAGGCAGATCGGGTCTAAGCAGCGGCGGCAGCGGACGGAAGCCCGCGGGTACGTCCGAGGCATGCGGCGCGGGGAAGAGGGGAGGGGAGGGGGTGAGAGGCTAGCCTAGCCTAGCCTCGCGCGGTGTTTCGGGCGTTGCGCGCGTGAACAGCGTGTGAATAAAGAAAATATGTACATGCGTTGCGCCTGATGCTTCGAGAGTCCCGCGGTCGCTCCCTAATGCGGGAACCAAAAAAAACAACAACAACAACATGAAGCAAGTCTCCTCTCGCACTGATGCGAGGGATCCCGCGTACAGAGATTAATAATTACAGTCCGTTTTCCCTTTGCTATGCCCCGCCGATGCGCATGAATATTCTCTCCGGCGGGGGGGTTGTCTGTCCCTGGACGTCGGGGGCCTCGTCCAGGTTTATGACGACGACTCCCCCCGCAATAATAACAAGAAAGGCGCTACTTAGCCCTGGCTTGCGCTGAGGTCCAGGTTCTTATCCCAGAGATTTCGTAGGATGGCGGCAACGCCGTCGTCTTCGCCCTCCGTATAGCTGGATCCGCTCATGCGATCCTGAATCCTCTCCTCCTCGAAACTGGAACTTGCCCCGTTCGCCTTCACCGAAGCGGCCCGTCGGGGCGTGGCGGGCCTGGATTTTGCCACGTCCCCGCCGCCCGGACCGGCGCCACGCGGGGCCGACGCCCTCTTCCCGTTCGCCGCCCCGTTGCTTCCATTCTGATTGTGTATATGCAGGTTCTTGTCCGCGCCGGGCAGACGCGACAGTCTGGCTATCGAACGAGCGATAGGGTTCTGGTACCGCCGGACCACGAGGTACTCCATGCCCGTGCGCTCGAGCAGCTTACCGATGCGCGGATCCCGACTGTCGTAGCTGCCGGTACCGCCCACCAAAGGGCTCGCGCCGACGACGCCGACGCCGCCGACCGCCTGGGGGGGCTCGATAGAAGAACTCGCGCGCTGGAGATTCAGCTTCTGCTGCGTTCGCGACTTTTCCGCGGGCGCGGCTCGGTGCCCCGATTTTCTCGTACGCGGGGCTAGGGCGCTATCGCTCTCGTCCTCGCTCACCGACGCTCGATAATTCTCGTTCAAGTTGCTGAGCGATTGAGGTCGCCGCACCCCTTCGCTGCGCTGGCTCGTCGCTCGTGCGGCCGCAAAGAATGACCCGCTGTCGACGTTGGCGCCGGATCCGGAGCCGCCGCTGACGAAGCGGGAGATAAGTTCCTCCTGTCCGCTGCCGACCACGGCGCCGTTCTTCGGAGTGCCGTAAAGACTCGTCGGGTCGCGGCCGATTTGCGATTCGGGCGACCCCGAGTTGGGATGGACCGAGACGGTTTCGTTGGACATCTGGGGTGGCGCGCCGGAAGAAGGGGTTCGTTGCAGGAGGCGGGACGTGATGTATTGGTTATGCTGCGCCGTGTCGCGGTCGGGCGAGACTTCTTGCGTGCGGCTGGGGGATTCTCGGTGGGGAGTCTGAGGTCGCGAATTGCCCTCAGCGCGCGGCGGCTTTGCCGGAGACGGTTCGCTGCTGATGGTCGAGCCGCGTCTCGACAGGTAGGGCGAGGCTGATGCGCTGGCGTCAACCCACTCGTCCTCCTGGTCGCTGCCCAAATCGAAATGAACCTGGCCCTTCCCGCTCTTCAGCTTGTTGACTTCCTTATGCGACGTCGACCGCTTGATGTTCGCAGCAGATTTAGACCGCTTTCCTATCTCGACCTGGGAGCGGTTTCGCTTCAAGCTGGATTGGGAGGTGTTTTCCTTGAGGTTGGAAGGCGTGTCGCGCTGTAGCTTTAGGTCGGAGGTTGTACGACGGTGGCTTTGGTTGGGGGCAACGGCGGAGGTGCGCTCGGGGGAGGGAGAGGCGACTCGTCGGTTCAGCCTCGAGGTCGACGCAGAATGGCTCTTGTTGTATAAGGCCTTGGACGAGGGAACGCGGGGATGGATACGTGTGCCAGCTCCGCCAACAACGTGTTTCGGGCCTTTGGTTCGATGGTGTTGGTGGGATGCATGATCGCTGGCTTGCGAATCGCTATCATGGCGGTTGACAGGCGGTCGCTTTGATTGGGCGGCGGCGGTTGCGGAATTCTCAGCGTCCTTAGCCATCGCGGTAATTATAGATTAATCACGCATAAGACAAGATCCCGCCCGGCAGCCAGAGCAATTCAGCTGCCTGAGTGGGCGACTGCGTGCCCGTCAATGTACAGCACCAGATGACGGGTTAGGAGGGAGGGAGGGGGGGGGGTCCCCTGAGCGAAGCGACCAAGGGCTCTCGGGGATGCTGGATGTTTGGGGGAGGACAAGCCTGAATATTACGGCGCGGTAAGTATCATCGCATATTGCGCCGGGGGGCGTTGTACAAGGACGAGTTGGAGCTGGACGTACCCTGGACACACCACCCGCCCGGATGGAGGTGTGTATATATGTGACGGGCGGCAGCCGGGGGCAGGACAGCCAGAGGGTGGCAGTGGCGTGACGGGCAGTCGGAGTGGCTTGACAGCTGTCTCAGGCGTGCCTCCGGCCGGCGGCTGGGCGGCGCTGGCGAATCGCAGACGACCTAATTGTAGGTAGCGATTACGAAGTGCAGGATTAATTTGCGGCAGAAGAGGAACGAGGTAACGTGCAGCGCATGCAATGCAGCTGTGACTGTGATAGGGCGGGCTCGCCACGTCCGCTACCACGGTAGCCGCCAATTAATGCGGCGCCGAGGGAGAGAGGAAGGGGGTTACGAGAGGGACATGGCAGACGCGCGAGCACACGCAGGACGCCGACGAGCAGGATAGACGGACGGGGGGGGAACTGGGGGGGAGCGGGAGCGAGGCGAGGAGAGAGGCCGGAGAGAGAGATAGAGGGAGAGAGAGGAAGAGGGGGGAGAAGAAAGGGAGGGAAGGGGAAGTAGTTGAAGAGCACGGTCGTCCCGTCGTTGTGGCCGGGCTTGTTTGCCTCGTGGGCGGGCGTGGACAGGCGACGGGGTGGACGACGAGGTTAGACGACGGGTCGCAGAGATGGGTAAGAAACTAGTAATACCTAATAAAGAGAGCTGTGCACTGTCTCACCCTCCCCCCGGTCTCTACCTGGCCTTGTTCGGCCGGCGAGGAGGAACTTTGCATGCGGATGTGTGGGTGCTGGGTGCTGGGTGCTGGGTGCTGGGCAGGGCGACGGAGGTACCTAAGGGAGCTAGCCAAAGCGCCTAACCTAGCCTGATATACCCACCTGGGGATTGGTGAATCCCCTACGAACCTCCATGCCGGGACACATCAACGGCACTAGGGGGCAGCCAGGCACCTAATGTCCATTCCTGATGCTATGGAATCCGGTCCAGACCCTTTGGCCGCCGCCCATCTCTGCCTAGCAATACCTACCTAATCTTGCGGAGGGGGTTTCTCCTCCGCCGCCGCCATACTACGTAGCATCAGGTAGGATATAGATACCTAGGCAGACAGGCAGTATAGGTATAGCATACTCATAGTATAGCGACGTGCGGTAATAATCACGCTACCTCCTGAGCCAACCCAACATACCATAACATACGCTTTACGTGCAAACGACCTCTGGGTTGCCTCGGGCGTTGTTTTCTTCGTCCTCGTCCGAACCGATGGCCGAATCCGGAATGTTCTCCTATCCGGGCACTTGTATGCACATGCATCTCTCTCTGTCTTCCTGTAGCCTTACCCGATCCTTGCGCCGAGCGCTGCGATGACGGCATGACGAAGCCATCCACCAATTGCCTCCTCTCTTGTCTGGGGAGGAATATGGGGGCAGACAAGAGCCGAAAAGCTGTTACGCGGGCTGGCCAACCAGCTCTGTGTTGAGCCTTCGCCGTGGAAAGGATCTGAGCGGTGCTACGTAGTAGAGTCGGCAGTGCGTCATCATTCTTGGCTCGATGCCTGCTAACTGCCCACGCTTACACCACCTCCGTCCGTCCACATATCTATCCGTCTGCCCGTTAGGCACAGCCAGCAGACGCCTCCCTTAGGTATCGGCACAGTCCTACGCCCGTGCAAGATACACCTAAGTAGCGGTGAATCTCGGTCTCGAAGAGACCGATTGACTGCGCACGGCTTTACCCCGGTGTGATAGGTAGGACACATGGAGAGAACCTGACGCTGTGGCGTACGAGTTGGCGGCAGCGATCATCACTGCAAACGCCACACGCCAATGTGTCGAGTATACTCTATACCTCCTATCGACCCCATTCACACACGCGCGCGCGCGCGCGCATTCTAGCAACTACCTCACACAGACGGACATGTGTCCTGCGGAGTCTTTGCCGACGGTCTTGGGGTGTCCGTCTAGCACATAATGTGCTAGGCGGAAGCCGCAGCGACAGGTATTTGCTGACAGAAGCCGCGCCCCCCCCCCCTTTATTTAAAAAATAAATTAAATTGAAAAGCATAAATAATACCTAAAAGGGGGCACCAGAGTCTGGCATCATGTAATAGTATTATCGATTATGTGCGCGACATAGCGAAGTTGCCATACCTGCCAACAAAGATGCCATCTGACTTACATAATGTTATCCACGCCCCGTACATAACATTCCAGTGTCTGAGGTAAGAGTTATGCATATCATGTACCTGATGGTATTGATTCGCCGTGTTTCCTCTTTTGGCGCTCCCCGGTCGGGGAGATCTCCAGAGGCCAATGGACCTGACGGCTACACACTACATACCTAACCCTCCTCTCACCTCTCTTCCCGTTACGTTACACCCTCTCCCGGCTGAATAGATTAGAGCCTCATTTCTGGTCTTCTCATAAGCCGCCGTTCACGTCGCGCGTCTCCCGCCCCCCCGCCGACCCGTTGAATCAGCCCATGCAGGCGGATATAGCTAGTATCCTGGTATTGTTGCCTGTAAACTGCGTCAGAATGGGGAATCCTTCCACGCCGCTCGAACACATATCGTCGCAGCCCGTCGCGCTCGACCCGTGCGCCCGGGTAATTTCAAACGACAAGTGTCAATTTCGTCACCCTTCGTCGCCTACTCGCCCCTTTAAATAACCCCAAGCGACGCGTCTACCGCATCGGGCAGCTCTTGGAATTTCGTCTAGGATCCGACAGAGTCGACAACGCGTCGTCTCGCCAGCGCCGGGAACTTATTCCTCGCCGAATCCTTCTGTGCTACGCACCCAATATGGGCTATTACCAAGCCAGCTTTTACAGTCTGCTCGGCCTCTGCGCGGTCCTGCTTGCTTCTCAGCCCACCAGGCGGGCGGAGCCGAAGAAGCTGGCCGAATCGCGCAAGCAGGTAACTAGGGACGACAAGCATCCCGAGGCGAGCTGGTACCAAGTCTATGCCCTCGCCATGGGCGCTGACTGGCTTCAGGTAGGCTACGCCGGGAGAGGACGGACTCGTGTCGTTGGACCCAGGCTGACTACTACTCACGGGGCTCGCAGGGGCCGTACTTGTACTCGCTCTATCGCGATGAGCATGGGCTCTCCGAACGCCAAGTGTCCAGTCTCTTCACCACCGGTTTCTTGTCCGGTGCCGTCGGCGCTTACTTCATTGGCGCCCTGGCCGATCGACACGGTCGCAAGGCCGTGTGCATGGCCTTCTGCCTTCTATATGCCATGTCGTGCTTTTTCACCATCATTCCGGTCGTGCCTCTCCTCTACTTAGGCCGCATCCTCGGCGGCATCAGCACGAGCATCCTCTTTACCGTCTTCGATAGTTGGATGGTGACCAACTTCCGTGAGCGCAAGCTGGTCGAGAATGGGTGCGACCTGTCTAGAACGTACGCCACCACGAGCATCGTCAACAATCTCACAGCTATCGTGAGTGGAGTCGTAAGTGAGTGGCTCGTTACGGCGACCGGCACCAAGAAGGCCCCGTTTTGGCTCGGTGCCGGGTTGCTGTGTTGGGCTCTGCAGCTCATCTCGGCAAATTGGGTACGTCACGCGGCCCCGTGTCAACCGAAGTATCAATATTGACCCGTGGTAAGGTCGAAAACTACGGCACCGATCCCTCGGAGCCATCGGACGCCCCAAAGACGTCGAGCGTCCGGTCAACGCTGAAGCAACCGTCGATCTTAGCCCTCGGGCTTGCATCAACCATGTTTGAGGGATCCATGTACCTCTTCGTCTTCTTCTGGGCGCCAACCATGAAATCGGCTCAAAGATCGGCCGGAGAACTTCCCTACGGATATATCTTCTCCAGCTTCATGGCGTCGTCGATGGCGGCCGCACTAACCTTTAATATCGTCATGCAGAAACGGCCATTTAAATATTCCCGTCTCCTGATCGGCATCCTATTAGCAGCTAACTTCTGCTTCGTTAAGCTGGCCGGCCCTAAGACGGAAGATGCCACCTTTTGGCTTTTCTGCCTCTTCGAGGCCTGCGTCGGTATGTACTGGCCGTGTATCGGCTACTTGAAGGGCCGGCTAGTCCAAGATAACGCTCGCGCCGAGGTTTATGGTATTCTCCGAATTCCGCTGAATATCTTCGTCGTGGTGTCGCTGTTCCTTGCTGGCGATAGCAGCCGCTTTACCCAAGTATTCGGGGCGTGCTCGGTGCTGTTGACGACATCCTTTATCGCAGTATGGGTTGCTAGTTTGAAAAGCAATATGCCTTAGGGCAGGGAGCTATGTTAAGTAGGTAAACTGACTTTAGATATAGAAGACAACTCAACCTAGACCTCGCGATCGGGGCCAACGGCCCCGGTTCCCCCAGTCGGCAAGCAAGCGTTGGACGTGATGTATGGTGTAGTAGTTATGATTCTTAGTAACCTCCCGGGTATTTGGCCCTCCGCATTACTACTAATACTGGCGAAATCACCTCCAATCTCTTTCACCCATAGTCTAGCGTAGGCGGCGCGAGATAAGCAACGTCATACCACAACATAACTTCTCCACCACGTGTCCTATCTTCCACTTAGCTAACACTCCTCCCTACAGCCCAAATCTGTCTATTGCGAGTGTCTTCGGCAAGTTCGTACCACGACGTAGAACTAAGTCATCTGCGTCCACCCGGAGAAGACAGCAACCATGGAATCAGGTCATGATCGAGCCAGGGAATTGTAAGGATAACGGCACGAGAGATTCTATTGAAGGGGCATTGCCCTCCGGCCCAAACGAGGCCTCAAGTGGACGTATCGGTGGGACGATGCTTCGGTCGGGCTACCGTGAGGGGCTACCGTGAGGCGGCCCTCAGGCCCGGAAGCTACTCACTCCTCTTGCATACTGATATAGGCCGTGGACTTGCAGGCGAGCGATGGATACCCCAGAGATGGATCAGCTAGGGCACCCGGACAGGCCTCGAGGCTTGGAGGTCAGAACACGGATAGTAGCAGATGTCCCTGTCCCTCGAGCACGCAAAAATTTAGGGGAGAGGCGGGTATAGATGGTGGGACTCGGGCCGCGCGACGCCAGTCTTCGCTCGTGGGCGTGCCCTCGACGCGGGACGGCGCCCGGAAGCGCCGGCGTATCCGCGGCGCGGATATCTGGACGCTCGCCTCTGCGTCGCTCTGGTTGTCTTCGCTGGACTACGAGACTCAGCGATGCACTCTTGTAGTGCCTGCTTAGGACGCCACCCTTCCCGGCTAGCCTCCGTCCTAATCCCCCCCCTATCCGGGACACTCATATGCCATGTCATCGTATGGAAGACCTTCCCAGCAGCAGATGTGCCGGCTCGCCAACAAGTGCGTGGGCATGTCCACGTCGCCTGTCGCCTACGGGGGGTGTAAAGGTGCGGTGGCAGATAGTAACCTGGTCGATGATCGAGCAAATCACGGAGATGGTGAAAGTGCGCCCAGCGAGCTTGCCGGCGTGGGCTAGACTAAGGATGTAGAGCGGCTCCAACGGCGGCGTTGTGAGTAACTGAGACTATAGCTCGGCCTCTTCGACGGATCTTCGTCGGTCCGTGGTCCAGTTACACGGCGGAGGGCTTCTACGCGCAGGCAGTTCAATAGGAGTCCGACATGGACATCGGGAAAGGAAAGAAGACGGTTTAAACTAAGATCATCATGTCTGTCCTGTATCTTGCGTATTATTGATTCCATTGCTACCGCGGAACTATGTCCTATACACACTTATACCACCGTCTACATCCCCCTATTATCTACAGTAATTCACCAGAGGTAGGTACTACGATCTCTACGAGTCCATCGTGGTAGTGACGGGTACTCGATACTTCCACCCGGGCTACAGACAGACAGACAGACACATACAGACACACACACAAAGAGAGAGAGACGAGTTGCGCCCCAGTTCCAGCTTGATTACTCGGCTGGATAGCAATACCTACCTATCAACCTAGAGCCGCAGCCCTGGGCAGCCACGACAGGGCCGGCGGGCGGGCGAGGACAAGAGGCGCAGGTGACGAAATCTGGCAGCCTAGTTCGGCCGAGGGGGCCGGGCCGGGCCCTGGGTAGCACGCGGCCTACGCAGCTACCCAGGGGCGCGTCTGATGGCGTCCGCTGGCCGATCGTGATCTCGTCCCGCGGCCAAGGCATCCCCCGGAGGCGCGGCCTCGGCTCGAGAGTGCTGTGCGTGTGCGCATGCACGTATGCGTGGGGGGAACAGAGACAGACAGGGAGAGAGACCCCTGGGTTTCAGCGAAGCGAGCACGCCCGCGCGCGAGCCGCAATTCGCATGCGACGCTTGTCTCTCGCGCTTCGACGCGGGGGGGCGCACCTTGGGAGGGGCAAGCAGTCTGCGCTCGATGCGACAGGTTCGCTCGCGCGTTGCTTTGGGGGGGGAGGAGGCGGCACGCGGATGCTGCTGCGGCGGCGTCGGCGTCGACGATCCGTCGCAAGCGCGCTTCGCTGGCTCGGCGCGCCTGACGGCGGCGAGCGACGGTCGGAGATGAAACAACAGAGAGCGCCTGGTTCAGGTCACGCCGAGGGGCAGCGGACATATTAGGTACGTGGGCTCGCCCTCGCAGCAGCGGCCCGGCCCATGCCACGAGCAGGTGTGTTTCTTTTCTCTTGTTCCGCCTCCCCCCCCCTTGCTTGTGCGCGTTTGAGCTAATATTATCTGTCCATCTGAGATCGGGATCCGCGGTTTGCGTGGGTGTGTGTGGTAAGACAGCGACGGTAGGCTGGCGTTTGAGGCCGGTTCGCGTCCCTTGCATATGCGAGTATTGGGGGGTTGACATGGGAGGCCGACAAAATTGCCGAAATAGGCGCGAGCGCAGAAGGACGTCGCTGACAAATGGAGAGAGAGCGCGAGCAGAGAGATTTCCTAATTCGGGCATGAGGATGGCTTCGGTGCGCGCAGGAGCTGAACTTGGAGCTGGTAAGGAGGAGGAAGAGGAGGAGGTGTATAGCAGGCTCGTCCGCATACGGGCAGCCTGTCAGCTTCGGGGATGCCATTCTCCCTCTTCGCTTTCCGACATATCTGATGTTCGGCCACACCCACCGTATCTATGTGGTGAGGCAATCTATAAGGAGAAGGAGTAGGTAATGGTGATGTGATAAAAGGCCTGAAACCCTTTGGTCACGTCGAGTACTCCGCCTGTCTCTTTGGGCCCAAGCAGCCACACGCCCACCTATCTTCTGCTGAGTTGCTAAGTGGCACCGGGACGGCTAACTCACGAGGAGATCCTGCCATACCATTATTGTATGTATATGGCTATACACCCCCATACCATATTCCCAGGGAAAGAAGACCCAGGGCCAGCGCGGAGCGCACAGAGAGCGCCGATCCGGCTCGCGGCCTGGGCACGGTTCTAGAGCCGTCGAGGCTTCGGGGCAGCCCATATAATAATATCCTGGGACTGCGATCACCAGGATCTTCCAAAAGTACCCTACCTACTTGTTTAAATTGTACCAGGTGCTTTACTTGGCACAAGACAATCAATCGCTTCAAGGGGGGAGAAGAAGCCACAGACATCCCCAGGGACAGCACCTCACGGGCCACCCTGTCGCCCCTTTTCTCTCCCCCAATCGACCCATCCACGCCCGGGATACACATACCTACGTATTAAGACGCACACAGTAATGCCAAAAAAAAAAAAATAGCGGAGCCGAGCTGGGCCAATTTGGGGGCGGAAATCGGAGGAAGGGGAAGCTGGGAAAGGGGAGTCCGGCGACCAAGGCCCAGGTCGTCGACATTGGTCTCCAGCTTGGGGGCCGACGATCTGGTGGCCTCTGCACCTGGCACCTGCGCGTGCGCCACAGACGCATCGAGATACCAAAGTGAGCGAGGAAAAAGAGAGAGAGAGAGAGAGAAAGAGAAGAGAGGGAGGGCATCCGTGCACGACGTCCTGTGAGTACGTTTATGTATGCGTCCGTGGCCTTCGGACACTTCTCAACTCCGGAGGAAGACATACTGCGGAGATGGACAGAACAACGCCTGCATGTCGATACCCACCTCCGTCGGCCAGCCAGTTCCGCGTGCGCGCACGTCCGGCGGTGGAGGCGATTAGGGGGGGGGGAGTCGACCTTTTGACTGCCTACCTACGGGACGGGCGGTACGGGTAAGGCATGTTAGTAGCTGGTGGAGAGGTACATCCTATATCAGTAGTGGACCGCAACTTGCTACCCGTAGGTACCTACGTAATAGTCTTATTAGTCTGAAACAGCTCGGTTTAGTTTACTCCTAGCAGCTATATCGTATCGTCCCTTTTCTTCCTCATTTCTCGAAAACCCTCACTCACCTCTGGCACCCACCTCTCCCTCCCCTGCCCTGCAATGCCCAAGTCGGGCATGGCTCCCCTTTGCGACGTGTGCAGCGCGCGTACCTGATCTGCCTACCAGAAGACCCTACACGCGCACCCGCGCACGCCTCGGGGCCCCGAGACCGCGGCGAGTCGCAGCGTCCGAAGGTCCGCCGTCCGCTCGAGCGCCTCTTCTCCGTCTCGTATCGTCCGCCATCACCGCCACTCCCCGGCTACCTGCCTACCTCTACCCATACTCTACGCGCGTGCGTGCGCACACACGTAGGGACCATTAACTAACCCCTACGGACGCATCATCGTCTTCGCCACCGCGCTGGCTCGCAAATCGCCTGAGTCGCGTTGTACGGCCGTGGTGGAACCCGATCCGCACCAAATTCTCCACCATCATCTCAGCCCATGCCCGCCGCGCCCCAGAGCCAAGAGCACCCTCCCCAAGCCTCAACCGCGCATACCGTTACCTTTGCTCAATCAACCCGCGACAAACCAACGTCCTGGCGGCCGTGTACGTAGCGCCATGTATACACCCCCCCCTCCCCCCGCCCCCTTTCCAACCCCCCAACGCGCGGAAAGCAGGTAAGGAGAGGGTACCTCCAAACCTACCGCCTACGCGGACTAAGCCTCACACCGACTACGTACGGAGTCTGCCCAGCCTAAGTCCCAAGGACCGAAAGTCATACTTCAAAAAAAAGGAGGGGAAAAAAAAAAAGAACTAGGGGGGGATCCCGGAAACGCGCCATCAGGCTAGGTCCGAGTAATCGTATTTCGTGCAAAATGGCCGAAAGAAGGAAAGCGAAGGAAGGAAAAAAAAAAAAATTTAGTTGGCCGAGCTGAAACTGGGCGAGGGCGAGAGAGAGCCTGTGAGAGGGAGAGTTTCCGCGGCGTGCATTGCCGAGTCTTGCTCGATGGGCAGATTAGCGAATGGCTAGACTGATCTCGGGTAATCGTCATGCCTTCAAAACGAGCCTGTTGTTTCTCAAAACCCGGTTGGAGATGATGGTTACGCGCCTGGGTTAGGTGAAAGTGTTGGCTCGCCGCGCCAAGGTCGCAAAGCCCTCAACACGCCTCGTCCGCATAAGCGTCAGAATACCAGGAGTCACGCCGTCGACACCGACAAGGAAACGCACATCTACATCGCAAAACGCGGCGCTATTCGGAATTCTTCTTCTAACCTAGCGGTGTGGTATATAAATCGTGCGTCAGATGGCAGCATAGACATGAAAAGCTTTACAAACATCACCTCTCCCTCAAGCGCGTATATATGTACTCATATTCAAAAACATCTCCGCCCAAGTGTCATCTCTTCACTCCCGTCGCGTCCCATTAACCGTTCTAATGATTGACTGTCCTGTTCCCGTTCGCCCTTGCGCCACAAACGTTGGTCGGCAGTAGGTCTAAGCGCCGAGCCCCTGCGCAACCCGATAAATCCATTCGAACCGTAATTATAATGCTATGGGTGTAAAAGCGCGCGCGGGGGGGGGGAGGAGCGAATCGACCGCCCTCGTCACCTCGTACAAGGACGTGCCGAGGAAGCGCTCGATGCCGAGTTCTGGGATATATATGTGCAAAGGATCATTCAAGAAGTGAATTGCCCGGTTTCGTCGAAGTGGATAAACCACGGATCACGGATTCGCCAATGCCAGAAAAAGCGAGGGGGGTTCGGCCAGTTGCAAGTCTACCAGAGCGGGTCGGGGCTTTACAGCATGAAGACGGCGAACAGGCAGGCGCTGAGAGCGGCGCCGCTGAAGCCCATCTTGAGGGCGCCGGCCGTGGCGGGGACGCTCGTGGCCGGAGCCGCCTCGCCGCTCTCCGTGGGGGTCTCGGCGGGGACGCTGGACCCGGAGGCACCCGAGCTGGTCGAGGCGGCACCTGAGACAGTGCCAGAGGCAGTGCCGGAGCTGGTACCGCTGGCGCTCGTGGCCGAGGTCGACAGGGTGGTCCTGGTGGCCGTGGAGGTCTCAGTCGCCGAGGCCGTGGCCGTGGTCTTGCTAGATTGGGCGGAAGAGGAGCTGGAGGTCCCGTCGGTGCCGTCGCCAGTCACCACCTGGATGCTCTGGTAAGAGCCGTCAGAGCCGTCGTTCCAGACATACTTGGCCGCATTCTTGACACCGTTGCTGTAGTCGGTGATGGTCACGGACTTGTAGTGGGCAACGAAGGGAGCCTTGCTGAAGTCGGTCTTGCCACCGGCCCACTGGACAGTGCCCTCGGGAGCGTCAGAGCGGCCAGCAACCCAGGTTCCGAGCTTGACCTGCATGGGGGTCTGGGGGAATCGAGCGCCACCCTGGGCCTCGGCGTACTTCAGCTCACGGACCTGGTTGCCGTTGATGAACCAGCGGACGTAATCCTTAGTCCAGTCGATCGTGTACGTGTGGAACTCGTCCTGGGGGTTAGCGACAGCGTGGAAGCCACCACGGTCGTAGGTGGTGGTATCACCCTTGCCGAAGTAGTTGGTCTGCACCTGGGTCGTGTCGCCGCCGAGCCACTCCCAGTCGATCTCGTCCAGGTTGGCCGACTGCAAGACGAAGCTCGTGACCACACCAACGCCGGTCGAAGCGCGGACCACCAGGTCGATCTTGCCGAAGAAGATGTACTTCTTGCTGCTGATGGTGGGGGCTTGGGTCTCCTTGTTGATGGTGAAGACGGCGCCATTGTCGTCGTAGGTAAGCTTAGTGCCGTCAGCCAGCGTGAAGAAGTCGTTGGCTCCCTGGGTGAAGTCGACGTTTATGGTACCTCCCAACGCCGGCTCATCAGGGCACTCTAGGCACCGAGGGTTAGCATCCCGTCCCGCCCTAACGGGCACGATAGCAAGACTAGTGAGACATACTCTTCTCTGTAGGGTTGCACTCGGTGAAGGTCTGGGCAGACACCAGCTGGCTGGCTGCGAGGACCACCGAGGCGGCGGACAGGAATTTTGAGAACATGTTTGCTGCGAGATCTGAGGGTAGACTATAAGGACGGATAGCTGGGGTCTAGATTCCTCGTAGTCTGTGCGAAGACAGTTGTGTAGTTGTTTGGTAGATACAGGTGACGAGCGAGAGGCTGCGAAGGAATTACAAGGCCGGTAGGGATATTATTAAAGGCTTCTGTTTGAACGAAGGACAGGAAATCGGGTGATTCGTAACGAGAGGTTGGACCACCACAATTAGCCACAAGTGAGCAAGAAAGGTAGCAAAGTGAGGGTTGCGAGACTGCGTGAATCGAAGAAGAACGAAGGGGTGGGCATAGGAATTAATAGGCAAGCGGGAAAGGGGGAGCAGTGATTTTATTTACGAGGCCGACAGCCGAGTTGGCAGGTGACCAGGTAGGCAGGCACGTACGGGCGCTTGGTGAGCGCCTTCGCTCCCTGGTTTTCCTGCGCGGGTGGCTTCTCCTATGGAGTTCCTTTCTCTCTTTTTTTTTTTCTCTCCTTCTTCTTTCTTCTTCTTTTTCTCGGCCGGGGAGGAAAGGGTTCGTGTGCCTGGACGGACTAACCAGGTCGGGACATGACGGCCCACTGCGGATGGTGCGATGTCGATGGGGGCGCTGCCTGGATGGCTTCCCACCTGGGCATAGTTGAGTGTCTTTTTTCCTTTTTTTTTTTCCTTTTTTTTCTTTCCTCTCTCTCTCTCTCGTGCCTACCCTCGTCGCCTCGCCAATTTTAAAATGGGGAGGAACCCCTCCGCCTTCCGCGTTGTTCTTTCCTTCTGTCTGGCGATGGCCTCCACTCCCCTCGCTCGTTTGGGTAGGTACGAGACGAGGGGGAGCGCCAGGGGCGCGCCAGAGCGACGAGAGAGAGAGGCCCCTTTGAGCTCCTTGTCTAGGAAGCCCAGCACTCGGCTCGCCCTCCTAACCTGTACGCAGCTAGACCCGAGACCGCCCAGCAGGCCGCGCTCCAGATTTGTGGCGCTGCTGACCCGCGTCAGGCCAATGATACGGGCTCGTCCGGGGTCACTCTGAGCTGCGCCCCAGTTCTATCTCGCATCGTGAGAATCCCCTGTAGCGCTGTCTATCCCTACGGCCTTTGGGGCGCCGCCAGGCCAGTTCGTATCCCCAGGGCCGTTGTAGGGTACATATACCTGCCTACAGCTTTGTTGCTCCCGTCTGTGAGAATGTACATATGCCTACGAGGTACAGGTGGCTGATCGTACCACCCCCCGTCCCATCCCCACGGCAAGTGACGTTGCACGTCCGCAGCCTCTGGCCGATGGAATCAATCGGTTTGTGATCGATGATCACGACCTCGCTATATGCCAGTGCGTACCAGTTGGCCCGGACTCTGCTCAAGTATAGAGGGGCATCTCTGACGCACGTTGAGGGATGAGCGGGCGTAGCCTATACTACACCTATACTGCGCAGTGGTGCACGTAGTTGACCTGGCCTAGCCTTGGAACGTATACGTACTTGAGGCCTGGAGGCTAGGTTGGCTAGGCTAGGTTAAGTACCCTCCCAGACTGTGCTTCTACGTAGGTCCTCTGTGTTTACGGCTTCGGATATGGGAGATTGTGGATGGAGAGACACCTCGTCCAAGAGGTCGGCACCCTAAGGTAGACGCCAATACCTACGCGTGGGTACATTAGGTGCCCTCCAGCTTGCGATAGCCTACCGTGCTCCTTCTTTTGGGAATAACCGGGAAACGGATTCTCTCATACATAGGTGTAACTGGCGTGTCAGGGAATGAAGGATGGCAAGCCGGCCAACATGTTTCGACCGATAAAAGTATCTAGAAATATAAATTAAAAAAAGGAATACGAAAAGGGGAGCGGTGGCGGAGAGAGCGAAACTGCTGTTCGGCTGCCGACACTTGAATACGGGTAGGTACCTACGCATCTGTACATACCTTGGGGTACCTTCGCGATGCGCTGTGCCGCAGACTTCGTTTGGGACGAGAATAATAATAAACACCTGCCGAACCACCTGTCGATTCTGCAGGTTGGTGGGAGGCGATGACACAGGTACGGAGACCCTTGGGAAAGGCTATCCCGGGTTCATTCGCTCAATGAGATGCGCCCAGGTTGAGCCAAGTAGACGCTACTCCTACTTGGAAACCCTTGGGTCCGCCTACACGAGATTATTTGCTGAGGCCTATATGACACGGAAACGCACGACACTCCCAGGACGGAAGTACTCATAATAGGTCGATACCTGATCGTGTCCGGCATGGGCGTTCCTCTTCCCTCCGTCTCCCACGGATAGACGCACACCCAACGCGAGGTGGGCAATAAAAAGAAATACTCAACGCGCCGTAGACGATACCAAGACCACATCTACTCATACATATGTATGAGTATACACCCTCCCTCGAGAGGAAGCAGACTCTTCCACCAACCAGGCTGCGATCGATTGACACGGCATTTTCCACAGGGCAACGCATGTTGACAGCAATTAAACCCCAGGGCGCTGACGGCAGAGATCGCCCGGTGCGGTGCGTCCTGTCAACGCAGTCCTGCGGTTGGCAGGCAGTACCCCCCCAATATAGGCAAGGATGGGCGGATGCAGGTACTAACCTACGTACCCGCGATACTTCGCGCCTCTGTCCGTCCGCGGTCCCCTAAATCGATTCAGGGCTTACGCCACAATCTTGACATGCACGATCCCCATTTATTTTCCCCAGTGGCGGCGCGCCTCTGCGTAATTTCTACGAAGCGCGAGGAGGGAGAGAGAAAGAAAGGGAGAAAAAAAAACCCCCCTCCGAAAGGAAAAAAGGAAAGAAAAAGAAAGAAAAAAGGCCGGGGCTTGGATCCGAGTCGTTCCAGTCCTACACTGCAACCGAACGCGCTTGCATGTACGTCTCTCAACCTGTCTGTCTTGTCTGTCGGTGTCTGTCTGTCTTAGAGGTACCTACACTCATTACAGGTACCTCCCAGGCGCCAAGGTGTACATCCTCCAGGCAGGTAATTAGGGCATATGCATGTACCTTGGGTCAATTTCCGAGTTTCTGACCAGACCCGATTTAGGTTTAGGCCGAGTGACGGTATATTAGGGACGGTTGTGTCTTTTTTTTTTGCGCTTGCGCAAGTAGGCTATTGGTAAAACTCCCCCAAGACCCATTACCTAATGAATGCAGGCAAGGCATTAAACTGCCACATGGTCAGCGCCCCATACCGACCATCGTGCAATCCAATACCTCTGCCCAGGTTGAGCATGCGAAGTGTGAGACACCATCTACATGTCACTACCACCACCGCTATCGTCGCCGTCGTCATCGTCGTCTCTCCCCGGGTCTCTCTCTCCTTGCCCACCCACCACCTTCAACGCGGCCCGCCATACGATGAGCCATACGATGACGGCAATATATCCAAGGCGCGCGCGTCAGCGACCGTCGCAGAGGGTTGTCGACCGGTTCCACGACCGACGAGAGTGACACCCCCATCTAGTCACCTACGCGAACCCGGCGGTGCATACCTGTCCCATCTGGGCCGCATCAAGAGATCATGCATGCAGCCCTGTATGGGCTCGTCCTGTGTCATCACCGGGCACTTGTTCTGCCCTACGGTGGCATTTTGGTACCACCCTCCGACACCTCGGTTGAAACACTCCGATCAGGGGGGGCTCGGCCGTCGGCCGCTCCCAAACGCGGTTGGGAGCAAGCAGCCCAGGCGAATCCTCTCGTGCTCTCGTCCGTATATAGTGCTGCGCGTGCGCCCCTATGCGCCGACGAATGCATCCGTGGTAGGGCGCCGGGACGAGTTGGGTGAAGGCAGTTGGATGAGGGAGGGATGGATGGATGGATGGATGAATGGATGGATTTGACCACAACCGTCCGACCGCCACCCGGCCAACTAGTACGTCCCACGTAACCTGCCCAACCTCTAGCCTAGGACTCGGAAACGTAGCCATTGGCGGCTCCCGCCAGCGCGACGCTCTAAAAATGGCAGCACGGCAGCCCAGCGGGCGGCGCCGGGGAGGAAATTCGTATTGCAGGGCCACATGACCGGGCCAGCCCTCATTGGTCACCCCGGGTCGCTCACAGGTGGCGCTCCCAACCCGAGAGATGGCCGTAGCCGGATTCGGGAAACCCGAGATCGATACCATCATCTCGACGCACCTTGTATTAGCCGTCGCCTGTCTATCTAATCGCCGGCCAAGGAGAACCCGCGTAGAGATGGGACGTATCTGCGATGTTATGTGCCGAGGCCGTCCGCTATGTCGACGCCAACCTACCTCGGGTACATACCCAAGTCTATTGTGCTATGTAAGATTGTGAGCATACATACGGATGTGCCCGATACCGCCTAGCTACCATAAGATAGCCTTCCCGCTGCCGACCGCGTGAGGTTAACGTCTCCTCGTTCGCCACGTAAGACCCCGGATGGATCTGATGCAGTTAGCAGACTTCAGTCTCACTCTCACACGCTGTCTACATAGGTACGTGGTAGATGGGATAGACGAGCAATAGGATTGACACCTGATTCAGGTACATACCTACGCTAAACTCCAGCTATACTAGTGTCCTCTAGCAGGTCGACAGCTGAGGGAACGGAACGGACGGTCTTTTAAGACAACCACCTACCTAGATATTATACCTACCTACCTCTTAATCCTCACCGGCCTACCTGCTGCGCGCAGGGTGCGCACGGCGTACGTGCCTAGCTATGCCTCTACCACAGGTCCCAGAGATCGTGACGAAGGGGATCGGTTCAGAAAGGCTTCAGCTTCGCCTGCCGCCTCCTGGTCCTCGTGTTAGCCATGCCTAGGCAATCTTTCACGCCCTCCTACGTCTATGCCTGCTTACTGATGGCATCTCAGCTCATCGGTAAGCACAAGCCCCTCTTACCATCAGCGCAGCCACTATCACCTCTGCCACAGCTCGCTAAGCTTAGCATGAGGCTAAAGGCCTGAAAACAAGGCCGCCGGCCGGCCATGGACTCCGAGGGTTCGCGGCTCTGGATGCCGTGCCTCTCGAAGAGGACACACCCGCCTACACGTCCGCCCGCAGGCTTGCTTGCCTACCTACCTATATATGATCTAACTAACATGGGCCGGCTTCAGTCTTAACGCGTGCATATACACAGGCCGACGGACCGACAGCATTACTTGTCTGAAAGCACTAGGGCGCCGGCGGCCGCATGACTTCTTATATACTATCCCCCCGTATCCAGCCCTAACGACGGCTCGAAAACCAAAGGGTGGCATTATTATGACGGCAACCCTTGCATGTGGCTTGCCCTAACAGATCAGCCATGTCGCGATCCATCGGGGTCAAGGGGCTGGCCTGCGTAAGCGTCGGTTGGATTTCCCCGTCCTTGAGCCCCGTTCCATCTACCTATATGGCGAAGTAGTCAAGCTCGCGGGGGGAGCAGGCGTTTCGCTACGACTGTTTCCTGATCACGGTCCCCCGTCGGCAAACGGGCGAGAATCGCCTCGCATGTTGTCCATCTCCAAATTTTTGACCTCCCCTCCGGTGGCCAGGTCACATCATAGGAGTCCCTATATCGAGGGCAAGGTGACGGTGTCACTTTATCCGCGTATGGCCAGCCACGGACGGTTTCCGCGTCAGACGCTTGAGGCGCAATCGAAATAGACACCTATTCTCCCATTCTAGGACCAAGTCGAATCCGTGCGCATCCAACCCCTAATAGCATTGTCCTACATGTAGAAGGAAGAAACCCCCTTTCGTGAGACAGCCCTCCTTCCACCTGCTCTATTCGCTTCAACCAGGGAAAAATCCCCCAAGCATAACTAACCTCTACCTCCTACCCTCTAATCTAAGGCCTGCCTCCCACATGCCCCCTCGGGCTGGTTAGAACCGTAAGAAACATATATTACATCGCGCCTCGTGCCAGCTCACTGAACGACTAGTCACATATTTCGGTATGTTTGGTTACACGCCATACTTCGAACGAGGGGGGCGCGGGGTTATGAAGAGACATAATTCAATCACCTGTCGCGAATCTCGATCCTTCGTCATGGCCGACGACGGGGTCGGCAAGAAGCAAGATCAACAAAGTAGCTGGCCAGAGTACAGGCTTTGTTACGCATATCACGTACAAACCGTCCAGCTCGTCGTAAGATATTCGGTCATATTTATTCGTTCTTTTCTTTTAATCCTCTCTATAAAGTCACCGACTCGCTTGTAATGCTTGGCGGGGTTGGACTTTGTGCGGGGGGATCCCAACAACCAGGGAAGCACGCGCTCGTAGCCGTTTCGATGCAGTTGAGGCTGTCAGCTGCGAAGTTCAGCTTTTATGACAGCCTAGGACCAGGTTGTGCCGTAGCGATCGAATGCTACCCCCGGCATACCACAGCCCGCGGGAGGGTGTGGGAGGGTGTGGTCCAATATTGTTCGCAGCGGGATCCAGCATGAACCCCCCCGTTTTAGGTGCCGTACGCCATACCTCGTGATAACAGCAACCTCTAAAGAGAAATTCCGGTGCCTCTGACACAAAACACCTAGCTCTGGCGCGCTGTCATCCGGACTACGATCTTAGAGACAGGAATGATGGCGTATTGCTCTCAGCTGAGCCCGCGTCGGCTTGGAGTTAGCATTGGGACGAGGGCCATGCGTGGCTCAGGGTCATTCCTCCAGAAGAAAGGAATCCTTCCATGAGCTCGTCCTAGTTCTAGCTGGCCATCGTTATAAAAGGGTTGGCTTCTCGACCCGGCGAAAAAACGCTTGAGAAGTGGTCCATCGGGTGCCATAACGAGTCAAGATGAAGTTGGCAGCGACTGTTGCGCTGGCTAGCGCCGCCATCTCCATCGTTGGTGCGAGGTTCGTCTTGGACATTCCTCAGGTCTTCTAATCGAATCTAATAGGCAGTAGCAAGGTCGACATCAACATAACGGTCCCTCGTCTCCCGCGGCAGAACAACTACCCACCCAGCGGGCCACAGCTCACCGCGAGACCCCCTCCAAAGAAGTCCTATGAATACATCATTGTTGGCTCTGGTGCCGGTGGATCTCCTCTTGCAGCTCGCTTAGCACTCGCCGGACATAGCGGTAGGCGTATTCCGAGGCTGTCGACCCTGCAGCCGTCTCTTTACACCACTCTAACCCCCCCCTTCTCTTTAAATAAGCCCCTGAGATTTAGGGAAGTAGCAGCAGCTGATACCCTTCGTAATAGTGCTGCTAGTTGACGCCGGAAGTGACCGCGGACGTTCGCGAGAGGTCGAGATCCCATCTCTATATCTCGCAGCTGCAGAACGGAATGATCTCAGCTGGAGCTTCTTCGTGCGGCATTTCGACAACGAGACACAGACTAGGCGAGACCGTAAGCTAACGTACCGTACCCCTAATGGCGACTTATACAGCGGCGTGGAGCCCCCTAAAGGTTCGCAGGTGCTCGGAAACTTATACCCCCGCGTGGGTGGCCTAGGAGGTTGTACCGAGCACTTGGCTCTGCTACCCATCTTGCCGGCCAACAGCGACTGGGATAACATCAAGAAACTTACCGGCGACCGGAAATGGGACGCAAAGAACATGAGGGGATACTTCAAGAAACTAGAAAAGAACCAATACCTGACCCCTAAAGAGGACGTCACTGGGGCCCACGGGTTCAAGGGCTGGCTAGCGACCACGATAGAGCCTCTAGAGTTTTTCACCCGAGACTCGGCAATGGTTTCTATCTTTCTTTCCGCCTTGTCTACCGTGAACAAGCGGGCCGATGGTTTGTTGAGCAGTGCCCGTAGCACTGTTGGTAGAGCTGTCGAAGATGTTGCCAGCAAGGTGAGAGGGAAACGCTGCGCTGGAGAGAATTCTAAAAATAATCTAACATCGTCTTCGTTAGGTGCTGCCGCCGAATTCCTCTGTGTCTGTCGCTGAATCCCTGAGAAGGGTACGCTCACCTGGCACCAGCCTATCCCCCCTTCCCTTTCCAGCACTCATATATACAGAATGGGAGAGAGGGAAAGAGATCCTCGAGTACTAACTAAGGGGCCAGGTCCTGGCTTACGACATAAACAACAACTCTCCAAACCGTGACAGCGCCACAACCGTCAGCCGGATCCCCCTGTCCGTAAGCTCGCCTGACGGCAGGCGTTCCTCGCCGCGCGACTGGGTCTACGAGATCGCCACGGCGAAGAACCGCGACGGCTCGAAGAAATATCGCCTCGATATCGCCCTAAACACGCTCGTGACCAAGGTCAAATTCGACGCCCGCTCCGGCCGCGCCAAGCCGAAGGCCACCGGCATCGAATACCTGTTCGGCGAGTCCCTGTACCGAGCTGATCCCCGGTCCAGCACCTCCGGAGGCAAGACGGGCATTCCGGGATCCGTAACCGCTACTCGCGAGGTCATTGTAGCCGGCGGCGCATTCAACACACCACAGGTGAGTATTGAATTACCCTATGCGGTTTCCCTTGAAAAGTTCCATACAAAAGACACCCTGGGATGGCAAACCTGAAAGATCTCGCCCCTTTATCTTTCACTGCATATCTGCGCCTTTTCCCTTCCCCTATAACCCCCTCCTCCAAGAACTCCGATTTCTGACTCGCGGCCGTGGAAACCACGCAGATCCTAAAGCTGTCAGGGATCGGGCCGGCGGCCGAGCTGGCGCGGTTCGGCATTCCGGTGGTCAAGGACCTGCCGGGGGTCGGAGGCAACCTTCAGGACCGGTACGAGGTAGGCGTGACGGCGGAGGCGCCGCGCAACTTCAACCTCTTCGACGGCTGCACCTTCATCACAACCGAGGACGACCCGTGCTACGCCGCCTGGCGCAGCACGCGGCCGGGGCAGGGGCAGTCACTCCTCGCTCGGGGCCCCTATGCCACCAACGGCGTTGCAGTCGGCCTGTGGACGCGCTCGTCCGTCGCGGGGCCCGAGCATGACCTCGTGAGTACCAGCCTTCTCCTCCCCCACCCATATACGTTGCGAGAGAGCGGGAGAAAGAGAGAAACGAATTCAGACCAGAGGCCTAGCGGCTAACCCGATCGCACATCTAGTGGGCGGGCGGGGTGCCGGGCCTGTTCCAGGGCTACTTCCCGGGGATGACGCAGACGGTGATCACGCCGACGCAGCGCAACTACTTCACGTGGCTGGTTCTGAAGGCGCACACGCGCAACAACCTGGGGCGGGTGAACCTGACGAGCGCGGACCCGCGGGAGCCGCCGCGGATCGCGTTCCATAACTTCGGCGAGGGCGGCGGGCCGCAGGCGGCACGCGACGCCGACCGCGACGTGCGCGCCGTCGTCGAGGGCATGCGCTGGGCCCTGGACGTGTTCGACGGCGCCAAGGGCGCGCAGGGCCTCGAGCGCGTCTGGCCCCCGCGCCACGTCGCCTCCGACGCCGACCTCGCCCAGTGGGTCCGCGACGAGGCCTGGGGCCACCACGCCTCCTGCAGCTGCCCCATCGGCGCCGACGCCGACCCCCTGGCCGTGCTCGACGGCCGGCTCCGCGTCCGCGGCGTCGACGGCCTGCGCGTCGTCGACGCCTCTGCCTTCCCCAAGATCCCGTAAGTATTTCCCTCTCTCTCTCTCTCTCTCTCTGTCGAGATCCCACCGCACGACGTACCTAGTCCGCCCATGTGCTAACCGCCACCCCGCGCAGCGGCACCTTCCCCGCCCTCGCCATCTACATGCTGGCCGAGAAGGCGGCCGACGACATCCTCGCTGACGCGAGGTAGGACGGCGACGCCTAGGTAGGCAGGGACCCGGGGCTTCCTCGCGGTAGGTAGGGAAAGGTGTGTGTATGAGGCTACAGTGTATATATAAATACGTAGACGAGCAGGCGGGCAGACACGGAGGGCAACCTTGAATTCTTCGGTGTGGTATCAGGGAAGGGGGGAAGGGAGGGGTTGGCCGGTTGTTTTGTCGTTATTCGCCCGTTCTTGTCTTCGCGTCGACTCGGCTTCCATTAATAGGCATGTCTTCCTTCCGGCACCCTGTACAGCAGGAACCGCCCCCCGGTGGTCGCACATGTATCGGTATTCAACATCCCAAGCCTTTGTATCCGACAGTACGAGAAAAGAGAAGCCTGCGTTGTGCGAAAATCCCAGGTCCGAAAAGGGGTAGCAGGGGCCGTAGATTCGCGTGAGCAGAGAAACACCCCCTGGGGGCTCGCGACTAACTCGTCCGATAGCTTGGCTCCTCACGCACCAAGAACAGAAAAGTATATGTCTTTACCAGGCTTTGAACCCCCCCCCCCCCCCCCCTTCCCCAAAGGGCAAAAGCAACGGCCGCGGGTGCTAGCGACGCCCAGGCCCCTCTGCCCTAGCCCCCGTGGAGGAGGGTGGGCAGCGCCGTACTCTGGCAGCGGACGCCTTCAGCCGTATCAGAACAGCAGGCAGCACTGCTCGATGGTATGGTGCGGCTGGCAGGTCTCAGCCATTGCTTGCGAGCCCCTTCGTCTATTGTGCTCTATAACCCTTCCCCTCGGCCCTCGACCTGCCGGCGGTATGCCGGCCGACTGCTCGAGCTATCGGATAGGTAGCTAACAGCACGGGGATCTCTGTACCCCAGGTGGTTATGAGGCTTGTATATGCTGGTACCGCGTGAATTTGTTCTTGTCCTGTGTCCCGTCACTGTGCTCTCCGAGCGATATGCAAATCCATATAAACTTGCCGATCCGGGGTCGGGGGGGGAGGATGGGCGAAACGTGCACGCACGTACTAACTGCCTGGCTCTCTGAATAACATACTACCCCGGATCTCTTCATGATATACATATTCGTAATACATACACACTAACTCCATTCCATATCCGAGGGAAATGTTTTTTTATATATATAAAAAAGCCATCAGCCGGTATATTTGGTATATATGACGCCAGATCCCCATCCATGCCGTTTCTATCCATGTAGCTCTATGCGGCCCTATGCGTCTAGTATACTCGGATAGTTATATATATAGAGAGAGCTCTGTTAGATACGCAACCGGTTCCCGACGAGCAAGCCTGCGTACGCGATGAGGCGGTACACGGTGCCGATGACGAACAGGAATAGCATGTTGCGCCAGTGCCCGTCGAGGCGGAAGCCGAGGATCTGTGCCGTCAGATCGACGTCGTACAGGTAGCGCAGCGGCTCGACCATCTGGCCGAAGTAGAGCTCCGCGAGCCACGTGCCCGGCGACGCCCGCCACAGCCACTCCACGTGCCACCCCTGCACGCTCGACAGCGGCGGCGCCGCCCCCGACAGGATCCCGACGATCAGCGAGATCATCGTCGCGAGCAGCGGCGCGTCCTCCCGCCGCACCAGCATGCTCACGCAGCTCGCCAGCCCGTAGATGCAGTAGAAGTACGCCAGGTTCGCGAAGAAGGCCGTGCCCCACGGGATGATCGGCACCGCCAGCAGCAGGGTCAGCGTCGAGAAGTGCATGCACCCCACCGCCATCCGCGGCACTACCGAGACCGCCTTGGCCAGGTAGTACGCCGCCCTCGAGTGGCCTGCCTCCGACTCCCGCCGGTACAGTAGTAGCTCCTCCGAGAAGACCCGGACCCCCGGTGCTGCCGACACAAGACCGATAGCGATGGCCATCAGTAGTGACAGCTCCGGTACCGACTTGAAATCCGTCGCGAGCGACAAGACGTCGTACGGCTCGTTGTAGATGCCGGTGAACAGCACGCCCTTCTTGGAGTGCTCGGCCAGACCGAGGAGTGTTCCCGCTAGCGACGCCAGGCCCATCTCGAAGCAGAAAGCCGACTTGGCGCGCCACTGCTGGAGCATGGCACGCTTTAGGCAGAGCCAAAACTGCTTCCAGTGCGGCGCGCCACGTATCCGTAGCAGTTCCCGGTGCATCGAGTTGTTCTCCGCGATGGAGGTGCGCGAGGACAGCATCGAGGCGTACTTTTCCCGAATGGTGGCGTTCTGGCGGGATTGGGCCCAGTTGGCGATGAGCGCTTCCTTGGAGATGTCGCCGAGCCTCTTGTAGGCGCGGCCGTTGCCAGTGATGATATCGGTTACGACGTCGCCGAAGTTGCTGTGCTGGGGGAAGCTGAAGCCGATGTTTTCGAAGAACTGCTGTACGTTGTCTGCGGGCCCCTCGTAGATGATCTCCCCGTTGGCCAGCAGGACCAGGTCGTCGAGCATCTCAAAGATCTCCATCCGTGGCTGATGGATAATGACGATGACCGAGATACCTAGTCGCGCAATCGCCTTGAGTGTTCGCATAATAGACGACGCAGCGGTGGCATCTAGGCCGCTAGTAGGTTCGTCGAGGAAAATAGCCATAGGTGCTGCGGCGAGTTCCATCCCGATGCTCACCCGCTTCCTCTGACCGCCGCTGATGGTCGGCTTCCCTACACTGCCCACCAGAGAGTCCCGCACGTGAGACAATTCCAGGCAGTCGATGACCGAGGTAACGTGTGCCTGTATTTCGCTGTCCTTCCATGCCCGCGGCAGGCGTATTCTAGCCGAATGGAGAATGTTTTCGTATACAGTTAACTCGGGGAGCACTACATCATCTTGCGGCACGTAACCGATGAGCTTCTTGTATTTGTTAATCTTCCCGGGTACGTTATTAATCATAACTGTACCGCTGGTGCTTGTCGCCTTTCCCATGAGCACGTTGACGAATGTGCTCTTCCCGGCACCGGAGCCGCCCATAACCGCGGTTAGAGACCCGCGATCGATAGACCCCGACACGTTTTGTAGGATCGGTTTTGCCATGCCCTTAGGATGGAAGCCAAGGTCGGTATAGGCGAACGATAAACCAAAATGAGCAGCATCGGTTGTTTTTCGCATGGATTCGACGAACGCCCGAAGCTGCGGCGAGAAGCCGCTCTCCCTATCCTCTATCGTCGAGCCTCCCAGGCCCGGGAAGTCGAGTACCGCCTCAAAACCAGTCCACCCATCTGCACTAGGCATATAGGTAGCCTGCATGGGGAGCATCTCGCGGTCAGACTCCGGGGATATCTGTTTATAGCCTGAGATATTACCCATGAATGTAACCCTAGATTTACGCTTATCGACGGTCGATTTCATGCGGGTTCTCCAGAAGCGTTTGCGAAGGCCATACCAGATCAGCCCGGCCGCGAAAATAATGTCGACGCTGGCCAGAACGAAGACCGGTATTAAGAAGCGCTCGAATGTCGATTCCTCGGGGCAAAGGCTTCCGATACTGCACGGAGTTGGAGTCGGAGCTCCGGGCTGACAATACGTGCCGGCCGGGCACGGGATCATCTCTGTACCGCCGGACGAGGTCGGACAATAGAACCCTTGCTGGCAGACGACAGGCTCAAAGGGACCCATCCCGATGTTCCTGCCTTCGAAGGTGCAGGCGAAGCCGCCCAGCCTCGCTATTTGACACTCTGTAATGGGAGGGCAAAATTGGGGCAACGAGTTCACCGTGTTATTAGCACCTGTATTATAATAATTATCAGTACGTCCGTTCGACCGAAGAATCCACAGGCGTTATCTTACAAAAAAAACCGTCGCTACATCCCTTGACTTGCCAGCTCGTGACACTCTGGATCTGCATCGGGACCGCACCGGGCCTCCAACAGGGAGCAGCATCCACGGGAGGCTCTTCGGCTACGATCGCTTCCGCCGCCCTGTAATACGATGTCGAGAATGCCGTGTGGTTCTTTCCGGTGCACGCCTGATCCCAGACGCTGAGCTGGCTAGGCGTATAATCAACCAGAGAGCCAAGGCCCGGATCCCACTTGAGAGTTCTGCTGGTGTCTGGGCTGTTCGACGCATCCCACATGGGGAGGCCTTCTTTGCTGCCGCTGTGTAAAGCATTGAACCATTTCCCAGTCGTCACCGTATACACGCCCTGCGTCTGATTCCCGATACATTGCCACGATGCGTTGTCGCTGTCCAAGATCTCCGGCCCGCGCAGGGCACAAAGACAGGCCTGGGTGTCGAGGAAAACCGGCCCTTCTGGGAGTTCTTGCGGCAGGAAAGGGTCCTGAGGAAGACCTGGGCCTCCTCCCTGGGAGAACAGATTCTCCCACATTTTAACGATGCCGTATGCGTATCGTCGGCAGCGAGCACGATTCGGTCGAGGCGACACAACTCCGGCTCAGCGAAGGATAACGCATCTTGGCAAGCATCGCGAAGACGTCAAGGAGTAGAAAAACAGCCATGATGGCCTACAAAAGGCACACGCCCCCAAGGGCCGTGCCGAGCTACAGCTCCTCGAAAAGGGGATAGTCAGGCATGGGAAATGACCGGTGGTGGCTGGGTAGGGTGGTGAAGTTGAAAGATCCGCAACCAAGTACTCGTCAGGTAGTGGCCAGCCTACGGGCACCCCTGTTCTGCTCGATAGACAGCAGCTGTTCGCCCTACCAGCCCTACCAGCCCTGAAAGTCGGATACTGATGCGATACCTATTGTTTTCGCAACTCGGCATCCTCTGAGCTGGGTCCATGGGCCTATTGATGGATCCCACCCAAGGCGCATTAGTTTGTAGTACGTTGGACGTCATCCGCACGGCGGCGTAAGATTTGTCAAGGCTACGAGGAAGGACGGGAAAGTGAACAAGGGTTCATGGTATAGTCGGTCAGGAGTTGCAGGACTCGGATTGGTGTCGAATCAGTGAGGACCTCGACGACAAGGCTTTTTCGTCATACCGGCGTACCTCGTACGGAATGCACCAGGAACACGTGTATACTCATATAGACAACTCAGCCCACGGAAACAGCGACGAAAAGCACATCCTCTCCTTCTTAACAGGGCGCCCATGCCAGAATTTGAGATGCGGCAGGAAATTAGAGTCACGCAACCACCAAATCAACACCTACGGCCATTGGCCATGAGCTCGAACTACGTATTAGTTCGCACGATGAAGCTGGGCGGTGTACCGAAAAGGAGACATGGCCTATGTGGACTTCGGACAGTAGCCAAGGGATGCTCGACTCGGACTCGGGCTCTGGCGGCGGTGCTTGCCATACGTGTATACACAGAGAGGGCTGATCCATCCCGTCGCAGACGTCGAGTACACGTCCAGGGTGGCGTAGCTAGGCTGATCTTTTCCTTGTGTTCATATAACACACGATGGTGCGCGCACGCTAGGCTTGAGCGTATGCGGATGCCGAGGTGGGCGCAGGATCTTTGGCCAAGAATTTGCGGAGAAACCCGGCGGGATCTGTGACAGAGCCGCCCCTGGCTGGTGGCGGCGCAGCTTCGACAGCCAGTGGTCTGAAGAATCCTCACTCATAGCTCAAAGCTACGATATTATATAGGTATTCACTCCCAATGGGCAATCTGCCTCTCGTAGGAGCGCTGCTTCGCCCCACGTAAGCCGAGATACCCGTGGCATCTTTCTTCCTTTCCTCCTTTTTTTTTCCCCCACTGGCTGTGAAGAAGATGCTAGCATCCTTATCGCTGGTAGGCCCACATACCCGTCCCATCATCGCTCAAATGTATCAGTGCCACTATAGTAGCAAAAGAGCTACCACAGTAGCCTGTGCGTGCTCGCTGTGTAGGTCAGGTTGGCGAGTCTTTATAGTCTGGGACTAAATGCCAGCTAAAGGGCCCCTTGTCTGTGGCCGGTTGCTTGGGGGCAACCCCATCCCAGTCACAGGTTTCAGCTCGGTGGGGACGATGAAAATGGAAGCCCGGCGGCTGACAGGATTGATCAGTCGGGCTGTGACGCCACACGTTGGACCAAAATAGGTATTTGTTTTTTTTTTCTCCCTCGTTGGCGCGGTATGAATCGACGACAGCCATCATCGGCTCAACACCAAAAACGGCTCGGCGTCGGCGTGGGTACAGAGCATAGAATACGAGTAGGTATGTTCGACCTATGCCAAGGCAGACAGCGGTGAGATGTATAGTATACATCTAAAAGGGAGAAGGCACCGATAGAGGAATGGCCCCCAAATTTGCCTGTCTAAACGGGGGGTTTCAATTACGGAGTCGCCATAGTTAGCACTTAGGTATTTGATGTTGTTTAGGTGAGTGGCTACCTACGTCACATACCATCTGTCACAGGACCACGGGCCACCCCCCCGCGGGCCACCCTGCTCCCCACCAAAAAACGGAAAAAGTCGCTATTTTTAAACACGTATAACGTTATGAATATAAGATTTAAAGGTTATAAGTTATATCAATCGAATTGCCTTTTTAAGCTCTTTAAGTAAATATAAGTTATATAATACCGAACGGGGTTATAATCTAAATATAGACGGTGAAACTAAGGTGAAAGTTTTGAAAATATATAATAATTTTAAGTTTATAAATAATGAACCGATATTAAATTATTTTTTAAAATGAGTTTGATTTTTAAAATTAGTAATATATATATACTCCATATATATAAATATACTTCTAAAAATATCCATATTAATATATATAATATTATATTTAATATAATATTATAGTATTATAATATACCTATTTCTCTTTAGCATTCTATATATGAAACTTAAAATATAAAATATATATAATATATTTTATTTTTCTATTACTTTCTCTATATAATAGATTATAAAAATTATAAATTTAAAGTTTATTTTTATAATCTTTTCGCAATGAAAATATTAATATATTTTATTAATACTTATATAAATAATAAAAATTCTATTCGATTTACATTACGTAATATTCATACTATAATATTATATTTATGACTTATATAATGATATAAATAAAGAAAACCTTTACTAAATTAGATAAATATATTTATTATTAATTTAATATTATATATTATATATATTTATAAATAAATTCTTACATATATAGTTTCAAATAACCTTAAAATGAATAGTATTTAACTTTTAATTAAGTAATAAATATATAGGTATATTTTATTTATAAATAAAATATAAACCTGGTTAAAGAATAATTAATTATATAACCTTTTATTTAGCCGAATTTTAATGTATTTCAATAGCTTATTATCTTTACTATACCTTTAAAATATATACTTTAAATATATATTATATATAAATATAGATATTTAAAACATAATAAGTAATATTTCATAAATTATATATTATATAACGTTAAAATATTAAAGAAATATATATATTATTATTAAGATTATATACCTTTTTCATTTAATTATTACATTTAATATATAAGTATTATTAATACTTTTCATTATATACCTTTTAGAAGAGTGGGTAAGATTTATGAAAATATAATTATTATAATTCTTAAGCTTTATTTAATAAATATAATTAATTTTTAATAAGTAAATATTATTATGAGATATAAAAATCTTATATCTATATTAAGTAAAGAATTCTACTCGTTATAAGCCGTAATATCTAAAGAAACTTATATCAATCTAAAGAGCTTAAAAAGACAATTCGACTGATATAACTTATAACCTTTAAATCCTTATATTCATAACGTTATACGTGTTTGAAAATAGCGACTTTTTCCGTTTTTTGGTGGGGAGCAGGGTGGCCCGCGGGGGGGTGGCCCGTGGTCCTGTGACAGATGGTATTTCCTTCGTTGCGCGTAAAGCGCTCGACAGATAAGGCACCAACTTAGGCCTGGGAGACAACGAGCCCTGTAAACGGGCTACTGAGATCAGAGGAGGGAAACCCCCCCACGAACTAAGAACAGAGAAACGAACTGGGAATTGCCCTCGCAGGGAGGAGAGAGGAGATACAGAATGGGCCGCGCAATGCGAAACGAAGAACAGAGATGCTAGATGGGGAGCCAAAAGCTGTAAATAACCTAGCCTAGCACACCCCCAATACCCCACGGGAGGTCACGGGATAATAGCCTCAACAGGCTGTCCCCACGGGCGTTAATTATCACGACTACTACTATCTACGTCACATCGCCTACCTGTGAGCTAGCTGAGGTAAGTTAGCTGAGGTAAGCCAAGCGCCTACGTAGGCTAGGCAGAACTAGGGATGATGTGCTTCACATGGCAGACACGGGGAACGAGGATCGGGGATCGGGGACGTGCTACGGTACGTGCACGCCATTCGGCGGAGCAGGAAATACTCCGAGTCGGACGCAGAAAATACAGCGATCGGCCGTGGCAACGTGGGAAGACCTCGAGTTCGTTCGAAAATGGCAGGCAATGGCAGACGATTACCCCGCGATGATTTCCGTCGTAGCTCGGAGCCAAGAGAACGGAAGAGAGGAAGAAACATCTACCTATATCTGTAAGTATACACACCTACCAGGCAGGTAGGTAGGAGGTAGGTAGGTGGGTGGCTTCAACGAAGGCGCTGGGGTCTATCATCGACATCCATTCCTTATATGTACTATTACTATGTACATACATGCATCTACGCACGGAGGGTCCAGCCGCCGCGAGGAGCAATACCCTCGCCAGCCCGCGCCCACCGAGCCCCTCGCAACGGCAGATCGGGCGTTACTGGGCATGACGTTGACCCGCACTCGGTCGAGGTTACCGAGGGGTTAGCGTCTCAGTCGAGGTTGAGGAAGGGATAGAATCAAGGCAGGCGAGGCGCCAGGATGCGAACGGGTCGTCGCCGCACCACCCAACCCTGCAGATGGCGCCGGAACCACTCCCCGATCCCCAGACAATCGCCAAGACGTCCATTGAGGGAACCGCCCGTGGTCCCTACCTCTGCTACGGAGTGCATATCCCCATCGACCCAGGACGGGACCAACATGGCAAGCCGACCCTTGAGCGGCTCGAGGCAGATCCCACACCGTGTGGGATGTCGTAACCAGTTGACCGCAGACTATGCGTCGTCGAGAAGGAAAAAAAAAAGCCGCACGAAAGGCCCGATAGGGTGGGGGGCCCGGAGGGGAGGGGGAATGGGGAGGGGGAAGGGGAGGGGGGGACGGTGAGGTGCAGTGGATCAAGCCTCAGAGCTTCCTAAAATGCACTTGCATACGGTTCGGTTCCCGCTGCAGATCGGAGTTACGGAGATCGATCGACTCGCCTTCTTCCTAGCCTACCTCGATAAGTTGTCGCCAGGGAGGTCATGCACTTACGCTCGTGATCTTCGACAAGAGCCCGGGGCGGTTCGCGGATAAATGGGGTGCCAGCGGCAGAGGAACGTCGAGTGCATATCGAGCGAGTGTGCGTTGCGCTTCCTACCCTTCCTCACGTCGGCACCATTATGCTCTTCTCGTTATAACCCGCACATGGGTCACTTTCGGAGGGGGACTGGTTAGGTAGGACGAACGCTCCCTTCTGTCTTGAGGAGGTCGTCGTAGTAACTTGCTTACTATCTACGTTTTATACGATATCCGGACACGGGTCAGGCCAAGCTGCGCCCAGCGTTCGTGATCATCATCTGTGGAAGTGAGAAGTGTCGAGTTCTACCTACATATAGTATATGGCATTTATATCCCGCGAGGGACATCTTGACGTAGATATTAAACCGCGCATAGGACGGGAGCAGGAGCTACCGCAGCTTGGCTGTCGATGCCAACCTCTTTTGGACAATTGCGAGCGTCGACTTGGGAACTCGTAGACGATGGCCAAGGACGAGAACTCCCGTCAACAGTGCTAGGCTCCCCGCCTGGTGCGCAGCAGCGAGCGAGATCGGGACCATGTAGATGAGCGTCGTGATGCCGAGGGCGACCTGCAGACACACCAGGTGCACGATGCCCGTCGTGCCCTTCTTGGCATTCCTGGGGAGCACCGCCGCGATCCGTCCGGTCCTTGAGTACGCGAACAGTGCCAGGACGGCGCAGAAGGTTGTCGTGGCGAGGATACGATGATCCAACTGGACCAGGCTCGGGTTCTCCAGCAAATTCCGCCACCACAAGTCGGACCCATCCTCCCGACGAGAGTAGAACTTATCCCAGAGCTCAGACCGCGGCGGGGTCAGGCCAACACCCATCATGGGAAACTCGTTGTATATGAGACCGGCGTCCAGCCCGGCGACGAGCGCGCCCGAGAGCACAGTCACGAAGACGAGGACTGTGAGGGCTGCTACGGACCGCCGGAACGGCGCGATTACTGGGTTCTTTAAGGCCTCGATGGCCTTGGACGCGACGGCAGGGTCGGCGAGCAAGCGGTGGGTGCGGAGGATGCGGAGGCCGGCAAGCAGCATCCAGGAATAGCAGACGAAGGCGGCGGCAAGGTGGGTAGCGAGGCGATACTGAGACACGCGGGGGTGGGATCCGGGCGCGAAGAGGTCGTCACGGAGCCCGGACTTGACCATCCACCAGCCAATAAAGCCCTGGAAGCCGATGAGGGCGGATATACCGAAGAGGTGTGCAGCTGTGCGAGGAGAGACGCGGCGGCGAGCCACAAAGTAGACAGCGGGTAGGACGAAAGAAAGGCCGACGAAGCGACCCCAGAGCCGATGCGTCCACTCCATGTAGTAGATCTTTTTAAACTCATCGAGGTCCATATGCGAGTTGAGCATGCGGAACTCGGGCGAGGCGCGGTACTTTTCGAACTCAGACTCCCAGTCGGCCTCGGTAACGGGCGGCAGGGAGCCGGTGACGGGCCTCCATTCTGTAATGCTGAGACTGTGTTTTTATCGTATCGTAAGACGTGGTTAGCGGGTTGCGGCGCGGACATGGGTACATCTACGTATGCACGGGAGAATTACCCCGACTCGGTCAGCCGCGTGAGCCCGCCGAAGACGACGATGCCAAAGACGCTGGCGGCGCTGCCGATCAGCCAGTACGCGACCGATCTAGAGCTAGTCTCGGGAAAGGCGCGCGCGGCGGCCTGCGCGGCTACGCCGGCCGCCGCGGGGGTCGGGACAGCGCTGGAGGTGAAGAAGCGAGAGAACCGAGCCTGCGAAGAGACGGCCGAAGAAGCCGACTCGCTACTCGCGTATCGCACATGCGGGGGGAGCCGGCCTGGCCGGAGCGGCCGGAGGACCCGCGACGGAGCGACCCGCGGCTGCTGGCGGAGGAGACATTGGCGACAGACGAGCTGGCTAGGAACCAGCCTAGGCAGCGCCCTACATAATAACTCTGGGGTCCGGAGCGGCATGGCTCCGTATGACGACGACGAGAGCCTCCCGCTATGCCAAAAACCTGGATGAGGAGAAAAAAGCAAATGGGAAGGTCTTCATTTCCAATCATACGATTACATAACGACCGTGGGCAGACCTCGACCTGTGCCACATCCCTAGCCACGCGAATACCCCTCCTCGGCCCCCCAAGCCACATCGGAGAACCGGCCGACCTGTCCCCCGCCTTACCCAGCTCGTGTTATTGGCTATTATTAGGCAGGTTTAGACTGGCTCAAGGCCCATCCCCTTTATTATACCTGCCTAGCACCTCTTCGGATCCCGAAACCCAATTTTAACAACTTCATATCCCGAATCTCGACGTCGAGCTACTCTTGCAAGCAGAGAGCGGACAAGCCGATTCTAACCAGGGCTATTCGCAAGCACCTACATATACTATTACATCGGAAACGCGCGCAACATGAAAATCCACTGCTACCCTTCCGTATTCTGGGCCGCGTCGGTGAAAAGAATTCGCACTGTTACCTTTTTTTAATCCTCGTGGCCAGATGGCTCCTCGCCCTTCCGATGGGAACTCCCTTGGCCTTGTTTTTTTTTTTCCCGCCCACTGTTGCCAGTATTTCCCCTCTCCTCCGTTCTCGCTTCCGTATTCTCACGAACTTACCAGCTGCCGGTGGGGTAGTATCCGCGCGATGGCGCTCACCCCTCCCCCCAGATCAGTCGCCTCCCTCTTCCAGAAGAGCAGCGTGTCTTTCAGACTTCGGCCAAGCTTCTTGTCCTCGTACAAGGGCTAATGCTCCTGGTGGATTTTGTGGTCGTCGTCATAGTCAATGTGGATGAAGGGCCTTTCCACATCACTCGAGCCTTGGGTAAGAATATGTTCAGCTTAACTCACGCCGTCTTTTTCTTTTCTTATTACATTTCAAGTGAACATAAGAACATACCTTCAAGCTTTCGCTGCAGGGACTGGTTCACGTCGTGCGAGATCCTCAAGGGGATATCCTGGTCCATGATAATGTCGACCTCGACGTAGTATTTCCGTCCTGCACGGTATGCTGGGCACTAGGATTTGTCAGATTGATGCTGTCGGTGGATTGTCTCGGAATCGCCGCCTGCAGTATCAACTTTTTGGATCTGCTGGCCGTGTATCATGCTCATATAGATGAGCTTAGATATGAATTCCTTCGGCGCTGACCTGCCCGCGAGCAGCCACACCTGCTCGAATGCATTTGCAACCCAAGAGAAGAGAATTGAAAGCGCAACGTACATGGCACCAATGGGACCCAGACACCAGATGAATCTGTCGCCGACCACGGACGTGACCAGTCCGAATATATTGACGGCGATATTTTTCCGGTGGTCGATCTGCAGCGTGTTAGAAGCGGTCTGCATCCTGGCGCTTATCACGGGGTCACCCACGAAGAATACATGACCTGATGGGCATCTGCGGTACGTGAGGCAGTAGAACATCAGGCTGCCCTTTACGACGATTGTATCCCTGTCAGCTGCGGGATGGAAACTACGATGCAAGAGTGCTTACTAGAGATGCTCACGAAGATCATGGGGATCAGATAGAGTTCGCCCGATTCGGTCGGTCCTCCACCCAGTGTGCGTGCGGATTCAACCTGCGGGGATGGGGGATTAGAGCCTTTGATCCTGACGGCTGAGCACCGCTAGGGAGGAAAGGGGGATTGGCGCTGGCATGGCGGACTCGCGAGTAGCTGAATATTGGCAACGGTGGTCATCAGAGCGCAGAAGAGAATGATGCCGATCGTCTCAATTCTCGTGCGGACCTCCACCCATACTCAGCGATGAGCATCTAGCCACCACGGCCATACCCATACCCCATGCTCGGCTCGGACACTTGCAACTGGAAACTTGTAGACGTTGGCCCTGGCCGCCAAGCGAGAAGTTATCAGCTTACGAAAGATGACACAAGATCCATCTACCTCTGCGGGTCAACTGGGATCACATCATTAAGGATCAGGGATTCTACAAACAAAGGCATCTGCAGCAGTAGCGAAGAGCTGTCGAGAAGAGTGGGAAAACGTCAACAGAGTTCACAGAGAGCAAGGATGTCCGCGTTCGGTCAGGGCCATTTACCGATTGTGGCCCAGTCGAGACGGCAGCATAGAGCTGGATTACGAAGAGGCATACGTCAATGGTAAAGGAGGCATTAAGGATCTTCGGGGCCATGCGAGAGTCCTCCTCTGCCTGCTGTTGCCCTTCGTCTCCGGCGCCTAGAAACTGGCCGATGAGTTCGTTCTGCTGGGCGTAGAACTTCTTGAGGTTCTTCTTGTTCCCCTTTGGGTAGCCAATTTTCATCTGACCCTTGGAGACATTGTCGCGGCGATGGCGACCAAAATTCAACGAGTCTGAGGGGTATGGAGGCTCGGTCGCCGTTGCTGGGGATTCGACGATAGCCGCCTGGTCGGTCACGGACTCATTGTCATAGTCCTTGAAGGGGGTCGCCTCCCCGGCCGTGGCTGCAGCGGCGGATCCAGCGGCTGCAGTAACTGCATCGCTTTCACGCTCGAGGTTAGTCGGCCCGTGTCGCGAGAGTCTACTTACACTTTGCAGCGCTCTGGTGCAGATGCGCATGCAGATAACAGCATCCCAAACCCATGGAGCTTCCGGATGCGGACGCCTCTACCAAGCTCTCATGAGGAGACTAAATGGAGAGAGAAGAGGATGGAGACGACTGACCTGACGGCTGGGCATTGCTCTGCGCCTCCTGATTCGTCATCGTGGGATCCATGCTGTGGGAGGCTGTGAGGGTGTAACACAGATGTTGTTTCCGGATGAAAGTAGACGCGTCAGTCGATCGCCGCAAAGAAGATTCATAATATACCTATCTAAGCCTGGCTTGCGAGGCAGACGGGGGGGGAGCCAACCGTGGTCTGACGTTGCAGTCCGTCACAATGCACTCCACCCTCCCCCATGACGAATTCCAACATTGCTGCCACATCATTCCTCTCTCTCCTCTCTCTCCCTCTCTCCCTTTCTCTCTCTCTAATTCGCGAAGCCGGTCCACCTCTCTCCCCCTTAAAAAGCCTACATATATATGAGGTGGGGAAAAAGAGCTTTGACTTGGCTGGCCTAGCCGACTAGGGTCGAGGTCCCGGCTCCGGATATTGAAAGCTCCCTTCCTGCTTGGACCGCTTTTTTAAAATTCCCCGTCTCAAACGACCGGGTCGCTTGGCAAGGGGATTTCCTCGCATCGGTCAAGAGCCGATCATCATCAACTACGGTATGCTTCATTGGCCTAATAATGTTTCGATCCTAGCGGAGTTTAGCACTACCGCGATTATCACGTTATACGCGTTACAGCCACACTAGCACTCGTATTCTGCGCTGTGCGGCAAAAACCGAACTCCTCCCGCACAGTTCCAGCTCGCCAAGACGCTCGCAACTCTGGGCTGTATGGCAGCATGTGTGCACCACACTGTTCCGTAGTGGATGCCCAAGCCGCATTATCAAGCCCACAATTGATGATACCGCCAAGAAGCCCGGCTACCTCTCCGTATGATTCAAAGGTGGTATTCTGAGCAAGGCAAGAGTGACAATCAAACAACTTCTGTCGCCGGTATGAGATATTAGCAACCGCCGTCATCCACCCAACCTCCCCTTTTTTCTTTTCGTACTGTGGAATTGAGCAGGGTCCTCGACACTTTGGCCTGTTTTCCAGGCCTTACTCAGAGCGGCTAGGAGCAAGAAGCGATCTTGGGGTAGATGAGGCTCGTTTCAAAGCCGCCGTCCTTCTATACCGTATACCTCTCACCGGTTAGCGTCAGTACTATTTTGGGTAATTAACTGCTTCACCATTCCCCCAGTGTCCTCGCTCCTCGGCTGCCGAACCGCCGCCGACATATGAGTATGAGGTAGTACGAATTCTCAGGGAACCTTTCCATGTCGCGTGCCTCATTTGCCTGTCGGGGGAAGAGGATGCGGGGGGGGGGGACCTTGCTTCCTTACCGGCCTCGGTGGATCCGGCCAGACGAGGCTCATGCCAAGCTCCTACACTCTGCAGCGTGATCTCCACCATCGACATGCCTGCTCTGGTCGAGATTACTATGTTGCCGTATGTAGGCAGAGCAAGACACACATTGTTGCCGAAACGCCTCGCCGGTGTCGAGCGCACGTCGATGGCCCATCAGATAAGTCGGCCAAGGCAACGTGCTAGATATGCAAGCTTCGACTTGCCTCCTGCAATGGGCGCTTGGGGGACTCGAATGCCCGAAGATGTCAAGTATAGTCGAGACGATCTATTTTGGTGGATGGTCGGGCGACGATATATATCTGGGTAGATATCGATCTCTATGGGTCTTTGTTTCATGGCTAACCGATGATCGACAAGCAAAACTCTTGTCATAGTAATGCGTATTAAAGCGAAGGGCCTGCCGGAATCCTCGAAGACTCCGACCGATATCCTCCTTCTCATGCGCCTTGTCCGTGGTCGATTCCTGGGGGTTCGTCTTTTCTTTCTACCCTCCTTCTCTACTTTTCTATCTTCTCTTCTCTTGGCGTGAGGATCGAGGCCTTTTCGTCTGTTCTAATTGTACACACTCGAGGGTCGCCGGCCGGCTTCGTATTGTCTTTTTTGTGTTGTTTTTTCTTTTTTCCTTTTTATTTTCTCTCTGTGACGGGTTCACTGGTCACCGTATACCTATCCGTTGTGCCTAACGACCCTTTCCCTTCCCCTTTTTAGATTCGGAAAATAGGTCAGGAGATACCTTAGAGGGTAATGGCGGATCAGTCGGAAAAGCCCGTCTGCGGTGGCGGCCAGGAGCCGGGAGAATACGATCTTCCTCTCCATACCGTTGGACTCTGTGAGTAGTGGATACGAGACGTCTTCGTCGGTCATTCCCAGCTAACGGTATTGTGTAGTTCTCGTTTTGATAGCGTCGGTTTTCGGTATGTGCATTCGATCTTCCTCATTGCCGATATTCAAAATTCTAACGGACCACTTTCAGGGGCCGGATTTCCCGTGGCTGCTAAGAAGATTAGTTGGCTCAAGGTACCGTCAAAGGTGTTCTTCGCTTGCAAACATTTCGGAACTGGCGTTCTAATAGCAACTGCTTTTGTCCACGTATGTCTGATCGATTCTCCCCAGTGCACATTGCCATCTAATGGAGGTTCTAGCTGCTCCCCACTGCCTGGTTCAGCCTCTCGGATCCATGTCTTCCCGACTTCTTCATCGAAGACTACCCGCCGCTACCAGGTGTCATCATGATGACATCCCTGTTCCTGCTGTTCATGGTTGAGATGTGGATGAACAACAAGATGGGCGGTCATTCCCACGGCGGCGCTGCTGGTTTCGAACATCACGAGCACCACGCCCCCGCTCCCGTCGGACCTACTCCCACGCCTCCGCGGCCGCCGCGGTTCCCCGGCCGAGACAGCTTCGAGGCTGACGATATCGCGTACGAGAAGAGGATGGCCCAGAAGATGTACGACGAGAATGCTAGGTACCAGCAAGAAAACAACGTTCCCGATGGCTCGGAGCTCGAATTCCCCCCGTCAGAGATGCCCCCCTGGTTTATCGTGTTCTACGAGCAGTACGTCCGCCAGCGCCTCGAGCTAGTCAACATGATCAAGGCATCGTCTGGCAACGCGCAGGCCGAGCCCCAGCAGGAAGTCGTCGTGGCCGAGAAGAGCATGATGGACGAGGAAGGACAGCCCGTCGATCCTTTGGTGTACAAGAGGATGTCCATGAACATTACCCTGCTCGAAGGAGGTATCCTCTTCCACTCAGTTTTCGTCGGAATGACGGTCTCGATCACCATCGAAGGCTTCGTGGTCCTACTCATCGCGATCCTCTTCCACCAGATGTTTGAAGGTCTTGGTCTAGGCTCTCGTATCGCCGCCGTGCCGTACCCCAAGGGCAGCATCCGGCCGTGGCTGCTGGTGTTCGCATTCGGAACCACCGCCCCCATCGGGCAGGCTATCGGTTTGGCCGCGCGCGGTAGCTACGACCCCAACAGCGCCTTCGGCCTCATCATCGTCGGTATCTTCAACTCGATGTGAGTTCAAGTCTGCCAACAAGCGCGTCCTTGATTTGTAGCTAACAGTCCACAGTTCTTCTGGTCTCCTCATCTATGCAGCTCTGGTAGACTTGCTAGCCGAGGATTTCCTGTCGGAGGAGTCGAGCCGAACATTGACGGTGAAGGACAAGAAGATCGCCTTCTGCTGGGTGCTTCTCGGAGGTATATCTCTCTTTCCTCCTGCTCTCCCCCGTTCGCCCATGCACGCAACTAACGTCTCAACGCAGCGATCGGAATGTCCATCGTCGGCGCATTCGCCTAAGTAGGCATGTGCTCGGATCGACTTTGGCGAACCGCAAGTCGGCCCGTGAAATTAAAAATTTAACGTCGGAAGTCGACAGAGCGAGGCGGCAATAATAAAGTCAGCGACTCAGTGTTTACAAGTTACGCACAGCAGACGGCGGGGAGGGGGGGTGATAGAGGCAGGCAAAAATGGCGGAGGACCGGAGCGTCCCGACAACTAGCTATATGCATGGAAAGGCTCCCCTCCCTGTTAATTACGCGAAATATTTTGCCCTACGTATGCGTGGAAGAGTGTAGTGCTACAAAGACAGTCCTTACCGCGAGCCGACGAGACATCGTCGTGCCGAAGCGCGCCCCCCCTTCTCTCTCCCTCGTCGCACGGTTAAGCATCGGGGGACTCTCTGCTTGGCAAGGGGAGGTTCTGCTCGGCATGGCGACAACGAATGGGCCGTTCGACATATCTCTCTCGACATGACGGGCCGGTGGTATCGTCATATCCGCCCTATTGTCGAGTGAAGGAAAAAGAAAGTCGAGTCAAGGGGCCCAGGGAGGGAGGGAGGAGAGCGGAAAGGATGGAGAAAGAGGCCCGGAGGCTGTGGATGAGGGGTGTGGTGGCTTCGAAAGAAGGCGCCCGCCCCCAGCGAGCGAATGCTTTATATACGAACATGAAATCGCGCAGCTAGAACCGAAATAAAAAGAAAGACCACGAGAAAAATAAAAAGACATGTGTGCGAAACTCCTATCGACGTTGTCACTGCTGCCGGCTCCCAAAAACCGTAAGCAAAAGCACGCCCCGGCACCCCTAGCTGCTTCATCTCCGCCCCCCCGCGCCTTGGCTCGCCTAGCGTGCGGGGTCGGATCGGGACGGGACAGGACGGGATAGGACAGGACAGGATGCGACGCGAGGACGGGCGGCGCTCCGGGCCCGTTCGCCAGATCCGCCGCCGACGACGGGCTAGGGAAGAAAAGAAGCCTGCTCGCTTCTTGCTTTGCTTTGCTGATTTCGCGGCATCGGGTTTCGCGGGGCGGGGGGTGCGCGAAAACGCGGAGATGGGTGAGAGAGAGAGAGCTAGGACAAGAGGAAGACGGGGAAGGCTAGGAATAGTAGCGTCGATGTTGCGTAAATGCGCGTGGGGGAGGCAGCGAAGAAAAGAGAGAGAGAGATATATATATATATGCCCGCCCGTCTTGCCGCCCTCGCGCCGCACCGCATCTCGTCGGACCAACCCGTGCCTTGCCCCGTCCTACCCTATTATCGCGTCAATACCATAACACATGTGCCCATCCCCGTCAGAACGGCGACATAACGACACAAGCAACTCGTCCCCCTTCGACCCCGACGTCGGCGTGAAGGAAAAAGGTAAATTATTCTCTTAATATCTACCTACGACCGCCCCCGCCCTCCTCTCGCCCCCCTCTCCCTTGCTCCCTCTCTATCGACCCCCGTCCCGCCGCCCCGGGACGACCATCTCCCTGATACGTTTATAATCACCGTCAGCGTCTGACGGGCCACATCTATCCATCCGTCTGAGGACGAAGGCTGCCCCCCGCGCCCCTTGTCCTTCCTCTTTCTCCCCTTTCCCACCCCTAATTTACCTCAGGCGGATACCATGGGGGGGCGCCGCGTATTTCTTTCCATGTAAGCGAATCCTTTTCTCTAGAGACTACGAACGAAAAACATAACAGGATTACTTTTTGAACTTTCCTCCCCCCTTTCTCGTACAGTAAATCTACAAATGTGTTTCAGGCCATGGATATGCTCTCTCTCTCTCTCCCCCTCTGTCTCCGTCTCTATCTTGTAGACGAGACGTGGAGAGACCGGAAGATCTTTTCATCCCCTCCCCTGTGACCCCATCAGCGATGACACAGAGAGACAGAAGCACAACATCTAAAGGGAGGGCGAAGGGAAAAAGGGAAACTCTGAGAGTACCTAATCATGTAGGCCGGCCGCATCTACCTAACCTAAGAGGATCGGCTCCGTCGAACGTAAATGCGTCAAAGATGGAACCGCCCGAAAAAAAAAACCGATGCTTCGTCCGGCTATTCCATCGCTCATTTTCGTCATACCAAGTTGATCCCAAGTTTTCTCGGGACGCCCGCTATAAGTGTGATGGAAGACTTGTAAAAGGGGGAAGAGGAGGAAGAGAGGGTAAATCCTCGAAAAGAGGGTAGCAACTAACTAGGGGTGGTTAGAAGGAGAATGGGAAAGAAAATTTGGACGCCCTTCCTAAAGGATGATCTCCCCCATCCGAAAAAAAAAAGATTAGATGATGCCGTAAACGCCGCCTGTGTGCAGAGGTTTGTGTATGGGATGGGTAGTTGTCGGATGGAAGTAGGTGTATGATTTCGAGAAAACCTCGGGTATATCGTAGTCTATGTCGATGCGAAACGAATCAGAGAATGTGGGACTAGAGCCGGTGGTCGTGATAGTTGCCGTAGACGCGTAAGAAAATTCCACGCTAACCTAGCTGTGCGTGGCATCTTCGTAATAGGGATTAGGATATGGGGTATCTTCCGTCGGGTCGAGTATTATTTACGTGGTAGTTTGAGGGGTATGCGCACTCGCATCACCAATTAGGGGGTATCGTTCCTATGACGGCGATTGTTCATGTCTAGCTTTCTCTAAAAGATCGATTAAACCCTAGGGTATGGCGAGGTCGACATATTTCTTCGAGGCAATGGATATCGCCATCTCTCCGGGTCGTGAGTAACCTACGAGTCTCATAGTTCGGATCTCACCCTATTCGGATACGCTGGCCATAAAGAAAGGGCTCGTGAACCGGCGAGGTGGTGGTTGTAGGTTTTTCTTTTTTTTTCTTTTAGGAGTAAGGGGTTAGGGTGATTGTCCCAAGTATCGATTCTCCTACGATTCCTCCGCGAAAAGGAATAGGATAGACATATCGGTCGAATGAGCTGTACCTAAACGGGCGGGGAATTCAGGTCCCAAGGATCAAAAAGTCATCTTCTCGAGAGCCCTCGGTGGCTCCTAAGAGGTCATTGCAGGAAACGGTGATCTACCAAGCGGACAGAGCATTCCTCGCGACAAGGCCATAATACGTACTTTCGCCGTCGTATGTCAAAGGCCTGTGTGGCCGCTGTTGGTCTCGACGACGTTATCGGAGAGATTGATCAGCAGCTGGGCTAGGCAACGTTTAGTCGCGGCGTCATCGCGGAGCACCGAGCTGAACGTAGCGTCGCGAAGCGGTTCGGGCAGGCATTGACGAAGAGCCTCCCGGGCACGGGCATTATCACTAAGTCGCAAAAAGCATCTGACGACGTGCTTCAGAAGGCGGGCGGTCTGTTGCTCGACCAGTTGGGCAACCATGTTGCTGAGTACAGTCCCTACGGCGTAGAATCGCTCGTAGGTGGCGCAGATGTAATTAAGGCCGTTGTCATCCAGCAGGATCTTCTGTACAATAAAAATGGCGACCGTCTTGCTCAGCTCCGACCCGGTCTCCATGATTCGCAGGCAGAGGGGGATGATCTCGGTAGTGAGGAGAAAGTTGATCACCTCGCTCGAGTCGTTCTTGACTAGCGCGCCGATTACGCCGAGGGAGGTCAGGCGGAGATACTCGAATGGCCGTGACTTAGACGTCGTGTTCAAAAACGGGTAGAGGAAGAGCGGGATGTGGGCTACGTACAGTCTGTCAGTCTGCTGCATCTGGTAAGGAATGTCGAGGGGGAAGAGTAGACGCGGACATACCGTTTAGGAACAGGGTTCTCGTATCGTTGTGTGACGCGACACACTGGAGGAGCGCGAGAGCATTGCACACTCGATTAGAGGCCGCAGCTGTCAGCTGGGACGGGTTGAGGAGATTGTAGACGGAGATAATCTCTTGCATCAGAGAGGTCATGACACCTGACGAGTTGGGGTCGGGAGGTTAGCCTCGATTCGTACCGACAGCCGACTCGGAGGCAGAATGACTAACCAAATGAATGCCACAGGATTAGGGCGAGCTCGGGCACCTGCTCGCGTTTCTTGCTCAGCTCGAGGAGGGCAGCCTCGCGCGTATTCTCGCTCAGCAAGTCGGCGACAAAATTGAGGGTCCGGCGGTTGTCCTCGGACACGTTCTCTAGGCCATTGTCTTGGACGTGGGTAGCCACCGAGGCGCCTAAGCTCGCTGCGACATTGCCGTGGGCGCCCGCTAATCGGTTGTAGTGCTGCTGCTGGGCAGCCGCGACGGCAGCAGCCTGCTGGGCTTGATGCTGATGGGTGGGCTGCTGGTGGATCCAGGGCTGCTCGGGGTGGGGGTTGTATTGGTGGTGACTGTAGAGGTTCGGGTTGGGCAACATGGTGACGATGGACGGCGCGCGTAGGGCCGATCACGTTGGCCGAGGCGTGGTAGCTGTGATATAGGGCAAGACAAGCCCGCGAGTTCGCAATGACGGTTCGCAACGACGGTCGCTGTCACTTCCCTCGTTTTTTCCGCTTGTCTAGACTTACGCCCGAGGCACTGCAAGGGAGATCTCAAGGTCGGGTCGTCGGATTCGATCAGCTCCAGGATGGCGGCAGGCGTGGGATCGGAGAGAAGGCTAGGCCGATGGAATGTGATGAGGGCCTGTCTTGTTAGGTGTCACGAAGCGGACGCCGACTACCGTTCGATTATAGGCTAAGAAGGCCGCGGAAGGGCAGCCGTCGACGTCGTGTTGGGAAGAGAACAAGGGAGGGTGGAGTGCGTGGGCACCGGACGGCGACACCGGAATCAGGATGGACGTCGGCTTCGTGCCGTCTCCCACACGAAAAAAACGGAGGCGTCTGCGTGGCTCGGAATGCGGCGTGTGTGCCAAGAGGCGGACTTGGGAGAGCGAAAAGTGCGCGGTTGAAAAGACCGAGCGTGGGTGTGGGCGTGGGTGTGGGCGTGGGTGTGGGCGTGGGCGTGAACGGAGGGGGAAAAAAGGTTGAAGGTGGTGGATGTTGGCGTGGTTGTGATCATGAAGGGTCTTCTTTGCTGCCCTCGTCACGACGGGGATGAGCGAGGTGATGGGCGAGGTGACGGGAAACCGAGACCGACCGGAAGCACTGACCACCTAGGAGCCTCCCTCCTTCGACGCCTTTCTCAGCCCTAGATAGATTCGCGGGGTGGAGCGCTGGCTTAGAGTCCTAAAGGTACCTAAGGTAGGTAGGTAGGTACCTCCGATATATTATCATTACGAACCACGCGAGATCGCATATATGCATTCATGTACCTATACCGTCGATATATGGCGATTGTGTCTGCTGCATAACTTACGCAGCTTTAGGAGGTATAGAGTATTTGAGGTACTCTAGTCTGATACGATTGGCCTGTCTGCGAAAGAGGGGTTCGCACGCTCCTCCTCCCTTCAAGTGCCTACACCTCATAAATCAATGCGTAGGTAGGTAGACCGCCCAAGGGTACCTATCTAATATACTAAGATCAAACCTGCGCCACAGTCCGAAATAGGCCAGAGTCTTACGAAGGTAATTGGTCCATGAAAATGGCGAAACGGTCATAATCACGTAAGCCGCTCTACAAAGCCACACGAAGCCACACGCCCACGTCTGGAACGTTCGTACCTACGTACCCGTACGGTTACGCCTATAACGTTCGTACCTACGTACCTATACGCCGTACGTTTACTCTTTACGTTACGTAATATAAGATACTAATTAATAATATACGTAAATAATTAATATACGTTTTAATATAATTATTTTAAACTTATAAATTAAAGACTTAAAGTTAAATGGAACTTTATAATAAAATAAACTATATAATATATAATAATCTATTTAAACGTTTACGTTTATATATATTAACGCTTTATATTATAAAATAAATATAATAAATATAATAAATATAATAAATATAATAAATATAATAAATATAATAAATATAATAAATATAATAAATATAATAAATATAATAAATATAATAAATATAATAAATATAATAAATATAATAAATATAATAAATATAATAAATATAATAAATATAATAAATATAATAAATATAATAAATATAATAAATATAATAAATATTATTACGCAAAACGGAAAAGCTATTAAGAAGGTATAAAGCGTACGCGATACTAGAGTTCCGGATAGGTTTATTTAAAAGTATACTTTATCGAAGACTACGGTACGTACGATGATCTAGGATAAATAAAATTAGTATTACTATATTAATCGAGAGACGGAGAATTTAATATAGTCATTATATCTTAGCTATTCCCCTTAGTCGTAAAGATATAATAGTCGCTAACCTAAAGGTATAAGAGGTAAGGGGAGAAAAGAGGCGAAACGTAAAAGTTATTTATTTAGTTATAGCGGTATAACGAAATAACTTAAGCGCTTATAACTAAAATAAATATACTAATCGAAAAATACCGAATTTAATAATAAAAACGAATGTTTAATTAAGGTAAAAATAATAAAGATAATAATCTAGCTAGGTAGTAAACTCGATAATAAGTATGGCATAGCCCGTACTTACGGGAGCTATGGTTATTCTATATAAGTATAAAGCCTATCGTAGCGTATTACGTAATGCATCAAGAGAGTATATCTTACCGTATTATTATACTACGTAAGTATTTAGGTTACTTTATAAGTAATAAAATATAAAAAGAAGAAAGTAAATTAACTAACTATTTAAAAAGAAAATAAATAAATAAAAGAAATACGAACTATCTCTATATAAATAATAAGAGGTTATGAATTATATTATATAAGCGAACTATAAATTAAGGTAGATAAACGAGTAATTAAAAAGAATAAAGAGTTATATATAAGTAACTTTTTATATAATGGATATAATATTTAATAAAATTAAAAAGTAATATAAAGATTAGAATTTAAAAATAATATAATAAATAAAATTATAAATAAATAATAATAATACTAAAGTCGTAATAAGATAATAATAAATTAAATTAATATTATATATTAATTAAAGTACTCTTTATATACGTTTATATAATAAAGTATAAAGAAAATACGCTAAACCGTTTTATGCTTCTTTAAGTTTTAATATCAAAGACTTAGAACCTTTCTATAGGCTAGGAGAAAAAGGGTAAGTAAGAATCGATGCTAAATTTAACTACGAAAAAGAATTAACTAATAATTAATTCTTAATTAAACGAAGAGATATTAACTTAGATTAAATAGAAAGAAACTAACCTATATTAAATAGAAAGAACCTAACTAAAATTAAACAATAAGAAATTAACTTAAGTTAAATAAAGAGAAATTAACCTTAATTAAAGAAAGAGAAACTAACCTAGATTAAATGAGGAGAAATTAACCTAGATTAAACGAAAAGAAACTAACCTAAACTTAATAAGAAAAAACTAAACTAGATTATACAAGGGGGGATTAGCCTAGGTGGGTTTGTATATAAATAAAATTAAAATAGGTAAAAAATAGATTCGTTAGTAAGGAAATAAGGATCCTATTACATATGCTATAGTTTTATTAGATATATCTTCTTTAAACGGGCCGTATAAACTTTTAGCTAATAAAAATAAAATATCTTCTAAATAACTTCGTAATTATAAAGTTATTTATGGGGTTATTTATAAAGGTATTTTTATAAGGAAATTATCTTTATAAATAAATTAGTATAATAAAGAGTTTAACGTATTATAACTGTCCTCTAGATAGGATAAATATTTACGTTTTATATAATAGATAATAATATCGTCCATAACCTAATTATCCTTTAAATAAACTAAAACCCCTACGGCCCCCCGAAGGGGGGCCCTGGCATGCTTGTAGATGAGCTAAATAGGTAGTGAAGACTACCAAGTAGCGCTGTTAGGAATCGAACCTATCCTTCGTTATATAACCTACTGATCTCCTATCTACATATATGCCTAATTACAGGTACCTAGATACCTACTAATGTATGTATAGCTACCTAAGGCGGTACCTGGGGCAAGTTAGGTGCCCAGGTATGGTCGGGGCATTTACAATACCTATACACTGCCCACCTAAATCGAGGGCTATAAGCATTGCGGCCAGAATAACGACACACACGCATAGTACACAGATTACATGAATACCAAGTCTGCCCGCGCCCGAGATAGATTCTTTCTACATTACTTAGGTGCTTTGTGTTTGCTATTAAGAAAACATCATGGTCGTGAAAAGCCCCTTCACCAAACCCGCCAACCGCTCTGCTTCGTATCCTTACAACCACGAGCCTCCCCCTCCCCTCCCCCAAGCGCGGGGTCGTCTCTGCCTCCATAGGCTCGTGCGAAAACCAGGTCAACATGCCGCCCTCTTCACCACTCCCCCAGGACCGGACCCGAGATTCTGACGCTATCTCACCAAGTCTTAACGATGAGCAGGCTGATCCGAGCCTACGCTGCCGAGACCTCGCCGCTCGGCAGAGGACGCAGGCATCCCCCGGGGCGTCAACTCGAACCTTTTATAGTAGTAGCAAGTTCTCCTTGTCGCGCGACAAAAACGACGCGCCTCCACGCGGCTCTGCTTCACAGACGCAACTCCTTGAGGATATGGTCTGCCATGTTTTTAAACTGCCACGTGTTCCCCTCCATACGCTTAAACTGGATTCCGTGCAGCGAGAGTAGAGGCACCTTCACGATGAAAATCTCAAATTCCAAAACCATGTTGCCGCCCAGATCGCTCTGCACGTGCGTAGTCGTTTCCCCAGGCACTCTCCGTGAAGAGCCGGTTGTGTCTCGAGGGATGATGCTCTCCGGGTCGGAGAGCTCCGACATTGAATCGGCCCCATCGACCCGTCCCCTCCCCGGTGTTCGTGGCGTAGGCGGCACTCGTTCGGCCTCTCTAACCTCGTCACGCTCCCGGTCGCTCCTGATTCCGAAGCTGAACCTGCGCCGGTGGCCGGGAGTCGGGGCCGGGCTACCCGGCACGTCACCGCCCTTCTTGAGGTCGATGCTAGGCGTGTGGCGGCAAGAGAACCCACCCCGGATCTCCGTATATTCGACGCCAAGCAGTTTGAGCACCCTCTTTACGTCTGCGCGAATGGCGGGCACCGACTTCGTAGATGTCGTCGAGACGCTAAAGAGACCCTTGAGAAAGACTGGCTTGGCTAGTTCGGTGTCGTCCAGGCGGTCTGCCGAGTTGCCACTGGCCTCGCCAAGTTCTTGATCCGTTTCCTCGAGAACATCAGCAGCGCGAGCCCCTTCCCTGCGCATTCTCCTGGCTTGAATGCTCTCCCGACGAGCGTGGCTCAACGGCTTCGCTCTCATAGAGGTGCCCCGGGGGCTGAGGGCACTCTTCGGTTCCGGCGGAAGCTTATCAGTAGCCGCAGACTGGTCAGAGCCGCTCGTGGGCGGTGGATCTTTAATGGCGACTCTCTGGGCAGATCCGAACGGCCGTCTCCTGAACTCGGCTGAATTGACGCTTGTCGAACGCCCTAGGCCCTTTTTGCTTCCCGACAGGTTGCCACCCGCAGAGAGCGGCGGGGTAAGGAGGTCGCGGTGTTGAGGCTGACTACTGCCGGAGCGCAGTCGTGTGCCCTGTTCGTCGTCTCGGTCACGTCTCGACCTGCGTATGCTAAAGCTCTTTCGTGGTGTCGTCGGATTTTCAGCCGGAGAATGAACGTGGACCACGGGAGGATGCGAACGGTCCTTATCGAGCCTCTCTACGTCTCTGCGGCGCCTCGTGCTGAACCGCCGGAGGATGCCGGCAGCGGTGCTCTCCTTCTTGTGAGGCAGCTCTGCGGGAACGTCTGGGGGAGGGGGCACAGTCGCCGGCGGCTGGGCCTTTTTAAGCTCTTCAGGGGCGTCATCCTCCCCGTGGGTTCTGGCACGTGGTCGCGATCTCCCACCGGTGGCCTTCTCCCCGGCCATCTCGTAGGTTGCCGTGTTCGTGTGAGCCTCAGGAGGAGGGGCAATATCCGGTAGTGAAGAGTCGGCGGCATTCTTCGGCGCGTGTGACTTCGGCGCCGGATCTACTTTATCTCGGTCTTGCTTTTCTTTAACGAGATAATAGATAGAAACCAGAGGGCTGAAGGCATTGAGGGGGTCGCTGCCAATCTGGAGAGCATCTGAGCTCGGAGCAGTCAAATTATCTCGGCTGCTCCCGGAGTTGCGTCGTTTATAGAAGTCGAACCCAAATCCTCGTTTCTTTTCCACGTCCTTGGGGACAGGCGGCACCTCTTTCTCTTTCTGGAGAAGCTGTACAGCACGCTTATAGTCTTCCGACTCGATGACCTTGGTAAGCTGGGTCTTGATAACTTCCGGAGGGCCAAAATTGAAACCCGTCATAGCATTAATGACTTCTGGTTCGAGAGGGAGCGCCAGGGGTTCGCGGACAGGTAGGTAATTTTCGGGCGGACCGCTATATCCCTTAATCATCCACGGGTGGTTCATGACCTCGTGCATGGTTGCTCTTTGTCGCGGATCGGTAACGAGCATGCGGGACAACAGGTGGCGGCATTCTGTGAACAGGTCAGAAATGTGAAGCGACGCGGGCTAGATACGGGAAGCTTACCGTTCGATAACCAACTCGGGTAGTCAACTTGGCCCTTCTTGATCTTCGCATGGAGGGCCGGCATACTCTGGTCATCAAAGGGGACTTTCCCGCATACCAAAACGTATAAGACAATACCAAAGCTCCAGACATCGACCTCGGGTCCCGTGTATGCGCGAGCCTGGAGGAGCTCGGGCGCGGCAAAATATAGACTGCCGCAAAAGGTCTTAAGATGACCGCGGGGGGCGAAGAGGTTGCTGAGGCCGAAGTCGATGATCTTGATGTCGCCCGTCTTGCTGATGAGAATATTCTCAATCTTGAGATCGCGATGGACGATGCTGTTTCGGTGACAATAGTCGAGGGCGCTGGCAATCTGCCTGCTGAATTTCCTCGCCTGCTTCTCTTTCAACTTGCCGTGGGAGATGATGTAATCTAGCATCTGGCCACCGTTGACATACTCGAATAGCATGTACCAATGATAGTTGGTGCGAACGACATCTCGCATGCCGCAGATGTGTGGGTGCTGTAGGAGGGTCACGATGGCAGCTTCGCGCGCAGTCCGAATTTCCTTGGACTGATCCGCCCTCTCCTTATCAGCTCGACTGTGATGGCCATCCTCGGTCGAGCCACGCGGGATGATTTTACAGGCGACCTAAGCGAAGTAAAGAGTTGAGTTAACAACTACAGATCCTCTTCAAGACGCCCGCGAACTGGAGCGAGTGGCGAAGGGGAGGGAACTGACCTGTTCTGTGCCGTCCTCTTTACGAGCAAGCTTTACCTTGCCCATGCTACCCGCCCCGATGGTCTTGCCAAGAATCCATTTGCCAGATTGGGTTGGGATGGAAGTCCTGGAGGTCCTCTGCTTAGCGCCTGTAGCGCGAGCATCCGCTGCTGCTTGCATGACGGGCGGGATAGCAGCCGGGCCAGCGTTGTTGGCAACAGCCGTCGGGCCAGCCATATCGTGGTGAACGTGATTTGATCGGGAACTGCTACGACGGTGAACACCCTGAGAGTCGGTGCCACGTGAGACCGGGGGAGGGCGGTCTTTGCTGGAACTTCGCTTAGGTTGTTGGGCTACGTTTGAGGTTTCATAGTCCTGCTGTGGTAGAACGTCGTGGAGGGGACGGCCGGAAGACGAGGTCTGGCGGCCGTGGTGGCGGTTATGATGAGAGCTCGAAGGAGGATGATGGGGGGTTGATGGAGCGGAGGAATTGTAGGCAGACGACGAAGCGGCGGTGGCAGAGGTGGTCGGGCGTGAACGTGTCGAATGGCTTCGTACCGGGAGTTGGGCGTGGTGAGATCTCGGAGACGACGAGGACGACCAGGACGAGGGTTGGTGATGGTGACTGGGTTGATGCTGCTGCTGTTGATTATTATGGTGATTGTAATGATGATGATGACGATGACGATGCTCTTCCTCTTCTGGTGGTGGTGGTGGTTGATGATGATGATGATGCTGGTGTTGTTCGGTTGCGGAAGTTGACATTGCTACAGCAATCAACTACGGAAATTGATGAGCGACCAGGGAACGGTAGGTGTGGACAAGGCCACAACGCAATCAGGGCAGAGGCTGGTGATCCATAAAAGTCGAAATTATTATTGACCAGCACAAGCACTGGGCGTCGGTGCGGGTGCTGGCGGACACTTTTCTGTGGTGGAGAGGAGCGCTGGGCAGAGTGGGAAAGCGGCAGAACAGAGGGCGTAGCGTGTTGTCGTTGGAGGCTGATATGAACAAGACCGGCTCCGTGGTGCTGTCGACGGCCTATTGTTCCATAGCTATTTATTCGGCCCGGATGAATGGTCGTCCTGTTCTCTGTCGATTTTGTGTCGATAGGAAGAAAGGGGGGGGATCAAGAGAAATGGGAGCAGACGGTAGGTTGCGTGTTGGAGGTAGACGACGATAGCAAGTTCAGGTGAGGAGGGAGGCATGTGCCTACAGGTAATAGGTATGTACCTACTCAATATGTATTGTCGGTTCTCAGCAGGTGCCTGTGCCTTACAGGCAGGTACCTACCTGGGTACCTACCTATCTACCTACGGCAGTACGAGTAGGCCAGATAGGTACATTAGGCATGTACCTATCTGCCTTACCTGGCTCAGGTACCTCTTACATTAGGTACCTCCTCCCTTCAGGCCAGCAGGTACCTTATGAGGCGACTACCTAGGAGGTAAGGTAGGCAGGTATGCCTGACCTGCCAGTTGGCGAAGCTCCCCCTGGTTTGAACTTGGTCCCGCTGCCGCCCCCAGTGTTTCTTTCCCTGCGCCCCTAGTTGAGGTACCTTGGTATTTCGATAGGTGCTCTCCCTGAAGACGCCCCACCAATCCCTCCATCCGCGGCTCTAGATTGACCTGTTTATATACATACCTATGTACTTAGGCAGGCACCTAAGGTGGTATGTCAGGTACCGAGGGTAGTAGAGGTACCTACCTCAGGTGCCTATAGGCCCTACTGGGGGGTATATTAGATGTCGGGAGTGTTCCAGTCCCCCTTCTCCCTCCCTCCAACCGGAGTGCCTCAGGTGGCTGGATACTCCATTGGCCGTACCCAGGACATGTACCCGATGCACCAAGAGGCTTAATCACCTCGGCACACGGAGTAGGCAGGTACTCTCAAACCTAACAGGCAGGAACCTGTGTACATTAGATGCCCGGGTGCTTGGTTGGAACGTACCTAGCCTACCTAAACTGCCTGGAGCTAAGAAAAGAGAGAGGTAATTTTACTACTGTGCACCTCCGCCCGATAGAGAGAGCCGGCTTATAGGTTGGCGGGGACTCTAATGTACCACAGTTTACACAGTTGATAACCCCTCTTTGGTGGGTAAGCCCTGTTATCTCTATATCCTCTCAACCACGTCCTAGCATACCAGGTACCTACACTCGAGGTGCCGTATTGTGCATCCTCCTTGCATACCTTCTAGGTATATATATATATAGGTATGTACAAGTATTTGCATAAGTTGTGTACCTAGGTAGGGTCGTGGCCTGAAGTGCCCTCTAACTTGTATGTGCCTGGGTTGTTCCATAGAGGAGTGTGTGGATGTTACCTGGTAAGGTCCGAGTCGATCCTCAGCCCGACGTGGTTGAATTTGGTGCCCCCCTTCCCCTCTCCCCCCTCCCCCTCCTTTCCCTTCCCTCTCCCTCCGTCAGCCATCAGGTCACGTAGCAACCCGTCCCAGCCCGTCCCAGTGCCGCCGCAACCCTATCCATCCTACCGACGGCTTCTCCCAAGGAACTAATATCACGACAACCCGACGGGTTGACTTACGCAGAACGTGACGGTAACGCTTGGCTCGGTATGACGACTGTGGCCACGCCCACCTACTAGGTTGTCGAGGTGGTATCGCAGCATCACGGCCAAGGATTGGCCCAATAATCGCCTTCAGTCCCTTTTCCCTCTTGCCACCCATCTTCCGTCCCTCCTTTCTTTTCGGTCAGTTTAGGGCCACCATAGGCCAAGTTTCTGGGACCGTTCCGCTTCCGCTAGCCCTGCGGTCGGATAAGGCTGTATACAGGGCATTCACCACCGGTCCATTGGCACGCCAAGCGAGTTGCATCCCAAAAGAGAAAACTCACAAACGCATCGTGTCGGCGGCCGGTATTCCAAGGTACCCTACCTATATCCTAACGACATTGGACAGCAGGGGTGTGCAGCTCCGGACCCTGAGGTGCAGTCGTGTTGGATACAGCGACGTAGGTACCATCGGTGCTGTCGTGATATGTGCTCTCTCTAGCTCCAGCTATCGCCGCCTCTTTTAGGGTTTCAACTCGAATTCTGACCCTAGGCCGTCGGAAAGGGGGGTTCGACCAATGGGTTCTGATTAGCAACCAGAAGTTCACACCGTGGAAAGCACAGCAGAGACAGTCCTTTACACCCTCTCTGCTCGAGTGAGAGAAATGACAACTGCGAGACTCGAGTAGCGGTCAGCTGCCCGAGCTACGTCTTGCGGTCATTCGGCCGCAAGGTGAAACCAGGTATTTGGAAGCGCAATCCACCCCTCGAGCTTGACGGTCCGGTCCCTTGCGTCTCATAGATTGGTGAAGCGCAGTATATGGCCGCCTCTCCGTGGGTGGTGTGGAGAGCAGCACCCATAGGTATGCCACCCCATATCTACCCACCGGGCACGCTTGAGGCTGCGGGATATGGAGGGTCCTTACGGCTTCCCTCCCTTGTCATATTGACACTCAGGAGCGAGACCGTGAACGTGGAACTGTCACCGGCCTTGGTCCCATTCGTTACTTGGCCTATTATAACGTACGTAGCCTTCGCAGGATGTCGTGCCGACCGAGGACTTGGGCCTACCTATGTGTCGTCCGTATGTGTGAACATATCTATCTATAGGTTGGGTTCGGTAGGGGCCGTGATGTATGTATGTCGCTGACCGAAGCAAGTCGGGCCAACTCTGCATCTTAGTAGGATGTGGCAACGCCATATGCTGAGATAAGTCGGCAGACAGGGCTGCATGGGTATATGCAGGTGCTGCTCATAACACCTTTGAGAGTAACTCAACGCGGGGGAGGGGAGGGGAGGGGAGGGGAGTATGTGAGCCTGACAGCTCATACTAGATTGACTTCTGTTCTCGATATGCCGTACCCAACGCCCCGTGAGAGAGCGGGCCTGGGGCAGGCCCGCTCTCTCTATTTTGTTGAGAAAAGGAGACTATTAGTTAGACGTGGCCGAATGGTTCCCGGACCTTTCTGTACAACTCTCTATACTTGCATAGACACCGTTGTTGAGACCATTGGCTGTGCCTCGCCTCTTCTAACGGCCTGAGTTCTTGCCTGCGCATGAAAGGGGGTGTAGGATATAAGCCATGCCTATCTGCCACCATACCTATCCACCACCTACCAAAGCCACATGTCTTCCTAATAGGTATAGGTAGTTCAACTTCGCGGTTGGCTGAGTTTCCTTCCGTCTTCAGCAACTTGTGCTCGGGTAGGTAACATGTAGAACTAGTTAGCCACCCCGTTGGCTCAGGCGTCTTACCTGGCCAGCTACGTCAATCTCAACATCCCAAATTCGTTGTCGAGTTCATTCGCATACTATACAATCGAGAGCAGGGAAGTGAGTTGTCGTATCCCGCAGTCAAGACCCAGAGGGCTGCTCAGTAACCAGCATTAGATAGGAATCGAGAGTGCGGAATTATTTGTAGAAAAGACAGTGTAGATATGTACAGTGCGAATGTACCGTAGGTAGAGCGCCCGTATTTTATCCAGGGTTATCGATAAGACATAGGTAGTTCCAGATACCTTCGAATTTGGTATGACGCGTGCTGGGGAGCTACAACACCTACATCGATACGTCGATCTGTAGCGCTATCGCCTACTTACCCCGTGCTCTCTTCGCCCTCTTTACACGCCCGACATTTCGCGTATACATCTACCTCCAATCGCGTCGCCGCTTCAATACCACTCCCTCTGTCTGCCTGCGTGCCCACCTCCTGTGCCCACGAATCGCCCCATGTCATCCAAGCGATCCCGCGCCGCCTTCGAAGCCGATCTCCAAGCCCAGCAGTCTCCCTACGTCCTCTTCGGCACGCCGCTCCCTCCTCTCGACCCGGAAGTCCGCGACGATGGCTCCTACGTGCCAGTCTGGAAGCAGGAGGTCCGGGACGAGCGCGGCCGCAGGCGCCTCCACGGCGCCTTCACCGGCGGCTGGAGCGCTGGCTACTTCAATACTGTCGGCTCCAAGGAGGGCTGGACCCCGGCCACCTTCGTCTCGTCGCGGGCAGACCGCCGCAAGGACGACCCAAACTCCGCTGCTTCCGGCAGCACCCCACGCCAGCAGCGGCCTGAGGATTTCATGGATGAGGAGGACCTGGCTGACGCTGCCGAGGCCCAGAAGCTGCAGACCACCCACGCATTCGCCGGCTTGGGGTCCGATGAGGACGGCGCCCGACGCGGTGGCGGCGGGCTCGCCGATATCTTCCGCGTCCGGGGCGAGACGATGGGCGTGAAGTTACTGAGGAGGATGGGCTGGAAGGACGGGCAAGGGATAGGTCCTAAGGTGCGCCGGAGGGCACGGCTCGACGTCGTAGTGAAGCAAGGGGGCGCCCAGAACGGGGAAGAGACGTACCTCTTTGCGCCAGACAACGTGCCCGTGATCTCTCTCGTCAGGAAACTCGATCGCAAGGGCCTCGGCTACGAAGGCGAGTCGAGGTTAACGCCGCTGACGAAACCTGGCGCCCAGACGGAAGCTGGCGGGAGCTCCGACGAGGAGAGCGGCCCCATAGTACGACGACCAGGTACACCGAAGAAAGAAACGTCGTCTAAATTCGCTAAGGGCGGTATCGGTATCGGCATCTTAAACGACACGGGATCCGACGACGAAGACCCGTACGAGATCGGGCCGCGGATATCGTACAACCGCGTCATAGGGGGCAGCAAGAAGAAAAAGAAGGAGAAGGCGGCCAACCCGGCGCTACGCACGGCGCCCGTCTTCATATCTCGCAAGAGCGCCCTGGCCCAGGCGGGGAAGAACATACGGAGGTGCTACGACGGCCGGCTACCGCTCGACGGCTTCGTGTTCGGCGCTGAGACGAACGACGACCTCGCGTCCGCCGTCACCTCCGCAGGGAAGTACCCGCCGCCCGTCATACCGCCGGGCTGGAAACCGAGCAAGCAGCTGAAGTCGTCCGAAACCAGCGGAGGCGCGCCATCGTCGGGCTACGTGTCGACGGCTGACGCGGCCAAGGCGTCGAAGCTCGATCCGCGGGCGCGTGCGTCGCTCCTCGGCGAGGCCCCGCTGCCGGGCAAGTCGGTATTCGACTTCTTGTCGGCGGGGGCGCGCGACCGGCTCGCGGCCGCGGCGGGCAAGCCCAACCTGCCACCGGGCCGGGGCGAGGTGCCCGAGGGCCAGACGCCGGCGAGCGAGGCGGAGCTGCTGCGCCAGATCCCCGAGCTCGACGCGGCGACGGCGGCGGCGGCGCTGGCGCGGGGCGCGGGGGGCCTCGGCGCGGCGCCGTACGCCGACGACGAGGGCAAGCGCGCGCGCTACCGCGCGTACCTCGAGTACGCGGCGGCTCTCGGCGCGCCTAGCGGCAGCGGCAACGACAGCGCGCCACGGCTGCGGCCGCCGACGAAGCCGCCCGGGACGAGCACGGAGGACTGGCTGCGCGAGCTGCACGAGTTCCGGAGCTGCGCGCGCATCTTCAAGCCGATGACGGGGATGATGGCGTCGCGGTTCACGACGGCGAGCTCGACGGCGGCGACGACGACGGGCGCGGGCGACGGCGGCGTCGCCGCCGCGCCGCCGATCCAGCGCCCGCCCGACCCGGCCGAGGAGGCCGCCCGCCTCGGCATGTACGGCGCCATGACGCGGTCCGCCGCCGACTTCTACCCGTCGCGCCTCCTGTGCAAGCGCTTCGGCGTCAGGCCCCCCGCGCACGCGCAGCCGGAGCACGCCCACGGCGGCGCCGCCGCCACGACGACGAAGAGCCAGGGCCAGGGGCCGGAGGAGGGGGCGGGGTCGTCCAGCGCAGCGCACCCCGTCGCTGCTGCTGCTGCGGGCAGCGGCCGCGCGATGACGCTCGACGAGCTGATGCGCCAGGCGCAGGAAGGGGCTACTACTACGACTGCTTCTTCTTCTACGGCGGCGACCCCGCGGCCCGGGGAGGAGGCAGCGCCTAGGCGAGGCGAGGCGGGGGCGGGCGTCAACGCGGAGGTCAACGAGGCGCTCGAGGGCCGGCGCGCGCGGGAGGAGGTGCTGCGGGCGGTGTTCGGGGACAGCAGCGACGAGGAAGAGGACGGGGGGGAGGACTAGAGGGGGGGTGAGGGAAGCGGCTCGTGTTGAAACTGGAGAGGGAGAGGTGCGGCGGCGGCGGCCGATGTAGGTACGCGTTACGATTATATATACCCCCTCTCGTAGCTAAGTCGCCTGCCCAGCCTGGGGGAGCAGAAGAGGGCCGCGGGCGAGGGGCACAAGCGGAAATAAGGAGCCCTCGCGGCTGAGAACGCGCCGGCTTGGAGAACGAAGACTCGAGACTGCTGGCACGTCCGCGTAGCGCCCGCTTGCTGGCCGGGGCGTCGCCTCATTTTCGTCCCTTCTGCCTCGTAGTCTCTTCTACCGCCTACCTGCCTACTTGCGTCGGTAACCTGACCTGGTTCATCTGAGCAGCGTCTTACGTGTCACAGTCACGTATCCTACGAGATAGTTTCGCAGAGTTCTCGGGGCGAAGTTCTTCCCCAGGGTTCTATTTTGTCTACTCTCCCGTCTTTGCGCTATCTACGCTGCTTTCTCCTGCGTTTTTCTCTTTTCTTTACCTCGTTCCAAGCGTGCTGTATATGGCATACGTATATACATCACCACCACTACCACTACCACCACCACCACCCTCTAGTGCGTCGGCTTCGCGATCGGCGCGATGACGCCCTGCTTGAGCAGGATGCGGGGCTTCGTCGCCTGCTGGAACGTCTCCTTGGTCATCCACTCGGGCCCGACGGGCAGGCGCAGTGCCCGCTCGTACTGGAGCCGCGACTCGTACGGGTGCGGTAGCTGTGACGCCATGTACTTGTTGTTCTAACCGACCCAAGATGTTAGCGAGTGCGCTGGTACTGTATGTGATAGGGGAATTATGGGGGACAAAGGGTAGAGAGGGAGAAGGGGGGAGGGATAGGGAAAGGAAGGAAAGCGAGGAAAGAAAACGGTAAAGAAGGGGTTTGCAGAGGACTTCAAGTGGGGTTGGGAGACATTTACCTTCTTGACCTGTCTCTCACTGATGATGACATTCTTGAGGTTGGCGTCCTTGCGATTCTGCTTCTTGATGCCCTCCTTCTTGGTGAGGAACCGTCCTTGATGCCGCTTCTGCTCGCGCTTGCTAATTCCGTCGCCGACCCAGCCGCCCCAGCCGGGGAGGGTGTTGTCGACGACCTTGTCGTCGTCCGCCTCCCCGATCGCCGCCTTCTCTTGCTCGAACTCGGCCACGACGTCCAAGTCGCCGAATGCCTTCTCGATGAGCTCCTGCTCCCGGAACTCGATCGGTGAGTCGTCATCCTCGGCCTCCGACGAGTTGGCTTCACCGTCGTCATCCACGACCCTTTGCCCGCTGCGCGACTTAGGTGCCTTAGCAGAAGCTACTAGCGGGGCTATCACGGCTGCTGAGTCTGCGCCGAGCTCTAGTACCTCTACACCCGAGCCTGCCTTCTTGCCCTTCTGCTTCCTGGGAGGACCAGCTGTCGAGGGCTGGCTCCAAGCACCCGCTATTTCGTCTACGCTCGGGCCTGGGTCTCGTGCGGTAAAGGCAGACGCCGAAAGTACTTTTGAGCGGCCAGCTTTCGCGGTCACAATCCCGTCTCTAGCAGCTTTGAGGTCTGCTCCCGCCTCTTCTTCCCCAATTCTTGCAACAGTTTCGCCCGGCTTGCTCGGTTTCTTTTTCGAAGCCTGCCCGAACTTTCGTCGGCCGACATCGTCGAGCTCTCCGTCGGACTCCTCGATATCTTCGTCATCGGAGGCCAGCTCTCGTCGTATCTGGGCAACTAGTTCGTCGTTGGCCCTTTTTTTGGCCGCTTCCGCTTTCTTCATGAACGCCATTTCCATTAATTTCGACTTCGGCGCTGTATCCTCGACCATAGACGTTTCATCGAGCTGCCGGAGTAATCTCTTCCGTTCGTCGCCTTCGTCCGAGGCCCCCGAGCCGTCGGAATCTTCGTCTGAGCCATCATCTTCTTTCGATGGTTTCCCCTCGATACGGCGGCGCAGTTCCTCATCTCGACGCGCCATATCGGCTATGCCCGTACGCACGCCGTCGTCCCAGGCTGCGCGGCGACCCTTGTTTGCCATCTTGGCCCACTTGCTTTCTCGATGTCGAGCGCCCATCCTCTCCATAGCTCGTTGGCGGTCTTGGGCATCTCGCTCCTCCTCCGAGTCGATTTCGCCAGCTGCGGCCATGACCTCGCGTTCTTTTATCTCTTCCCTCTCTTTCTGTTTTCTATGCACCCGGTGGTAAGATTTACTCTTGATCTTCTTGATACGCTTGGCTCTTGCGTCCTCTCGGGACTTGAGCTCTCTTTCGTGGCGCCTCTGCTGCCATGCGCTCTTGAGATTACCCCTCGAGATTCCTTGGGCGTCGCCAGACTCCAAGTCCTCTATCGGTTTGTCCTTTTCTTTCGCACTCGGTCCCAAACCGCTTTCCTCCATGATTGTCATGATGGTCCGCTCCAATTCGGTCCTGGGATCTTTGTGGCTCAAGGGGGGGAGTTCGGTAGTGTTATGTCTTGCGAGACCGGTTACTGTTTGAGGCAGTGGGAAGACCAAATGGTCCGCCCTTCTGTTGTGCTTCACAGTTTCGGTCCATCGGTCGAGGGACTCGCTCGTCTTTTCGTAGGCAGCACTGCGATCTAGCTTTGCCTGCTGGCGTCTGGCGAGCGGTACCTCGAGCTTCTGCGGCTTGCTAGACCTCTGTTCCTTCTCCATGAGCTTAAGTGACTTTTTGATATGGGGGTCTTTGATTCCTAGCAAGCCCAGGTCCTTCAATCCGACCTTGGGCCTCGTCGTTGGCGCAGCATCTTGCTCCTCTGAATCTTTGACCCCTGAAAACTGAGAAACCCAAGCATTTATGCCAGACTCTGACACGTCGTCGTCGTCATCTTCACCTTCGATGTCGGAAGATTCGTTGCCAGATGTATCGTCGTCGTCCGAGGCAGATCCATTCTCGCTAGAGCCGTCTCCTTGCTGACCCTTGCTAGGTTCGCCATCATCTTCTGAAGAGGACATGTCGAGAGCTTCGGCGAGGTCGATAGCGTCGGAGCCGAGAGAGGCACCGTCAGCGTCGCCAATATCCTCGTCGTCGTCGTCATTGTCATCATCTTCATCCCCCTAGAGGTTGAATTAGCTGTAGCCAACGTGAAGCCTTCCAAAGTGCATTTCTAGTACCTCCTCGCCAGCCTTCCTGTTCTTCTTGCTTCCACGGAAGACGTAGCCCTCAAACCTCTCCTCGTCGCTTTCTCCGAAAGCTTCGTCGCTGTCTATTTCGGAATCGTCATCGTCACCACCGCCGATCCGCCACTCGTTCCCGCTGCTGTCGCTACCGTACTCGACCTCTTCGTCACGGTCCGCGGCTCCCTTTGCGCCAGCGCGCCGCACTTTCTTTGGTGGCGCTTCGTCGTCGTCTTCATCGTCGTCGTTGTCATCGTCGTCTCTTGCATGCTTGTTGCGACCGCCGCTTAATGGGGCGTCTAGTTCACGATTGCGAGGCGTGCGCTTTTGCACGCCGGCATATTCTTTGGATGCGATCGCGAAGGCATCTAGGGCAGTCCTGGTCGACTTGGACTTTGACCTTTTCTTGCCCTTGCCCTGAGTGCTCGACGGGGCTCCTACGGGCCATCCGTGGGCTTGCCGGCCGGGCATGTTGGATGGATGACCGGTAAACTAGCGAGTATTTCTCGTCTTAAATCTCGGAATGTGATAATTGTCATCAACGCTGGTAGATTTTTGCAACGGAACTGCGCATAGAAGCGAGTTATCTCTTTACAAGCTTGATGCTGAAGTTGGTCTAACGGGATTCTCGAATGCAATAGGTACCTAATTGAAGCTTCATTGAGATCTTGGCTCTCGACCTTTTTTTTTTCCCTGGGCGCACTAGCGGGGGATAGATCATAGAGCTAGGTACCTACTAACGATAAGAGATAAATGATAAGCGATAGGCGATAGCAAAGGCGTCTGATCGCTCCCATCTGTAACTATGTAAGCAAGTTATGTAGGTAGGTAGGGTATTCGATCCATTGACTTCGCATCCCGCCCAAGCTTCATAAAGCTTCTTGCGCAATTTTACGCACAACACCCGCGCCGCCCTCCTTCCCGTCCCCGGAACTGGCCCATTGGCACCTCGCATCTGCTCGAGGGGGAGAGGGGGAGAGCACTCACTGTCGAGTATCGCAAAGAGGAAGGAAAGGAAACGAACCCGAGAGGGGAACGAGCGCGCCGCCATGCAGCCCACCCAGGCGCTCCTCAAGGCTTATCGCAAGCTGCGCCTGACCACCAAGGACATCAAGAAGGGCTTCTACAAGGGCACGAGGACCGGGAGCATGGGTCGCCACACGAGGTACGGCGGCTACATCATCGACTGGGACAAGGTCCGCACCTATGTCGTGCCCCCCGGCCTCAATGAGTTCAAGGTATTCGCTTGCCCCCCTCTCCTCCGATCGAGCTCGCTAACCCCAGCGGCAACCCCCGCCAGTTAACCCCCTTCGTCACCAAGAAGATGCCCCCCACCCGCGGCCGCTACGAGGGCTACGCCATGGGACCTAAAAGCGCCGAGGTCTACCTCAACCGCTGGAAGGCCGAGAACGGTCTGGATTGAGAGAGAGAGAGAGAGAGAGAGAGAGAGAGAGAGAGAGAATCGGCCAGGGCGTGGTGCAGGATAGGAGGACGAAAAATACGAAGAAGATGGCGAAAGGTCTCCGTTATCAACATACCTACAGATATCTAGGCATAGTGGCTAGGTATGCGGCGGACAAGGTAGCCGGATCGTGGGCGCCGACGAAGAGGATGCAAGGAAAAAAGGGGAATACGCACCTCGCGCCTTTTGTCAAGTCGGCGCGATTGAGGTTATCGAAGTGGTTGAATGCTAGCAACCCTCCTCCCCTCCTGTTGGCACGATACAGCAATGTCGCGATTGCGATCATCGCCGTGGCCTACGAAAAAAAAAAAGCCCGCACGGTAAAATATGTATAAAACGTATAAACGTGACTTGATGAGTGCCTAAGACACTATTTTCTAAATTAATCTATCTTGTTGCGTGGGTAAATACCGTTACCGCTAGCGATATTATATAAACTAAAAACACACTATCCTGAAATCGACATATGAAGCAGTACCGGGTATCATCCTCCATCTATAGGTTACCTCGGTGGCATTCAACTTATTTCGATAGGGGTAGATCCTCCCGCGCGGTAACGAACGTCTCCAAAGGTGGCCGCGTCAGATCGTCATTTGCAGTTGTCGTTGGGTTGTGTTTTCCGTTGAGGTCGTCGTCCGGTGTGGGAAAGGGGCTAAGGCTTTCAGACGTATCGAAGCCCGTCAGTGTCAGCTGAGGCGCTCCTGTATCCAGGGGCTCACTTTGCTTCAGGGCCTCGAAGTCGACGACTTCATCCCTTGCCTTAGCCGTAGCGACGGCCGCCGCCGCAGCGCTGGTGATCGCGAAGGCATTCGTACTAGGCGTTAATGGGATCGGCGTCGCGACCCGGCCAGCCTGATCCGCCATCGATGTGAGCGTAATCATGCTAGCTGTCTCGGCGTCTATGTTGAGACTGAACGGCGCCGCAATCCCCCCAACGAACGGCCTCTTGCCCGTAATCCCAGTCTCGAACGGGGCGGAATCCGGCGAGAGTAGGCTGCTTCCGGTGGGAGAGGGTAGCGGTTCCTCTCGCTTGGTCTTAGGGACGAACACGGGCATGTCCTCGTCGACATCATCTTCCGCAATTTGTTTCTCATCCCTGACGATCTTCGTTCTGGATCGGCTCCGATTATGCCCAACGTCTCTCTTGGCTTCTCTCTTCTCCTGACTCTCAAGATCGGATGGTGAACGAGCCCCTTGCCCCTCTTCGTTGGTAGCAACCTTGATCTCCGGGGGTTTAACTGCCTCGCGCTCTCGGATAATAGTGGTTTCATCGTGCTTAGATCCCCAGAGAGACCATATGGCGAGGCCTATTCCCTTTACTTTCTTCTTCTCCACGAGACTCTCCTCCGCTTTGCGTCTGCTAGCAAGCGCTGCCGGAGGTGGCATCTCTCCGTCGAAGCCCACGTATCCTGCGGTCATCTCCTTGAGCCTTTTCTTGTGGATCTTCGTACGGACACTTCCGTAGCGCTTGTTCCACTGAGCGCGCGCCTCGAGCCACCTCCGTACCGGGACTTCCTTGACGACCCCTATCTCGGTTGGATCTATGTTGCAGCCAACTAACTCGCTAGCAGGCTCTAGTGGGGTAATTCTACCGTGACGGTCGACGCGCTGACGGACCATGTGGTTCTTGAACGGCGGCAAGGGATCGCCGGCTTTTCCTACTTCGAATTTGGCGTTCTCCCGCGTCTCGGGTCGCTCTCCCGCCGCCGCTTCGTTCACCGGCCCAGCGTCCGAATCGGAACTCGAGATACTGGAGATCGACTCGTCGTCCAAAATCTCAATTTCTGTCTTCTGGGCTCTGGCCAGTGCCCAGGCGCCGAATTGAGCTATCGAGCGGTACATGTATTTTGCTGGTCGAGTGAAGCTTAGAGTCGGCGCAACATGGCACAAGTCGTCCCACACTTGAAGCTGCACATCTGTGGGTTTGAAACGAGCCAACTGCTCTCGCGCCGATTCATTCGTAGCGCACCCTGCAGGCTGGTACTGGGTCGGATTTGCACACTTATGTGCGATATATATCTGCTCATCGCGTAGAATCTCGCCACCACCCGTCATGATGAGCAAAGGAGGTAGGCCACCCAGGGTGGGCTGCATTACCGGGCTCACCAATGGATGTGCCAAAAGTTCGTTTGTCGTATACATCTGGAGCAGCATTAGTTGCCAAGTTCTTGTTACTTGCCGTTTTACATCGCCCTTACCTGGATCTGATCCTGGAGTTGGACCTCTTTTCCCTCGAGTTTGATGGTGATGAATGATGTCTCCGCACGACTGTCAATTGTAGAGCTGCCGTCCCCTGCTTGGGCCGCGTTTGCTTGCCTGAGGTCCTGGGCGAGAGATTCTGTTGCCACTGGGGTCGACTTCGCGGAGCCGGTCTGCTCTAACAACAACGCGTACTCATCCGCGTTTAAAGGAGGCCAGGCCTTCGAAGGCTTATGGTGGAAGCCACAATTAGGAATATAGTCTAGAGGGCTATCGCTAGACAGGCTAGGAAATGAGTGCGTCAAGTCCACCCACGGACTAATGAGAATAGCACCTGCAGGCAAGGGAATTCCCCCGTCTCTCATAGTTACTAGCATACTGAACACCATTCCACCTCCGGCCGAGTCACCGGCCAGGACGATCGTAGTGGGATCGTGAGTTGTGAGGAGGTGTAGATACGCGGCCAAGCAATCCTGAAGCCCGCAGGGAAAAGGGAACTGGGGAGACAACCGATATTTGGGCGCAAAAACCCTGGCCTTCAGCTTTCGCGCGTGTCTCTGCATCTGGTACCGGTGTTCGTCGACGCTCCCAAAGAAGTAGGCGCCGCCGTGAACATACAGCATGACCCTTTTGCCGGCCTCGCCGGACTTCTTGCGTTCGTTGTAGTCGGCCTTCATCTCGATCCATTCTGCCTTGAGGGGACTGCCCGGTTTCCGCCACTGCCACCAGTTCCGGCCACCAACCTTCCTGATCCCGTCTGGACCTAGCTGTTTCTGCAGTAGGTCGGCAGACTCGACAAGCCTCTCTTCCGGAATTTCGACCTCTTCAACTTTGACCCACTGCGGATGTGGCACCCATTGCGAGGTGAAGGCCTGGAGGTCCTCGACCGTGTGGTGGGACGCAAAGTCGAGGAACGATCGGATAAGGTGTAGGCCTTCGTCGTACGAGAGGTGGGCAGTCGGTCGCTCGCGCAACGGTTTTCGATTGAGGTACTGGACCAACTTCTACGTTAGCACGAAGCAACCGGCTTCAGGGGAGCCGGAGGAAAAGACAGAGATAGCCAAGGGATGCCACCAAGCTCCGTCGTGAAACACAACTGGTACGACGGCATCGAGGATACGAGGAGGATTAGAAGGCAAAGAAGGGTTGAACATGGCGAGAGAGGAGGATATTACACTGGGTACGTACGTGGGACAGAAATGTCGATAGGACGGTTGGCGTGACCGCCATTGAGACGGTAGCGGTATTCATCATGAACCTCTATACCGGTGGTCACAGGTCAACACTCCGAGGATGTGCAAGATGCAGCTTTCGACATAGAAGCTGAGATGGTCTCCGGGTACAGATGGAGGCATCCCAGTGCGAATAGGTCGATGGGGTCGGTGGACGGCTCTGAAGGCAGGCAGTACGTGTAGAAAGGAGGAGGGCTAGCTATGGAGCTGGGTAAGGAGGCGCAATTGGGTAACAAAGAGGGGACCTCATCTCCTCTCCCGTAGCACGGACATCGAATATCGTCGATTAGCGGCAGGCCGGGTCGAGAGCCGAGAGAAGACCCGGTACTGTTGGTACTATCATCCCACGGCCACGGCCAGCTGCGAATACTCACCTTTATACATCTATACCTCCTATATACTGCACATCCCAACCGTCCGTCACGGCAGACGCAACACGGGACAGGGCCGGCAGGTTGACTGTCTTGCTCCAACGCGTGCACGCCTGCGTGTACGTGCATATTAGGTATGCCTCGCGCATTGTTCTGACGCAGAATCGCAGTCGTCAAGCCAAGGCCCGCCCCTCGCCCCACGCCCCACCGACGAATACCGGGGGGTCTATCGACAATATGTCTGCAATACTGACACTGTATGGACATGACCTCCATATGATGTAATACTAACGAACGCTTTCCATAAGTATAAGATACTTATAGTAAAACCCATAGTATGGATTTTATTATAATTTAATATAAGCATTATAAGGTAGTTATTTTAATAAGATAAGTATTTATTACTTTTTTAATATTTTATTAATTTAGATATAAATTTTAACTTGACATTATATAAAATAGCTATTCTATTCTTAAAAGGAGCTACTAGATTAATATAACGTCTGTATTATATCTATATTTATATCGCATCCTAAGTTTAATTTGCTTAAGCATTGCGATGAAAATACTTTTAACTATAGTAATCCTTTCTAGGGGTAGTAATAGTACTAGACATGCTATCGATAAACCCTCATTCCCCTAGATAGGTAAAGTCGCTATTATACCTTGGTACCTCTGCTCATACTATGTACCGACGTACGGACGTAGGGGTTAGTGCGCTAGCGAGATCTGCGAAGCAAGGATAAACTTAACCTCTAGCTAGGCAGGCTAATGGTAGTGGATAGCTTTCGCTAAAGCATCACTAAAGCATCACAAGCAACTTTGGTGTAATGGTTAGCATTCGAGCCTTCCAAGCTCGAGATCGGGGTTCAATTCCCCGGAGTTGCACTTGTTTTTTACTTTTTCCCCCTTAGATCTGATAATACCGCCGAAGAGAGGTACCCAGGTAGACATATGCACATGTGGTTACATGGGTATGTGCCGTAGAGGACCAAAAAAATGAGAAAGAAACCAGAAGGAATATTCGACAAATGCGACAGCCCCTCCATCATCGCGAACTCACCTAACGAGTTTCCCCCCTCCAGGCCTCAAAGGAGTTGAGCCCCCAGCTTGATTCTACGATGGCCGCTTCTTCCTCCTCCTCTGTACAGGCAGGACCATCACCAGGTAATTTTGCGGCCCCTCCTAAACCTTTTTTATTTTATTTTATTTTTGATATGATCAATTTCCCTGCCATTAGGCACTCCCTGCCCCAAATAGCGTATTGTCTGTATACCTAACCCTACCCGTGAAAATCACCAGAGACTCGGCAGCTGCAGTTCGAGCAGGGCGTCGCCATATCGCTGCACCTATGGCTATCCCTCACTGTCGCGGTGCAGAACAACCTAGGCGGACCCGCGTCGGCCGATAAGCGCGACTGGTTCGCCGGCGCCGTCGTCGAGATGTTCCCGAGCTTCGTCGACCTAGCCCAGGCGTCGCAGCCGCCGCAACCCCAACCTCCGTCCTCGTCCACGGCCCGACAACCGCCGCTGCCGCCGCCTTCCTCGGCGCAGAAGAAGGGCCCGCCCCGCGACCCAGAGGCCGAGGACGTCGAGGCCACCCTGCTCCAGGTCATGTGGGACGAGTTCGAGACCAACGTCGACGACGAGTCCGAGGTCGAGGTTGCCGACCGCATCCTGCGTGTCCGCGCCCAGTGCGCCGCCGGTCGCTTCGATCTCGTCGAGGATCTCAGGCGCCGCTGGCTGGCCACGCGCGGTAAGTCTGTCGCCGTCCAGGTCACCGACGGCGGCGACCAGGAGACCGACTGGGAGAGCGCCGATGACGATGACGACGACGACGACGACGGTGAGGACATCGAGATGAGTGAGGCGCCGCCCCTAGTCGCGGTGCCTAGAGAGAGAACGCCCCCGGAGGTTGACGGGGATGGCTTTACAAAGGTTACACGAAAGAAGCGTTGAATAAAAAAAGAATAGGGGAAACAAAAGGAGAGCATGCGGGCGGGGTCTGGAGTCGTACATGATCGGATCTACAGGCATTCATGGTTACCAAAAACAATACGGTCGCCAGTAGGGAATAGCATCACCGGTTTCGAGACGTGCTTGAAAAAAAAAAGATATACACAGTGGCTAGACGAGCCGTATCTTGCATTCGAAACCATCCAATGAGCAAAGACCAGAGGACGCCGATGAAAACTCCAATATTGAGTACTGCGTGTCAACGGCCAACAATCCGGGTTCAAAATAATACCGTCACTCCCATTCGTCGTCGTCGTCACTATCCTCCTCCTCCTCGCTGTCGCTGTCCTCCACCTTTCGGGCATCCTTGGGGCTGCTGGGGGCTTGGCTCGGGTTTCCAGACGACGCACCGACCAGATCGTAGCTGGTGTCACTGTCGGCCTGTGATTTCTCGTCGTTAGACTTGCGAGATTCGGCTGGCTTGTGTTGGTCTTTGTTGGAAGGCGCCGCCTCGGCCGGCGGGTGGATCGTCGTAGAAGACTCGATAGAGGCGGGTCTCGTGGGCTTCTCCGCTGGCTTCTTCGGCGCGGTCGACTCGTCCGATTCATCCTCGCTCGACTCCTCGCTCGATTCTTCGCCCCACCCAATCTCCTCCTCGGCAGAAGCAGCTAGATGCGGGTTAGTCAAGTACCAAGTACGTAGAAGTAGAAGGGGGTGGAAGCGAACCCTTCAACAGGTCTCGGCGCCGTGCCTCGGCAGTCTCGATACTGTGGCGCAGGAAATAGTATCGCTTCCAGAAATCGGCGTAGGGGACCTTGTCGGGCACGAGTTTCTCCATGTTCACTCGTAGTTCAGGGTACTTGGCCAAGTCGGCGCTGATAGTCTCGGTCTTGCTATCCGCATCGAAGTCTTTGGCCCACGGAGCATATTCGGCAGTAGCAGGATCCTCCGTAAAGCTCTTCTCGGTCGTGTGAAGGACATGTAGCTGCGCGTCGTATCTCGAAGTGTGGATCACCCTTTTACCCGAGTCATCCTTGCTCTCAAAACGGCGGGCGCTATCTCTGGCATCGCCGCCGTCGGAGCCGGGCTTAACAGTGATGGCATCGCGGAAGAAGTCCCGAACGTTGCCGCCGAATTTTAAAAGCGCCTCATCGGCAGCATCCTCGGCACGTTGAATGTCCCTCAATCGCTTCGCAGCCTCTGCCTTCAGTCGTGAGATTACCGTCTCGGACTCTTTGGGTGCTTCGTCGGAGCCAGAGGCCCTCGCCGTCGTCGGAGTGGTCTCGGAATCCTTTTCGTTGTCGCTCGATTGCTGTGCTCCTCGTTCCGCAGCAGGAGTGGATGTAGTCAGAGAAAGCGCCCTCGCGCGGAGGTTTGCGAGACCTCGACTAGCATCCACGCCGAGCGACGTGACCTCTTGTTGCGCTTCTCGGTACACCGACCCGCCCTTTGATAAGGAACCAGGTTACTCGACAGCCCTGATACAGACTCTGGGATAGAGAATGCGCATACCTGCTTGATCACATTGCCTACCGTACCACCGAGCCACGAGCCCCAAGAGCTGCTAGAGAATGCCCGATACGCCTCTTGGAGGTCCTCGTTGAGCGTGTGTTCGGATCGGCGTTGGGAGGACTGAGAATCTCGGTTGCCGCTGCTGGCACTGCTATTGTTGCCATCCTTAGGAAGAGCCTCCTCAGCTATATGGTCGTAAGCGAGATCCATGGTGGTGTCCGGGCATGCAACGTCTACAACTAATTGGACAGGATCAGAAGGACCCCTGTTCCAGAGGAGAAGGGGGGGGTGATGAGTACGCCACAAACGTCGTACTTGGATTCGACGCTCGACAAGTGCTCAGCGCCGTATATGAGTGTGTACTTGTGTATGTATGTATGTGTGCAGGTGTAATGTGCGTATGTGTTGTCTCGTCGAATGCGTGAGGTTGGCTGGTCTGTGGAGATGGGGGGGTTGTCGGGTAGACGAGGCTGATCACCACTTTCGATCTGCCGATTGACGTATGGAAAGGCTCATGTCCCCCCCCACGGTAGGTACATTAGGTGTACCTGCCTGTAGGTACTTCGGATAGGGGGTTCGATACGCTGTGCACGCTACCGAAGTGCCTGAAGACCAGAGGCATGCTACCTTACACCACGCTGGGGAGGTACATACGATAGGTCAGGCGCCTAGAGAGCCCACAGAATAGATTCCTTCTATCCTATTCGACCCTCACTCTGGCACAATATTATGCAATTCGTGCATAGCAGGTAGCCGCACGTAGGAGGTTAGGTACCTAGGTACCCATACCCATCTTACAAGTACCTCCTAGTGCACGTATGTGGGGTCCAACAAGGTACAGACATCCTACGTGCCCAGGTAATACCTCCTACCTGACAGCCTCCTACAGCCTACAGGGTGTAGGTACCTTGCATCCTTATATCCATTCAATAAAGAAGGGGCCGGTGCATGAGTTGACCCATTGACGGGTTCTGATGCAAATCACGTGCCACCCTGAATCCGGCTCTTCTGGCCCTGTTTGCCACAGCAAAGGCACCCAAACCAAGCCGGCCCTCAAACCAGCTTCTGCATTGGCATGGCATGGCAGGGAATGGCATGGCCAGGTAAGTCTACACACTTGAGACGGCACCATCTGTATGCTACATCCTATTGGATGCCTGTCCCGGTCTCCTGTCCTAAAAGCAGCCAGCATTCCATCGGCATTCCATCTAACCCTTATCCTGAGTAGTCGACATACGAGAGACGGCCGGCAATGCTGCCCTACGGGGTCTTGGTGGTCGAACCACGCCGGGGTCTTGCGTTTTTCGGCCACGCGGATACGGGTGCCGCCGGTACTCAGATCGGATCGTCGTGTTTATCAGTGCCTACATCGGTATATCGCTGTATCATATTCCTCGACCCTGACACACGCACCTGTTCACCCCTACGGGAGAAGTGCGGGAGAAGAAGCCACGATCCCAGAGGCTGATCCGGCGCTCCTCCGCCGGTATTTGCCCAGTCAGCCCAGGGCTCGCGTTCCCCGACCTGGCCGCCTTCGTATCACCCACACGGACCAAAGGGATAAGAGATGGATTGTCGAGTATTAGTCGTAGCGTAACATCTCACCGAAACAGGTACAACGTAGGCCTCAAGATATCCTCGATGGTTGTTGCGGCAGATGGGCTTACTCTAATTCGGACGAGCCCGTCCGGTGATGTCGAGCCTGGACTGGCCGGTTAGCCAAAGGATACTTATAGCATGATACCAAGATCGCCCTCTAGGGAAAATATCACGCTGATCACCGAGCACAGACCCAGGCGCCAGGCTGGCGGCGAGTTCGTCATCCAATTATCTCACCAACATCCCGGCGCGGCGAGGTCCTTACCTCAGGTGCCTATGTGGCCGTTAGACCGCAAAGAAACGGTACCTATCTGTGTATGTGCGCGTACGTACGTACGTATGTATACACGCTGCACACCTGCACCCACACGCATACTATACCCAAGGTATTAGTCGGCACACGAGTTCGCTTCGCCTTACCCCGACTCCATGTGTGTAGTGCTCAGAACTGTGTGGAAGAAACACGGCAAGGGAGGCTCGGGACCACCAAAACTAGCTCTAGAAGGCATTCATATCCCGCCGTGCCAGCCCGCCTGCATGGCTGGCAGCATCTTCCATTGGGTATTTCAGACGCCAAGGGCCCTGACTAAGTGGTCCGCAGCCCAAACGGTCAAGCGACGCATCGATCTAACCGCAAGAACACCTGTTGCTTCGCTACTCTGTACTGTATTGCGTACATGGTACAGGAGTGCTCGCTAGGTGCCCGGACGGGGGGATGATTCGCCCCCCCAGCTAAAGGCGGGCTTCCTTGCCCTGGCTCGTATCATCCGCACAGTATGTGTGGGCGAAGGAGCGTCATCAAGTGAGCTCGAGGCATCCCATCCTTCTTTCTGGTGGGGGTTTGGTGAGGGGGGGTTAGGGGGGCTTAGGCCCGAAGCCAGGAGAACGCGCAGGAGAGCAGGTGAGGAGAAAGGGATGGTGTGAACGTAACATCGAGGGAACAAACCGAGGGGGGGGCGATCAGCCACAGCGCGCTCCGCTATGTCCGAGTTGCCTACGGAGATGGCACTGAGCTGGACAAAAGCCAGCGCTCGACTTCTCCCCCGCCACACAATGACTCTCTTCCTTTGATTCAGGTTGTGCCATACAAGTATACTACAGACGCTTACAAATCGGAAAATTGCTTGCTTTCTGGCCCCCTCTCTCGAATTCCTTCCCTCGCCAGAACGGCCCTCACCCGCACCCATCGCAAATCGGTTCTCTGCATACCTGTGCAAGCCTCTCACATTGACACGCTGTCCCATCCTATCCGAAAGAGAGGGGGGCGTGTTAACAGTGTGCTCTATACGCCAACTCCCTCCGCAAAGAGAAAAAAAAAAACCACGCCAGGCAGCAAGTCCGCTGTCTCGTCCGCTTTCACATCCTCCTCCATCTCAGCCTCAGGACCCTTGAGGAGGCGAAATCTGTTTCTCCCCTCTACCCATACGGCCACAAACATCTTTCAGCTGGGTCGTCGACGAGTTTTGGCTCTCAGATCTATCCTTTTCGGATAATTTGGTCGTCTCTTGAGGCTTCGAGGACTTCGTTAGCATCGAGCGCGGCAATTGCTGCGCTCCAAACCATCGCTCGTCTAGCATCGCGAGTTATCGTCGTTGGTGCCGTCGGCTCACGTCGTCTCACGTCGCCGACGCCGTAGCCCAATTAGGAGGGGCAACCGACGTATTCAAGCCGCATACACCTACTCAATCTGCCTTTCCTTTATTCCATATCGTGACAGTATACTCTAGATCCGTCCCCTGTTAAACCCGGTCGCGATGGCCTCGGCTCACTCTAACGTCCTACACAACTTCATACTCACGCCTCAGCAGCAGAACCTGCTCTTCCGCGCGCTGACTTCAAACCAAGCGAGCAGCAGCAGTAGCAACGCAAGCAGCGCGCTCTCGCCCGATACCTTGGCCAAATCTCCGACTCGGAACCAGAAGAGCCCAGCTGGTTTTGACGCCACCAACACTATGCCCAACGGCGTCGCTAATGGGATCCATCACGGCCTTCAAGAAAGCCCATTCCTAGACTACGACTACGATCTCGGGCCCGATACCGGTTTTGACTTTGACTTCAGCAGTGACGGGCATGCCAAGATGATTGGAGACCTCCCAAGCGGGTCGCCGACAAAGGAAAACTCGAAGGCCAGCTCTCCTGATAACGAGAGCCCGGACAAGCGAAGTCACCCGGACGACGAAGAGGAAGAAGACGTAGAGGAAGGCGGGGGCAAGCGCAGAGAGAGCGAAGGAAAAGTCCCCAAGAAGCCTGGTCGCAAGCCACTTACGAACGAACCCAGTTCGGTAAGTCGCCAACCGGTGTTGACTCGTCAGCCCCGCCGATTGTGAGCTTAGTGTCTAACAGCACATTTAGAAAAGGAAGGCCCAAAACCGCGCCGCGCAGCGCGCATTCCGAGAGCGCAAGGAGAAGCACCTGAAGGATCTCGAGACGAAGGTGGAAGAGCTCGAGAAGGCGTCCACGGCGACAAACAACGAGAACACTCAGTTGCGCGCACAGATCGAGAAGCTGACGATGGAATTGAGCGAGTATAAGAATAAGCTGACGCTTGTGAACACCGTCCGCTCGCCGCCCGGAAGTGCACGACAAGCCCAAGGGTTCGGTCTCGCCGCCATACAGAATCTCAACGATGTCAACTTTCAGTTTGAGTTCCCCAAGTTCGGTGTCCTTCCTGGCCCGAATACGGGTATGAATGGGAACAAGCAATCATCGTACCAATCTTCTGCGTCGGGTGGCAGCCCCAACGGCCATGCAAGCCCACCGGAAAAGCCGAAGGATCAGGCCACCCCCAATTCGACCAAGAGCCGGGAAAACTCGGATACGCAATCGAAGGATGCTTCGGCGAAGTCGTCATCTCCGTACGGGAGCACATATGGCGGGAGCGTGTCGAGGTCAAGCTTAGACTCGGGCCATTACAGCCTGAACGGGACCAACACCGGCTCTCCTTGTTCGTCGACGGCCAACTCCAACATGGGGCCGAGTTCTTCTTGCGGCACATCCCCCGAACCGCTTACCCAGTCGCCGCTAGGTTTCAAACCTGTAGATACCATGACCACGATCGGCGAGGAACATCCGGCGCTAATCGGCGATTCTATAAACCGTAAGTTGGTGACTTTTTTCTTTTTTTTCTGCGTTCATTGTCTCTATATGCTGACGATGGAGTTCTCGCAAACCAAACTAGACTTGGGTAACCTAGGCAACATAGACTTCTCCAACTTCGACTGGCTATCGCATCAGAGCAACGGGCAGTTTGACCCGCAACTATTTGGCGAATATCGGGAGCCGCAGGACAACATCTTGGCGAGCGCGACGTTCGACGACAGCTTTTTTAACGATGCCTTCGATGTCGACTTCACCACGCCGTACAATATAGGGACGGCAACGGCAACGGCACCGGCACCAAGCCCCCGCCCACCCAAGAAGAACCTGATCGCCGAAATCGACGCCCGCAAGGAGTCGGAAGACACTATAATCACCACCAATAATGGCAAGCTCCTTACCTGCAACAATATCTGGTACATTTTTACCCTCCTGCTCCTTTCGAGCGAGCGTTTCTGTGCCTGGACCCGTGCTAACGGAAGAACTTCACTAGGGAGAAATTGCAAGCCTGCCCCAGAGTGCAGTCCGGCGACCTCGACCTCGACGGGCTTTGCTCCGACCTCCAGAAGAAGGCCAAGTGCGGAGGCTCGGGAGCGGTCGTCGACGAGCAGGACTTCAAGGCGGTCATGACCAAGTACCTGGGACCTTCGGCCGGGGAATGCTCGACAGGCCCCAACTAAATCTACCTAGCCTCTCTCCCCTCTCCCTCTCAGCCTCCCCACCCTCTCGTTTTCCCACCCATCGCTCTTTTCTCTTTTTTTTTTCCCCTTCCCGTTCTCGGCCTTTTTCTTGCTTTTTCTGGGTGGAATTTGGAAGAGATTATCGATACGCAACATACCCAGACCGACCAACCGGTTTCATCAGGACAGACATGGCGGGGGAAGGGCGTAAACGGGCATTAGACAAGAATCGCCTCAGCCAGCTTAACCTATTTTGCCACCACCAAACCAACCCAATTCAACCATTCCATTGGGTACGCACTGGCGGAGTTTCGGCGGGTGGGCTAGGTCGGGGGACATCTCATGTAACGGAAGTAAAGGGGGCGAGCTGGGAAGAGAAATACCAAGGGGGTGAAAGCTTGGAAAGCGCGAAAGAAGGCGGAGCAGTGGATTCGGTCGAGGGCCAGCAAAGGGGTAGAGGGTGAAATTGTGTGTGGTGTCGATGGCCAGGTACGCCTCTGCGGAAAGCAGACGAGATGTAACACTACCATTGCTCATATCACCGCTCTTACTACCCTCGACTTCGCCCACCTCGACTGTCCCTCTTCCCACCTCTTTCGTTTGTCATCATTTTGCTGCCGAAGATATGCTGCATGTATCCTCACAATCATTGGGAAACGGAATTGCTGCATTTGTGATGAGACAAAGGCGGAAAAGAAATTATCGAGTTGTTTTCCTTCTCTTTTTGGGTATCCACATCGTCCTGGCCATTTTGCCATTTCCTTCTTCGGGTTGTTCTGCTTCTTTTTATCCTGTCTGGCTTGTTCGGATCTCGCCGAGTCAACTACACACACTGCCGTCTTCGTCACTCTCCTCCTCCTCTCCCAACTCGACGCCATTCAAGCGGATGAGGATGTACGTATGCACGTACGCGCATACGGCCTTCGCCCCACCCAGGCGCGGAGAGAACGGAACGAGGAGGGTGGCAGCAGGTGGCGGCAGTAGGGAGAAAGGGGGAGGGAGGCAGCCGTACGATACGGCTTAGCCCGCCGAACTAACCTAGCCTACCACCCGTGGAGAGCGGGTGGGCGGGCATATGGGCGGGTGACTTGGATGGATGGCCGAATGCTTATTGGAGTTACGCCTATACCTGTTCCTACGTCAATATATCGAGGACCCGTAAAGGGGGGGAGGAAGTGTACGTGCCGCACGCGTGCGGAGGGACGAAGGACGACATGAACGACCACGTAAGTACGAGGAGTGTGGGTTGGGCTTTGATGGTTGATTGTAATTGCTCAGTCGATAGGGTTGAATCGAAGCGAGTTCAATAGGACTCATGGGTTTGTTTATAGACGGAAGATGTGCTACTTGGTGCTGACGCCGCTGCCTCGCGTTATTCAACCTGGGGATTGTAGACGTATATGGCGGGTGTATCGGGGTATGATAGTGCATCCCATCACGTCAATCTATTGGGGTTCTTGTCCAACGACCTCCCTACTCCGACAACCTCCTCCGCCATGGGCGGGGATGGGAAAGAGTTGAGACATGTTCTCTGGGTGGTGCCCCCCTCCCCTCTCTCTCCTCTCTCTCTCCTCGCTTCTACTCTCTATAGACATCACGGAGGAGAGAGGGGGGGAGGGGGGGGGAGACAAGCTCCCTGTTGTGAACACCAGTTGGGGCGCATACCTACCTCAGTAGGGAAGCACACAGAGAGGATCGTCGTGAGCAGCGAGAAGTTCTCATGAAAGCCGAGCCGACAGGGCTAAGGGGAAGCAGACTCGGAGATAGATCGCACACTGCCGTCCTGCTCCTCTCCGTGTCCTAGGAGACGACGGGCAGAGCAGTCGGATATATAAACACTTCCCCACCTTACCGTTCCGCGGAGAACCAGTGCGACACCCACGCAGAGGGGCATTATCAAGCTGCCACAGCACCTCGGCCGTAGCCGAGACAGAGGTCGCGTTGGCGAGATAGATGCCTGCGCACATCAAGCAGCAGTCCATCGCCTCGAACCCCTCCCCGCCCTTTATTGTTTCGGAAGCCGACCGCATGTCGCTACCCGGCGGCGCCGTGCGGACCGCCGCAGCCTCTTTTTCTTCGGGGAAAAAAAAAATCCGTTCGCTCCCCCCAACCACAAGGGACAATAGAGGGGCAGCAGGAAAAGAAGAGGAAGGGGAAGAAAAGAAAAAAGAGAAGGAATCCGCTCGCCGACGAAACCGCCCGCCGAACATAACGCACGCACGCCGAGTCGTCGCGCTGCCATCTCTCTCTCTCTCTCTCTCTCTCTAACCAGGACCCGGGGACGAGGGGCGAAGCACGTGGGGCGCCCCTGGGGACAGCGGCGGGATCTCCTCCGCCGCGCGCAGTCGTGGGAATTCACCTCTTGGCCCCGACGGGGGGCGACGTCATGGACTAGAGCCAGCCGTCACCCATGCCCCCCCCCCCGAAGATAAGACGTAGGTGGGAAGAAGGGCGTTCGAGAGCTCTTTGCTTGAAAGTCAGAGCCGCTGCGAAGAGGGCCGTCTATTGCCGTGCGAACTCCACCACGCCGCCCTACTTTGCTCACCTCCTCGCCCTAAACTTAAACCCGGGTGGCGGAGGCCCGCCCCGACCCTCCCCGCCTGGATATCCTCTCAACGGAAGTAACCGGACGGATGAGACAAGCGGTGCCGTCTACTCCTACCTCTCGCAATCTCGATGAGCGAAAGATCACGGGTCAACAGTAACATTGGAAAAGCGTATATATATTCGTGATTTCCTACATAATACTAGGGTATTCGTCCAGGCATGTCCCTCCCCTTCCTTCCTCCAATTCTTCATCAGTATGAACATGCCGACCGCACCAGTCGTGTCTATGATATGCCTCTCCACCAATTAACACGGAGCCGTCTGTCTTTTTCGTCTTTCCCAAGTATTTCCGCGAGCAGCGGGCAACGAAAAGCTTGACCTTGCTGAACCTGCCCGGCTAAGTCAGACAGCTTTTCCAAAGGTACTATTTTCAGGGAGAGGTGGCAATCTAGGACGGTACAGCCCCAACTCCGGCCGATATTATCGAGATAGTCGTCTAGAAAATTTCCGAGCCAACTTCGGAAGATAGGAACTGGCGATTACATAGCAATTATAAGCTATAACACTGCCCCGAGCGGCTTCCTGAACGGGGGACAGATGATGTGTGTGTGTGTGCGAGTCGAAGATAAACCGGGCATGTCGGTATCGTTCGACTAAGCTGTTGAAAGTATCGGTATTACTCCTGGGGAGAACCGAGGCCGATGCCGCCTTTTGGTATCGCTGCATCACCAACGTTGTCCGAGAGTATTCGGAACCGACTGGGGCATCCGGGTTGGCGCATCGACGACTGTGGTTGCCAGCCACCGATCTAAGTGTCGTGAGCGGAGTTGGAGAGCCCATTGGACTGTAACTGCAATTCGGTAAGATCCGCGTGGGTTTCCCGACCCATGGTGGATGAGGGCTATGATCGCCGGCTAAAACAAAACGTGGGGTCTCGTTGATCGTCGCCGGGCGTCCGGAAGGCCGTTGATGAACGCCCCTCCCTTGCTACTAGAAATCAGCGGACCACTTGCCGCGCCCCTTCTTTGCCCAAAACTCCCCTCTCTTTCGGCTTGGGACTGTGGCCCCTCTTCTTGCGACCAAAGAGCCCAAACACACCACCGCCCCCGGAACCCTGCTTGTCGTCAGTCGCGGCACTCGCATCAGCCGGCAGCGTAGTATCTCTGCGCGCTAGGTCAGACCAGCTACCCGTATCCTCGAGCGTCACCGATATCCCGCCGGTCGGCGACTTGACTTGTATGCCCGACGGTTGAGACATGCTCTTGGTGTACGTCCGATGGTAGGATGCTAGTGGTGGCGGCGCTTTCGGCACGATCTTAGGCGTACGGTTGTTGTTCTGGGAGCCCTTGTCTGACGATATCGAATCCTGTGCTGCCGAAGGCTGGTATAATTGCCGCGAATTGCCGTTGGTAGCGGGAGCCGCGGTGACATCATCCGTAGTGATGGCCTGGGGTTCACCGCCGGCTGGACTGGAGCTGGAGTCAAATTCGCCAGATCCTCCTCCGTTTTGTCCTGCCGTGATTCTAATATGCCGTTAGTCGTCACGGCGGTTGCAGGATAACGTCACATGAACACTCACTTCTTATAAGCAGCCACGGTATAATCGAACGGCCGGAAGTCTCGCTCGATGGAGCGGTACAATTCCTCTTCCCGAATCTCCTTTTCTGTGGCGTCGTCCTTTAATCTCTCCCTAGGCTTCTGTCTCCGGGCCCTGGCCTCTAGCGGTGCTTCCTCCAGTAGCAATTCTTCGAGGTCGTAAGTAGCGTCAAAATTGGTCTTGTCCGCCGACGGGACAAACACTGGCTCTAGTTCTTTCCTTTCCAAGGCTTCGAAGTCAATCGATTGGAAGAATGGCTCATTTATGAAACTGCTCCAGGTATGGCCCAGTCTCTGGTCCGGGTTCGGATTCAGAGCGGAACCGATGGCGTATAGACACGGCAGCGAGACGGGGGGTTGCGTGACGGGGAATTTCGGGCTCGCGGCGAGAATGACATTTGTCAAGGTCGTTTCTGAATTGCCCTCGAAAGGACGCTGCAACCCCGTAAGTAAAAGGGCCCGGAAAATCATGGTCCAACTCTGACGGCTGCTCCATACCTTATTGTATATGCACTCGTAGAAGAGCACACCCAACGACCACCAGTCGGCTCTGACGTCGTAACCCTTCCCGGCATAGACTTCGGGGGCGAGGTAGGCGAGAGTGCCGGATTTGCTCGTGAGGACCTTTCCGGGGACGACATCCGAGGCAACGTTCTAAGAGCCCACGGGTTAATTGAGAAGTCGTAGCAAATACAGAGACTCGTGTCAACTTACGAAGTCAGTTAAGTGAACATGGCCGTCCGAGTCGAGCAACACGTTGTCTGGCTTCACGTCTCGGTGTATGATGCCCTGTCCATGCACGTATCGCAGTGCACAACCCAGTTCGGCTATCCAGAATCGTACAGCATCCTCGGTGAAAGTCTTCCTCGAAATATGGAAACGGAGATCGCCTCCGCTCATGAGGTCGACCACAAGATACCTATGGGCGCGTAAGCGATATGGAACAGGCTACTTTGCTGGTGATAGTGGTGGCTCGGGCGTACATATACTCGATATCTTGGAAGCTGTAACGCAAGTTACAGATGAAGGGATGGTTTACGTGCTCGAGCATTCGACGTTCTCGTATGATGTTCCGGACGCTCTCGGATCGCACCACTGCAGTAATAAAGTCAAGTCAATACGGAGTGTTCCTCGTACGCGAGTGCACGTATACCCCCCCCTTTCGTAGGAATCGACGCACCCTCATCTTTGCGAATGTACTTGAGGGCAAAGGACAAGCCTGTGTCCTTCCTCTCGACTATCCGCACTTTACCGAAGGCACCGCGGCCGACGACTCGTAGCAATCGGAAATGGTTGAGGTTCACTATAAGCGAAAAGGAAAAAAGGAGTCAGTCTACCAGTCGGGCCAAACCGCGGAAGGGCGAAGAGGTCTCCCGAGACAATTGAGTGGAATGGCGCCTCTCATTCGGAAGCGGGAGAGACATTGCTTACCTTCGCCGTTGAGTTCAACGGGCTTGCCCTGGCTGTTACCCATCGGGAACTCGAGTTCGACGGGTACACGTACTTTCCGCAATTCTGGCCGCGCTCAACAACGCGAAGACGCCGGAGTTCGATGGGTTCGCCGACGGTGAGGCGATCAAGGAACGGCCTGAGGTCCTCGAGATGAAGATGGGCGGATTTATTAAATCGCGAAACGACAAGAGATGGGCGAGGAAAAGATGCCGGGAGGTCGGGAAGATCCACCCTGAAATCTTTTTTTTTTTTTCTTTTTGTATCCTCAATCTGATCAACCACACAATTATTAGGTAGGCAGGGAGAAACGGGACTCGGTATCCTCTCAACAGCCAGCACCAAGGCAGGGAGACGAACAGCAAGAGAGCGAGTGGGAGAAAGAAGACCCAAAACGATTAAAACTCAAATTCAAATAGAGAGAGCGTGTGTGAGAGTGAGAGACAGAGAGGGAGAGGGAGAGGGAGGGAGAGAGGGTAATGGTGGAGGAGGAGTTGAGAATGGGAAGAGGAAAATACGACTGTTAGTTGAGATACCGCCTCTAGATGGGATAAGCATAAGAGATAAAGTAGTGGTGGTAGTGGTTAGCGGTGCTAAGTAGTAGCGGTGATAGTGGCACATCCATCCTAGTTGTAGGTGGCCTGCTTTGTACCTACAAGGTATGCGTGTCCAACACATGTGCGCATAGGCTGTCCAGTAGAGGTGGTATACCTAGGTACGGCGTGCTTAGCAGGTACCTCACGTACCGGAACTAGGTACCTAACTACCTAACCTAACCTCCTGCCCACCACTTATACCGGCCGCCAATACTGCAGGTAGGTTAGATATCTAAGGTAGGTAGGTACCTTGGGTACCTAGTTGCGTAACATAACTGATACGTACATCCATAGATGTATGTGCAGGTAGAGGGTCGATAGAAGGAGAGAGAGGCGATAGGTACCTCTCAGGGAGCGGGACCAGGTTGAAGGGTAGACCTAGGGTTATGCGGAGGTACCTACCTAGCTTAGGGGGTACCTACGGGGGCATCGCCGTGGGTATCGCCGTGGGCATCACCGACGACTGGCCGAGTTAGGCTTAGATAAGGAGGCAAGCAACAGCGTACGGTTCCCGGGCTTCAACGCAGGCTTACGCTACTCGCACACGATACACATCGATACATACCTACATATAAGCATAGCAGCACGCATAGGGTAGGGGGACCTAAGGCAAGTCTCTACCTCTCGCCATGGGCCGTACACAATAATAAACCCGTACTGACGCACCTGTACGGCACTTAGGGTGTATAGGGTGTGCATACGCTGTTGGATGGCTCAGAGGCGGGCACGCACAATATGACCTCGAAACGTGGGTTTTCTCTAGGGGCTTGCAGACGCCTAACCGCACTGAGCATCGCGAGAGGATGGATCATCGCTGCTCAGCTGTGGAGGTCCCATGTGGTATTCGTAGGCCGGCCGCGTGTGGCTCGCCCCCCCTCTAGCCCCACCGTCATCTTCCATCGGCATGGGTCTGCTTACTCCAAGCATGTATACGCGCAAGCCCAGGTAGCTATACATAGCGCAGACGCCAGGCTCCTCGCATCCGAACGCGTGTCGGGCTCGCAGCAAGGTACAGAATACAACTCCCTCAGACTTGGCCATGGTAAAAGTTGCAACGCGGATCCGTGTTTCAGCCCAGAGGCCGGGGGGATGGGGTGGTTCGTGATCTGGGCATGTCCTCTTCTGTGGCTAGTCCCACCATTGGCTCACTCGCCCCGAATAACGTCCTATGGCACAACTACCTACCTAGGTATCTACCTACCTAGCCACCCCAGGCTAGCCACCCCAAGCTAACCACCCCCAAGCTAACCACCCCCAAGGCTAGGTGGCTCCACGCGCATTAGGTACTTTGCCAGAACCGCCAGAGCACGCCAGATCCCCCTATTACCACCTTAGCTGACTGCTCACCCGGGTAGGTCCGTAGGCGCATCTGGCATCCTCTTCCACGCAAGGTTCTCTCCAGAATCTAGAACGCGTAGATACGTACAGGGCGTGAGCTAGGTATCTCGGACGTCTCCATCCTCCTACATCAATAGATCGATCTATTTCTACGCTTTCCACGTGCGCTGACTTCCGCTGGATGGTCCTCTCCGTCAGCAAGAGGCATGTGTACTATAGAGCCCATACGTCCGAAGCCAAGGGACACCAACCACCGTTGGGGAATCAGTACGGATAGGGCAGATGGGAGGAAAGGAAACATGTCACGCACGGGATCTGCCCTCATAAGCCTACATCCATGAGTCGTAGGTAGAATGTAGGCGTCTACGTTTTACGCAACAAAACAACAAAAGGGCACCCGAGGTATGCACCTGTGGGGGTACCTAACGCGACCGGCCTTAGGAGGGAGGTTAGGTGCATAATCTACCTAACCCTACCCTGAATCAATCGCCACCTATGGTGAGATGCCCTAACTTTGGGTGCCTAAGCGCGGAGGCGCCTTTTCCTTCTCTTCTTTTTTTTTTCTTTCGATGAACCTCACTCACCTAACCATGACGTTGTAGGTGGTTTGAAGATGGGAGGAGTTGACGATGTAACGCACCATGGCCTCGTTGGGTTTCCCAGAGGATCTCCAAGTTACCGATCTGCTATGCTACGGCTCCTCTCGTCCCACAACTCTGGTCCCATATTGCTTCTCTGTGCCTCTCTCCCTCCCTCCAAGGCGCTCCTGCGAACCGAACGCTTCTTCTTCTCATATCCGGATATGCCCTCGGGGCTAAGCAAGCGGATTCTCCCGATCTAGCCATGGGGAGCGCCTTATCTCGGTCGCCTGCATATTTTTGGCCCAAGGCCGATTCTGCCGGTAACGACTCCTACGCCTAGCCAACAACCCTGCGCGGGCGGGATCAAACAACACTACGGCGACGCTATGCCGCCTTGCGTGCAAACACCCTCAGCTAGGGCGGCGCGGCCGCAGATGTCATCGATCCCAGCTACCACGTGCAGCTCCTCTCCATCGATGGCTCTATGTTCGGCCACAAATGCGCCGTCTACTGCGACGCGACGATTCAGCGCTCGCATGACGTTGCCCCTGAATGTCGAGAGTCTACGTGCTACCAGCTTGTCCACGTTGCCTTCGGTAGGATTGGTGTAACATTTGGTGAGATTGGGCGGGCAGCAAATGGGAACGACACAAACGATGATGGGAAACGAAAAGATGCCGCCAGCAGGTTATATTGATCGTCTCCCTCGGCTTTCTCTCGTCGTCCCCCTTGCGGTAACGCTCGCTAACCATCACCCGGTCTATCCGGGCGTCCCCCCCACGGTGGCCCCCGAGTGGACGCGGACATCGCGACAACTTAGTATGGCGCTTATGTATGTCTGAGATGTCGAAAGACGTCTGCGTCGGAAGTGTAGGGCTCGCTAGCTGCGCTAACTGCTTAATCTGCCCGTCGGTCAAGGGCTAGTGCCGCTATGGCCGTAGCAGGAGGTTGGATTCCGCCAGCTCCAACCGAATCCCGCGCAGTTGAGATAAAGTCATGCCACATGTAAATCGTATCACCGGAACGGCCGCCTCGTCATGTATCTACGTATCAGCGGATGGTGCACTCCTGCTTCAGGAACAACCAGACGGCCGGTTGTCGTCAGCCGCGGCGGCCGTGTAACCACCGCGTGAGACGAAATGAGTCTAATTTTACAGCGAGGTCCGGGGAACGGTCAAGATGTGCAAGTTTGATGGCGTCTCGTGTTTTCTTGGACGTGCCTGTCAGCGTTCAGAAGGGGGGCCAGCGTCCGACAGAGACCGCACCCTAATAATAGGTGCCGCAGGGCTCGACTTACATCAGGGCAGCGAGACGGCGCATCCAACCTCCCCAGTTGGTCTCTGATCTCTCCCCGACTGGTAAAGCTCGGTGATGAAAGACGGCGAGAGATGTCTTGGCTCTCCCAACTGGTGATTCGTAAGGGTATGCGGGCTGACGGTCCTGGACGGCTACACGGGCGGCACCGGCGGGCAGATCAACGGCTGAAAACACAGCATGGTGGCCCCCGCGACTACCTACCGAGACGGACATAACGACTGGCATTGGTGGACGAAGCCCCGAAGAACGGGAAGGGCATCATCGGCAGATGCATGTACGAGGGACAATAGAGTGATTAGTCAGACGCCTAATCGCCCGCGAATCGGCGGCGCCGAGCTCTCGCGAGGTGAGTGTCGCCGAGACAAGGCGGAATGGTCCGGGCGTGCAGGATCTTCAGGATCTATTCGACAATGGAAGGAGTATTGGTTGGAGGCGGACGCGGAGGTGGAGTCGGCGGGCCGTCGTCCTCGTCTGCCTTCTTGTTAGCGACGGTGACGTAGGGACGACTTAGCGGACGCGCCTATGCAGGTACCCCAAGGCGTGAAAAGGCGTCGGGAGCGGTGATAGGAGAGGGAGGGCTCGGCAATGCAATGTTGCTGCAGGCATTCGTTGATCTGGCGGCCACCATTGGGTTCGGGGGGGCGGATGGTCAGAGAGGCAAATCGGTGTCGCCGAAGCTCGAGATTTAGGTGGATTGTATAGCAAGGAAGTATCTACACGTGCGAGCCACGGCTCGAGTCGACGGTGGATCGGCGCTATGGTTCGCGAGCCGAATATGCGCCTAACGGCCCCGTGATGTTCGGCGCTGCTGTCTTGAGCGCCCAAATCAAAGAAAGAGAAGTGTTAGTCTCGCCCCCCGGATCGTGTGTGAACCGACCCGAGAGGTGTTGCAAGTAGAACCCCGACGCCGGATCAATATCGGTAAAACTTGAAGAGAGATATTACCTACAGTAAACGGTTCATGGATATTGCCTGCTATACGCACCTGAGTCGTGTTCACCTGCATACCTATGTACCTACTGCATTACAGGTATGTACCTCCGTGTACATAACGTCGTCACTTACCTACAACTTCGGTAACGGAGTTGACAATATCTATCACGATACCTTGGCCTACACGTACAAAGCCCACCCCGCCGATCAGCCAACAGCCAGATATACCTACCATGTAAGCACCAACAGCTTCCGTTCGGTCAGGAAAGACGACCTCGAGAGATACGGGCACTGGCCTCTCGGACCCATACGCAAGAGCCGACAAGCCCACCGAGTCGCGTGGTTGATCGATCACGCCCCAAGACAGGATGGGAGCGCGAGGAGTCGGCCGTCTCTCGCGAACGGACTCACAATTCCCATATTAGCACGTGCCATATCGAGGCCTTGCCGTCCATGCTGTGTGCATACCGAAAGGGAATGGCGGTAAGGAGTCGGTACTACATGGGCGATGCTATTTTTGAGCTGCGCTATGCACGTACACGCGTACGTTCTTATTAGATTGTGGTTAGGTGAGATTGCGAGATGCCATCACTCCAACCCACACGGCATGCGGCTACAGGCTTCAATCTGCTATACCCTGAATTACTCCAGACGCAACCCGGATTCGGCCCTAGAACGATCTGTCTATTCCCAGTTAGCAGCAACGCCCTACCTGCAAACGTATCTCTCCTTCTCCACCCTAGGTAGGTAGCCAGGCCAGGCCAGTCCATTGATCCCTCTCCGTAGCAACGCTGTTTCGATTCTTCCGCTGTGTAGGTAGGTAGCTCGTGCATCACGTAACTAAAAGGGGGCTATCCCCGTACCGCCATCCGCAGGGAAACTCCTTTCCAGCAAACCGGTCGAGGCTCGTAGGCTCGCATTGCTCCTCAGTCAGGTGGTAGCAGGGAAGCCTGCTTACACTCGTATCCGAGCGACGTTTATTGCGCCCACATCCATACCACCACGCACACGCTCTCCCCCCCCCTCACCTCTAACAACGACCTGAACCAACCTGCAGCATCTATATGCAGGCGCGCACGCGCGCACATGCCGCCGGGACCTCCCATCGGACGAGCTGGGCTCGTGGGGGAAGAGGAGGAAAGGGAAAAAGGAAGCGAGAAAGGGGGTGCCAGGCAACCCAGCGAGCGCCGCCATGCGCATCCCGTCGCCCGCATGCGGAGATTGGGATGTCAGCGCCTGCCGGAATAGGCTACTGAGGACGCGACGGTGGCGCGCCGAGGGCGTGGAATGCGGAAGGTATAGATGGCGTAGAAGGCGCGTAGAAGGCACGCGACGCATGGGGAGGAAGAGAGGGAGGGGGGGAGGGGACCAGAAGATGGGAAACGATCCCACGGTTGCTAATACCACGACACGATGTTGTGATATTGCTGGCGGATTCGCTTGGGGTAGGTAGGGTAGGGGGGTTTGACAGAAGAGCGTATGTACATAGAGACACGCACACATGGAAAGGGGCGAGGGTTCGCTATTGGTGGTGGGGGTTCGGGAAGAGGGTACCGCATCCTTCAGGATGTTTCCAGACTACCCACCTCTATCAAACATGTTGTTGACCTTGGCTCCGCTCGGGGATAGGTAAGCAGGTGGCAGCGACGGTGGCAGAATGTCGTTGGGAACAATTCGGAGCCGCGTCTATCGAACGGAGGGTCCTATTGCTATAAATAATTCCGTCGCCAGAACCGCCGCTAACTCCCCCCCCCCCCCCCGAGCAAGCTCGTCAGACTCGCAGGCTAGCCCGTGAGGCTGGCAGATTGGCGGCCAGGAATAGGATCTCAGCGCGTACCTGGCAAAGAGGAGGCTAGGCAAGTATGTAAGGTAAGCTCCTGGCCTCGGTAAGGGGGAAGGCCTTTCGCCTCTGACCCATCGTTTCGCGTGGATGGATATATGTAAACGTGACTTTGTGTTATAACGCTGTTAGCCCGGATATGTATAGGTATACGTGGGGTGTTCTCGGCGTGCTCGACGTAGGACATGTCCGGGAAATGATCGCACCCTGTAGCCTGGTTAGTTGGCTTACCTGCCTAGGGCACGTAGGGAAAGGAAAAAAAAAAATAGATGCTTGCCTCCGTATCTGTGGTCGTCGGATCCCCAAATCGATATATAGATGCGCGTGAGCGCTTGGGTAGAATACGGTAGGACGGAATTCCGGTTTTGTGTCGCATTAAGTGTGGGATCGCGTAATAAGTGATTCGAAGGCAATATAATTCGAGGGCAACACGCGCCGATCAACCCATACGTACGGATGGAAAATGAAGCCAGCGGTTGGGAGTCGTCCTAAGCTTACTTTTATCGCTTACTTATATCAGTTGAGGGGGAGAATTGGGGGACAGGTTACCTAAGATGCCGAGCTGCATTTCCCGGAGAAGCAAATGCCTCAGCTATCTACATCAAGGCCTACTATCAGGTACCTACCTATCTATCTACAGGTATGCATGTACGTATTATTATCAGGTAGCGATCGAATAGCGATCGAATAGCGGGAATCTGAGATTCCGTTAGGTGTTAGGGTAGGTAGGTAGGTAGGTAGGCAGGTGTCTGCCACCTCTCCTATTATGGCCCAAGGCACCTAAACCCACGGCATCTAAGGGTGCACCGATGTACCCATGGACTGTTATCTGGCTGTCTTTTTTCTCTTTCTCCGCGGCGCCAGCGTCGTCTAGGAATTATCAACTCCGGGCCTCCTCGGATTGACCAATGGTACGGAGGGGATGAGGAGGGGTGGACGGTCTTATCGAGCGGCGCCGACCGCCGATACCGATAAGGAAGTAAACTGACGACACCGCCCGTCCAGTCCACCTAATGCCATTACACACCTGCTATTGGGACAGAGAGAGGGCACCGCCCTGCTGTCACCACTATCTAAACGACATCGTCTCCCACATTTCGCCATGTCGCAGCCCGCACCGCCGCCGTGCCTCCGTGGAAACCCGCAACCTTCCCACGGCTATGCTAATATTGCCGACTCTCGCAATTCCATCGCCGAAGGACACGGAGACAGCATTCCCAGTCGACCTGGTTTTGCGAATAGGTGACGGCAGCCGCCTCTACAGGCCCCCAAGGTACCCACGCGGGATGTTGACTCCCTCCCTCGTCTCCACCGTCTCCCGATCTTGTCGCCTATCGGGTACATCCAATGGCATCGCGGCTGTAGATGCCCCGGCTGGAGTCGCCTCTAATGGCTGGCTATCTATTGGATACCCTGGCCGTGAGGCATCTTAGTCCCCGGAGATGTGTGTTTCTGCTATCGACATTGCTTTTCCCTCATGTGTGCCCTCGTCGAGCTGCCCTTCTCCTGCAATGTCTCCTCCGCGTGGTCTTCTTCTGCATTGCATTCCTACACTCCCCTCCCCGCCTCTCCCCGTCTACTTTCAATATTCTTCATCGCCGCCTGCTATTCCTTCCGGCCTCGTCTTGCCGTCCATCCTCTTCCTCAAGCTCTTCCTCTCGAGGAACGCCCTCGCTCCGCTCGCTAGTTGTTCCATCATACGCCTGCGATCCCTATAGTATATGTCGTTAAGCAGCATAACGGCAACGTAGCAGTGGTGGCTTTCGCGTACCCCCCCGCGCCTTGAAGATGGCTGCTGGCGAGAGGACTAAGTTGGTCGTTGTTGGCCTGGGAATGGTCGGCATCGCCTTTATGTAAGCCGTGAATGTGCTCCATAGGTCGAGCGTTCTCGTCGGATCTCTCTAACCTTGCTTACTAGAGAGAAACTCTTGAAGCTTGACGCGAGAGCTCGCGCATATGATGTTGTTGTTATCGGCGAGGAACCTCACCTCGCCTATAATCGGGTCGGCCTTACCAGCTTCTTCAGCCATAGGAAAGTTGAGAATTTATACCTGAACCCGAAAGAATGGGTTAGTGAATATGCTCAAGCCTCGCGAACGCTCAACCAAACCTATTCGCCATGGTCACTCACGCGTGATGCAGTACATGTCGCACGCCCCGGACGGCAAACTCAATTACCACCTGAACACCCTGGTCACTAGCATCAACCCTGCGAATAAGACTGTGACCTGTGCCAGCGGCGACGTAGTCTCGTACGACATTCTCGTTCTAGCCACGGGGTCCGACGCTGTGTTGCCGGCCGAAACCCCCGGCCACGGCGCAAACGGAGTCTTTGTCTACAGGACCATCGAGGATCTAGAGAAGCTCATAGCCTTCGGAGAGTCACGTAAGGGGACTGTCGGCGCCGTCGTCGGCGGTGGCTTGCTAGGCCTCGAGGCAGCGAACGCCCTGATGGACCTGAAATGCTTTGAAAAGGTCAAGCTAATAGAGAGGAACCAATGGGTACTTAGCCGACAGCTCGATGTCGAAGCTGGAAACCTAGTTGTCGAAAAAGTCACCAATCTCGGTCTCGACGTCTTACTTGGCAAGCGGGTAGGAACGATTAAGACGGATGAGGAGAATAATGTCATAGGCGTGATTTTTGACGACGGCGAAGAGATGGATTGCTCTACGGTTTGCTTCGCCATCGGTGTGCGACCTCGCGATAGCCTAGCTAGGAGCGCGGGTCTCCTATGTGCGGACCGAGGCGGCGGGATCCTCGTCAACGACGACCTAAGCACGACCATCCCCGGCATTTACGCTATCGGCGAGTGTGCGAGCTGGCAGAACCAGACTTTCGGCCTCATCGCCCCCGGCGTCGAGATGGCTGATGTTCTATCCTTTAACCTCACGCAAGCCAAGCTCCACCAGCCGAGACGTTTCAAGCGGCCTGATTTGAGCACCAAGCTCAAGTTACTGGGCGTCGATGTTGCCAGCTTTGGCGACTTCTTTGCTGATAGAGATGGCCCCAGTTCCTGGCCAGTGAGAGCGGCAAGAAGGAAGACGGAAGACCAGAGCGCTGCCGGCGGGCCTCAGGTTAAGGCCCTTGTTTACAAAGACCCCTTCGCTCAAGTTTATAAAAAATATCTATTTACCGCCGATGGTAAATATCTGCTCGGCGGTATGATGATTGGCGATACGAACGATTACATAAAACTGGTGCCCATGGTCAAGAATCAGAAAGAGCTAGAAATACCTCCGGCGCAACTCATCCTCGGTGCGAAGAAAGAAGGTGACGACGGCACCGACGACCTCGAAGACGACACCCAGATCTGCTCTTGCCACAACGTTACGAAGGGAGACATCGTCAACAGCATTAAAGATGGCGCCTGTAAGACTGTTGGCGAGGTTAAGGCGTGCACCAAGGCTGGTACTGGTTGCGGCGGTTGCATGCCACTCGTTACGAGTATCTTTACCAAAACCATGAAGGAGATGGGCGCCGAGGTGACTAACTACCTGTGTGCCCATTTTAACTATTCTCGAGTCGATTTATATAACATCATCATGGTAAAGAGACTCAAGACTCTCGCCGAGGTCATGCGGGAAGTAGGAAGCGACAAAGACTCAGACGGCTGCGAAGCTTGCAAACCCGCGCTGGCTAGCATCTTCGCGTCGCTATGGAACAAGCACGTTATGGACAAGACCACGCACGGCCTGCAGGATACCAACGATCGATTCCTGGGAAACATCCAACGGAACGGCACCTTCTCCGTGGTTCCTCGCGTATCCGCCGGGGAGATCACGCCAGACAAGCTCATCATCATCGGCGAAGTTGCCAAGAAGTATAACCTGTACACCAAGATCACCGGCGGACAGCGCATAGACATGTTCGGGGCTAAGAAGCAAGATCTGATCGATATCTGGAGCCGGCTGGTGCAAGGGGGCATGGAGAGCGGACACGCCTATGCGAAGTCGCTACGGACCGTTAAGAGCTGCGTGGGGACGACGTGGTGCCGGTTCGGTGTTGGCGATAGCGTAGGCATGGCCGTCAGGCTCGAGGAGCGGTATAAGAGCATCCGGGGTCCTCATAAGATAAAAGGCGGCGTGAGCGGCTGCGTGCGCGAGTGCGCCGAGGCCCAGAGTAAAGAGTGAGTGTAATGTGTCTGTCTCTATCACCGCAAGATTATTTCCATCAGAGCGTAACCGTGCTGACGGCTTCCCCCCCAAAAGTTTCGGACTCATCGCGACGGAGAAGGGCTTCAACATCTTCGTCGGGGGCAACGGCGGCGCGAAGCCGAGGCACGCGGAGCTCCTGGCCAAGGACGTGGCGCCGTCGGAGGTGGTCCCGATCCTCGACCGGTACCTGATGTTCTACATCCGGACGGCGGACAAGCTGCAGCGGACGGCGAGGTGGATCGAGAGCCTGCCGGGGGGGCTGAGGTACCTGCAGCAGGTGGTGCTCGAGGACAAGCTGGGGATCTGCGCGTCGCTCGAGGCGCAGATGCGGGAGCTCGTCGACTCGTTCTTCGACGAGTGGGCCGAGGCGGTCGGCAGCCCCGCGATCGCGGCCAAGTTCCGGCAGTTCGCCAACACGGACGACGCCGTCGAGGCGATGGAGACGGAGCGCGACCGCGGCCAGACGCGGCCGGTGCGCTGGCCGCGCGACGCCGCCGCCGACGACTTCGCCGGCCTGCGCCGCCGCTGGTCCGCCACCGCCTGGCAGCCCGTCGTCGAGGCGAGCTACTTCGCCGGCGCCGACGAGGCCCCCGGCGGCCTCAGCGCCACCATCAAGCGCGGCGACACCCAGCTCGCGCTGTGGCGCGTCCGCGGCCGCTACTACGCCGCGCAGCAGATGTGCCCGCACAGGCGGTCGTTCGCGCTGTCCGACGGGCTCATCGGGCAGGACCCGGCTCCCGCCCTCTCCGCCGCGCCCCCCTCGGCGCCGTGGGTCTCGTGCCCGTTCCACAAGCGCAACTTCGACCTCGGCGACGGCAGCTGCCGCAACGACGCGGCGCTGTCGATCGCGACGTTCGAGGCGGAGGAGCGGCCCGCGGCGGCGGGCGACGGCGGCGCGCCCATGGTCTACGTCAAGCTGCCGCCGGTCGCGGAGCTCGACGCCGCGCTGGGCACGTCGCGGTGGATGGTGCGCAAGGGCGAAGGGTGCGGCGGCGGCGGCGGCGGCGGCGGCGGCAGCGCCGGCGAGTTCGACGAGCTCGACCGCAAGATCGGCTTCAAGGGCCGCCGCGCCAAGAAGCCCGGCGTCCGGCCCACGGCGGACTCGGACGCGCGGGCCCAGACGCGCGGGCCCCTCGAGGTCGCGACGCCGACGACGGCGGGCGGGTGCGGCGCCGCGCCGGATTGGTAGGCGGGCAGGCTGGCTGCGGCGGGAAAGGGAGAGAGAGGATCGGGCCGTATATACTAGGTTAGGTAGTTCTTCGCCTAGCTACCTCGGTTACATGTCCTTACATAGATTTATATATATATATATATATATAGACCGCGACTACGTTCTCGGCTTCCCGTGGATAGATACAGCCGGCAGCACATTGTCTTCGCGCCCTGCTCGTTCGCCCCCCACTGGCCCCGCGGTCTTCCTCCCTCCCTCCCTTTATTTTCGACGGACGCGGCCGGGGGGGTGCGTTCCTATAGGCAATACGTGTAGACCTTACACGCCTTCGCAGAATCGACAATCGCGTGCACGAACTGCCGCTGGTATATATACACATACGTAGACTGCGGTGGGTCGGAGATAGGCGGGAATGGGTGAGAACCTATATCCCTTGCATCTTTAGCCTCTCCGAACCTAGGGCTGCTTCGTCGTATGCGACGACGGTCACCGGTGCTTACTACTACCACTGCCAAGTCGATACGAGAATGTCGATGCAGAGAACGGGTACAAGAAAATCAATTCTGTTTTCTTGTCACTACTACCGAAGAATAATAACCCTCCTCTTTTAGTTCTTTGTTTCTGTTCTTCTCCTTCTCCCAAACACGCCAGAGAGTGGTTGGTTACACATCTAACAAGCCCCCGAGACCTTGCAATCGACCGCGATTGACTATATTATTCCTTTATATCCATTGAAGGTCTAGGCGCTGAGAGGGAGGGGAGGGAGTGAGGGGGGTTATGCGAGAATAGTATAGAAGACAACCACAGAATGGTGACATGCCCTACTCATCCATCCATCCATCCACGCAATGCTGCCCTCTCTGTGGCAATGGGTATAAGAGGGGTCCAATTTACTCCTCGGCCTCGCCCTGGGCATCCTCGCCGTACTCCTCCTCTTCCTCCTCATCGACACCGGCATCCTGGTACTGCTGGTATTCGCTAACCAAGTCGTTCATGTTGGACTCGGCCTCGGTGAACTCCATCTCGTCCATGCCTTCACCAGTGTACCAATGCAAGAAAGCCTTTCGTCGGAACATGGCGGTGAACTGCTCGCCGATACGCTTGAACAGCTCCTGGATGGCGGTCGAGTTACCGACGAACGTCGATGACATCTTCAAGCCACGGGGTGGGATGGAGCAGAGGGCGGTCTGGACGTTGTTGGGGATCCACTCAACGAAGTAGGACGAGTTCTTGTTCTGAACATTGCGCATCTGGTCCTCGACCTCCTTCATCGAGACCTTGCCACGGCTAATTTGATTAGGGTTAGCAGTTGGGTTTGTTTGGGGGGGGGGGGGGGGGTGAGAGGAAGGAGAGTGAACACGAGGCTTACAAGATGGCAGAGCACGTGAGATATCGACCGTTGCGGAAATCCGAAGCAGCCATCATGTTCTTGGGGTCAAACATCTGCTGGGTCAACTCGGGAACGGTGACAGCGCGGAAAGAGTGGGCACCGCGACTGGTCAGGGGTGCGAAGCCGACCATGAAGAAGTGTAGACGAGGGAAGGGCACCATGTTCACGGCAAGCTTGCGCAGGTCAGAGTTTAGCTGACCGGGGAAGCGCAGGCAAGTGGTGACACCGGACATGACGGCAGAGACGAGGTGGTTGAGATCACCGTACGAGGGGTTCGACAGCTTCAGAGTGCGCATGCAAATGTCGTACAGGGCCTCGTTATCGATACAGAAAGTCTCGTCAGAGTTCTCGACCAGCTGGTGGACGGAGAGGGTGGCGTTGTAAGGCTCGACGACGGTGTCGGAGACCTTGGGGGAGGGGACGACGGAGAAGGTGGCCATCATGCGGTCTGGGAATTCCTCGCGGATCTTGGAGATCAGCAGGGTGCCCATACCGGCACCGGTACCACCGCCGAGAGAGTGGGTGATCTGGAAGCCCTGAAGGCAGTCGCAGCCCTCAGCTTCGCGGCGGACGACGTCGAGGACCTGGTCGACGAGCTCGGCGCCCTCGGTGTAGTGGCCCTTGGCCCAGTTGTTGCCAGCACCCGACTGGCCGAAGACGAAGTTGTCGGGGCGGAAGAGCTGGCCGAAGGGGCCAGCACGGACGGCATCCATGGTGCCGGGCTCGAGATCGACAAGGACGGCGCGAGGCACGTACTTGTTACCAGAGGCCTGTCACCCGGGGCACGTTAGCGTCCTCGTCCTCCGTCCGATGGCATCCCTCCACATGGCCGCAACCACGTACCTCGTTGAAGTAGACGCTCATGCGCTCAAGCTGGAGCTCCGAGGTGCCATTGTAACTGTCCACCGACCCGTCTGTCAGCATTACCGTCCCTGCCGTGTCGACACATCGCCGGGTCTAGATATACGTACACGCCATTGCTGTCGAGACCGTGCTCGCCCGAGATGGTCTGCCAGAAAGCAGCACCAATTTGGTTGCCCTGCGAATCCTGTGTGAGCGCTGCCAGATTCTAGCGCGATGGGGGTTCCTGTTGGTTGTGGCACTTACGCATTGGCCGGTCTGGAGGTGAACCTATCAAGAGAACGAGACACGGGTTAGCTTTGCAATTTTCATCCTGTTGTGTTGGGTTGTTGACAGCTCAACGCCGCCGAGAGGACCACAAGACGCGGTGGTGGTCGTGTCATGTATGCGTGACAGAGCGTGTGTGGAGGGGCGTCGCGTTTCGGTACTCGGTTTTTTTTTTCTTGGTCTTGGACTGGGCTTGGAGGGAGGCGAGGGGCAAAGGGGGCTGTATCATGACTTACGATCTCGCGCATGTTGGCGGTTGTTGCTGATTAGGGTCTAAGAGGAGGAGGGGAGAGAGAGAGGCTGGCAAGCGAGGAGGAAGAATGAATGGATGTGGTTTGGGGAGAGGGTTATGTGATGGAGGCTGAGGGCAGAAGAAGAATAAGAAGGATAGGAGAGGAGCGGTGTGTGAGTGGTATGAAGAGAGGTTTGTGTTGTGCCTGGCTCGGGAGACAGTCGAGAAGAGGGTAGCTCAGGTTGTCTGTTTTTTTTCTTTCCTTTCCTTTTCTGTTTCTCTGCCTGGAGAACTTTCTAAAGGGAAAGGGCGGTTCCTATTCGTTGCTACGGGGGAGGAGCCCCTCTCTGCGGGTCAGTGTGCTTGCAATTCTAGAAGTAGCACCTCCGCTATCTCCCTTACCTGCATATCTGCCTGCTACGTACCGAAGTGTTGTACCCTACAAATACCTGGTGGGTACCTATAGGAAATGAATACAAGGCAGGTATATCATTTGGTTCGATTAAGTATCCTATCAGGTAGGTCTGTACCTTCCATGTACCTACCTAGATACCCTCCGTGTCCTACTACACGTGCTTGGCCCAACCGGCAGACGCCAATCGATAACATCGTAAACATAGATTCTTGGCGTCGGCAGTCCAATCACAAATGATGGCAGGTACGTGCATACCGATAACCCCTATACGAGAGTATATATATCACATCACAGCTATGCCTTAGGTACCTACCTACATGTTCGATCTGCTACCCGCCCTGGTAGGTAGATAACCGATATCAGCACTCTACTCATACACGTATATACCTGAGGTACCTGGTTTACAATTCTCCTTTATTGGCTCTAGACTGCCAGATCCTCGTCGCTGTCTGTCTGTCAACTGCCTATCAGGAGGTATGTACCCTACGTGCCTCCTGGGCTCCCTTTCATCAACCCCATCTCGCTTCACGTTATTACATTATTACATATATACATATTGAACGGTATGCGTGGAGCCAGGCCATCTCTCGTCCCCTATTTAACATGGAGGCTCATATGTAGGTCTTACATGCCTACCTACCTAAGTACTTATGAAATCAATATACGCCAATGTCAACGAACCAATTCCGTTCTATGCATGCATCCATCTTTGCATATTTATACCTATAAATACGGCAAGCATGTAGGTATGTTTACAACAGGTGACCCGTTGGCATTTCTTAATAAAAGGGGGAAAACCTTCCCCCGTTCGTACCAACTAATTCCGTGGGTGGATGGCCTCGGGATCGCACCGTGACACGTGCCCGTGCGTCGACTGCGTAGCATTTGCTGCTATCCGGCTTTATTGTACTACCGGGGGCTTGCCTTGATTGGACGCAACAACAACAACCGGACCCTTTTCATTGGCAGCCGACCAGCAACCAGGGAACCGCCGGGTTGCCCCGACCTGCCCCGTCGGCGCGTCGCTCGCCTATTCTCCGCTTACCTACCTACCACCTACCTACCTGAGGCGTGCGGATGGGGACCGATGGGGGAGACCGACAACCTGGCCAGCACTACGTATTCCCGATCCGTGGTACAACCTCTCCTTGTCAACGCCGGGCACAGAATCATCGGTGCCCACAGGCGCAGCTAGTTAGATAGGACGCTGTAGTCCCTCACGGTCAGGCTCACTTCACCTTTTTTCTTCCCGAATTCTTTTTTCACTTTTTTCTATTTTGGGTTGTTTTGGTGCCTAGACAGCCTTGCCTTAACCTGAGCCTGCCGCCCGTGTCTACCTGTACAATGCATTCCGTTTGCCGTGTCTGTCTGTCTTGCCTTGCCGTACCATGCCGATGCCAATGCCGTATGAGAGAGATGGAGAAAAGGGAGGGGGAGGGGGCAGAAGGAGAAGAAGAAATAAGTCGACTCTTTTATTTTTAATATTTTCCTCTTCCGAGTGGAAACCAAACAGAATGCGGTTCGTTAGTGGAAAGGCGCACAGGATGTCGTAAGGTCGAGGTTCCTAAACAAATGCCTTGGGCAGGTGCTGAAAACAAACGAGAGAAGACATATATCATAAGAGGAGCTCCGTACTCTTCTCGTACTCTTCCTCTTCTTTTCCGTCGAGCCTCCGGAGAGTTCATGGACGCGTGATGCGGGGTGTCGGCGATGTAGTAGATCCCGGCACGCGCCACGTCGACGGTGCCGGGTCTAGGAATCCACCCCCAATCCCCGTGTATGCGTGAAATATATAAATTAAACAACCCCGTAGCGTCCATCACGGCGTGCTGCTTCGCCCCGCCGGGCCACCGGAGTAATGCGAGTGTGGACTTGGTACGTAGAAATCGGTATTCGTAGTACTTCGTGATCCTATAAGTCTAGCGTATCATCATTTGAAGTGGAGCGTAGACGTCAAAGCCTATGCGGAGTCGTGCGGTAAGAATAGCAGCCGATATCGAGCGCCCCCGCGGGAACCAAGAGTGTGGTTATATCCAGGTCTTGCTGTAAAAGGGTACGAGTAGAGCAATATTGAATTAAGTCTGCCGATACGACGCTTCCCTCCATGCAGTTGGACAAAAGCCCAAGGTTCCTCCGTGTATGCAAATTAGAGCGACCGAAGAAAGCAAAAAGCGAGCCGACCCTACGCTATGCAAATCAAATATGTCGCCTTTACCTATATGCGGCTCTCCGTAGAGGAGAGGGACGGGCAGGGGGGTTCATCGGTAGTGCATCCCGTAGTCGCCAATCTTTTCAGCTGACCGTCATCATCTGCATGCGCTGGCTGAGCCCGTTGGACGGCGATGTGCCAACGGAGCCGCTGCTCAGCACAGAGCTGCTGCTGTGGCTATGGGGCATTCGTTTCGTAGGACTGGACGGCGGCTCGTCGAAGACCTTCGTGAAAGCAGGACTCCCGTCAGGTCTCGTGTTTCTCGGCGTCCGTGCCGGGCTTTGCGTGACCGGGTCCACTTTCCGGATGAGGTCGGATAGGCCGTCTCGTAGATCGCCCGCTCGCTTCACTAGCTCTTTGAGGCTATTCGTATCGAAGTTGACCTTTCCAGCGGAGGGGTGACTGCGTTCACGGTCTATGCCCGGTCTGGGTTGCCGTGATTGCATAGCTTCCATGACGGATTTCGCACCGTTGACCGATTTCGACTCGGGGCCGAAGATCTGCTTCTCCGGAGTATGAGGTGGGTCAGGCGCCAGTTCGTTGACGGCCTCGTCCCAGGCCCCAAAAATATCATCCTCCGGAGAGAAGACGGAGCGGCGTCGACCTTGGGGACGTTCACGGGCCACGGTGGTACGTTGGTCCAAGGTCACTCTGGACGGTCCGTAATCGTCGAGGGAACTTCCGTCGAATCCGTGGTCAACGAAGCGAGGATCGATAGAATCTTCGCCGGCGTCTAAAGGGTCGGGGGTATCTTGAGAGCCAGTTGCGTCTGCCGGGTCTTCGTCGGGTGAGGCAAGGGTGATAATACCCTCGGCTTCCTGCCAGAGCCCGGCAGAGGATCCGCCAAGCATGTCCATTTCGCGACCCAGCCGACATAGTCGCTTCAGGTCGTTGACTAGGAGAGAGAGCTCCCGGATCTGTCCGGAGTGAGCCTTAACCGTAGGCTGAGTAGCTTGAATAGACGCAGGGACGATCATCGAAAACTGGCTATCCTTTCCCTCGGCAACGTGCCCGAGATCGTCTCCCTCTTCCTCGAACTCAAAATCATCATCCCAATCCTCGCTCGCGTTCTTCTGGCCCAGCCCCCAGGTTCCAAATTTAGGGACCGACTTGGCGGTATCGGGCTGATCCGGGACGACAGGGACGCTTTGGCTTCTCACGTGGACGGGTATAGGACCCTTCCGACTCGCGGTACGTCCGCCCCTCATATCGGTCTCGTGCTTCCCGTGAACCGTTTTCGGTCTCGGGTAGCCGCCATCCCCATCCATCTTCTCGTGAGCGACGGCTTCTGTCCAGTCAAAGACCGTACTTCGAGGCCGCTCGCTAGCCGTGTCAAAGCGGGCGTTGCGTCTTCCATTGCCATTGATATGACCCAACGCCGTTCGGAGATTTGGACTGCCCTTACGTGAGTTCATCGAGCCCGGCGGAGAAAGATGGTTATAAATTCCGCTGTCATCCTCCTTATCCCAGTCGAGATCGTCGTCGTCGTCATCTAGAGAAAGCCGGCTGCTATCTTCTTGCGAGGCGAAATTGGGAGAAGCTGAGCTGTAACTGAACTCCCTGCCCTGCACGGTCGTGCTATGGAATCGCGCTTCGGCGTCCTTGTACGCCCTACGGACAGGGGTGGCGACGCTTTCGTCTTCCTCCATGATTCTGTTCCCCAGGTCGAAGGACGGACCTAGGATCTCTTGGATCGACAGTCGCTTTGGCTTGTTATTGTTGCCAGCTGTGCTTGGTGGTGACTCATCAAACATCGATCCCAGGGGGCTATCGAGAGTCCTTCTGCGTCCCGACGCCGCTGTTCGTAGCGAATCAAATGGGGTATCCGTCTTGAAGTCAGTATCGTCGTCATCACAAGAAGTGAACCCACGGTGATACTCGGAGCTAGCACCTGTAGGGACTCGCTCGAACGTCCGTGTGTGTGACGTATTCGAATTAGCTATAGGTCCCATGGACTCTTCGGGTTTGCCTTGGGCGGCGGTAGACGATGAGCCTAGCTTGCTCAAGTCGATTTGAAAACTGGAAAGTCGGGAAATTGGCGGCAGAGGCGATAAAGAATTCCGTCGGCCGTTTGGGGGACGGAGACCAGTAATGAGCTCTGACCCGACGCGCCCAGTCTCCTCCGTACCGCTCGAAGTTTTCTGATAGCTGGCTTGACAACCAGCCTCCATCGGCTCTGCAGTCGTCGGGGTCGGTGCAGATACGTGCCGCTGAGTTCCGGCTATGGTCTCGCCGCGCTTACGGCGCCGAAGGCTCCCAGTTTTGGAGATCCAGGTGGGAGGTGGGCTGAAATGCATGGAAATCGAACGCCGAGGTTCCCTAGAAGGTGTATTATCGGGGGAGAGAGAAGAACCGTTCGAAGTTTGCGGGCTGCTGTCCGTGTTGGTACGAATACCCGGCTCTGGGGTTAAGTTTCTCGGCTCTTCCAAGGTGTAGCTGCCTGCGGTGAGCAAGTTCGGCGTCACAAGATGCACATGCGGCTGACCTTGCTGTTCTACGCAGATCCGCTTCACGCCGGAAGGAGGAGGAGTATTGCCGTCGCGGCCCCTTAGCGGGGAGGACTTGGCTACACTGCGCGATATGCGGGAGTGCCAAAATGACTTCCAGGTTGTCAACCCGTTGGCAGCAGCACTTAAGAAGGACTCGGCCGTGCTACCGAGTGTATGACCCCCGGCACGATTTTCCTCGTCTAAGGAGGATGACAGCACTTCGGTGTTGATTTGTTGATGCAACGTAGCCGATCTCTGATGACTTGTAGCTGGCCTTCGCAGGGTCATCTGCGGCCTGGGTCCTCGCCGTACTAGAGAGGTATTGTTCGTCCCATTGACGGCCGATGCACGCTTGACCAGCTTGTTCGGAGGTAATTGGGCAGGCGTCTGCCCCGACGGTGATAGGATCGGTGCCGCGGAGCCGTGCGAGAAGGTGATCGAAGGCGAGTCGGGGCCCACACTCGATCTCGGGCTTTCGTGCTGGGATCGTGGGCGTATCGAAAACCTCCGTATCCACGATCCGTTCGAGGAAACGGAATCCCCCGAGTCTTCGGCGATCGGGGAAGCGGGTGCAAAATCGGCCTGCCTTATGGACGGGTAGCGCGCAAGAGGGGATTTCGTCGACGTGATTTGGGTATGAGACAGCCGCCGAAGGACTCGTGGTTCGCCTGTCGCATTGGCCGAGGGAAGCAGGTGATCCGGATGCTGGGCTGGGTCGTTGCTTAGAAGCGCGGGCGTAGGGAGGGCAGAGTTCGTGGTTGCCGGCCGCGACGGTATGAATACATTAAGAAAATCTTTGTCTGCTATCGATTTCCTCTTCCTCGAGTCTGGGCGCGGAGGTGGTTGTTCTTCGGCCAACTGGCCGAAGGCCAAACCCGTTGCCGCCGCAGCAATCGCACTGCCGGCTCCAACAAGCTAATATGGGTCAGCAGTACTCCAACAACCATGGCCCACACTGTGTGTCCTGGTGAATGGATGGATGAATGCACCCAAACTGAAGAGGAATAACGGACAACAGTGAAATGATTTAGAAAAGACAAAAAGAGAAAAAAAATCCCACGAGAACCCGGGAGATCGATCCGGGGATGCTGGTGGTGACAATTCTTGAGTCCAACCCCCCAAAAACACAGGAAATAACGAAATGCACCGAGAGGGATCCAACGCAGCACCAACTAAGCCAGGCATGGGAGGTGATGGGGAGAGGCTTATCCGGAACCGGCCCGTTGCTCTGAGCAGATGTTGTGATTGGCAATTTGCCTGAACGGGACGCGTTGTGGACTTACGCTGGGAACGGCCTGCATCTTCAAGGGGCGGGCGTTAGATGGGCAGAGAGAGAGAGAAGCCTTCGGTCTCGAGGCGCAGGAAAGAGGACTCGACTCTATACGACGTTCTCGTGACCATTGTTCATCGAGACATTGGCAAGGCTCGTGCAGAAAGCTGGTGCCGGAAGGGTCCGGAAATGCCAATAAAGCTATGTCTTATAAGATTCGGTCCTAAGTACGTGTGTGTAGTGCACCAGTTGGCCAGCGGCCGCGGAGAGGGCCTGGCGCGACGAGGTTCTGTTATGCCGACGGGCCAGTATCGACTCTAGTCGACTAGTGCGAGCTGGCCAAGAGCAATTGGATGGGCGCAATTGGGTCCGGGCAGCAAGTCCTACTCGAGCGGCGAAGACGGGGCCCAGCGGGCTGTTTGGTCTCAGACTCGGCTGGTGAGGGGATCCCGCAGCCAAGGTCAGGGCGGGATAGGAGAACGAGCCGTCGAGACGTCGTGGCTGCTGTCGTCGTTGTCGTCGTTGTCGTCGCTACCGTTCACCCCGCCGTCGGTGTCGTTGTGAAGTTACCGCTCGCCGTGTCGTTCCTAGCCTTGTTCTCCCGTTCTGGTCGCAACCGCTAGCTGGCGGCGGCGGTGCTCCCACTTACCGCTCTTAGCAGGAGGGTCTCGGCAGTCTCCCTTGGGCACGCAGAGAAGGCCGGTCGCTACGAGGGTGAGAAGCGAAAGGTGGAATCGGTTGAGTCTGGGGAGGGTTCAGCTGCAGGAGAAAATACACATGCCACCTGCAGCATATCAGGGCGGAATAGCTATTATTATTACGGGTCTTAAAAACCTGAGCCTCTGCAGAAGGAAAGGAAAAAACCGAGATTGGTGAACGAGGGCCAGGTTCACTCTGATAAAATAATAATAACAACAATAATAATAACCACAACAACAACGGGGGGCGGAGAAAAAAAAAAGGCCAACCCTGGGCTGTTTACGGAGCTGGATACTAATGGGCGGCCTGGGCTGCGAGTGCTACCTGACTATGAACAGTGACGATCTTATAGATCCAAGCCATAGATTCCCCAGCGAAATGAAAGGGTTGACGTGCCTTCTGTAGTGGGTGTGTACGCACACAATACAGGTTCGCTGCGTTCCATCTACGTATAGACATCCATACCTATATGTATAGACACCGCGTGGGCACAGCTGCCAGAACCAAGAATGCTACCTGGGAATCCCGGCCGGTGCAGGTATTGGTAGGGGAGCTTGGCCGGTATCTCCCATGTACTACAAACGCAGCAACTCAAGGCCATGGACCTTGGCCCTGGACGCCCTACGACGGGCACGAAGGGACGACGTAGGGTAGGTATGGATTGGACAATACTCATACTCATAGAATGGCTGACCCCAGCCGACGCATACCTCCCTAGGTACATACCTATTCATACATGAGGTACATACAACACGTAAAGAACTTGTCTCCTTTGAGGTACGTGCATACGTATTCCAGCATGTTGCCGTCCTACATGCATAAGACGGGTTGAGATTAGGTACCGTAGATATCTACACGTACATACGTCCTGTCTAACGTATGAGTAGGCATGTAATATATGCCTGCCTGAGGTACATTGCGTGCTGGGAGAGGCAATGTGCATGAGTCGAGCGTGTTGTGCATCGTATTCCCCCCCCCCCTCCCCGGGAACGGGGACAATATACATGCCCAACCTGCCTGTCAGATATCCCATGCAGTTCCGTTGTAGGAGGGGGATGTTGTGCTGTGTTGGTTTTGGAGATTACGGGTAGTGTATGCAGGTCAGGTATGTTAGGAGGTACCGAATGTTCTTGTAGGCACTCGCTTACCTCCCGTAAGATACCTATACCTATCTAGGTACCTCCTATCTAAGGGCCCAGTAGGTACCACGGCACGTCAGGGTACTCTAAGGAGATAGATTGATGTATGGAGGAGGAGGACTAGGTAAGGTACGCGTCGTCGGTACCGTGCAGCACAGGGGGAACCCCACTTCCGCTGTCTTGACAATCGCCCGTGCGACAGGAGACGGGAAGTCCCTACAGGTAGTAGAATCCATGGGCAGTGGAATCCATATACCTACCTCCTACGTAGGACCAAGGTAGGTAGGTACCTAGGTAGGTAGGCAGACAGGCAGTCCCAGGCATGTATAGTATTAGGGTCTACCCACATCGAGGTAGTGTGTTGACAAGTGCATAACTTGATTTCCAAAGGATTCGGGTCTGGCACGGAACCAAGAATGAGAGCATGTCGGACTTCCCTACCTGTTCCGTGCCCTCTGCTCTACCCCTACTACTATACGTACGGATGTAGGGTATTACATCTCAGGCGCCCCCGTGGCATCCGTATACACGCTGATTCACACACGTAAAGACGTGTTGGGTCGTATAGTAGTAGGTTATGGCACGTACTGCCGCTTGAAGAAGCATGCGACGTAGTATGAATTCTAGCACATAATATGTTTGTGCACAGCAATGTCTGCCGCCACAGCAGGCAAGCAGGCAGGTAGGTAGATGAGTTGATTGCATCATCTTATACTAGGTGTTTTTCTCTGCGGATGGGGCCGTACAAGAGGCGACATATATGGATGCTGCTGCCACGTTCACAACACAACACGACACAATACTACGCAATCAATCAATTAATTATCGGCCTTCCCCTACCCGACGACAACATCCTTACGCACGTTCGTATGTGTCGACATACCACAGCCGTTGGTGGCCTTGTTGTCATGAGCGTGTGCGTGTGTCCGTGTGTGTGGATTTCTGAATAGCCTGAATTGTCGCTGGACACCATACCACCGTCCCAGACTTATCAGATGCCTCTCTATATGCGCGTACGTAGATGGCAGTGAGCGGGCACGGCCTGCGTCAATACCATCGGGGAATGCCTACTAATGGACGATAATTATGTGACATTGGTGTTTAAGGCGTGAGAGTTCCAGATGCTCGGTTTCGTGTCTAACCGTGGTGTCTTAGCCGTCACGACACGGTGGCAGGTGAGGTAAGCATATGTGTATGCCTAATGTACATGCACCGCTACCTGCGCAGGTTCCTACTTGCTACCGACCTCAGGTTATGTACCTACCTAGGCGTTGAGGTTGATTTTCATGCCACGATAGACATCAGATGACAAGAGTAGAGGATCGCTTTCAACTGCCAATACAAAATGCATACGTATTTGTGGCCCAGATACTAACCTAATGATCCATCCAGAGACATGGCAATCTGTGATATCATTATCCCGCCCCGGGACACATTGGGTCAGAGAGGTTGTATGTCGGCGGACATACGTACGTTGACATCCCTCCTTAGAGGTACCTAATCTCCTTGAGCCTCTCTCTAAGTACGGCGGCCGGACCTGATAGGTAGGCGTAGTAAATGTTGCAGCGCGGACGTGCCGTAATATTGGAAGAAAATGCCTGTAGGCAGGCTACGAGGTGCCCGACTCCCAGCCCATGTACCTTATGGGATTGATGAATTTCAGGTACTTAAGTAAGTACTTACATACACAGCTATACAGACACTCTAGAAGGAAGTACCCTATATACTCAGGGCAGGGTACCTTAGGTACCCAGCTGGCCTAGGAGGTAGGTACCTCTTGTTCCCATCACGTAATATTACCTAATCGCACCGGCGTCCTTGAATTCAGCTCATCGACCTTAGAGGTAGTCTATTACGTTCGAAGACATCCCCAGGTACTCATATTATCTCCATGCACGTCGCTCCATACGCCATCTCATCTTTTTCGGCCCCGTCGCAACGCGGGACAGACTCACCATCCCTCTGACGAGCTTCGATATAAACTACGATATCGGAATCCATGTGCTAGCTAGCAACTACATATGTACACGGGCTCTGTAAATACCCAAACGCACCGCAGGATAACCCATCACCGTGTTTCTCCGACGGCATCATCTCGACTAAATAAGACGATCAATCGTCCTCTGCCCAGGAGGTACCTGCTCGCATCCACCGCAGATCCGGAAGGGCTCGCCAGATGTCATGTCTTCCTCTTGTCGTCTAGCCGCCCACCGCTAGTTCTCCCATGTAGGACATGACAACCGACGAGGCTTGACGCCCCTCGATACAATCCATGTTAGTCTGTGTTATTTGCCCGCCAAGGCTTGCTCGTCAAGCCGTCAGTGCTCTGTCCCCCAGGGAAACCCCCGTTACCCCAAACACCCCTTCAGCCAATAGCAGACTGTCCGCCATCGTACGCTGCCGCGAATCGTAAACAGAGGTAAGCTGTGCTCGTGGGAAACAGGCAGGTCATACGACCTCTCGCTCCCCCACCCCCAGCGCTTCCGATGCCTTGTTTCTCGCCCACGTATGCACGTACCTCACTACCTCCTCTCCGCCCATTAGGAAGGCGACGATGTTGTTGTTTCTTCTTGTCTGCCTCGTCTACGTAGTCTATAAGCTTCCTGGGGATTTTTACCGTTCCGTTCGGACTGCCGCCCTACTTCCCTCAGGAAAAGTTCGCCAGGGCGTGTGAAAACGGAAAGGAGAGCGGACGGATTTCTGTTGCCCGCTACCCACAAGATGGCTGCATAGAACAGAACAGCATTGTGGGCTTATCGGCAAGGCCAGTTGGCGACTAGGAGCCGCCGGGTGATGAGACACACATGCAAGTATTACTTAGATTGCGGCGCAACCAACGACAATGCCAGCATTGGGCAAGACAGCTGCTCATCCCTGGTGTTGGTGTTATTGTCCCTATTATTGTTGTTGCTGCTGCTGCTGCTGCTGCTGCTGTGTTATTATTGCTGCCGATACAAGGAATCTCATAGGAATCGAGCACCGAGACCGAGACACCGATGGACACGGGCCTTGCTTTGCTTAACTGCCATACTCTAGACATGGTCCCCTGTCATCCCATGCCACGATCCGATGGCTTCTGTCGTTAATCACATTACTATGGTATATCCTCAAGTCCGAGGCCATGTCTATCACATGAGCATTCGCCTCGGTCTACGGGCCAGACAAAGTCAAAAGTCCGCATGCTTAGTGGGAGATGAGAAGGAATTATTTGCATATTTCTGGCCAGGAGTGTCAGAAGCTGACGGACTCGAGCATTTCATACCAACCGCGAGGCACTACGTACATTTCGCTAAAACACGGCTCGTTTTACTCCTGCCGGACATCTTCCGAACGGCAAAGCCATACTGGGCAGCCAGCCGATCCGCCAGATCGCGAACTATGCCTAGATATCCTACCGTCGGCGTATGAGGATCGAGGACCTACATTACAACAGACCAGAGTTGTACTAGTCTGCCTGTACACAGCGCAGCCGGGTGCGGCAGGGGTCCACGGAGCTGTCAAGGCCACGGCGAAAGCTGGAGATGTGGAGACGAGCCTCCCCCTAAAATAGACGCGGGTATCCAGTCTTACCTCCTCCTTACCCTTCGGCCTCCACCGATCGCATTGATGATGGCGGCATTTTCGACTACGGCTGTTCTGGGCTGCATATGTCCCTCGGTTGGTCTGGGTGGCCGTAGGCAGGGGCTGGGATCGCAAGTGGCAACGATGATGCCAACAGCAACTTTTCAATCCCCCAAGGCAGGAAAGCAATGGCGACTTCTATCCAATAATGGCGCGTAAACAGGTGTTTCCGGTTACAGTACCACACCTCGCGAACAGCATCTAAGCAGAGCTACCTAGGTAGGCCACACCATGCAGTCCCCTCCGGCGGTCGATATCGTCACCAGCTGAAACAAGCCTCCTGAGATTCCCTGCGGAGAACCAACCGTTCGCGATGGTTCCGCGGACTACCTATACGCCGTCTTCCTCCTCGGTTATTGTTCTAGAGCGCTTCAGCAGCACTGCGAACTCGCTAAAATGTTCATTTTACAGAGCCCACCGATGTTAGATGGGAGACCCCGGGAGCGAATTCCAACCTCAGGGCCCGAGTCGCTACCAACAACTTATTCCACAGGAGAAACACCCCGCGGGAATCGCCATCATGCATTGCAACGAGACGAAACGCCTGGAGACTCTATCCTAGATCCACCCCATTCGATCAATGGCTGCAACCCACCCCCAACCGTTATTCTACTTCCACTTACACTCGGCGTTGCATACGACAAGATATAGCGCTTGAGCTAGTCTGTGAGTAAGATGACGGTCAATGGAATCGCTCCACTTTGGTGTGTGGTGTCATGTTGTCCGGTTGATAATTGCAGGTTTCTTCCGATGGGAAATCGGCAGCAAACCCTATGCCGAGTTATATTAACAGAACCGGACCGCGAATAGCAGTCCTACCCGCTGCGCGGGGGTAGATTGACGGAGACGGCCATGTAGTAAGGGCCTCTCGACTTAACATCGCTGACTTACTACCTATGTAGGCCATCGATAAACACGTTCGCGATATTTAATATCCATGCGGAGCCAATGATATTCCCAAAGTGCTCAAGTTCTAAGCAGGATCGGCTTGTAGCTGAACCTCGAAGCCACTGCCACAGTATCACGAGATAAATGATGTTAGATTCCCTCTCACGAATCGAAATACGCTCATGTGTACAACCCTCCCCTCTCTCCCCTTTTCCTTTCCCCACCATCTCACACACATACCACACACGCATACACACACAGCGCGCGTGGGATTGTTGAACAATTGTTGTCTCACTTTGCTTTGTGTTTCGTTGATCTATTCCTAGGTCGAATACGCTCTTATGTGCATGTGGGTGTCACCCACATATGCACATGTACATGCCCCGGTAAGGGAATGTGAGCTGTTATGTCATCGGTTCCCAGATCTCGAATTCACATCGAACCACACACCCAAAGGGCTTGTGAGGGAAATGCCGTAGCAGCAGACACGACGCATACATCACATCGGGAGCCGTGCTGGTCCTGGCGGTGGCCGCATCACGAACTGCATCATGCTTAGGCCTGGTATGCAGTCTACTACGTAATCCTGGGGATCCCCCAGCCCGTTACATCTCGGGGCAGTCAGGTTGGGTATTCGTTCGCGAACCTGGCGAGAAACGGTCCCGACTGCCAATAACGGAAACGATGGCTGCAAACGAGACACCAAGCCCGGCTGAAGAAATCTCTGCGGCCGGGTTGGAAGGGAGTGGTTTGCCGTAGCTGGAAAGGTGCAGAAAGGGGCCGAGCAGGGAGACCCCGTAGCATGGCAAATCAGCGATCAGACGAATCGCGCGTCGAGAGAGAGCAAAAACAAAAAGATCCCCCCCAAAAGCGACAAGAAGGATGCGCGTTTTTCCCCTGCCAGGTATGTTATATAGGTATACATATACATATATTTACAGGTAAAATCCCAACCCCAATCCCATTAGGGAGGGCGCGTGCGCGAGGCGGTCGCCGTCGCGTCACCCGACACGCGCCTTCGTTCCCGCCCGGAAGGTGTTCGTTATGGCCATAGGTGCATCGAAAAGTCGACTTCCTATTCGCGAATGATATAAAGGAGGGAGGTAGATAGGCAGGTAACCATGCCAATGGAATGGATATTAGTAGGCACATATAGTACCTACATATTGAAAGTACCTATATAAATTTTCAAGAGAGCGGACGAGATCGGTCCAGGAAAGCTCATTTCCTATCAGCCCCTTTGGCCCCTTTGGCCCCTTTGGCCCCGATCATCGTGGTTTGCATAACCTCCTCGTTCTTCACCCTGGGTCCCATAGTAGAGGACCAGCTCGCTGCGGCTACGCGTGTGTGTTATGTATGCGTATTAGCCACGTTAGAGTTACCAGCGACGGCTTTGATACTGGCCGATGTCGAATCGATCTGGCCATCCCAGCCAAGTCCAGCCCTTCGCATCGAGACCACGCCCTATTCCATATGTTTACATTATCCGTACATCCAGGCAGGAAGGGCTACCGGGATCGCGGTTTGGCCCTATGCCCGTAAGAGGATAGCCGACATGGGGAGAGGCGAGCTGGAAGTCCCGACGTGACGAAAGAATATTTCCCTGAATGGTAGGTACCGGGGACGTGATAGGCTACCTAAACGGGGAGTGATGATCTCGAAAGGTCGATGGACGCCGCAGTCCGAGGCCAACGCGGACTAATAACACGCGACGAGCCCGGTCCTGGTAATCGTGCCCCCGTCGCCGACACGACAATACAATCAAAGACTGGCGGGTTCCTACGTGTATACCAATATTGGCCGTGATGAGATCTTACGCAGGTACTAGTTCGCTAGCGATACATAGTTCGGCCGGCAGTGGGCGAGGAACCAATATAAGTAAATATCGGAGGCAATGTAATGGGCGGGACGGGACGAGATCCCATCACTCGGAATAGGAGAAAGCAAGGCCGGAAAATAGGAGAGGGGGAGGGATCGACTATGGATATGTGCAATCCGTTGCCTTCCACCTAAGAGACCATAGCAGGGTAGGTACATACCCGCCCACTTACATACATGCATACTCATACATGCATAGGTACATACATGCATGTCGTTATCATAGGTAATTATCATGCACGATACCGGTCAGTAGGTACCCGGTCAGTAGGTACCTAATGCAAGGGAGAGAACCTCATGTATGCGTATGTACGTAAGGGGGGCCGTAGGTCCGGCGCTATCCCCCGCCAGGTGTCAGTCCAATATGAGTGCTCATATGCTATCAACATGAAGGCAACGCCACAGTGGCACAGGCGATGATGCGGGACACAAGCGGCAAATGTATGAGTATGCGCCGCTACTTTTTATTCGGACGACATTGTGGGCTTGTGTCGACGCCTTCGATGAAGCAACCTATCATCTCCTAACACGCCCACGTCCACACCCACCCAATCTACTCATACGAGACGGCTTGCCTTTACGGGCCCTGCAACCGGCGTGGGAAAAAAAAACCCCCCCGCAAAAAATCAGCCCGGACGGCGAGGATCCACGCAACTGCAACTCCCAAGCGGCACTTCTCGACTCCAGAGACCAGCAACCCCCCCCCACACGACAGGCCAGACAAACAGCTGACCGCTCGCAGCTTATCTCCCGATCCGCGCGAGGGGGCCGCCGCCGATACCAGACATCCTTCCCAGCTCATCTCCGGCCACGCCCGCTTTGTTATGGAGGCTGACATCAGAGCCGCCATCCCGGACATCGACCCGGTTGTTTCCGAGTATTCTGTGGGCTATCTCAGACATGCATCGACCGCCTGGGTTGGCGACGAGGAGGAATCTCCCGATCTGTCGCCCCTGGCCGAGGCCGCCGCCGCTATCACCGAGCTCCTGCTCTCCGCCTCCGGCGACGTCACCGGCTCCAACCAGGACAAGATTCGCGCCCTCGTCTCCAAGTGGGTCGACAAGTATGAGGAGGTCAACAGCAGCAACGGCGAGAGGCGCGGCCCGTCTGCCGTGAAGCGGCTCGACCAAGCCATTCAGGTCGGCGCTCAGCGGAATATGTCCTCCACCTTGGCTGTGGCTACCGGGACTGTCGACCTCGAGTCCGCAAACGCCCGCAAGGTCGAGTCCAAGGTCGACCGGAAGAAGCTTGAGAAGGCGGAGCGCAAGATCGCCGCCAAGCAGAACAAGAAGCAGTTCAAGACGGTCGAGTATGAAGCGTCCCGGCTGCTCAACCAATCCGATAGCGCCCAGAGCTACGAGGAGTTTTACATGGCTGTCAATCCTCTCCAGCTTGGTTCAAGCGGTGGCACCAACAAGACCAAGGATATCAAGATCGAGAACGTCGACGTCGGCATTGGTGGCACGCGGATCCTTACCGATACAGACTTGACTCTCGCCTACGGACACCGCTATGGCTTGGTCGGCCACAATGGTGTCGGTAAATCCACGCTGCTCCGGGCGCTGTCCAGGCGAGAGCTCCCCGTCCCGACACATATCTCCATTCTCCACGTCGAGCAAGAGGTGAGACCGACGCCCGCTGGCGGAGTCTTTCTTGCATTCATGTGCTGTGCTAACGAGGGTAGATCACCGGCGATGACACGTCCGCCTTGCAGGCCGTCTTGGACGCCGACGTTTGGCGTAAAGTGTTGCTCAAGGAGCAAGCAGTATGCTTCTATCCTCCCCAAACGCGGCAAACCTCACTGGCTAATCTCGCCTCTAGGAAACCGGCGCACGCCTTGCCGAGATCGAATCACAGCGGTCATCTATGGCGGATACCTCTGCCGATGCTGCTAAGCTAGATCATGACCGGGAGACACTCGATCAGAAGCTTGGAGAAATCCAGGCTAAATTGGCCGAGATGGAGTCGGACAAGGCCGAGTCTAGAGCTGCCAGTATTCTGGCTGGACTGGGCTTCTCGCCGGAACGTCAACAATTCGCCACCAAAACATTCTCTGGTGGTTGGCGCATGCGTCTGGCCCTCGCCAGAGCCCTTTTCTGCGAGCCTGACCTTCTGCTCCTCGACGAACCGTCCAATATGTTGGACGTTCCGTCGATTACCTTCCTTTCCAACTACCTCCTAACGTACCCTAGCACCGTCCTAGTAGTCAGCCATGACAGGGCGTTCCTGAATGAGGTTGCGACGGATATCATACACCAGCATTCGCAGCGACTCGATTACTACAGAGGCGCGAACTTCGAGTCCTTCTATGCTACTAGGGAAGAACGCAAGAAGGCTGCGAAGCGAGAATACGAAAACAACGCGGCACAGCGCGCTCATCTACAGGCGTTTATCGACAAGTTCCGCTACAACGCCGGCAAGGCTGCCGAAGCGCAGTCGCGCATCAAGAAGTTGGAGCGTATGCCGGTGCTGGAACCGCCAGAGTCGGAATACAGCGTCAAGTTTCGGTTTCCCGAGGTGGAGAAGCTCTCGCCGCCTATCGTGCAGATGACGGGCGTCACGTTCGGGTACACGAGCGACAACATACTCCTCAAGGACATCGATCTCGACGTGCAGCTGGACTCGCGGATCGGCATCGTCGGCCCCAACGGCGCGGGCAAGACCACGATCCTGAAGCTGCTCATCGGCAAGCTCTCGCCGACAAAAGGGGTGATATCGCAGCACTCGCGGCTGCGGGTGGGGTTCTTCGCGCAGCACCACGTGGACGCGCTGGACCTGACGGTGAGCGCGGTCAGCTTCATGGCGAAGACGTACCCGGGGCGGACGGACGAGGAGTACCGGCGGCAGCTGGGGGCGTTCGGCATCACGGGCACGACGGGGCTGCAGAAGATGGAGGTGCTGTCGGGGGGGCAGAAGTCGCGGGTGGCGTTCGCGTGCCTGGCGCTGACGCAGCCGCACATCCTGGTGCTGGACGAGCCGTCGAACCACCTGGACATCGAGGCGATGGACGCGCTGTCGGAGGCGCTGCGCGAGTTCCAGGGCGGCGTGCTGATGGTGTCGCACGACGTGACGATGCTGCAGACGGTGTGCAGCAGCCTGTGGGTGTGCGAGGGCGGCACCGTGTGGAAGTTCCCCGGCGACGTCCAGCAGTACAAGAAGCGGATCGCGGCCCAGGCCGACGCCGCCGGCGTCGTCAAGGCGCATTAGAGCGCGGGGTGGGTGACGGGGGAAATTTTTGGTGGGGGGGTTTTTTTTGGGGGGGGGGGAGATGAGCTAAATAGCGAAGACTACCAAGTAGCGATGTTAGGAATCGAACCTATCCTTCGTTAAGTAACCTACTGATCTAGGAGGAGGAGGGGTTGTGGCCTGGACGAAAAGGAGGGGGGGAGAGAAGATGTTGGGCATGTATGTGGATGACGAACGAACGAATGAACGAGTGAGTGAAACGCACGTTCAACCATGGGAATATTTCTGCTTCTCGCCTACGATCGTCACTACTCCTAGGAGCCGCAGCCAGTGACGAGATTACGAGGCAGCGGGAGTGCCTTGCCCTCCTTTCTCTTTGGTCCGCGAGGTATCCCCTCTCGTCGGCGTGGACGCCGTAGCTCTCTCTCACTTGCCATAGCCTGGGAGAGGAGCCCGCTACGTCGAACCGGCGCACGATCACATGTGCGTACGCGTGTGGCGAGTGTCCGAGACGCGGTCCTTGACGAACTTGCCGCAGTAAGGTTTGGGGAGGTGGTGGTGGAGGGGGTTGTTCAGGTGTCCCGGAACGCCGGTTCGATAAGGCGTTTTAACTCCAGACGCGCGTCTCTCTCAGCACCACTGCTCCGTTACTACAGAATGCGGCTGGAGACATGGTCTAGCTTTTCTGGCGCGGCTGTGGGTGGATCTGCTTCTCTCTCCCTCTCTCTCTCTCTCTCTCTCAGGTGCTGGCAGGTCTTTGTCGCAGATCTACCGGTGCCCCGGGCTTCTCGCAGTAGGTTAGATCCCGCCGCGCGCGGTTGTCAACGCCCGCAGGAGCTTGCGATTGCTGCGTGTGGCTAAGTATCGTAAGGGGGGGGGGGGGGGGGGGCAAGTCGTGCTCAACGAGGCGAAGCTTTCGCACGGTAACTTAATAGCAACCTACGTCTAATGTTGCGATAGTGCCCTCCCCCGCCCCCCGCCTGCCTCCTACCGCAGGAATGCGCTGTTTGCCGGAGAGATTACTCTCCCTTGTGCCCACACACCAGGACGCAAGCAAGCCACGTCTTTGGTACTGTGTACGTAGGTGTGTTGTAGTAGCGAAGCTGGGGTTCGTGGAGGGAGGCAACCCGTACACTACAGGAGTTCTCGAGGGCGGGATGGCCATCACCAGCGCCCCCCATATTAACTAGGTACCTAATCCGATCTACATTCCTTCCGTTGCGCTGTGGCGCGGGACCGACAGGAGTTGTGGTGGATAAAAGAGATAGGTCGAGCCGGGATGGGCGAGGCTAGGGAAATAATAAGAGGGGGGGGCCCGCCCGTCAGAGAAACAAGGAAGTAAGGAAAAGACTGCGAATTGCCCTCGCGCAGAGGAAGACGGGGGGGATATGGTGGGAGACGCGCTCGCGCGAGATGTCGTTGCATAGGAGTTGCTGACTTGGGCTGACTGGGAATAGTTGCAAAGCAGCCTAGCTCCGCACGCCTGCAGTGCCCCGCGGGAGGCCTCGGGATAGCCTCAGTACCCCTAGGCGGTCCCCATTGGTAGCGAGGTATACTTACTACTGCTACTACTACTAACTAGGTACCCTGTAGGAACACGGAAGGTTTGCTCTCTATGGTTAGCCATGAACAAACACTCCGTCCGCTTCCACACGTTACGGACTGCGACCGCGGCTGGTGCGAGAGGGCCACGAAGCAAAAGTCTATGTGCGCGACGAAGGCGTGGGAGGGAGCCGTGAATCGATCTACTGCGGATGCGTCGGAATCTACCGCGGCTGTCTGCGTAAAAATCCCTAGAGAGAGAGAGAGAGAGAGACTGACGTGGATAAGGGAAACAGCTGGCATGTCGACTCTCACACGCGGGTTGGTCGGGTTGCAAGGAGCGGAACAGGATGCAAATATTTGCAAGTGCGGACATGCAAACGAAGCGCGAAGAGAGAGAGAGATGGGGGGATACACAGTGTGGGAGACATTCACGCAAATCAAACGGTTCTCGCTGCAAATAAGTGCACCATGCACCCAGAGTACAAGTGCAGGAGGTAGAGAAGATGTAGTAGTCACCCTTCTGGGGTAGGTAGTCAGCCTTGGGTTGAAATCAGCCCAAGGAGAGCCGGACAGTCGAACTTGGCAGGCCACGGCGTGGGATGGCGGCCACTACGCAGGACAAGTCACGGGGTATCACAGACGACCACTGGCGGTGGCGGGTTGTTTTGGGGGGGGGGGGGACCGCAACGCTGTATTCGTATTCATACTCACGGCTCGAAGACCGCGAAGAGTGACTAGATAGGACGGGGAGACCAAGAGACTCTGACGATGGTGAGAGGAAAGCAAAGAAAACTCCTCCCTAAGGTCGCCTTATAACACATCCTCCGATATACGACTCGGGCGAAAAATAACAAGTTACCGAAAATGACGAGAGAGAAGGCCTGGAAGAACAATGCCTAGATATATATCCATGGTGGGTGGCGTTGAGAAAACGACCACGACGATAACGTCGAACCACCTCCTAATAACAAGGGCGGCTGGCCGGCCGACGGCCGCCCTCCAGTTCGCTCCGTGCAATGCACAGACCCGCAATGTTCCCACGCAAGTTACCCCGTTTTTTGAAGAGCGATGCTCTTCCAATGATCACGCTCCTGTGTCAGCTGGACGATTTGCTCCTCGAGCTCCTCGAACCGTTGTGCCTTGCGCTCCCGAGACTTACGAGCCGCCAACGTGTTGCGAGCCCGTTTCATCGCCACAGCGTCGGTCGAGTCTTCCACGACGATGGGGGGAAGAGGCCTGTCCCGACGACGAGAGCTCACGCCCGCGATAGAAGAATGGCGGCCGTGAGCCCCAGAAGGTGGCGAATGCGAGCTCTTGGACTTCCTACGAGCGTTGGACGCCGCCTCGATGACTTCAGACTCTTCCACCGGTGACGCCTCGACAGCGGGGGCGGTGGGGGCCGGATTGGTGATCGTGTTCTCGGCGGGGGGGAACAACGAGAACCAATTGTCGTTAGTCCCGCTGTCGATATCGCTAGGGCCAAAGTTCGGGGAAACTTCGTAACTGTCATGAAAATCCGGAGAGCCGTCGTAGATGGATGGCGACGTCAAGTTCGTGAGGGCGGACGAGTTCGGGGCAGACGTAAAAGTGTCGTGAAGGAGCAGGTCCCGAGGGGACACAGTACTAGACGCCGAGCTCCCGTTCATATCATACCCAGGAACGCCAGGAGAAGGGTAGGCCGTGCTGGCCCCACCCTCGAAGGGCGTGAAGTCCTCGAAGGCGAGAGCGTCTATTTCGGGTGAGAAAGGGCCGTCAATGCCGGGGGTAACGTTGGGTAGATTACCTTGAAGATTCATGTTGGCCGCCGGTTGCTGAGTGCCAATGCCCGGTTGGAATGGGGGTACAGGCGGATGAGCGACACGACTCCTCTGAACGGGTGCGGCGGAAGACGGTGAGGACAAGGGTGCGTATGGCGATTGCTGGGTCTGGTTTTGCGCGTGAAGATTGTGCAGGTTGGTGAAAACCGTAGAGGGAGAAGACTGATGCCCTAGCGCCTGGATGATCTGGGCCACTCGGTGGTTCGGCAGAGAAGGCCGAGGAGAACGGTGCGAGAACTGTGCCGAGTGGTTGAGATGGGGATGTCGAGACCCAAAGGCGGCTGCTGCTGCTGAGGCAGAGGCGAGGGGGCGGTTAACGTTCTGTCCCTGGGGCGTCGGTTGGTCGAACAAGACAAAGTCCTGCTGCGGCGGGTGCTGTGGGAAACGGGATTGCGCGGGTGGTGCCGGCGGGCTTGACGAACTGGAGGGAAGCCATGGTGTCTGTTGAGAATCCGTGGTGACGACTGGGTAGTCTGAGGAGGGAATGGTGGTGATGGTGGTGAGTGAGCTTTGGCGAGAGCTGCGAATGGCCTCGTTCAGGTTCAGATCAACCTCGTGAGGAAGAACTGGGCAAGATGACAGAGTGGAGAAGAAGCTGTATTGTCCGGGAGACTGAATCTTGGCCGTGGCTACAGAGAGCACTGGGAAGAGAAGAGCGACACGAGGTCAGATAGCTTAACGCATCTTGGAGAGATGCCTTACTGTACTATACGATATGTGTGTGTTCTGGAGTCGGGCGGAAGATGAGGAAGAAAAAAATAAAGAAGAGGGGAAGAAATTCCGAAGGCAGGCGGAATGGGGGTGGGCAAGCCTGGTTTTAGTAATTTTTTTTCCTCTCCCTCAGGGTCGGGCAATGGATTTAGTGGGAGCAGAATGGGTGGTAGAGTAGGTGGACTGGCAGCAGAGTGGATGGGCTGGGCAGAGAGAACGGATTGGGAGCGGGATGAATGGGTAGGGGTCAGTAAGACAGGGGAGGGAGAGAAAGATACACGCATCAGAGTGGGAAATATTATATATCTAGGAGGTACCTAGGGCAGGTACCTACCTAATCTCCTAAGGTAGCCTAATGTAGGTACATACCTACTCATTATGTACCTCTACCTCTTAACCTTTGGCTCCCACCTGCTGGGCACGGTGCACGTATGGAGCGGAGGTGGAGGGTATGGAGGTGGGTCTTAGGTACATAGGGCAGGGTATATAGGTGCGTATATGTAGGAGGTACCTCCTCTTTGGAATAAAGAGTACCTACCTCCTACCTAGGTAGGTACCTGCCTGTAGGGCGTCAAGGACACCGGGTCCTGCTGCGGACCACCTCAGGCAGCTACCTGGTACCTATGGAAGTACCTAGGTAGGCAGGTAATACAGGTACTCATATACGGGTAACCGCTACAAATTTCCGCTGCGCAACTATCCTATCCCAGTTTGTGCGGGAGCGGTCCTATCCCAGTTCGTGCGAGAGAGAGAGAGCGGTATGGTGCAACTTTGCGCGGTACGCACAGTTTTACATGGTAGAACCTTGTATTATAAAACACCTTGCAGTATACAACCTGATACCGCTGAGCAGCAGCACAGAGACAGACAGAGACCCGAGGCGGCTTTTGGCGGAGCGAGGACGAGGAGGATGCCAAAGGGCGTGTGAGTCATAGGCGACGGACCCACCAGCCCACGGTCCTACGTGAGGTGAGCGGGCCAATGAGACCCCCTCCGGCGCGCTGATGTATGTGTAGGCATGCGCTAGCCTGGCGTTGGTTTACCAACACGATCTGGCTGCGGACTGCGCACTATGTACCTGAGGCGGTACCTCCCGACTTGCGAAATTCTGGTGCTCAGCCCCTTCGGTGCTCCGGCCCTGATCCTACTTTTAACTCGAGATTTCGACACGGAAGACTTCTCCCCGGACACCGACTGAGAGAACGTAACAATTCATAGTTTACAGCGTTGCGGGGGCCTCGGGCCAGAATTCGAACACCAGGTGTCGTGAGGGAGCAAAGATCGGGAGTGTCTCGACGCTACGTGACGATGTATAGTAGGAATCGATGTACCGATACTTCGCAGGCATCGCACGCCCTCCATGCCCTCCTATGCCCTCTGCGTGCGTATTGTACATACGAGGCATCCCTGGTCCGGATCCAAGTGGGCCGCATCGGTTTCGATTCCATGTCCTGCGCCGCTTGAGATATTTAGGCATGGGTGCGGTTAGCGGGCAGCGAAAGTCTTCAACGCTATCACGTTGCGGGCCAACCCAATTGGATGGTTATCGGCCAGGCCCAGATGGGAAAGTCGCCGCTACCAGACTTCCCATCAGCAACCACGGGATACGCACATACGTAGGCCTGGAGCACGGGACAGACCAAGTGAGGGAGGGCGTACTTGTTGACCGTACCGAGCAGCTTTCCGACTTCTCGTTCTAATTGAGAGAGAAAGAGAGAGAGAGAGAAAGTCGGAGCAACCCGGGATTCCTCACGGTTGATTAGTAGGCATCCTGTCGGCTCGAACGCGACGGAATGCGACGGTGACCCGTCTCCTTGCATCACTAATCTGCCGCGTGCCTGCACACAGTACGCTTAGGTATCGATGGGGACCATCTTTCTTCAATGCAGGCTCTGCCCTTCCTGATAGGACTGCGTGCGAGCGGAGTGGCTGTGCCCCAGATCGCAACTCGACTTTCTCACGCCCTGCTCCGCAGCACGTCTGGCAATGCCGGTGCTGTGCTGTGCTGTTTTCTTGATCTCTTCTTCCGTCGAGATCGTGGGGGCCCACTGCCGCTGCAATTCGATACTGACGCGGGCGCGTGGCAGATGACAGTATTCCTTCGCGTAAGGCGCAAGAGATGGAGAGCCCAAGAGGCTGGTGCGTGCAGTTCACGGCCATGCTACGAATCTCTGTCTGCGCGGCTTCGCGTTGTCGATAGAAGTGCGCATCGACGCGCCGGCGCATACGCGCATCGAGAATTTGAGAATGCGATGCTAAGTGGGACGAATGGCAACCCCACACTGCAAATGCGGAGGGGTCGCGAAGGAGGAGGAAGGGAAAAAAAAAAAGGTCCTATTTCCAATCCCAACCAGTCTCGAGTCCCGGTTCCCCGCCATCGCGACTTTTTCCATCCCGCGCGTTGGGACGGGAGACGAACCCGATCGAGACAAGACAGAACGAGACACGGCCTGGCGAGAAGGGCGCGCTCGATCAATCGGATCGCTCAATGGGCGACACTGGCCGCGATTCTACTCCCTGCCCAGCCCAGATCGTCGTGACTCATATAATCCGACTGCGCACAATGCCTTTTCTGCGTCCGCTGTAACGCCAGGCCGCTCGACAGTTTGGGGTAAGCGGGTTTTGTGTCTGGGACCCGAGACCCTCCCTATACCAAGGGATACTTTGTCGTCTCACGGCAACGTCGGAGGATCTAATATCCCTGGATTAGGACCCTCCTGTGTCTTCTTTCCAGCCAAGAAACAATAGGACAGAATGCTAGGCAATTTGGAGAGCATTTATTTCTACACGAGAAACAGCTGTTATCCCCCCTGGCGATGTGGATGTACACGTATTATCTATCAACGTACGTATGTATATGTACCTGCTTGCCTACCTGGCACATAGGCGCGATTGTACACCTCTGAGACACCTCGCGCGGAGCCAATCCTATCCCGTCACGCATCAGCACGCTACGTTGGTTAGGCCGTCGATATTAATTCGAATCGCACTAGCGGATAGCAACCTAGGATCTTCCTTTCCGTTGACGAGACGCAGGGCGCAGCCTCTTGTCCGTATTCGTCGTCGTCCTTGGCCGACGGCGACTTGACGGCCCGCCTCTCTGTAACCTGCCCTCTGGGCTATTCGACGGGTTATCGAAAACCCCCTTTCCCTTGTATTTCGCGGGCTGGGTCGTCTTGGATGCACAATACGCAATTTCGAGCCATCTGTCCTTCCACCAATCCATCCGGCGCCCAACCCGCTCCGTGCCTTTGGGATCGCATCTCTTGGCCCTAGGGATTGACGATACCCACGCCCCGTCGGCGATAGGTCACCTGGGGACCTCCGCGCCTGCTCACCTACATATACGTGTGTGTGTGTGTGTTGTGCGCTTGTTGGTTTCCGGGAATCTGACAGAGCGTGCGCCCTATCAGCCCTACGGCAGACACAGTCTTGCATCACCTTCCTCTTCCTCTCCACCCTCCCCAGACTCCTACGTGAATATCTGTCCTCACCCACCACGCAGTTAGGCTTTATTAGGTAGGTATGCTAGCAGAGTGTGCCTGGACTTTAGACGCATCTTGAAACGCGAGTGCGTTTACGAGGCCACGTTACCACTACAGACTTTCCTAGGCCGCGGGGCGGATGTCGAAGATCTGGTCCGGGGCTTACCTCTCGTCAGCACTATATCCCCCTGCTTTTATCCTTTAGACTATTTGGGCTTTCGACGGTACTTTTAACTGCCTCCCTCCTAATATCGCCCAGTTCCACCCGCAGTATGTATTGATTACCTATGTTGGTATACCGAGCCCACGCTACGCCTTCTGTGTATCCTGCAGCCCAGGTAGATAGACATACCACGCATAAGTCTCGTCAGCTGGTTTACTATCGACTGCGCAGATGCCTTGGCCCCCTGGTTCTGATACCCCTTTCCGTCCAGCGACATATGGGTACGATTCGTTATACGTTTGGCTGTACCTACACGTGCTTACGTATAGTTACACATACGTGCATAAGCCACGGCCTGTGAGGTGTTAGCAGCGCCACCGGCCGGTTGGGGGCCGAATATGAGCAGCGAGAACCCGGGAGGAGAAGAGACGAAGGGAGAGAGGAGGAGGAGAGAAAGCGAAGAGTAGTAGAGGAGTCTGGCCCTGCCTCCCCCTCCCTCGAGAGATCGCGATCGTCACGTTTACTTACCTGTGCTTCGTATCCCCCTGTCAGGTCCGCGGACCATGTTGGTTGCCTTTTTTTTTCTTTCTTTTTCTCCACAGGCGCTTCCGACGCCCACCCGGCCGCGAAGCTTGGTTCCCCATGCTCAAGGCGGCGTCGTCGGGTGTGGTCTCGGAGCCTCGGCAAGGTCGAGACGGGGCGCGCGTACGACGCGAAACGGACCTCTCAGATATCAACCTGCATTTCCCTAGGAATCCTCTCTTTACCATCTGACGTCGGCGGGCTAGGCAGACAGCTAGGCAGGCAGACAAACTAGGCAACCACCCGATCTGCTCGCGCCTTTAGGAGACGGCGTGTGCGGCGGCCGGTATTTCGACGAGGTCGATTGGATCGCGAAACTAGCTGCGTACGTACACCACCATGCGCTGCCTTAGGCACCTCTGTGCGTAGGTACTCCCCCCTTTGGGTAGCGCGATGCGTACGCAAGCCTACTACCACTGTTGCCGCTACTACTTCTAGGCAGCGGAATTAAATATCTGAGGGATAGGGGCCTACACGCACACCTACACACGCACGAGAGCATACGCAAGTATCCGTGGAGCCGATCACGATATCTTGTGGTTGATCCGCGACAAGTGCAGATCTATGTTCTCCCCCCCCCCCCTGCGTAATCCGTACGCGGTCACCTGGATCGGACGTAACGAATAGGTACCCTACCTGGCTACCTGCTACTTATCGCGCTATTCGCCCACCTCACTACCTGCCTACGTAGCCATCCACCAACCGAGACATTTCTTCTTCTTGGGGCTGACGCGAGCAAGCGTGTCCCGTTATATCCCGACGTGGAGGTTTCTTCTGTAGAGGTAAGCAGAGCAGGCGGGCAACCCTTTAGGGTCGTATGAGACTACATCATGTAAGCGAAGCAAGAGAGAGAGAGAGAGAGAGAGGATGGACAAGAGCGCGCGGCCTTCTTAGACCACGCATCCCCCTGAACAGCGCCCTAGGTAACCCGGGCTTTACCTTGCCGTGTCCTTGCTGCGCAATCGATGCTCTCGCGGACACAGAATATGGCGGGTAAGTACCTACTTGCCTAGTAGAATGGCATGGAGACGCAACGAAGAGACGACGCCTCGTGCGTGGCTGCTTACTCAGGAGGTACTACCTACGTAATAGTACGCGCTTCCTCGCTTCGACACCACATGCAAGTAAGCCGACCAACCAAGAAGACTACCAGCACAAAAACACCTATTACCTTCGCCGGATGGCCCGTTACGACAGCAGTGTTCCCTCTCCCTCCCCCTCTCTCTGTCTCTCTCTCTCTCCTCCTGATCTCGTATTACCAATATACCACGGCCGCATGGAACGTTGCTTCGGCGCTCGGCTTCTCGCCGACTGCCCGGGAGCCCGAGTTACGCAGCTACGGGGATACTGAAGTTTTCAAGGTCATTCAGCTAATATTAAAGCTACCGCGATACCGCGTGTGCGTCGAAGCACCTATGGAAGTGTATGTATGTATGTATGTGCGTGCGCACCATAGCAGTGCGCCTGAGGCGGCGGGGGGCGGTGCAGACGTGTCGGGCTGGGCACCCCTCGACGTACCCAGGCAAACCGCCGCCGCCGCCGCCGTCTCGGCCACCGCCGCGTCGCGGCTCCTGCCCCTTGCTGCTGGCCGGCAGATGCGTACGCGCGCACAGCAGCAGACAGCCTTGCCATTGTAGCAATAGTAGTAGCACTAGTAGGTAATAGCAGTGGTAGTTTAATAATCACGAGGGCGTGAGGATGCGAGCTGGAAAGCGCGCTCTCGCTGCTCTTCTCCTTCGCACCGTTCCCGCGTTTCCCGGCTTCTTGTTCCCGCGAAACTCCAGACCGGCCCCGATGAGAAAAGAGATAGAGAAGGAAAAAAGGCAGCCTTGCGCCTCTGCCGCGTCCCCGTATTCCCCTCCCGCGCGCCGTGCGGGATGCTTCGTGGCCGGCTGCCGTGCTCTGTGCGTTGCCGCGCCTCCCCTGCTTTCGTCCTGATTGCGGGACGCGCAACACGTGTCCCTGACGCGTCGTGCTGATGATAGTAGCGATTGTGAGGAGCGAGGCGAGGGAGCAAGGTTAAGGCTCGAAGAGGCGTCGGCCGCTTACGTGCGCAGCAATAGGTAATGATGATAGGTAACAGTCGGTGGGTAGAGGGGTGCGTCCGGAGGCGACATGTGTGCCGCCGCCGCCGCCGCCGCCGTCGACCGCCCGTAGCGAGGTGTCCCCGCACCGGTCCGTCCGGGCTGCGTGTGCGGAGAAGAAAAAAGTGTTCCAGGTCCCGGCCCGACCGAGGTCTACGGCGACTCGGCGTCCTCGACGTGCGCGAGTTTGGCGGAGGCGTGGCCGGCGGCGGCGAATCCGTCCCCGGACGAGGTGGGCGCGGGCGCCGAGTCGACGAGGGCGTTGTCGCGGACGACGAGCTTGCGCTCGGCAATGTTGCGCATCATCTGGACGAAGGTGGAGTTCTTGAACTTGTCCGTCTGATTGTCCGCGACGGAGTCGAGGATCTGCTGGGCCGCCAGCGCCAGCTCCGAGTCGTCGGGCTCGTCTCGGACGGCGGCCTGCTCCTCGGCGGCGGCCAAAGCCTCCTCTGCCTCCTCTGCGGCGAGAGCCGCGTCCTGCTCGGCGAGGTCTTGCTCGGCAAGCTCGGCAGTGGCGACGCGCAGGGCCTCGACTTCAGCCTCGGCGTAGCGTTCGGACTGCGCGTCCGTCTCGGCAGCCTCGGCCGCCGAACCGTTAATGCTCATCCAAGCGCGCATCTCGGCCTCGAAGTCGAAATCAGAGTTGAAATCCAGGGGCAGCTGAGCGGCCTGGTGGACCGCGGAGATATCGACTTGTGCTTGTGGGGAGGCGAATGAGGGAGGGGTGTAGATCGGATTGCGAGGAGCTAGGTGCATCTGGCTAGGCATGAATGGGCCAGCAGTGCGGACGCCGCTCGCGAAGGGGTGGACGACGCCTGGTCCTCCTACGCCAGGTTGGATCTGGCTGGCGGGGCCGCCTAGGTTCATCTGGTGGAAGTCGGCAGCCCAGTTTTGGCCCTCGGTCGCAGCTGTAGGTATGCCAGGTTTGTAGAAAGACGGGACCTGGCTATAATGAGGACCTTGTGCGGCGTAGGGAGCAGATGCCAGGGGAAGGGATGGGCCAGGCTGGTGGGTATTAAGTGAGGCATGGCCGCCCTGGAATGCAGAGAACTGCTGGTTTGCGGCATTGAAGCCCAAGCCGAGGGATCGGAAACCCTATATGCCAGAGTTAGTCCACTGTGCATTGAGAAGTTCCCTTGGGCGGGAGTCCCCTTGGGAGCACTTACTTGTTGGATGCCGTCAACACTGCTGGAGTTGGCGCTGGTAACCCGATCCTGGTGCAGAGCTCGGTCCCGATCGAGGTGCTGGGCTAGGCCTTTCATAGCATTGGAGGGACCGCACATGCTGTCAGCCATGGTGGACACTGGCTCGCACACTGGCTACTAGGGGCGGATAGAGAATGTGTAGTGAGGGGTCAGGGTCGTGGGGCAGTGTGGTGTGTGATTTTACGAGAGTGGTGACGGCGATGACGGTGATGACGAGTGCCCCTTTATCGGAGGAGGAATGGAAGGTTGATGGTATTAGAATGAATGACTGCACCGGAGAAAGATTAGCAGGTCTCACGGGTGAGGCACACACAGGGGAGGGAAAAAGGAAGAGGGGATTTCTATGAGTATTTGGGAAGAAGGGGAAATTTTGATGCGGCGAAGTTCAATGCCTAGGTAGGTAGGTAGATATACCGAGGTGAGGCGCTCAGGTGGTGAATCAGCACAAAGGGTACTGAGGGCAAGTATTGTAGTCGCGTTGTAACCTCGATGTGCACAAGATGGCTGGGGAATCAAGCAATCAGGAATTATCCCACTACGCAATGCTGGATCGGAACAGCTACACTTACGTGCTGTTCTTGTACGTGTAGCTGTGCATTTACGTAGGTGTTGTTTTATATGGAAGCTGATCACGTCCGAGGTTCGACGCCGGCATCTGGCACCTGGTCTCTTTTTAATCAGCTGGATTAGCCTCGGCAGGAGACAGGGCGGCGTGCAATCGCCAATGCAAACACCGGCCGAATGATGTCAGGGAGGGAAGAGACGAACCCCCTTAGGTACCTAAGCGTACCTTGTACCTTACATATATACCTAATGTGTATAGGTACCTACTAGTATAGAGGTACGTGCCTCACCTCTTAAAAACGGAGTTTCCTCGATGTAGCTATGCTACTCTGTAGCACTTGTTGATGCGATCGTGTTGCAGCAAATGGACAACCTAGGGGAGAGCCACGGCATTATTGGTGACTAACTGAGCCTTGTATCTGTGTTCTTAACAGCCGCTTTGCAGCGCTAATTTCTTCTCAGGAGGTGCTGGACACTGCAGTATGAACGCAAGCCGAAGAGCACAGAAACAGGTGCTAGTCTAGTTATGTAGGTATATCATCTAGTCCGCTTGTCTCTGTTCCTGTGGATTGATACTGGCAGATATAGGAGAGGTGAGAACAGGCTTGTGATGAGCGAACACACTCCTTCTCATCAACCTTATTGGTACTAGATCCCTTTATCCTAGCCTGCTACACATCGGCGCTCTCCTTCCTAATAGACTACACATGCGCCGGCGAGGCGCTTGCTTCCTCTCCTTGCTCTCTGAGAAACTAGCTCTCTTGTAACCTCAGCCTGCAGATCTCGAGCTCAGTCAAGCGGAGATCATACATCCGACACTATGGTGGTCTGGGAGAGTGTCGAATCGAACCTATTCGAATCGTAGAGCAGTAAGGAGTCTCCGTCGGAGATACTAGCAAAGAGTCTTAACCCCTAGCTAGAACTTATGTGTACAGTATCCGTCCTATCGGATAGACGTAGGGGGAGCTCAACAACTAAAGCGCTGAGAAAGGTGTATCAAGACGCTGGAGGGAAGAGGTGAGGGCGAGAAAAGTAGGTATTTAGATATCGTGAACAGTCAACCTCTCCATCCAGCAGCCAGCCTGTTAGCAGAGCGCGGCTGGATTGTGCCGAAGATGATATCACCTTTTAAGGTACTTGAGGATGTACCTACCTATGCGTAGGTACCTAGGTACCTCCTACACCAAGACGAACCCCCCCCAATCAATTGCTTCCTGAAATCTGGCAGTCTGGACTGGCCCATAAAAAAGGTACTTTGTACATCCGCAATTGATGCGCTTCCTGTCTCTGTACCTCGCGAGTGGTGGGAGCTCAGGTCTGAATCGCCTCTGACTGCCTGTTGAGACTACCAAACTTCAGGACAACAACCCGGCCAGGCTTGGTAAACGAGGACAGCCTCTATCTCGGACCAGAAGCTGATATCGCCATCGTTTCCCTCGTACCCTCGTCGTACCCTCTTCCCTACTACCCTTCCACTTATTTTCACTATGGTATGTCCTCTCGAAACCACTGTAGATGTCGGCAGAATTGCCTATCAGGAGCTCGCTGACCCTCACCTTGTGTTAGGCGCAAGTAATATCAAATTCTGGCCATGATGAGATGATCGTATGTGAAACGCCACGGAGAGGAACCCCATACCTTGCTACGAACCGCCTCGATTCAGATAGAGCTCCGCCTGCGCTGCCGCCTCTCTCTCCCCAACACGCTTCTCCTACGAGCACCACTGACAACTCGCCAGCATGACGCTGTCCTCGACTACTACGGTCGACGGCTCGCAACCTGTTCCTCCGACAAGACGATCAAGATATTCGAGATTGAGGGCGAGTCTCACCGATTGACGGAGACGCTCAAAGGGTATGGGCATCTCTGCGGTACCGGAACAGCAACACTCTCCTGACATTTTTGCGTACAGACACGAGGGCGCGGTATGGTGTGTTTCGTGGGCGCACCCCAAGTATGGCAACATCCTCGCCTCGGCTGGCTACGATGGCAAGGTCTTCATCTGGCGCGAGCAGTCGAACCAATGGCAAAGGATCTTCGACTTTGCCCTCCACAAAGCCTCGGTGAATATGGTATCGTGGTCGCCGCACGAATCCGGCTGCCTTCTCGCTTGCGCCTCGTCCGATGGCAACGTCTCCGTCCTCGAGTTCAAGGACAACAACTTTTCCAACGTGTCCTTCCCCGCGCACGGCCTCGGCGTCAACTCGGTTTCCTGGGCGCCTTCGACGACGCCCGGCAGCATCGTCTCCTCGGCACCGGCTGGCCAAGGTGCTCTCAGCCAGCGCCGCTTCGTCACCGGCGGTTGCGACAACGTACTGAAGCTGTGGGCCTACGACCCGGCTACCCAGGGTTACAAGCAAGAGAGGGAGCCGTTAGCGGGGCATACTGACTGGGTACGAGACGTGGCGTGGAGCCCGACGGTGCTCCAGAAGAGCTATATCGCGTCGGCATCGCAGGATAAGACGGTGCGGATCTGGACGAGCGATAACTCGAGCCAGGGCCAGTGGGCCTGCAAGGTTTTGAACTTCGAGGCAGAGGTCTGGCGGGTCAGCTGGAGTCTTAGCGGGAACGTGTTGGCCGCCAGCGGCGGCGACAACAAGGTGTCGTTGTGGAAGGAGAACCTGCGGGGCGAGTGGGAATGCGTCAAGACGATGGAGGAATGAAGGGCTTCCTCGTACCAGGATGAAATAACGAGTTGCACAGGATCGCACCGGCGCAGCCCGGCGTTTAGACGTAGACGAAGAGGGGAATCATGTTCGGTAGAATTCTGGGTCCGCGAAGACGGGGCAAGTCTGCATCCCGGAGCCCTGAGACCCGTGGAAGAGATGTGATATCCTGCGGCGGTAGTCGAGATAGAACTACCTCTTAGGTTACCTCGGAATGAGATGGGACGTTTATCTTGACTTGGGCCAAGAGAGGTTTCAGCAAGGTCCCTTCTTTACGCCGAAGTTAGCCTCACGTAGCAGCATCCCGACTCATCGTCTCATCGTTGGATGCACGAGAGCAAGGGTAGTCCCTTACAGCCGCTCTCTGATATCGTTGCCATCGTGCACTAGTAAACAACAACGAGGTTCTAGTCTGACGTCGCGTCCAAACTGGAGACTATATCTACATACCTAGGTACTGCGTATAGATATGTTTAACCAGGACGTCTTCCTCTCCGCGGTCCTAGTAGTACCCACATAGGTACATCAAGATCTGAATACGTGCGTATAAATCCTCTCCAACAGAGGTAGATACTCGCTATGGTCGCCTGAAATTACGACAACGTCTGAGTGTGATGCTACTATACACATACACCCTCGTTTTATACCAAGGGAGATGCTGCATTCCCGACCAACACCCAACACATATGAATAGGACCGCAAGGAACCGATTGGGGGGCGCTGGCGGTTAGTGCACCAGTCACAGCACTGTAACCAGCTGAAGGCGGCTCGGACCTATCTTAGGTACCTTTAATTGCCTAGGACACCTTCAAGGGTACCTAAGGTTGCCCTAGGTTAGGAGGTAGATAGGGTACCTAAGCCTAGAACTTGGCACCGCCTGTAGGTACCTCCATGTGTAGGTACCTACCAGTAAATTGACACCGAGCACCTAGCCTGACCTGATGCATGTACCTGGGTACATTCCTTCTTCCTTCCCAACCTGGCACACGGAGTACACCGCCGCCAGAGGTACGGGTCGAGATACATCCGCCCTCCCCATTTTTTGCGCCCTTCAGGGGAGACGCCGGCTGGCACTACATAATAAGAAGAGTAAGATTAACGACCTATTATCGCTGTGGAGTTGCGGACTGCAGGTGGTATCTTGTGTGATCCTCACCCTCGCATCCGTCAACTTCATATTTCCCCCGTCCAGTTATCGTAGAAGCAACTTGTCACTCACTGCACATACTAGAAACCCTCACTCGGCCGTCTGCCTCCCCCCGAATGCTATCCCAGTTCGTCGCTACCGCTCATCGCTCCGTCCAAGACGTCGTCGGAAGTAGAGCCAGTTGCTCCCCCATGCGACCCGTCCGTCAACCGGCTTGTGTGCATTGCTGCCGTGCGTGATCGATTCGATCCATCTGCGGAGACCGACCCAATCGCTGCCATCAGATCAGAAGATCAGAGTCCCCAGGGATACCGCCACATTGTCTGGATCACAGGAGGCTAGCCGCGGACGGTCCGTGTCCACCGGGCTCCCACCCCCCAGAATCCGAAAAGAAGACGAGGAACAGGTAGACGACGAAGCCGACCTGAGGTTCGAGAGCGACGAGGTCGATAGCCCTGACCGGACACGTTCGCCACCTCCGCAATACCCATACCCGACTTCCGAAGCCTCTGCCTCGACATCCTTCTCGCTTGCCTCTTCCCGTCCCGCCCCGCCGCCGTTCTCCAGCCTATACACCTACGCACCTACCGACGGTCTCGTCGACGATCACTTTAGGCTTACGCCGGTTGCCTCGTCCCCCGGCCCGGAAACTGGTGCATCGTCTGCAACCGCAGCACCGGCCTACGCTCCTCCCGCCTCGGCCTCGCCCGATAGCAACCCCCTCGAGAGGTCCGGTTCCTTCGAGGAGACTATCGCAGAGACCAAGCGAGCCCTTCCCCAAGACGTCAAGCGCGACGCTTCGAGTCACAAGCTTGACGATCCCAGCGAACCCCCTCCTGCATACTCGGAAGGAGATAGCCCGTTACTCTCATTCACATACCTGATGGCGGCCGCCGGTGGTGCGTCGAGTATCATTACTCAAGTTCAGCAAGGAGGACCTCCTATTAATGCTATCGGAGGTAAGAGACCCGCGCGAGGAATCTTTCATGGGACCTGGCGATGTTAAGACCGGTGCGCAGATGTCGGAGCCGACGAAACCATCACCATGGACCTGCGGTAAGTCGGCCGTCGCCGAAGGATCTGATTACGGCACCAGCGTTGCTGACGGGACACTCTATGTAGCGGCACGCGCTTCGTGCTGTCTAGGGATGAGCTACTAACCCTGCCCGAATTTGTCCTCTTATCCTTGTTCCCTAACGGGCTCTTTCCCGAGGGCCACATGGGCGGGTTTGCCGAAGGTGATGCCGTGCAAGTCGATGTTAGTACACGCAACGGCCATCCTATTCTTACCTAGACTCCCCCTTCGCCTACCTCCACCCCCGGCCTCCCTTGTTCTCCTCTGCTCTCACGCCACCCGCAGTCTCCGTTCCGAAATACAAGGCAGATATACACACCACTAACCTCGCATTCCAGTATGATCCCGCGTCTCTGCAATATATGCTAGATTTTTTCCGGAACGTAGCTCAGTCCATCCCTAACGAATCCTCCCCTACGGCGTCGCCCGATGGCGGGGTGGTTCCTGTGGACTCACTGGCCGCTCGGGGCGAGGATGGAAGCAAGCGGGCCGGCATTATCGTCCTGCGGGAAGACCTAGACTTCTACGCGATTCCTCCCCGACCGGACATCAGCCAGGCCGCTATGATCGAAGTTAAACGTGCGGCGGCCCGAGCTCTGCTCAAGCAGGACGGTATCTTTTCGGGACTGAAGCGAAGCGACGAGCCAGGAACGACCGAGGCGCACTTGATCGAGATGCTTACGGCTGGGTAAGTCACAGCAGCATTCTCAGACGCCCTGCGGCGGGGGTTGGTCTCCGGACGATTGCTGACGCGTTGACGCAGCGGCTTCAACCATGACGATAGGTGGGGCCACCGTGCTGGCGAGCCTAACAAGGCCGTCGTCTGTAGCCTGGCCCTGGCTCGGCTGCGGAGTGACATCCGCGGCAACGACATGGGCAGCAGCGCGGTCGGCATGGCACAAAAGCTGCTGCTCTTCTGGAGAAAGCCGGCCCGTCGCTGCTGGTGGGAGGGTGTGGACCTGGAGGAGGTGGAAGGGGTGAATGGACCGCTGAAGGTTTGGATCCGGCGGGTGTGGACGCTTGAGATGAGCGTCATAGGTTTGCGTTAGCGATTTCGGCGGCGTGGGTGAGCATACGGGCGTTCGCGTGACGTTTCCTTTCGCCCACACCAGCTTGGTTGCTGCTGCTGCTGCTGCTGCTGTTCTTCCCCCCCGACCGAACGCGGGAAACTATGGGTTATACATACACACATGCCAAGCCCTACGGTACCTAATACTCCCTGGTTTCACTACCGGCATGTCACAATAGGCGACGATGGCACCCCCCCTTCTTCACGTTTGTTCATTGTCGTTGTTTATATTTGGGGGTTTACTTCTAAGCTAGGATAGCAAGACGCTGTTTTGTCCCGCCCCTGGCTCGATATCGCACCTCTCCTTTCGTAGTTGGTTCGTCTAGGCTTGCTAAACACCCAGCGAGGCAGGGAGATGGGAAACGGAGAAGGGGAGAAAATGGGAGACGAGGAGGGTGGGAGTAGACAGCGTTCGTCGTCGGGAACTACCGAGAGTTATACCTACGTGTAATATTTGGGGTTGCAAGAGAAAGAGACACCCGATTCGTAAATATGGACCTGGCCGTGAAGAGGTTATCCATAGCTCCGGCTCCGGCTCCGCCGGCCCTGGTCGGCCTAGAGTAGTCCTGCTGAGCCTGCTGGTGGGTATTTACCGCGTCTACGAATCGCGGGCTGCCAGCAGCTAACCCTGGCGTTTTTTCTTTTTCGTTGACCAGGATGGTTATCGTAACAAGCGTCGAGCTGGCTCCCTTTGCTGGCACGGGGTGTGTTGTATGATGTTACGTATATATATATACATAATAGGGGATAATGTCTATTAATAGGAAGAGGCGAGAGTCGCAGGGTTGCTATAGGTGCGTTCGGTAATGTCTTAGCCCTCGACGGTTTTTGTAGCCTTCCCCGCAGCAGGCGGCGTGACAACAGCCAACAACAGCGGGGATTAGGAATAAGGGCTGTAGCCGCCTACGGGTAGGAACCGAGTGCGCCTGTGATGATATGGATGTTAGGTACCCTCCTTTTGCCTTAGGTACCTACCTACCTACCTGCATATAGGTAGGTCCTAGGCCTATAACCAGCGGATATTTATTTCCATTCCATGTGTGCGTGTATAAGCGTACCGTTATTTATATAGGGGTGTATGTTATGCTTGAGTATCATGTAATGCACGCGTATATGTATGCACGCGGGTTCGCCCGGGCTGGGCCAATTCTTCTAGAACGGCACCTACGTGTATGTGCCAAGGCGCCTGCAGGCAGCCTCCTACTTGTTTACTCGCTATGTGCCTATGATGGTTATGTACCTACGAAGTTGACTCGCTACTTAGGTAGGTAGGTAGGTAGGTAGGTAGGTACCTCATCCCAATGCTATGCATATATCCGTAGCGCTACCAGATCGGTAACGCGGGAGCATATCGATCGTACGAAGTTTGGCTGATGGTGTGAACGAAATGAGCCAAGTCCCGTCTTCCCACCGACCACCCGACTCTATACCACGTATCTACACATACCGACTACATCACCACTTTACGCGCACACCTCCGCTGTACATACACAACCTACTCATACACACGCATCCGCAGTCTGAGTGGCATTCGCCTTCACCGACCTTTTCCCTCCTGTCCATTCTCCTCTCCCTCTCTCTCGTTCGTCGTCCTCCGTCTGCAACCGCACGTCATCAGTGATAATACCCGAAATCGCTGAATCACTGCTGCCATCGCCGCCGCCTCTTCTTCCTCTCCTTCTCCGTCTCTCGCCGTCGCTGCCTTTACCTCTCTCTACCTGTGCCACTGGCCGTCCCGGTCGGGACTCGACACGCACAGGCAATTTGTTTGGGCCTTGGACGCCTCCCACTGTCCGTCTTCGTCTCAGTACATAAAGCCTTTGTCGCCGAGGCGCCACTTTTTTCTTTTTCCTCTGACTCCTCTCCGGCGGACGAGTCAGGCACCGGCTCGTCAATTCGGGGGCGTAGGGACGAGACGCCTCATACATACCTCCGCAGATTGGTCGCGCCTATCACGGGCCGTAGGGGCTCTTACAGGAGGCGCATACATACATACATGCATACACACCTCCGTCTTCTAGCTGAGTACGGAGCACAGCCCGGTTACCATCGCGCTTCGAGCCTCCCTTGCCGGCCTGCCGTCCAGGATTAGTTGCTGAATTGGCCTGAACGTCTCGAGGTCCTCCTACGTGTACGTTCTCGAACGCTCCAACGATATTGCGATCCTGTCGGTCAACGCGTTGGTGCCTGAAGCTACCGGCTGCTCCCCTCTCCCCCTTCCTTACCACCAACACTCTATCTGCTACGACCACCGCTACCGGCAACTAACACTAGACTGTAACCATCGGATATCAGCATAATGCGTCAACATGGCTGAGGATACTTATTCCGACACGCTCTCCGTCTCTTCTTTCGGCCCCCGCTACCCTGCTGTTCTAACCACCACCTCATCCTGTTCATCGTTCCACGAGATGCCGCGCACTAGGAGGCTGCGTCTTCTCGTCGCTGCGAATGGCCAGAGGGATGTCGCCTACGCCCAGGCCATCGCCGTGCGCCTCCTCAAGGACTCCCAGATCGAGACCCGGGCTCTCGTCGACGAGATACCCATGCGCCTGACCCACGATATCATGGTAATGGAAAATCGAAGCCTAGCTGCCTTGGCTATCGATGCCGACCCGAGGACGAGAGACGCCATTGAGTCCGCCAGACAGACCGCCTTCGAGCTCGTGGACTGGGCCGACCTGCTCGTCCTAGCACCCATCGACGCGGATCATCTCGCTAAGATGATGTCCGGCATCGCCGACACTACCCTGCTGGAGATACTGAGAGCCTGGGACGTTTCCAAGAAGATTCTACTGGTACCCGGCATGTCGGTGCAGATGTGGGAGAATCCCATGACGAAGAAGCAGCTGAGCAAGATTAAGCGCAAGTGGGATTGGATCAAGGTCATGACCCCCGTGTTGTGGCACTACGACGGGTCGAGTTCGCAGAAGCGTATGGTGGCCTGGGATGGATTTAACGACCTCGTCGGCATAATCAAAAACCAGGCCGAGCTGATGAGCCTGGGACACGACGTCGAGGTGGCTGCGCAGCAGGCCATGCAGACGGCCGCTCTGAGTCGGTCCTCCAAATGTCTGCCGCCAGAAATATGGACCATCATATTTGAGCACGTCGGCGACTGGGAATTAGCGACGGCCCTCGGCGTCTACACGAATCTCGAGACCCCGCCGGAATGGAAGAGCGACCGCGCGAACCTGACCGATCCTATTGAGATCTACATGCATGATCTCGAATGGCTGATCTTGTCTTGTCCGGGCCCTGGAGCGATCTGTCAGAAGCTGTCGGAAGCGCCGAAGGAGCTGCGCTACGTCTCCTACCTCACCGTCAAGCTCATCATCAAGTTCTCGTTGATCAGCGTCCTGACGTACCTAGAAACGAATCTGAGCAAAGTCTTCTGGGCCTCCTTTAGCGCCAAGTTACTACCGAACAAGGCCTCTGGAGTGTACGGCCGCATCGACATTCTCGACTGGTGGAATACATCCCCGTCGTTTTTGAAGAAGGAATACGACGCCGAGGCGCTGGACAATGCTTCGCGGATGGGATACGTTCACGTGCTGGACTGGTGGCTTCGCTCCGGCCTCCCGCTCAAGTATACCGAGGCAGCCCTCGAGTCGGCCTCCGCAAGGGGACACCTCCTGGTATTGGAGTGGTGGAGAGATGCGGCGCTCAAGGACGACAGAACCATACTGAAATCCGGCCGTAGCCTCTTGAGCGCTGCTCAGCACGGACAGACTGCCGTTCTCCGCTGGTGGGAATCGTCAGGAATTCCCGCAAGCTACAGCGAAGGCGTATGCAAGATCGCCAGCGCCCACGGCCAGACTGCAGTACTCGACGTATGGCACGAGCTCAAAGGCGACAAACTGTCCTTTGACTCGCAGGTTCTCGTGGCACCGACGAGACAAGGGTATGTCGAGGTGTTGGAATGGTGGAAGCGGTACGCCCGCGGAGAGCTTCAGGCCGACGGGAGAGCGCATCAGGTGGAATACAAGACCTGCGATATCGAAGAAGCGCTCGAGGATGCGATCGGGGACCTCCGACCCGTTCGAAAATGGTGGGCCAAGAACGGGTTGAATCTGGGCTTGGGCACCAACGAATGGATGAAGACTCGGCGACTCTAGTTTGACGTGTAGTTAGATTGTATATGAGCATATGTCAACACGACATTAATACAGACGTACGTGTGCCCATACACGGATAATGGCGCGGAAATTGGTGGCGTATATCCGAGTAGTCTCACACTTATCCTGCCTACCATGTCTATCCTACCTAGTACCTCATGCGACCATCACGCGCGAATATCGGGCACGTTTTGCCATGTACGTGGACCATCCTGGGACACAGTGAAATGTATGTAGTGTGTTTTGTAAGGGAGGTTTCTCTATATACGACTGCGAGGAAATTAACTAACGAGTAGGCAAGTTCGACAGCTTACTTGACCGTTTCCCGGGTCGCGTTTCTCGCGAGAAAGGGGCCGACCCCTCTTCCATTTCCACTATATTCGTTTCTAGTACCTCGCTCGGTCAACCCAACCCAACCGCGCGTGCCACTTCTCCGACTCGGCCGGGGGGGGAGGAAGGGAGGACTCGGGGCCTCAGATCTTCTCGCCCTCGAGAATGGGCTTGGCCTCGTCGGAGCGCCACCAGCTGACGCCGGGCTCGCCGGGGAAGGCGTAGCGGTCCATGCTCTCGGGCTTCATCTCGACGCTGTAGCCGGGCTCGGTGGGGGTCTGGTAGTAGCCGTCGCGGACGGCGGCGGGGTGGAGGAAGTGGTCGTGGAGGTGGTCGACGTACTCGAGGAGGGAGGGGCGGCCGCTGACGACGAGGTAGTCGATGGTGCTGAGGTGCTGGGTGTACTCGGGGAGGCCGACGCCGCCGGAGTGGGGGACGACGGGGACGCCGAACTTGGCGGCGAGGAGGAGGACGGCGAGGGCCTCGTTGACGCCGCCGAGGCGGCAGGCGTCGATCTGGCAGACGTCGATGGCGCCGGCGGCGAGGAGCTGCTTGAAGACGACGCGGTTCTGGCACATCTCGCCGGTGGCGACGCCGACGCCGAGCGGGCGCAGCGCGTCGCGGATCGCCTTGTGGCCGAGCACGTCGTCGGGCGAGGTGGGCTCCTCGATGAACCAGGGCTTGAACTCGGCGAGCTCGCGAACGTACGCGATGGCCTCGGGGACGCTCCACACCTGGTTGGCGTCGACCATGAGGACGTTGCCGCGGTCGTAGCCGATGACGTCGCGGGCGAGGGCGAGGCGGCGGCGGTCGGCGGCGAGGTCGGAGCCGACCTTGAGCTTGAAGTGGCGGTAGCCGGCGGCGAGGGTGGCGCGGAGGAGCGCGCGGAGGCGGTCCTCGGCGTAGCCGAGCCAGCCGGCGCTGGTGGTGTAGGCGGGGACGGCGCGGCCGGCGAGGACGTCGGCGAGGCGGCGGGCGCGGGCGGGGTCGGCGGGCGCGGCGCGGGCGCGCAGCAGCGCGAGCGCCTCGTCCGGCGTCAGCGCGTCCGTGATGTACCGGAAGTCGACGCAGCGCACCACCTCCTCCGGCGCCATGTCCGCCACCACGCGCCACACCGGCTTGCCCAGCGTCTTCGCCCACAGGTCCCACGCCGCGTTGACGACCGCGCCCAGCGCCAGGTGGATCACGCCCTTCTCCGGCCCGATCCACCGCAGCTGCGAGTCGCTCACCAGGTGCCGCCACGTCGCGCCCCAGTCGCCGACGACCCACGCGAGGGTGCGCCCGCGCAGCCGCTCCGCCACGTGGTTGATGGCCGCGCAGACGACGTCGTTGCCCCGGCCGATCGTGAAGGTCTGCGGTTTGCGGTTCCGGCGTTAGATTTCCGCGAGGGCCTAGAGTGGTTGAAGGGGGGAAGGGGGGGGGGGGGGGGGGCGTACCATGCCGTGACCCGTGAACTCGGAGTCGGTCTCGAGGATGCAGTACGCGGCGGAGTAGTCGCCGGCGGCGTTCATGGCATCGGACCCGGTCTTGTCGAGCGACGTGGGGAACCGCACGTCGCGGGTCCGCCAGCCGGTGATGGTGATGTCGGGCATGCTCGCCGGTGGTGCTAGCTTCGCGGGCTACGACGGCGTCTTCGGGGGCCGCGAGGGTTGGGCTGCAGATATATCGACAAGATGACTTATACAAAGGGTACTCGGGTAGATGCTGGGGGGGGGGTAATAGAGTGGTGTATACGCTGACGAGGGGATTGGATATATAAGTGCCTAAGTAAGAGAGAGGAGGATGAGGAGGAGAGAGGAAATAAACGATCGAGAGAAGCTGAGATTTATTATTCCATTATAATAGCGAGAAAAGAGGACTCTTGACGGGCGACGAGGACATCCATCCCACCTCGCATCCCGACATCGTGGGGTGCCGTGGAGGGGTCGACACCTTGTGGGGATGGACGATACCGATCGGGTCGGCGTCGGCGAGAGGAGGGGAGGGGAATATTAATTGGTTACAAATACGGTCGGGCATATGCGGGTGCTCTGCACAGAAATGGCACATCCTGACCGTGTCTTTACCGGAGAGTCCTCGCACGACTCAGTACCCTGTTGCGCTCTGGGTAAAAGCAGTGGTTTGGCCTGATTCGTGGATAAATCCAACGGGAACACCCTCGTCTCTAGGATTGCCCCATTAGGAAGGGGGGATTTCGAGCCGAGCCTGTGTGTTCTTGTTGCTACGTAACGCCTCGTCCAGGCACGCACTATAGTCCTGTGACTAGGGGATGGGTAGTTACTTTCATCTCTGTTTAATGGCTGGGTATATAGCTAGGTATGTATAATCGAGTGGTGTGATAGGTTAGGTAGTCGGGCGTACAGAAGAAGACAGGTAGGCACGGGTAACATTGCATACATTGCCTTGAAGACCTACCCTACACCTAGCCACTATCGAATGCCTCTATACTGTATAAATACTCCTTAGTTTCGGTTCGCTAATGGTTCGTCTTCAGATATCGGTCCTCGACCAGCCCAGCTACCGTGTTCGCTGAGAAAATATATATACCTATTCCGCCCACAGGTAGGAGCCGTTGACACGCCCATCAGATAGGCTTCAGGACCTTGAGCGCGGCGACAAAGAAGCAGGTCCAGGCGGGGAAGTCGGCTAGGGCCATGCGGGCGTAGTGGACGTTGAGCCAGCGCTGGATGGCTTGGGCGCCGGGGCCGTCGGGGGCCTCGTCGGCGTCGATGGCGTCCTTGACGCGCCACATGATCTTGGGGACGAAGGCGAAGTGGGCGAGGGCGAGGACGGAGCCGCCGGCGTACCAGGCCGAGACGGAGGCGGCGCGCCGCAGGGCGACGTAGTTGGCGACGCCCAGCGCGACGGACGCGCCGTAGCCGAGGAAGATGAGGGGCAGGCCGCGCCAGAAGAAGGACTCGAAGTAGCGCGGCGCCAGCTCGTTGACCTTGGGCCGCTGCGGCCGCAACCCGACGAGCGTGCTGAGGAACAGGTGGGCGTCGCCGGCGTGGACGAGCGTGGCGGTCGACGTGAGGAGCGGCGCGACCCGCAGGAGCGTCACCGGGTCGAAGAGCCGCCGCGACGCCATGGCTCGGAGCGGCGAAGGGAGGCAAGGGCAAGCAAGAGTGCTGGGATGTGGTGAAGTCGGTCAGCTGAAAAGATGCCCGATGTTTTCTACGGTGGAAGAAGCAGAGGCGGGCTTGGATGGGACGAGTTGACGAGGAGGCTGTCGGGGTTCTCGCCGGGTATTTATCTCGAGAACGCGAGCGCTAACTTACCGGCTCGTCCAGGGCCCATGACCTAGCCGTCGTGCCGCAATAAGCCGGGCCAGCAACGAGATCTGTCGAGACGCATATATGGCTCGTATGGCCTCCCTGCGGCGGAACTACGAGATCACACCAGGTGGTCGCATCTCTAGGGGGCGGGCACGGAGTAGAAGGATCGTGTTGGACGGGCTGGTGGTGAAGGATGCGAAGACCTGCTAAGGAATGGATTCCACCTTTGTCCGTGAGATGATCGTCCGGACCCACATCCCCTCGCGCTAATGCAAACTGCTTACACGCTCCAGCTTATTGGCCAAAAACGAGGGGAGGACCCACCATGCTGTCCCTAGTACGTGTATTGTACTGGGGATACCTATTATTATGTAATACGACTGCAGAACTTATAGCTAGGTATAGCTAGGTGTGTAGACGGCCTTGCTAATATCGCCTATATTCTAGGTATTGTATACCTACGGCTTATTATCGGCCCATAGAATGTATTCTGATATCCTATATGCAGTTAAGCGTCGTAGGCAGCCTGAATATTCTAGACGCTAGGCAATTAACGTTGTTGGAAGCGCGGGGGGGAACAGCCACAGCTGCCAACAGCTGACTTCAGTGCTGATCAACAGGATAACAGTTGTAACGGCAGGATGACGGCTGTATCTGTGATCGACCAGCTGTGGATGGCAGCTGGGAGAAAAGAGAAGAACTGAAAACGACATGTACGTGTACGAATACATAGCGAAGGATGGCGGTCGAAGGGTGTATGCTTATCTGGCTGGTAGCTGTTGTAGATGGCTATGAAGGATGGTAAGAAAATGAAGGATGGATGGTGAAAATATAGGTACCTATGTGCGAGACCTACCTATACAAAAACGCCCAGTCTGCGAAGGGGTGACCGTAGAGGGGTAGGTTAGGTTAATACCGCGACCTGTATACCTACTCATAACTCCGACCGCGCGAGGAGAAAATACCTCGATAATGCAATGCATCGTGTCTCTCTTATAGTTTTTCGCTATTTACGCTTACGAATATTACATCCGCGGCTGCACAGATCATCGCCAACGCAGCCGGCGCTAGATAGGTAAATGCATTAGGGACTTCTCCTAGATACTGCCTTGATAGGAAATTCAAGGACTAATACCTACTGATCGAGTAGCATCAGCGAACCCATCCCGTCCTTAACTGCCGTCTTGCCCCAGGTTGGGGTAGACTTACGTATATAGGACTAATAGACGTGCCAGCTAACCGCAAGAGAAGTGTCTGTTGACGGATACCCGGTAGGAAGTGTCATGTCCACTCCGCTCGCCCCAACTCGACGCCGAGTGGCGCTTCGACGTGAGAGAACCCCGAGAAACGTACACTAACATATTACATATTGTATATTGACGCCTGAAGTGTGTGCTGGGTGCGTAGTGCAAGTTGCCTATCGCCGCAGAGAAAAAAGGAAGCGGCCAAATCTGGCGAGAGCGCTGTGTTCACATCCACGCGCTTCTCTCTGTCCTCGCCCATCTCTCGTTGATTCGATTCACTAAGGACGCACGCTCACTCGCCATGACCGCCAACGGCATCCAAAATGGCGAGAACCCCGCTGCCTTCCAGCTGCATCTGATTATCGTCGGCGCAGGTCTAGCGGGGCTCGCTGCGGCCATCAGCACGAGGCTTGAGGGCCACCGGGTGACGGTGCTAGAGAAAACCGCGAAACTAGAAGAAGTCGGTGCTGGCCTCCAGGTGACGCCTAATGCAAGTCGCCTCTTCCACCATTGGGGAGTGTTCGATGAACTGAGCGCCGTGGCGACTACCCCCTCCTACCTCGCTGTACGGCGATACGATGGTACTCGCCTCCTGGCATTCGAGGAGCAGTTCCAGGACAAGATTCTGCAGCGATACGGCGCCCCCTTTTGGGACCTCCATCGGGCGGACCTGCAAATAGCTATGGTGCGCCGTGCCCGGTCTCTAGGGGTCGATATCCATCTGGACACCGACGTCGTCGACGTCGACTTCCAGCGAGCTACGGTAACTATACAGACTGGCAGCATTCTGCACGGCGACCTCATACTTGGGGCAGACGGTCTGTGGTCGCGCACGCGAAGTCTCCTGTTGAAGCAGCCGCTGGCGCCCAAGCCGACTGGGGATCTCGCGTACCGGATCATCCTAAACCTAGAAGATATACGAGACCCGGAGCTGAGGGAGTGGGTTTCGAGCCCTTCTGTCAACTTCTGGGTCGGACCAGAGTCCCACGTCGTCGGCTATTCGCTTCGGGGAGGCCGCGTATACAACCTGGTTCTTTTGTGTCCCGACGATCTGCCCCAGGATGTTAGTCGGGCCGCTGGCGATGTGGACGAAATGAGAAAGCTCTTCGAGCCTTGGGACCCCATGTGAGCCGGATCGCAACACACCAACTTTTCGTCGTCGGCTGACGGGCGACGCCGAACAGATTGAACAAGTTCCTAGCCTGTGTCGACAAAGTAGATAAGTGGAGGCTAATGCACAGTAATCTCACACTCTCTCGTGTCCGCGCTGCGATGGAAAACACGATAATATCTAACGTTGAATGTGGGGATCAGTCTCGACCCTCGATGCCTGGACGAACGAGGAGGGCACATTTCTGATGGCGTGAGTTCTACCAAGATTTGACGTCGCTCCGTCCATACGTAACATCCCGGAGTAGCTTGCACTGACTCGTTGGAGATTAGCGGTGACGCATGCCATCCCATGCTTCCATATCTTGCGCAGGGAGCCAACTCGTCTCTAGAAGATGGTGCCGTCCTCGGCCGGCTGCTCAAGTACGTAACTCGCCGTGACCAGATCGCTCCGGCGCTCGAGATGTATCAGATGGCGCGGAAATCGCGAGGGGAGGCGATCGCAAGAGAGGCATTGGGACAGGTCAGTGGGACTCGAGCTTGGGAGACGTTTATTTATCAACTAACGACGATCGAAGAGGGACTCGTTCCACCTCCCGGATGGCCAGTTGCAGGAGCAGCGTGATAGCGTTTTCTTGGCCGATTTCGGCAAAGAACCGCATCCCCCTTTCCCAAGTCGTTGGTAAGGAGCGAAACGGGACTATTCTACTGGGGATGCTGTGGAGAACTAACGGCCCATTCCTGTACTAGGACATGTCCGTCAGTCCAGCCATGGCTGTTTGGCTACGACGCCATAGCAGAGGCCGACAAGGCTTATGAGGCGCATCCATTTTGAATCCGCTCATGGACTCGTTCAACAATAAGCTAAAGTCCTAGCACGAACTGGGGAGTTGATCGATAGGTCACGATGCCTGAAAGATGCGAACCACGTCTACCAAGGTTAGAATAGGGACAGGGGCAAGCTGCAGTGAGATTCATACGTCACTATTGTTCACACTATATTCGTCCTACAGAAGCAAGCAGGAGTTAAGCAGCGGGATTCACTCCAGCATAATGGGTACTATATATTGCCTTCGAGGCTAAAAGAGGAGGGGGGCTATGCGACTAATATAGTCACACCTATCTGAATAAGATCGTAGGAATTCATAGGGTCAGGGTTATTTTATCGGGTCATGTGCCGCGCGAAGGCTGAGACACCAGAGAAATCCTGGGTATGTAGGCTTGTTCTAAGATGTAGACACCCTAGAGCAAGCCTACATACCCAGGACGTCTCCCTATGGACGGACGCTGAGAGGATCTCAGCTTTGTTGAAAGGTGGAGAGCTCCATTTCATAGCCCATTATTCATATAAAATGCGGTTGATCAATAAGCGAAACAAAAGCTTGTCAAAGGCTTTCCACAATTAAGAACAGAAGACCAGGAGTTCTTGGATTTATGAAGTGCGATATGCTAGTGTCAGTGCCATGGATGAAGACAAAGAGATGACTCATACAGCTGACTATGGTCCACGACACCACCCCGCTTCCGGCACGGCGTTGTGGTGTGTCGGAATCGGAATACATCTTAGAAGCATATAGTGATTGTTAACTGCCGACGAAAAGATATTTCGCTTGCCTATGACAAACTATGGAGGGCAACTGTCGGCGAGATGGAGACCAATCAGGACGACCCTTACTCTACTGATAATACCCATGCTTTTATCCCCGGTCAAGACGGAGCATCCGCTCGAGCAGTATCTGAGGCGAGAAGACTCTTGAGCCATTTCGAAAAAGCAGGGGAGAAGAGATTTGAATTGGAGAGGATCATAGGGGAAGGTGCTTGGGGGGTCACCTTTAAGATGAAGATCAGAGAAAGGTCGGCTCCATCCCATGAGTGGAGACCAATGAGGAGATTCGTGATGAAAAGGTCTCTGACCGTGGCCGCGAGGCAGAAGATTCGACGGGAAGAGAGGGTGCTCAGGGTATGTGTAGCCCCGTATGACTGCGGTAACATTTATGGTAGAATGAGCAGATACGTCTAATATTTCATTGTCCCACAGCGATTACGAGGGTCCGTACATATCGTCCAACCGTACAGTCTGGGAGACAGTGTTTCAGCTCGCCTGATGTCACGTCTTGGGGAGGGAACGTTGCTGATGGAGTGGATTGGCAACGGCCTCCTTCACGATGTTATTCATAGGGCCGCTGACTGGGGCCATCCCCTGCCAAACAGACTACTATGGAGGCTTTTCCTCTGCTGTATGTAGCCCTCACTGGGATGCGAGAGGATACACTAAGCTAAAGAGTCTGGTGCAGTGTGTCGGATGGTGATTGCGATGGCTTGGCCACCAGGGGGGAGCGGAACAGTAACCCCGAGTGTCGAGGTCCTGCCGATACCGAATGCGGGAGGCAACCGACCGCCCAAGTCCCGCCTTATTCATGGCGATTTGAATGCCCGTAACAGTGAGTAACCTAGCGTTGGCAGGAGGAGAGTAAGAAGAGATGTTATTAAACAGGTTGACTAGTTATGATTGGCGAGCTAGAACCGCAAGAACACCGTCTTGTCCCCGTACTGAAGCTCATTGACTTTGGTTCTTCTCGGGACTTGCCTAAGGGCCTAAAGTGAGTCGTCTAGGCAACGTATTGGCAGACTACACACTAAACAGATCTACAGCCAACCTCCAGATCCTGCTGTGAAGGGCAACTTGCTTAACATCGGGCAAATAATGCTGACGATAGTAGGGGGTAGTCATAGAGGAGGCGCAGCAGACATGGTGGTGAGAGACCATGGAAAAGAGAAGACCGTCAAGTCGTATGCGAGAGACCTGGACGGGTTGAACAGGTTGTACAAAGCTCCAGCTAGCATCGCGGCTCGCCACGGAGAGAAGGTTAAAAACCTAGACCCGGACCTACGGAGGCTCGTAGTACTTTCTGTGGCATCAGATGTGAACGAGCGCTTAGATCTCGAGGATCTCGTGGCCGCGGTGGAACATTACGCCACCGCGAAGACACAAGCTCATTATCTGGGCTACAAGTATTATGCCAACGAGTCTGACCAGTCGGTGGCTCGCATCACGAGAGAGCTGATACTTGGTGCAGAAGATAAAGGGGTAAAGGTAGATCCCTGGGGCAGGGCGAAAGGGTTAAGCTTAGAGAGCTTCGAGATTCCCCGTCTGCAATAGCGGCTTATACTAAACGTGTAGTTTATAGGAGTCGGCTCAACCTAGGCTCAACTCACCATCCTTTCGGGAAAGCAGTTGGTATCAAACACTGAACCTAAATCACCTAAGCTACACTGCGTGCCGAGTCCCGAGCCTTCATGATAGCAGCATCACCTCAACCCATGCATTCGCCCGTCTCGTGTCAACGATTTGTATGGGCTTTGCGCACCCGTGACCATAACTGATGCGGCACTTTTCACCTTCGGCTACAGAAAAAGTTCTAATTTACCTGAAACTACTTCTTCGCCACGCCAATTCTTGGGTTGCTGGCGAGATAGCCTCAACAAATCGAAAAACGATGGACATGCCTTAAGTCGACTATAGACCCCTTTACCCATGGGGGGGCCCTGTCGATGGACAAAAATAACTCCTCTAGATCTTCTTGGTCGTGGGAGGCCGCGGGTCAGAAGCCCGATAGAGCACCCCGGTATGAAGATCTTGACGTTTCGTCTGACAACACTACCTTGGTTTCGCTAGTATTCGTCCAAGCTTGGTGCTAGGCTGATACTGGGATGCTGGTGGTGTCTGGCGGTGTCGCGTGTCCAAGGTGCCCTCTCACCCAAATATGTTGCGCCAATCACAGCTGCGGCATTTCACACGTCTTTAGTTCGTCTGCGGCTGCTGGCGATTCTTTCCGCACCATGTCCGTAACCGAAACCCGGGGCGATGCTTGGCACTGACAGTGGGAACGTTTCGACGCGCTTGGGCGGTTGGTCCCCGAAGCCAAAAATACTCGCGACGACAACGGCCTTGGCGATAGCTCGGCTCGACTATCCAGAATACACGAGCACAGAGGGCGAGAAGAAGCCGCGCTGGCCGCACCACGGACCTCGACGCCTCGACAGAGACTCCCTCCAAGAAATTGGCTTGTGTTGAGTTGCTTGGGTCGGTATAACCTAAGCGATAAGCTTGGGGCTTATGAACGAGGTCATGTTTGAGGCTATCCAAACCAACCGTATTAAACCCAGTGTGAGTGCACGCGATGAATGAAGTTATGAATGTGTCTATAAAGCAGAGTGTATATCCATCTTCCGACTCGTATCTTGTCCTGATGAGAGTCTAGGGACTGCTGTCAGGTACAGTACAAGACACCACGGCAGCGTGTGGTATAGAGTCAAGACCTCTTCCCCCTTCACTTCTCGGTTCATGGCCTTCATTTAAGCCCTTTTATTCATTTCTCTCAAATTACTATCCTTATTTGGGACCGAGAGATTTCCTAAAGTTCAAATATGTAAGCAAAACCAAATGTTGCAGGTTACAGAACGACTTCTCTGCAAGCGATGACTACGTCCGCTACGGTCATGCGTCTTTGACTTGAGACCATATACAACGGGAACTAAAACTAATCATGCCTTTCAGAAACACAATCCTTCATAATACTCGATCCCCTACCGACAATCTATCTCTCACACCCTCGAACGTTAGCCGTCCGGCTTATTCAACATGACGCAAATACACCGAAAATGCAGCCCCCTGCGGACGCTCGTAGCCCTCCTATGTCTCTCCAGCCGGGCGGTCGCCGACGACGACGACCCGACGTCGAGCCCGAGCCAGGTGTCGACGGCCTTCACGGACGCGGCGACGGGGATCAAGATGGAGCGGTTCTTCGGGGCGCGGACGACGTTCGGGTTCGGGCTGGCGCTGCCGGCGACGCCGGGCAACTCGTTCATCGGGCAGCTGTCGTTCCCGCTGGCGGACGGGGCGGGGTGGGGGGCGCTGGGGCTGACGGGCGAGATGGAGAACAACTTCTTCCTGGCGACGTGGCCGGACGGGCGGGGCGGCGTCATGGCGTCGTTCCGCCAGGGCACCGACGAGGACGACCCGCCCGAGGTCCGGGGCGGCTTCGCGGTGCGCACCATCCCCGACGCCACCAGCGTCAACGCGACCTTCCTCACCCACACCTTCCTCTGCGAGGGCTGCCTCGACGCCGCGCTCGGCCTCGGCCCCGAGTCCGCCGGCGGCAACGCCGTCATGGGCTGGGCCCTGTCCGCCCGCGCCGTCCGCAACCCGGCCAGCGCCGGCGCCCGCCTCGGCTTCCACGAGCGCGGCTTCGGCCCCTTCACCATGCGCCTCGCCCAGGCGCGGTTCGCCGAGTTCGACGGCTGGGCCGCGCTCGCCAACGCGTCGATCCCCGGGTCGGCGCGGGCCATCCCCGTCTCCCTCAACGTGGCGCAGAACGGCGACGGTGATGATGGGGACGATTCTGGCGACGATTCCGACGACGACGACGACGACTGATCGCGTCTGGGGGAGCTATGCGCTGAAGCCTCTCTCGCCCGAAGGGGGGGGGATCGAGATTGAAGGGGGTTATTATTGTCTTTTCATTTCTAAGCGTTGCATTCTCTCATCACGAGAGAGGTCACATTTTGATTCCCCGAAGGATCTTGGTAGACAACATCACATCCTATAGAGCTGTAGTCTAGAGCAAGCCTCCAAAGCTAGGTGTTATTATTGTATATGATCAATACCTACTTGCTATCCGAACTTGGTGACTGATATTGCCCCTGAACACATAGGTAGATGATCGTGACTCGAGATGATCACCCTATTCCGGATTTTCTGTTCGCTTCGCTACATTAGATATGTCCAGATGCCCGGAATTGCAGTTCTCCCTTGTGCGAGAACCCCCTTAGGAGTTAGTTTCCGTTTGTGTGCCCTGTTAAGCTATGGGACGTTGTTATCCTCGACGCTCAAGAAAGTGTCAAGGCCAAGCCGCAAGTCGAAGCAGAACTTCTATTTTTGTATTGCGGTAGAACTGTCTTGAAACACTGTCTACGCTGAAAGCTTTGTCTGCGCATTTTCCACCCATGTCTCATTGAAAAAGTCCGACGGGGGTAGTGTTGTGGTTTCGCCGTGTTCTAGAGCGGGTGCTAACTCCCGCTTGGACCAGTTTTTGTGCTTGGCGCCCCAGTTTCAAGCTGACATGCGGGATAAGGTCGTAGGAGGTAGTAAGAGACTTCACCATAGTCTTACCTATAATACAAGTTTACCCGGTAACCAGTGGGGGCGGCGGCGGTTGAGCCGTATGTCTGGGCGGTAGAGAGGTGTGCCACCTATTTTGGGATAACATTCATTTGCCAGATGGGAAGAGACCTAGGTGCGTTTTCTCGTCAGCGAAAGTCAAGACCCGAAGGGAGTTAGTTACTCTATGCTGCTACTTAATAGGTAGTTTTGGTAGTTGACCTACTCAGGTATACCTACACGTAGATAACAGGTACTACGCTGCATACCTAGGTATGTATGGATGTCCATGCCTGGTCTCCCACGGTCCGAATGTTGTCGGATATATAATGCCACAGGGATTATCCATGGGTTTTTAACTGGTTGGCCAAATGAGTTATCGCGCCACCAATTTCCTACAAATACCGCAGTCTGTCTTCCCCACGGAGAATAACCTTACCTATTTCTCGGTATGTGTTTAGATTGCCTCTTCTATCGCATGGCCTGGGAGAGAGGCCCGTGATGGCCGCGTTCGACGGGTAGAACGTAAAGGCGCGCCCCGATAAGCACATGAGGAGGAGTTATGGAGATATGCATATATGAATACGTACCTATCTACCTCCTACCTTAGGTAGGTACCTCTCCTAACCTCTTATCGTTACGTATGGGTGGGTACCTCGCACGTACATACGCATGTACATACCCACGCATGCACACGCGGATATGTGCATATGTAGGTACGTGGTACCCACCTCGGAGAACCTCAGGCTATATGATCGAGAACTTGCTGCGTTGCAGTCCCCGCTGACCTGCTGTTACCCAGTGCCATCCGCACTTTACTCGCCTTGCCGCCCTCTTCTCTTCTCCCTCCGCCCCTCGTCTGCCGTTCTGCGGTTCCGACGTTGTTCTTTTTCTCTAATCGACACCAACTGCACGCCTCTTGCCCAGACTGCCACCACGTCCAATCTCGTTTCTAGATGTGCGTGGGCACTGTGAAATGGTAGAACGGGGACTGGTACCGGGGTAACGCGAACACTACACAGAGAGACAGAGGCAGAGAAAGTAACAGCGTGCTCGCGCGCGGATACATTCCGAAACATGGCTTCGGCCAAGGCTGTCGTTCCCTCTCGCCGCCCGAGGAGGGTTCGCAGGTTCACGCGACCGTCTGATTGGCCGGTTTGGAACGCCGACTTTATCGAGATGCTGGAGGTGTTGGACCTGCTGCCCTATATTACCACGAGCGTGCTGGACCCGGCGGGATGTGCTGATGCCCAGACGCGAATTCTCCGACGGAACAACCGTTTCCTCACTCTTTGTATGATACGTGACTCGCTGTCGCTTGAGATGAAGAACAAGCTGGTTAGCATGGGCTGCAATATTTTCGACTTACACGGGGATCCTAAGATGGCGTATGATCTGATTCGCAAGATTGCTCACCAGGAGGACAGATCCGATGACGAGGATACGGAAGGGCAAGAAGGGAAAGATGCTGCGACGTCTATGATTTCGACTCCGCTGGCGTCCAATGCCGCCATGGAAGACCTAGCTGGTGAGGACGGAGACGAGGGCTGGACTCCCGTTGAGCTGGCTGCGCCTCCGAATTTTAGACAAGCGGCACCCGAATCGATACAGGATCGTATTGTGCGCGTACGGAATGACCTCCGAGATCTGACGGCTTTTTACAACATTGAAGGTTCGGCATCACGATATGCGCGGCTCGACGTCTTCTACCGGGACGAGTTGTTCGACCTCGAGAGGCAACCCTTTGACTCGTACACCTCGCAAGAAGACAGGGTCGACCACCTCCTGCTTCGGAACTACATCCGGAGGGCCCGGAGGACCCTCCAGCTGGATCGCGCGCGGGACGCCAAGTTCGCCGCCTTCGTTGGGCCATTCGCCAGTCCCATTACGGCCTGGTGCGAGACACGCCAGCGCGTTGAGCCTATCGACCCTAAAGAATTTGCCAGCAGCCTCAATGCGATTGTGAAGCTGGTCTCTCAAGCCCGGGACCACGTCAGTCAAAACGCGAACAAATATTCGAAGGCTACAGGCTCTCGCGCCGCCCGTACGGTTGACGGTCTCCGTAATAAGCTCGCCGAGACATACGCCTTCTATAAGGATTACGACCCGCTATTTGATTGGTGGGTTGCTGAGCCGTACAAAGTCCTCAACACCGCCTTGGATGGGATCGTCGCTTTCCTTCGTGAAGTCTTGGTCGGTGTCTTGCCTGGCGACAATGACACCATCGTCGGGGAGCCTATTGGCAGGGATGGCCTGCTCAGCGACTTAGAGGCTGAGATGATACCGTATACCCCTGAGGAACTGCTACGCATCGCGGAGAAAGAATACTCCTGGTGCGAGGCTGAGATGATCAAGGCGTCAGAGCAGCTAGGTTTCGGGACGGACTGGCACGCCGCCCTCGAGCACGTCAAGACCCTGTACGAGCCTCCGGGGTCGTACCCCGCCTTTATCCGGTCTCTCGTCAACGAGGGCTCCGCGTACGTCAAGAAGCATGACCTCGTGACGGTACCGCGCATTGCCGAGGAGGCCATCCGCATGACTATGATCGAGGCGGAGCAGCAGAAGGTGTCGCCATTCTTCCTCGGCGGAACCTGGATGCAGATGTCGTACCCGACGCGGGAGATGTCACACGATGCAAAGCTCATGTCGCTACGAGGCAACAACCGGTACTTTAGCCGGGCGACCGCGTTCCACGAGATGATACCGGGACACCACCTGCAGGTTTTCGTAGGTGAGCGCAACCGCCACTACCGGCGCGCGCTGTTCGACACGCCCTTCTACGTCGAGGGCTGGGCACTATACTGGGAGATGGTGCTGTGGGACCGGGGCGACTTCTTCCGCACGGCCGAGGACAAGGTGGGCTCTCTGTTCTGGCGCATGCACCGGTGCGCGCGCATCCTCTTCTCGGTGCGCTTCCACCTCGGCCTCCTCACCCCGCAGCAATGCGTCGACATGCTCGTCGAAAAGGTGGGTCACGAGCGTGCGACGGCCGAGGGCGAGGTGCGGCGCAGTCTCAGCGGCGAGTACTCCCCGCTCTACCAGGCGGGATACATGCTCGGCGCGCTCCAGCTCGTAAAGCTGCGCGAGGAGGCCGTCGGCAGGGTCGGGGCCGGCAGGCTCCCCGAGAAGGAGTTTCACGACCGGATCCTCAAGGCCAACGTTATGCCCATCGAGATGTTGCGCGCGCTCATCCTGGACAAGGAGTTAAAGCAGGATTTTAAATCCGAGTGGAGGTTCTACGACGGCAAGCTTTGAGGCGCGTGTCCCGTCTACTTCTACGTCGAGTCGTTGCGTATGCGCTGGCGTAGCACGCTTTATCATCGAGGACCGGGCGGCAATGTGGTTTACGAGTTACGATATGTATGCCGGGGTGAATGAGATTACATTTCGTGTTTTTGCTCAAGGTGTGCTGTAATGGTCGTCGAGATTGTACCTGACCAACAACCTCCGCAACCTCTCCGTGATAGGTATAAATGCTGGTCCTTGGGTTCGCGTCCCCCGAACACAATTTATTGACTGACTACCTAAGGGAATAACCATCGACAAGAGCGCGCTACATAACAGGGTTCTTTGCACCCTAACAACAAATCGCTATTTTGCGCTGCTGACGTATGAAATCACCTGCTGATTCAGCTCATACACTGTAGGCGTTCAACTTTGCATATGGCTTTACAACACGGTAGATACGCCGATATACGCACCCTCTTAAGACACAACCCCGTTAAACCGTAGTCACCTTAGTAGGGTGCATATTACTGCGCATCGCGGCCGGTACCGGGCCGGCGACATCTCCTACCAAGGTCGTATTCGATAGCTGCCAGGGGTAATCCGCTAAGTCCACGTCAGGTACATAATGCGGGACGGCCCTCCGAAGCTCCCAACCGTGCAGATAACGCCATAGGTATATCAGGCACACCGCGCCTCGTTGCCGTGTGATAGGTATTTTTATGTTGTGATTGACTGACACCTAACCTGTCGAAACTCGCCTACGCGATACGTGATTCTCCAGCGGGCTGAGGGTTAGAAACTGTCGCTTGACGTTTAGAATGGAATACAAGCGCCAACCACCGTCGACCGACGCCGCGTGGCAGCAGCGCCCGCAGATCAGGCCGCGCCTCATCATCCACGGCGGCGCCGGCAACATCACGCCCAAGGGGCTGGGACCGGATGGGTACAAGGCGTATCGGCAATCACTCCTTACCATCGTAAGCCGCACCAGCCAACCCTCCCACACATTATTCCGCGAGTACCTATCGGGACTTCCACGTCCGCCGTGCTGTGCTTCATTCCTACGTCGATCTACTTAGTGCCCTGCCTCTTTGGCTCTTCCCCCTCTACCTACCTACCGATTCATCCGCTTACTCGCCCGTCTACCTCCTTAGGTCTCCAAGGCAGACGTCTACATGCGGCAGCCAGTCCCCTCGCCGCGCGGCGGCGCGCCGCAGTACCCGTCGGCGCTCGAGGTCGCGACGTACGCCGTGACGCTGCTCGAGGACGACCCGCTGTACAACTCGGGGCGCGGCGCCGTCTTCACGCGCGACGGCGTCAACGAGCTCGACGCCTCCGTCATGGTGTCGCGCGGGCGCGCGAAGCGCGGCGTCGGCGTCACGGGGCTCCGGCACGTGCGGAACCCCGTGCTCCTCGCGCGCGCCATGCTCGAGCACGGCGACGGCGACCTCGCCCGCGGCGCCGAGGCCGAGGGCGCGGGCGGGCCGCACCTCGACGTGCCGTCGGCGCAGGGCCACACGATCCTCTACGGCGCCACCGCCGAGGTCCTCGCGCGCCGCTACGGCCTCGCCCTCGTCGACCCGAGCTACTTCTTCACGCAGCGCCGGTGGGACGAGCACGTGCGGGCGCTCGAGCGCGAGCGCGGCGGCGACGGCGTCGCGACCTGGTCCGCCGACGAGTACCTGCCGCAGGGCACGTGCGGCGCCGTCGCGCTCGACGCCGACGGCGTCGTCTGCGCCGCCACGAGCACCGGCGGCCTCACCAACAAGCTCACCGGCCGCATCGGCGACACGCCCGTCGTCGGCGCCGGCTTCTGGGCCGAGGAGTGGGCCGAGGAGGCGGCGGCGGCCGAGAGCGCGTGGCAGGCCGGGGGCGGGAGAAGCCTGAGCCAGGGTCTGCCGGGCCCCGTCGTCGAGCTGTCGGCCGGCCTCCGGCGCCTCCTCGCAGACTGCCTGCCGGCGCCCTTCGCGTACTCCCCGCTCTCGCTCGCGCCGCTGACCCCAGTGGGGCCGGACGCCCGAGCGACAGCGACAACGACAACGCGCTCCCTCGCCCTGTCGGGCACCGGCAACGGCGACTCTTTCCTGCGGGTGGCTGCGGCGCGCACGGCGGCGGCGATCGCGCGCTGGGGCGGGGCGTCAGGGTCCGATGCGGTGCGGCGCGTCGCCGGCGCGGGCGGGGAGCTGCAGCGCAGCGCGGGCGACCGCTGGGGCCTCACGGGCGAGGGCCAGGGAGGCATAATCGGCGTCGAGAGCGTGGTCACGCGCGACGCCAGCGGCCGCGTCGTCGCCTCCCGCGCCCGCGTGCTCGACGAGTACAACTGCGCCGGAATGTTCCGCGCTTGGGTCGACGACGATGGTAAGGCCGTCGTTAGGGTCTTCCGGCCGGGGGAGAACGGCGAGGAGACGTTCGAGGGCGAGGGCCGGCCGGAGGACGTCTGGCGTTGGAGCGGCGAGAAGGCATAGAATCTGATTATTAGGCTATGTGCGTTTATAGAAGTTAGACTAGACCTGCTGCTTGTTAGACGTCTGTATCTACAATTGGAAAAAGGGGACATGTCAGTGGACAAGATTCAACGAGCCAGCCCGATGGAGGCTGCATATGTCAACATGATGCTGTGAATTGTGTATTTGTTTCGGGATGCGCTCGTGGCCTAACGCAGCGGGGTTTGGTCATGGTAACCCGTCCTAATAATGGCAAGATCCGTCTATTTTACATACAACCTCTGCACTATACGCACGAGGATGAGAATACCGTCGTGAGACCCGTTATCGAAAGTACAAGAAGCCGGTCAAAACGATAGACCGGGGATGAGTAGAGTGGATGTGCGTTTGTTCTCGGTTTGCCGGAGGACTTATGCGAACGCTTTCTCGGGAGCCGGCGGCGGTTGCGGTACCTGCTGTCTAGTTAGCCATCGCGAGCCCTCCTGCGCAGGGTACATGTCGGGGTGCGGGAGCGAGACCGACCTCGAGCTTCGTCGAGCTGGCGAGCATGCGCTGGAAGCCTATGCCGACGCCCTCGATGACGGCTATCAGGACGGCGCAGCCGATGGCGCCGTTCCGCGCGGCCTTGTAGCCGCCGCGGATGGCGAGCGCGCCGCCGGTGAAGAAGCCGGCGATGATGGCGTTGTACGGGTCCTCCTTCCGCCGCACGCCCTTGACGGCGCAGTCGAACGTCGAGAAAAGGCCACCCCACACACCTGCGCGCCGCGGTCAGCCTCGCTGTTCACCTAGGAGTTGTTTCTTCTCGGCCGGGAAAGGTCCGGTGCGTACCGAAGTTTCCGCCGAGCACGGGCGCGCGCGCCTTGATGGCTGTGATGGCGCCTATCCTCCTCTCGCCCAGCGGACTGTTCCGGAACCCCTTGATGCCGTGCCATATAGTCCCGCCGATAGCCTGGCGAGAAAAGTGGACGTTAACGACGCTCGCCGGACGCGGCTACAGGTTTTGAAAAAAGACATACGCCCATGGCAAATGCGCCGCCGAAGTCATTGAGGATGACCCACGGGCAGGGGTCTCGGGTGTGATCCATCTCGTGGCCGCCGCAGGTCGGGCTGCAGCTCTGGAATTACGGAGGTGGTGTGGTGGGGGAGAGGCGGGATCTCTCTGCCTGTCGGTCGCGGTCGCGGGCGGCAGGCTGGTTCTCGATTGTCGGTGGCGCTTATTTATTGGTTATAATTGCCGATACAAGGCCTCGTAGGAGCTGTTTGGGAAATGGGTATCGTGCTCGGTTACGTCGTACGGGGGGATCGAGAAGTGAAGAGGGCGGCGTTCGGCAACGATGAGAGATGAGGTCCGATTGTTTCGTCCCCGAGTAAAAATTATTCCAGCTTTGGGGCAGGTACCCAGGTACTCTTTTCGCTGAGTAACACGTGCGTCACAGGCTGTCGGAGTCCGGTAAGACGATGCTGGCTCGCGATAAGCCATAAGAGGCTTATCGAAAACGAGCTACACGCAGAACAGGGTCCCGCCTTAACGTGCGAAGTTACCGTATTCGGTCGATGCTCCCGCCCTACTATTTTAGAGTCTGGATGGCAATGCGGGAGCTTCCATTGGCGTCCAATAGCAGCTCTCGGCGGGTTGTTTGAGGACCTGCTCGACGTGCCCCGATATATGTTGGTGTATACCTGCGTCTCGTGCCGCCCGGTCTTCGCAGGCTCTCCCTGCAATTAGGCCCGACACCTCTTCGCTTAGAATCGATATCCTACGTGAATGCCGCTGTAACGTGTGCCTACGATAATCTGCGAGCCTGAGTGCCAAGGGGGGGGATTCTGGCCTGACAAGTTGCCTTGTGCCCTTCCGATGTCGGCTATGCACCTCACACGTCGTAGAGAGGCCAGACATCAGCCACGCCGCCAATACCCAGGTCATCACGTACGATACGTATGTATAGCATCCCCCTGACACTTTCCTTCCTGCGACAAGGAGAGAAGGGGAAAAAAGGAAAAAAAAAACACGCATGGCGAGGTGGTGCCACCCACATTGGCGGATTCTGCTGCTGTTGGATTTCTCCGGGGTTGGTCTCTGATGGCTAATACGGCATTTCAAATGTGGGTTCATGATCCAGGTAAGCGTGAGATGGCGAGTTGCCTGGTTGGCCGCCGGTTTATTGCTACCCAAAAGGACGCGGTATGAAGATAGGAACTGAGGCCAAGATGGACGCCGTTTATAGGATAACCATGACGTGTGAATCGTGCTAAAGTGCATCATCCATCCTAGTGCTTTTTTTTTCATCTTTTTTTCACCCCTTTTCCGTATTCCCTATCTGTCTCCTTTTTTAAACTTGCGGTCAGGCTAACAGCATGTAATAGAGAGAGAGAGAGAGAGACGGGACGTGTGTCTTGTGCCGTCCTTGTGTACTTACATGCGTACCCTACCTACCAGGTTAGCAGCAGATAATTAGAGGGAGCTGGAGGGAGCCTCAGGGAGGCAACTCATTGGCAATATTTACTTGGATAATTCCGTCGTGCGGGAAATTGGTAGGCTGTTGATCTGCGACTCTTGTCCCTAATTCGACGCCACCGGCCCCATGTTCCCCTGCCCTGGGTACCTGACGCCCGTCCCGTCGTCTACCGTCGTCTACCCGAGTCCCGAATGTACCTACCACAACACTAGCCATCTGTCTCTTTTATAGATCCCGAATACGCCGCGGCACAACCAACATCCAGGCACGAGAAGTTTGATCAATCCAATAAAAGCGGTAAGAGAAAAAGAGAGAGAGAGCCGCCGCCGCATGTGTCTTATCTCACGTAGCCAGGACAGACGATCGCGTCATACACCTGGTGTAATTCATTTTCGTCTATATCCGTCCTGACTCACTGATCGAGGCTATATATAATGCGCTGCAGCCAGCCCTAACACCCATACCACGCTCGACCTGGGCGATTGATCATCCGAAGATCCCTAAGCCATGCTCGTGAGTTCCGCTTACCGTAAACCGGCTATCGGCGTTGCTCGCAGTATTTAAAGAGGCCAATGTCTGCCCCCTCGGCGCTCTCTCTCCCTCTCTCCCTCTCTCGTCTAATCTTCCCGCATGCTTCCCAACTCTGCTCACTGTGACCGTCTGCGGCAAGAGAGGGGGGCGAGCAGCTACGCGACTACATACCAGCGTACCGAACCGGCTGGAACCATGGCGGTCGGGCTTGGCGCGATAGCCGGTGGCTGCCAGCGATGCAAGGAGATCGAGGACGAGGAGGCTAAAATAACAGAGAAGATGGGCCGGCTCGAGGCTTCCGGTGAAGAGCGGCGCAGTGTCCGCGACGACCGCGCAGACCGTACGTTGAAATCTATTTCGTCCCCTTGCGTTCCTGGTACTTTACTTTGCGGCAAGGCCCGTGGCACAGCCAGCACACACACACACACGCACACACACATACACAGAGAGAGAGAGAGGCGGACAGAGAAAGAGAGAGGGCGAGGGAACACGCGGTGTACCCAGGTAACCTCACGCTGCCTAGCCTGCCTGTCTATCTGTTTATCTTTCTTCGGGGGGGCGGGGGCGGCCCTTGGGTCTCGCTATCGTCTGTTTCGCAGGCGTGGTATCGACAATCCTTCCGCGACGCAGCAGGCTGTCGCATGCCTCTATCCGGAATACCGGAGGGACCGTGAAGCATCCAGAGCTACCAATCTGGGATGTATTCGACGCGGGTTGACCAATGGCGGCGTACGCCTTCTCATGGCTGTGCCCAAGTCGGGTCATGTAAGTGGGAAGTCGGGGGAGACAGCTTGGGATCGCCGGCCCCACTTGGTCTGCTTTAACCATCTGCCTCTAGGTCGCTAGGTACCTATGAGGTACCTACCTACGTGAGGCGCCGCGGGGACTAGAGTTGTGTACCTGTGGCCCCTCCGCAAAGTACCCTCAAGCTCCCAGGCCTTCTTGGGTCCCCTTAGGCCTCCCTCCGCTCCCCTGAAGCTCGTCATGACAGCTTGCAATGTGCTGCGTAGTAGCGCTAAGCTTATACTATGTAGTTGCCTAGTACGCTGGAAAGATCCCCCCCCCCCCCCACCTCGTGGTTGATCTGCGAACGATCACCTCTCTTAGTTCCCTAATTACGTTACGGAACTCCCTACCTACACCTTCACCACGTCGTCTCCAGCTTCGATAGTCCACCCCCCCCCTTCCTCTTCCTCCCCCTGACGCGTGCCTCCTTCAGCCCCCCCACCCTTCCATTCCTTCTACCAAGATAACACGTTCCGTTTTGAGTCTGTTGCCCGTCGACACACCGACAAGCTGTCTCGCCCTCCCTCATGTTCCTCGGGTGGCAATTGACTCGTGAATAGCAATTATGCCGTCCGCAACGGTGCCGAAAATGGCATCGCCCTCTGCCATCCTCGAGGTCCCTCCGCATACGACTCCCCAGCTGCAGCACACCCTCAACCATGACAGCTCCGTGCTGGCTCTCGTCGTGGGCAACGACAGCGTCTACGCCGGAACCCAGAATGGAGAGATTCTCGTGTGGCTCCTGGGCACCTTCGAGAAGGTCCATCATATCCAGGCCCACAAGCGCAGCGTCATGTCTCTCTTCCTATCCAACGACGGCACCCTCCTCTTCTCCAGTGCCAGCGATCCTATCGTGAACGTCTGGTGCCCCCGGACTATGGCCCGGCTCTACGAGATCTATAGCACCAATGATTCCTTCGGCGACATATTCTCCGTCAGCTATTCGTCACAATTCGAGACTGTCTACTACGGCGCCCAGAACACTTCCATCCAGTGGGTCAATCTCCAGGATGCCGATAGACGGTCCTCGCACGACTCGCCAAACCACCCCGACCGCAGGAACCATCGCTTCTTCGATTCTCGTGCTGTCGGCGGCTCGAGCACCCCGCGACCCACCGACGAGCGATACGAACTGATACCGCGCCCGCAAAACGTGCTCGAGACGGACAAGCGTGCGAATAAGATGTTTGCTCACTATGGATATATATACTGCATGCTGATGGCGAAGAGCGCCACCGCGTCGACGGGACCGGAAGAGGATGTGCTGATATCCGGCGGTGGAGATGGAACCATCAAAGTATGGAAGCTGGGTGGCCGAGATATCGGCCAAGATGGGTACGAGAATGGCATTGTGGAGATCATGGTCCTGGGAGAAGATGATGCCATGTCTGTCATGTCCCTGGCCGTGGACGGGTCGTTCCTATACAGCGGAAAGCTGGATGGCATAATTGAGCTGTGGGACCTCGACACAAAACAGAAGCTAAGGGCCATCAAGGCTCATAAGGGCGACGTGATGACCCTTCAGATGGGCTGGGGCTATCTATGGAGTGCAAGTCGGACCGGGACAGCCTGCGTGAGTAACACGCGATCCGGACCCCACCTAACACGGCTTCTAACGGCAAGATAGAAACATAACACTGTCCATTACGGGGAGTACCAGCGCGACTCTTCACAGAATGTCAGCCAGAAGTATCAATGCCTGACGCAGTGGAAGGCGCATGACGGCAAGGTTTTGTCGTCGGCTGTAACGACGCACGACGGGAACCAGCTGTACATTACAGGGGCAAACGACAACAACATTGCTGTTTGGGTCCTCGAGAACGAGGCTGCCGTCGAGCTGCCGTCGCTCGACGGGCATGAGGAGGACATGATGATAACCTCCCTCCGCGAGTTCGTCTCCTTCAAGACTATATCGTCTCGACCCGAGTATGCCGAGGACTGTCGTAGGGGCGCAAGCTTCCTCCGCACCCTGTTTAAGAGGCTTGGCGGCGACGTCGAAATGCTTAGCGGCGACGACACCCGACACCACCCCGTGGTTCTCGCCAAGTTCTGCGGAAAGCTCGAGCCGGCTACGGAGCGTAAGAAGGTGTTATTCTACGGCCATTATGATGTTGTCCCGGCGGACACGAAGAACGGCAAGTGGAGCAACGACCCTTTCCAACTCACCGGGACCAACGGGTACTTGTATGGGCGGGGCGTCAGTGACAACAAGGGGCCTATTATGGCTGCGCTCTATGCTGTCAACGACCTCATGCAGGCCAAGTCGTTGGATTCCGACATCGTCTTTCTCATCGAGGGCCAAGAGGAGTCGGGCTCGCGTGGCTTCAAGGAAACGGTGCGAAAATATAAAGATCTTATCGGCGACATCGATTACATACTACTAGCCAATAGTTACTGGCTCAACGACGACACGCCATGCCTGACCTACGGCCTGAGGGGAGTTATGCACGCTACCGTCTGCGTGGAGTCAAGCAATCCCGATCTTCACTCCGGCGTCGACGGTTCCTATATGGTCAACGAGCCCTTGTCGGACCTCATGGTATTGCTCTCGAAACTCAAGGGACCTCGAAATCGCATTATGCTACCCGGGTTCTACGACGGCATTCTTCCCCTCACAGCTGAGGAGGAAGCTCGGTACGACGACATTCTCTCGGTGCTGACAGAGCAAAACCGGGGCGGCGCGTCGGCGGAGACGGTGAAGGCGAACCTCATGGCTCGCTGGCGGGAACCGAATTTAACCCACCATAAAGTCAAAGTCTCGGGTCCGGACGGAAGCCTGATTAGTAGTCACGCAAACGCGAAGATAAGCGTTCGACTCGTCCCGGGACAAGAGGTGGAAGAGGTCACCGCTTCTCTAACCTCCTTCCTCGAGAAGGAATTTAGCAATCTCGAGTCCGACAACAAGCTCACCATCCGAATCGACAATCAGGCGGAGCCTTGGCTTGGCGATCCCAGCAATTACATCTTCCGCACTCTCGAGGAGGCCCTCATACAAGCGTGGGCGCCGCTATTTTCTAACGATGCCGACGGCAACGACAGCAACGGGGCCGGAGCCGCCAAGGGGGCTCAGACGAACGGCTATTCCTCCAAGGTCCGCAAGCCACTCTATATCAGAGAGGGCGGTTCTATCCCGGCCATAAGATTCCTGGAGAAGGAGTTCAACGCCCCGGCGGCTCACCTGCCATGCGGACAATCTTCCGACGCGGCGCACCTGGACAACGAGAGGCTGCGGGTCGTGAATCTGCTCAAGAGCAGGGAGATCTTATCTTACGTCTTCAAAAAGTTATAGAAGGGAGGGATCGCATCGTGATAGACAGCGAAGCTGCATGTTTAGGCGTGTTGGGGCAGACCGCAGTGGAAAAAAACACAAAAGCAAGAAGACGGGAATCAGCGTGGAGTTGAGGTGCTTGATGCAAAGTAGAAGTCCAGATACCCTTTCCCTGTCGCACCTCGCCCTTTTCCATCCTGTCAGCGTATGGGCTATGAATCTCTAGTCTTTAGCGATAATTGCGATAGCAATTCAGCGGCAGCGTTAGCATACGTTGGGTGTATTTTCTATTTCTAATTGAGAATAAGATGACATATTACCTCCGTGCGCCTCATTTCCTCCCGTCCCCCATCCAGCCTCAAGCAATCCCTTTGTGTTGCAGCCCCGGTTCCAGAACAACAACCCGGCTGGGTCTACTTTGGTCGACGCCGACTTGATAGTGAGTACGAATCTCACGCAAACACACCTTATTTTCTCGCCTTCTTCTCTCCCACGCCCCTAGGCCTCCAGCAGCATCCGAGTTCTATTTCCCCCCTTCCCCTTTCCTCCTTGTCCCCCTCCTCTCTTCCCTTCCCAGCAAGCCCCGCACCCAACCACGAAACCACCGCCCACTCCCAAAGCCGCAGCTACCAAAACGGCCAGAAGCGAAAGCCCCGGCTCGACCGGGGATGCTGGTCGGCGCGGCTCGGGGGCTCCTCCTGGCGGCGGCGCGGCTGGGGCTGGGGCTGGGGCTGGGGCGGCGGCGGCGGCGTCTCGGCGTCGGAGGCGGAGCCGAGCGAGACGACGGTGGGCGCGCGGCTGCGGCGCCGCGCGCGCCGCGCGAAGTCCTGCGCCGCCAGCACCGCGAGCCGCTGGCCCTCGGCGAAGCCGCGCCGGTACGCGGCGTAGCCGGCGCCCAGGTCCAGCGCGCTGCGCCAGGGGTCCGTCTGGGCGGCGGCCGAGCGGCGCCGCGGCCGCGAGGCGGTGCTGTCGCGGGGCGGGCGCGGGCCGCCGCTCCCGCTCGCGTCGCGCGCGTCCGGGCCCTGGGACGTCGGCCGCGCGGGCCGCCGCGGCGCGCTCCCGCGGCTGTCGCCCCCCACGGACACGCGCCGCGCGAGGTCCAGCGCGAGGTCCTCCGCTGCGGCGGCGGGGGAGCCGGCGCGGGGCGCCGGCGAGGGCGGCGCCCCCCCGCCGCTGCTGTCGCGCTGGGTCCGCGCCTCGCCGGCGGTGCCGGCGGGCGGCGCGGGCGTGGCGCGCGACGCCGAGGGCAGGCGCTGCGGGCGGCAGCGCGGCTCGCGGTGACGGCCGTCACATCCGCAGCCGCAGCCGCAGCCGTCGTAGTCGTAGTCGTGGCTGTCGTAGCTGTCGTCGTCGCCGTCGTCCATCTCGAAGCTCAGCACCGCGCTGCCGCGGAAGCCGGAGTGCCTGTGGGCGGGGGGCGGCCACGAGGTGCGGTGGCGCCGGCGCCGCGGGGGCTCTGGCGGCGGCGGCGGCGGCGGCTCGTCGCCGAGCCCCAGGCTGCTGCCCAGGTACCGTATCAGCACCGAGTAGCGGTGGCAGCGCCCGGGCGCGGACGCGTGGGAGTCGTGGGGCATGGCGCCGCGCTGTACTGCTGGCCCTTGCGTTGCGGATGCGGTTGGTCGGCGGCAAGTGCGCGGATGCTCCTCCTCGCTGCGGAGCTGGCCGTCTTCGTTCGCGGTATTGCCTTGGGATGGCTGGGCGCCGGCCTCTGCACCTACCTATATACGCGCCAGGAATCGCGGCTTCACGGCCGCTCCGGACCGCTGCAGAAAAGACCCCTTGTCGAGACCACAAAGCGGCGCCGGCTCGCCAGGCACCCAGCGTCTCTTTCCCCCCTTCCCTCCTGAGACACCGCGGTGCGGAGTGTGCCCTGGGCCCTTTGTGCTCTCCCCCGCGCGGCTGCATGTCGTCTGCAGCGCAGGAGTTGCTCACCCGCCTGAGACCCGCCATTTTGCCGTGCTAAGACTTCTCTGCCCTTCCGAGATGCTGGTCCAGCCCGACCGCCGCCGTTTTGTCGCTGGGTACATCCGTCTAGCCCTGCGCGATGCCGCTCGCGCCTTCAACCGGCCGTATTATTCTACGCCGGTGGTAGGGCGGTGGGCTTAGTTGGCGGGACGGAGACAGCGCTGCTCTTATCCGACACCCGTTTCCTAGAGTGCCTGCGGGAGCTAATACGGGTTTACACACATCAATAAAGAGTAGCTGGTTGTAAGCTGCATTGTGAGCTTGGGATTGATTCTAGTTGAGAACAGTGGAGGGTTAAAAGAGATACCGAGAATGTGCACGAAGTGATCTGAGAGTTATAAAGAGATCCCTTCGTTCTATCTAAGAGGTGTCCAAGGGGCTCTTATTTTAGCTTAATACTGCCACGGCTACCCCTAAACCAAATGTTCGGCTCTAGAGCGAACACAATCTAGGTACACCACGTATTATACCTACATCATCTAGGAATAAATAACTTGAACAGGTTAGGTAACAAGCTGTAGTTATTGTCAAAGTCGTCCGAAAATGATACAACCTCGTTACACCAGTCTATTATTCATGTTTTCAGGGGTGGACCTCATTTTTAAAACCATTGAGCGATGTATTCAACCATTGTTTAGCCAGCATGCAATAACGCGTCACCCACGACTACGAACCAAACTCGCAGAGCCGAGGATAGCCCTGGCACAACTGCTTAGCCGCTCGTTTTGCGCAGGGTCTTGCCGTTGGCGAGCATCGAGGCGCAGAAGGTGATAAACGCGAACGTGGCAGATGTAGCAAACGAGTGTCTCAGTGCCTCGTGGTACACCATACGCGCCTTGAGTTGAATATCGGGGGGCAACTCGCGTAGCACTTCGGTCGAATGCCGGATAGCGTCGATAATCTGTAGCTCACGTTGATTAGCGCCTCTAGAGCACCGCAATAACGAACGACATTACATCGGTTAGTAGAAAAGAACACACTCTCGCTTTATCTGGTACGTCACTCAAGGCCTCTGGGAGCCGGACGCTGAGCGTGGTCTGGACTATGGCAGAAGTGATGGACACGCCCCAAACGGCGCCAAGAGATCTTATGAGGTAGACCGTAGACGAGCACACAGCGTGATCTAGATGCTGTTAGATCGCGCCACACAGACTGGAAAGCGCACAACTCACCGGCGTGCTCGAATGTAGCCAAGGAGGTGAATAAGATGCTTGGATAAATCAAGCCTACACCTAAATTATTAGGAATAATATAGACGAAATACTTCCAATTAGAATCCACAAAACTTAAAGAAGTTACCAGTCCCGTCCCGATTAGCATGAAAGCGGCACCAACCCGGATAAGGATCGGTAGTTTACCCCATCGCGACATGACTATACCGGCGATGACGCCTCCAGTAGGCGTTGCCAGGGACGGGATAGCAAGACGTGCTCCGGCAACAGCAGCGGAATCGAGCAATACTGTCTGGAAAAATAAGGGTAGTTGGAAAATATACTATCGAGATGTGTTAGCTTCCAACAGAAAAGGGAAATAGAGAAGACTCTGGAGAATACTGACTGAGTAGGAAGAAAGGCCCGCGAAGAGGTTCGCTATCTGGATTGTGATAGGAAAGCGTCCTTTCAACATCCGCAAAGGAATGACGGGTATCGCGGTAGTCTTGGATTCGACGACGAGGAATAGGCCAAAGAGCAAGACGCTTGCGACCAACAACCCTATAACCAGGGGACTGCTCCAGGGCAATTCGTTGCCGCCCAAGCTCAGTCCCACGAGTTGTACCACTATGGCTACGACCAAAAGCAGAGAGCCGGAAAAGTCAACTATGCGCCAGATCTCCTTGAAGCTGGAGCCCCCGTGGAGGTTGACGGTGTCCTGGTTCTCGATAACCATGTAGCCAAGAATGAATGCCGCTATAGAAATAGGTACTTGCTGCTGATTATTAGGAACGTACGTGGATATGGATGATTAGAATGCTTACTAGGAGGAAGCACCAACGCCATCCGATGCGGTCGGCTATGGAGCCCCCGAATGAGGCTCCGGATATGGACCCAAATCCGAAAATGGCGTTCTGCATCGCCTGGTACATTCCACGTTTGCGGAAGGGGATCATATCCGAATTGACGATGGTAGCTGAGCCCGCTTAGTCAGGGGAGATCAAGCAATATTAAGGGGGGATAGCATACCCATAGACATAAGTCCTCCGCCGCCAAACCCAGCCACTGAAACAAGGAAAGTCAGCAACCCCCTTTTTGACAAAAGCTGATCGTCGGGACACGTTTTGGGGATGAAGACAGCGATGTAAGTCTAGGACGGTCTATCCCTCTCTACCGCCGAGACACATTGTAAAAAAGGGGGTAGGTGATACGCTAGGTAGGTAACGTACGGGCCCTCATGCAGTCAAGGAGGATCATATTGTGGGCGAGGCCGCAGCCAAGACAGCCAAGGGCAAAGGTTATGGTGGAGAAGAAGAAGCAAATGCGGCGACCGAAGATGTCGGATACGCGGCCGTACAAGGGCTGGAAGGCAGTGCTCGTGATGAGGTAGGAAGTGGTGAGCCAGGACGCATTGTTGGTGGCGCCGAACTCGGAGCTGATGACGGCGTATGTCGCCGCAGTGATGGTGCCGTCGAAGCCGTAGAGGAAGACGTTGGCCATAATAGCCATCTCGATCCAGACGAAGTGCCGCGGCGGCGCCCACCCGTCATCCTTGGGCGCGGAGGAGGAGGGAGAGCCCAACAGGGGTTGGCGCTCCCCAAGTTCCGAGTCGTGAGACGTGCTCACTTCCGACGTAGCAGTCTCTTCTTGCTCGGTGCTGTCGTCGTCCGCAAAGCTCGGCCCGCCAGATGAGCCACTGGCCGACGTTGGAGATGGGGCGGCGACGGTCATGGTAATAGCGGGTTCTCGATTCCGGGAGCACCAATGCGATTCCAAGAGTGAGCGTGATGGAAGTATAGCTGAGAGAGAGATGCCTGGAGAGAGTTGCTATAATATCCTATACGGCGATGACTCGAATCGTGTCCAAGTTTTTTTTTTTTTTCACTTGGCTGTGCGGGAAACTGGATGGCGCCAAGGCGATGCATGTAACTGGCAGAGTAGAAGAGGGATGGTGGGATAAGCAGGGGAAGGGTGTATTATGCACTAGCACCATTAGCCAGCGCGGCGGATGAGATGGGTATCACAGAAGAGTCTAGGAGCCCAGGAATTCCCCCGCTCCGCCGGGGCTCCGGTCTCCTCGTGCTTCCCCGAGAGAGGACGGGAGATTGCGCACATCGGCGGGTTCCCAGGCTAAAATGGTGTCATTGTGGATCCTTCCGTCGCTATTCAACTCGCGCCTGCGCACTTTCCTCACCTCGATGACTCCTCGAGCCGTACTGCATCGCGCCTGCAGCAGTCACTTCTATCGGCGGGTGCTGGTTGGGCAATTGTCGCCTGTCCCTTCCCCTTGGAGAAGACCGTACCTAACGTATGCAAGGTCCGAGGAACCCCTCCTCGTGATGGCCGTCGTCGTATTGGCTATGTACGATATACGCAGCCGCCCGCCCGGTTTCTATAGAACTCGCCTGTACCTGTCTGGAGCTATATACAGGTACCTAGAGGTAGGTATCTAGAGGTAGGTATACCTTATATATACTCGGCATGTACCATTGCTCCCCCCTCTGCCTTCTCCTTCTCCTCCTCTCCCCTCTCTCCTCCCATCACTTCCTTTGGCTTGCCCTCTCATTTCTGGACACACAGTCGAACAATATTGCCCGATTCGCGTGCGATCAACACCGCAAAGAACTATCAGGAGTGGGCTATCTAGGGCTCATAGACGTAAACCAAGGTTAATGTACCCTCCTCTAGCATTGCACCATGGCGTCGGTTTCTAACCCAGCCAGTTCCGGCCCGAACCGTCTCTACGCGTCGCCGCCATGAGACACACTCCCGTTCTCGGCGCTGTCCTCGAGCTGTCGCTTCTGGTGGCTGCGGATTGGCAGTTCAAGTCCCGATCGGATCTCGCTCCGCCGCGGTTGAACATCACCATCCCGGCCACCCGAGAGGTTGAAAAGGGGTACTTGTTTGTCTCTCCCTTCGCCGGCTATCCCGATACGCCCACGGAGCAGCACGGGCCTAGGCAGGCTGGCCCGTACATCTTCCGCGACAATGGCGACTTAGTCTGGTCCGGCTACGGCATCTACAGCATCTGGGCCACCAACTTCCAGGCTGGCCGCTGGCGGGGCAAAGATATCCTCTACAGCTTCGAGGGCGATCACAACCCGGGCTACGGCCACGGCCACGGCCACGTCACCTTCCTCGATAATCATTACGAGACCATACGTGAACTTCGGGCCGGAAACCACAAGCTCATTGACAAGCACGAGTTTCACATCGTGAACCAGGAAACCGGCCTCGTCCAGATCTATCAGCCGGTCGCCCGCGACTTGGCAGCCTGGGGTGCGAGCCCACAGCAGCAGTGGATTGTAAATGCTATCATTCAAGGTAGGTACATATTGATCACGAGTATTAAATCATATTTCGCTGCAATGGGATGCTGATGAGACAATTAGAGCTTGACATCGCTACTGGCAAGCTCCTCTTCGAGTGGGCAAGTCTGGATCATGTCTCACCTGATGGTACGGGCAGTAATCTTATCAGATGATAAACAATACAGCTTTCTAATTATCCCCCCCAGAAGCGATTCTACCCATCAACCCCGGCCAAGCTGGTTCTGGCTACAATAGCTCGGACGCTTGGGATTACTTCCATATCAACAGCGTTGACAAGGACGTCGACGGGAACTATCTGATATCCGCACGAGACGCGTGCAGTATTCACAAGATCAACGGCACAGATGGGGAAATCATATGGAAATTGAACGGGAAGGATAGCTCCTTCAAGGTCCCTAAGAATGCCGAGTTCTGCTTTCAGCACGATGCGCGATTTCTAAGCCAGTACGACGACGTCGAGGTCATTAGCTTATATGACAACAGCGCACATGGCACCGAACACGGTACCGGTTCCGAGGTCCACACTGCACCCACCAGCAGCGGAAAGATCATCAAGGTGAATACTACCTCGTGGGAAGCCGAGTTGGTCCAGGCTTTCTTCCCTCCGGACGGCCTCCTCTCCAAGTCTCAGGGCTCTACCCGAATTCTCCCCAACGGGAACGCCATAGTGAACTGGGGCTCCTCCGGAGCAGTGACGGAGTTCCTCGCCAACGGTACACCCATCTTCCACGCGTACCTGGACTCGGGCGAGCTTGGTATTGGGGTCGAAAATTACCGCGGCTTTCGCTACAACTGGACCGGCCTCCCGACCGAGGATCCCGCCATCGTGGCGCTCGAGTCCGACGAGGGTATCACCGCTTACGTGAGCTGGAATGGCGATACCGAGACTAGGGCCTGGAGGTTCTACGCGCAAACCGACGAGAAGGGGTCGAGGAAGTTTCTCGGTGAGGTCGAGCGGGTCAGCTTTGAGACCTCTCTCCCAATTGGCCACGAGAACATCGCCGGAATCGTCGCTGAGGCTATCGGTAAGGATGGAAGGTCGCTACGGACGACGGGGGTGGCTTTCGTCGAACCGGAAATCCGCCCTATTGAAAGTCTATCAAAAATTATGATCGGTGAAGCGGTTACCCAGAAGGCTATTTTCAACTCGGATGACATGTAGGGGAAACATGAAATTTTGAAGTATTTACAGCTTAAAAACGTAAAGCTTCGGATGAGACCGTGGAGTTATCACCTATATTATGCGTCCGCCACGAGAGGGTTTGGACACACTTCCCATTCGGAGATGTGGACTTGCATAGCTTCCTACGTGGCAACATCATAAGGGGAGGGACGCGCTATTGTGGAGTTCGAATCAATACGTGATGTAGATTACTATTAGGAAATAAAACACTCAACTGTGGCACGTCAATCTCGGCTCCAACAATTCCCTTCTTCGTGGGTGGATTAGTGTTGCTGATGCGGCTTAGACCCGTGTGGTGGGCGTACTGACTGTAGCGCCGTCACGGTGTCTACCTGCGAGATTAGAATGAGTTGGCATTTTGCAAGACTACAACCTCATACACTTGGGGCATATTACAAAACACCAATAACCATGATGGATCCCCGTATCAAATCACTTGTCCGTAGATCCGAGAGCGACCTAGGAACCGTATGGAACGTGTGATAAGGGGGTTAGATAGTTATTCCGCTATTCTCTGGTAATTATAGAAGACATCTAGAAGGGAGGGCCGAAGCTGTAAGTGTGGTACCAGATCAACATCCGTGAGAAGCCCATTTTGTACTTTTGATCAATCGGAGATAATTAGTAGAAGCTTCCGTCATGGAAGAGACGTCATAAGGGTCTCGGCTGGATCATGACAAACGACGGGACACTCGGGCTTAGTTAGCTTGCCTAGTGCTAGTACCTAAGCCTCCCGCGCGTGGATGTTTCTTGCGGCGAATGACTCGTGCGAGATGAGGTGTCTCCTGATATCTTCAAGTACAGAATGACATGTCTAAGTTGTGAGAAGAATTCCTTTCAAAATGAATAAAGTCTATATTTTTGGAGGTGTTATCGGTGGTATTCGGGCCTGTTTTACCGCCGGGATACTAACTAGGAAAGGGGAAGCAGATTTGACGGTGTCACGTACCTAGCTTTTGCAGGTGAGCTACGGTTATGTGCGCAGGTTTGCGCGCGTACGAACGAGCAAGGTGTGGGACGGGAGACATCAATCAAAGGTGACTGTCCATTGAAGCTATGAAAGAACTGAGTGAATAAGAGCGACGGAAAGCTATATATAGCTATAATATAGAGAGGTCTCCGGTGCTGAGGTAAGCCAAGACGTACGAAAGGAGACAGAGGGGGCAAAATCCTATGTGACAGACGGTTAATACGCCTCGTATTAATATAACTTATGCTTATTTGTCTTAAGATCTATCGTACCCCTTTGTTGATTCGAGACCGACTCCAATACACTCCGTCGCAACGTTTTCCTCACGGCTAGAAGGCCCTAGCAAGTGATGAGTTTTCATTTTCCTCTGGTTTTTCAACTGTCTTCATGTTGAAGACGCACGCTGCGTAGCAGGACACAACAACGCTACTAATAAGCACTTTAAACAGCGTTACAGAAACTTGGCACCAAGGAGGAGGGAAAGCGGCAGTTAGTTTCACCAATCTAAGCGATGCCACTCCGAGCGACGATAGGAGCTCGAACATGGCCTGCAAAGGGCAACGACGCGATATTCGGCACGTACGCACACCGCTATCACGGAGACACGAGGCTCGATATTTCGCAACGACTACAACCCGTTAGCATGGGTTGCATACATGGGGATACAGGGAGTGGCATCTCGTGTTCGTTGGCCAGGAGGTGTTGCTGAATTTGACCACGTAACGGAAACCTATCACGACCCAGCTCGATCCCCTCTGGTGTCTCACCCCCCGTAGGCTGACAAGAGAAAACATTGGAAATGCTAAACTAAGCATATGAATCCAGCACAACGATGTGGTCGAAGTTGGTGGGCCAGCAATGAAGCGGAACATTGATTCCGATGTCTCAAGTGTAGCCGAGCGTTCAAAGGGCAGAGAGATGCCCTATGACGTTGAAGAACCCCTTTGAACTCCAAACCAAACACCCTAACGCTCGAAAGGAGCGCCAACTCCTAGGATAGAATGCACGCCAGACTCGAATATTGCCGGGATTACTAGACGATCCGCTCGTCGTCCATCGTGTCTTCGGAGGAGAGTGGAGGCGGTGACGATGTCATGAGTAGTAGTATTGGGATTGGTGGACATGGGAGGATGAAAATAACGCTGCTGGTCCCTCGGATAGCAGCCATGCGGGACGGGTCGAGGCATGTCCCGTGTTGATACGAGAAAGTCGCATCGGGTTTTTGTGGCTCGGGAAGGGGGAGGGGCCGCTGCCCTGTTACCCGAGGCCATCCGGCCTTTGTCGATCCGGAGTCGTATCCGAGCTGAGCAACGCACCGATTTCCAGCTGAGCGTAAACGAGCGACTCTCATTAGGCGCCCTGCGAACAGGCCGTTTTCGCTGTATCTGAGCGCTTCTCGCCTCATCATCATCATAGCCACGCTATGCTAAGCAAATCCCGGTAACGCTATACCTAGATGTCTTAGACATCGGCACTACACGTTGCGATCTGTTTGTGGAAACGTCTAGGGCCATCTATCGGTTCGACGACCGCTGCCAATTCAGGATACGGCCTAATCTTTTTTTCTCGCTCTTGCTATGACTTGGGCTATGCTGACGGCCGAGGCCGGTGAACTGGTCTGGCCTGACATCGGGCATAAGAGGGCCCATTTCATGCATACCACGATAATCTCGTATTGAAAAAATTGGCGCTACAATGAGGGTGGATATCCCCGAACACGGAGGAGCGAGGAGCAAGAGGAGAGGAAGAACTGCATAGAGGGAGAGAAGAGAGAAGAGCGAGTGTCAGATGACATCGATACGTGAGATATTCTTACATTGCATTTAGGGAACCGACATGCATTAGATTCCATCACCTATACACATGCATAAGCACGCACAACACGTATGCAAGGTACATATGTCTCCATGCATAGGGTATTGAGACACGCATATGCGCTAAGCCTGGAGGAAATGTGCATAGGCACTTACATGTACCGATGTACATATACGGCATGTAACGCTGTGGCCCATCACCTTGGGTAACATGGACACTTGCTGCGACTGGAGTTACTACGTTACATGCCGATCCAGCCACCCCATCCATCACACAACAACAACCACACCCGGTGACAAGCCTGGTGACGAGCTGGCACACGGTGGCGTGTGGGGATAGGCGAGCGCGCGGAAGGATATGCCGAGACCAAGGGCGAATAGGCCCGTCCGGGGAATGCGGGCCCAGCCTATAGGGCTAAACTGACGATCATTGCCGCGCGGGCACCAGCTGGAAACGGGATGGGGCTATGGCCTGTTCGTGGGTTTGGTGTCAGGCCCTGTCCGCTGGCACCGTACGATGGGCTCGCAGCGCATCACCGCTCGCCACCTTGCACGCACAAAGAAAGGGAGGCGAAGGCCCCAAGACCCTAGAATACGAGCCCGAGCCGCATCTGTCTCATCAGAGATCAAGATTCCTAGGGTCCCCCGCAGGGCCCGTTGCTGGATCCCGTCATGTGACCGTGGAGAGACCGTTGCCAGACAGACGAGCCGGCAGCCAGCAAGAGCATCAGCAGCGCGCGCAGCGGTAGGCGCCAGTCATCAATACGAGAGATTCCATGGCGAGGGTCAGATGGCCCTTTCTATCCTTCCCTCTGCAGCAGCCCCCTCCTTCCTTCGTCTCCAAGGAGCCCCGATCGTGCTAAACGAGCCCGGTCCAGCCGCCGACATCATGAGAATACGAACGACACGGGGATCGACGCAAGGAGACTGGCCGGAACGGTTCGCATCTCGCTCCTCTACCGGCAGACCTAGCGTATAAAACACCTAGCTATCCGCCGTCGAGTAGGATCTTGTCTCTCACCCTCTCACCACCATCAGCACCAGTCACCGTCACGAGTCATCAAGTCAACAACAAACACCAACCGGTACACCTCGCTAAAAAAAACAATCTACCTAATCTTAATCTCTTCCCTACCCAACCCGCCACCATGCAGCTCACCAACATCCTCGTCTCCGCCCTCCTCGCGGCCGGGTCGGCCGTGGCGGCGCCCGTGCCCGAGGCGGTCTCGGCCATGGCCGCGGTGCCGGAGTGGACGATCGAGAGCCTGCAGCGGGTGTGCGACGCGGCGGACGACGCGTGCACGTGGTCGTTCGGGATCAACACGCACCTGGAGCCGGAGCCGGCGACGCCGTGCTCGTTCGTGGCGCGCCGCGGGGCCCGGCCCGCGAGCCAGTCGGACACGGTCGGCAACGCCTGCGGCCGCTTCACCGTCAGCTCCGGCTGGAGCGACTACTTCGGCCCCGACAACGGCTTCACCACCCTCAGCGTCGTCGACTACGCCGCCCGCCTCATCGTCTGGCCCGCCTACACCGACCAGCAGCTCGCCGACGGCCGCGTCGTCTCCCCCGACCTCAGCTTCGCCCCCGCCACCCTCGCCTAGAGGGAGAGCGGGCAGAGCCGCAGAGAGCTTGTGGAGGGTCGCCTCGTGCGGAATAGGAACGAGGAGAGCAAGGGGAGAGAAGGACGGGAGGACAGACAGCGGTCGAAGGGTATAGATGGGGGTCACGACCTGATGGAATGGATCGAGTGGCGCAATGCTTAGACACGATGGCAACGGGCTTTACATGATGACACTGGAGAGGAAAAAGAGAGCTTTAAATAATCGCTAATGGGTTACGGATTGCTGTATAAAGCGATTTCGTTCATATTCTAAGTATCCCTCCGTCTCTATGGCTGGGAGGGGGGTCATTTATAAAGTCCATTCCTTCATTATTCCGCTTATCTCGGTTGTCTTAATTCTCCAAGACTTGAGTGGGTCCGCATTGTAACCTCAACAAACCTTTCCGACCTAGGCTCTTCAGCTTCATGGCGCGTCCTCGATTGTCGTCGCCACCTGCAAACTATGCTGCGTAGGTATCGTCTCGCTATTTCGATCGCCCCGGCCAGCCCAGACGTGCTCGGCTTCATCCCTGTTACTCCTTGTCGTTGAAGGGGTCCGACTTGTACGCGCGTCGCGCGGTCTCGAAGTCCGGCTTGTAATGCTGCAGCGCCAGGGTTGCGAGGCAGAGCAGCTCGTACTGCCAAAACCACATATTCCGATTATCTAACCATAGGCCCAGGATCTCGTCTATCTCCGCGGGGACGGACGCGGGATCGCTCTCCGAGCTGCTGCCCCCCGTCTCCCCACCCCCCGCCTCGTAGTCCTCTTGCGACCAGGGTGCCTGGACGTTCTCCGTATATTCCACCTCGACGTCTTCGCCGTCCTCCTCGAAGGTCTCCACGTTACATAGGCACGGGCTGCTTAGAGGGAGCTCCGGGTAGTCGGTGGAAGGGTGATTCGCTTGATCGGCGTCGTCTGGTTCCAATTCTTCGGCTCGCTCAGGCTGCGCAGGCTTCGCGGCTGCGTCCTCGTCATCAGCTGTATCCTGCTCGCCACCAGGCTCGTCTACCTTGTCACTGGGCTCACCTTCGTCGGTCGTCGATTGGGAGGCCGGGGTCTGTGGCAGCGACACTTCGGGCGGCTTCTTCTCATCCGAGTCTTCGAAGAGACCAGGCGGTTGGTCTGGAGTGCTGTTAAAGGGAGTGTTATTGGATTCTTTTGACGCATTTTCTTCCTGCTGACCCTCGACGAGGAATCCGGTTTCGTCGTATATTCCCGAGGTATCGTCGGCGCCATAAAGGTCTTTTGCCATGTCCTCGAAATAGTCTTCAACATTTGCGTATCCTGCGCTAAGGACACCTTGCATGTTGGCTTCGGACAGGTGTCCCCGATCGACCAAACGCTGAAGGTAACGCTCAGGAAACGGCTTGACCCTCTTCATGATATCTTCGACGATTAAGGGCTCAGTTGAGTCGGGGATCTGGGTCGTCAATATCGTCTGGCGCAGACGGGTTAACGACATGCGTAATTTCTTTAAATACCACGCTCGAGTCTCTTGGAACGTCAGCATCGCCTCGTTGTCTCCCTTGGTGAATTGGCGCAAATCGTCGTGGATCTGTCGCTGGAGACCAGCATAGTCGCAGACTCGAACCCGAAGTTGTCTGCGTAACAGCTGCACTCTCAGTTCTGGTTCCGTCTCCCTCCCCCCTTCCTTGGCGGTTTTGCCCATTGAGGATACCCTGATGCGGTTCTCTGCGTATTGAGAAGCCTGGATGTATACGTGTGACTGTTGATTATTGTTGGTTTTGGGGGGGGGGGGGGGGGGGGTTGAGTCACCTGTGTGGGCGTGGGCCTTTCTCTCAGACGGTTTCCCTGCGTGAGGCTTGGTGAATAGAGAGGCGGATGGGAAAGAGGAGCCAAGAGATTCGAGATATATTGGAAAGTTAGGTGTTTCACACCCTTCTTCGCGGGGATGGATACCGTGGCTAGAAGTGAGTGAGCGTCGAGCTTGTGCGGGCACAGGACATGTGCTAGTAGAATCATATATTGCAAATGACAACGCTTGGCACTGTTCGACAATAAAGGTGCCTTTGTCGGTACGAGAACAATACTATTGAATGGATTGTAAGTTAACAATGTCTAGCTTTGGTGGAGGCGAGGAGACAACGGTTCTGCCACAAGGGTACCCGGCCTGGCGGTTCTTTGTCGGCATGAGATAATATCAGGCGTCAGAGGCAAAAGTACGAAGGGGTTTCTGGTCCGATGTAGTCGAAGTATTACACAGCTTAGGTAAATGCAGCGTAGTGCCTGCAGGCCATTCTCGCCTGGGCAGGTCTCGTGATAATATAGTCTATGATGGCAGGCACGGATCGCTTCACACACCCGCCGAACGCTCTGCGCCTTATCAGGTGGCCTCCCGACGCGCAACGCCCTTCTCTAGCATCTCGCTTCTGCCGCAGACGTACGCTTAATCACCTGGAGCCACTGACTCTCTCCCTCCGGCGCCTTACTGTCTCCCTATATTATACCTAGCTTGCTTCGGTGCAGGAGATTTGGCTCCTGGCGAGGCGCGATGCTTATTAAGACCTATGGCCACACCCACCGACCTGTCTGCCAGGTGCCGTGCCTCGTAGTAAGTGCGAACTCTAATCCGCTCGTGACGTACCTTAGGTTTAAGTGTGAGGTTAAGGGGCCGACGGGGTAGATCTGTTCGCCGCCGACATCCTCCCTGGAGATCGATCTGGGCTATCAGATCATTTAATTAGTTTAGTGTACTCCCATCTCTCGCTTCTGTTTTCTATTGCCTTCCCGCACCTCCACATCTTCCGCTGCCCCTGCTACCCGGTAGACGGACGCGATGGATGCTTATCTTCCTGTCCGTATCCCCTTTGTCATGTAGCTTCATCGGCCTTCCCTCGTTGTGAGCTGTTGCTCTTTCTTTGACGTTTTGCTTGCGCACCTGTTGCGGTCACTGAGCTACCTGACGTACCTAGGCCCGCATGCCGAAACGGTAAGGACGGGAGGACGGAAGGTGTCGTATTTCCTCAAACGATGATTTTCCTCGAACTAGTACCTAAGTGTCCGGGTGGCACTTCAAGATAAATCCTAGGGGGCAACCCCCGTAGCCTCGCCATGCCTGCCATCTCGGAGTAGGATCTGGATGCTACCATCTACCCAGGTATATCATCCAGGTAGGTTAGTGTTATGCTTCCAACCGGAATCTGTACGCAGCAATATCATATTGGTGTGCGGTTCGGTCAACAATGATACCTAGGTAGGCAATATACCTGTCAACCATATTCCACCCTTACATAGGTAGGTACCTACAGTAGAGGCACAGCCTTCTGAGACCCGTACGAACAATCGCCAGCGGCGCAGGTAGGTGCGTGGGTAGGGATAAAATAAGACCCGAATTATTCTGCTTCGTAGAATAATTCGGGCTTATTTTTAGCGTTTACGCTAAAAATAATAACCTATCCAGAGGATAGAGAGATATAGGAAGTATACTTAGTTTAGTTAATAACGATTTTTAGAGCTACGAACTTTATTTATAATAAAAATATAGAAATCGTAAAAAATTATATATAGAAAACTTATATAAATATACTTAGTTTATTTAATAACCATTTTTACGTTTACGAACTTTATTTATAATAAAAAATATAGAAAACGTAAGAAATTATATATAATTTTTAACGGGATTAAAATCTAAGATTAGGAAAGATCAGGAAAGATCAGGAAAGATTAGGAAAGATCAGGAAAGATCAGGAAAGATTAGGAAAGATCAGGAAAGATTAGGAAAGGTTACTGTAAAACAGGTTAGGAAAGGTTAGGAAAGGTTACTGCAAAATAGGTCAGGAAAGATCAGGAAAGATCAGGAAAGGTCACTGCAAAATAGGTTAGGAAAGGTTAGGAAAGGTCACTGCAAAACAGGTCAGGAAAGATCAGGAAAGGTTAGGAAAGGTCACTGCAAAATAGGTCAGGAAAGGTTAGGAAAGGTCACTGCAAAATAGGTCAGGAAAGGTTAGGAAAGGTCACTGCAAAACAGGTCAGGAAAGATCAGGAAAGGTTAGGAAAGGTCACTGCAAAATAGGTCAGGAAAGGTTAGGAAAAGTCACTGCAAAACAGGTCAAGAAAGGTTAGGAAAGGTTACTACAAAACAGGTTAGGAAAGATCAGGAAAGGTTACTGCAAAACAGGTCAGGAAGGGTCAGGAAAGGTTACTGCAAAATAGGTCAGGAAAGATCAGGAAAGGTTACTGCAAAACAGGTTAGGAAGGGTTAGGAAAGGTTACTGCAAAACAGGTCAGGAAAGGTCAGGAAAAGTCACTGCAAAACAGGTCAAGAAAGGTTAGGAAAAGTCAGGAAAGGTCACGGCAAAATAGGTCAGGAAAGGTTAGGAAATAAGGGTAGAAAACGCGTTAGAAAAGGTTAGGAAATAGGGGTAGAAAACGCGTTAGTAAATATACGTAAGGATTTTAAATTATAAGACTCCATTTATCCCGCCGTTTTTATTGGGTGCACGCATTTTTAGAGACCCATAACGTGTTTTTTAGCCAGTAAAAATAGAGTTTCCCCTAAATAACCCCTTTACAGGGGTATTTACAGGGGTATTTAACCCCGCAATTAATTAGCATGACAGGGGGTTATGCGTATTATAACTATCCTCCGGATAGGATAATAAATTTTTACTCATCTCGCTCGGGTAGGGCAGAGGTTCGCGGCATACGTGCACGGGCTTCGTCTTCATGTTCGCAGCCACAGGTACCTGAGCATCTCTCAAATAGGTACCTACACCTAGGTGATGCATACCTAAATGTAATGTAGTTGTGCTGTTGTCAGCGCCTCTTCGGCACACGTGTCTTTGACACCTGCGTGTACGGCCACCTATGTGACGTCATGGTTCCACGTCATATAATCAATTATTATGCGCTGTTTACATTACTACTGCGCGTTTTGGAGGGTTCACTCTCGTTATTTCGCTGCCTTATTTTTAAGGCATACAAAACGTTGAAAACTGAGCCTAGCTTATTGATTGAAAAGGAGCAGCTCTAAATACACTTGCGAATCAACCAATCACAGGGCTCCTTTTCGGGTGCCCTGGCATCCACACTACATAGTGCATTGCATTCTAGGTAGGATGCGGGTAGCGAAGTTATGTCTAATCGTATGGCGATTCTCTGACAACCCTCCCGCAGCACGGCTCCTCTACAAGTTCACCACCTTTTCTTCCCTCCTATTCCCTGACTCCCTCCCTCTCCTCTGTTAAAACCCCGCTAGGAGCGTTTCATGGTCCTCTCGGTTCTAGTGGCTTGGGACCTCGCCTAGCCAGCGAATAGGTGGGACTCTCTCCAACGCAGCGATTTGCCAGGAGTCTGAGCTGGACCTGATTCCTTGGCCTGGGAACCGAACGGGGGGGTGTTGTGTATGATGGCGGCCTCTGAGATGGCCGATACGATGTCACCCACTTCCGGTTCTCCTTTTTTGCGTGACTCTGGGGCTTGACAAGCCTAACATGCTTTAACTTGCCAATATAAACTGCTATTCTAATCAAGGAAGGATCGCAGGCCCATCTTTCGTATACCTATATTCTCAACTTCGCGATTTTACTACGCACCGAAAGAGCAGCTCGCACCATACGGAAAAAAAAGAGGGGGGAAACAAAAACCAGAGAGATAGAGCAGGGAAGCGCTTGCCAGCACCATGGCGGAAACGGCATCCCTCCCGCGACAGGAATGTCTTCAATCCGCAGGCGGCGACCAGCCCAGCCAACTCGGCGGCGGGGAACGCATCATTAAGGATGTCAAGCCGACTGTGCTGCAGCACCTTCAGAAGATCTACGCCGCGCACGCCTCGCCCGTCGATAAGAAATGGCATAAAGAGCAGATCGTCTCGTTCTTGCACCAGACCCAGGCCGAGGGGGTGGCAGACCCCTCTTTGGCCCACCTCGCAGCGCTGGACACTCTCGATTTCGCCGGCTTCCTGCACTACATGACTTCGGATGCCGCCAATGTGATGGCACCCCCTCCGGACATGGACCTGTCCTGGCCGCTAGCTAACTATTTCGTCAACTCCAGCCACAATACCTATCTGACGGGTAACCAGCTTAGCAGCGATTCCGATGCTGACGCCTACCGCAGTGTGCTTCTCCGTGGCTGCCGCTGCGTCGAGATCGACGTCTGGGACGGCGATGAGACTGATTCGGACTCTTCCGTCGACAGCTCTGACGACGAGGATGCTCGCGAGATCAAGGCCCTCCGGAAGGCCAGCCGTAGCGAGAGACTCGCCTCAAAGCTTCCTAAGTCTCTTAGTAGTCGATTGAGCAAGCGCTTTTCCGGGAAGAACGCCGCCGAAGAGCAGTCCAAAGCAACCGCGAAGGTGGGCGACGGCACCGCACCACTGACGAAAACCTCCAGTCAACAATCGGTAGCCGAGCCAAGAGTTTTACACGGTTACACACTCACCAAGGAGGTTTCGTTCCGCGGGGTCTGCAAGGCCATTCGCGAGTATGCCTTCGTCGCATCGGACCTGCCGCTCATCGTCAGCCTCGAGGTCCACTGCAGCCCCCAGCAGCAGGAGGCCATGGTGCGCATCATGAACGAGGTCTGGTCGGAGTATTTGCTGCCGAGCGTCGTCGAAGACGCCAAGATCCTTCCCGCGCCGGATACCCTTCGTCACAAGATCCTCGTCAAAGTCAAGTACGCACCACCAGACGCGCCCGCTGCTGTCGCCGAAGCTACGGGATCTGTGCCAGCTACCGCCAATACGAAATCCAAGGCTGCCGCCCCCGCAGCCAAAAAGCACGCGAAAATAATCCAGGCGCTATCTACGCTGGGAATCTACACTCGTGGCGTATCCTTCAAGTCACTTTCACAACCTGAGGCCACGATGCCGACACACATCTTCTCGCTGTCGGAGGGCGCGGTGGCGGATGTTCACGATTCCGAGGCCCGGCGCCTGTTCGAGCACAATCGCCAATACCTCATGCGCACGTATCCCTCTGGCATGCGTATCGGGTCCTCGAACCTGGACCCCCCCGTATTCTGGCGCAAAGGTATCCAGATCGTCGCCCTGAACTGGCAGAAGTGGGACGAGGGCATGATGGTCAACGAGGGCATGTTTGCGGGCACCGGCGGCTACGTGCTCAAGCCCGAGGGATACCGCGGTAAGAAGGCGACTGCCGCGATCAGCAACGCTACGGGGGAGGAAGCGTCGGCCGAGGCAAAGGCAGAGCCACCACCGCCACTGCCGTCGTCGTCGTCCGACGAGATGATCCGGCACCAGAGGCTCGACCTGACGATCACGGTGCTAGCGGGGCAGAACCTGCCGCTGCCGGAGGAGGACGACACGGCGAGCGGGTTCCGGCCGTACGTGAAGGTGGAGATCCACACGGAGCCCCCGCACGACGAGCACCCGACGCACCCGGCCCCGGCAGCGGAGGATCCGCGGGCCAAGGAGGGCGAGTACAAGGCGCGGACCAAGAAGCAGCGGGGCGTGGACCCGGACTTCGGCGGCGAGGCGCTGGCGCTCGCCAAGGCGGCGCCGGGCGTCGTCGCGGAGCTCGCGTTTGTGCGCTTCCTCGTCAAGGACGACGAGATCGGCCGCGACGACCTCGCCGCCTGGGCCTGCGTCCGGCTCGACCGCCTGCGCCGCGGGTACCGCCTCGTGCGCCTGTTCGACGCCGAGGGCAAGCCCACCGAGGGCGTGCTGCTGATCCGGGTCGAGAAGAAGCTCTCGTAGCGTTAAAAGAGGGACAGAGCGTGCATATGTGCGTGAGGGGATAAGGAGTGAGAGGTGATGAGGCAAACAAATCTGCATGCGGGGAGTAAAGTTGCGAGATAGGATGTTTATGACGGATGGACGAATAGATGCCGTTCCACGTCGCAGCATTAGGGAGCGGGGCGTCCTGTCGTTAGCTGCCGGGTTTTTTTACTTGAACGGCTTGAAAATGAAGACGAGGAATCTCGCAGGCTAAGCCGGGTTAAAATCTGTATTGCGCGTGTGTATACGTATATGCCCCCATGCCACATGGGTGTTCTCCCAACGCCCAAAGGATGAATATCCGTGTTAACGCCTCGTGCTTAGCAACCGCTCAAGGCTTCTCTATCGCTATTTTCCCTTCACCTTTCTATATTTATATTCTACGAATATGCATGCGCACTTACGGCCCTCCAAGCTCCGGCTCTATCACGCTGTGGTTGTCCGTCGTGGATATCAGATTGATGGTCCCCCAGGCGCCACCGCCCTCCACGTTGGCCCGGGCCGTCAGGAAGGCGTGCAGCCTCGTCTCGTACGCGTGCGCGGACAGCGCCGAGGCTTGGGAGTCCTGGAGATCGGCGTCGCTGTAGGAGTCTGTCTCGGCTCCCTGACTATCTAGGAGGAATGCGTCGTGGTCACGCTTACTCGGCGGCGGTGGCGGCGACCTGGTTGTTTCCGGCGTGAGCGCGGGGCCAGGGCAGCTTACGTCCTCCGCTAGCGGCCCATCGTCTGCTGGTGTGCAACTCCCATCGTTGGGCTCGTCTACCGCGGGGGAGTCAGCAGGTGGGGTCGGTTGGCTTGAGGCGTCGGGGTGAGCCGAGGTCGACTGCGTGTCGAAGTCTGCCCCTGGCTTGCCTTCTCTTTCCCGCGAGCTGCGTCCAAGGCTCGACCACCGCTCCATTAGCGCATCGTGCTCAAAGCTGTCGCCAGAGCAGCAGTCCCCGAAGAGCCCCCGCATCGTGATGCCCCTCTTGTTCCAGGACCGCGGGTTGACCGTGCACGGCCAGATGTCCTTGGGCCGGAAAGTCTCGACGAAGTGCCGCAGTTCGGGCAGAGACGAGTGTCTCGCGTACGGGAAGACTATGTGATTGGGAAGTGCGTTGTGATGTTCTCCTTGGTCACCAAGACTTCGGATCGGGTTGCAGATCGCCTTCGCTTTCTTGACCAGCGACGCTATGATCTCCTTGAAGGATTCTTCTTTGGTAAACTCGGGGGCGTCTAAATCGAGGACAACCTCCCGAAAGCCGATTAGAGCATTCTCGAGGATGTCCTTGATCTCGTTCCCTGGCTGAGCCACCAATTCGTTCTTGTCGCGGACTCTGAAGAGTGTCAAGAGCTGCCTCACACGGAGAAAGAAAGAAAGAAAGCGAGTCCTGCCTTAACACTTACATGTCGATCAGTTTTGAGATATCCTCTGGGTCGAGCGTTAACTTCTGGGCAAGGTCATCGCCGCCTCCACCGATGCCAACTTCGACCATATCTCGGGCATTTTCAAGGTGTGCCACGATGGGCTGAATCCAGACTATCGGTTTTACTTCTGTAACATGACATCCCATCCCTTTCTCGCAACTATGAATCCTTACGTCTTCGTCTAGTGTCAGACACCCCTCTCGCTGAATATTGCCGCAGGTGAACCCCACGAGATATGGGGCATCCTTCGTCAGATGAGTCTGAGCAGCGAAGCGGTTATCTGTCGACTTTGTTACGAGTGACTTGTATATGCCCATCTTGTACTTGTCCACGTGGATCTTCGGAAGGCTTCAGTCATACGGCGATATGAGCGGGGGGAGGTTCGTCCACCGTACCTTCGAGCCTAAGGCCTTCGACAGGGCAACCCAGACGTCTTCATACCTACCACGACGTTAGATGCTATTATTGGACCGAGACATAGACTACTTCACCCGTAAGTCCACGCTTTGATATGGAATATGGTGTCTTTAGGATATCGGGAAACTTTCCCCAGGAGCTCACTGAGCCCCTCGGCCTTGGTCTGCAGCGGAAAGTCGTCCAAAATCGACGTATCGAGATAGATACGGTCGAGAGTCTTTAACCCTGTCGAGTACTCAATCATGGCAGGACTCCGAGCGACCGAGCTAACGAACCATGGTTCACTCCTCATATCCCCTGTGTAAAGGATGGCTTTGCCGTCGCCCTCAATCACTAAAGAGGGGCCAATGAGTCAGTATTGGTGATTCGATAATACCGGGCCACACGTACGAAACATCACAGCACCAGGACAGTGGTTGGCATCGAGAAGCGTGACCTGGATGCGTACGCCGGGTTTCAGCTCAAGCTCAGTAGGAGTATCGAGAGGAATCGGCTTTAGAACTTTGGCAAGGTGCTTATATGTCTGCATCCGCGGATCCTCGAAGATGCCCCTGGCATAGTTCAACCGGCAAGGGTACCTCTCGAGGCGAAGCAGAATCTCCCTAGTTGCGGCCGAGCAATAGACGCTGTCACAAACCCAGTCGTCAGCACGGGCGGCAGATCCATAAAACACGATGCGCGCGTACAAGGGGCTTCTGAGCCTATCTAGCCCGGCCAGATGGTCAGTGTGCACGTGGCTCAGGAAGCAGGCCAGTGGGGGTTGGAGGCCGAAGCCGCGGAAGAAATCAACTTGATTCAAGTCAGCATAATGATAGTACTACCGGCTCGGCGATCAGGCAGACCCCTTATGTCTGTGAATTCATGGATGATGCCGTTGAAGGTCGACATGTTGAACCACACTGCCTGGTCCATGGGGGATGCAGAGAGGCGGGATCAGAGGCCCTGAATCATGGCATGCATTGGTTACGTGCCGCAGGACAAGGGGTGAAATCGAGGATGACGGCATTGAGGAATCTCCTTAGAATTTGGGTTTAGAAAAAATTTCCAAGACCTGGCTTGTTGTTTTGGTGAGAAGGGCGTAGAGACCTAGGGGTGGTGAATGGCGAAGAAGGGAGCTTAGTGAGAATTCCGTCTGTGGCTGTGTCCTGTTGCCAACAGGCGGCGTGTGGCTTTGACAGCTCTTCTCCAGCCAATCATAACCTGCAATATCGGCTCGGCGGGCGGTTTTTCCGATATCAATACGCCGTATCGGTACGCAGATACGTCAACTACGACTGAGATTGACACCCAAATGCTCTCTACCAACGGTCACCAAGCACAGCTTGCCATCCAATCGAACTCCACTCCGTGAGCTTCATCTGAGTACGCCGACGGCCAGGCTGCCTCCGCCCGTCTTCGGCGTTACATAAGCCCCTAAAACCGAGGTTAAAACGGCGTATCGGTCGATACGGCGGGAGGAGCTTCGCTAGGCCCCCTGAAAACCTCAACACCCATCAGCAACTCCTGTGAGATAGCCTCGCCACCGGACAAGCATCGTGGCAGATTGGCTTCCAGGACGTGAAGGATGTGCTGCTATTCGCATCTGAACCAGTCGACCCTCAGCTATGTGAGATATCGAGACGTTAAACATAAGCCTCTACGCGATGCAGTCGCTTAAGTAATGCGACGCCAATGCGCGAATACGCCGTATCCATATCCATCGTCACCATCAGTCGCCCCCGTCGTGACTCGAAGCGCATGTATAAAGGAACCATCGGTATTTGGGACTTCGCGACATCAGTTTAGTCCCGCCACGCCCGTCTCAGCAGTTGAGAACCTGTACTTAAATCCCAGGCAAATCTGCTCACCTCTCAGCTCGAACCAGGCCCCAGCAAACCTGCCTTAAACAACCGCTAAAGCTACTTATCACTAGCCTATATCTCACCGCGCCAATATGGATTTCCCGGGTGGTTCATACCAAGCGGGGGGGAAGATCAAGATCAACCTCACCGGCACGCAGGAGACGATGCTAGCGCCCCTGATAGCGAGGGCCAAGGATGCGCAGATGCCCGAGTCCGTACTGCACGACGTGTGGGCGGTTCAGACGCTGGCGCAGATCGACCACGACTTTGATAAGTTCCAGATCGACGACAACAAAGCTTCGCTGCACACGCTTCGCGCGCGCCGGCTGGATATCTGGACCTCGCAGTTTCTCGCGAACAACCCCACGGCGACCGTCCTGCATATAGCTTGCGGCCTCGACAGCCGGTGTCTTCGCCTCAACCCAGACTTGACCCAGGTGCGCTGGATCGACCTCGACCTGCCCGAAGTCGTGTCGTTGCGCAGCGCTCTCATGCCGAGCCCGCTGGGGGATTACAGCTTGATCGGTGCCGATGCCACCGACGACGCCTGGCTCGAGCAGATCCCCACCGACCGGCCAACCGTCGTCATCTGTCAGGGGCTGCTCATGTACTTGGAGGAAGAGACCGGAAAGCGCCTCATCCAGCGGCTCGCCAGTCACTTTCAGACGGGAGAGCTCATCATTGACTGCGTCGGCACGCTCCTCCTTTCCCTCCAGCACCAGATCGAGACGCTCACAGCCACCGGATCTTCCTTCAAATGGGGCGTCGACGACCCCAAGACACTGGAGGGACTGCACCCGAGGCTGAGAATGGTGGAGTGCCTCGGTCTAGCTGAACTGGAGGGATTCGAGCGTATGCCGCTCAACACCCGGCTGATGCTGTCGACCTACTCGTACTTGCCGTGGTTCCGATATCTCAGCTCCTACGTACGGTACAATTTCTAGAGCTATGTACCCGGTTGGGCCGTTCAAAACTGCCCCATTTCGCGCTTTTATCATTACCCCTCAACCATAGATTGGGATGGCATTGTCTTGCGGATACATCTTCAAGAGATGGCTGTACAACGTTTCAGGCCTAGAGTCTATTTTTTTCTTCTCTTTCTCGTTTTAGAGGTATGGGTTTGAGACTTGATAGAGACTGCTGGATCAGTCAGGCTGGAATGATGTATTGCTTTTAAAAGCTGGTGACTCTACTTACCGGAGAGCGTTGAAATTCATCTCTGCTCTGTGGTCTATGAACCAATGGCTTGGATTCTGATGAGCTAGGTCATATCTCAAATGTGACTGTCCACTAGAAATCCACGTAATGCTGCCCTACGACAGTGCTTCCAAGAGAATCCGATCATAGTTCCCCAGTGTCAGATCCAGAGCCGGGTGTTAAGCCAGTTTGTGCGGCGGAGTTATTTGTAGAACAAAGAATTCTAAAATGTGCTGTCTCATCCGAGCAAACAAAAGGGCGGCTATATTAAGACGATGTGGAATTTTACGAACTTCCGTGGTTCTGTATGGCCTCGCCCATGAGAAGAATACGTGTTGAAGGAGTGAGAACGTCCGTCATCATGGATCGCCGACCTAATCACCGTGAGCGATTTCATCTACCCCTTTCCACTATAGCCCCTAAAGATATCAGGGCCAGTGACTAATCCAACCGAGTACCAGAGCCAGGGGCATCAGCATTGCCATACCCCTTAGAGTCCACCATTCCAGCAGGCCCCTCGTCCGAGCCGGAGCCGGGCCCCTCCCACCAGCGCCAGCGCCACCACCAGCACGATGGCGCGCAAGCATCGTCGTCGTCCCATTCGCCCCTGCCAGCGCATTCGGATCCCTTCGCGCTGCTTCGACGCTTCAACACGGTGTTCCTGATCGACGACTCGGCGTCGATGGCGCCGTACTGGGGGCAGGTCGGGGCGCTGCTGGAGCGGGCGGCGCCGGTGTGCGTCGAGCGCGACGGCAACGGCATCGACCTCTTCTTCGTGAACCACCGGCCGCGCGGCTACGCGGCGTACTGCCTCGTCGACCGCGGCGCCGAGCGGCTCGGCTACCGGCACATCGGGCGCCACCGCGCCGCGGGCGCCGGCGCCGGCCAGATGCGCGACAACGTCGCCGGCATCCTCGCGAGCGTCCGCCCGCGCGGCGGGTGCCGCCTCGGCCGCAGCCTCGCGCGCCTCCTCGACGAGCACCTCGCGCTGTGCCCGCCCCCGCTGCGACGGCCCCGCGCCCGCGGCGCCGACGGGCGCCGCTGGCCCACCCCTCTCAACCTGATCGTCGTCACCGCCGGCGAAGCCGGCGACGACTTCGGGGGGGTCCTGGAAGGGCTCGAGCGCAGGCTCGAGCGCATCGACGCGCCCCCGGGCCAGGTCGGCGTACAGGTCTTCCGCGTCGGAGACGTGTCGGATGAGCTGCGGGACGCGATTGAGGGCGCTAGAGGCCCGGCGGGCAAAGGGCTGGACCTGCCGGATTTCCTGGACGTGACGACGTGGAGCGGGAAGCCCGGGGAGCTATCCGAGGAGGCTTTGCGAAGGGTAATCCTAGGTGCGGTTGAGCGAGGTTTTAGTAAAAGGGAGGCGTAGCTGGGTCATGCTGCTTTATTGTCTGCTTTGTCTTTGAGGCTCCATAGAGGGACGGCGTTTTATGAATTGACGAGTCTTTGTTCATGCCGTATTGTCAACGGTCGGCGTGGTCATAGAGGCCTTGCTTCTGATGGGGACAAAAGACATCTACTCCTAGACGATCCCGAAGTGTACCTATATCTAGCTCTCCCGCATTAGATCGCATTCGTAGGAGCATTAGACAATCAATCAATCATTGTGTTCTGAGCCTCGAGACTACCCCGATACGAGAAGATGCCTCTATCATTACTAAAGCAGATCTCTGGGTCTCGCCTCACAACCAGAGAGAAACTGTTGCGAAAAGCGGAGGGCGTCTATGTAGCGCTCAATTGCGTACACCATTTCGAGGCGCTGGAGGATAAGGGAGCCTACGGCTACGGTAAGGAGTTTCCCAGGGAGCTGTACAGGAACGGGCTGGAGCAGCGCCTCGTGGAGATGTGGATGGCGGACACGCCGGGGGCGGCGCGCGTGCGCGTGCTCAGCGGCATCGTCGGCCCCAGGGAGGGATACTCGGCGAGCTGCGCGGGGCGAGAGTTCGCCAAGTTCCTGCGGGCGCGCAGCCCGCAGCGAGCGGTGGTGGTGCGGGTCTACGCCAAGAACCGCAGCGCGACGCCGGACGCGCTGCTGCTCCAGTTCCTCGGCTCTCTCGTCTGGGGCCTGCTGGCCCTCGTGCCCGACGCGTTCGAGGTCTCCCCCGCGGACGGCCTGCGCCGCCGGCACTTCGAGGCCTTCGCGCGCGGCGGCGCGGACGGCTTCGCCGCCGGCCTGGGCATACTGCGAGCGCTCCCCCGGCTGGACCTCGAGGGCAAGAAGATGCTCTGCATCGTCGACGGGCTGGATCTCGCCGAGGACGAGACCACTGCGGAGAACCTGCGCGCGCTAATGGAGGCCCTCCAGCACGTTATCGAAAGCAATCGCGCGAATCTGCTCTATACCGTCCAGAAGCAGACCAGCTTGATCAAGTAACTGGTGGCGCGATTCCGATAATACCTCCCTAATATAAATGAGACATTTTGCTCTCACAGGGCAATTGGAGATACACTTGGCACGTCTTGAAGGACCGACTGGCCGGATTTTGCCGACGCGTCGGCATTTTTTAATTGATCGAAAGGAAGCTGGATCCGTTATCACGTCGCTAAATTAGATTAGAGAAGAGACCTGTAGCGAGTTGTGAGTTGTCGAGTTGTAGCGGGGCGGGCAGAAACAAATGCTCTTCTGGTCTTGTTTTCTAGAGTAGACACGCGCGACGCGCGGAGACACCGCGCCAATAGCTGACAAAGACACCCGCCCCATTACCTGTCACGATGGGGCGAAGTCGTCCTTATGAGTACCTATATTAATGGAGGAGGGGAGGAATGGAAAGGAATAGTGACCAATATGTCTGGATGGATGCATTAATATGAAAGAATAAACTGATCAGAGGGACCAGGATATAAAAGACAGAGCCGAGAGCACGCTGCTGGCGGTTGTTTCGATTCGGCAGCTCGTATCCCGGCTCGCTTACTCATCTCATCCATCGTCCCGTCTCGTCGACGACACCGAACCCCCCTACCATCTCGCAACTCGTCCATTGGTCCAACCCACCCCATCCTACCTCTCGGAAGAGCAGATACGGACCTGCAGCGTCGCCAAGGCAACAGGGGATCGGTGAGCTTTCGGAGACCGAGTCGACTCTCACATTCCTAAGACGGGAAGGCGACAAGGAAGCCCAAGACTCTAGGCCTATTAGATGCCCTTCCCCGCGGTAGCATTAAAGCACAGGGACCATGCAGCAATTTACAATACCTGCCATTCGCAATTTGCACGTCGATCACGAACACCCAGCTCTGGGGAAGCGCAGCCGGTCCAGGGTGGTATACCTGCCTCTCTTGCGTACATATAAGAGGGACGATGGGGTGATCATCGTTCCTATTTGCACTCTCCCTCCCTTTCCTCCCCCTCCTATCCTACTCTCCCTCTTCCCTCTACGTGAGCCCTGTTTCCGATTCGGAAGTAGTAGTAGAGGAAGAAGAGGAAGCAGCTCAACGGAACAGAGTTGTTGTCGCTGTCGGCTTAGGCTCGGAAGCATCTCAACATGAGGCTGACACCTTGGCTGCTGGCGGCGGCGCCGCTGGTGCTGCTGCGGACCGCGCGCGCCATCGAGCCGCCGCGCCAGCCGCACCAGCCGATCGGCAACGGCGACCGGATCCTGACGTGGAACGAGACCGTGGCGAGCAACCGGTTCGGCGCGAGCTCGCGGTCCGTCAGCTGGCTGTCCGGCGGCGACGACGGCCAGTACATCTATGCTGGCGATGACGGTTCACTCATCCTCGAGAACTTCATCACAGGCGAGAGCTCCGTCTTCGTGCCCGCCGCCAGCATCCCCGAAGGCATCAGCGGCTACTGGATCCGCCCGGACTTCGCCAAGGTCCTCTTCGCCACCAACTACACCAAGCAGTACCGCTACTCCTTCTTCGCCGACTACTCCGTCCTCGACGTCGCCTCGGGCGAGCTCACTCCCCTCGTCGCCGACCAGGCCGGCGACATCCAGCACGCCGCGTTCTCGCCCGCCGGCGACGCCATCGCCTTCGTGCGGGGCAACAACCTCTTCCTGAACAAGAACGGGGCCATCACCCAGATCACTGACGACGGCTCGCCCGACTTGTTCCACGGCGTGCCTGACTGGGTGTACGAAGAGGAGATCTTCGGCAGCCGCTCGGCGCTCTGGTTCTCGCCCGACGGCGAGGTGCTCGCCTACCTCAGCTTCAACGAGACCGGCGTCGGCACCTTCACCGTCCAGTACTTCATGGACAACCAGGAGATCGCGCCGGTGTACCCGCGCGAGCTCGACTTGCGCTACCCCAAGGTCGGCACGACCAACCCGACCGTGGCTCTGACCCTCCTCGACGTCGCCTCCGGCACGAAGCGCTCCGTCCCCATCGACGCCTTCCCCGCGGACGACTTGGTCGTCGGCGAGGTCGCCTGGGTCACGGCCGCCCACGGCAGCGTCATCTACCGCGCCTTCAACCGCGTGCAGGACCGCTCGAAGCACGTGCGCGTCGACGTCGGCGACGACGGCTCCGTCGCCACCGAAGTCGTGCGCCAGCGCGACGGCACCGACGGCTGGCTCGACAACGACATCGGCATCCGGTTCGTCGGCCCCGTCAACAGCTCCGCCGCCGGCGACTACTACATCGACGTGTCGGACGAGTCGGGCTGGCAGCACATCTACTTGTACGCCGTCGACGGGTCGAGCGCGACGCCCCTGACCCAGGGCGAGTGGGAGGTGACGTCGGTGCTCAAGATCGACAGCGAGCGCAAGCTTGTGTACTACGCGTCGACGCAGGCGGACAGCACGGAGCGGCACCTGTACTCGGTGTCGTACGCGACGCTCGAGTCGAAGGCGCTCGTCGACGACACCGTGCCCGCCGTCTGGACCGCCTCCTTCTCGTCCGGCGGCGGCTACTACATCCTCAGCTACCGCGGGCCCGACGTGCCGTACCAGGAGCTGTACGCGATCAACGACACGACGACGCCGCTGCGCACCATCACCTCGAACGAGGCCCTCTGGAACCGCATCCAGGACTACAACCTGCCCAACATCACCTACTTCACGCTCGAGCACCCCGACGGCTACAGCCTCAACGTCTTGCAGCGGCTGCCGCCCAACTTCGACCCTAGCAGGAAGTACCCCGTGCTCTTCACGCCGTACGGCGGGCCCGGCTCGCAGGAGGTGGTCAAGTCGTTCGAGCCGATCGGCTGGAACGCGTACGTGGCGTCGGACCCGGAGCTCGAATTCGTGCAGTTCATCGTCGACAACCGCGGCACCGGGTACAAGGGCCGGGCGTTCCGGGCGCTCGTCGCCTCGCGCCTCGGCGAGTTCGAGGCCGCGGACCAGATCTGGGCGGCGCGCGAGCTCGCGGCGCAGCACGCCTGGATCGACGCGGAGCGCGTCGCGATCTTCGGCTGGTCGTACGGGGGATACCTGTCGGCGAAGGTAGTCGAGGCGGACTCGGGCGCCTTCTCGCTCGGGCTCATCGTGGCGCCCGTCGGCGACTGGCGCTTCTACGACACCCTGTACACGGAGCGCTACATGAAGACGCCGCAGCTCAACCCCGAAGGGTACGCCGCCTCGGCCGTCCGCAAGCCCGAGGGGTTCAAGAACATCGCCGGCGGCTTCTCCATCCTCCACGGCCTCGCCGACGACAACGTCCACTACCAGAACGCTGCCGCCCTCGTCGACCTGCTCGTCGGCTCCGGCGTGCCCCCTTCCAAGATGCAGTGGCGCGTCTTCACCGACAGCGACCACGGCATCTCCTACCACGGCGCCTCGACCTACCTGTACAAATACCTCACCGAGCTGCTCTACCGCGAGAGGATCCGCGAGGGCGAGGGGCTCGCGCACCAGTGGACGCGGCGGAAGGCGTCGTCGTCATCCACGGCGTAATTTGTCAGCGAACCGTTACCTAGAATAGATTAATTCTTCGAATTTCACTGCCTGTTTCCTGTCTTAATATCCACCGTACATCTAGGCTGTGCCACCACGGGCTAGCGGGGGGATGCCTCGTTGCCCTGTTTCCTATCACGCCCTCTCAGCTTGATACCTACGCCCTGAGTGGTCCAGTGTAGGCAGATTGCTCTGTTGACGGGGGTGCCAAGGAAGCAACAGGCGCCCTTGGTGTGGCCGGGCCCGTCCTACTTCTGGCGTCTGTCGTGTAGACAACACCCTTGCTCGTTGTCTGTCAGCCCGACCGCCCCCCAGCACTGGATGGATAGAGCCCAAGGTCATGCGAGTAAACTCCCAAGCCACCGCCACGTTGAGATATACTACCTATCCCGCTACTCACCTGACCACCAAGTATGCAGGACAGACACAAATATTTGCTCTCTGGCGCCAATTCCACTCACAACGTGATACAGATCGAACAGGGCCTTCATTCCTCCAAGGCCCGTGCTGGTGATGGTCGGCGCCCCAGTAGCACTCGTCACACAGTCGATTAATAGACTGCTAGTAAACTGAGAAATACTGTGCACTGCTTGCCTGGTCATGGGCTGACGTGATACACCTACGGGTCTCCCTCACCCGAGACCCCTACTTCAGAGCCGGGGGGAGAGGGGGGGGGGGAGGGGGGGGGTGGTGGTTGCACCACTGTCCTTCCATTCCCAACGGTTTAGAATCGCAACGAATCGTCTTATGCATGTTCCAAGCCGTGCCTGAAGCTTGTCAGCGTATATGTTCTCCTTTAGTTGAGCCTCGGGTGCATAGGTAGTTGGTGGTTAAGGAGAACAGCACCTACACCGTAAGCTCACCGAAACAACATCACGAGGACCCCAGGTCTATAAGGGCGATACAAACCCCAATGTAGAATCCGCGTATGCTTGCCCATGAGTTTCCCTTCTTAGTTTCTCCGAGGCAATTCGGAAGCCTGCCGTGACTTCCGCCCAACCTGAAGATGTCCGATATCGTGTATAAGCTGAATGAATACGTAGGCTTTCGTGTTGACCAGTTCATGACCAACACAAGCTTCAAGGGACAATGCGCCCAGATGATCGAAAACCAACTCCAAAGAAACGATTCGAAATCTACCGACGAGATCATCGACGGGTTCGTTGACCGCTGGGGCCACCGGATAGGGGGGCAGAATGCGAGGGGCATAGTTTACGACTTGTGTAAACGATATTGCGGAAGGGACATACTACGCACTGTAGACCTGTTCTGGGAGACTTCTTGGGAGGCAGACGCTTACATTTCTTCTGCTCAGGTATTTAACATCGAAACCTTCTCGTCCGGCGCAACGAACTATATCCTCCCCTGGCTGGCGCTCACGGCGCAGCTACCATTCGAAACGGGCGAGTACGCTGTCGTTACGAACGTCATGGCCTTCTGCTATGCATTAGGGAGCCCGATGCTCATCTCCTACTCCCTAATGCTTACTGTCCTCAACCAGTACTGGCTCCGAAAGAAATTTCACCACCTGGAGGACTCGGACCGCCCTTTGCACGGGAAGTCGAAAAACGCCCGAATATTCCTTCAGGAAAGCCAGCAACTGCCGCTGCGGCTGTCGCAGGAGGACGGTAGCCTCGGTAGCCTAATCGTTCTCGACCAGAACACGGACTGGTGGGAGAGGCTGAAGAGGAACATACTTCTCACGAGGCGCGGCGTCACGCTTCCCTTGGTGGCACAGATGCTGGCGGCCATCCTGTCCTGGGTGCTGACGGTCGTCGCGTCGTTCGTGACCAGCCTTGGCAACATCACCCAGGCGCTCGAGTTATCATCTGGGACTCTTTGGATATGGCTGGTAAGCTATCTCGCGTCTCGATTTTGCCTAGGAGCCGTTCTCTTTATCGCGTGAGCCTGTTCTCGATTTCGCGTTGATATAGACATATTGGGAAAATCATTGCACAACATGCTGCGATTTACGATTAACGGACGGCTCACGTAGTTCGGTAGATACCTGTCGTAAGCGGTTGGATTGCTGTCGGGACGCAGACGGACCACCACATGATCGGCTATGCCCTGAAAAGGGATAGGATACATATCGTCGGACCCACGAGAGCGGGTAGCACGTCTAGCGACAGCCCAGCCGATACGCCTACAGAACACCAGAAAGCTTTCGAGATCGCTACCCAGCGGAAGCTCTTGCGCCCGCTGGCGCGGTCTCTCGCGCCCGATGAGACCCCTCACCCTGAACAAGAGGCAGAGGGAATACCGAACTGTCTCGGCTGCAGCGTCGCCGGGGACGAGAAGCAGCCGGGCGCCACTTTCAACTATGCACGTGTATTTACGTGGTGGAACGTGGTTACCTGCCTGCACGGTGCGTTCGAAACAGCCAGTGCCAATTTAGAAAGGAGGTCGAGTCTGGATACGGAGACAGTCCCCCCACGCGACAGGTTGAGTATATTGCTGTCCTGCGGGCTCGCCAAGCGAAATGGCGACGGAATCGAGGCCAAGGAGATCAACGAGTATCCCTCTTGGGGCTCTCTCGATGCCGACTTATTTAAACGCATGATCTTAGCGGCCTGCATGGCAACGTACGTGCAATGGGGAACGACCGGCGCGGCTATAATCATCGCGCTTCTGACCGAAGTCAGAGGACTCGGTTGCCGTTCAGGGAGTTACATCATCTATGGGCTGCTCAGCACAGCGTCCTTCTTGCTGCTCGTCGTATCGTCATTTCTTTCGCACGAGGCGATGCTGCGTCACGAAACCGCACAGCGGGCGAAGGCGCTTGGCAAGCCGGCGGCGGCACGCGGCCTGCTAACGGCCTTCCGGGTGTCGGCGGTGGCAACGCGGCTGCTCGGACAGGTAACCATCGTGGCCAACACCGTCTGGATTTTGGTTTCGTCCATGTGGGAGATCACGGGCTTCTACGACAATTGCTGGTGCAACACGACGTACTTGAGCAAGGGATCGAACGGCTGGCTAAGCCTATTCACGATCGAAAAGGAAACGGCAGAGTCGGCACTGGAGTCGTGGGCCGGCGGGGTGTTCTTAGGCGTGGCCGTGGTCATGTCGAGCGTTATAGTCATCTTGCTCTACTGCCGCTGAAATCGCAGTTAGAGTGCGACCGCTCATTCCGGAGCCGACACCCAACAGACATCGACCGGACAGGTCGGCTGCGAGAGAGCAATGGGAGAAAATGACAATTCAGGCACAGGGGGGGGGGGATCGGAGCGACAGCGGAGGCGAGGGTTGGGGGTTTGTTGATGGGAACGTAAAGATATACCTGCCGGAGAAGAGCGCGAGCTGGATAGGACGGATTGGGGGGGGATGTTGTTGTACTTACATAGCCAGCATATGGGACTACTGTATAATTGCATACCTAATTAGCTTAGATATGCGACTCCGTAATTATCCGAAGCTCCGTTATTGACTGCGCCTATCATCTGAGAAAAACTCCGAGGTAGAAGGAGTAGGTAGTTAGTACGTACGATATATTCAATTAAGCAGTCGTAGGTTCGCACCCTCCCCTTCTCCTTATCGTAGGGACATAACCTCGGTCTCTTATCGATAGGTACGTATCCTGCTTATCAGGAGACGTGTACTTATTTATACTTCTGCAGTCCCAACTACTCAATTGCATATATTTTGACATTAGTGTGTGTTGTGGAGGGTTCACTCTCGTTGCTCCGCTGCCTTATTTATAAGGTGTACAAAACGTTGAAAGCTGAACCTGACTTATTGATTAAAAAGGAGTAAATCTCAGTGCCAAAACGGCGATTAAATAGCTTTAAATACAGTGACAAATCAACCAATCACAGGGCTCCTTTCAAGTGCTCTGGGATCCACATTAGGCCGGTCATGTACCAATTACTCCGAGTCAACTGGCTATTGCCGGATACCGTCGGGACCCCGACTCGATCTCACATACACACCGGCGACCCCATCCCGCTTTCAGGCTCCACGTCGTCTCTGTTACCACATATGGCACATCGGCGTCTTTCTCTCTACGCCTCGTTCACCCGCGCCATACCAGCGACAGCCCGCCCACGCACTCGGCGTACCGTGTGTCCCAGAGCTAGACCTCCCCCCCCCTTGCTTCTCTCTTAGTCTCTTCTCCTTCCGCCGAGGGGACCCCGCGCCCACCCCGTACCAACCTCAGAATTCCGTCGCGTAATCCTGATCGTCGCCCTGGCCTTCTATTTGCTACCATGTGCCTGTTACCCGGCCTTTCTCGTGTGGGCGGCACCCGTTCCGCTCCCCGCCATCCCTACCTCTAGTAGCCGTCTTAACTCCCGTGCTGGTTTCCCTTCGACCTTCCCGAGCACACTGCCGGCTGCGTTGATAATCGAGCGTGGCGGCATCGCATTCGGCACTCCAACTCAATCCTGCCCCGCACTAGGTTGTTAATCTGCGTTGCGAGATAAAGACGAAGAGAAAGATAAAAACGAAGAGAAATAATACACATCATCTTAGACCGTCGTTGCCGTTGTTGCCTGAACCGCCCGGAAGATACATCCTCTCCTCGGTCTATAATGCCTGTCACGCCGTTCGAATTCGGTGAGCGATACAGATACCAGAATGGCTTCGGGTCCTACTTAGAGTGAGTTGTCCGCGCCTACCTCCCAACCCGTTATCCCGAGCCCATCGTGAATGGAACCTCCTTCGACTTACATGCCTCCCTCTATTCGTATCGTACAGGACTGAGGCCGCTTCGGGCGCACTACCCGTCGGCCGAAATTCTCCCCAGAAGCCACCCCATGGCCTATATGCCGAGAAGTTCTCTGGCACCGCGTTTACGGCGCCACGGCACGAGAACAAGCAGACTTGGCTCTATCGGATACTCCCCTCCTGCGCGCATCCCCCCTTTTCTCGCGCTACGGACGAGTTGCTCGGGTCCCAGCCGCTCACAAATCCCTCCAAGCTAGAATATATACCAAATCAGCTGCGGTGGGATCCTTTCGATCATGATGATCAAGCCGATTTCATCTCCGGCCTCCGTTTAGTTGCCGGCTCCGGCGACCCGACCCTCAAGCAGGGAGTAGGCATGTACATTTTTGCCGCTGGAAAATCGATGGATGAGCGCTCCGCCTTCTACTCAGCCGACGGAGACCTCTTGATTGTAGCCCAAGACGGTGTTCTGGATATCAGGACCGAGCTCGGTTGGCTCCTAGTCCGGCCTATGGAGATATGCGTCATACCGCGAGGCGTCAAGTATCAGGTCCATCTACCATCCGGGCCTGCCCGCGGGTACGCACTCGAACTCTACCAGGGACACTTCTCCTTGCCCGAGCTCGGCCCAATCGGCTCAAATTGCCTGGCGAATGCTCGCGATTTCCAAGCCCCCGTGGCTTGCTTCAGCGAGGACTTCGGGGCTACCGCCTCTGTGGGCTCTAATACTTACACGATCACAGCCAAGTTCAACAATTCGTTTTTCCAGACGAAGCAACCCCACACCCCGTTCGATGTTGTGGCCTGGCACGGAACTTACTACCCGTACAAATATGACCTAGGCAGATTTAACACGATTGGGACCATCTCGTACGATCACCCGGACCCATCCATCTACACCGTCCTCACGGCTCCGTCGGACCACCCCGGTACAGCCGTCGCCGACTTCGTCATCTTCCCGCCGCGTTGGCTGGTGGCCGAGAACACCTTCCGGCCGCCCTGGTACCACCGAAACACCATGTCAGAATTCATGGGTCTCATCGCGGGAGAGTACGACGCAAAGCGGGGAGGGCAGGGCGGTTTCATGCCTGGCGGCGCTAGCCTCCACAACGTCATGAGCGGACATGGACCGGACGCGAAGAGCTTCGAGGGCGCGAGCAACGCCGAGCTCAAGCCGACTCTAGTGGGAACGGGCAGCTGCGCGTTTATGTTCGAGAGCTGCCTGCTGATCGGCGTGACGGAGTGGGGGCTCAAGATGTGCAAGAAAGTCCAGGAGGGGTACAGCGAGGAGACCTGGGGCGGCGTCCAGGTGCATTGGAAAAGGCCCGAGGGCGTGAGGGAGGATAGCCATCTGTTAGTCTGAGAGCCTGAGATGACCGGATATCACCGTGCAAGCCTTCTGAACTCCGAACCCGCTACTCGACTCATGAAAAGGCTAGTAGGTGGAGAATATATGCTGACGATTCGACGCCCGCGGGCAGAGCTTGATGACCTGGAACTAAGCCGACCACATAAAGTTGGGTCGGTTTTATCAATAAGTGTACTGAATTCTATTGATTTATAAAGCTGGTATCATTATTTATCCCAGTGCTTGAGCGTTTTCCTATTGATACTCGACATCTTCGACCTGCGAGAAGGATGCAGGCACAAATGTGGACAACCAAGAACCGAGTGACATATCATAGGCCATAGTCAGGGCAGCACACGGTACACGTGGCTAAAAGAAATATGTGATTGAGTGAAGTATAGACACAGATACTAATACAATAAGTTGATATCGCACATCAAGCAGAAACAAGACGGAAGCGCCCAAAGATATGACCGTATCCTGGAACTCCGATAGCCTGTACATTGAACACGGAACTGAAGGCCGGGGCCCTCGGAAATGAGAATTCACCGGGTGCAACATATTATCTCCTAACTCGAGTGGGCAGCAGCAGGAGTAGGCGGCGCAAGGTTGAGCTCGGGATACTCGGGGAGCTGGCGGCCGCCCTTCTTCTCAGGCGACAAGCGGGAGAGCCAGTGATCTAGGCGCACGAGGTAGGCGAAGCGCACGAAGAGCCGGAGGAGGGTGAGGAACCACCAGCTGCCGGGGCAGAGGATGTGGGGGACGCCGGCGACGATGTTCTGGACGTCGGCGACGTAGGGCTTGACGACGGCGTCGTAGGCGTCGAGGGCGGCGGGGACGGCGGCGGGGTCGCCGCGGTGGCGCGCGATCTCGCCGGCGAGCACGTAGGCGCCGGTGAGGGAGACGGTGGTGCCCATGCCGGAGAGGGGGCTGGCGCAGTGCGCGGCGTCCCCGAGGAGGGCGACGCGGCCGCGCGTCGCGCGGGGCGCGCGCACCTGGCCGATGACCTCGGCGTAGAAGTCGTCCGCGCCGGGCATCTGCGCGAGGAGCTCGTCGACGCACCACCCGGCGCCGCGGAACTGCGCCGCGAACACGTCCTTCTGCGCCGCCGCCGGCTGCCGCTCGATCGCCCGCCGCGTCGCGTCCGCCGCCGTGCGCACCATCAGGTACACCTGCGTTTGCGCGCGGTTGCCCGTGCGCAGCATCACGGCGCGGCCGCCGCCCGGCTGGTAGAAGCGCGCGAGCGCGTCGTCGTCGTCGTCGTCGTCGTCGGCCGCACCGCCACCGCCGCCGCCGAAGCGCGGGAACGACACCCGCGGCACCTGGAAGTACGCCGCGTACACGTGCATCGGCTTGAAGGCGGCGGCGGCGGCCTCCTCGCCGAACAGCATGCGCCGCGTGCGCGACCACTGGCCGTCGGCGCCGACGACGAGGTCGTACCGCCGCGCCGCGCCGTCGGAGAACACGACGTCGACGCCGCCGTCGTCCTGGTCGAGGCGCGCGACGGTCTTGCCGAACTCGTAGTGCACGCCGGGCGGGTAGTAGTGGTCCTCGTCGCCGGCGCCGCCGCCCCCCGGTCCCGATTTCTTGCCCCTCTCCTCCGCGTCGAGCGCCGCCTGCCCCTCGAGGCTCGCATCGTACAGGATCTGCACGAGGTCGCCGCGCATGATCTCGAACTCGGTGGTAAAGGACAGGCTGCCGCTGCTGCTGTCGGCGATGCCGAAGGCGCCGAGCACCCGCCCCGCGCTGTTCACGAACGCGAGCCCGGCCTCCTGCACGCCCTTGGCGCGCACCGCGCCCTCGAGCCCGAGCCGCTTTATGATGGGCACCCCCCACGACCGCAGGTCGAGCTGCAGCCCGTTGTGCCGGATCGTCGGATACCGCTCTATCACCGTAATGCTATGTCCCGGATCCGAACGCCGCAGCATAGTGGCGAATGCCGGACCGCAGATGCCCACGCCGATAACGAGGACCTTGAGCGGCATGGTTGGGTATGTCTAGCCGGCGGAGTATTCGTAACGTAGGCCGTCCTTTTTTTTATTCTCTCCGTCCTCTCTGTTTGTTCGTTGGTGATCTAGCCTGCCTCGTTCGGCGGCCCCTATCTAGGCATGGATCGTACGTCTTCGATACGACTAGGCATAAACAATGGGGGGAAACCTTGGGTAATAGTAATTGCGAGTTGAGTGTATACGGTAGGACAGGTGCACCATCTCCAAATGGGGAGGCGGGCAGTCTTAAATATAAGAAGTCTCAATGGGGTCAGCTTGTGGTGCTTCCGCTACACGAGATGCATAAGGGGTTTAGTAGTAAGGGCAGCATGCGCAGCTTCAAAATGGGCCGCATATGCAGGGATTCTGGGAGGCCTGGAGATCTTATGGCGTGTTATTTTTCTGCGAGGCCCAGAAGCCTAGCTGAAGGAATCGTATAGTTAACGGTGGAGGAGACATGTTTCCATTACAAGGCGAGGTTCGCCAACGAGGTTTCCTCGGATGGAGGTCGAGTTGTCCGTCTTCACCCGAATATTACAAAGCGGTGACACCAGCATCGATCACCAGGTGGCACAGTAGGACCTGAAGGTATTCTTCGATCAGGATCATGTAAACAATCGATATGCCCGCCCCGCCACCGTAGTCGCCCGTACCTCCGAGCCGAGTCCCCGAGTTTTCAAGTCCGGGTCGGGTTGCTCGCTTGAACATCTCCGATAATGCCCTTCGCCTTATGACATGCAGGCAAACTCCCAATTCCTACTATTCCTTGCGTGAGTTCCGAGTCAAAATTCCAGGGCTTTGCTTAATCACGGCCCAGTTGTCCTTCCAAGCGGGTTGGAACCATATCTTAACAAGGGATGAAGGCAACTTAATCCCACCCTACCGTGAGGAGACTACTGTGCCTATAAACCGTATACCAGCTGTAAAGACATGCCACCAGAGGTCGCTAATCCAGAAGCTCCCGTCACCGTCAACTTCGTACTAGGCGTGTCGTCACTATCCCCTCCCCTCCCCTGCGCTTGTTGATGGCTATAGCCCCTTGTTACGGAGATACGCAACGGCAACATGAGCTAATTACCATCACATCCCCGATTCCCTCAGGAACAACTGTCGATCATGAGAGAAAAACTGAAGCGGGCATATGTATTCATCCGTCTAGCCGCTTAGCAGCGCCCCATTCCCTGGTCTAAAATATTATCACTTCTAAATACTGGGTTTGGTTTACCAGCTCATGGCATAGACTTCGGGGCCGAGAACAGCTTAGTGGCCGAGAAGAAGTCAGGTTGCGATATTGACAACAGCCTGCATTAGCCACGGCTTTACCCCTCGGTATTACGACTTTGTTGCCTAGCTGTGGGACGGTACCTGGGTAGGGTATGTCTCGTGCCGATCCGTGAGTCACAGAATCCTCATGATGGCCTCCCCTGCGTGCAGGAGGCCGCGCGTATTCCTTCTTATCAGATCCTCGCGATTCATCTGATAACCCCTCCCCCCCCTGGGGACGGAAGAACTCCTATCCGACCAGAGAGAGAGACGGACATCCTCTTGACCCGATCGCAGTTCAAGCTCATGCCTAGCCGGCTAGTATTAGGGCTGGGACAAATGTAGGAGCTGGGGTGCCTTGGGCGCGACCCGGTTTGGAGGAACGGATAAGCAATCCAACTACCTATGATTGCATGTGAATATTATCCATATCACGTTGTTTACCTGAGGGTGGCCTCGTGTCATGATTCCCCTATCCGGCACCATCTAGCCTCCCATGGCATGCCCATTGTATAGGGGCCGGGGCGCGGCGATCTCGATTACAAGCTGCTCGCACGCCGAGTACATTATACCTATACATACCGAGTCGTAGATTGATTACACTCGAGACGGCTCTCTGAGGATATTTGTGTCGCAGAACGGCACATGCTCACTCGATTCGAACCCAGTCGCAGTAGTAATCTTCAAGCCGCGATGTAATAACAGATTGCTTGTCTAGCAAGCTTAGCCAGCGCAGGATCCTATCGCAGCTCAAACCATCCAAACCTAGGATCCCGTACGTTAATACACGTTGCTCCCTAGCGATATCCGGGAGGCAGCGGCACTCTCGAATCGTCACTTAATATTGGCCCATCAATCATCAATTTACATTAGGTATTACACTAGTACTAGGAGCACGATTCTCTCATTTCCCACCGTAACATCTACTCGCCTTTTCGCAAAACCAAACAACGAAAACGCCGTGCCGACACCGACCGCGCAGCTCCCTTGCTAAGACCGCTCTAGGCCACCTCCTCGCATGGGCCAAGGGGCCGCCAGCAGGGCGGGACCTACCTATCCCCCGTCTGTGTGCTGGCTGCGAGCGAGCCCACCCGCCGGTCTTCCGCGGGCGAGAAGCACACGCATGTGCCACGACCCCCCGGGGCGCCAGTGACAGGCCAGAACCGCGGGCGCGGCGGCTGATTGGCGAAGCCGGACGCGGCCGCGAGCCTCTCACCACCCCCAGCGTCTTGTGTGTCGAGGCCCGGCGGGGCGGACCAGCTGATCCCACGTGTTACGGGATGCAGTTGGCCTGCGCGCGCCCCCAGCACGCTACGTGGCACAGCAGCGGGTGTGCAGACACGGCCTGCCAATGGCTCGGTGAGCGTCGAGGTTTGCGTCTTGATTCGAGAATGCGAGCGTCCGCGCTGGGTCGGATCACAGTGGTGCGAGAGTTGGTTACCTGTGGTCCTGAAGCCGTGTGCCCGCACGCTGTTGAGTTAGGAAGAAACCCCCCCCCCCCCCCGGAACTAGGCGCCAGTATGGGTGTCTTACGTTTTGTCCTCGAGTCCGAGCTTCATCCCCGCGGGATCGTAGGTAGTTCACGGTTATCCGCGAGATTGCGAGCGTGAAACTTGAGTTGCAAATATTCCTTTTGTCTGTTCCGAGTGTATCCCTCGGAACGAGAATAAAACTACGCCCAAAAACTAGGCTCAATTTGCCTCCGGGCCCGTTCATTCATCCATCCCAATGCGTAGCACTAGACATATAATAATACACAGAAATCAAACGTGGAGGCGGCCCTTGAATGTCAGGCCGAGCCTCTGCTCCGTAATCTTGTAGACGTCGGGGAACCAGTCGCTCAGGGCGTCGACCCCGCGGCGCTGGACCAGGGCCGCGAGCGCGCGGGCGCACATCCAGCACAGGACCATGCCGTGGCCCTGGAAGCTGGCCGCGACCCAGAGGCCCTTCTCGCCGGGGACCTCGCCGACGAAGGGCAGGCCGTCGGGGCTGTAGCCCATGATGCCGGTCCAGGCGCGGCGCACGCGGCCGTCGGCGTGGTCGGCGCCCCAGCGGTCGCCGAAGTACCGCGGCAGGCTGTTGTACAGCGCCCGCACGATGATGTCGTCGAACTCGGTGTCGTCCGTCGTCCCGAACTCCGACGCCCCCTCCGCCGCGCCCCGCACCAGCGCCCCGCCGATCACCACGTCCCCCGCCCCCGGCGCCCCCCGCCCCGGCCGCCGCTGGATCAGGTAGTCGTACCCCCCCGCGTACACGAAGCTGTACGTCGTCGGCAGCCCCCCCGCCGGCAGGCCCTGCCCCGGCCGCTGCGCCGTCACGTGCCCCCGCAGCGGCACGATCACGCCCTGGAACCGCTTCCACAGGTGCGCCGTGTACCCGTTCGTCGCGAGGATGACCTTCTGCGCCCTGATCGGGCCGCGCGGGGTCTCGACCTTCCAGCCGCCGCCGGCCAGCTTCTCGAGCCGCAGCGCCGGCGTGTTGGTCTGCAGGTTGAGCTTCTTGTCCAGGCACAGCTTGAGCACGCCGACGGTGAACTTGTACGCGCTGATGCTGCCCGCCTCGTACGAGATGGCGCCGCACACGCCTTCGTCTCCGCCCCGGCCGCAGAAGAACTTCTCTCGGACCTCGGCCGCGCTGTGGATCGTGTACTTGGCCGCGTCGTCGTCCGGCATGGCCGCCTGCATCGCCTGGACCGCGCGCTGGTCCGCCTCCCACTGCGCCGCGTCGTACACGATGTCCACGGTGCCGCACGGGTTGCTGTCGCACTGGATCCCGTGCTCCTTGGCGAAGGCGTGGACGGCGCGGATGTTGGCGTGCTCCAGGCGGGCGATCTTCACCGCCGTGGCCGTGCCGTACTCTCGCTCGTGATCGAGGAACGAGCGATAGGATGCTGCTTTGGTGTGGCCCCCTACCAGATAATAGTGATGAGCGTCAAGTACAACACACATGTAGTAGGGATTGAGGATAAAAGCTACCATTCCGTCCGGTGGCGCCGGAGCAGGCTAGCCGAGCCTCCAGCATGACGATGTCGCGAGCGCCATTGCTCAGCAGGTTGAAAGCCACTGCGGCGCCGGTAATCCCGCTGCCGATGATGACGGTGTCTGCCTTTTCCGGCAGCGAGGTGGTCGACTGCAGGTCGGCAATCTCGTCTGGCTCAAGCTGCCAGTAGCTCTGCGTGGGATTTCCCCTGGGCAGAGTAACGGGAATTGCGGCTCGCTGGTCCATTGCCTTCGTAGGGATAGGGGTATGATTATTGCAAATTGGCGTTCAAAGCAGATACGCACGTAGCTCAGCAGCAAGTCTGTTCTATGGCGCGCCCGACGACTGGTACGATATATATTAGGTGGTGATCTTGATCTCGAGGAGTGGAACCCGGCAATATCCAAGCTGAGGGCTGGTATATCCGCATAGCCAGGCCGGTTGGGACACTATCGTCTTGACTTGCCAGCAAATAGTAAACACGTCTATACGCTGTTCCAATTATGAGACGCTGCGATGATGCAGCCGTGCCTTATATCGAGATCTAATCACGCTGGCTTGGGCCCGATCAGGAGAGTTGCAGATACGAGGGATGACTCGACCACTTAAGGCCGCGCACGATTCGCCCAGAAGACAGCTGATATTTAGCTTTGTCGAGTTGGTCGCGGAGCCGGCAAGGGGACGGTGCACAAACAGCGCATTTTCCTGTAGCACTGTGTGGCTGAGCACCGTGACTGGCAATGGCGGCATTGGGACCAGGTTTAGATGTCCGCGGCATCTGGGGATGTTCGTCATATACCTCTCCCATAACTCGGTTCCAAGATCATTGCCGACTGGAATAAGGGCATATCGGGCTTACTACTTAAGCCAGAGCACGGAGCCAGAGCTGGTGTTGCCTAGAACTGCTAACAACTCCTATGTAGCATCCGCGTGTCTATCCGGTTATAGGATAATACGGTTGATAATCCAGATTCGATCATGGCAATGCTCCATGTCTATTAGTTCCAGTATCATAATGCCCCCCCGGTTCTGTCTCGAAGTAGATTCCAACATAATACCTTTGTATTGCAATATATATGCGTAATATGTATATGCAATTATACGGCGAACATGACGGGATATTACTATACACGTTCTACTACTACGCCCGGTTCTGTTGTACCTAGTTATAGCTTCAAAATCGAAGTAAAGTCCAGTCTGCCGGAAGCAAGAGGACCAAAAACAAGCCTCAACGTAATTACTAATCGCGAATCACCACATGCACATGTCCTAAAAAGGCTGCACGCGTCAGCGTTGTTGGTTTCCAATTTCCTCCATTGTATTCATACTAAACCTTTTTTTCCTCCCGCGAATCTTTTGTCTTGTCGCGTTTCCGAATCCGAGTAGACATAAAAAGCCACCCTTACCTTAGCTACATACACTCGAACACGCTGATGGCTACATAGCAGATGTTTTTTTTTTCTTTCTCTTTTTTAGGTTTCGACAAGAGGCACCGGGGTTCCATCGTGTCAAACCCATCCCGGACACTCGTGCACTCTTGGCCCTCAACGCCGATAATGGCGTGGGAAAGGCACCGCCGTACCTCGTTCAAGGCCGAAGAAAACGAAAACACTGCCAAGATGACCTGCCGCACGTCTACTGCCAACCGGCCTGACGTATCCGGTGGCTCTTACTTCGGCCCCTGAGCCTGCTCGCCTCCTGCTAGCAGACCCGCGCTCGCAGCGCTCTCACCCACTCTAACCTCATCTTCGGGCACGCCGGCCGCAATACTGCCGCTGATGCTCAAGTTGCTCGTGGCCCGGTCCATAGCTCTCCGCTCGCCTCTCCGGTCTCCGGCAATGCTTGTGCCGCCCCCGATGGTACCGCCAACCCCGGTTGCGCCGCTCACGCTCATGCTCGCTGTCGTGCTAGTGCTCCCGCTCCGGTCTCTTCCGCCGCTAGCGCGGCTGGCGTCGCTCTGTCGACGATCGCGCAGTGCCCTTTCTAGCTCTTTGATGCGTCTCTTGAGCACCTCGTTCTCACGCTTGGCCGTCTCCAACTCGTGCCGGTAGTGAGCCGTCTCTTCGTAGCGCAAAGTTGCTGGCATGAGCCCAGGCGAGAGCTCGGATCCGGGTGTGGCCGCTACGCTGGTGCTAGACGAGATAGAACTGCGCGGGAAATAGCTCGACCCGTTGTCGTGAGGAAAGCCGTGCGACGGAGTATACGAAGACCCGAAACTCGTGGAGATGTGGTAGGGGTGCGGCGAGTGGTTCCGACTTCCGCTCCGGCGCGACGCCGCACTGTTCTGCCTGCTCATCCCGGGTGCGCCTCGGGGATTTCTGGCTGCCTCGAGGACCGAAGCAGCACTTCCAGAGTGGGGTTGGGGAATTGGTATCGGTGCGGGCGTAGAGCCTTGGGTAGCCCCGGCAGATTGGTTCAAGCTGCGCGTACTTGTACTCGAGCTGGTCCGGTGGTGTCGACGATCAGCACTCGTTGTTGGGATAGGGAATCCTGGGCCGGAAAGGAGATGAGTGTCGGTGAACGACGACGGGTGGGTCTGATCGGCGGAGGTGGACGCGCTGGTCGACGAGGCATTGGAGACCACTGAGGAGTTCTGCGCGGCTCGAAGTATGGTCAAATCGCGGGTCAGGCGGTTTACCTAGTGCCCACCACGTTAGAGAGAGCCGTGACTACAATATCGGGGCATGCCGAAGGCCATACCAATAACTCCTGCTCCTGCTCTAACTGAGAATGCAGCTCCGCAGCCGTCAACGGACGCGGGTGTCGTAAGGGTCCTGGGCCGGCACCAACGCCAGTGTTATCCTGGCCCGGAGCTGAAGGCGGGTGCATCAGGGGAACTCCCGATAGGGGCGGTGACGGGAGCGAAGAACCCGAGGACGCCCGGTGAAAAGCCTGCTGATTCGAAGGCAAAATGTTCAGCGAAGGCGAGATGGGTGCTGGAGCAGTAGACGAGGTGTACGAGCGACGATTCTGGTTGGAGGATGAGGCCTGGCGGGACGCAGCCATGGCACGGGGAGAGGGCAGGATGGAGTTGAGGTCGGGCATGTTTGCCGGGATAATCTTGGGCGCAAGCGGCGTTGTCGTCTCTGGACTGTGTGGTTGGCGCTCAGCAACGAGGAAACGAGTCTGGTCGGTTATGAGGACACCCTAACAGGCAAGATCAGAGAGCGATACGAGGGCCCGGAGCAACGAAGTAGTGGCAGCTCATGGTCTTATTCTCTTACGGTCAGAAAAATGCTGAGAGGGGATTTGTTGTTTGTTTGGGCTATCTGGGTGAAGTACCCAGGGCGGTCGCGTTAAGAGGTCAAGAGGTCGCCAGTTTGGCCCGCCCTTGTCGGAAAGGTCCCGGTCGTCAGCACCATACACATACACGTTCAGGTACAGGTAGGTACCTACTGCTGTCCTGACGACAGGGGAGATGAGGTAGCTGCTAGGTACCTCTGTACCTAGGGCAGAAGCATCAACCTCTCCGGGTCAAAGCAGGTACCTAAAGCACTGAGGGGCCTGCCTCTTAGCAGAGCCTGGAGAGGTGCCTAACCTGCCTACCTAGAGGTACCTATCAATGCTTGGAGTTGCACCAGGAGGTGGGTGGATGCATGGAGGGTGGCTGGAGCTAGGTACACTCGGTACCTAGGTACGTATTCGAGCTACCTCCCGTTGACTCATCCAAGCCCCACCTAAGCTTCATTGACCGCAAGCACTCTCATGGCTTAGGTCTTAGGTACCTACCTCCTACGTGCGTGCCTGAGGCGCCCAGTTCCCCCATACATTTGTGGCTGAAGCACATCTCGGCCCAGAAGCTCCGGCGGCGGTGGCTTTTGCGATAAGCGATAAGAGCAACTGGGTATGAAGCCATGACGTATGCGCATCTACACGGCATTGCAATACGGGATCATGACGGCATCGACGATATCTCTGATGTCAGAGCGGCTTTGGCAAAGCGTTTACACCGGATATCTTGGTCTAGATTGGCTTCTGAGCAAAATATACGATCACTGATCACCGATCTCTCTTAGTCTTGTAAGGGTCCAAGGGTCTATTTAAATCCTGGCAGAGCATGTCGTAATTCGTCTCGATCGCACTGCCATTAATCCACCTCTACACATCGACCGAGATTTGTCCACCGAAGAGCGTGCACTCCTCAGTAAGACTCAGATCGAGAAACCCTACGGTCTAACCCAAGCGCATCCCTAAGACAGAATCACACAAGTATCAGCATGTCGTCCGCCAGTCCAAACGAGGGCCGTCAATCACCGCCTCCGGAGCGCCAGAGCGGCCCCCAACTCAAGGATGTGCCCGCCTCCGGCCAGGGAACGGACGAGGCGCCCAACAAGAAGGAGAAGTTGCAGAATCAGCTCAATGTTAGTGGTCTAGACCGTTTACTCCCTTGCTCCCCTTTGTGCCCCCTGCCCTCGGCCCGCCTCCGCCAGAATTCTAAGACATGGCAAGATAAGAAAATGGCCAAACGAAGATTCAAACTAACAGCGGTTATGAACTGCAGAACTTATCCTCAAATCCCAAGGGCCCCCTCGAGGACGCAGTGAAAGAGAAATTTACCAAGGGGGCGAAGCCGTCGTCCTGAATGGATAAGGAGGTTGTCATTTCAACCCCTTGAGGGTGCTTGTCCTCAGGTTCAGTACTACGCTACCTACATAAAATGACAAAATACAGTAGGGAGTCTGGGAGGGGTTTTAGTGTGTCTCAACGTGACAGAATTTGTAGTTGCTTAAACCACGCGTCATACGATCCGAATGGGTTGAGGCGGGGCTGCTAATAAAATTTGACACATTGCTGGCAGATATTGTGGCAATAGTGTTGTTCAGTTCGCTATGCCTTTTTCCGTGATATATGAGGGAAGGAAACTCGACAGGGATCATAGCATAGGAAGCTATCGTGATATCAAGTGCTAGCAGTTAGGATTCGAAGACCAATACAGTTACATTATTATCTACCGGCGAACTCTCCGTACAAGTAGACAGCAGGAAGGACACGCATGTGTAAGCTATCAAGATAATAGGTACCCTTGTCACCCATTGGATAGCGAAGCCGGCTCACGTAAAGGCACGGAAATTCCCATATCGAGCAGATCATCGCAATTCCTAGCTCATCAAACTATCCACGCCATTCTTCTCCTTATGCCTTCTCATCTCCGGGTGCTTTCGGGGGGGCGGCCGTGGTGGTGCTTGGCGGAGCAGATCCCTCGGTACCCGCTTTAGGGCCGGGGACGGGAGCTGCAGCTAGATGGCGCACGTCAGCAACGGATCGAATCCTCGGCGGTCATCGTCGGTAGGTAGGTAAGATCGGGACTTACTAGGATCGGCCGTAGCGCTAGCGGTGGCAGCGCCGGCGGCCGGCTGAGCGGGCTTTTCCGGTTCCTTGCCGAAGACCCTTTCGAGTCCCGAAGCCTTGTATGCGCTACCGCCGTGCTCCTCTTTCTTGAGATCAGCCAGGCGACGGGCTTCGGCGTGGATGTCGTGCACCTGGCGCTGGCCGTCGGTGTAGAACTGGACCAGCTTCTTTCCGGTGGGTGAAGTGGTGGCCCGCTCGAAGTACGAGCTAAGGCCGTGGAATATGCTGTTGGCCCGATGGCTGATGCCGTAGGACTGGTCAGTCGCCTTGGCACGCTCGGTGGCGTGGTACTTCTGATCGAGGTTGATCAGGGTGTTCATGAAGCGGTTAGTGACGCCATGCTTGTGGTCCAGCTCGATCGCACGCTGGAGGGCGGCATCGCCGACGACGTATCCGTGGGCGAGGTACTCGGCAAGGATGCGGCTTCGTGGCTTCTCCTCCTGCGTGATCTCGTCGGTGGCGCGGTCGGCGTGGATTGCGTGGGGCGTGCCGTCGTCGGACTTGCCGTCGGCGGGAGCGACGGAAATCTGGCTGCCCTTGAGTTGGGTGTTGTTCAGGAGCTGGGCCGTCTTGGCGGCAGTCTCCTTCTCGAACGTGACGCTGGCATCCTTGGTATTGCCCTCGCCCGGGGTGACCTTGATATCGGTGATCTTGCCGCTATCACGAAGATCCAGGCGTTAGTTCGACGTGCTCGCGTCGCATTGGGAGGTCGGTAAGCCGGGGACGTGGAGCGAGCAGACTTACCAGAAGCTGAAGAAGTCCTGAACTTCCCTGTCGTCAGCCTCGGCATTGATGTTCTTGACTAGAACGGTCAGATTGGAAGCCATGTTGATAATGGGCAAACACGCGATCGGCCGAGGGCAAAATGGGCGGAGGTGGGGGGTTCGTTAGTAGCGGATGGCTGCGTCGAGATTGTAGATAGGCGATTTCCGGTCAGGTTGGCGCAAACGAGGACAGAATCGCAAAGAGTATCGAGGAGATAAGTGAGGGGTGAGGGTCGAGGGAGGTAGCGTGCAGCGGGGGTGGGCAAAACAATGGAATTAAAGCGAGAAATTGTCATGGGGTCGAGGGCCAAGCTAAAGACAGGTAGGTACCTATACCTCAGTATTCTTGCCTGCCTGCCTATACAGGTACCCAGGTAGGTATGGGAGGCCTGAGCGGGAATGCTCAAGAACTCTTCACATCCGTCACATGGGAGTCGCAAGTAGGTACCTCCTTCAGGCAAAGTGTTACCGCGTCGTCTGCGGGTGAGGGGAAACGAGGGGTAACACCACACGTCATTCCACGTTGTCGTGACTATCCCTGGGCACCGCCGACTGTGGCTGAGGACGCGGCCATTGGCGGCTTGATTAGGTGCGTCATAGGTAGCTCGGCCGTTTATGTGAAAGTACCTTCCCCTGCTTGCAGTAGTAGATGAGGTACCTCCTACCTGTCTGCAGGGTACCTTATTTTCCTAATCGCATTATGCAAACGTGCTATGCAAGCTGTGGTGGTCCTCGTCAGCCACCTTGCATTACGCGCTCATACCAGCTGCGTCCTACCCTCATATTGTCCCCCGTATACTGGCCTCGGTAACAACGTTGTCGACACGCTAGAACTGAACGATTAACATCGACGATCTTCCATCTCCCGCAGAATCTTCTCGTAACGCCCCAGGCGCCCCAATGGTAACATCTAGACTCCTCGTCATATGCTACCTAAATGTCTTACACGTCTACGCACGTGGGAATAGATCAGGCTCAATTTCCATGGGGATGACCTCAATCCGTGCTGGCTCTGCCCCTACCTCTACTAAAGGTATCGTTGCTGGTAGTAAAGGCGCGGTTATAGGTAAAGCCCAGGAGAGAGAGGAACATAAGCCAAGCCCACACTAACGACCGCAACGCCAGACCCAGCCTAACAACAATATGGTTAACAAATTGACGACAACAGTGCCCGGGGTTGAGTATCTACAATCTACGAGTCAACTCGTGTCAGTTATCTATCTGATATCGGTATAGCTTAAGGCGATTCAACGCAAACCAAAAGCGGGGAGACGTCGCCAATATTCTCAGCGAATGGCCAAGTATGATGAGTCCGAATTAGGAGGCACGACTAACCATATCAGCCTTTAACGAGGATAGAAGACGCGTCTGGCGGGAGATCTTAGCACGATAAGGGTGGTTTTAAGTCATAATAGTCTTCAGTTAGTAAGAACAGCGCCATAAAGAAAACACCGACGATAAGTGTCACACAGAGGTATCTCTCCCGGCAGAGCTAATGAGCACGAGTGCTGAAGCCCCCGCAGCTGCTTCTGAGATGTCGAGGTCAGATACTCGAACACTACAAAGGTATCGCTCTCTCGAGCTGATTTCTAACCTAGGCAGTAATAATGATAGGTAGCTTCAGCGCGAACGTCAGTCTAATATTATGCCTAACGTCACTGTGTTAGGGTTAGAAAGCTCCCATTAGCAGCTCCAACGATGCCCCCTATAAGTGCGACAGCCGCAACTAAGGCAGGGCGATGATTTCTTTTCCCTTCTCTATGGAGTATGATACTCCTATAAGCGCAACTCGTTACGAAGCGCAAGGGCGGTGCCCAACCCGCAGCACACCCGGGAACTTAGCAGCAACGCATGTATCGAAAAAGGTGCTGCCCCGAAACGGCAGACTAGACGGCAGAATAAACGAAGCCAAAGAGAAATCTCCGCTTTCGACCATATACATCGCCCAACCAGTCCGGTAATAAGACAATAGTGTCTATGAAAAACTGCTATCCGAACAGGCTCCGAACCAGGTCCCCTGCGCTACCAACCCCGAAACTACACCCTAATATCTCGCCGATAATGGTATACGCCTGACCGGTACCTGGCTCTCTGGTGGCGTTAACGAGAGTTAAATATAATTCCCAACTCTTATTTCAACTCACTGGCGCACAGCTGAGCCATGCAAACAGACACGACCTATTGAGCTAGTCCAGCCGCTGGAGCGTAATCTCGCAGCCCTCGTGATCCTGGATAAAATTTCGATCCCCGAGCCCGCAGAGGACATTGCTTTGTTGCGTTAAGTCTGCTTAGGACCAGTTATACCGCTAGCATGTCAGAATGGGGATGCATTCATGAGTATGTTGGGCTAAATTAAAGTATAGAAGCCTTAACCTTCTTCTTTTCGTAAAAGGGAATTACGTCCCGTCTTAATATCCGTACTTCGGGGTGTTTTATGAGGAACCGGTCTTGAGGCCAAAGGTTGTTAATCATTTTTACATGCCTTAACATACTTTAGCGCTTAACATTAGTCCTTGCAATGACCTCCTTCGTCTTCTCTTTCGGGGATACGTGGCCCCCTACGTTATATTAACGTGGCAGGCAAGTTCGAATCCAACTTACTAACATGTGATACCGCTAACTACTAGCCATCAGCGACCCTCTCTACATACCTATAGGGCTAGGTCTGGATATATCCGCGAGTAGCTTGTCGGTTAGTCTTCTCACCGAACTTGAATTCTATGAAGGGGATTTCCTTCATAAAAGTGCTATATCTCACCAAGAGCGATCGTCCGGACGCCTTGCAGCCCTAGCGCTGTCCTAGGTCTATATTAAGCTCTATCATAGGATAGTTTGAGCAGCAATTCCGAGACGGGCAGGCGAAGGCGGAGGATCAGTCTCGTGGTCGGTCCTGCAGACACGTATCTGTTCACCGGATCGGCTCCAACATTAAGATATCCGCGATTTTCAACTCAAGGTAACAAAACGCATGACCACCGATAGGGCTCATGGAGAGTCTCTACCAGTCTACGAAGAGAACTGGTCGCTAGCAAGGTGTGAGAGGCTTAGTTGCTAGTTTAAACTTGGCGAGCCTCCTTGTCAAGCGAGGTCTCGAATTCCGATTGGCCCTTGACGCGGTTCGGAGTCCGAATATGGCAATATCCAGTCTTCAACTAAGTCCCCATGTGTCTACGCATCCTAACTGAGCCTTGACAACGAGAGTCCATGCCTGCCCAGATCTGACCAAACAATTCGTAATATCTACTATAACTACGAATATGCCCTAACTCGAGAGGAAAATTCCCACCCATATATGTCAGAAGGTACGAATGGTCCTGCTCCTGACATACAACTCGTGAGGTGCATTTAGGGGACTGCGAGGAGCAAGCCATACTGTCTGTAAGTACAGGTGGCTGTGTCATGAAAGCATACGTTGAGGGGACTAGAGCATAGGAAGAAATCATAGGTTTGCGCCCACGATTAGGGAAAGCTCAAGCAATGCAGCCTTTTCGAGTGCATTGCAGACTTCCATCTGTGACGTGCTACCAGCACAACTTGTAATCCCAAGGGGATGATAATTGATAAATCATGTTGCTCCTACGGTTGAACATCAGCAAACTGACCGGTTTTTCCCGCCGAAGTATCTTGATGTCACCAGCCCTACGCTACTGAACTTCATCTCCTATTACAATATAGTAATACCGTCCGGTTCAGATATCTAGGGAACCAGCCGGCTGCTTGACTCCAACTCCATTACGAAGCCTCGCGCCTAAGTTCACAAGCCGAAACAAAGCAAGAATCAAATATGATGGCGATCCTAGCCCCTCTTAACATGGTACAGAGGGAAAGGAGTCCCAATGATTCACCGCCGCATTAAATATCGCTATTAGCGAGACCGCTTTCGACGAGTCCCTTCCTCCGCAACGAGTCGGCCAGCATCATCTTCCACCTGGAGAATAAAGTCCAGGGGAACAGATCTCTAGATCCACCACAGATGCTCAATAAACCGGAAAGCACCGACCGGCGATGCAGTGTGTGCATATAGCGCGATATAATATTCAAGGAAACAAAAGCCACGCGCTGCTATTGCGGGTGTTACTAGCAGTCCCGGTACTGCTATTGGGGAGCCATGTCGTTATTTGTGCCTCGTGATGCCAGGTCCCTTGACGGCGACAGTGTTGGACTCCAGGACGCCTCATACCGTTTCCATAATAAGAGGGACGGCGGCTGTTGCGTCGGGAGGCCATACGCTAAGACTAAGATCCTTCATAGTTTATGGTGACCCTCAAACGAGTATAAGATAGAAATTAGCAGGAGTTAAGGTTGAGCAAGCTGCTAACATAGGCATCGTACGATATATAACCCCTATTTTCTACATCTACGAAACCAACTGAACCGAACGCATACGCTTGAGAAGGATGAAGAGGGTATCTCAAGTCAGGCAAGCGCACACACAGCATTCGTGCCATCTGCCAAGCTCTTTCTTGAACTTGGTACATTGCGTTTGACCCTAGTATTGCGCCGATGCATCTAATCGAATACCACTGGACCTTATGACAACTTAGATATGTCTTACTATAACCGAACTACATTATAACCATAGCCTACGCGTTACAGCCAGACAAGGCGGTGACCGTAGAGAAACAATTCGCATGAGTTTCCTCTCTGCCTGTCAACACTCTCCTTCTCAATCACACTGGTGGGTGCAAGTTACGGGCATGTCGCCTTTGACTACCCTTACATGGGACACCAGGAGCTCTGAGGAGTAAACCCGTATATAGAATGGTCGAGGAACTAGTAGTTTTGAAATTACCTACGTCCTATTACCGACTTCGACCCTGCAGTAGTGAATGAGTAAATATCATCCCACCCAACTATGCCAGGGAGAAGAAAGGATTAAACGAGTGGATCGTGTAGAGACAACAAACGCTAAGAAGAGCTCAACTATTCCTCACCGATATCCTACAACAGATAGGTTTCCCACAGGGCCGTGTCCCCGTCGAAAAGACACAGACGTTGAGCATCTAGGCCCAGAGCAGACGCCACCAGCCTTCAGACATATCTGACTCTGCGCTGACGACTCA